CATACTTCGCTGCCACAGTGTCGCTCGTATTGCACTACTTCGGGCTGACGCGACCAATCAATCTTTTCGTTAAGCGATCTGCCTTGAGCAGGTCCTTGAGGAAGAGGAATAAATTCAGAGGGGAAAAAAAGAGGGAGGAGCCTCTCGTTTTATGTTTGGTGGGTCTGTGATGACTTCGCGTCCTGCCTTTTGCGGGCCAGCTTGCGCCCATGCTGCCTAGAGATTGCTCTGCTTGGTGTTGAATTTCTTGCGGTTCGGCGGTTCGATATCCGTCACCGCTCACAGTGCTGAAATTTGATTGAGGCTGCGGCGACGACATTTCTCTTCAGCACTTTGCTCCGGCCGTGTGCACAGTGCTGACCTGCCATCAAGCGCGTCGCTGAATTGCTCTCATAGCCTTTACCTAAGTGCTATCTCTGCCATATGAGTGAATTGCATGTATGTACTCATCAGCGTTGCATCACATTCGCACAGTCGAAGAAACCTGCCTAGGTATTTCAACGTCTTCGAGTACACTGCGTTCTGCGTCATAGCTCCGCCAGCCAGTTTGTGGAAATGGCGTCACTAGCGGGGCGCTCGCGCTATGACCTAGCTCCCGAGCGGAGAGATCAGCAGCAGATCTCAGTCGACCGCTGCGCACGGCCCTCGTGATTCGCGTGATGGACATGACCCAACGCAGCAGCAGTAACTCGATCATTTTCACATCGAGAAGCACGGGAGGAAGGCCGAACACCGATGGACAGCGAAGGAGCTTGCTGAAAAGTCACCATAGACGTCGGGTTGACGTAAGAGGTGCGGATGCGTACGTAGAAGCGGAAGAAGTAGCCGGGGACGTGTTCCAGCTCGTCAAGAAAGACGCTTGCGTCGTCTCTGTTCACGAGATGGTTCGGCCGGTAAGCAATGAGTCTAGGATGCCTGATGACACATTCACACTCATAAGACTCTCGTTCTATGTCGCGAGGTGGTGAGGAGCAAACGCGGGCGACGGGTGGCCTCGGAGCGGCTGATGCGCCATTGAGAGACAAGCAACACCATTGGGGTATGCGCAAGATGCGAGGATCGAGATAAGCGAAGGACAGCTTCACCGTGGCAGTGAAGATGCGGGGAGAGGCTCAGCTAAGGTGCGGCAACATGGCCTGGACCGTTGAGCGCCACCAGCCAACCAGCCGGGAATAAAGTCTCGCTTGCGCCACCCGAATTCGCCACCCCATCTCTCTCAACCTCACCCCTCGCCTGCACAGCCCTTGCGACTATTCATGGCGCAATGACGACTGCGACGACGCCCAGCTCCCCCCTCGCCGCTGAGCGCGCTCGAGAACGCAATGTCTTCTCGTGCGCCACCCATCCGACCCTTGCTGCCGCTTGCATTTGCCTGACTGGTTGGCAGTTACTATCCCCAGTCGCTGGACATTGTCGACCTGCGTCCGCGCCTCGAAAGTGCCCCCAAGCGCCTGCCCCCTGAAGGCCATGAACCGCGCCCGTCCAAGGATGCTGCTCTCGTTGCCTTCGCCCAGCTTGGCACCCATCGTCTCGCAGCCTCGCGCGCCTTCATCTCGCTGATCGACAGCCAATCGCAGATCATCCTCGCCGAGGCCACCAAGACCGTGTCTTTGGGCAACACGTCCATCCGTGCCGCAGAAGACCCTCTCTGGCTGGGCAGTGCCATCATCCCCCGCACCTTTGGCGCCTGCGAATGCACCCTGGAAGCCGACCACCTTGTTGTCAATGACCTGCACCAGGACGATCGCTTTCACGGTCGCCCTTTCGTCGGAGCCGCGCCCAATCTTCGATTCTATGCAGGCGTGCCGCTGAGGACCCCCCAAGGCATCCCCATTGGCGTCTATTGCGTCGTCGACGACCAGCCACGTGACGGCCTCGATGACCAGGGCCTGTTTTTCATGCAGGATGTCGCTGCCACCGTTGTCTCGTATCTCAGCGCCGTTCAAGCCTTCGACGCCAATCGCAAGGCAGAGCAGATGATTCGCGGCCTGACCTCGTTTGTCACCGGTGCTGCCGATATCCAGCGTAGCGATGAACTTGACGTTCCGCGAAAGGCCCAGCGACCCTCTGCCCCTTCACCTGCCCACTCCCCCCATCAACATCCTGAGCCTAAGGAAGCTTCTCCAACCACACCACGAGGCACCCAAGATGACCGTGACGATGATGACGACGACGCTGACACTGCTTTGCCGCACGATGACCTTCTTTCGCCTGGGACAAAGCGCATGTTCTCTCGCGCTGCCAACATTATGCGAGAATCTAGCGATCTCAACGGCGTCATCTTCTTTGACGCTTCCGTGGCCAATTCTTCCCCATCAGCAGAGGGCCCGTCCTCACCGTCAACCGAGGAGAGCGACGATGCCTCTGCTCACCACCATGTCGATGAGTCTTCCGGATCAACTGCCTCATCCTATGCCGATTCCCGTCATCCTACCTGTAGGATCCTTGGCTTCGCTGATGCAGGTCGCTCGAGCAGACATGGAGCTGTGGCCCGAAAAGATTATCTGGGCTTGACTGAGGACTCTCTCCGCCGCCTACTCAAACGACACCCTCACGGCAAGATTTTCAACATTGAAAGGCAGTCAACGGACAATATACCAATGAAGCAGACAAGGAAAGGGAGGGCGCGGCGCAGTACGGCTGTAGAAGCCATTGTCGATGTTGCGCACAACGCCCGGAGTGCCGCAATTATACCCCTCTGGGATTACGAGCGACAACGCTGGTTTGCTGGATGCCTTTGCTGGTCTTCGAAACCGAACCGCCAATTGTCGTACGGATCCGACCTGCTCTACCTCCGCGCATTTGGTCACAGCATCATGGCCGAGCTGGGCAGGATAGACTCTATCGCCCTCGACAAAGCGAAGACGTCATTCATCGAATCAATGTCACATGAGCTTCGATCTCCGCTCCACGGCATTCTTGGTGGGGTTGAGTATCTACTGGAAATGCACCTCGATACTTTCCAAACTAGCATCGTCAACTCGATAGCTATGTGCGGTCGAACACTGCTAGACACCGTCCAGAACGTACTCGAATACTCGAAAATCAACGAGTTTACAGGCCCGTATGCAAAGTCTTCGAAGTCTGAAAGCTTAAAACCGGTCCGACCGTCCCACGCCCCGCCAAGCACCGCCCCTTCCGTCAACATCTGCCGTTTAACCGAAGAGACTGTTGAAGCCGTATTTGCCGGACAATCGTACAACATGGCATCACATCCTTCGGCCACCGATGATAATGATTCCTTCCTTTCAAGTGGCCCCAGTCCATCATCGCAGTCCCAGTCAAGGCCAGAGCTATATCCACGAAAAGCGATACGCTTGATACTCGACCTTCCAGTTCGCCCTTGTTGGACTTTCGCGATACAGCCGGCAATTTGGCGGCGGATACTTATGAACGTATTTGGCAATGCACTAAGATTTACGGATGCCGGATTTGTACGGGTATCGTTGGCAGCTCAAGACGTGAACGATCAGGAAAGCGAGATCACCTTGACCATTGTAGATTCTGGTTCCGGAATGTCATCCAATTACATCAAGGACGGCTTGTTCAAGCCCTTTTCCCAGGAGGATCCCTTCTCACCCGGCACCGGCCTGGGAATGAGCATCGTGCAGCGCTTGGTCAACAATTTGGGAGGAGAGGTGTCTGTGGAGAGCAGGGTTGGTGTCGGCACTACAATCAAAATCCACGTGGTCTTATCCAGGCGCGAAGACTCGACGGACAGTATTACCTCCAGGGTTTTCTCTCGGACCAATGGTATGCGCGTTGCTGTCGCGGGACCCATGATCCCCGAAGACGATCCAAACCACGCGCTCGCTTGCCAGAGCGAGTTTCAATTCCACGGCTCCCTGACGGATTCCCTGAAAGCTTGGTTCGGCATCGACGTCGTTCCTTTGGATGACATCAACGCCGACAGCAGCCAAATGATCATGTATCCTTGGCCCAGCTTCAATCTGATGTTCAAGCCGAGGTCTCGAAAAGGTGTATCAATGGTGGTGGCCATGGATGGCATGGAGGCTTCGACATTAAGAGCTGACGAAAGGGTTACAAGCCAATGGATCGACGTGGTCACGCAGCCGTAAGTCATAAAACACGAGGGTACGGATTTAGCTAATTGGATTTCCCTACAGTTGCGGACCATCGAAACTTACAAAAATCTTCGAGCGATATCTGTCTCTCCTCAACTCCAATTCAGAAGCTCCAACCCAGAGGGAAAACAAAAGCTCGCCACTACATGAGACAGCACCGTACGCTCCGATCATCCGCTCACCGTTTTCACGACAACAGGCCCTCGAAGAAGACGCTAGGAGCTCCAAAGAGGGCGCACCTTCTCCTACCCCAGCTCCGGCCGAAAGCCGAATTCCCGAACTAGAACTTCCTCCCACATCAGTATCTACTGAGACAACCAACTCTACTCCCAGTGCTCATACGGTTGCCGAGACAGCTCCATCTCAAACCTCACATCCGCATCAACCCCATACAGATCGGCGCGAATCTCGAGCCAAAGCGGACGAAACAACCACTCCCACTGCTCCACCACGTTCGGGCAACGAAATACTTATCGTCGACGATAATGCCCTCAACCTCCGCCTGCTCTCCGCTTTCTTGAACAAGGCTGGATTCAAGAACCATACATCAGCTGCAAATGGGCTCGAAGCGGTCAATCTGTATAAGAAAGACCCATCGCGTTGGGCAGCCGTGTTGATGGACTTGAGCATGCCGGTTATGGATGGCGTGACAGCGACAAGAGAGATCAGAGCATGGGAGAAAAGGAACGGGATTGGTGACGAGGGTGGAAATGGAAAAGGCGACAAGGCTGACTTGGAAAGGCGAGGTCTAAAGAGGGTATCCACGAATGGGTACGTCGAAGACACGCCACCAAGACGGAGGGGAGGTGATGAGGAATCTGCAAAGAAAGAAAAGGAGCAGGAGCATGCAGGTGAACATCCTGCACCACCTGCTGCTCCTCCACCTGAGTCATCTGGGCCAAGCATCGAAGAGTTGAAGAGGGAGGGGGAGAGCGCCAACGAGCAGGCTGAGGAGAACAGCCTCAGCGAATCAGCACCTCGGCAGCAAGTGCCGTCGCCTTCGACATCGCAGTCAGCAGCAGAAAAGACGTCTCCCACTGAAGACAAGAAACAACCTGAAAAGTCGTCGGTTCCATCATCCTCTTCTTCATCCACGTCAAACAGTCCCCAAGCCGCCGCCGACAGTACGAATAATGGCAAAGAAGCCGTCCATATCATCGTCATCACCGGCCTTGGGAGCGCCGCCGCACGCTACGAGGCAACCAGCGCCGGTGCTGACGTCTTCATGACGAAGCCGATTCAATTCGGCGCATTGATGAAGACGCTGAAGGGCAGGTTCGGGAAGCAGGACGAGGCCGGTAAAGGTACCAAGAGCTGAGAGGTAAGGGCAAAGGTATGTTCGAATGAAGAAGAGTTTTGAGTAGGAGAACAGAGCTGGGCTCTGGTTTCTTTTTAGGTTTCCATTCTCGACTATTCATGAGACGGGGGGTTCTCAAGCGGGATTTGAGCGTGGCGTCCTGGCGTTGGGTTCGGTCGAGTTGGAGAACACTCGGGTGAGATCTTGCAATGGGAGGAGACGAATGTTTTCAGTGGCTCAATGTTCAGGAGAGCGACGGATGGGGAATGTGGGCTTTCATCTAACTCCGCGGGTCATTTCATTTTAGGCGTTTATGGAACATGTGTGAGGGGTGAACAAATAGGGCAATAAATGCAGACATGTTAGCTGTCGCTTATGTGAAAGTAGAAGAAAACGGAAGAAGTGTAGGGCAAAAGCAACGAATATATGATAACTTTTGTTTTCTCTCAACTTTCTCCGTCAATTGCTTTCGTACCTTACTGGGCAGCCATATGAAACTGTTACTTCGATCGGTCAGGTACCTACTCTCCTCTAAATACGGAATCAGGCTAACGTAAGACAATTATATTCGGAATTGACTTTGTCTTTTGCTCATGTGAAAAGAAAAACACGTGTGGGTAGCTGAAGCTATCGTCTGGATGTAAATGTCGAATTAATAATTACACATTCACGTCCGGACGATAGCTTCAGCTACCCACACATGTTCTTTTCTTCTTCTTTTTTTTAAGAAAGAGCTGTGGTATAGCTGGTCGTATTCTCAGTACTACATTTCTGAGAAAATTATACATTATGTGTGGACTTGAAGCTAACGTCCGGACGCAAATGTAAATTTTAAAATTGTACAAATACGTCCGGACGTTAGCTTCAAGTCCACCCTTAACGTATAATTTTTCAAGCTGGCTCTGTATGTTCAAATTTCTAACGCAGCTTTGCTACAGTGTCTCGAGAAGTAATAATTTGTTGTGAAGGGCCCAGCCCCAAAATCTAGGGAACCTCATCACCACCAAGACCGAAGCAGGGTATCTCAAAGACATCGCCGCAAAACACGCTGAGGATAGCCTCGCTTCCGAAACGCCGGAACCGCCCGAGACACCAAAGAACCCAACGCCGGCCACCTTTGCCGACCCGCAGTGGCAGACAAAGGTTCGTAGGATTGCGTTGCAACACGTCACGAACGATACCCACGCGGCGGAGCCCCGGGGAGCTACGGCAGAAGTGTAATCAGCAGCCTTCGCTAGGAATATCATGGTCTTCAAGATAGCATCAAGCCGAATAAGAACGTAAAACCGTCGCTAAAATGCAGGATCATAGATGGACTCATGACGATATCATCATAATGGACGTATTCTTCACAACGCACCGCTGGAACACTGACGGGAAAAATTCAAAATATACGATTGCCAAGGCCGTTGCCGGGCTTCTTGGTCTGTTCCACTATCTACTCTCCCTTTCCCTTGTGCAAATCCGCCATCCCCTCCACCCAAATCTCTCCAGCGAACTCGACCACCCATTTCACATGTCTCCATATCAATTTACGAAATGACTTTCAAGATGACGGCCTGCGTGACAGTGATGGTATCGTAGTGATCTGACAGCGTGTCCAGCTTCCAGTCCTCCTTCCCAACGGCAATGTAGAACTGCTTGATACCCTCAAGGATGAGTTCGGCCACCTTGACGAGAGTACAAACGGACGCTTTACGCGCGAACCCAGGAAATGTGGCCTTTGAAATAACAAATGTATGAGTTGTCGTTCGATGGGTTCAGTGCTAGGCAAGTCACTGTGTCCGTGTGCCCTTTGAAGTAGCGAATGTACGAGTTATCGTGCGTTGAGAGGTAGCGGATGCCGTCGTCGACTTTTGTGCTTGCGTAGATGATACTTTGCGCGTGATGTGTGAAGCGGGCGAGGTGCACGCCGTACTTTTGGCTTTTTAGCTCTTTTGCGTGCTTGCCTTCCTTGCAGTTGTATATCTGAAGGGTGTCGTCGTGTGCTTCAAGATGTATGTGCTGGGCACGGAACCCTGCGACAATTTCACCGACCTTTTGAGTTTGCACAGCTCCGGAGTTTGTCGGAGTTGCGCCAGCGGCCACAGTGAGTAGTGGAGACGGAGGTGGCGTTCAACGCATCGCGTGGCAGGCCGCTGGAATCCAGCGGATTAACATGGTGTTGTCCTTCATTCATAGAAAACGAGACCCAGCCCGCCCGAATCGTCAAAGTCAAGCGAAGTCACCGACGTTTCTTTGTTCTCAGCGCGAAAGCAGCGCAAAAATAATGGGCGCTTCGCCACTCCTTTGGGTTTGCGGAGCTCCGGAGTTTGTGGGGGTTGTTCAAGCACACATGGTGAGTAGTGGGGAGGGAGATGACGTTCAGCGCATTACGCAGCTGGCATCTCGTGGACATGATGGTTGTCAGAGCGCATGAATATCTGCGTTGATCGTGTCAGCATTTGTTCGCGCGGTTGATAGGAGGCATCCAAACAGCGATGACTTTGTTGGCGGAGAGTGGGCACTGGAGGATCTAGACGCGTCTTACATGTTTGTCAAGATTGTGCTTCATGGTGCGCGCAGATAGGAGGATGTAGGTTCTTTGCTGTTTTACACACACGCATGGCGATGACGCAAAGGAAAGGTTCAGAAGGGGTGTGTGTGGAGGGCGAGGAGCTGGGCTGCAAAAAGAATTTGCGTTGTAAGTTGGTGGAAAGGCGCAGAAGGCAGCACGTGTCAAAAGGGCAAGCAGCTCGCCCGCGTTAGCGCGCCAGCTTTGGCGTGACAGCCGGGCGGCGCGGCGCTAAACCAGCCTGCTTGTGGGCCCATCCGCTGGGCATGGCCTACCTACTGCAGCCTAGCCTCTTTGCGCGCTACATGCCGGCAACCTCTCTTCTCTTTCCTGACCACAACCATCTTCCGAAACTCATGACTGACAGTGCCTCCTGAACGCGGTTTGAGTCTCCCTTTGGCGACAAACGGAGCGCACGAGGTGCGTCAATCCAAGCTCCCGCCTGGGCTGTTGGACACGCCAAAAGCAGTGACTGATCCTGATATAACTACTCTAGATCTTCCGGGTGCCTGGGTTCCAAATTCTCGCCTGGTCCTACGCCAGAATCAATAGCTACCTCTAGGCGGAGCCTGGCTTGTCAGGGCGCTTGTGTCCATCAATTTCACAACTGCCAGCCACATCCGCCCATCCACGACCATTCTACACGATATAACGCCCTCATCGCATCGGTCTGATCTTCAGGGTCGCCTATGACCATCAACATCAACAACCTTCAACGACCAACCTCTAATCAACTGGCAAATGGCAACGCCACCCCCACCCCACGAGTATTCCAGGCGTGTGACCCTTCGCCAATCCCACACTCAGGCAAGTATGCACGCTATGTATCTCCAGTACGTGCCACAGTCCTTCAGGCACTAGATGAAAGGCAAATTCGCTAACGACTAGGTACCGAGCTAGACAAGTCATGAAGAGAAAGCCCAAGACGCTGTCCACCTAGCTCACTGCATTGAACCACCTTCCTACCTCCCGTTTGTTCCCGAAGGCATGGGTGCCCGAAGCACAAACTCTCTCTCTGGACGACCTCGAGCCTTGCCAGCTACGCGAATATGGAGACGTTACCCAGCACAATCTTCCAGTGTCTCCATGGACCTGTTTTGCGACACGTGTACCCGAATCAGATTCAAGGTAGTAAGACATCTGACACTGACACAAGGCTCTTGCTAACCCAACTCCGGAAAGTACCGATCATGTACAGGTTCCAAACCCCCGGCAGCGGGCAACCTCCTACTAGCAACGATAGGCGTCTACTTCGACCCTGACAACTGGGTTTATCCTTCGACACAGCCTTGAAATTCCGGCTCCTGGAGTCTTTATCGGCTTCATCGCTGCCTTCAGCCAAAGGCTCAACGTCTTCCGATGCCGGCATTGTTGATACTGCCACTTCTGCCTTCATCCTGCGGTGGCCATTGGCCGAATATTTACAAAGTGCTAGCTTGAGGACCTAGATCACAGGCAACGGGGAAGGGCCTGAAGGAAAAGAAAAGGCGCCTATCCAGTACGAGCAGACTATGCAGGTTACGAAGGAGATCAAGGCCCACAAATACTTGGAGTGCTCCACGCAATGAAGAATGAGAGCCCTAACAAGAAGGACATCATCACCTTCAACATCTCCGGCGCCGTCAAGGGTTCTAGTTGTTCCAGTGCCCCACCACTGGATACCTGTGTAAGATGGAGTATACCTCTTGCTGTTAAGAGGATTCTGGGGACCTCTGCTCATCGTATGGGCCTTTATTACACCAGCTGGTCTGGCCGTGTCGTCAACAAGTACGACTCCGATATATGGGCTAAGACACTGTCAGTGTATAAATACTCAACTCCCCAGAAGGACACCGCGATCGGGTAAGCTCACCTCCTCCGCATCGCCTTGTCGGAAAATCTTATGTTTGACTTTACCAGCCAAATGGAGCAAATCATCGTCGCCCTGCAAGTTGGCTTATCTGAGACGACCTCCTACCTCCACAGAGGCACCCTCTGCGAACGAGCCCCATCCTCCGCAGGGACCGACCCCGATAGTCTGGGGAAAGAGACCCAGGAAAACGTGATGTCACTTCCTGATATGGATCCCGGCATATTCGAGACCTTTGTCATCGACTACATGTACACAGGCAAGATTCAGAAACAGCCGGACTGGCTGCTGGAGGGCTATATATTCGCTGTTGACTATCGCGTCCTCGGTCTCCGCGACCATATCGTCTGCGATTTCTATTGGGCCTACGTCTGGGGAGATGAAGTCGAGCTACCGGCATATCAACTTGTGTCTCGCGCGTTCAAGGCTTTGTCTCCTGAACGTATGTTGTAGGTGGGAACGGTGTTCACTGTTCTTGACTCTCAGATGGTCAAGGTATCCGCCAAAGGCGGCATCTCCGACATCTGGGCTAAGACAGCTCGCCAGAACGACACAGGTGGCAACGGTGTTCACTGTTCTTGACTCTCAGATGGTCAAGGTGTCCGCCAAAGGCGGCATCTACAACGCTGCATTCTCACCTACCTTTGGCAATGGCGAGGGTGCTCCGGATGCTGCAGACCACGCCCACGGCATCACCATCAAGCTGCAGAAGGAACTGGGCCCGGGCTTCACGAGCGGCCACGTGTACCAGTTGGAGTACACGCCTGACTGGTATCAAGACCCAACGTCTAGTGGCTGTCTGCCGACTTCTCCGCCGTCGATGGAAACCCGTTCACCAACGTTGTCCACCTGGCCGAAGTTCTCGTCAACGGCCGTCTACTTAACTCGTCTGCCTGCCACTCAGTCACCAATGGTGCCAATTCTGCACTCCTCTGCACTCCAAGTGGTCTGCCAACCTTTCCGTCGTCGATGGAAACCCGTTCACCAATGTTTTCCGCCTTGCCAAATTCTCCTTTACGGCCATGAACTCCGCGATTGCATTGTTCTTTTCCATCGTCTGCAGTCATTGGAGAGTTTTGCCGTACTCTCAGCGAACGAAACACGTCCACCGATGAACACCAAGCCCAAGCGCTGTCACCCGATCGAACGCTTCCTCCATAAGTAGAGGTTATAATTAGAGATGTAATTGGCCAGGATTACCCGATTGAGATGTTTGAGGAATCGTGAGAGTTTCCTCAGGAGGACTGGAAGTTGGACAGGATTTCAAGGAAAGATAAGCAAAAGCGAAATTCAGTGGACACAGAAATTTGAAAACTGCAGCGTAATTACCGAGTACAGTTAGCCTTGCACATTTTGATCTACAATATTGCATTCTTGTATAACTTTTGAGTCAAATCTACATTCCATTGTTTCCTTTGCATACCATAATGTGCTCACATACCATCCAAAGATTATTTCCACCACCTACCACTCAGTCCATCTGCTTCACTGTCCCATCAATTTCCGAAAGTCCGGCGTTCCAAAGCCGGTGACGGCATCCCACCCCTCTGTTGCAGGGAAACCATCAGTGCCACACCCAACGGCCCGTCCCCTCGTCACGTCGGTGTACACTCGCCAGCCCCTCGAATACAGCCAAGGGTTCAAGAAGCCGAGGGCAGGCCTAGGGCTTGTCCCGTTTGTCCCGTTGAGCCGCGCATCGTTTACCAAGCCCAAGATGCCCGCATGTAGCGCTGCGGCCTGCCCCGTGCCCGAAATGGGGTGCTCGGTGCCATTCCAGACGAAGACGTGGTTTGCACCGTGGGTGGCAACGTCCGGATAGCCGCGGCCAGCTTGAACGGGAAATGAGGTTAGTCAAGTTACCTTGTCGGCGTGAGGGGATAGGGTTTACTCACTCTTGTTGTACATGCCTTCATGCGCGCGGCCAAGACCATTGACGTACATGTTCACGGCATTGTTCTGGTAGGTCGGGCGTCTGAAGTAGTCGCTAAATCCACCGCCGCTCGCGAAACCCGCCGTATCATTCACGCTGGGGTTGGGCGCACGGTACGCGGCAGCTTCAGGGGAGAACTGGTGCGTCGCGCCGACGGCCGTAACCCACGGACAAGTGGCAGGGAACACAGGTATGAACTTTCTCTTGCTCCTGCCGTCGTTGCTGATGCACGTTTCGTTGATGCCGACGCCGAAATCGCCGCTGGGGACGAGCACCGTGACGCCGCGCGCGCCCAGCTGCGCGAACATGGTGCATACCCTCCTCGCATAAGACTCGGGTACCGTCTGCTCGTTGTCATAGTAGCCCGAAGCGATGACCTGTGGCAAGGTATCCCGTCTCAGGACGTAGTTGAGCCATTCGACGTACGGCTCGTTCGTGTTGATGGGCGTCCCTTCGTCTGGTTGAAAGTCAGAAGGACTGCCACCAACCGACCACGAATCGATCCCGATGGGCCCCGCCATGCCGGCAATGGCCTGAATATCCTGATTTGCTCCGATCGAGTCGTGTCTTTCGAGTTGGGTGGCGTTCAACGGGCCGTCTTGCACAGGGCCGCCGTTGACAGACGTCTGTGTGAAGTTGTCGGCATCTTCAACGGCATCCGGACGGTACTTGGCGAGAAACTGTCTGGCGTCTGGTCGGATGGGCACGTTGCCCAGGTAGTTCACGAAGCCGATCCTGCTTTTGCCGGAGATTGCTGTATAGTTATCGGCGTTGTATAGGTACTGTAAGCACTCGGGCGTCACAAGGCTGGCGTTGCACGATCGGGAGATGCCTTCCTGGCGTAAGCGAGCGCGCTGGGCATCGTTGTCGTTATTGGGCTGCTGAGGAGTCCTAGTGGGGCCTTGCCGAGTAGTGCTACTGGAGCTTTGCCGAGTGGTGCCAGGGCGTTCAGGACCATTGGTAGGCCTCTGAGGACCGCTAGTAGGTCTCTGACCACCACTAGTAGGCCTCTCGGGACCACTTGTAGGCCTTTGAACGCTACTACTAGGCCTTTGAGGGCTACTGCTGGGCCTCTGAGGGCTAGTGCTACTGCTAGCGCGCACGGCATCGATGTTCGGGCGAAACAGAGGGGAACTTGAAGTAGGGCTAGGCCGAGTAGGCGCGGAGCCCGAGCCGGATGGAGCAGAACCAGGGCCACGGCGAGTAGACAGAGGATCGGGACCAGGCTGAGGAGATACAGAACTAGACGCAGGAGGCCGTGTGCCAGGGCCACGGCGGGTTGTAAAATCGGGACTAGGCTCAGAAGACGAGGATCTGGACTCAGAAGGCCTAGTACCAGGGCCACGGAAAGTAGAAAAACCGGGACTAGGCTGAGAAGACGAAGAACTGGAGTCAGGTGGCCTGGTACCGGGGCCACGGAAGGTAGAAAATCCGGGACCAGATTGAGAAGATGCAGGACCAGGACCAGGTCGGGGAGACACAGAACCGGGACCAGGTTGTGGAGATGTAGATCCGGTACTAGGCCGAGAAGCTCCAACGCTGGGGCCAGCCTGGCGAGAAGTAGGGCTTGAGCTAGATGGGGAAGCAGTGGAAGAACTAAAGGTGGCTCCAAGGGGCCTAGGGTTGGGGGTAAGTCGAGTGGAAGAAGGGCTGGGACTTCTACCGGGAGGGCCAATCTGACGGGCACCAATACGAGCGGGCTCAGCCTTGCCACCCGTCCGCATGAATAAAGTCGTTGGCTGAATCGCATCAATGTGCTCGTGTAGATGCCGCGGAAGAGACCACTGATGTGTGCGCACAAGCTGGCTTCCATCATGATGCTCATAGACGCTGTATTTCGTGTCCAGCAACCTCTCAATAGCCGAAACGGGCATTTTCACGTCAATCCAGTCCCGTGCTGGGCTATACCTTAATCCCGCGACGTCAACACCGTTGTCGGCGAGCCATTCGTGCACAAGCTCGAGAGCCTCGTCAGACGGCTTAACCAGCTCATTTACATCTTCGGCGCTCAAATGTTGTCCGTAGCGATGGTGATCGGGATCGGACACTGTCAAAGTAGTCAGTATTGGCAGTCATGAGACGTAAAGGGAAATATGCCTTCAACCAAGTGTCGCTCGAGCTCATCAAATTGACTCTGTCTCAGACCAATATGCAAATGGAGAGAGTGGTCCTCAGGAGCACTGCCCCTTTTGGTCCACTCCTCTGGTACGTTGTGAGTTTCCTTGACGGCGTAGGGAGAGCGAGAACGGAGCGGTGTTGCCAGAACACCATGGGCCGCAGCGGCCAGAGAAAGCACAGTTGTAATACAAACCATCTCTCGTATCTCTCTGGAGAGGATGGGGTAAGTGTTGTTGTTCTGGGTAGAGGAAATGAGGAGTTATTTATCGTGGTGTGGACAGGGTGATGTCACGGCTATCGCGGAACCATAATGCGTCAACGAGCCACGCAGACAAAATTAGTGAGAAATGCGGGCCACGTTCCATACACTAGTAGATACACCTAAATAGAGCCTGGAGCCCGGAAGAGTCAGCTCTTTAGCGATTCTTTTTGGCGACCATTGTGTCTCATTGGTGTTCCGTGTACTACTCACGTTACACAGGCGTGGAATCCGAATCAAACTACTTTTCCACGACTGTTGGTTTCAGAGAACCATTGCCAGGAGCGGTCATCATCCAGGGTTTGCAATCGCAATCCACCAGTAGACATTCTTCTCTGTTCGGACGTCAGTCCTATACTTGCCATTTAGAGTTATTCGCGATGTAGGAAATATTCCCTTTCCTGTCTTTGGCCCGTTTGCGGAAGTGCCGGCAATGGATGATTGATTGATTGGTTGTAGTTCAATCTGGTTAAGCCCCAGTGACTTTGGCATGCGGGGTAGTCATACGAGACTTCAGTCTGGATGCTGAAGTCGTGAGAATGTGAAAATGTAACTATGAACTAGCCTCCAATGAGGATTCCCGTTGCACAGAGACCGGCTCTGGAGAGTCTTCAATCGTGGATGAAAACGCGTGTTCTGTGACGCTTTTCTCGCTTTCGTTGGTAGACAACTCCTACCTATTGCAGTTAGCCTGCTGCAAACGTGACGCAAGTGGCAAGGATCCCTTGCTCAGGGCTCAAAAATGCATCAAGGGGCAGGCCGGGAAAGCAACATTCCTTCCAAGACTTTGCCACGCACGACCCAACAGCCTTATGCTTCTCGTGATTTCAGCCTTATTGTAGCTCACTCAAGCTTCTTCTCCAGAGCATCCTCAAGGTAGTAACAGTTGTTCTCATAATCCTTGTGCAAATCTTCTCCTATGGTATGGGCATTGAGCGTTGGGTGGGATCGAGACTGTGGCGCGGAATCTTCACTGAGAGAGGGGCCTGGTTCTAGAATCCCTTCAAGTTACCATCAGTGACGTAGAATATGACGAGGTCGGCCGCTGCTCACCGGGAATTGGAGTATTGCTTAGTAGGGAAAAGGATCGTCGCCCCTGCTCAAGGTCCACTATTACCCCTTCGGAGACTAGCTCTCCTTCTTTGAGTAGCCTTGCGAGCTTTTCTTGACGTCCAGTGTCTGTCACAAAGCCGCGAAACTCGCAATGTTGATACAGACAGAAGCAAGCGGTTGATGTGACGCTGCAGAACACTGTTGCGCTGCTGCTTTGATTGCTCGCAACAAGATTGTGCAGTATGTGCTGGAGCCGCGCGAGGATGCCGCTCGAGTTTCTCGTGAGAGGGATCGGCGCAAGGGCGGCGGGCAGGGATGTCTTGTCGGACGCCACGTGGTGTGGGTTTGGGTCAGCGTGGACGTGAGCGCAAGGCGCGGTCGCTCGCGGGTTCAACGTTGTCGCAGTCGTGCGTGTTCCAGACGTGTAGATGAAACGTCGGAGCGGCAATGTGAAGTCTCGGCCGCGCTGGTCAACGCCGTGCGCGATGCGCCGCGATTGTTGCTCGGATCTTCAAGTTGTCGCAGCGGGGACTCAAGTCGCAGCGCAGAGTGCCGAAAGAATATCTCAATCTGCACAGCGAGCGTAGCTGCGCGCCATGGTCCACTTCACCGTGCGACGCGGAGACATGGCGTTGACTTCCGTAAGCCACCGAAGAGCGGCGTCGGCATGCCCGAAGAGCTCAAGAGCGCAGCGACCGCTAGCCGCATGTCAGAGGCAACGATGTATTCCGCGAGAGATGTCTTCGTGAGTCATTGGCCCTTGCTGGGGCTGAAATGACCGCGACATCAGGCGTAGAAAGCCACGACAATTATTAGGACCCCAAGGACCACCACCACGACCGCTACGCGTACAACAGGATGGGGCGCTGACAGCATCGTATGGCCTCACCAGAACAATGTCAGTACCAGAGCAAGGTCACGACAAGAAAAGCAGCAGGTGAAAATTCAGCTCAATTTCAAATATCTAGAACTTGTATTTATATGTCGCCTCGGCAACTGGCCGCTCTTTGAAATAACAAAGAGAGTCTTAGTTCAAGGCATTTGTTCTCGGCGCTTTTCACCACAGTCGGTTCCGCCCCGAAGGGTGAAACCAGACCAGGTGAATGCCGCACTGAAACTCCATACAGGTACCGACTTACCTCTAAGAGAGATGGTACCCTGGAGCCCAGATGTAGGCCACGCCGCCGCTCAAAGAAGAAAAGAAGAAGAGGAGTCGAGGGAGCAGAAGATGGGTTTATATAGGCGAGTGATCGAACCCGCTGCAGCTGCCGGCTCTCGCGTGTCGGCATGGAAACCGCCCTGTGCTAAACCTAATTTGGAGGATGAGGATCAAGTCGCAGCAGTTAAGCGGCCGCTGTGTGCAGAATTGGCTGCGCGTGATTCTATCCGCTTCTGCCTGATGCTGTCTGCTCGGATAGGCAGGTGCAGCTCAGCTCCATCTGCCAAGCTCTGGGAAGCGGCAGCATCAGTACCGCTATGCACAAAGATGTGTCTGATGTGAAGATGGCCTCACTGGAGAAAGAAGCTCAAGGACGCGCCCCAAGTGGCATACGAGTCGCTTAGGGTTGCTCGATTTTGCCTGCCACTCTCCTTCGTCGCCTCGTTAGGCTCGTCAATTGAAGCGGGTGACAGTGAAACAAATGCGACCCAAATCACTCCTAAGATGGGGTATTCTTTTGCTGTCCTGACTGTCGGCGGTCTAGCTTAGAAGTGTGTTCTCATGGGACGCTCGCTATGATCGAAGGACGTAACAGCATATTGCGAAGAGAACCAATGAGGGCATTCCCAATTTTTCACGTCAGACGGTACTTCAGCGTGCTTTCTGCCGTGAACCTCTGAATTCTTTAGATGGTCATCGAGCACTCCAAGAAGCAGAGGACAAGATTCTTCATGGAGAGCGAGGCAATGAGCTCCCACGATTCTGCTCTAAATACTCTCATTGGCGACAAGATTCTAGAAATAGAAGACAAGATAGACGTCTTTTCCCCTTAACGTGCCGATGCAGCGCAGATCTTGCGTTATCATGCTTGACGGTCCCATTTCGATGGTCGACAAGCTCCACCACCAGCGATAGTTCCCGATCATCAGGCCGCACGCCACGACGCATCTGCAAGGATCAGCCACCCGCCCCCAATCCCACCAAACCCCGCTCTAGCTCACGTGTCCCAGTCAGCACTACTATATAATGCCTTTGACTCTCGCCCCCAAGCTCGCAGAATATACAAACCACACACTCGGCTGGCCCTTCAACTGGCCCGACTTTCCAAAGCGCACAACCAACCCAAGGCACACCTCAATCACCACCACCAAAGCCCCCTCCCTATCCACAAACGAGGGAGAGAATCGCACATCCATACAAAAAATGGCAGAACCCTCGCAGCAGACCGGGCGCCGCATCCCCCTCCACCCCAGCACCGCGCTTACCCTCACCGACCTAACCAACACGGCCCCTTTCCACCGCAGCACGCCGCATCCCATGGTCCTCGGCGAAGGCCCCATCTACCGCGCCAGCGACAGCACGCTGCACTGGTTCTCGTGCCTGCCGGACCCGTCCACGACGCCGCCCACGCCGCCGAGCCTGCACGTCTTGCGCGTCGATCCGGAGACGGGGTTGGCCGCGGCTACCGGAGAAGAAGCTGCTGCGCGCGTAGTGCCGCTCGAAGAGTCCGTGACGGTCGCTGCGTTTCGCGCGGGGAAGCCGGGCAGTTACGTTTGTGCGTATTATGCGGGCATCGCGTGGATGGATGAGGAGACGGGGCGGTTGGAGGTGGTGAAGGAGATTGTGCCGCAGAGCGAGCGTGGAGAGAGAAGGATGAATGATGGGGGTGTGGATGCGAGGGGCAGGTTTTGGGTGGTTGAGATTGATTGGGCGGCGATGGCGAGGTACGCGGCGATGAGGAAGAAGAAGGAAAGCAGCGGCGACGGCGGTTTGTCGGAGGAGGAGACGGGCGCAGAGGAGGAGCCAAAGGCAAGGCTGTGGCGGTTCGACCCCGATGGATCGTTGCACGAGATCCTGAGTGGAGGGTTGGCTGGTGGAAATGGGCTGGCGTGGAGCCCGGATAACAAGGTCATGTATGTGAACGATTCGCCTCGGGGGCTGGTGTACGCCTTCGATTTTGATCTCGAGAGCGGAAACATTGCGAATAAGCGGGTCTTGGTGGATAGGAGTAGCAGCTATGGAGACCCGGACGGGATGGTGGTGGATACAGAGGGAAACTTGTGGATGGCCGGATTGGCCTCGGATCGCGTCATGGTGTTCTCGCCGCAGGGAGAGCATCTAAGGGACATACTGCTTCCAGCCAGGAACCCGTCGTGCACGGCGTGGGGAGGAAAGGACTTTGACATCTTATACATGGCAACGGGGAAGGACTGGGCAAATGAGTCGGACGACAAGGATGGGGGCGGACATATGTATATGTTCAAACCTGGTGGAGGCGTGAAGGGGTTTGCAAAGCACGTCTTTGCTGGCTGAGAGTTCCCGGATTGGAAAAGACCAGTTCTGCAAGATATTCGCGTTGAAGTTTACGCAGAGAGCTCACTGCGATATACGTCCAATTAGCAAGGGAGTAGTGGCTGAATTAGAAGATGTAGTTTGCGTTCAAATCATGTGATTGCAAGCTGAACGATGAAGATTGCTCACGGATCTCATGATCCAAATGTAGATGGCTTCATTATAACAGCAGAATCTTCGTCGATCAGTTCAACCTCTTCAACCCTTCAACCATAAAAGTAATGGTGTCTCTTCCCTGTTGAATGACACCATCCATGGCCAAGAATGGATGCGGCATGCCCTTCATGATATGAAGCTCTGCCTCCACACCAGCCTTCCTTAGCTTTTCCGCAAACTGGATGCCCTCGTCTCTCAGCACATCAAGCTCGCCAACAGTGACAATTGCCGGTGGGAGCTTGCTCCAATCACCCTCCCACAGCAGTGGCGAAGACTCGGGATGTGCCCAGTCCTCCTTGTTCGGCAGGTAGTGGTACCTGTACCAGAGCATCTTCGCCGCGGGCAGGGCTGGAGTATATTCGAGTTCCTTCCAGGAGGTACTGTTCGTGGTGTCGGCAGTGTTGTCTGTGACCGGCACGCAAAGGAATTGGGCGAGCAAAGGTGGCGATCCGCCTCTTGCAACAGCCCTCTGGGACATGATGGCCGCCAGATTTCCACCAGCAGACGAGCCTGCGACGACCTGCTTCTTGAGGTTGAGGTTCAGCAGCTCCTTGCCCTCATTTTGTATCCATAGCAATGTCTCCCAGCTATCATGCACCGCAGCAGGATAAGGATGTTCAGGACCGAGCCTGTGTCACCGCATTAGCGCATTCCACAGACCTCTTAGCACAACATGCAGCACTCGAAGTATCGTACCTATAATCAGGGCTCACAACCACCCATCGTGCCCTATTGCACAAATTGGCCGAAACCGTGTTCTCGGTATCAATGTTGCCCAGCACCCAACCGCCGCCGTGGTACCACACAGCAATGGGCCAGCCCTCGGCAGGAGCCTCGCCTTCGGGCGTGAATGTCCGCACCTTGACCTCCGGGCCCTCCGTCTCCCGCCGCTTGATGCTGTAGTCCTGAATCTTGCCGACAGGAGGGGGAACGCCGCCACCGGGAATCAGCACGCCCGAGGTGCGCGAGGCGGCGACGGGTTGCAGGTGCACCTGCTGCTTGTCGAAGATGTGGGCATTGTAAAAGTCGCGGTAGACGGGGTCGAGGCGCGGTTCGATGTCCGGGTGCAGAGGGTAGGGGGGTTGTGTCCGCGCCGGGTCGAACTTGAGAGTAGTAGCTTCTGACGACATGTTGGTGAGCTTCTTTTCGGGTTCTTGGGTATCTGGAGGGAAGAATTGAAGGAGGAGACTCACGAGCTGCGGGCGCCGGTTTCGCTGGGTCTTTCTATGGGACGGTCGACTAGTCGACCGGCGGGCGGGGGGGTCACGTCGCGTTGGCGGCCATCATGTCGTGTCGTGTTGGAGCCCCGCCGTGGCAGATACGGCTACAATACCGACCGGCGGTGCTGGCGGGGGTTCGAGCTTCCCCGATGCTGCGTGGGGGCACGTCGTGGGGGTGTTCACAGGCGCGTGGGATGAAAGTGCTGGCCGGCTGAGCGGAGGCGGAGTGGTTGGGGTCTGGCCAGGAAATGCGTCGTGGGAAAGAAGCGGGGGGCGCTCGGCACCGCTTGTCTCGGTCGGCTGGCGTCGCCAATCGCCCGAGATGGCCCTGGCGGATCGACATCGCAATCGGCATAGCCTGCGATAGAACCCACGGCTCAGTTCTAACGTCGCCGATACTGCAGCTGCAGCTAATGCCGTCGTTCTCCGTGCCCGGCCCGGTCCAGCGCGCTGACAATGCGACCCCGCCGAGGGGTTGGAGGGGTACTTGAGCCACAGCTTGCGCTTCTTCTCTTTCCCCTCCATCCCCTCTCCAACCCAGTCCAAAACGAGCAAACATGCCCAAGGTCGCCACTCTCACCGACAAGGCTCCCAAGCCTCTTCCTGGCATCTACTCCCAGGCCATCGTCGCCAATGGCATGGTCTACTGCTCCGGCGCCGTCGCCATGGACCCTGTGACCATGAAGCTCGTTGATGGCGACGTCCAGGCTCACACCGTAAGTGGCACAACTCTCTTATCTTATTTCTCCCCAGGACTGTAGACAGCATTTGTGAAAGCAACCCCAGCTGCTTCAACTCCAAACCACAACATTCAAAGCGACTCTGCAAGGATTCTTCGCAATGGCTGGGTGTGCGGGGTATTGGGGGACTTGTCACGTAGAAACGCTCGCTGACGTCTTCCTGCAGCACCAATGCATCAAGAACCTGACGGCTGTCCTCGAAGCCTCCGGCACCACCATCGAGAACGTCGTCAAGGTCAACGTCTTCCTTTCCAACATGGATGACTTTGCTGCCATGAACGAGGTCTACATGACCTACTGGGGTGATGTCAAGCCCTGCAGGACGTGAGTTTCTCCGCAATCTTTATTAGAAAATTCGAGCCTAACGAAACCCCAGATGCGTCGCCGTCAAGACCCTGCCTCTCAACACCGATGTCGAAATCGAGTGCATTGCTGTTCTGCCGTAGGTAGATAGTCCGCACTTCCAATGAAAAGCAAAAAAAGACACCATGGCCAACACCTCCGCACAGTCAAAAGCCCTCTTCGAAGTTATGATCATGTTTCAGGGTGCCGGGAAATATTATAAAAAGGGAAAAATTCCATGCACATAGTTAACGACAAATCCAATTCGTCCAATCAAACTCTTCCAGCTTTCACAAAGCAATTCTATGAATCCTCACCCTAGCACTATCATCTCCCTTTCGCTGAACGAGGGCATCAGGTCCTATCCTGCCAGGCCTCTTGTAAGACTATCATACAATGGAGCATCGTAGCCGAAGGTTAGGGTGAATTTTTCTTTCATATTATGGATGATTTATCATAGGAAAAAGGAGAGAGGGCTACGGCATGATTACCCCAACATTTACTGAGGTCTGGGTCATGAATCAGAGGAAATCCATTGGGAGGCTCAGTCATGTGCTTGAAACGTGAACTTTCATCAATCAGCTCCATAGGCTTCACGTTGGACAGTTCACCTCACGAAGGCAATTTAAGAAAGCACCTGCCCGGTATCCTGCGAACAAGAAAGCCAAGGCGAAGCATTTCAGCATCAAAAGGCTCACTCATTGCGCCGCTCCATTGGCTCCTTGCTCTCATTAACTGCCCTGCTCTCCATGACTATTCCTCCTTCTCTTTAGGCATTGGCAGTGTCCTTCTGCTACCATCCCCTTGTCACCGTGCCCTCGCTCATATTCACTGCTTCTAAGCTCCACCGAAAAAAAAAAAAAAACGGCTGCGGCGGGCAGGGCGGATTGTGTCGGAGCGATGAGCCGCTAGTTCAGGACTTCTCAAGAATGCTGCAAGTCCCACGCTCTACCAGTGCGCAAGCCGTCGTGAGTGGTCATGTAAGGTCCAAGAGAGGCTTGTCGCCTGCAGAGAGCATTCCGAAGGAACGAGACCAGGAGAAGGGTCGATACCGAGTCTTGTTGTGCTCACCATGTCATTCGCGTGGTCGGTGGCTGATTTGGAGGATAGGGAGAACAAGTGATGAGGATTCACTGATTACGGTCGACCTATCGCTTTTATTCATGTCAGTGGATGTCATGAGCTGGAACACGGCGAATGTTGTCTTAAGTAAAGCAGTTTCCGGCGCGCCGAGGAAAAAGAGCCTGTAGACCAGCTCATGGAGAGAAATTAAATGCATGAGGCAGTTCAGAGCCTTCGCGACCTTTGCTGTGTCTCACTTCTGTGTCATTGGCGCATCTCATCGGGGGGCTGTGTCAGACAAGTCTGCATAACTCTCTGTGCATTGCATAATTCTTCGTACTGCCAACCAGGCGGCAGCTACCGTATTTGGCGAATGATCCAGGCATACACACGACCCTCTGCGAGTGATCTGGCGCGATGAGTAGCTACCATGCAAACGGAAAGGGTTTAGCGTAGATGTTCGCTTCGGTGATCGAGCAGCTGGTAGTTGATCAGGACACCCTCCTCGCCCTATTTATTCCGCCCAGCTTTTGCCATTCTGACTTTTTCTTCATGCTTCCCCTCTCTTCAGAAGGTAAGTCCCCCTCCTCCTTATAGACACCAGCTACACTGATTGCTTTCGCAGCATCAGGACCTGCTCAATCACGATGTTGTCTTCCACATGTGGCTTCATCGCAGTGCAAGGTCCGAGAGCAAAGTGTGAGCTTTAAGACGACATCTGAACTTTCTATAGTCAGATGCTATCAGAAGCACACAGACATTCCTATTACTATTTTTCGTTGATCCTCTCATCAAGAATGGGAGCTCGAGGAAGAATCAGTCCAATCGTCGCAATCAAGCCGCTTCCACCTGGCAGTGCCAATGCCTTGCATCAGTGACGCTGTTTGTGAGCAAGAGGATCTACTCCTCGCTCTTCACGAGGTCCGTCTGAAGGCGCCTCACTTGACCTCTGGCATGAGGCTGCTTCCTTTTACGCCACGCCGCTTCGGCGTTGATGCGCGGCCCGGAATCGCGTCGGCTTTAGGCGCGGCAGCGGGCACATAGTACTTGGTGAAGGTGGAGAGGGCCACCTGGAGGTCAACGGCGACGACAGTTGACGCCGCTGGCCCTTGACATGATCAGCACGATCGGGAAGATGGATAGCGGCATGACGAGGACGCAGTGGGGCGTGTGTCTGCCGCCAAAGGTGCGCTCTTCCTTCACTTTCTGTTGCATTCTAAACTGACGTGCTCGTCTATTCCGCGAGCGCGTCGCGCGTTGAGCGGGCTCGCGCGTTGTTTTGGCATCCACTGCCCCGCTCCTCCCGTCCTCCTCCGTGATCACTTCGACGTCGCGACCGCGAAACCATGACCATGGCCTCTCAAGCCCGCAAATTCTCGTGCTTCACACTCGCAGAGTCTGCAACACTGACGCGACTCGCTGCAAGTGCCCGCCGCCCCTCGCAACTTCACTCGTCCGCCGCTAACTCCAGATTTTCTGCTTCGTCAGACAAGGAAGGCGATGGCTGCCGACGCGATCGCACTCTTCAGCATAGCCCGCAAGTCATCTTACTGCTCCATCGCACATCATCCAGGCCGCGCGACCTGTGTCAGATCTTCGGCGGCGTCACCAACATGCGCCATTTCGCGCCGTGCAGGTCAGTGTCGCTCCAAACAGGTCAAGCACAGATGACTTGCAACCTCACACAACACGTCGCTCACTCTCGTCGCTTAGATATTTCTTCTGAGAGTGACGCTGCAGCGCTGACTGCATCAGGTTGGTCCGCTAACAACATCTGCGCGAGCCGCCCGCCGCATCTTGCGACATTCCACTCGCGTCACCTTGCGCGACTACATCACCCCAAGTCTGCCTTGCATGCAGTGGCTTCAAGCACATTGCTTACGATCGAATACGAGCTGCGTAAGTTGCTTTCTTGGACGCCCGCTGCATAGCTACAAAATGCCTCAACACTTCGTTCGCAGGAAATTATCGCTGGACCGCAAGACGCGAAAAGGGTGAGACACAACCGCATCGCTTTCAGCTCCATCGTCTTCTATAAAACAAACAGGTGCCCCAACATCCTCACCAAAACCAAACCTGGCTCGCAAGAAACCATGATTGAAGGTAATGTTGATTCCTTTTGGTTCTTCATTCTATTCGACCCACTCACGGACATGCTCCTGTGCGCACGCCCTCATCCATGACGTGTTGCCTATCTGCAAAGTCCAAGAGCAATATGCGAGACAATTGCAGACTCGACCCCTGTCAGGCAGCAATGTCGGGGGATCCCCAGGAGTCTCTGCAAGGTTTCTACCCGGGGTCGTGATTCTGGGACTCCAGGGGCTTCAAAGCGCAGTGGTTACAGGTCCCGTCGAGAGACCCGGTCTCACACCCCACGTGGAGGAGCCGCCATTCTCGCAGACATTCCCATCACCCTTTTCCTTTTCTTTCATCTGGCATTCGGATTTCATGCTTTTAGCATAGCTAATGCGAATCCTTCAGGGCTACAACTTCCATACGATGCTCGCTTGTAGCAATCATGCGCCTCTCGCCTGGGCTCTTATGGACATCTCGTGTAAAGTCAGTCCTTGCCCTCCTCAGTATCAAACTTCCAACACGCTTATAAACATGCAGGGTATATACTTGTCCTTTGCAATTCGAAACCAGACAATACACATCAGCTTCCGTCCCATTCTTCCTCATCCAAACATTTTCATGGGCTCCAAATTCTCCCGCCACTTCATCAAACTCCATCCCACGAACCTTATGGACATTTCACTCGTCAGCCGCGTCTACCTTCTCCATACGCGAATTAATGATCATATGTCCAATATCAAACAAAATACGTGCTATAAGCCCACCAGTCAGTAGGCGGACAGGCCTTGGACAGAAATGTTAAGGATTACCCAGGGTCTACTGATGGTGGAAAAGAGGGTGGCTTCCTCGTCTTTGGAAGTCCTTCACAGCCTAGCCCAGGGGCGCTTTCACCGGCCTTAACCTGTTTGATCCAATGGCCAGAAGGATTTCCCTCCCTTAATGTAACGCGGACTCTAGAGCGACTACGTTGCACGTCTGAAAAGCGGGGAGTAGCACACAATTCTATAGAATTCTACATCTATGTTGTTGAATAGATTCCCATGTGTTCAATCGTTACTCTGCTCATCCTCTGGGTCCACATGGGAAAATTACCTTGCCAAGTATTTTTCAGAGCTGATATGGAGCTACCAACTTTCTTGTAGCTAGGTTCTCTTGAAATAACTGGCTACTTTTTGCGTTTATTTGCTAGCCAAGCGAAATGATTCAAGCTGGGAATCCGTTCGATACACATCAAACACATCCCTGGATTGTGCATCATCAAGTAACAAATTCATATCCATCATGTCTGAGAGAGAGGGCCAATCTGCAGCTACGTGCAACTTTGTTTGATAGAACGAACAGAAGACGAGCTGTGGTAGAAGAGGTACCGACCAGCGACGGCGGGTTGATTTCAACAAACAAGAAGACCTAGGTTCGCTCCACCTTTCAGCAGCCCTGGACATTGTGCTGTGATACCCGTATCTGACATTTTCTGAGTTCGCTCGCCTAGGTCAGTATTCAACCCCAAACCAGCCACTATCTCTGAGTTGCTCGCCCAAACGGACACCAGTTGCAGACCGGCGGCGAAGATCTCACAAGCCGTCTGGAAGCAGCATCACCCACTCAACAACGTAGGAGATGCTTTCGTTGAAGGTGTAGACTCCACCGGCGTGCAAGACTACGCAATGGAAACTCAGGTCGAGCGAGGAAGCATAAGGAGCAATGGTGCCAAGAGTAAGGAGTTTTTCGGCGGTGATGTTGGAGCTGTCATGGTGCGGAGGAGGAGCAGGACTGGGCGGCATGTTGTGAATCTACTGCTAAATATTGTCAGTCTTCTTGAAGATCTTGCGTGGAGGACGGTTAAGACTCAAGGGGCTTTCTGTTGCTGAACGCGGCTTTACTGGGAGGGCTTTGTGTACTGCGAGGATTCTTGGATGTTTGTCTGAGTGTAATCTGGAGTTGCGTGCCGCGGAATCAATTTACAGCTGCAACACCGGTTTCCAAGTATCTTGACGTTGATAGGTATCCGGTGACAGGCTGCTAGGCACCCGTAACATTCCAGCTTCTTTTTCCACGTGAATGTCTATTGTTTATGGTCCAAATCATTTTTCTCATTGTACATGAATCACAGCATTGAATGGATTGTTAGTCTCCCTCTGCATTACTGTATTGTCGTGCTTGAAAAATTAGCTCTTATCGTCTATAATAGCCTCTCTGAATAGGTGAACCAGGCCAACAGACATGCTCTGAGCATCTATTAGCTCAGTTTGGCCAGACCTTAAGCCTATCTTGCCATTCCTCAAAGTCCTGTGCATAGACCGTGTTGTCATATGCAAGGTTCTTCTCAACAATGTCACAAATGACATGATTGCCAGGCGCATCTGAGTTGATCATGGCCTCACGGGCCTCCTCCCGCCACTCCACGAGCTGCTCCGCCTGCTTCAACGTGACAAGGAGACTCTCCATGCCCTTTCCCTCGTCCAGAGTGTCGCCGCCGTGGCTCAGCAAGTCATGGTGGGCTTGCTTAGCAGCGAAGTAGGCACGCTTGGCAGACATGAGCCTGGCGCACGGCATGCAGAGGTGGGTAGGGGGACCATACTCCATGACCATGCCATCGAAGTCAGTACAGGGGATGCTGGGGTCGGGCGGTAGGTCATGGCGGCACCAGCAGATGCTCTCGTAGCCCGGAACTCTCTTAGGATACCTGTGCTCCGACGGTTCCGTAGCAGCAAACGTCAGGGCCGCAACCAAGAGAGCAGCAGCAATTGTAGCGGAGGATGGCGAGGGGTTGACAGGTAGAAGATGGAAGGATTCGCCCTTGCCAATGGGCTCATCCTCCTCATCCTCTTCGACCTCCGGCCAGCCGTCATACTCGCGCACGAACTTTTCCCATCTCACACTTTTCTTCTGGAGCTGGTCTTGTGTGCCAGTGTCCATGGATGGTCCTGTCGTCTGGAGGTCGGAATGCCTCAGAAAGTTTACCTGCCGCATCCTGACATCGACCTTAGCTTTCCTTACGGTCAATTTGGCGCCGCGGCGGGCCGCAAGCAATGCCTGAGAGAAGTTCTGTTCGCAACGAGTCCCCAAGATACGGTAATTTTGTTGGGCGTAATAGTGGACAACTTGAGAGGCGATGAACGGAGCGCAAACAGGACAAACGCAGTGGCGGATATTGGTCTCCGATGCAATCATGTATGCCTCAATGGGGTTGGATGGAATCTTGTGGCCTTCGGCGGTGCAGCATTGAAATCCTTTGTAGCTCAACAGGAAAGGCACGGTGCTGTTGAAATCGTCTTCGGGGTCATGGACATCGGTAGGATTGGCTTGGATAGCCGCCGGCACCGGGCAAGGTGGACCAAGGCTGAGCGGGTCGTCGTGGTGCGCGGTGGTCTTGAGCCTGGAAGGGCCTGGCTTTTTGTCTGGATCCCACGCCATTATGTCTGTTTTGTGCGATTTTCGGGGTGGATGCTTGGACTTGGCCGCGGAAGAGTTGGTCTGGGTTGGCGGCTGAGACACAAAAATGAGAAGGGATGGTGACCTATGAAAGTGCGGATGGTGTGCGGGACGCGACTCGGCGTCCGCTAGGTTCTTTGCTGTTCTTCCCACCTGTTCGAAGTGCTTCCACTCAAATCCTGACAGGTGATCGCTGAACAGGCCCGGGGCGCGTCGTTTAGTTATAGCATTGGAGATCTGGCCTTTCGTACCACAGCGAAAATAAAACGAAACAGTAGCGAGCGAGCGGCGGGCAGAGGCAGCGGGTCGGGTCGCAGAGACAGAACTGCGCGTCACTGAAGCGCTGCAAAATCATCCCGCACCATTGATTCCGCACTCCCTCGTCGCATCTAGCAGACGCTTACGCCGAAAGACATGGCACTGTTAATGACTTCACGCGCTTGTGTGGATAGCATTTTTGGGAGCATAATCGTCGAAATCCACGGGAGCGCCGAGCTCCAACACACCATCGCTGCTTGTTCGACACCGAAAAACACACCCGGCGCTGCTATTTCGAAGCTCTTCCTCGACGACCCGCACAGGGCGAGTTCAAGTCAACGAAAAGCGATTTAGCTGAGAGCCAGCGATTTCCAAAAATTCCCGGGCGCCGACGAGGGGCTCTCCCGAGTAGCCGTAGCATGAAGCTAGGCCTCTGCACTTGTTGCAGTAAGAGTGAGCCAAAGCTGAACGACAAAGATAACGTGTTGCTTGATCGATCAACGCCGCCCAACGCGTCCAGACGCGTTGCCAGATCACCCAGCGAGCTGCCATCCGAATGGGGCAAAGCGCAATGCAGCAGATAAACTAAGCGAGGGACTGATTCCACATACGGTAGATCAAGCTGTAGCAGATGACCTCCATGGCTGACTGCGATCGGACCGCGGGCCTCGCCTATATATAGCACCCTTACTTCCTTCGTTCCTTTCCCTCTTCTTCTTCAGCTCTCTTTGCCTTTTGGCTTAGACGATCAATGTGTAGTAACTGTTCTGGCAACGACCAGCCAACCCAGTGAATACCGAAAGGCGGCTCCGGACTTGTCCGGGAATTTTTGGAACCCCCCAGATCTACAAGATCTCATTCTTTTCATTGATGCATTCGCCTCTGCGCGGAACTTCGAAGAAGAGCTATATTTTCAGCAATTCCAGTCCTTGCAGACCTTGCTGTTGCCTTCGTAGAACCTTCTGGAGATTTTCCCGCCTGTGCGCGGCATGTGTTCGAGTGGAAAAGGCTGTGGGTTGCCCCTCGCGACGTCAGGGTCAAGCAAGCCGATCGGGCCCGTGCTTCCATCTGCCGAGCTTCGCCTATATAAGTCCACTTTCCTTCGATCCCTCCTCTCTTCAGCAGATTGTAGTATCTCGTCCTCTTGTCTTTCCTCAAGAGGTGGCAACGTCAGCCAAGAATTAGGGGGAAATGGCGGCTCCGGGGTTTTCTCCGGGAATTTTTGGAACCTGGATCCATGAGATCCTTTTTTTTTTACTCTGGGGTTTTTACCTCGAATTTTTGGAACCTTTGATCCACGTGATCCTTTCTTTTCGTTGATTGCTTCGCCTTGCGCGGGTCCTCAAGGAAGAGCCATGTAGCACTGAAACAAGCCGAAGTTCTCATTGAGCAAGACTACGCTATCCATTCTCTGGTCCGCGAGTGAGACGAAGTTGCCTTTGAATCGCCCGGCGCATATCCTCTGACTCTTCTGACATCTTCACACGCGCTCGGTAGGTCACGACGACGAACGGCGCCGTTTCACCACCAGATATTCTACGCGCAAGCGCTTCGTCTTGGACCGCCACGGCTGAGCAGCCTTGCCTCCCAGTCGCGCCAACGCGCCATCACCTTCTGACAACTGCGCTTATTGCCTGGAGTTCACACACGCGCGACAATTGGCAGCGATGCGCGCATAAAATCTGGCTGAGGATGGAGTAAACGACGCCTGCGCATCGCAACAGAGGACAGTCTCTGCGAATCGCTGCGCGCCAGCATCCTCCAGAGCATTCGCTCGCTCTATTGAAAAGCAAGGTAAAGCTCTTCATCACTCTCTCCCGTCAAGCGCCAGGCATGCTGCGTCGCTACAGGTCCAGACGCGCCCTCCCCCCCAGACTCCACCACGAACCCGCTCCGCCCGTGTCTTCAGCACCTCTTTCCGACAGCTTTGCAAGTATTCTGCTGATCTCGCGTCATTTCCGCGACTCTCTGCCTCAAGGTTTCCCGCGACAATCATAACTGTGCACGTACCAGCATCACCTCAGCCTCGGATCCGGAGGGAGAAGGAAATCGCAGATAATGAGAGGGAGCTTGTGAGGGGTTTTCGGAGTGGACAGTCATTCGTTTCTGGGACTAGACGGACTTTGGCACGCGAAGCTTCAAATAATGTCACAGATGTGTAGCTGAATGAATGGACATCACCCCGAGCGCACTTCAGAGAGAACGGCATTGTGCGCGCAAGACTCGTGCGGCAGACAGCTGCAGCGAGGACCAAGGCTGGTCGGAATAAGAGTAGACGGCGCGCCCTCTAGCGCAGCGCCGCGGGTTTGTTTAGCGCCGAGGCTCAGTCGCAATGCCTCCGCAGAGAAATTTCCAGCTTGACCGGGTGAAGTGAGCACTTGTGTCCATGTCCGCAGCACTCGCCTCGTATTGTCTAACCATGGACGCGTCTTTGACCTGGCGAGGAATGTGCGCATCAGCGACGACACAGGTCTCGACCTCTGTGCGTCGGCCATGACTTCCCAGGAGCACAAAGAACAGGAACACTACGGTCTGGAGGGGGGATTTTCGTGGAGAGGGCATCTGCTCATTCCCGGCATTGCAAGATTTGCTTGTTTGCTTGGGCATAACAATCGCCTGCTCGGGCGCGGCGTATACCTTTCACGCGCAATTTCTTTGCGTACACGAGTGTGCGTCTCGTTCCTTGTCCGCCAACGCCGGTGCGCATGGCTTTCACTGAGGTCTCTCAACGCGACGCACTCGCAACCCCAACCGAAAATGCCAGCAGGGACGCAAACGTAGCTAGGTCTGAGGAGAGGAAGAGTGCGAAGATTTTCTCTCCCGACGGCTCACTTTCGACGCAAAATCCGAGGCCAAGGAGACAGCGAGCACGACAGGCGGCGGGCGCATGAGGCGGCCTCTCGCCGTGGTTCTAGTGCAGCTCTGCCTGTGCTAGGCGGCGGAGGTCCCATGACGGCGGGAGCGAGGTGAGCGCGCTGCAACACCAGGCCAAGCATCGTGAGGCGTGTCGTTGAGGCAGAAATGTCCGCGCTACGAATCTAACCCGGCTGGAGTGTCTCGAATCGACAGGACATCGCGCTCACGGCATCGCACTAGAAATGCCCGCGTGTCCAGAATACGGGTCATGTTCAAGGCAGAGACCGCAAGTACGCCGCGTCACTCCCAGATGCAAGTCACTCTAAGTCGAGCGCAAATCTCGTGGTGTGCGCCCGCGCGCTTGTCACTCCTCGAGCACAGAGGCTCTGTCCTGCAGGCAACGCAGAGCGTCGGGCGTCATCACGATCGGACATGCACCAAGGCCCGCAGTGGCAGACAGCTTCATTCAGCAGCTCTCTACAAAATCTGCGACGCCCAAGGCTGGGCGGCTGCGCAGTTGCGGGCAGTGCACGGCGAACGGCGTCACTTTGCGACCAGACACTTCACAGCTACAAAGACAACGCGCAACTCATCGACAAAGTACATAGAAAAATAGACGTTTCGAGACAGTGAGGTCATTTACTGCTACTCTTGCTGTGATAGCCTGCGAGCGCCCATGTGTGCTCTTCAACACCAACTGGCGACGCGCAGCACGACGCACGGAAGACCCGACCAGCGCAGTGACGTGCCTCGAAGTGATGCCAGCGTGCCAAGTCAAGTCAGATCAGACCAGAAGATTCTTCTTCCTCAAGAGCCCGCTCAAGGCGAAGCTGCTTAACGAAAAAGATTGGTCGCGTCAGCCCGAAGTAGTGCAATACGAGCGACACTGTGCTCTCGAGTATGAGCGGTGCTCAGAGGCCCGAGAGCGGGTTCCAAAATTTGTTTTACTGGGTAACAAACCCCCGTAGGGGCGTTCCAGAGATTAACCTGGAAAGAACAGTTACTACACTTGATCTAAGCCAAAAGGCAGAGAGAGCTGAAGAAGAAAAGAGGAGCCTTGGTCGAGGAATCGCCGCGTATTTAAGCGTTGGCGGGCTTGGCGGGCTTGTATGGTCGGCTGCATCGATTGGCCTGGCGACGCGTCTGGCTAAGCCCGAACGGGCCGGTGGTGGCATTCGGGGCAACGACCACACGCTTGTGATCCAGGAAACGCGCCCCCGTGGAAGGTGGCCGAACCTCCTGATGATCAGCTGGACAGGTGGGCGCCGAGGCTCTCTTTCCTGCGAGTAGTTGGCATCTCGGGTGGCAGCAGAGTCTGGCGGCTCAGCAGGGCTGAGGTCCAGCAGGACATGGCGGCAGTTCAACGCAACGCTCGCGAGATTCCGCAGCGCGGAGTGAGCACGTCGACGGCTGTAGGTGGTCCAATAGCATCAGGAAGCGCAGCGATGACAGCGGAGTTGGTGACCAACAGCTTCAGCAAAGACCGGCCGAGGGCTGTCACTCCGTCGACGAACGCGGTGGAAGCTGGCTTCGCCACAGTCAAGAATGCGACACCTATGCAACACCAATGACAGTGATGGCCTACTAGGATGCCGGCGGTGCAGCGCCCAAGAGCTCGCGCAAAGTGAGTCGACTCGCCCACAGCCGTCATCCTAGAGAAGTCTCATGCGTCGCGCGACGACGCGCTCGAGATTGCGCGCACTATGCCTTGGACAAGCCTCTACTTTCGATGGACGCCCGCCCTCATCCCACACGCAACTCATGTCACAGTGCAATTTGCCGTTTTCGCGACACCACTCGATTTGCTGAAGCCCGCGAAACTCGCAGTGAGTGGTGGACACTTCGACGGCCCCGTCAGGACGCAAGTTTGAGCTGACTTTGCAACAAACATCGACAGCTCAACGCTCGAAGTCGCAGTCGGCAAGTCCACCGCAGCGAGCTTCCTTGTGCGAGCGATCGGAGCCTAACGACGGACACGACCGCAACAGCTCGAAAATTCAACGCATGCGGTCGCTCCACCCACCGCAGGCACAGCAAGCAGCGTCACTTCCGCTCCATACACCGACAATGCATCCAAGAAGGCCAACGCAAGAAAGTTTCGTAGGGAGACTCAGACGCCAAGTTGGCCTACACAATTGACCCAATAGTAACGGCCGCTTTCGCGGCTTTTCTGCGATGAGTGAGCTTCGATGTCGGAGCAGATTTGCTTTGAAGTGTCGCGCAACAAGCTGACTTTAGCTACCCCTTGGGGACCCAGAACCAGACGTGCTGAAAAACACTGCTCGCGATGCATAAACTACAAGTGCGCGCCACTGCCATGCAGGAAGAAAAGTATTCATCGTCGCTTTTGAGACACACGAAAGTCGATCCAGGAGCTCATTTGTACCAGATTTCAGACGCAAGGCGCTCTTGGGCTGACCACACCTGCACGCACATTTCTGGCCAGGGGCTGAGGGGAGTTCAAGACGAGAGCATCTTCAAGGCACACTGCATCCTGGGCGCCCACTGATGTTGTGCCAGTTGCAGGTTCTTTCTACCAAAGAACGCCTGCTCGCTTGCAAGAGGAACCTGAAATCCGCCCTTCGAAACGACGAACATATTTTCCCAATATCGAGCTACATTCGGACAGTATACTCGTGTCACGCAGTGCAGAAGGCGATGAGAGGGCTCAATGACCGGTTTGGGCAACGGCATTTCTCTGGGTGTCGTCATATTTCGTGAGTTTGGCGGAATTACATTGTGTCATGATAAAATCATAGGCGGCTAGTGAGAATGGGACATCTTTCGGGATTGCGTCCTCCATGAGCGAGACGGCTCCTTGCGGTCCTGGTGAGTGTCACTCATTGTTCAATGCTCGCTGATGCCGCCTCTAGAACGTGGCGAATCGCTAGCACTTAAACGAGTCCTAAAATTGCCGGACAGAGTGTCCAATTGTCGAAAAAGGTGTATTTGATTCGAGTCTGGCTGGAGCCTCCAGCACGCCCTCAGCAAGCAGCAATTGATTTCACTGGAAAGCTGAATCAAATTAGCACATTTCCGCAACAGCAAACCCTCATGAGTAGAGAAAAGCGCAACAAAGAGCGAATCAGACGGACAATAAAATTGGCTGACTACCTGGCAAACAGTGGTAAATCTTGAAGCGTCTCGGTGTTTGTTCCTCAAATTGCAACAATGAAGCGAGAGTGAACACATCATAAATCCATGTCGTTGATCTTCCGCACGCAACACCCTCATCGACGCTCGATTTCCCTCTGTCGTATTTTGATTCAGCCCATCATCCAGTCGGGGAATCGCACGAGAAGGGCTTAATGTTCGCGTCAGCATACTGCTGATGCATCGAATAGATGCTTGCGTAGATTCCCAGGATCGCCGTCGTCGCCGCGCCGAGGAAGTAAACGACATTGAACGAATTGACGAGAAACTGCTTCTTATACCCACGCATCCACCTCTTCAAACCCTCATCGTGGCGCACCACACGACCGGTAGTAGGATCAAAGCCTTCATCAGGGCCGATGGCGTCCTTCAGGCAATTGAAGCCGATGGCGAGAATGGGTGGGAAAGTGTATGAAAACTGCAGGATCATGGCTGCTCCGACAAAAGCAGAGAGATACGAAACCTGCGGCACGGCGGCAGCGATGATGAAGGCCAGACCCCAGTAGACGGGAACGAGGGCGACGAAGATCCACTTGCCGACGCGAGACTCAAGAGCCGGAAATTTGAAGACGCTGCGACCGACGTTAGCGTACAGGACTTTGATGCCGATGTTGCCGTAAAGGCATGCGGCAATGAGGCCGGTGATGATCGCGAAGACGTTGCCGACGGTCTGCCATGCGTATGGATTGATGCCCTGGTAGGCTGGGTTGTACGCGAACTGGCCTTGCTCGCTATATACCACCAAACCGAAGACGATATAGCAGACGAATATGAAGGTATCCGCTACGATCAGGCCTTTCCAAAAGTCCCACCTACGTCTCGTCAGATCTCATCGATGGCGATGCTGAATGGATGACTTACGGTCTACGCATCTCAGCCATGAGCTCGCAAAACATTGTCGCCCCTCCGTAAGAATAAACGGCTTGCATCAGGCCGTTGATGTTGTCGATAAAGGTCAGACCCGCCGGAGCACCTGCACTCGTTTTGATGGGGCCTTTTGGTATCTGGAAGCTTGCGTACACAGCTTCGTAGTTAGGAGAACTGTTGGCAACGATGCCCATGGTCATGAGGATGACGAAGACGTTCATCCATACGGAGAGGTTGGCAATGTACCCAAACTTCTGCATCGTCCGAATCTGACCGACAATGAAGCCTGCCACGGTGAAGATGATCAAGCATGCTGTGACTACACAGGAATAATCAGCATCATAATCTTGAGCGCTGTCGACAATGAGAGTCACTTACAGCAAAGTGCTTTCGATCCGTGTGGTCCTTGAGACAATTGAGACAAGCTCTGCCCGTTTGTGACGATTAGCAGTGTAACTCCAAGGAAAAATTGGCCGCTCTGCAAGATGTTGATGATATAGCGGAACCAGTTGCCGTAAATACGAAATCCAAGATCACCATAGTTTTTGACGGGGTATTTGTCTGAATCGAGGCCAAGAAATTGCCACCAGAGAAGAACACCAGAGCTTGGAACGTCAGCAAATGGAGTCTTGCACAGAATGAGGGTACTCACAATCCAGCCATGGCAGCAAAAACGAAATACAGCGAAATACCCGGGCCGTAACCGAGCTGAGTGAAAGCCCATGGGACAGAGAATGGACCCAGGATATCGGTGGTGATGAGATAGAATACGGCGCCTGAGTCAAGTCAGCCATTGTCCGACCTGCAATTATGATAGAGTAGTACCCCAAGTTGCTGTCCGAGCTGCGCGAGAGGCATGATGCCACTCGTAGTCAGAAATGATGCCGAACGTGTCTGGAGGGGCGGCTGCAGATTCCTTGCTGTCCTTCTCAGTCTGCGCCTGAACAGCGGGTGCAGTGACAGGCGCTTGAGCGTCCAAAGTGACGACTTCCTGCTTCTTCCCGCTGAGAACAGAAAGCAGCGAGCTCATGCCGCGTCCCTTGGTAGAAAGGGTCTTCTCATAGTCGCGGGTCCAGTTGGCGTAGTACAGGTACTCCTCGAATGAGACATTCGGATCGTGGCCGTAGTCGGCATGCAGGATCGACTGCTCGATCTGCACGTCTGTGGGCTGCTGCGTCGTCTCACGGGCCTCCTTGCTCAGACGTGGGTCCCGAGCATCCGCAACCGTTGCCAAGCTCGTCGCCATGGTGGAATGCGAGATCGCCAAGAAAGCTTGGCTACACAGGAGGGGTGACAGGCGAGCACGCGAGAAGATGGGGGAGGCGACATGGCCGCGCAGGGAACACGCGTCAAATATGAAGGGTAGCGGTCGGCGGGACCCTGCTGTGCTCGCACCTGCCGTGTCTGGCAATGTCTTATCGACTGGAGTAATGATTCTCGCGCAACTGTCTTTGACATTGGCTGATTCGTGACACGGAACCGCAGGCCTGGAACGGGCCAACCGGGTGCGGTGGAAGTGGTGCAAGATAAGTGCGAGGTTCTATTTATCTGCGAGCATAGATAGCAGGGAGTGGGGCAAGGATCGCCTGTGGATCAGGGACGTCATGATCGGGCACTGGACGCACCATCTTTGCCTTTCGCACACACGCAGCGCGGCATAAATACGAACAAGCAATAGCGAAAGGATTTCAGCTGCAGATGTGTATCGATGCATGGTGCTTAGCATACCTTTTCTTGGCCAGCTTCCCCATCCAGTTTGGCTGATGCTGTGCAACCCCTCAATCCCGCAGTACGACGGGCTCTCTTCGAGTCCTGTCCACCCTCAGGTCGAAAATATCAAGCCGCTGATACCCGCCCACCACATCGTGAAACTGCTTACCCTCGACGCACTTGCCGAGGTCCAGGTCGGCGTACAATATTCCTTCATCAGCCTGCAGATAATCCTTCTCTTCTTGCTCTCCATTCCGGATGGTGAAGCCGGTGATAAGAGCTCCTGTGGGGTCCAAGAACATGGACGCACCGCGAGGCGAGTGATCGATTATTTTGCGCACCAATTCCGGATCACTGCACGCCGATACGATGGCCTCGACCGCAGCGCCATCCAGATGACCGGCACACAGCACGCCAAAGCACTTCGCTTCGAAGCAGTGGGCCGCCGCACGAGTTCTGTTGGCTGCCACATTGTCATAATTGGCGCCCGTTTCCGCGGTTGTTGGATCCCTGGTGGGCCAAATGGGTGGCCAGGCTGAGACGTGCAGCTGCTCGCCCTGCGCCATGAGCGAGTACCGCGCCAGCGGGTTTGTGTTCTCGCCACAGATTAGAGCGCCCAGCTTGCAGCCGGAAGGAGCGACGTCAACAACACGCAGACCGTGGCCGTCGCCGGGGCTCCACGTGAGCTTCTCGAAAAAGGTGGGCACCATTTTGCGGTGATGCACGAGCAGCGTGCCGTCGTCGCTGATGATGAGATTCGTATTGAACAGTGTCGCGCTGCTGTACCGTACCTTTTCTGAGATGCCGACGCTGACGAAGATGCGCTTTTCCTTGGCGGCGTTGCGGATGGATTTCACTTCATCCCCGTCGACATAGACCGACTCCTGCGCCATGCGAGCAAAGAAATCGTGATTTTCTGTCGGCGGCAGCATCGAGCTCCAGACTGGAAAGGCGGGAATGTAGGTTTCTGGGAAGACGACGAGGTTGGCGCCGTTGCTGGCGGCTTCGTGGATGAGACGAATGCATTTCTTGGTCGTTTCCGCTGCCGACAAAACCACGGGCGATGCGTGACAAGCTGCAACTCTGATTGTCTGGCTCATTGTAACTTTCTTATGTGTTTGAGGTTGATGTAAGGTTGCCGTGGGAAATTTAGTGATCCAAGACTCATATCGATGCGGGGAAGCTTGGCAAGTCAGCAATGCTCACCAGCCGAGCTTTAAATTTCCTACGAGGAAAAAAGGAATGGAAATTGGCCATGTCCGCTGCTGGCGTTTTCAATTCAAGCGGATAATGCTCATACAAGACGGCGCATACAAACTTACCCTTCAATCTCTCAGCCACATTCTCGGCCCAAGAGACCAACCCACGGAGATAAAGATTCTCGCATTGCAATATCAGTCACTCCCCAATTCCGCTTTGCATCCGATTGGCTCAGGTGCAAGCGAAAATACAAAAAAGGTTAACCCCATCAAGTCAGCTTTAGCCCTTTCTACAACGGGTACACGACGGATGGTGTTTGTTGGACACTCCGTGAATCGGCTACCCTGCGATAAACGGCAAGACTCGTAACGGATGATGTCGCATTCAGACAGATGTTACGTCGGTTCATCCCTCTTGTAGTAGTCGACGCGCTTGGCAAGGCGCAGCTTGAGGCGATGCATGAGTACAAAACAGACCAATGCAGACAAGATTGACCAGAAACAAAGAGTCTCGACTCGGCCGATCGTATCGGAGAGAGCGCTAAGCGGGCCGACCTCGTAGGCCAGGCGCGCGGCTCTCGCTCGCGATCAAACCACCGCGTCGCGGCCCGAGCCACGGTGGCTGCCGCTTCCGATGGTCGGACGGTCGATTGGGGGTGCGTGCAAGTTTGCCTGAGGGAGCTGAAATGAAGTGGGCTGACCTCACGTTGAAGCAGGTGTTTCCGGGTGACACTCGGCAGCCCCACTCGGTGTGAGCTGGCTGAATCGTGCGGCCGCGCGCGTCATCGCATCTTGCATATTAAGCAATCCACATCTTCCTGATTCTCCCTTTTTCGATTCACCGCCAAGCCAGAGTGCTTGCTTCCTTCCCCGTTACCGGTCAGCGACCGAGAGAAGCCAAAAGAACAGCTCGAGGGTGCTTGTTCTACCGAGCCCCTGGCCATTGGATACGACCATATCGGAGAAACGGCATATCAGACCACCCCGAGAAAAAAGAAAAAAGTATCTGGAAATTCAATCAAGAGCTAGGGATCACCCAAAACAACTTCAAGATGTCAGTGGGATATGGATTCGAGAGACGGGCGCACGTCAACATGATGACCGATACCATCATCGCCAACCTGCCCGAGGCCGGCCTGCGTTCCGTCATGCGCGCATTGATGAGTTTCCACCCAGAGCTCACGTCGGGCCTGGAATTGGAGACGGAAAAGTACCTGCTGCGCACCAATGATGCCTTCGACGGGTCAATGTCTGAGCTTCAGAAGCGCGTGCGTTGCATGCTCGGATGCGGCTTGGCCTTCGAGAGCGTTTCCGCCTTGACCACCCTCGTGGACTACTTCAAGAAGCAGGTCGAGAGCGGACAAGAGGTGGATCTGGAAGGCGAAGCGAGTTCCGTGTCGGTGGAGGGTGACCTCATCCAGGCGACGACGGCCATGGAGAAGGAGCTCGTCACCGCCGAGGGTTCGCGCACCTTGTCTGAATACGAAAAACACTTCGTGCAGGGTCTGATCAGCAGTTTGCAGTCTTGCCGCATCGCGTTCGTGCACGCGGGCAAGGCCTTCCCGTTCGCGAGGGGACTGGCTGCTTTGAAGGCGCTGGATGCCGAGGACGAGGCACACCATGCAGAGGAATTGGGCAAGATCGTACTTACGCCATTCGCCTACGGTGACCCCAGCAAGCTCGAAACCTTCAAGATTGGTCAGCGCGTTGTGCCACGGCTTTTCGGTGGGCTCTGGCAACTTTCCAGTCCGGCATGGGGGACGGCGCCGCAGTCCAAGATCGTGGAACACTTCACAAATTACGTCAACTGGGGTTATACTGCCTACGACATGGCAGACCACTATGGAGATGCCGAGATTGTATTTGTACGCTTTGTTGACACGCGACTGACAGAGGAGCACTAACAACCCCATCAGGGAAAATTCCGTTCAGCTTGCTCGCATCCCGAAATCCTCTTCGCTGCGACAAAATACTGCGTTTTCAATCCCGTGGTGATAACGCCAGCAGTCATACATGCGAATGTTTCCGAGAGATGCCGCAGGTTGGAGAGTGACAAGTTGGATCTGCTCCAATTCCACTGGCAAAACGTAAGTTGAGCGGGAATGCATGGATTCGCGGACAGACCTTTGACTATATATCAGTACCTCGATCCTCAATACGTTGAAGCCCTGAAGCTTCTCCAGATTGATGATCGCATCTCGAACCTTGGTCTCTGTAACTTCGATACCGAGCATATGGAAATCGTCCTCCGCGAAGGAATCAAGATACAGACAAACCAAGTTCAGGTATTCTTCTTCTCTTCTTTGGGGTTGAAACATTCACTAATCAGGACCACAGTTCTCCCTTATTGACTCCCGGCCTACTGTCAAAATGGCCGCAGTCTGTGAGAGATACGGAGTTAAACTCCTGACTTACGGCACTCTGGTATGCCACCCTGATTCGAATTCTTCCCGGCTGATCTGACATAAGAAAACAGTGTGGCGGTTTCCTTGCCGATCAGTGGCTGGATCAGCCGGAACCTGAGCCGTTTTCATGTGACATAACGCCAAGCCAGCGGAAATATTTCGAGGCTATCCTCACGTGGGGCGGCTGGTCACTCTTCCAGACGTTACTGCAAACGCTCTCGGCCATCGGTGCCAAGCATGGCGTTAGTATTTCCAACGTCGCTACGCGTTGGGTGCTGGATTTCCCGTATGTTGGTGCTGTGGTTGTTGGGTCGAGAATGGGGATCAGCGAAAGGGCGGACGACAATTTTGCCGCCTACGGTTGGAGACTGGATGAAGAGGACAGGAATGCCATCGAGCAAGTACTGGCACAAAGCCATCGGGATAAAATGTTTGAGGCCATGGGCGATTGCGGAACAGAATACCGGGGATGGAGCAAGGCATAGAGCTTGGATGCGGTATAGACACGGAAAGAAAGGATACTGGGATAGAAATAGAGGTAGATACTTGCGTAATTTCATTCAGAATCCCTGCCTAAATCTAATGGCAGCTCTCCAAACCCTTCTCTTAGCGCCATCTAAATCCACTTACAACTTGTGCTTCTTCTCTCCACTCGCCAGCTTCCGGAACTCCTCTTGCGGAATCCCTGCCGCAAATCTCTCCAGTCCACCAAACACCTCCTCCACGTTCTGCTTATCAAAAGCGTCCCTCTCCGGCTTCCGGATCAGGGCCTTGATCCCCAGCAGACTGTCTTGGTTCAAGTGACTGCCCAGCCGGTCATCAATTTCCGCCAGCACCGCATCCCTGAACTTGTCGCTGTCGCCCTTGGTATCGATGACCTTGTTCACAAAGCCTGTCCGTTCCAACTCTTCAGCTGTGATCTTCTTGCTCATAATGAGGGCCTCGTTGGCCTTGGAAATGCCGAGGCGCTGAACAAAAGCCCGGGAGGCGCCGCCCTCGGCAACAAGGCCGAGGGAGGAGAAAGGAGTAAGAATGTAGGCAGAGGGCGTGGCGTAAATAAAGTCGGAGAAGGCAATGAGGGCCGCGGAGAGGCCGACGGCAGGGCCGTTGAGGGCGGTGATCAGGATCTTGGGGTGGGTGTAGAAGGCGCGCGTCACGAAGAGGTTGTTGGCGACAAAGTTCTTCAGCCAGTGACGTCTGACTTCGGTTTCAGCGTCAGGGGTGGAACGCGAAATGGAAACATCGGCGCCACTAGAAGCAAGAAGGTTAGTGAGGGTTTACATGCAGAAGGGAGGTAGGAGAGATGTACGCAGAGAAGAAACGGCCCTTGGCGGCGAGGAGGGTGATGTAGATGTCGTCGCGCTGGGCGATGTCGTTGAGCAGCTGGGCGATGCGGTAGTATAGGTCCTGGGACAGGGCATTGAGTTTCTTCTCCTGGTTGAGAGTGATGATGGCGATCTTTCCGCGGATCTCAAGGGTCACGGCTTGAACGGGATCGACAGACATGGTGAAAGACGCGTGGAAACTCAGGGTGGTTCAGGGTGTGAGGCGGCAGGAGGCACAAAAGGAGCGAAATCTGGGGAAACCGGGGATTAAATGAGGACTTGTGGAGTTCCGGCTACATGTCTGGCGGAGGTGACGCGCCAGGGCAGCCGTCAACCGAGCGGGATTACTGAAGCGTGGAGAACCGAGGCAATCCGCAGAATAAGCTTATCGCCGCGCATCATTGTTTTCCCGAGGCTTATCGGCCCGCTGCCGACCGCTGCGGCATGTGCGGCGCTGATGCGCGCGAGATCATTCGAGGCCAGGCGCATCACCGACGCTGTCATTCGCCGCCGCTCGACAAGCCGAACATACCACCCACCACAATCGCCTCCAAGCCGCAACCATGGCCGGCCCCAATCTCGAGATTTTCAAGGCATGGCCGCCCTCAATCACATGCCAACCGCCATGCTCGGGCTAACGAGTAATTGCAGTTCGGCCTCTACATCCTTTTCCCCATCGGATACATGTACTACTTCGGCACCAACCTCGAGGAGCGCTTCACCGTCCCCGACTTCTGGCCCAAGGAGGGTCAGACCCACAAGATTCCCTACGAGAAGGACGAAATCCAGTCGGAGCTGGCGAGGTTGAAGGCGAGGCGTCTGGCTCTGCGCGACCAGAGGCTGGCAAACGAGGCACAGCACCAGGGCGAGAACGCGTCGCAGTAGTCGTGAGATACCCATTTGGATTCCGCCGAGCGTAGCCCGGGCCAATTGATCGTACATTGATATGCCGGGAAGAGGCGGAATGGCTGGAGAAAAATTGCATTCAAGGCGTTCATAGGAGAAATTTGGCCAGCAGCATGGAATGGGAGTCTTGCGGGGCGCCCGCGTGGTATTGTGGTACCTGGGATGTCTACAGTATTGTACAGTATTCTACACTCATCCGTCTATTCAAAGTCGTCGATCTTGTTGAGCAATTCCTCCCACGCGCTGTCTTCCACACTGCCCTGAGTCGCGTTCCAGTACACTGCTTGCACTCCCGACACTTCCTTCAGCTGGTCCAGAAATCTGGAGATCTTCTCGACGTTCTCGTTGCCCTCCAGCGGCACCTTTGTGTCGTCGTTGGGTACCCACACAATGTCCATTGAGGCAATGTCCAATCCGGTTGCAGATGCTATGCTCTCGGCAGCCTTCTTGGTATCAGCCGGGTCAGTGTAGACAATGATTGCGCCCTCTTCGGCATCCTCGACGTCCAGCGCGCCAGCTTCCAATGCCGGTTCGAGCACCTCGTCGGGACCCCAGCCTTCCTTGCCCTCGAACACGACCATGCCCTTCCTCTCGAACATGTATGCTACAGGTGTGGCGTTGCCGCCATTTTTCTTGATCCACATGCGCGTGTCTGCAAGAGAGCGGAGCTTGCTTTCGGTTTCAATCTCGATGACCATGGCAACAGACGGCGGAAAGATGGCTTCAACAGTAACAACCTCGAGAGCAGCGCCGGTCGAGGAGATACCCTGGCCGCGCTTGATTGCGCTCTCAATGCCTTGCTTGGGGAATGATGCTTTTTTCGCTCGTTCGATTGCGAGGGCGAGCCGGGGGTTCAAGCTTGGTTCAGGACCGCCCACTGCAAGACGGTTAGTCAATTGAGGGCATAAAGAGGACCAGGAACTCACGCTTTGTCGCCAAGATGATTTCGTGGGAGAAGACCGAGCGCTGTCTGTTCTTAGCGGCATCATTCTTGGCCTTGTCGTGCTTGATCGTCGCCCATTTGCTGTGACCCGACTGAAGACGCGTCGAGGTGGTCAACCCGCGCCGACACGCGCCGCAGACATAGTTCGGAGAGCGCAGAGCGCGGGAAACGGCGCGGGGAGCAAAGAGCAGCGACATTTTGGGCGTGGATGTGCTGCGGCGCGAAGCGGTCAAGGTTTTGACTGGGGTGAGGCGCATCGTCCGCCGTACCGCAAGTGCGGCAAGCAGCTCGGAGGTGTGCCTGCATCCGCCCGCACTTCAACACCATCCAAGTGTCCCCTCCATCCCTGCATCCCACCTCCGAACCCCTGCGCGAGACATGGTTACGACGTCCGAATGAGCGACCGCCCTTGAGATACCCCTCCCGCAGCTCTCTCGTCCCCCAAGCCCGCAATGGCTTCCACCGACGCGCCTCCCCCTCCCTCGAGCGACAACGGCAGCATCGCCCCCCCTCCGTCGCTCCCAAACTCCGGCCACGAGACCAACCCCGACCTCGATGTTACGAAGCTACATGCGCTTCCGTCGGAGCAGCAGGAGCTCTACCTGCTCACCTTCACCGCCGATCTCGCCCGTCATTCCGCCAGCCTCGACGCTGACGGCGCCTCCGCACACCAGATCTACATCAAAAAGGAGGCTTTCAAGGTCATAAACCTTTCGTCGCCTGCACCCACCCGCGTCATCCGCAGCAATGTTGGCCGCGCCCTTGCCGACGTCTTCGCCAAGGGCGACCGCAAGTTGCTGTTCGAGAGCATCAATGAGTTGGTCGCCATCATGAGCAGTTCGAGCAAGGGCGACAAGGAGCTCAAGGCTAAGCATGCCGCCGTGCACTGCCTGGGCGCCATAATGGAGTCCGCTGGTGACAGCGCCATTGGCCCCTCGGGCCTCGCGACCTTGACGCTGCTCCGACAGCTCAAGGCCAATGCCCAGAACCACACCGGTTTCCGCGCCGCCGTTTTTCGCGCGCTCGGTCGCATCGCGAAGGGTGTTTCGAGGCTGTTGGATGAGCAAGTTGCTCGTGATACCTGGAAACAGGCGCGAACTGCGGCCTCCGGTGACAAGAGTCATGCTGTGCAGAGCGCTGCTTGCTGGTGCCTTGAGCAATTGGTCCGCCATACCCCGTACTTTGACAACTCGAACGACTTCGACAAGCTGCAAACTGTCATCTGGAAGGCCGTCGACAATTCTTCCCCGACCGTGAGGCACGCTGCAGCCTCGGCCCTGGCGGCTTCGTTGGTCAAGAGCTACTCGGAATTCCCCGTGACGGACCCTGTGCCCCGGATCAAGAAGCCGAAGAAGTCCAAGAGGCAGTCGGTCGTGCAAGATGCCGACGAAGAAATGGCAGAGAGGCCCGGATCTCCCGCACCGACCAAGCCCATTACTCAGTTGGCTTTTGCGCTTCCCGAGTTGCTGAAGCAGCTGTCCACGCATTATACCAAAACTGCCACCAGCAATCGCGCTCGTACGGCTATTGCGGTCTGCTATATGAAGGTCATGAGAGGTCTTCCCAAGAGTGTCATTGAGAACAAGTACGGTGATGTTGCAAAGAGCCTCTTCATTGATGTACTGAGTGCTCCACCCATTGTCAACAACCGATACCGTCAACTCATCACCCGCCGTTTTGTGCGCCTCATTCTTGAGGATGTGGTCGGACGCCAGATTTTGGGTGAAACCGCCCAGCTCAATGCCGCTCGATACCTGCTCAATGAAATACTGAAGGACTATCCTCCGGCCCTGAAGGAGCGTCCCGAGCCGAGCAAGCAGACCCTGACGGGCGCATTGACGGCCTTGACGTCTCTGATCCGGAATCTCGGCTCCGCTACAAACTCCATCGCCGAACTCTGCAGAGAGGCGTTGATTGGTGTTTTGCAACACCCCAGCTACACCGTGCAGGTGCACGCCTCTTCGTGCCTCCGCGCATTCGTCCTTGCATGCCCTCAGCAACTCATCCCAGCTGTCACAATCTGCATGAACAGCGTCAATCGCGAGTTGGGGCAACTCACTGGTCCCCGCCCATCACCGAGGAAGTGCGTTGGCTTTGCAAATGGTCTTTCCGCTGTGCTCAGTACCAGCTCCGCTCAGCCTTTGTACGGTTCTGTGGACGTCAATTCGAGAGTTCTTCAGCAGGCCACAACCCTGCTTAAGAGCAGCAGCAGCTCCGATATCAGGATCTCCAGCACTCAGATTCAAGTCGCGTGGATCCTCATCGGAGGTCTGATGACTCTTGGACCAAACTTTGTCAAGATTCATCTCTCGCAGCTGCTTCTGTTGTGGAAGAACGCCTTGCCCAAGCCGTTGAACAAGGATAGCATGACATCCAGGAACCTTCTCGACCTCAGCTTTCTCGCCCACGTCCGCGAGTGTGCTCTTGGCTCCGTCCTGACTTTCCTTGAATTCAACAACCGCCTCCTCACGACCGATGTTACGAAGCGTCTGGCCGCCATGCTGCAAAACACAACCATGTTCCTAAACAGCCTTCCTGCCAAGAAGACTACGGATGATATATCCCAGCGCTTGTCTTCGGCCCTCCAGCTGCATGACTTTGATCTCATGGTGCGTCGCCGGGTGCTGCAGTGCTACACGAAGCTCGTCAACCTCAGCCCAGCGGGAAACAATGAAATGCTGTTGCAGACCAACCTGCTCCCTTTTGCTGTCTCTTCTTTTGCCGACCCCGACAACTACGCACCGAGTTCGTTGAGCGTGTCAATTGCCAGCTCAGCGAGCACTTTCGAGAGCATTTGGGATGTTGGTGACAACTACGGCTTTGGAGTCACTGGTCTGGTACAGGGCTTTGATCTCAAGCCGCTAGCGGGAGAGCTTGGAGAATCAGGCAGGAAACACTGGACCTCGAAGCCGGGCCCGGAGTACGCGGCTGATGCTGCTGTAAGTACAGGATCCCCATCCATACAAGAATTTTGCTAAATCTGTCAGCTTCTGTCTCCTATCTGCAATGCCAGAGAGCACGACTCTATATCGCTCTACATTGGCAAGGATACCGATAATGATGAGCTTCCCGACCCGCCTGCCACTGAAGTTGTCAATGCCGCCCTCAACCTGTTTGCCATCTTGCTTCCTCTGCAGACACCCAAGGTTCAAGAGAGTATATTAGAGCAGATGACATCTTTCATGTCCGCAAACAGCTTGATCAGGGATCCTGCTAGAAAGGCTGCCATAACCGTCAACGTTGCTACAGCCCTTCTCGGCGCTCTCAAGGTTGCAAACAAGGAAACGCTTTCTGCCCCTGGCGATCTCAAGGGACAGGCGGTGGAGAAGGTCATGCAGGAGATGCTACATGTGAGTGCCTCAAAGCTTGTGGCAAATGCATATCAACTGACCAAATACAGACCCTCATTATCGACACGGATCAATACGTGCGTCACGTAGCCTGTGAAGCTCTGGGTCGCCTCTGCGCCAGCTCTGGAAACACTTTCACCGGCGCAGAAGTCAACTTCCTTGTGGAACAGATTGTCGCCAACCGTGAGCCCAATGTACGCGCTGGATGTGCTGTAGCACTCGGCTCTATCCATTCTCAGCTCGGTGGCATGGCAGCTGGCCTTCATCTCAAGAATATCCTCAGCATCCTCATGTCTCTGGCCAGCGATCCCCATCCTTCTGTTCACTTCTGGGCCCTGGACAGCCTTTCGCGCGTCGCCGACTCGGCTGGTCTGAGTTTCTCCGGATTTGTTACCAGCTCTCTCGGCATGCTGGCCCAGTTGTACATGGCAGAAACCCACAGTGAGGAAATTGCGTCTCTTGCGTCATCCAATATGGAAGTTGATCTTCCAACGCCTGCCGTCATCACTCGCTGCGTCGATAGCATCATCAACGTGCTCGGCCCGGATCTTCAAGACATGTCCAAGGCTCGCGATCTCATCATGACGCTCATCTCTCAGTTCCTTCACGAGTCGGAGCTTTTGGTTCTCGTTGAGAGCCTGCGGTGCCAGGAGCATCTCTCCCTCTACGCACCTGGCCATATGGAATTTGCGGCTTATGTCAAGGGACTGCAGAAGGACCTGGACTCTCCGTCATCACGGATCCGAGACATGGCCATTGACGGTCTCCACAACCTCATGCGGCGCAACGCCGAGGAAATTATCCGCACTGCGGATCCAGGTCTGGAAGACCAGCTCTGGCTCATTCTCAACCAGAACCCTCATCACGAGGTTATTCGCAGCATCCTGCGTAACTGGTTGCACCAGACTGCACTCTCCAATACTCTCGAATGGGTCCAGCGTTGCAACACTGCCCTCACCAAGATCATGAAGCAGCCCGAAAACAAGGAGAATGCACCCCCTTCGAAGCCAAAGACTGCGCACACAGGCGGTGTGCCGGAGTTGCAGGATGAGGAGGTGGCTGGATTTGCCGCCTCTGCGGGGGCACAGGCCGACGACGGCGGTGCCACCTCTCAGACACAGGAACTCCTGAACTGGCAGGTTCGCACATTCGCAATGGACCTCTTGTCAGAGCTTCTCACCATTGTTGGCCGCGACTATGCGCTCAAAGGCGAAGACTGCAAGTCCCAGGAAGCTCTGCAGGCTCACATTGCAGATGTTGTCCGGATTTCCTTCTCAGCGTCGACCGCTGGTGTTGTAGGTTTGCGCCTCCGAGGCCTGCGGATCGTCGACCAAGTCCTCAAGACTTTCGGCAAGACGCCCGATCCCGACTTCCCGGAAGCGACGCTTCTGGAGCAGTACCAAGCGCAGATTGGCTCAGCGCTGACGCCAGCATTTGCGGCCGACTCTAGCCCTGAGCTTGCAGCTGAAGCTGTCAACGTTTGTGCAACTTTCATCGCGACTGGAATCGTGACCGACGTTGACCGCATGGGCCGTATCCTCAAGCTCCTCGTTCAAGCACTCGAAAACTTCTCGGCTGATTCGGAAACGGCAAGTATCGGCGATCTCAAGGGACTCAGCTCGAACGCACAGGTCATGGTCAAGATGGCTGTATTCAGCGCATGGGCCGAGCTGCAAATTGCAAGCAAGGAACAGAAATACCTTGTTGATGTCCTGCGCCCGTACATCGCGAAGCTGACGCCGCTCTGGTTGAGCTCGCTACGAGAGTTCGCGCGGTTGAGATTTGAGCCTGACATTTCAACAACCGCTGCCGCTGGCAGCCTGAGTGGCAGCTTGGATACCATCTACGCCGCGCTGAACCGGGAGACGCTGCTGAAGGTAAGTTTATCGAGGAAGAAAATATACGCTATGACTAACATTGTCGTAGTTCTACCAGGACTCCTGGCTCAATCTCGTCGATGCCATCGCCTCCCTCATCGATGAAGATGCCGAATTTGTGTTCGACGCACTGGATGGCAAGGAATTTGATGAAGAAGAGTCCGGTGATGGGTCGAAGGAGAAGAAGCCCGCTGCAGACATCAACTACCGCGACGAGCCGGTCGCCTTCTTTTTCGTGCTGTTTGGCCTTGCTTTCGAGGCTCTCGTCACCACTGGCAGGCCGGCATCGGGTGACTCACAGTCAAACAAGGAGCATACGCTGGAGATTTTGAGGGCACTCAAGAACATCCTCAAGCCCAGCGTCAGCGGCCATGCCATCTACCAGGAAGTTGTTTTCTCGGAGACGATGGATATGCTGGACAGACTGGTGTTGACGGAAGGCTTGGACGTGCAGGAGGTGATTGTGAAAATCGCAAGGAACTTGTGTCTCGCACACCCAAGTGCCCTGCGTACTCAGAGGTCAGTACTGGACAACACAGCTTCCTGACTATTATTGCTAACAGGGCTTTGTAGTGCGCCAAACGGCGAAGAGACACTGTCGGACGATATCGAACAGCTCTTCGAACTTACGCGTATCATGGTTCTGGTTCTGGCCGGCCTGGTGCCGGGCTTAGGCGACAACAACACACAAGGTCCGTTCCATCTCCTTTCCGCATTGGCTCGATACTGACGCTTTGTAGCACGCCACTCTTTAACGGACGAGTCGGTGCAGCTCATCACGCTCGCCCTGTCGGCACTTGTGGATGCTGCTGATGTCTTCCCGACCATCATCCGCACCGATCTTCACGCATGTCTGCTTCAGATCTTCATTCAGGTCCTCGGAACGCCATCTACCCAGACCCTGGTCGTCCCACAGGTCCTTCCGATCTTCCGCCGCTTCGTATCCAGCCTCGCCACCACGTCGTTGCCCGAGACGCAATCACAGCTCCGCAGCACGCTCGAGCGCTTCCTCATGATCATCACGCACGCCCAGAAGCGCGGATTCGACGCGGCGCCGCAATGCGAGAAGAACACGCTCCTGGCCACGACGATCCTGCTCACCAACGCCACGGGCATCTTCGACCCGTCGGACCCGCTCCTCAAGCGCTACACGGACCTGCTGGCCGACTGCCTGCAGAACCGCGTCACGAGCAAGGTCGCGTCCAACTGCTGCCGCTCGCTGCTCATCCTGCCCAAGCGCACCGATGACAGCGCGTCCGCAACGGCCGGCGCGCTCGCCAAGGCGCTGCTGCCGACCTGCGTCGGCTTCCTCGCGTCGCCGCCGCCAGACGACCTCGAGGGCCTTGAGGAGTCGCGCTCCGTCGTCTCGCTCGCCCTCGTCAACCTCGTCGGCACCCTTCAGCCCAACCAGGTCCCGGTCGCTATGGCGCTCGTCCTACCGACGCTGTTGGCGCGCGCGTCGAAGGAGGGTGAGGGCTGTTACAGGGAGACGGCGTTGCGGCTGATCGAGCTGGCTGGCGCCGGCCAGGATAGCTTCAGGGCTGTTGTGGGTGGTGGGTTGAGTCCGGAGCAGAGGGCTTTCATGGAGGGCGTGGTGAGGACTGGTGGGCAGCCGGCGCGGAAGGTGCCGGTTAGGCAGGATAGTCAGAGTGAGCCGACTATTGCGTTGAAGATGGATTTTGGGTCGTAAGTGAGGGGAGGGAGGGGAACGGTGAGGGTTGGTTTTGGGGAATGGTCTGGGAATAGGCGGGGTGATGACTTATGGAGTGAATACGATTAATGGTATATGGGTGAGTGGCTGTAATGATAGATGTAGCCGAGTAATTAACAAACGTTTTGCGATTTGAACGGGGTTTGGCTCCTTGAAAGCCTCTGTGAAAATAAAGGGGAGAGGCTCTGCATGAAGAGGGAGATGGAGATTGCCTTTCATCGCGATCAGTAGGGCATCGATTCGTTTTGGTTCAAGATATAAGTTTATGTCTCAACAGAAGAGACCCGGTTTTCAATCCGCCGTGAGAGCTTTTCCGAGCCGACGCCGGGCCAAGGTTTCCAAATAAAAAGTGCTCATTCCTCAATTTTGAGAATTAATACTCTTTCGTTACCCTTACAAATATTGCATTCGGGATTTTAAACTGGGGGTGGTCGATTATGTTGAAAATGCACGCAGCCGTGAAGGATTAGTAAACATGAGAACCACAGTGGGAAGAGAATGAGTAAGTGATCCATTGAGGACCAATGATATACCAGAGGGAATGGCAAGTACATGAACGAGACGGAGGTTATACTTTAAGCGAGATGGTTCCAGGTATAGAAGTCCGGAAGCGGAAGGAGTTTTCTACGGACAGAGTTACTCCGGGCATCCATACCGTGAGTCTGGGTCCTTAAGCGTACCTTGTTTGCCAACAGGGATTAGTATAGTCTGGAGGATTCTAGACCTGGATTGACTCCCTGCCCGGGCCGCGCTTTTCACGTGCTGACGTCGATCCCGAATCGAGTTAATGAATGGGGAATGGCAGCCCTAACGAACATCGAAATTTGTATCGACTAGGGCGAGATCCGAATTCGCGGAGGATGGTGTGAGAAGTTTCTCCTGGACAGGGAACAAATGGCGTTGATCGGAGGGGCGGTTCGGCCAAACTGGGAGAAATATCGCCCATTCTGTACGATCGAACCAAGATGCCGGTACAACAACAGAGTCTGTGCATCGCGGCGTTTCTTCTGCGCGTGATTCTCAGCTGTGCCACGCTCCACACTGTGGGGCGGCGACGATGCCGAGGGTGAGGCACAGCAGTGAAGAAAAACGACCCCGGTCCTCCATCCGCTGCCCCGCGATAGCAACTCCCATTCAACCCCCAAGGCGGCGCCCACTCTCTCACGACAGACACGACAACAATGTGCGGCAATGGACCAGAAGTCGAAGTCGACTCCTCGGTGGAGAGTGACTCTGCGTACAGTGGTGATATGTTAGTTTGCATTGATTACACGGATTGAGAGGCCATTCGCTCACTGCTGGCAGGTTGAGCTACGCCACTTCTATCAGCAGCAGCGTCAAGCACTACCGCAACGAATACGGCCGCCGCTTCCACGCATATAAAGATGGTTGTAAGTGCTCGGCCGCGGCCGTCACAGGAAACGGTGGAAGCTCACTCGGATAGCCTACAATTTCCCAAACGATGAAAAAGAGCAGGACCGATTGGACATGGTGCATCATTTGAACACGCTTGCACTGGGAGGAAAGCTCCATCTATGCCCGCTTCCCCGGCCTCCCCAGCGTGTACTCGACATTGGAACAGGTAAGGCGCGGTTCTCCGTTTTGGTGCGGCAATCGGATGGCTGAGCATGGTACAGGCACAGGAATCTGGGCAATTGAAGCAGGCGACACTTGGCCGTCAGCCACAATCATCGGCAACGACCTCTCTCCTATCCAACCGGAATGGCTCCCTCCAAATGTGACTTTTGAGGTAGATGACGTAGAAGCGGAATGGCCGGACCGTCCCAAGTTCGATTTCATCCACTCGCGGTATATGGCGGGCTCGCTCGGCGACTGGCCGCAATTGATGTCGCGCTGTTTCGAGAACTTGGAGCCGGGCGGATGGGTCGAATTCCAGGACTACGAATACCGCTACTATTCAGATGACGGTAGTCTCCCCGAAGACAGCCAGCTGATCAAGATGAGCGAGCTCATGATAGAAGGCTGCTCGAAGATTGGCCGCAATGTTTCACCGGGACCGTCGCTGTTACAGTGGGTCAAGGATGCAGGCTTCGTAAACGTTGACCACCGGGTGGTAAAACTGCCGATGGGAGCTTGGCCGAAAGATCCCGTGTTGAAGCAGATGGGCTCGTTCAATATGGTGCAAACCGTCGAGGGCTTGGAAGCATACGATCTTGCCATATTCACTCGCATTCTCGGCTGGACCAAGGAGGAGGTGGATGTCTTCAATGCAAAGGTTCGCAAGGAGCTTGCGAAGAAGGGTGTCCACGCTTTGATCAATTTCTGGATTGTGTGGGGACAGAAGCCGGAAGTGTCGTGAGAGCTGTAAGTAGGTTCAACAGATAGCTAATGAAGAATACGCGCACGAACGAAGATCTCAGGGAACGCATGTGAGTGCGGATAGGGCAGCTGCTCCGAAAAACTGGCCAGAAGATCTGGAAGGGCAAAGTGATGCTCACCCGGCCGCTCAACACCAACCCTCCACCTTCAACACCAACGACTCCGCGTCAACATTGCCAACCACTCGACGCGTCTTCGCTCGCGCCATGTCCGCTCGCAGAGACGAGTCCACACGCGCACGCATAATCGACGCCGCGAACGTCCTGTTTGCCTCGGCCGTGCCGAACTTCGCCACGTCCACGAGCTACTTTGACATCGTCGCCACAACAGACCACCACGGCATCCGCGCGCGCCTGCTTCAATGGCACCGCGTGGGCGACACCAGCCTGCGCTGTCTCCTGGCTCTGGTAGGACCGGCGAAGCCGAGCTACCGCGAGGCGGTCGACGCTCTGGCCGAACAGCTGGAGCAGCAGGCCACGCAGACGGTCCAGCAGCAGCAGCCGACAGCACTGGCGCCGATTCCCGGTAAGGCCCACACCCATCACCCGATCCAGAAACGAATCAAGATAACCTTGACCCCAGAGTTCTAGTCTACATATCTGCTCGCACCCCGCGGCGCATGCTGGTCAACAACCCCAACGCGAACAACAGCAACAGCCCGCAGACGCCCTCCTCGCCGACTCCGCGCGCGAGCTCAGCCAAAATCACCGCCGCCCGCTCACAGAGCTCGCGCGCCACCTCCAACTCCAGCGCGAGCACCGCCAGACCCTCGACCGCGCCGCCAGGCCCAGGTCTCACTCAGGCTGAGCTCCTCAGCCCTCCTCCTCCGATGCCAGACATCCCAGCTCACCTCGACTCACCCACTCCAAAGCGCTCTCTCACAACCAGACTGACGCCTTTCCTCCGCCGCCAGCAGCGCGAGCCTGCTCAGCAAGAACAAGAACCCGAAGCCCCAAAGACTCAACAACAAGAGCAAACACAGGTGACAATGGACCGCACGCCGTCCGGGCAGCAGAACCAGCAAGAGCGCAAGCCCTCAGCATTGCACAAGCTGGGCAGCATGATGACACACCACAGGCACCACGCCAAGGAGCCCAAGACTCCCCCCGTCTACACGCTCGACCCCGACCAGGGCCCGTCGCCGTCGCCCTCGCCGTCGCCGCCCAAGGGCCGCACTACCGCCGAAGATGAAGCAAACGAAAACGAAAGTATGATCATGGGTAGCGTCGGCTTGAGGATGAATCCGCTCTCACCCACCCCGCCCTCGCTATCGACTATGATGGCCGCGACCTCGCTCGCCGACCGCCCGCGCGGCCCAAGGCAGCTGCCTCCTCACTTCGGCGAACGCATGACAAGCAACAGCAGTAACAACAGCCAGAACAACGAACGTCGCCGTCCGGATCTATTCTCGGAGAGGGACCCGCCGGTGCGGATCCGTGACCAGCAGCGACAGCAAGAGCAACAGCAGCAGCCGCCCGCCGGCGGCAGCCAGTGGCGCAGGGCGTTGCGTGATCTCGATCACCGCCAGGAGAATGAAGATCAGCTTCGGCGCGACAGGGCGATGTTGGCGGTGCCACCACGGAGAGGCGTGGCGCCCAGAGATGCTGCAGCTACAGCTGCAGGTGGAGGAACGCACCTCCGGGCCACGACGAACACAACGGCCACAAGGAATCCTGCACGCACGACCAACACCGCTCTCGCACCGGCAGCCTTGAGGGTCAGCGGCCTCAACATAAGCAAAGCCAACAGCAGCAATGCCAACAGCAGTAACTACGGTGTCACGGTGCCCCCCTCTGCCTCTGCCTCTGCCTCTGCCTCTGCCTCTGCCGCTTCTCCTCCTCCTGCGGTGCAGCGCCTGCAGCGCAAGCCCGTTGCTGCTCCTGCTGCTCTACAGCCAAGCCAATCATACAGCAATAACGTGACCGCTGGTTCTTCTTCAGCAGCAGCGGCGGCACCTTCAAGCAGCAACAGTGAGGCACAAGTGGAGAACCGCCCATCAGAGGCCACGGAGACCACTGACACCACCGAGACCACGAAGAAGCAGAAGAAGTCAAAGAAGCCGAAGAAGAGGACGGTCTGGGACGACGTCGACGACTTCCTCGAGGAGCTGATCGCGGCCCAAGAGGCGGATCGCATCCGCCTGCAGCGCCAGGAGCAGGAGCGCCAGCTGGAAGAACAGCAACGCCAGGCGCAGCTGCGCCAAGAGCTCGACCAGCAGCGCGTGACGTGGCAGCAGCAGAGCTCGTCGAGGATGCGTGACGGTGGTGAGAACAACGGTGACAACAACGGTGACGGGGCGACCTTGCAGCAGCACTCGCGCTCGGCGGCCAGGCGCCACCACCTATGGCCGAAGAGGAGCTTCGGATCGAGATCGGAGCAGCTGCGCTCGAATGCCGGCGGCGACGTCGATGACGACGACAAGCAGATCCGCTGATTGATTGATTGATTGATTGGAATGTGGCTTGGCTCACACAACCTCGAGGTAAAACTTGGAACACTGGAAGACACACTAACAGGAATTAAGGCGGTACACAAGGCGAACCCACACCGTGCTTAGTTGGTTCATTCGGATTGGATGGAGGTCCACTTTTTGCATGGCGTATGAAAGAAGCCGTGAAGTCAGCCTCGTCGGTAGTTAGTTGCCTGGCAAGGCTCAGCTAGGCGAACTACGAATATTGACGTTAGCGTAAGCGTCAAAACGGCCGGTAATTGGGCCACTTGGGGGTAGATTAAAGAGTATTTGGCTTTTTGGTGGGACAAGGCACAATCTGGTTTGTTTCAACACACTTGACGATCAAAGGGGGCACAAAAAAGGACAACAACAGACCACTCAGATATTAGTTTATGCAGAAATGAAGATGGTATCTCACGATAACGAACCAAAATGCATCTAAGAAAGCAGTGCAAACAAAAGATAGCTCTTCCGCCAATAATCGCCCGCGCTCTTCTTCAGACGCTCCAATGCTGCACCGTCAGCTCCAGACACCTCTTGTAGCTCCTTCTCCAGTGTCGTGAGAGAAGATCCTTCTGAGTTCTTCTGGGAGAATGCGCGCTGCAAGTAGCATACGTCGAATAGCAGGTGAGTGAGTTTGTCTTTTTGGACCTCGGGGTTGGAAGCGTTTGCTGTTTCCGCCGTCTTCTCGCCGTTCGTGGTATTTTCTTCCTTGACGGCCTCTTCTTCCTTCGATTCTCCCTCGTCCGCTGGTTCCTTTGCGGGCTTCTCGGTTTCTCCGTTTGTAGCACCGTCCACGTTCTTGATTGCTTCAATGCATCCGCGCAGAACGGCCACACTCTCATCAGACATCTCTTTCTTGAGGACATCCACAGCTCCTGGAGACCACAGATCCCCACCGCACACCATCATCTCCTGGTGAAGTGCACTGAGGAACTTGAAGACGCTTACGGACGGTTGCACCGGCAGCTGCGGATTCCCTTCCCACAACGCCCTTGCCCTTGCCCGGCGAGACCGTGCCACCTTTTTCGTTGCGCTGTCGTAGACCGAAAGGGGCGACTTTGAGACGTGCCTTGCGATAGCAAGGTGAAGAGGGTGTGTGACGGAAGGAGGGAAGACGGTGGATGAGGCGACGATGCGTCTGTTTGCCGTCGACAAAGCTCCAAGACGCTGGCTAACCTCCCGAAGAGCACGGATGATCAAGAAGGTTTTGGGTGCGGCCAGCTCCGAATCTTCCAAGGTCTTCGCAACGAGAGAATCTACGTCGTTTTGTAGCTCTGCAAAAGCGGTGGAGAGAGCCTCTTTCAACGAGTCCTCTAGTGAGCGGGGGTCGTCCTCGCTGAGTAAGGCTTGCTTGGATTCAAACTCGAAGTCATCAACGTCATCGTCGGCCTCAAGATCGTCATCCCATCTGGTGTCCTTCATCTCTTTGATCACGGCATAAGCACCTTCTATGGAACTAGCCCACAAGTCGTACGAGGCAATAAGTTGCAAAAGAGCATCATTGAGGCCATGGCTTCGCTCAATGATTGCTCGCTTGAAGGCAGGAGCTCCGTTAGAGGTATCAATCGAGGTTGTAGAAGGATCCCACAAGGACACTGCTTGGTTCTCACTTTCACCAGTGCAGGCGTCAAGTATGCGAGAGAGATCAGATGTAACCAGGCGAAGTCGCGACGCACGCAAGGTCAGCAGAGTGCGGAGGCGCTCGTTGAGAACATCTCTAAGATCATCCAATACGGAAGATGGGTCAACGCCGAGACCACGATTCGAAGACGAAAGCCAAGTCTCCAACATGTCTCTTCTCACATGGAGGACCGTTTTGGGGTCATCATGTTCGGCCAGGACGCCGCGGGTGCTGTCAAGGAAGGCTTTTACCGCCTGCCTTGCCCAAGCCTTCAAGATCTTCTCCGCATCTGGCTTGGAAAGCTCGTCATGCCTAGGCCATGGAGTAAAGTTCCTCACCTCATCGGCAATCCAACGCTCATGAACGTCAAGGTTGAGTTCAGCAATGGCCTGGATCTCCGGATCCTGAAGAAGTGGGCGGGCCTTCAGACGCACTAGAGCATCGGCGAGGCGCTTGGGGAAGATGGCCTGAGTGTCGGCCAAAGTTCGCACGTACAATTTCAGGGCGCGAGGAAGGTGTTCTTGAGAAGTTCGGCCTTCATCGACCAGCCTCGTCATTGATTCCAAACGGACGTGGTGGAAATGACGCAGTACATCGCTGGGGGTGGAGCTCGTTGCCAGCGAGAAAGCACACATGCTCTCCAGCACATCATTTGTCTCCGAATTGAAGCGCGAGAATTGCTTGTCAACAGTGTGTAGCAGCTTCCGACGCAACGAAGCGAGCTGGTTCTTGAGAGAGTCGACGAACGGAGGGACATCAGAAGCGTCGGAGAGATTCTTGTGCAAAAGGCGAGAGATGACGAGGATCTTGGCGGCGAGCAGGGTCGAGCCCTTCTTCAGCGTGCGGCGGATGACGGTGGGACAGGTCTGGAGAAGGGCGAGTTGGGCAGCGAACGAGAAGCGGTCGGCATCTATCAAATCAGCCAAGGCATACAGCAGACAATGCTGGAAAAGAGCTCACCGAGCTTGCGCGAGTAGGCAGCTAGACCCCGGTAATTCTTGCTTATGCTATCGAGCCTCCGCGAATTGCATCTTTGACCAATCACGCCCAGGGTGGATTCGACATGCTGCATTTGGCGGTCCATTTCGATGATGCGCTCGGCAGTGCCCAGCAGGTCGCGGTAGCTCGCGCTATAGTTGGCGAGGTTAGCAATGCTCCAGCATAAATCAGGGATGCACTCACCCGACCAACGACCGCAGCTTCTCGCGATTCTCGTCTGCATTGTGGCGGAGCTGCTGCTCGAGCTTGCGGACGACGGGAACCGGGTACTGGAAAGCATCGTCGGCGGAATTGAACGAGCGGGGGTCGGCGGCTTCAGCGGTCGCCATTTTGGCGGAGGGCGCTGGCGGGCGTGGAGATGGATGGCGTCAGACACGTTGCCCGACGCGCTTGCCCCCGGCGCGGATCGCCTGCCCGCTTGGCGACACCCAGTCACGTGTCAGGCTACTTATTTTAAGCTCCCGCCCTACCTGGTGAACCCCACTGCTCCGCCCGCAGACATCAGCCTTGCACTACTGTTTTCATCACACCCGCACCAGCCGCACTTGTGCGCACCAAGCATAATGCGTGATTGGCAGGCTGAACCGCTGCCTGCAGCTAACCTGCTTAGGTCAGGAAGTCGGCCTTGAGGGGAGCCCGCAGGATCGCGCAAGGGAGCAGCAAGGCTGATGGCTATTCATGGCCGTCCCTCTGCCCCGCGGCTGTGTTGGTTACCCCACGGCAGCTTCCGGCCCCGAATAGCTTTGTACTCCCTTTCCTCACCACTTGGGCTGCCTTGCTTTAGCACAATCTACCCCCAACTTCATGGCACTACAACAAGCACGCAGCCTTTTAACCTCAAGGGGCGCCGGCTATGATGTCGTTTCATGGGCCCACGAGACTCCCGATGACTTCACACCCTCATTCTCTGATCCCGGCTACCATGATGTTGAGCTGAAGCAGCTTCAACAACCCCGTTTCACACCTGCAGTCGATCTCAACGCCCATTTTCCGCTGCTTGATGACAACAAACGAAGCCTCTCAGCTTGGGCAAGAAAATTACTGCCTTTTGCAAAGAGAAAGCCAGAGCTCTATCGCCCTCAACACGTCTTCTCTCCGCCCACACAGGGCCAGAATGGTCTTTCGACCATGCCTTCCACTATGGTTCCCCGCAAACCCGTTCAAAGGTCGTACAGTTACACAAAAGGCGACGACAGAGCCATGACTTCCCGCGTCTTAAGAGGGCCGTCCCCGCCTCCGCAGTCCGCCTTGAAAGAGATGGAATTATTGGAAAGCAAACCTCGCATTGACTCAATGAGAATACCATTTACCACCGACAAATCATTCGAAATTTTCGGGTCACCTGTTCTGCCCTCAACACAAGATGCTGAGCCAAACTGGAAGGAGATCGAGCAGCCAGCTCGGCCAAACAACGAACCCCATCGCGCCATCTATTCCTATCAGATCAATGAACCTGGCCTCCTCAGCTTCGAGGAGAGTGAGGTGCTCCTCATCTCCAGAAAGGAAGATGATGGTGAGTTCAAAGTGCACTCGCTATTGTTGATCTAACTAATTTCAACCAGGATGGTGGTACGCTAAGAGGCAATCAACTAACGAGGCCGGTTGGGTGCCCTCCTCATTTCTTGACCTCCGGCCTATTCCTGAAATACTTTTCAAAAATGTACCGCGGCGAACACCAGCTATACGTCAGAAGAGGTCCGTGAAGCGACACGCTATTTACGGCATAGCGGAGCTCGAAACCGGCGAGGATATGCAGTTCTACCGTCACATCACTCATCAGCTCCTGTCTGTGCGCGAATGCGCCGTTTGCGGAGACATGAAATCGCTTACCGACTTTCCAGAGGAGTGGCGGCTACAGTGTAAGCACGTATGGAATACGTGCGGTGAATGCGTCCAAGCTTGGATTGCCGCCGAGCTCGAAAGCAAAGGGTGGGATCGTATAAGTTGCCCGGAGGAGGTCTGCAAGGCCTCCCTCTGTCATGCCGACATCTCACAACTCGCTGACAGTGCAACATTTCAAAGGTCAGCCCACCTTCAAACCACCACACAGCTGCCGTGTTCAGTGACACTAACAGGATCCAACAGATACGATACTCTTGCCACCCGTGCCCACCTTGGCAAGCTGCCCAATTTCCGCTGGTGTCTTTCTCCAACTTGTGAGAGCGGCCAGATCCACGAAGATTCATTCGGCCCCATCTTTAAGTGCATGGGCTGCGACATGCAATTCTGCACACAACATGAAATGCCATGGCACAATGGAGAGACATGCAACGAGTATGACCAACGAGTAAGCCGCGAGAAGCAGAATGAGGAGGAGCAGGCAACGCGAAAAATGCTAAAGAAGATGGCGAAGATGTGTCCGGGTAAGGGCTGTGGGTGGATGATTGAGAAGCGCAATGGTTGCGACCACATGACATGTCGGCAATGCAGACACGAGTTCTGCTGGGTGTGCCTGGCTCCATATGATCCGATCAGGAGGTATGGAAATGGCAAACATAGGAAATCCTGTAAGTACCACACCAACAATGTGGAGTAAGCGACGGCTGGATGTTTTGCAAAGGTATCCTAAAAATGCTGAGAAGCAAGGTAGGGATGCATCTATTGGACGACTTAACGAATCTTTATGTCATGTATAAAAGTAGCAGCATTTGGAACGAGTTAGATTTTTTTTATGGAAGCTTTCAAATCTTCAACTCAATTTTGATCCCCTTTAAGATTTCATAATGCATCCTCGATTCTGGTTCTCAATATTGATAGGCCATCATGCACGGGCGCACCATCCGGTATGTGCGGCCAAGGCCACGCTGCGGCAGCCAAGCAAAGGGACAGGGCCGCCAAGCAAGGTGGTGCCGTTGAGTCAGATCCACCTTCTGATAAGAGATAAATTAGTTCCCGGACCCCTTCTTTGAGATGCATACTAGTCTGGTGGAGAAGCCAGAAGCTAAGCGTCCAGGGGCGGAGCTTAGCCACTGCTTATCCCAAGGGAGGCTGTTCAAAGTGTCACAGCATAATAATACTGAGGTTAGTTCGCTTAAAAAAGCAACACCAATGCAAGAATTTCCCAACTCGGATTTCTTGCTAGTGATTCCTGTCCCACACTCCAGCTGTACTTTATCCTCACTGTTTTATGCGTCTCCTGTCTCCCTCCAACGCCTGCACGGGCGGTTCATCAGCCAGTTTGCAGCTGCTTCACCCATTGCACTACTAAGTTGTTTCTTTAATTAGCGTAGTATGACCGGCGGAGTTGATCAATGTCCTAAAGACCTCGCTCATGACTCCGATAGAGTCAAAATCTCGATAGAGAGCACTTCAGAAGACCAAGGCGTAGATGGACTAAGAGTCGACAAGTGATGACGTCATGTAGTTGAAAATTAGCTCCGGTTCTGCTGCTTGGCGCAGACAATGACTACCAACCATCTCACCATTGTTCGGACTTTCCACTGCAACACCCATGTTTTCCGCTGTTATAGCACGTGGACGCACGTCCGGCCCCACGTCTGTTTCCATAATCTTCCGCGCACGCGCATCTGCAGCTGCAGCGGCAAAGCGGCAAAAGTCTCCACCAACCACATCCACGACGGCCAGCAAGGTGTCTCAGATGAAGCGCTCCGCACCTGCAGCCGGCAGCAAGGCCGCACCCAGAACTAAGAAGGCTCGTGCCGAAATACCCGACTACCATCTCACTCCGTCACGGAAAGACGATGCCGGTGAGATTGTCTGGCCAGCTCCAAAAGATCAGATCGAACGGGCAAAGAGCTTCATATTGGAATGGTGAGTAATTCGAAGGGCTCAAATCAAGTTTCAGTCATCGGAAATATGCCTCACGGATACGTGGTAGGTATGCCATGCTGACGTGCAGTGTACCACAGCGCCGGTGCCGGCAGAAGCACTTTGATCGTCCCCGACAAAGACGCCGACGGCCTCTCATCCGGCGCCATTCTCCAGAGAACATTGGTCCTCCTCGGGCTCAAGCCTGAGCTGATTTCCGTTCACCTGTTGCAGAAAGGCAACAACGTTCACACTGAGAGCGAGCGCCAGGCCATGGCGGCTCTCGATCCCGAGTATATCTTCATCTTGGACCAGGGATCACGCAAAGCTCCTCCAGTCATCGACAAGCCGCACAAGTCTTTGGTTATTGACCACCATTTTGCCGAAGAGGATGACTTCCCAGAGGGATCAGAACATGTCACAGCGTGCAATTCGCCTCCAGTAGCAACGAGCTCACTGCTTACCTACCACCTGTGTAGCGCATTGCACGACGACGTACAGGAGACCTGTGCCTGGCTGTGCGTCCTAGGCACACACGGCGATCTGGGTACAACATTGAAATGGGAACCGCCTTTCCCTGATATGCGTGGCGTTTTCAAGCGGTACACTAAGAAAGCATTAAATGAAGCCGTGACCATGATCAATGCGCCACGTAGGACAGCCTCTTTCAATGTACCGACGGCATGGGCAGCACTGACTGCAGCCGAGACGCCGGCTGATGTAGCCAACAATCCCGACCTCTTCGCTGCACGCAAAGAAGTCAACGCTGAAGTTGCGCGATGCACCCACACGGCACCAAAATTCAGCGCAGATGGCAAGATTGCGGTGTTCCGCATCAAATCAGAGGCCCAGGTTCACCCGCTCATTGCCACGCGGTGGGCTGGCCATCTATCATCCTCCAAGCTTGAGGTTGTGCTTGTCGCGAATGAAGGATACCTACCAGGGCTCGTGAACTTCTCCTGTCGTGTCCCACGAAGTGCGCGTGCACGCGATCCACCAGTCAACATCATTGAGGTTCTGAAGGGAGTGGCAGACAGAGCAGCCGACCCTACCTTGCGTGCAAGGCTGGGGGAATCATTTGCACGCGGACACAAGGAGGCAAGCGGAGGCATCGTAGGAGTCCAAGAGTTCGAGGAGCTGATGGCGTGCTTGGAGGTGGGCAAGAAGCCTGAGGAAGATTCTCCGAAGAAAAAGAAGAAAGAAGAGAAGCCGGCCCAGTCGAACACGCTGATGAATTACTTTGGGAAGAAAAATGGCTCAAATCCGGAAGCAGAGAGGTGAAGCACAGGTATAGCTCCTGGTCGGTGGGGTCCTTGGTTCAGGAGTAGCATGGAAATCTCCACCGTACTCTGGCCTCAGGAAGCGCCGTGTGCTTGAACCCATCCGGTGAAGCCGGATGGCAAGGACCGCCTGGCAGAAAGAGACCGTTCAACGGACTTGGATAATCGATGCAATGCTCGTTTTGGACGATGGAACAGCTTGAAGAACGAGTGGAAGCAGGATGCGCTGTAGATGTCGGAAGTGGTACCGTCCATGGCGTGCTGATGTGGTTGTGGATGTAATGCACAGCCGAAAGTCTGCAGGGCCCCGAGATGGAAGAAGGACGACCAGCATATGGATCGAAATCTTGCATGCAGGGCATATCGTCATGATCTCGATGCTCCTCAAGATCCTGGTATAGTCTCAGCTTCCCGAGCATTAGCCTTATCCAGTGCTGCAATTATTATGCAATGCTTATCGCAAACGGACAGGGCAGTGCGTCATCGGATTTAACGGAGATATATTTGCGGTGTTTTCCATGGCCTAGAGCGCGACAAGGAGTCTATCCAAAGGTCCTGGCCGGGCGCCATATGGTCTCCGTAGGAGCTCAAATGGCATTCTAGAATTCCGGAATTTGATAGCTGTATCATGGAATGAAATCCTGGTCGCAATATCAAATGGAGAGCTTCGTCCGGAGGGGACGAGGCCGCTCGTTTCGAGGCACCGGGACGATGCGGTGTTTATCAGAGCCGCCAGCGTCGCACGGCGAGTATGAGCGGGGCTGCGTGCAGAGACACGGGAGCGTTGCGGCGCGTGGTGGGGCCGTTAGGGAGTGATGTGGGTATGGAAGCGTTAAAGTATCTCAGCCAGTAACAAAAAGGCAATATCGATATTATGACTTGTTGACGAGCATCGTGGCCCCTGGAGAGAAGGTTTGGGTCGCGAGTGGACCGCAGGGTTGCAGATCGAACAGGTCAGATCTCCGGCAGATGCGGTTGGATCTGTTGCCGGGGGCTGAAAGCTCAGGCAAGCCTCAGGCGGAAACTGGCGACCGATTTACGGCGGGCTTCGGCTGGCCGTACCGGAAGAACCAGGGAGCTTCTTTCCATCCTCGGCTGGGCAGGACGCAAAGGAGCATATTCTCCGCGGGGGCGTTTGTGATGAGGAGCGGCGATGTCGGGTGGTTTGGCTGTGGACCCCGCCTCGCCGCCGGCCAGAGCGGCAGTAGCCTAACGCCGTCCCCAAATTTCACGCAGGGTTTCGATCGAGCATTCGGAGACGGTTCGGATTCGGGCGAGGCTAGCGTACGCGGCAGTTTTGGTCGGCGGGTTCTTTTGCCCAGAATGAGGGAGGGCTTGCGGTGTTCCAAGGCAATTCCCTCCGCGTCTGGGGTAAAGAAGCGCGCGCGACTCAGCTTTGCGGGTTGCCAAGCGCGGCGCAAAAGCTTAGCTGCCGCACCGTCGAGCGCGCGGGCTTTGGGCGCGTCGAATGTAGGCAAGAAATTCCACGACTGCCATTTTCAAGTTCTCCCATTCTGGACGGGCGCGGGCGATGCTGCCCCTCACGCGACAGCCACAGACATGCTTCAGGCCCGCTGCAAGACGGTGCCGCTAGCAGCCGCGCAGGCCCTGCTTCGGCGGCGTCGAGGCTCGAGGGGCAGCACCATGGACAGCACACCCGCGCGCGCCCGGCCAACCGTGAAACAAGGCGGCCCCTGCACTGGTGCAGCACGCGGTGGCAGCTGGTTCCCCGCCTTTTCCTCCAGTCTCGGCGCTACCTGATGCCTAAGCTCCTAGCTCGAGAAGGAGCTATGACCCTGTAGCGTGCGCCCAGCGCACCGCAGCCAAGCGCTTGCTTGCGGGGGAGAGCAGAACGCCGTCCGGCCGTGGACGACAATTGCCTCTTGTGTTGGCCTGGCGTGTGCCGCCATTCGCCAATGCACGATGGACCCCGCATCCAACGCCGCCCGCGTAGCGTGCGAGTCGTCCTGGCCCATGCCTGGCTGCCCCTCAGAACCGCCAACGTCAGAAGCTTGAGCGCGCTCCGACGGGTGGGGTCACTGCTGGAAATGGCACGCTGCGCCCGCTCGCCTTCCAGCCAGGCGCGCCTGGAGGGAGATGACCAACTTTGTGCCCAAGCCCTGTGGGCCTGCGAAACCATATATATAATGGGGCCTGCATCGGACTACTTTTCCATCCATCATTCCACCTCTTGCCCTCCTCATCCGCCGCATCCCCACCCCGCTCGTACCTGGGCAAGCATCTGCGACGTCATTGCCGCTTTTCCGACGAACTAGGTAAGCAAACCCATGCGAAACCACTCTCCCGGGGATTGGAGGCTCGTCGGAGCATGACCAAGACGGCTGACCTGGAACGATCCGCTGCAGTCCGGAAGCCCATATAATCTGTGTGCCTCGCGCCGAAGAGACTCTTGTTCCACACCTCATTCTCTTCATCAATTGTCACCATGGTATTTATCCGCTCCGCTGCCCGCCTCGCGCGCCCCGCTTCCTCCGTCCTGTCGGCTGGCAGGAGCTCGCTGCTGCGCCCGCATGCACCTCTCGGCGTCAGAACGCTAACAGCAACCTCGCGGCAACAGGGCAAGGTTCTTCTGTGCCTCTACGACGTAAGTCCCTCCCAATGCCTCAATGGCGTGTTGTTGTTGTTTACCGTGATGTGCTGCTGACGTCAATTGCTTCAGGGCGGCGTCCACGCCGAGCAACAGCCCGAGCTCCTCGGAACCACTGAGAACGAGCTGGGTATCCGCAAGTGGATCGAGGAGCAGGGCCACACTCTGGTCACCACCTCTGACAAGGAGGGCGAGGACTCTGTCTTCGAGAAGGAGCTCGTTGACGCTGAGGTCATCATCACCACTCCGTATGCCACCTCTCCAATTGCTCGTGTTAGCACATCCACTAACACCCCCTAGCTTCCACCCTGGCTACCTGACCAAGGAGCGTCTGGCCAAGGCCAAGAACCTCAAGCTCTGCGTGACTGCCGGTATCGGTTCCGACCACGTCGACCTCGATGCCGCCAACAAGACCAACGGCGGTCTGACCGTCGCTGAGGTCACGGGCTCCAACGTCGTCTCGGTCGCTGAGCACGTCGTCATGACCATCCTGGCCCTCGTCCGCAACTTCGTCCCTGCCCACGAGCAGATCGAGTCTGGTGACTGGAACGTCGCCGCCGTTGCCAAGAACGAGTACGACCTCGAGAACAAGGTTGTTGGTACCGTCGCTGTTGGCCGCATTGGCGAGCGTGTTCTGCGCCGTCTCAAGCCCTTTGACTGCAAGGAGCTGCTCTACTTCGACTACCAGCCCCTCTCTCCCGAGAAGGAGAAGGAGATTGGCTGCCGTCGCGTTGAGAACCTCGAGGAGATGCTTGCGCAGTGCGACGTTGTCACCATCAACTGCCCGCTGCACGAGAAGACCCGCGGTCTCTTCAACAAGGACCTGATCTCCAAGATGAAGAAGGGTGAGTGGAGGAAAATCAATCCCGGCAACCGGCAACCCCGCACTGCATTCACCCCACTTCCCCTCCCACCTCATCCCATGCTCATGACACGCCCGCTAACACCCGACTCCCCACAGGCTCGTGGCTGATCAACACCGCTCGTGGCGCCATCGTCGTCAAGGAGGACGTCGCCGACGCGCTCAAGTCCGGCCACCTCCGCGGCTACGGTGGTGACGTCTGGTTCCCCCAGCCTGCCCCCAAGGACCACCCTCTGCGCTACGCCAAGAACCCGTGGGGCGGCGGCAACGCCATGGTTCCCCACATGTCGGGTACCTCGATCGACGCTCAGAAGCGCTACGCCGCTGGCACTAAGGCCATCCTGGACAGCTACTTCTCCAAGCGCTTCGACTACAGGCCTGAGGACCTGATCGTCCACGGCGGTGACTACGCCACCAGGGCTTACGGCCAGCGCGAGAAGAAATAAATAATGGTTGCTTGCATGGACGGAAACGGTGTTGAATCCGCTCGCCGGAGTTAGGCGGCGGAAGGAATTCTTGTTGCCGGCTCGGATATCATTTTAGCGAGGATGGGCGGCCTTACGCGGGTCTTTTGTATGTGACTTCTGATGAATGAGAACCCAAAACGACTTTTTCCTTCAACAATTTTCTCAATTTCCATCCTCCTTGATTGTGTGCCTCACCGGTGGTGCTTGCGCAACCACATGCGCTCCTTGGTGCTTCAGTGGGTTGCAGATCTCAGCCGTCACACAGATCGTGTACCTTGCTTCCGTCGGGACGTTTTTGTGTAATCTTTAGGGCTACATCAACTTCCAGACATTTGCTACAACTGCCCATGGGTAGTTGAAGCTATCGTCCGGACGTGTATGTAGAATTTTTAATTCAACACTCTCGTCCGGACGATAGCTTCAGCTACCCCAATTGTGTGGAGATTTCAGGTGGGGCAAAGGTAAAGGTGTTGAATTAGGTGTCTTTACACACCGATAAACTCATGCAAGAGAAACTCCTGTACTGTAGACGCGATGGAAAAAGCCGACATGAAGCCTTGCTCTCTATGCCAAAAAGGTAAAGTAAAAAGAACAATCGGAGAATTATGCGAATGAAGCATGTTGTACATGATCACCGGTGTATCATAGCTCCCAAGCGGCGCCCAGCAGCAACACCGTCGTCTTCGCTGTCGCTGCTGCTATCCCTAAAGCCTTCCTCCAGCTCTCGACTCAACCTGCGCTCGCTTGCACCGTCGGCGCCTCTCTGCCTCTCCAGCGCCTCACGCCGCCTCTCGCGATCCATCGGCTCGAACCCAACCATGCCCTCGCCCTCACCATCTTCGATGTCAAAGTCATCGTCGTCATCGTCGTCATACGCCCCCATCCCGGTGGCGGAGGCGGTGCGCGGGGTGGCCGCGAAGGGCAGAGCGAAGGGCAGGCGGGCAGAAAGCGACGACCAGAGGCCGGAAAAGCGAGCGCGGATCCAGCTCGGCGACGTGTGGGTGGAGAGGCTGTGGAGAGCGGCGTCGGTGGCGGCGCCGTGCAACGGGAGGTAGTGCTGGTATTTGCGGACGTAGCGGCGATGCAGGGGGAGTAGCACGAAGGAGACGAAGAGGTACAGGAGGACGGCGACGAGGAGGGGGATGAGGAAGGTCTAGGGAATGCGCGCACGTTAGCGGAGGCGGGGCTGTTTGTTGAGTGTACAGAAGACGCATTGGCTGGTTGAGGAATCCGTGGTGCTCTGGGTTCCGTGGGTCGCAATGCGATGACATGATGGCAGTCGGCGGCGCGACGGAGGGAATGAGGCAGATTCCCACGGCGAGATCTAGGCGGCATACCTTCACAAAGGAGGAGAGGCCGGACATGGCGGCTGCGACTCGGAGGCGGGAGGACGCGAGAGTCCGGGGAAACGAGCGATTTGGGCTCAGGGCGACCAGCAGTAAGGAGGACGTTCAGTACTATGTATAGCTGGGAGGCCCCGGCGGTCGAGCAGCCCGTGTCCGTGTCGACTGGAGCTGACGCGCAATCATCGGCGCACTGGGAAGAGAGCTCAGCGCATCGGCGTCGCTGCGGGAGGCTGAGGTCGGGCTGGGCGGCCGAGAAGCGTCAGACAGGGCGCGGCTCTCTGTATGGCTGGGCGCGGCGTGCAGGGTTTCCCTTCCCGTGCTGCTGCCCCTTTGACTTTGAAACAAGCAGCAACCACTCCTGCACTGACCCTCCCTCTTCCTCGCGCATCCCTATACGAAAAGGCGAACGGCCTGGCCATGCGAGTGTGCGCCCATGCGCCGTGATTCTCCTCCACCGACACATCCCAGAACCTGCTGACCGCGCGCGCACATCCGCCCAACCTCACTCGAAAGAAAGCGCCCTTTTCGAGTACGCCGCCCTCGACGCCCGCACCGCAGCGCTGAGCACCGCGCTCGAGCCCTGCAGACAGCCTAACGGTCTTGCCGATTGGCGAGCGCCGCGGACTCCAGGCACAACATACTCCGGAACGAGGGTCTGACGCGCTGTTCTTTGCCGCCAAAGACCGTCGCAGCACCTGCTGCTGAACCCCCCTGGGGTCGCTGGATTCTCGCGCCAAGCAAAGACGCTGCTGCCCGCCATGTCCGACCACAAGTCGCGTCAGTCGTCCGGCGGCAAGTCGTTCTTTTCGAGGCGCAAGAACAAGGACGACGTGCCCGAGACGCCCGGCCTGCCATCAAACCTCAGCGCAGGCTCCTCGCGCCATCAGTCCCGCTCTTCCGTGAACTCGCTGAACGGCTCGCCGAACAACCGGCCCATCTCCTACTTGCCTGAGCACCTGCAGACTGCCGGCGTGTTGACCAGCATACCATACGACAGCGTCCCTCCCGATGGCCGTTCTCCTATCTCTGTCGATTTCCTGCCCAACAGCCAAGCTGCTGCCCAAGCCGCCGCCCGCCGCGAGCCGCTACCACATCATCTTAACAAGGGCGGCGCCGATTTCCACCAGTACCCCATCTTTAATCCCTCAGCACCGCCGCCGCCTGGGGTGGCGGTCCCGCCGCGACCTCCTCCACACTCTACAGGCACCGCCATGGCTTCCAGCCAGCCTGGCGACAGAGGCGTGTCCATTCAACAATGGGGCTCAGGTCGCCCGAGCACAAGCTCCGGACGACCTTATTCTCCGAACGCTCACGGATCATCCTACGCCGCCACCGAGGCCTCCTACAACACTCGCGCCTCCTCCGACCAAGCCAGCGTATACTCGAACCACTCCGGCCACCGTGACACAAAGATGAGCTTCGCCACCCTGGGCGTGGACCAACACACGCTACTACCTACCATTGGTGTCAATGGAAGACCGATAGCACCAGCACCAGCCCCCGGCAACGCTGCCTCCTTTGACCCCGCTGGATTCCATTTGCAAAGACCCAACGATGACCGGGAAATCGAGTTCGAATTCATGGCCCTCATGCAAAAGCGTGGTTGGAACAGTTTGCCCGAGCAGGCAAGGCGGCAGATGGAGGCGTATCCGATTTCAAAGAAGTGGACACTGGTGCATCAAGATCGGCTAGCAGAATGGCAGGGTGAACAAAGAAGGCGACAAAATGCCAGGCAATCACAATACAGCGTGGATGGGACGGGAATCCTCGGCCGCTCCGATGAGGAGGGCAGCCCGGAATGGTATGTGCGGAAAGTGCTGGACAACTCGATTACAGCCAAGCAGCTGCAATCCCTGAGTGTCAGCTTGAGGACACAGCCGATTGGATGGGTCAAGGCATTCGTCGAGGCGCAGGGCTCAATTGCGCTCACGAATGTTCTGAACAAGATCAACCGGAGACAGGGAGGGGGCCCAGCACCACCGCCAGGATCGCAAAACACCCAGGAAAAGGACCTCGACCGCGAGTACGACATTGTCAAATGTTTGAAGGCTTTGATGAACAACAAATACGGCGCCGATAATGCCTTGGCCTACCCTCAAATCGTCACTTCTCTCGCCAGCTCTCTCGTTTCTCCCCGCCTGAACACCCGGAAACTCGTCAGCGAAGTCCTCACATTCTTGTGCCACTGGGCGAACGGCCAGGGTCATGAGAAGGTCTTGCAAGCATTGGATCAACTGAAACAGGCACAAGGGGAAAATGGACGGTTCGATGCTTGGATGCGTATTGTGGAAGTTACCGTTGACGGTCGCGGAAAGATGGGCAGTTTGGTCGGGGCCAGTGACGAAGCTCGGAGTGGAGGTATTGGCTTCGAGAACCTGCTCATGGAATACGCCGTCGCATCGCTGTTCCTCGTCAACATGATTGTGGATGCCCCGGAAAGAGACCTGCAGCTGCGTGTGCATCTGCGCGCACAGTTCACAGCATGTGGCATCAAGCGCATCTTGAATAAGATGGAAGGCTTCCAATACGATGTCATTGACAAGCAGATCGAGCGATACCGGACGAATGAGGCCATCGACTATGAGGATCTGTTGGAGAGGGAGAACAGTAGTATGGTGGACAGCATCGAAGGGGAGGTGAAGGATATGAATGACCCGAGCCAGATCGTGGACGCCATCCAAAACAAGATTGCGGGCACCAGAGCACAAGACTACTTCGTCTCTGCTATGCAGCATTTCTTGCTCATTCGGGACAATGAGGGAGAGGATAGACTTCGGTTGTTCCAGCTTGTCGACTCCATGCTTAGCTACGTTGCCATGGACCGCCGCTTGCCCGACATGGACCTCAAGCAAAGCCTGAACTTCACAGTGCAGAGTCTGCTGGACAAGCTTTACACGGACTCGGAAGCACGTCAGGCTCGCGACGAGGCAATCGAGGCTAGACAGATTGCAGATGCCGCAGTTGCTGAGCGTGATGAGATGCGAGCACAGCTCGAGCTGGGCGCAGATGGCCTGGTTGGCAAGCTCCAAAAGCAACTGGAGGAGCAGAATGCCCTGTTGGAGCTTCGTGGAAGACAGATCAAGCAGCTCAAGGCTGAGCTGTCAGATCTGCAGACCGTGCGTGCCAAGGAACTCCAGCGAAACGAGCTCGAGACGAGAGAGCTCTACCTCATGCTGCGCGATGCTCAGGATGTTGCGGCTTCTGCCGCCGCAAAGAAGGGCAAGGATGGCAAGCTTGGCCAGACTGATCCCGCTCTCATGCAAGGCATTCTCGATCGCGAGAAACTCCTTGACAAGCTTGAGATGCAGCTCGAGCGCTCCAAGACTCAAGCGAAGCTCGAGGGCAAGGTCTGGCAGGCGGTCGAGCCTGAAGACAAGCTGCGTGAACTTCGTGAGAGGATGGACGGCCTTGACGAGGAACGCAACAGGCAAGAATTCGCTCGCGCCGACTACACCAACAGTTTCCTCGGATCCGTCAACCGCAAGCCCGTCCCGAAGAGAGCTGGAGACGATGACACGGATGCCGATGATGAAGAGATGATTGTCGAGAAGCCGCGTCTCGTTGAGCTCAGGCGTCCCAAGATGTCGTCGACCCAACAGGGGGCTCTTCTTGGAGAGATCGCTTCGAAGGTCAAGAAACTGGATGAGAGCGACGATGAGGCCGAGGGCGAGAAGCCCGAGTCTGCCGAGAAGCCTGAAGACGGCGCTGAGAAGTTCAGCGGTCCCCCGCCGCCTCCTCCGCCTCCAATGCCCGGCATGGATGGCGCCCCGTCCATGCCAGGCTTCGAAAATGGTGCTCCTCCACCGCCGCCTCCACCGCCCATGCCTGGTATGAATGGCCCGCCTCCGCCACCTCCGCCGCCCATGCCTGGATTCGCAGGTGGCGCTCCTCCGCCGCCTCCGCCAATGCCTGGATTTGCAGGTGGAGCTCCTCCGCCACCACCGATGCCTGGATTTGCGGGTGGTGCACCTCCTCCGCCGCCAATGCCAGGAATGGGTGGACCGCCACCGCCTCCTCCGCCGCCAGGAGCACCGCCGATGCCTGGCGCCCGCCGTGGACCTGGATTCTTGCCCCAGCCTGGCTATGCCCCCACGCAGAAGATTGGTCTTGCCGTTGCAAGGCCGAAGAAGAAGCTCAAGGCGCTGCATTGGGAGAAGGTCGACACTCCTCAAGTTACCATGTGGGCGACGCATGCTCCCACCTACGAGGCCAAGGAAGAGAAGTACCGCGAATTGTCCAAGAAGGGTGTGCTTGACGAAGTTGAGAAGTTGTTCTTGGCCAAGGAGATCAAACAGATTGCGAAGAAGCAGTCCGCGAAGAACGACAAGAAGCAGCTGATTTCGAACGACCTTGTCAAGGGCTTCCACGTCGCATTTGCCAAGTTCAACCAGCATTCCGCCGATGATCTTGTCCGCATGATCATTCACTGTGACAAGCCAATCCTCGAGAGCGATGTGGTCATAGAGTTTCTGCAGAGGACTGAGCTCTGTGTCATTCCCGAGCAAGTCGCGAAGTCAATGGCGCCGTATGCCAAGGATTGGACTGGCCCAGATGCTGCCAATGCTACGCGCGAATCGAATCCGGATGAGCTCACCAGGGAAGATCAGATCTATCTGTACACTGCCTACGAGTTGCACCACTACTGGAAGGCGCGTATGCGGGCTCTCGACCTTACCAGGACGTACGAGAGCGAGTATGACGACATCTTCACCAAGCTTCAGGAAGTCGTCCGTGTCTCTGATTCCCTGCGCGATTCCGTCTCGTTGATGAACGTTCTCGGCCTGATTTTGGATATTGGTAACTACATGAACGACGCAAACAAGCAGGCCACTGGTTTCAAGCTGTCATCGCTCGCACGTCTTGGGATGGTCAAGGATGACAAGAACGAGTCTACGTTTGCCGATCTCGTGGAGCGTATCGTGCGCACCCAGTACTCTGAGTGGGAAAGCTTTGTGGAAGAAATCGCCGGCGTCATTCCTGCGCAGAAGATTAACGTGGAGCAGCTCAGCACTGACGCCAAGAAATACATCGACAACATCAAGAACGTGCAGGCCAGTTTGGATTCAGGTAACTTGAGTGATCCAAAGAAGTTCCATCCTGAGGATCGTGTTAGCATCGTCGTTCAGCGCAGCATGAAGGATGCCCGCCGTAAGGCTGAAGCGATGGAGGACTACCTCGAGGACATGAAGAAGACGTATAACGACATTCTGACGTTTTATGGTGAGGACCCGACGGACGAGAATGCACGGAGGGATTTCTTCGGGAAGCTGGCCGTCTTTGTTAATGAGTGGAAGGTAAGTTGCTGCGTGGATTCTATTTCGTTGACGAATCGACTGACGTCCGTGCGTAGAAATCGAGGGAGAAGAACATCAGATGGGAGGAGCAGCGTCGCCGGAACGAGGAAGCCATGCGCCGCAAGGCTGCGCAAGCTGCTCCGCGCTCGCCAACAGCAGACGGCCCGCTGCTCAGCCCTGCATCAACCGGTGCCATGGACACTCTGCTGGAGAAGCTGCGTGCTGCTGCACCACAGACCCGCGATCAGCGCGATCGTCGCCGCCGCGCCCGTCTCAAGGATCGTCACCAGGTTCGCGTGGCAAGTGGGCAGAAGATGCCCGAGCTCAAGGGAATCAGCGGCGACGAAGAAGGCAGCAGCGCGGCCAACGGCCTTCTCAGTCCCAACAGCATTGCGTCAGGCGAAGCCAGTGGCGATACCGGGGCCGAGGGCGAGGAGAAGGACAAGAAGGATGGCGGAACCAGCGAGGGCGAGGACATTGCCGACCGTGCGGCCGTCATGCTGCAAGGTATTCGGGGCGACGGAACGGAGGTTTCGGATTCACCCGGTAGGGAAGACAGCATTCGTGTCCGGAGAAGGAGAGAAAACGCCGGAACCGAGCGGGAAGCAAGGAGAAGAAGGCGCGCGCGCCAAGGCGGTAGCACGGCGGACGAGTCGATCAAGGAGGAACCTGGCGCAGGTGACGGTGATAACGGGACGGATTCGCGCCCAGGTACTGGTTACTCGAGGCCGGGAACTGCACACACGGAGGCGACGACGACTGATTCGGTGGCTGAATCGGAGCAAACGAAGACGGAGTCCGAGGCAGATGGCGAGAGGACTGCGCTACCGAGCCCGCCGCCAGAGAAAGACGAGGATGAGCCAATGCCGGATGCCGATGCAGACGATGACACTGATGGGCCGAGGGAAGACGCGGAGTCTGAAGCCAAGGAGGGCGATGCGGAGAAGGACAGTGACCGTCCCGAGTCGCCGCTCCCAACGCCAGTCACCATTGTCAGCCCACCTAGCCCAGGCAAGGAGGATAAGAGCGAAGCACCGGCGGTATCGAAGGACGACGAATAATTTTGGAGATGTTCGCGGCGCTGTAATTTCCACGATACCCTTTTCCTGTTCGTTCCGCGCATCTCCACGTTCTGGTTTTCTTCCGCCATTGAAATCTCAGATACCCAGACTTACCCTCCCCACCCGCACAAGCTTCCCAAATTTTCCCCTGCACAGAGAACATATTGGAGTGTACTCCATCCCCCTTGTTTATTTTCCCCCGGGTTTGTTCTTTGTCTTTGCATTGGGCTAATGTCTTTTCTTGTCTCTTTTCTCCTTGCCTTTGTGGTGCTTGAGCACCGTAGGCTAGATAGAGATAAACTTAGAATTGGCAGTTTGCTTAGCAAGGCTTTGACCAACATTTGCAGAGTCCGCACGTGTCTATACTCGCGCATGCTCACACGCCCTTTTACTTTATTTCTTTTTATTTCATTCTTCTTTTCCTCACCTATTTTCTCTTTTTACATCTTTCTGTTGCCCGTCTTATCACCTCACGGATATCACTTGGCATAGCGGATGCGCGTTAATTGTGCTTCAAGCTTTTGCCAACTTAACTGTAAACCCAACTACCATGTCATTTTCCTACCACAAACCCCATCACACTTATCCCGCACTGGTGCTTCTTTTCATTTAATTCAATAGCGTTTGACACTGCCATCTTTTCTCTTGGACCTGTTGGAGCGAATAGAACGGTGGCGAAGGGATGAACAGAAACGGACGATGCGACGTACGTTGCTGAGAAACGCTCGCCACGAAATCTTCACGACTACTTAATCTGGACCGACAAGATTTTCTCTCTTCCAATTTCACTTCTGGGTAGCGCTTTATAACGTTGTGGTGTTGACTAGGCTAATGATGTTGTGTTGGCATTATAATGTGCTCTTACAAAAGTGATGAACAAAAAAAAGTATGGGTGCAGGGTAGCAGGGCGCGTGGTAACAAATTGTCATTGAGGATGGATTGTCTTTGTACAAGGCGCTTGGGTAATTTGGGCTTCTGGCGAAAGTTTGCTGCTTGACGGTTTATTCCTCTGTTTGGCGGGCAGTCAGTTGTTGACTGGCCTTATAACGTTGAGACGCCAGTGAAATTGCAATGACTCGCTTTTCTCGCCGGTGCGATGCCGGACCTTTTCAGATTGATTTGGATTATTTGCGCTGCTACTTGAGAGCTGACGATTAAAATGTGTATATAGGTGGAGAATGCGGAGTCCCGGGCCTGGGCCTGGACCTGCTCGCACGGAGCGTCGTTTGACGTAGCTCAGGTTGGACTACTAAGGACAATATTCCAGGTCAGAGACGCGGCGTTTGGTGTTTGCTGGGGATCTCTGGAATCCCTGTGACCATAAGTTCTCTCAGATTTCGAACGGTCTAGAGAAATGCGGGATAATGTTCTCCGACTCTCTGCGCTTTCCCCTCTTCATCTTTGCGCCATTATCGGCCACTGGCGTAGAACATTCTACCTGAAGGCAAGCGAAGTCCGGGTACGACGCGACGTTGTATTTACATATGCTGCAAGGTGCGGTTCCCTTATGGCATCACCTTCTCCGCTTTGGGTTAGCGGTTGCCCTGCCAGCTACGGTCCATGCGAAGACATCTTCTGCGCTGCCGCGTCCACCACTTCTCTGCTTCTCCACGACACTCCACCCACACTTTCTTCTCCGCGCTGACACCAAACTTTCTTCACCTGACTCCAATCCTTCTCCGATCAAGTACAAACGACAACACCAAAACCCGCAACATGCTCAACGACAACATCGAGGTGTTCCTCCGGCGCGTAGGCCCGCGCCCAACGAGATATCTAGAATACGTTCGCCCCGGCCACGAGCAGAAGTTCCTGTCGCAGGACATGCAATGCTACGTCGCGGCTACGAGTGAGGAGCGCTTCCAGATTCACGTGCGCCTACACCACGGCTTCAGGTACTTCACGGCCACCTGCCTGGAGATCCGCCTCTGGCTCGACGCCCACGACGAGCCCGACGTCTACCTCCGCAGGAAGGTTCACGTTCCCGTCAACGGTCTCAAGTATGTCGACTTCGTCCTCAAAGACTTCGCCGTTCAGGTCGGAGATCACTGGGAGAACGGCGACCTCTGTTTCGGAGAGGTCCAAATTGGTCAGAGAGCCCCTCGTGCTGTCGGTTTGGTAGTATTGCCGGGCTAACACTTTTGACAAAACAGATGGCGACAAGGAAAAGCGTTACAGGAAGGCGGACCTCATGGACCGCTCCAGAAAGCTCGGTACCATCCGCGTCTCCGTTCAGCGCGGTCGCCAGGACGCCGATGGCGTTGGACAGGATGAACCGGAATCCCTTGCGCTGGATGGTAAAATCACGTCGACTGATCACCTCAATGGCATCAGCCATTACGTGAAGTGAGTCCAGAACTGTCCTCATCTGACAGGAAGCTATATATTTAACTTTGCCTCGCAGGACTGTCAACAACCGCGTCATCGACGCGCTTGACAGTGACAAGTCGACGCTCTTCAAGCGGGTAGCCGGACACCATGGAGATCGCTTCAACTTTGAATTCCGCTACCGTCACCGGAGTATGTTCTTGTATCCCAAAAGGACTTTAAAGAGATTAATGTGTGTACAGCCGAGCTTCAGCGTCTGGGAATGATAGACGAGAATGGCCGCCCTATCGTCACCATCTCCAACAACGAGGACGAAGACGAGCTCCCCATCGCGCCCAGCCGGAGAGTGTTCACACATACCAATCCTCGTAATCTGCCATCTCCCGCCCTGGCCTCCTCCCCTCCTCCCTTGTCGACAGCTCTCCGGCCATACCTTCCTTCCCAGCACACTTTCTCCTCCAGCCCGCTCTCCGGCCACAGCACGAAGAGGGTCAACATCCCGGCCGCTTCCCATCAACACAAGAAGCGCCGCCTTCTCCCCGCCGCGTCCAGTTCGCGCAATCAGAGCACATCCCCGCTCCCGGCATATCCTCCGGCCAAGAGCCGCAACGCCGAGTCGCCAATCGATCTCACGCGCAGCATCTCCCCCGCATCCTCGTCGCCAGCAAAGACGTCGCCGGCATCAGCGTTCTCCTCGCCTAGGCCCTCGCCGTCTTCTTCGTCGCTGTCGTCGTCTAAGCAGCTGCAGTCGACGCAGCACCGCCCACTGGCCCGGCAGCCGACGCGCTTCCCGACCGCGACGACACCCTCGACTAGGGTTCTCCCCACGACCGCCGGGGTTCCTGGCCCCACAAGCACTCTTCCCACGGCTCGTCTGCCCGCGTCCTCGCCGGCATCTGTGGTGACGCCCTCGGTTTCTCCTCCGAGAACCGACGAAGTGCCCTTCACAACGTTCATGGCGGGAGTACAGGCGGCGGGTAACAACAGCGCAGATACAAATAGTGGTGTTGGTGGTCGCAGCGATCCTCCTGCTGCGTCTCCCGGTGGCGATGGCGATGGCGATGGCGACGGCCACGACGACGGCATGAGCGAAGCGGAGCTGCAGCTGGAGCTGCGCCGCATGGAGATGCAGCAGCGCGCGTTCGAGCTCGAGAAGAAGCAGCTAGAGATGCAGCAGCGGCAGATGGAGTACGAGATACGGCTGGAGAGGATGAAGAGGGCGAGGCAGCAGGGACAGCATCAAAGCTTGCAGAGCGGTGACGGTGATGGTGATGGGTCGGCTTGGGACGGCCCTGAGGAAGTTTAGTGAGGTGGTGCCGGTCTGACTGGGGGACGGGGCTTCTTAGATGCGGCGGTTTCTTTAATGGCGGGGTTTGTGATTCTAGATTGGTTCTGAGGCTTTACTGATTTGGGGGATATTGCTTCCCAAGGCTTGTCGATCCATTTGGGTGAGCGATACTTACAGGGTGCCTAATGATTTAGATAGCTGGTTTCTGCAGTTTGAGAATGTAATGAGTGCTCACTTGACTTCAGGTGAAGATCAGAAACGGGGTTCAAAGCAGCTCTCGAAATGGAGGGAGATATGAGAAAAACTGTGTCTTCTTTGGAAACGGCATCTTTTGAATGCTTCACCAACGAGATTCATGACGAACTTTCGTTCCAGCCTCGCCTGACCTCACTTTGCGGCACCAAAAAAAAAAGCTGTCTGTCTGCGATGCGGATCTAGAGCCTCGCGAGGAAGAAACATCTTGGCGATGAGGGAAAAGGCAAAAAACTATGCCTTTCGGCACAGAAACAGGCTCTTCAAGGACCGCCTGTTTTTTCCCGTTACACCCTCCGACCGTACCCCACCCTTGCGTGTGGCGGCCAAGTCACAGCTTAAGCAGGGAGGGCGTCTGCGTCATCTCCCCACTCGTTACTGGTATTCTTGGCCGGGTCAATGAAGTGAAGGCGGACTTGCTGAATATATAAATAGAAAGGGCCTTTGGTTACCACCCACTGCTTGCCAACGCCCACCTTCAAAATCACAAGCCCGAGCCATTAAGCCCTATCGAACACGGCCGGGTCTATGGAGTGAAAGTGGACTGGCTGAACATATAAACACCCATATTCATTGGAAAATCATCCAGCCCCTAGAAGAGAGGTGGGAAATACCGGGGGTATCGACTAATAGACCCTCCCTTTTCCTCCCTAACGCCATCGCTATGCACATCCGTGGACACTTGATGCAAAAGTCATACGAAAACAATCATGTCTGGCCAAAGAATACCTCACAATGCTTTGCCAGGTGTTGCGCCAGCCGTCGGAGTGGCTGGGCTGGTGGGTGCAGTCCCGGCTCTGCTCTTGCTCCTTTTGATCTTCGCTGGCTTCTTGCTTGGGCCCGGAATGGCGGCCGAGATGTCTGGGCTGGCAGCGAGAGCAGGCGTACCAGGCTTGCTGTCGGTCTTGGTTCCATCCGTGGCAAAGGAATTGGACAGCTTTGCGGCAGCCGCGGCGGCCGCAGCTTCTGCCTGCTTGGTCTGCGTCTGTTGGACATGGCGTTGCGTGGCGCTAAAGTGGAAAGAACCAGGTTCGCCAATGATGGGATTGGTGTCCATGAACTCGTCCTTGTATTGGTTGAAGAGACGGAAAGACTGCGTCAGGGCGTGCATTGATGTCGCAGCGGCGGCAGCGTTTGTGTTCTTGGTCTTTTGAGACTGTTCAGGTTGGTTCTGGGATGATGCAGGCGCGTCATTCATGTCAATGGCCGAGGACGACTCTCCAGTAGGGCTGCCGGCACGGCTGGAGCGGCGGGAAGCATTTGCGGAGGCATTGGTTTGCTTGAGAGACGTTGAAGGCGGGTAGTAGGTATATCCACGGCCAGACGTGTAGATAGGAAGGGACGACGCGATAGAGAAGAATTTGGACAGGGAGGTGGTAGCAGCAAGCTGGGGCGAAAGGGTTAGCAAGCACGACACATTCAAGGCAGATAGGAAGCATTACAATCTTATTTCCAATGATGTCCTCCAGAGATGCAGCCTGGTATATGTTCTCGCCGATCAAGTAGTAAGTGCCCAGCACAGTGAGGTCATCATCGTGGCCAGGGCGCTTCCGGCGCTGTTGCTTGCGGAAAACATAAATGCCGGTGTCGGTACCATCGGGGCGACGCTCGGGCTCGGCGGCAACCATGAACTCGAGGCCTTGCATAGCACGCAGGCGCAACTCGAACTGATCGCGATCGGTGAGCCAGGGTTCGCCTTTGTGCTGCATGAAGAGGGCCCAGTTGTTGGAGGTGCGGTCGAAGAAATCGGACTCCATGAAGTACAGGTGCACCGTCTTGCTGTGCAGGCCGCCAAAGTATTGCAGGTTGTTGAGGGCGACGGGGCTGCGCCATTGGCGCTCGTCGAGCGGCGTCTCCTGGATCTGGGCCATGGCGGGGGAGGGCGTGGCTGGAGTTCGGCGGGCGGGCGGCGACGGGCGAAGTTGGTTGCGGCTCATAAGGCTGCGCGGGCGCTAGGCCGGACCGGGTTTAGCTTTCCCCGCGCCTGCCATAAGGCCCGTCGGCGCGTCGCCCTCCAGATCTTCGACCAGTCGCCTTCGTCGATCGCGTCACCCCCGTCACCAGTGTCTCGCGACTCAACCACAACCACGCGCCGCTCGCTGCTCTGACATGGACTTGGTCCAGTCTGTGCGCAAAGATGGCTCGAGGTAAGTCCGCACCCAATTCCGCCCGCGACAACGCGTTGCCCGGTCTGTGTCGGTGGTAGCTACTATCCGTGCAAGACCCAACTCCGGAGCCTACTGCCATTCGGCGCTTCAAGAAACAAATTGAATCCAGCCTCGCAAACCAAGCGGCCCTAGCCGAGCAGCTAGCCAGTGCTAAACCTTCGTCCTTCAGGGGCTCTCGAGCCATCGGCCAGAATGTCGACGTCGAAAACATCCGCAACTCGACCCACCGCGAGAATTTCCTTGGCCATTCCATCCTAGCTCGTGAGTCTAACTGAGATCCTGGATGCCCGCAGCCTCACCCGCTCTCGACGCCTCTCTCACCTTGCTGTTTTCTTTGCACGTGGCGCTAACTGTTAAAAGCTGTCGGCCGTTCCGAGCGCCGCCGCGACCCCAATTTCTGGATGCGCGGTGGAATGACGGACGAGGACCAGGACGCTCTTAAGAAGGAGATCAAAGAGGTCCAAGTGAAGGAGCGCATGCTCCTGAATGAGAAGCTCGGACGTCCGCCCAATGAGGGCATCGATGACATCCTCAACCCCAAGCCGCCTGCGCCTATTGCAGCTCCTGCCACCGTCCCCGTCACCAAGGATGGTAAGAGCAAGGAGCGCAAGCACAAGCACCACCACCGTCGTCACCACCGTTCGCGCTCCCGCTCGCCCCGCCATCGTCATCATAGGAGCTACCGCGAGCGTAGCCGCTCCCACGAGGGTCGTCGCCGTCACCACGACCGCGACCGCAGCCGCTCACCCGAGCGTCGCCACCGTCACCGCGATCCCGAGCGCGAGCGCTACCGTAGCCGTTCGCGTGACCGTCACCACCGTCACCGTGACGGCGAGCGTGAGCGTGAGCGCGAGCGCGAGACGAGCAAGCACTCTTACCGTCCCCGCCACCATGACAGCGACCACGGACGTGAGCGCAGCCCGTCCGGCGAGCACCACTACCGCCGCCGTGACAGTGACCGTGGACGCGAGCGTAGCCCGTCCGGCGAGCAGCACTACTACCGTCCCCAGGACAGCGAGCGTGACCGCCCGGTCAGCCGCCGTGGCAGCTCTTCTTCTCACTACTAAGCCAATCGGCTCCACTATCATGGTACATTCAGGTTTTTACTAAATCGGAGGGCGGCGTAAGCCGGGGAAGGCGTCTAAAGGATCAATTCACGGTACATGATACCCATTCGGGAAGCGGGTCACTCCAGCTTGGTGCATACATCAGCCCTAGCAAATAACACTTTGAACTATTCCATCTTCTCTTGCGTGATAAGTGAACACAGGTCCACACATAAATGTAACTTCTCTCTTCTTCAGCATGGTGTTGAAGCAACTGTCTGGATATAGGTGCAACTAGTTTAGCCTTTCACATGGGCAGCTGAAGCGAACATCCGGATTTAGATGCCGGGTTCGAAATTATACAAAAATTTCAGGACAAGGGCTTCAACTACCCCCTCTGCTCAGAGGCAATATGCAGATTTTACACAATTTTTTACTTTGTGATAGTTCCTCTCACTGGTCGTATCCTACACATAAATACAGCACTTCATGGAGAGCCTTTTTTTACACACGTAGGAACCTAATCCGCGCGAGGCGTACAAGCAAAGAAGCCGCCAAAACCACCAATTCCCTCCAGCTATCACCGTCTATGTATATTTTCCACATCCACTTTCAACACTCTCCCTCATCACAACCACCCAAAGATCTCAGCATTACTCAAGAAACTCCACCAAGTGCCGCCAACGCCGACAAACACGGCAACGACATCAACGACGACGAGCACCAGGGCCGCCATCATGAAGCGGGGGCTGAAGATGCGGTAGAGCATGAGGTGGCGGCGCAGGTGGCCGGCCCAGCAGGTAGTGGCAAGGGCGACGCCGGCGTAGAAGAGCAGGTGTGTGGCGACGGCCTGGGCGACGCCGCCGAGCAGGCCCTTCTGCTTGGGCGGCTGCTTCCACAGCACAGTGGCGGGGACGGCGACGGCCGTCAGGATCTGCGCGCCGAAGGTGTTGAGGATGACGAGCAGCGGCGACCACGGGTAGTGGATGCTCTTGAACGGCAGGAACGCAGACTCCCACTGGATGCTGGCGAGCGTGGCCTGGTGGCCCGTCTTGAAGAAGTGGAAGGAGCCGAGCAGCGCCAGCACCGTGGGGCCGACGGCCGTGGTGGAGAGCTTGTTCGTGTCGATGATCTCGAGCAGTGCGAAGATTTGCCACAGCAGGATGCCGATGGCGCCGCCGCCCATGGGCTTCTGGATGTGGATGACGGCGAGCGCCCAAGCGGTGATGAGGAGCGCGAAGCGCGAGCCGTGGATGTTGGCGTAGCCGAGGATGGTGATCGATGTCTTGCCGCCTGGCGCAACGACCGCAGGGTCGTTTGCGTCCGAGGGCTTCGCCTCGTGCGTCTCGATCTTGAGGAGAGCGGTGCACCACGAGTATACGACGTAGCCAACGCCCAGTGCGATGCCGAACGTCACGCGGGAGAAGACGACGCGGATGGCTTTTTGCGAGCGCTTGGAAAACTCAAAGTAATCCATGTCGTCGGCAGCGTCAAAGGCCCAGAACGATGCGCTGAGGAGAAGACAGACGCGGAAGCAAAAGCCGAACCAGAACTTTGAGAGGCTCTGGAGGGACCTGGTGCGGGTGTAGAACGACTTCACAACCTCGGGTAGCGCAGCGGAAAGGAGGAAGGGAATCGCGAGCTGCCAGACTGCAGAAGTGGAAGAAGTAGAAGACGCGTAGTAAGTAGACTTGCAGTACGGCATCTGTTCCTCGCGGCAGAGTCTGGAAAAGGAAGCCAGACGGGTCAGCACGACGAAGATGACAGACTGCGTGCAACCGAGAACCCGGTCTTCAGACGCCTCCTGCCTCATGGAGGATGCAAAGAAGAGGACGCCCAGGGTGCACAGGAAATACATCAGGATTTCATCCTCCCAGATGGTGAACGAGTTCGAAGCGAACCCGATAGACAGGAGCAAAGGCAGCACCACGCTGATTCCGCCCCAGAAAGTCGTGGGGAAAGGAACGTTCAAACGGAACTTGGCAGTGACCAAGGAGGATGTCAAGCCAACGAGGGACAAAACAGCAGCACCGAAAATGGCGGAGTGCAGCAGCTCAAAGAATGGGATGAGATATCCCACCGCAGCACCAGCAGCTCCACCGAAGACGAAGCCACTCACGCCCCGGAAGAGAAGGAGAGGGGTCAAATCGATGTTGTCACCTTCAATGCCGCGGCCGTAGATGGCAAGTATGGCAAGAGAGCCTATGAGGATGCCGATACCCTGGATCATGCTGACAATATGGAACTCTGCCCACAGGCTACGGCATCTGCTCAACGTGAGCTTCTGGTAGTTCGCAAACTTGTCATAAGCCTGCCTCCAGTGAACTGGCGTCGGCCGTTTGGTCTGTCTGACCGTCTCCCATGCCTTGTTGGCGGCATTCCAAAGCGTGAGACGAGGCAGTTCACCAGCCTCGTCGATGCCTTTGGCCAAAGCATATTCGCGCTGATAGCGGTGGATTTGGGCTGCTGCTAGCCTATTGACAACGGCGAGGTTATGGAAATCGTCGCCACGGCTACCAATGAAGGCTTCTTCGATAGGTTTGCCCAAATTATTGAACGGAATAGGCAACCCAAGGAGAAGAGACAGCGTAGGGACGAGATCAATCTGAGCAAGCGGCCTTTCCTTCGCAGTCGCAGGGGGCGTGACAAACTCCGCAGAGCTCCTTCCAAAAATGCCCTTCTTCGAGTACATCCAGAGCGCCGCCTCAACCTCGTCTTCCGACTCGCCGCCGTGGTCACCCTTGGAATCCATCCCATGGTCTCCCATGACGACAAGAAGGGTGTCGTCGTCAATGGCCTTGATCACCCTGCGGAAGACGTCGTTCATCTCCTGGAGCTTGGCAGTCATAGCGGGATGGTCAGGTCCATAGCGGTGCCCAGCGTGATCGACACCGAGGTAGTGTCCGATCAGAACGTCCCATTTCGCGGCATGTCCCGGCTGAAGATAGGGGAACAGGTGCTCGGTAACTCCATTGTCGACTGTATGCAGATCCCACACGTTGAACGAATCGTATGGCCGAGTAAGCTCCGGATCGAAGTAGCCGGGGAACAACGAGTGCCAAGTGTCATCACCCAGATGCACAATGTTCTTGCTCGCATTTCTCAGCTGCGCGATCAAATTGTCCTCCTCAATGGCCGTCCCAGCGAAATTCGAGCCCGCATCAATGAAGGTCGGGAGAGTGCCAGTTGTCAAGCCCTTCAGCCTCTGCAGAGTAGTTGTTGGCGGATCCGAGATGAATGGCAGCAGGAAAGCATTGTTCGGCTCCTTGGAAGCAATCTCGTAGAAGATGGGGATGGCATTGTGGAAATGGTGCGGCTCGGAGTCGCCTTCCTTGGGCTGGAAGGGAACGGTGAAATCGTAGCGGAGCGCATCGACGATAATGACGACGGCCTTGTTGAATGTCTTCGGGTGCCAGCAGCCCTTCTCAGGAGAGCCTGGGGTGAAGCCACCGGGCAATTCGGCCGGGGGAATGGCGCATTCGGACTTGTGGTCTAGGACGAGGCGCGTGAGGAGGAAGCCGCTAGTGAAGAGGTAGATTCCAAGGACGTGCAACAGGCTGTGGCACGTCAGCGTCGTCCGAGTTTGCGTCGTCAAGCAGGACTCACCCGATCAGGAAGAAAAATGCAACAAGCAGGCTGTGCGAGGACTTGAATTGCAGCTCGCGGCGCTTGTTGGCTATCTTGGCCTCGGCGGAATTGGGGCGCAGGCCTTGGGCCTCGTCGCGCTCCTGCTGCGCCTTGGCAGCGGCGAGTTGGGCGGCGATGCCTTCGAGCTTACCGTCCTCCATTGGCGCTTAGAACGGATGTCTGCGGCGTGGGCATTGGGCGGTGAGGTGGGGATGACGGGGAACGGTGCGGCGGCGTGGGAAGAATGATGGTCGGAAAACGATCGGCTCCAGGGAGCTCCCCCTGGCCCATGCAACATCATCACATACGCGCTGCTGTCTGATTCGCCCGCCGCTTGTTGCTGCCGCGACCCAAAATTGGTAAACCGCCTCACGCGTACGACGACGATACGAGCGGCGTGCACAGAATGATGATCGCATACCCATCCCCAACAGCCCCAGAGCAAGCGACTGGGTATGATAGAGGTTATCATACATTACAGAATAGAAACTATAAACGGGGGACCCTAGTCCCAAGCAAGACTATCCAGGCATTGCGCGTTGACTATTATGCCAGGCGCCTCAGAATGTAGCAGAGGCTGAGCCTCGCGCAGGTTGAGCTCCAGAGCTTCTCCTCCCCGAACATCGCCAACACTGCAGGTTGCCGTGCGCGTGATGGATAGCAGTGGGGATAAAACAATAAAAAATAACCGGTGGCTAGGACACAGACTGCCAGGGAATCTGTACAGAAATCATCATGAAAAGAAAACAATCAGTCGTAGCCAGAGGCGTGAGGGTTGGTTGCTGGATTTTTTGGGACGGTGCGTTGAATTCCAGAGTACGGAGCTTGGCTGGGACTACATCTGGAAACGTGCGGCGGCGCGTGCCTTCTAGATCGAGTACTCGTTCTTCTCGTTGGTTTTCTCCTTAAGGCCACCAATGCGCTCGAGATCAAGAGACTGGAAGCGGTCATTTTCGTCCTTCTGGTAGGGCGGGAGCTGCTCTTCGTGCAGCGGCTCGAGACCCACGCTGTGGTCGCCAACGCGGACCACAACAACCTTTCCGGACTGCTTGTTGCCCTTGTCGTCGACTTCCTCGGGGAACGTGATGCGGATCTCGGGCACCGGGCTGTCGGGGCTGCGTTGCTCGTTCATAAACGTCTCCTTCTCGTTGTAGACATACACAGCGGAGCCGCGGTTGCTGTACGGAGGCGCCGTGGTGATGGTCAGACTGCGGTGATGCGACGACACGCGCGACGTGGGGCGTTCCTCGTTGTACATGGGCAGCTCCGACTTCTTCTTCTGGTTGCGCGCGCGGCGCAGCCAGAAGAGCGCGACGACGGAAATGAGCGCGACTCCGACCAGGACCAGCAGCGCGATCAAGAGGTTGACCATGGTAGGCGTGAGCGTCGATTCATTCGCATCATTGTCGCGGCGCACCAGCAGATGGGTGGGGTTCATGGTGGTAGAGAGCGGCTGGGGTGGGCGTGTGCACGGGATCCGGGACCGGGGCGGAAAACGGGCGGCGTTCTCTGCGTCATGGTTAGCAGAGCGTGGTGTTGGTGCGGAATGCCGCCGGAGCGTGTTTCGGCAGATGGTACGTACCGGCGCAAGGGGATTGGACGGAGTGCAAGGGCCGGGTCGCCTGGATGCGTCTTCGGGTAGGAAAGAATGTACGCAGCGCCTGCTGAAAGAGCGAAGCTGGCTGCTGCCGGTGTAAAGAGCGACTGTGGTGTGGAGCGACCTCGAAGATGGTGGTGAAGAGGAAGAGAAGGAGAAACGGGACTCGGGGGAGCACGTCAAGGCACTGCCTTGGGTAGTTAGCGCCGACAAAGTTATGAGTGGACAAAGCGCCAGCGGAAATGAAGACCTCAGATCGGCACGAGACCTTCACCAATGATATGCCGCGCAGGATCAGAGGTGGGCGCTTGCACACCTGCTTTAGAACGGCTTGCCCCAAAATGCACGTTGGCCGCGGCCAGAACACGCGTGGGGATCATGGCCGGTAGTGTTGGTGTTCTAAATTCGGCACTGCGCCTTGCTCAGGAGGTCACGGTGCGCCAAAGCAATGAGGAGAAGGGAGCGCGCCCGAGACGTCATGGTTCGTGTTCCCAGAGCGTGCTTTCAATTTATATCCAGATGGCTCGACTTAAGCTTATCTGCTGAGGCACCCGGAGTTTCGACACGGTGCTGAAATCTGGGGTTGCAGCAAGGGAACCATCCCAGGCCTCCGACGAGCCCTGCCCCGAAGTCGCGCATTCCCCCCGGCGCTTGGCTCCCCGAATATCAGAACGGACCCTGCCAATCTGCGCGGCCAAGCAGTTCCCTTCACGGCTCTGGCGCCCGTCGGCGCCCCGAAACTGACTGGAAACGCCGCGCTGGTCCTCCGCCGAATCAGCGCGTCGCACGATCCCGATTCCTGCGTTCGTCGGAAGGATGTCGGTAGGGTGACATGGTGGAAGCAAGTCATACACCTCGCCAGTCAGGTGCCTGAGGCCAATCGTCGCGCTCAACAACAGCTGCAGCCAGGAAGAGTCGGCTCGACCCAACGACTCACCGCGGCGCCGCCCAGCTCCCACCATTGGGCCGATCGTATGAGTCCGGGTGGGGAAGCGGACACCGGTGTCTCTGCAGCCTCAGGCTCGACTGCAGGTGTACGTCCATGGCGGATGGCGATCAGGCTCCCGTGTGTGCACCTCTGCGACCCATGCGACGCGGGGATATCTGGAGAGGGCGCTAGGCGTGGCCCGGAGAAGGCGGCATTGCCACCATAAGAAGCGGCTGCGCGAAGAATAGCTCCGCTGCAGCTGTCGATGCCGTGGCACGGCGCCTTTTGGGCAGATGACGAGGGCTCGCGGCGGCGGAGGGCAATTTGGAATCGAGACCAGCGTCGCCGACTGGATGACCTATATCAGCGCAGGCTATGGGCGGGTGGATCAGGTCGATGCGGATTGCCCGCGGCGTTTGTGCGCGGGAAGCTACCTGGGCGGAGGGACGATGCAGCGCGAGGTGGTGCAAGTGTGGAGCCTCGCGCCGGCCTGGAATGGAGCGGGCAGCGTGGCCGATGACGACGGGTGCGCATGTGGCTGCCCATGGATTTGAGAAGGGCGACGGCGCGCGTGATGACTGAATAAATCTCCGAACGGTGCTCAGCGCGGGCAGACCGGTGACGCCGTTTCAGGCACAGTCTGGGGCTGGCGGGTGTCGTGCGTCTACAGCAGCACTCGACACGATCGCGCGCAGCAGCTGGACAGGTAGGCGAGCGCCGTGAAACAGCGCAGTCTGGCACTGGCGCAGCGCAGGTCAGAGCTGCTGAGATGTAACGGGCACGGTCAGCGAGCGGTGGACCCGCGTCGATCCCGCCCGGCGCGGCTGGCGACGCGCTCTGGGCCCAGCAGCACGCAGCCAGCACGCCAGGCTCCAGCGCAGCGCCCCGCCCGGTGTGGGCGAGCGCTGCAATGGGCGCCGCTGCTGGCGGGCGGGTGATGCGACAGAGCCGCAGACAAGGCGCCAGCTAGGCGTTAGCGAGCCGTCCGATCATATTTTTAGTCTCTCCGCGAACTCCAGACCTAGTGCCAGCAGATCCGCCCAAGCGTGCGTGAAATCTCCAGCTCAACACCACGCCCGCATCGCCAGCTGCGCCTCGCCTCGCTGCCCGCCCGCCGGCGCCCCCGCTCTCGCCCGCCCCCGACGCCGCCCTGTGCCCAGCTCGCGGCCCTGCCCGCAGGTCCCTTCGCCACGACGCGCCAGATTCCTCGCATCGCGGCCCGCGCATCCCTTGCTTCTCCACTCACTCGCGACACCTGCTGCGCTCTCTTAGTCCCCGTCGCGCTCACTGATGCGTCCCTTGCCAGGCGCGCGAGGATTCCGCTTCGAGCCTAGCATGCGCAGCGGTTGACACACGCACAAAGCCCTCTCTAATTACGCCCTACCCAAGGGGTGCTCCAGTGCTGCGACAGGTCATATCACGCTCCCACGTTCCGTCGGCTGCACACCAAGCTTCGACCTTTCTTCTTCACCTCCTGCCAAGCGCTCTGTACATGCTCTGTCCATTTCACGATAACAACCCTACAAAGGTCCGTCCTCCGCCGCTCCGCCGCGCAACAAGCCGTGTGCTGACGCCTGCTGTACCTCACTTCAGCTCCACCACAATACATAATCACCGCCACCAGTACATTCTCACCCCGCACATCCCGCCTGTTTCCACCACCTCCGCAATTCCCAACTCCCAATTCGCCTGCTCCACAACACATAATGGTCTCGGGCATGGTGAGCAGACAGACTACGTTCCCCATGCAAAGCAAGGTTAGTCTCGCCCGTGCGCCTTCCTCCTCCACCCGACACGTCGACTCATCACCGCCGCAGGCCGCCATGCCTTCCCGCCTCACCGATTTCGGCGCTGTCAGGTCGCCCGAGGACGAGCGCGCTCCCGGCGCCGCTCTGCCTCCGAACAACTACACTAACGGCGCCAACGGCTGGAGAGGCAGCAACATTTGGGGCAATGGCGCCCTGGGCACAGGCTTTGCCTCGCGAGAACGTGCGGATTTTCCTGCATTTTCGCCCGCCTCGCGTGCTAATGTGGGCTTAGAAAATGGCTCATTCAGGGCCTCGCTACCGGAAGAGATTGAGGGTAAGACTGGCTCCGGGTCCCTCGTAGCCTCGTCCGAGTCAGATCACTGGGGTCCTCGTCGCACTACTCCATGGAACACGGCAGATACTAGCGCCCAACCGATAAACTCGCAACGAAGAGCATCCAGTGTCTCTCCGGTCAGCCAGGTCCAGGCTTCCCAGGCGTACGCGGACCCTTCGCAGCCCCGGGCGTATCCCGTCGGCCGTGCTTCAATCGCCGGGCAAGGGCTTGGCAGCAAGGCTATGAACATGCCCGGAAACTTTGTTGGCCGTCGTGCAACAGAGGATGGCTACGGTGTCGACTTTGCAAGGCTGGTGGAGTTGGAGCAGCGTCAGCGCTCCACAGACTCGATGAGGTGGACTGACGCGCAGCACCTCCACTCTCCAACCGAGGACCGCCGCAGCGTCGCCAACTCGGAATATTTCTCAAACTCCAGCGCTACGCAGTCTCGAAGTGGTAGCCTCCCTCCTTCTCGCCACGGCTCCGACCCAGTCCAGTACCCTCAAACTACCGATGCCTTCACCCGCTTCCCCGGTGCTCGTGGACACACGGCATCTTTGTCACAGACAAATGGCCGTTACAACGAGCGGACCGACTCCATGGCCAGTGAAGTCATGTCCTCGTTCGCGCGGATAAGCATTGATAGCAAAGCACCCGATCAGCCTTTGCCATTCCATAAATCGTCCTTCAGCACTGCCAGCGGCGCTGGCCAATTTGGACATTCATCTCACGCATCATCCTACTCCCGTGCCACTCTTGGCGACATTACCCAGAATGTTCTTGGATCTGACGAGGTTGGTGCCGGATCCTTTACGCCTGACGGCTTCCCTTCCCAATACGACCAGACTGTCTCTTACAGAAACTATCAGCTCGGAAACCGTGGATCGATGACCCCTAATGGCGACTTCCGCACGAACTACTACTCGACTGGTGGTACCCCACCAGTCTTTGATCATCTGTACCCCTCGCGGAGCGTGCAAAACGGCCGGCCGGGTCCCGACGGCCACTCCGTCCTGCTTGACAGGAAGCTCCGTAGTGTGCAGCAAGAACAGCAGGCGTTCATCCACCCCGGATACCAGCAGATGCTTGCTGCACAGTACGGTCGCCCATTCGACGCATATGGCTTCCCTATGCATATGGGCGGAATGTCCCCTGGAATTCCTATGCATATTCCTACGATGCCCGGGATGATTCCGCAGCTCGAGCCCCCGAAGGGTCCCAGACAAGAAGAGAGTGGTACCGGGCTCAGGAGTGCCATGCTGGACGAGTTCAAGCACAACAGCAGGAGCAAGAGATATGAACTCAAGGTAAGCTTGATTTCCATGCGCATGGCTTGACAGGACAGACTTTGATTGTATCAGGACATCTACGAGTACATTTGCGAATTCAGCGGCGACCAGCACGGCTCTCGTTTCATTCAGCAAAAGTTGGAGACTGCCAACAGTGATGAAAAAGAACGGGTGTTCAAGGAGATCCAGCCCAACGCCATGCAGCTGATGACGGATGTTTTCGGCAACTATGTCATCCAGAAGTTTTTCGAGCACGGAGATCAGAGCCAGAAGAGGATTCTGGCCAGCAAGATGAAGGGTCATGTTCTGAACCTCTCGTTGCAGATGTATGGGTGTCGCGTGGTGCAGAAGGTGAGGAACTCTGGTTCTATTCATTGGATTTCGTTAACATGGCGTAGGCACTGGAGCATGTTCTCGTCGACCAGCAAGCGGAAATGGTGAAGGAACTTGAGAACAATGTTCTTCGGTGTGTGAAGGACCAGAACGGCAACCACGTCATCCAAAAGGCCATCGAGCGCGTGCCGGCTCAGCACATCCAGTTCATCATCGATGCCTTCATTGGCCATGTCTCTTCGCTTTCGGTTCACGGATACGGATGCCGCGTCATCCAGCGCATGCTTGAGCATTGCGAAGAACCGGCTCGCCGCGCCATCCTTTCCGAACTCCACGCATGTGCGCCGACGCTTATTCCCGATCAGTATGGCAACTACGTCACCCAGCACATCATCGAACATGGTGCCCCTGAGGACCGCGCCGCTATCATCGAAATTGTCAAGAATCAGTTGCTTGCTTTCGCCAAGCACAAGTTTGCCAGCAATGTCGTTGAGAAGTGCCTGATCTTTGGCAGCGACGATGAACGTAGGGAGATTATGATGAAGATCTGTGAGAGGCCTGAACGAGGCGAGTGCACGCTCGTGATGCTCATCAAGGACGGATACGGCAACTACGTTATTCGTAAGTCACTCGCGTGGGTCTTTTGGTGTACACATTGCTGACGACGAGCAGAAAAACTGCTTGACACGTTGAACGCGACGGACTACATGACATTCCTCGATCACTTGCAGCCTGAGATGAACAAGGCCAAGAAGACGCTCGCAGGGAAACAAGTCCAAGCTGTAGGCATTTCTGCTGATGACCAGCGTAAACTTGCTAACCAGATCGAAAAGGTCGAGAAGAAGATGCACAGGTTTGACAAGTATGAGCTGGTGCCGGACTCAGTGCAGCGCAACAGCATGAGCCCGACTTCTCTCAACACGCAGCCTTCTGTGCCGGAGACGCCCAAGTCGTCGACGACGGATGACAAGAGCACGCAGCCAAGCTCGCCCAACACTGCCGGGACCAGCTCGCCCGAGCAAGAGCGTGCGACCAAGGCATAAACGGCCACTCATGCACACTCGTTACATAACCCGTGAGAAAGCTTAATGATTCGGCGTTGGCGTTCGAAGATACACACTCTGTTTCATATGCTACCTTACGATCCCTCGCTACGGCGTTTGATGGATGGAGTTTTATGGCAAAAGAAAAGGCGCAGGCTCGCATGCGCAACGCCTTTACGCAACACCCATGTCTTTCACTAAGGATACCCGCTACCCAGGGGTTCGGTGATTTCGGCCTCGCGTTTCTGTTTTTTTACTTCGAGCATCTGTACTATTTTTGAACTTCGCTTATTTTTTCTTGTTTCCTCTCCGCGCCTCCTCGCAGCAGGCGAAGTCTGTCAAAGTGGCGAAAAAAGACGAGAGCAAGGGCGCACACAAAAAGCTTGCTGTGGAAAAGGTACCCCCAAGCTGCTAATCATATTCTGTCTGGTGGAGTTTGTTTTCTGCAACGGAGTATCTGCAAAGCTAGGAGATGCGTTTCGGAACATGACGGTACCCCGGTAGAAAAGCTGCTTTTCTTACAAACCAACGCTTCTGTCCAGATTCTGTTTACGGGGCAGTCGAGTAAACAAGGCATGATGCGTTTGCTCTTCGAATCTCGTTCTCTTCTTTCACTTCGGGCGGCACCTCTATCCGGAATAGGGTGGCGCATCAGTAGGATAGTATAGCCAGGATAGAAACACCGAATTCTTGCCTTGGCTTCTCATCCCCCTTGACGAATGAGCGAATGCATAAAGGGTTGAATTAGGGCGGACAGCATCGGTCCTTCAATACGAGTCAGCTGCCCTGAGCGCCTATAGGAAGCTGGACCCTGACACTAGCGGCAACTCCACTGGTGTTGTGGTGTGCTGGCTGGAAATGGGCGAGCAGCTCCGAAACCGGACCGAAGCGCAGACCAGGCTCCCCTACCGGGCCTGCCTTGCTGCATGCCACTTCGTTCCCGCCCGCCGCCAATTCACGCGTATTTCTTTTTAGGCCGACGAGATCGTCAATTGCATCACAACCACTCGCTCTCCGTCCGCCCCCCTCCAGGCGACTCTACTCGGCTTACGTCCAATCGCTCGGGGGCCAATTCCTGGAGGGCGCGCCCAGCAATTGTCTCGAGCGCAACGTTGCCCGCCTGACCGACCATACATCCCACCTAAGGACGCACATCCGAGTTATGTCGACCCCGCGCTTGACTTTCCTCTACCCACGCTTCATCCGCCCCTTCCTCATCTCCGAGGCAGGCGCATCCTGTGCCTCGTCCTCTTCTCCGGCACATCGCGCCGGGGTGAAACGCAGATCGGCGAGACAGGGGCAGGCAACATGTCGGAAGGCGACAAGCGGAGGAGCAGGAGCGAGGGCGTTCGGGACCAGTGCGCACATGCGCCAGCCCCCCGGCCCGGTGCAAAGGTACGGCACTGCAAACGAGCCGCTGCCATCGCCGGCCTCGAGTGAGGGTGCTAGTGGAGGGAAGGACGCAAACACGGCGGCGGCGGAGAAGGACGCTGGAGTTGCTGCTGCTGCTGCTGGAGCTGTCGCCGGCGCTGCGTCAAAGACATCTTCGGCTTCGTCGTCGTCGTCGCCGCCGCCACCGCCGCCGTCGCAACAGCAGGACCCGCCGCAACATCAAGGCGCCGCTCAGGATGCGAACGCCCCGCCTAGGGCCGCCTCGCCTACTATCTTCGAGACGACTTCGCATGGTGAGGCGCCTAACGAGCCTCCCAAGCCGGCGCCAGTAGCAGCCAACGGTGGCAGCGAGACCGAGTCGAATCCGCTGGAGGCGGTGCTGCGCATGCCGCCACCGACGTCGCGGCCGGTGCACCTGACGACGCCGCGCTACATACACTTCTTCGACACATGGTCGCTAGTCAAGCAGCTGACGGCGTCGGGCTTCACCGAGGAGCAGAGCGTGTCGTTGATGAAGGCGATCCGCGCGCAGCTCAATGACAATGTCGAACTCGCGCGCGCCGGCCTGGTGGGCAAGTCGGATGTGGAGAACGAGACGTACCTGTTCCGCGCGGCGTGCTCGGAGCTGCGCACTGAGGTAGGGAATAACAGGAAGGCGGAGAACGAGAGGATGAGTACCCAGCGAAACCAATTGCAGCACGAGGTGGACATCTTGGGGCAGAGGCTGGGCCAGGATACGAGTCATCTGAGGGAGGAGGTCAAGGGCATGTTTGACGACAGGAAGATGGCCGTTAGGATGGAGCAGAAGACGATGGAGAGCAAGGTATGCTGGACCTCTAGTGTCTGTGACTTGACGACTGACATGAACCCAGATCCAAGAGCTGAACTACAAGATCACCGTCGCGCTGAATTCTGACGCGCGTTCTGAGGTGGAAGGTCTCCGTTGGATCATCACGCGCCGCGCTGTCACTGCTCTTGTCGTTGTCGCCGTCGCGATTCTCGCGACTTTGCGTTTCTCATCATACATGACGCATACTCAGGCGCTGGAAAGAAAGAATATGACTAAGCCCGCTGCAGCAGACAAGAAGCAGGAAGAAGCGCAGGATAACAAGGCAACTACAAGCAGTTCAGGTGCCTCCCCAGTCCATGCAAGTGGTGGGGTGGATGCAAGCATGGGGGCCTGGGCTGACAGTCCGGTGGCCAAGGCTTTGGGAGAACGGGGTGCTGGGGATGGAGTCATGATCAGTGAGGGAGGGGTGAGCTTGGGTTGAGCACCGACAAAAGTCTCATAACAGCGGGCTTGTCGAGGGAAGGACGCTGTTCCCGGCCACGGGAAAAACCTACCTTGACCCATTGCGGATCGACAAGAGAAAGCCTGGAATCCATCATGCAGGGGACAACCGTACCTACAGAATATCGAAAGAGGCAGGCGACAGCTGCAGAAATCACGCAACTCACAAATGAAGAATAACCCAAAGTAACTAGATAAGCTTACTTTTCTGCGGTCACACGGCGTGGCAACACGATCGTGTTGTACTCGTCTGGAAGTCAGATCTGTCCTTGCTTCGTTCGCCTGTCCTTTGCCCCTGAAGAAACGTCCGAATGGAGCTTTGTGCATACTGATGAGCCCAGCATTGCTGCCCAGGCCCACCGCTGTTCTTGGTTGCGTGTCTGTTGTACGAAGAAAATCAGCGTAGCACGGCGTCAATCCACCGCATGTCTTCTCGACCTTTGGATCTCTCTCATCACACACACACCCCACGGCTTTCCCCGTCACACTCCCGATCCCCAAATCCACCATTCCCCTGTTTGTCAAAATCCAAATCCATCCGCCACCCGAGTGTGACACGAGTTGGCCTCCCCTCTCCCGGGTGGGTGATACGACGAGAATTCCTTTCCACCCCGCCTCCCCGCTACCTCTTTCTCCACCCTCATTCCCCTAATGTCCCTCCGTCACACCTCCTCCCTCCCCCCCTTGCTCCGCTCCGCCCGCCGCCGCCGCTCTCCCCCGCATCCTCCATCTATCTCTTACATTCCCCGCCACTCGCCACCGAGGCTCTCTCATTTCCGCGCCCGCATTCCATCAGACGGCCCGCCCCTCCCGCATTCTTGCTTTCCAAGGCGTTTTCAATCCCCTTACATTAGTGCCTATCAGGATTCAGGGCCTGCATGGGGTGATGATGATGGGGATTGGGGCCGACTCTTCCGTGGCGAAAAAGGCACTGAAAGCTGTCGTCCGACGGGGGGCGGGAAGCAAGTGGTGTGTGTGTGTGTGTGGCATGGGCAGCAAGCTTCGGTAACGGAGATAAGCAAAATCCTTGACTTTGTCACTCTTGTGTTGTGTGCCGTAGTATCCGAGTTGGTGGAAAGCAAGCAAGCGCGGCAGTGGCGGATTTTGTTTTTCCGTTTTTCTAGTTGTTGTCACTGCTAGCTAGTGTATAACCATCCAGAATTTGGGAGGGCCATGACGCGTTTTTTTTTTTTTTTTTGCATATCACAGACGTGTCGTTGTGATAGCTAGCTGGATTTGCAGGCGAGCTCTAATATTAGCGCAGCTTATCTTGCGGTGATGGTTAACTTAGAGTTTAAGGCTTCGAATCTAGATGCTTCTGAACTTTTTAGAAAGAAGCTTTAACGATTTTATCTGAAAATACTTCAGGCGGTTTCTTCTGCACTTAATTTGGAACAGATTAAAAAAAATGCGTACCAATAGATAAAAGAATTTCTACACACGTTTTATTCAATCCAGTCCCGATAAGCATGAACACTTTAACTAAAACGCCCGAACAATATATTGGCCGTGGTTGGTACACGTGCTGGCAAGGTTTCCAGTGCCAGTCGGACAGAAGGTCCCCTGAAGGCGATATCGACGGCGGGTGAAACCTGAGTGAGATCTCATTCCATTTTTTTTTGCCTCCACTGGTGATCTGACTTTCCACAAATTCCTCGACGGACCATCCCGCCTTACGAGACAATATGTCTCACCGCCTCCTTTTTTTTTTATCGACAGCCACGTTCCCCTGCCTCCGATTTTTATTATTCCCTTTCACAGTTTCACCTCCTTCTTCCCGCTACTACCGAGACCGAAGAGGTGCATAGCGACCTTGCGCATCTGGATCTCCTCGCTGCCCTCGGTGATGCGGTAGCGGCGGTGGTGGCGCCAGATGTGCTCAAAGGGCAGGTGGCGGCTGTAGCCCATGCCGCCGTGGACCTGGATGGCGCGGTCGGCGGCGTCGGTGCACAGGCGGTTGGCAAAGTAGTTACACATGGCGACCTTGTGGCTGAGCTTGGTCTCGACGTCGTCGGTGCCCGGCGGCATCTGGTCCATCTCGGCGGCCGTGGCGCGGATGAGCAGGCGGAGCATCTCGGCCTGCGTGGCCAGCTCGACGAGCGGGAACTGCACGGCTTGGTTGGCTGACAGGGCTTTGCCGAAGGGCTTGCGGGAGTTGGCGTGGATGACGGATTGGTTGATGCAGTAGGTGGCGGCGCCCAGCGAGGAGGCGGCCTGGCGGATGCGGTTCTCGTGCACGAAGGCTTGGGCGATGGACAGGCCGTCATCGTCCGGGCCGAGCACGGCGGACTGGGGGACCCAGACGTTGTCGAAAGAGACGGTGGCGTGGTCGGTGGGCATGTTCAGCGTCCTGTGAATTATCAGTGATGAGCGATTCAAATCAGCATGCCTACGAGCGGCCATACCATTCGTAGCTCTCAACCTTGATCCCCGGGGTTTCTCGCGGTATCACGAAGCACGTAATCCCCTTCGCGCTCCCATCTTTTCCACTCGTGCGGGCAAACACAAAGCAATGAGTAGCGCGATGCATGCCCGTCTGCCACATCTTCCTGCCATCGATCCTCCACCCCTCCTTCCCGCTCCTCCGCTCCCTCACAGCGCGCGTCTCCATCCACGTAGCATCGCTGCCATGGCCGGGCTCGGTCAAGCCGAACGTAATGCTGACTTTGCCATCCAGGCGGCCGTTGATCAGCTCTTCCTTCTGGCTATCATTACCGAAGCGATGCACCATGACGACGTCCGGAAAATTGCCGACGACGCTGTGCTCGTTCTGCAGGTCGTTAAACAGGCCGAGCCCCTTGGCGGCCAGATGCTCGCGGATGACGGCCATCCACAGGTTGCTGCCATCGTGGCCGCCGTACTGGGCGGGCAGGGCGAAGCGCCAGAAGCCGGCGTCGTCGGCCAGCCGCGTGGCCTGGGCCAGCAGCGCCTCCCATTCCGCGCGCGGCAGGCCGTGGCCGTCCCAGTCGGTGCGGGCGTGCTCGCGGCGGTGGTCGAAGAAGCGGTTGTTGTCGTCGCGCGCTTGGAGCGGCTGGATGGTGCCGGCGATGAAGTCGTCGAGGCGGGACAGGTACTGCGCAAGGTCGGCGGGGAGGGCGGAGGTCAGGGCGGGGGAATCGGTCGTGGTGGTGGTTGAGACTTCCATGGCGGTGGTGGTGCAGGCAGCAAACAGTGAGGAATTGATGGATAAATGAAGCTGCAAAAGAGGAATTGGCGCGACCTGCACCTTCTACCTTGTAATTCGGAAGACTGCGGAGAAGACGCACGCCATGACTAGGTTGGGTGAGTTGTGATGATGCTGAGCCCGAGGTAATGCATCAGATTTCCCTTCTGGGGAGCTTGCGCACGGGCTTTTGCGGGGTTTGGTAGGGCTGACGGATTGATAAACGGTCGACGGCGCGGAGCAGCGGGTTGTTTTGCTTAATGCGGGCGACTCCACTTCAATGGGATTTTACGCCCTTTTGGAGCCGAATTTGAGAGATTTACTAGGGACGCCATCCTCTACTATATTACGAGGCCAAACTTCCAACTTTTGAATCACCGAGCTCTTCGACCAAGTGCATGCCATGTCATTCCGGCTAAATGGAAACCGGAATGGGCGCTGATCCCCCGCGCGCCTTCTCCACTCAATGCGGGGGAGACCGTCACCACCAAATTACATCCAGCACGAGCTAACAATTATTCGGCATGTAAAAGACCGAATTGCAAAATATTTAAAATGGGTCCTGCTCCGCCCGTCTGGACTTTTCTTCGATTGGCCCGGAAATATTTCACTTCACAATTGACAAAATCCCGCCAAAATGCGCAGCTCTACAGCTCTTCTGTTAATAGCAGCGAAAATAACAGCTGCACGGTATGAACTGTCTATATCAAGTACCAGCCCCTACAGCTTGGCTGTTAGCCAAGACGACCGGACAGTCGTGGACAGCATCGAGATCCTAACGGGAATTTCCAACTACACTGCCACGTCCGTCTCTGCATCTGACGCAGGAGAAATCACCGACAATGGAGGCCAAATAGCCGCCGAGTTTCTGAGCGAGACTGTTGCAAGGATCCAGGTCAATGTCAGCAGTTCATATGTCGGCGCAGAAATTTCCAATGCTGAGGATGCTCTGAGCTATGGCGTCTGGGAATATCCGTGGTACGGGAAGGTTGCCAATGAGAACGTAACATACGAGATCAAGGGAGTAGGAGAGGCAGAAGGGGTCAATTGGGCCAATGCACGTACGTTACTCTGTCTACGCATCCCCGACTTTTTCTGACATGCACAGGTGCTCCATTCTACCTGACAAGCGCGGGCTATGGCGTCTACATAGATACACTGGCAATGGGCTTGTTTGATTTCAGCAACCCCAGCAGCACAAGCTTTGTGTTCAACAGCAGCAGCTTGACTATCTATCTCATCTTCCCCACTGCTGAGAATGACTTCAAGTCCATCCTCACGCAGTACGCCTCTCTCTCGTCGTACATTTTCATGCCCCCGGATTCGGCCTACGGTCCCATCATCTTCTCAGACAATTGGGAAACAGACTTCCACGGAGACGTGTCCAACGCGCAGGAAAACTACTACGACGTCATCAACCATCTGCACGACAATCAGATCCGCGCCAGTGCCATGTTCGCAGACCGCCCCTACGGCACCGGCAACGGATCCTGGGGAAACTTCGACTTCAACCTCACGGCATACCCCACGCCAGAGGAGTTCATCAACAACCTCACAGACTGGGGATTCGACTTCCAAGTCTGGGTAGCCAACCGCGCCACGCCCCAAACGGTGCTCTGGAACGCCTCCATCCCCAACGACTGGCTCTTCGACGTCAACCACAGCGCCATCCTCGGCGGCCTCCCCGGCCCAGCGCTCAACCTCTCCATCCCAGCCGCCTACGACTTCTTCGCCTCACACCTCTCCGCCTTCACCGACCTCGGCGTCAAGGGCTACAAGATCGACCGCGGCGAGGAGAACGAGATGCCGGTATGGGAGCAAAACGTGCAAATGGCCCTCTTCACGCAACTCTGCCACGACAACATGGCCGCCGCCTGGGGCACCGGCAACTTCTTCTCGTTCGCGCGCTCCGCCGTCGACCGCTCGCGCAGCCACACGGCCGTCTGGAACGGCGACTCGCACGCCAACTTCACGGGGCTCGCGTACAGCGTCGCCAGCGGCGTGCGCGCCGGCCTGCTCGGCTTCTCCATGTGGGGGTCCGACACGGGCGGCTACATCCGCAAGGTCGGCAACCCCGTGCCGGGCGAGGAGGTGTGGGCGCGCTGGATGCACTTCGCTGCGTTTAGTCCCATGTACGAGCTCATGCTCGGCACCGGCGCGACGCCCTGGTACGAACCGTACTCGGCTGATCTGGTTGCTGTGTTCCGCGAGACGGCGGCCTTGCATCATGCGTTGTTGCCGTATATACGCAGCTATACTTACGCTGCGCATAACACGACCGGCTTGCCCGTCATGCGCGCACTCTTCCTCGAGGAGCCTGGCGACGCCGAGTCTTGGAGTGGGGAGTGGGCCGATGACGAGTATTTCTTCGGCGCTGAGCTGTTGGTCGCTCCCATTGTGGCTGAGGGCGGCGCGCGTGATGTTTACTTTCCCGGCTCGAACGAGACGGCGTACGTGGAGTACTTCAATAAGAGCGCTGTCTTTTATGGCGGCGAGACTACTTCGGTTACGCTCGGTCTACATGACGTCCCCGTTTATGTCAAGGCCGGCGCCATCGTGCCCCGTGGCGATGTCTACAGGGCGAATGATAGGTGGACCGAGAACTGGACACCCTACCTCGATATTGAAGTGTTCCCCGCATGGGAAGTGCCGCGTTCTGTGTTCAAATATTACAACAAGGAGAAAGGTGAAGAAGTGGAGGTGGTGATGACGGTGGATGAGGAAAAGAAACAGGTGAAGGTTGAGTATGGGGATCTAGGCTTCAGTGGGAGTGTGATATTCTATGTCAAGGGTGACGTCAAAAGGGTGGACTTAATAGCTGGCGGCGGTGAGGCCACAGTTGATGGCGTTTCTTCACTGTTTGAGGTTTAGACGATAGAACTGTCGAAAGAGTAGAGGCGATGGAAACATCATTCTATCCGTGATTACTATTACAGACATTACAATATCCGTATAAACCATCCTACCCACCCGTTATTTCTCCTCCAGCACCTCATCCTCGATGCTACTCATAATTTCCTCTGTGTCTGTCTCATCACTCTCGAGCGCTGGAGTGACTTCATTCTCCGGTGAGCAGTCACAAAGCTTCCCATACACAAACACGGCAGCAACGCCACGTCTGTCCTCAATATCGCCACTCAAGGAAATCTTCACCATCTCCCCCTTTCTGATCCAATACACCACGGGCTCGTTATACACTCCCCTCGTAGTTGTCGCGTCGAACGTAAAGCCCCTAACCTCGTCTCCTTCACCAATTGCGAACCCCACTTTAACCCCCTCTTCCACGAACGTAGGCACAACCAGCACATTCGTTTCGAACTCCCTTTCCATTGCCGTCGTCCCACCCGTCCAGTCGCATAACCCAGCCGCTCCCGCTTCGTCCGATGGACCCGGCCCCCACCTCTCCGGATACTCCAACGGAAACACCCCCTCCGCCGGCGGATGCAGATGGCCCACACTTGCTTTATGTCCTCCTCCTGCTTCCATCCTTGTTTCTGCTGTCTGTCCCTCTTCGTATCTTCCCTTTTCCTCCTGGTCCTGACGTAAGAACCTCGCCACGTCCCAAAACACGTGATTCCAATTATGATAAACGGCGTTGCGCAGTGCCGTATGTAGTGTGTTCTTATCCGCATTTCGGAACGCGGAAAGGGCGTCGGCGGGACTTTTACCGCCGTTCTCGTCGCCGTGGCTGCAGCTGCCACCGGCGGTAGTCGTTGTTATGGATTGGATGGCCCGGATAACAGTGCCTATGTCAACATCGGTATTGGTGTTGCTTGTATTGGCGGCAGGATTGGTTGCAGTTTGGATGAGAGCAGGGTCGGTGACCCAGGCCTCGCGGAGCCGAGTGCTGACGGTATAGACGGCTGGTTCATCGCGATAGTCGACTGCGATGAAGGGTGGCTGGCCGTAGAGGTCGTCGTTGTTGAGGGCAGAGACGATGTGCATTTTTGCAGCTGAAAAATGCGGAGGCGACGGATATCTTTAGAAGCAGAGATGAGCTATTCACTTAAGGTTCAAGAGTAAGAGAGAGGTTTATACTATGCTTTTGAGCAGGTTTCGTGCTTCAATCCATCAAGTGATGTGGTAAGTCGTTGTCTGTTCTGCAACGATGAGCTGGACGGTACAGGTAGCATATCTATTTATAGTGACTTAGTGACTTAACAGGCTTTCCCTAAGGATGCAGCCCCCAATCCTGTGCTTACACGATGACTGGGCTTCGTTGGGCTGCCTGCTGCGCGAGAACCACAACGCACTTTCGAAGGCTGTGCTGCCTAGGACCCACATGTGATTGGTTCAGACTGCTGTCCATCCAATGGCTGTGCCGTAATACAAGACAAGCTTGCTCATGATTTCTCATGGCCCTCTAGAGCCGTTCATTCGGGCTCTTCTCAATTCGCCTAACATCAGCCTTGGAATTAACAGGCTGCACTGCAAGGCTGCCTAATTGTTACGCGAGCCAAGCATTCCCGAAGATTATGTCCACCATGGAAAAAGGCAGCATTGAAGGCTTCCATGCCAGGAGTCATCTCATTGATGCTGGTAAATGAAGCGGAATTCTGCCTGTTCAGATATTCAAAGTTAACAATGCATGGCAATAAGGACAAAGCCTTGAACGGTAGGCTCTCTTTCGAAGGGCAACGCAACACAACGAATAAATCGCTAAATATGAACAATAAGATGCAGTAGGGTTTATTATGTCGAAATATTGAAAGCAATAAGTATAAATACATCGCAACCGTCATTGAGCTCTGAATGGCTTCGCAAACTTTCCTTTTTGGGTTAGTTGATATGTGCGGTTGAGTAGAAATATCACCATAATTGGGAACGCAGATACCGTAGAGCTTATCTCATACTAGCGCCCAAGTTTCTTCCTGTCCATCTCTTCTAGTGCGGTCGCGGACCAAAGGAGAAAATTCTAAGAAATAAAAAGAAAAACCGCAACCGCCTTATCTCAGTACATCCCCACTTCCTCAATAGCCCACACTAAATTATCCAATGTTCACAACGGTGATCACTATTGCCCTGCATCTAGCCCAGAGCCTTGTCTACACCAACTGCTGATGAAACTGGCAGGGAAAAGTCCCTGTTCCTGCGCCGATCAGCAGTATCGATCATGCCACGCCCCCACGCGCAACTCGCCGATCGTGTTGCCATTCTTCGCAACGGACCCATGCCATCCACCCCGGAGTTGACCGGAAAGTCGGTCACACACCCACGCCGATTACAAAACCGTCTCCCTATCGCTCCCCATCTCCGACCCTCATCCGGGCCGACACACGCACACACGGTGCTGAGTCAGTCTTTCTGTGAGAGAGGGGTCACCACGCAGTAGTGGTTCGCCGATCTATCAATTCCAACAGCCGCTAAGAAAAAAAAAGTGATTTATCGATCCGTCCGGTTGGGTACCCACCACACTCCTCTGAGGCTTGTGAAAGCTCAACCCCCCGGTCCCCGAAAAACCCCGGCCGCGCACACACAAGTTCCGACCTGGCGGAAGTGGGAGGCGCCGAAGCATCGGGTCCCGCAGCCACAGTGTGACAAGGCTGTATGCGCAACGACGATTACGAACAACGAGCAAATCGCGGTAGCGAGAAAACCGCACCAGGATTATATATATATTTTTTTCTCTGTTGCCTGGAAGGTAGCGGCGTTGGGGGAAGCGGGAGACATTCCTCGTGCGATGTGACGTCTCTCAGAGAGATATGATCGGAGAGGAGGGGAATCCTGGTACGTGTATCGTAGCAGACGGAGCACGGCAGCGCTGTAGATGCTGACGAGAGAGGACGACGGCACGTGAAAGAACTGCAGGCTGCATTAAAGATACTTTCACCGGCTCAACACGGTATGACACTATCGAACATGACATGAGCATTCTTCCGAAAGTACCCAATACCAGGAAATAGAAAAAGCAATGAGTAGGCAGCAGATCTACCTGAAAGGAGAAATAGCGGCGGTGAAGATCATTGCCCCAAGTATCCACACCTGCTTGGCCCATTTTCTTCATGTCTCTTGGTCAGCGGGGGTGCCGTCGGCGGAGCGGCGCCAGCAGGGTAGCCTGGCGGGATTGGTCTCATGAGGGAGGGGATGCCTGTGGGCGCTTGTCGCACCTCAATCATTACTTTTCGTGTAGTCACGCCGTTGAATCATGATGACTTATTGCTTTTTACTAATTCTGGCCGCTTCACTCCTTTGCTGGCACCATGCCTCACTCTTTTGAGGCACCACACAAAAGACATGAGATGGGAACATGTGCTCCGGGAACACTAGCCCCCGATAGACACCGAGGTTCCACGGTCCAAAATCTTCCAATCCTTGTTGCAGTGAACGAAGAATATCTATCAGGACGAAGAAGCAGAAAGCAGGCCAATAGCGTTAATTTGCCCCCCCAAAAAAATTTCGATGCCCCGTCATTGAAAAATCCCTTCTCCGCTAAGAACGCCCTTGGTCTCGAACGAGCAAGATATCAGTCCTGAATCCAACAGCCAAATCCATGTGCCTGGTTAACTTTTCTTCCAATGCTAAAACATAGAATCTCCAAGACGCCCATTGTGGGGACAGAACAAAAGCTCAACAAAGGAGAAGTGCAAGTGAGAGAATACTTCGACAAAGTAGATAATGATGCAATCGACGGATCATACGGCTGGCACCTGGATTTTCGCCTCATACTGTCCTCTAACGCGAGGACGAGGGCGGTCTGGGCTCAGTCGATGTCGCACTTAGACGCATCTGAACTCCATCACGGAGAGGGAAAGTGCATACTAGATGCCCAACAGGCATGCAAATCACTTTAACTGATGCTCGTCAGTTCTGAGACATCAGCCCCTTAAAGCCTCTGAAGCCGCCGGTGCCGGATTTGGACGTGTGATCTTTCTTCTTGCCAACGTTTTGGGCGCCGCCTGCATAAGAACAAGGATTAGCTTGTGTGTCAATGACATCCGCGCCTCACTTTTCTCGGCTTGTATCTTCCCTCGGAGGCCGGCATGCTTCCGATATCGAAGCAACGTGCCAACTTTACTCAGTGTAATCATTGTGGTGGAACTCACCTCTGCCATAAACCCGGACTTCCGACTTTGGTGTTATTTTTGCTACCTTGTTGTCCTTATCGCTGCCGCTGCCATTCGTATTGGCGCTGAATGTACTACGGCCATCGGATGAGCCGAGCGGCTCCGTAGGATTGAACGCGTGGAACCGAGGCGCATGTATGGTATCAGTGGGAGACTGCGGCTCAGATGTGGGGCCCAGTGTGTCCATAGGATGGAATGTTCTGGTTGGAAGCGACTCGCTGCGCTCGGGACGTGCTGTGAAAGGCCGGTGACCGTATCCCGAGAATGAGGAGGTCGGGTAGTTGAACTCGCTGTAGTCATCATCAAACTCATCATCGCTGCGCACATCCATCCGCAGTGGCTCGGCGTAAGTTCTGGGGCCGTAGCGGTTCGCGAAACTTGCCCCTCTACTGCTGGCGATGCTACCGCTTCCTGCGGTGCTAGGCTTTCTGATGAACCCGCTGGAAGAATGCTCATCGATGGGGCTGTGTGCGTCGTGGCTTCCATGGCCATTCCCGCCTGTGCGACCTCTTGCGTACGACACCTCAGCCTCAAGAGCTTGACATTTCATCTCCAGTTCAGTGAAGCGGTGGAGGAGGCGGTTGTGCGTCTTCCTCAGTTGGTTGAATTTGGAATGGCTTGCAGCAAGAGCCGAGTCAATCATCTGCTGCACTGATGCAGGAAGCTGAGTGGGGTCGTGCTTCGTGTCAATGTCGACCGGTTGGCGAGATTCGATCTGGGCAAACTTGCGGTCATACGCCCTAGCAATTCTGTTCCGTTCAGCGTCTTGGCTGTCGAGCTTCATGTTGGCCAACTTGAGCTCATTGCGCAGCATTTCTTGCTCATCCTTTGCGTGTTCGAAGTCAAGCTCCCTGAGCTCGAAGTCGCGCAGCCTCGCCTGCAAGCTTTCGATCTCCTGTTTCAGCGTGCCCATTTCTTCCAACTCCACTTCGATGGACTTGAGGTTTTGCTTTGAATTCAGTTCCCTTGCTTCCGCCTCGACAAGAAGTCTCCGGAGACGTTCGCAATCTTTCTCCGCCCTGGCAAGTTTTGCCTTGAACAACTCTTCCTCGGAGTGCCACTGCTTTTGCTCGTCGCGGAAGGTCTTGAGCTTCGAGCCCAGTTCACCCTCCCACTTCTTTGACTGATTCCTGCCGGTCATCGTCTCCTTCTTCAGCTGTGCGTAGAGCTCATTCGCCTTTTGCAGCTTGGCCTTTAGCGTTCTGTTGGTGTTGATTAGATTTTGCGTTTCCGCCTCAACTGTGGCTTCCTTGATATGTCTCCGCTGAAGTTGGCCGATGTGGGATAGATGCTGCGCCTTCAGGTACCGTTCGAAGTTCAGGTCGTTGCGCAATAGCATGACCTCTCGTTGCAGGGTTGCAAGGTTTTGCGCAAGCCGAGCGTGTGTATGTGAGAGCGGATAGTGGTTTGCAGAGAGTGTTTGCGTAAATGCTTCAAGCCGAGGTGAAGCAAGAAGGGCTGAAGACGTTTCCAGGTTCTGTGGTTGCTCCTTTTCAGCAAGCTGTGGAACTGTAGCTCCTGGTAAGGTAGGACTATCAGGACTAGCACCAAGAGGCTGGGGAGAAAGCTTCCTAGGATGCGCAAAATCCTTGGAGGAGGGATTTGTCAAAGTGGTAGATTGAGTGTTTCGCCAACTGCTGCTGGGCTTTCCGTCTGTTGGAGAAGTTGTTCCGTCCTCGTCTAGTGGAGGTATATCTTCAGTTGGAACTAAAGAGACATGGGCGGGCCGTGCGGTTGGCTGCGGGAGATCGGGTAGCTTGGCGGTTGGCGGTGGACCGGGGTCATCTAAAGATGCAGACACTGCCATGCACAGGCTCATGCATTCCGTGACGACATCGGCAGGGTCACTCTTGAGCCAACGGCTCTCGCTCATCTCCTCCTCGGCAGTCATGTTGAAGAAGTTGGGATGCAAGAGATGGACCTGCCGGAAAGGCTCGGTGCGACGTCGAATAGCCTCAGGATCCAGAACCAGGTCGTCTGCACCGAGATAGTTGATGTTCTTCAGGAACCTCCTAGGCTTACGAACGTAGCTCATGAGATTGACGGGAAAGAGTCCATAAATGAAGGTAAAGTAGTATAGCGCGCCGGGAGCCGATGTTTCCGGGTGATCAAAGGCGTGCTCGAGTCTCTCCCAAGTCGGATCGCTACGATCGTCGTCGGAAGAATCCTCGTCGGAGTCAGTGTCGATAGCTTCTTCCGTCTTTTGGGTTTCATTTGGCATTGGCGCGGTAACCTGGTCCCAGCACAAAACTCTACTGTAAATCAGGAAAAGCTTCGGCATGTGAGAGACTAGTACACGGGTGATGTGCGGCATGAACATGATGAGCACGGTGAGGGCCATCTCAACAACCGTGGCAGACTTGTCAATCATCAAGCATTTTTCGAGGTTCTCCACAAGCGGCGTTTCGGAGACCAGGTAGAGGTGTGGGGGTTGGACGCGGACAAAGGTACAGAGCAGACCCAGGGCTTGGACTCGATGTTTGGCTTGGACGAATAGGTTGTTCAGGGAGAGAAGCAGCTCCTATTAGAAATTAGGTTGGGGCCGCTTGCCGGCAAACGGGCGCCAACGTACCTTGGGCTTGCGGCGGCCGTACATGACCAGAAGCGACTCTATCTCGCGGGCAACATACTCGTCTTCGGGGGTAATGACGTCGCTCTCTCCAGTCGGCATGCGAGTGCGTCTCAGATAGCACTCCAAGAGCTTCTGAGTGTACGAAGCAGCGGCTTGGGCGTGCTCGGCGTCGTCGTCGCCGTCAGCTTCATAGGCCAGGATCCCCAGCACGAACTCGCGCGCATCCTCAATTTCGTCCCTCTTGTGGCCTACACCGTCTATTACGGGCTTTATAACTAGATTCCACCATTGCGACAGACGGGCATCGCCGCGAATGGCAGGGCGCACTTGGCGGAGGACGCTGAGGAATGCGCTGCGCTTGATGGGCTCGTCCTGAACGTGGTTGTTGTAGGTCTGCAGCAGCTCGTCGTGCAGGCGCTGCGAGTCCTGGTCATCAATGTCGTGGTGCCTGTCGACGAAGGCTTCGATGGTCTGCTGGAGCTCGTCGGGCAGCGGGTATGCGACGGTTGGACCGGCGAAGACGGACTCAAGCGCCTTGACGGCGTCCTTTACAGAGCTGCATTCCTAGGTCAGCGCGGGCGGAGGAGAGGAGAGCAGGAGGGCGTACGCGGCGGCCATTTGCGCGCGCTCCGCAGTGGGTGCGGGATGCTACGACAGTTCAAAGCCGTTCGCAAAAAAGTGCGGCATAGTCGCGCTCGTGGGCGTGACAGGGTCGGCGGGGCGAGCTTGCTCGCTGATGTATTCGCTCGAGTCGTGGTCGCCGGCTGCTCCCGCCAACCACAGCGGCAGATCAAGAGGTCGCTGGGACTGATGGAGCTGATAAGCAATGTGACGACGCCGTCTGGCAGTAGCAATCTAATAGATTATCGGCTCACGTCGTTTCGTGCAGCGCTCTGTGAATTGTGACCCAGACTGCCGGGGCCTGGCGCATCCTTGGCCGCCGCAGAGGCCAGGCTGGGCAGGCGTGGGCGCGACCATCCGAGCGCCCCCCGTCATTATCTCCGCCATAACCATAACGAATACTTTCACATAACGTCACCCAGCTGCGCCATCGCATGTTGTACAGCGCCTGCGCTGCTCTCGTCGCGGGCGGCAGGATGCAGATGCAGCCCCCGACGGGGATGCGACGCGTCCTCTCGAATGCCACTGTCCGCGCCGCCCAGAGTGATAGGCTGCCGTAGGGGTTGTGCCCCGGCCGCTGGGACGTTAGAGAAAACGGGCAGACGCCGCCTAGCGCCTCAGCACATCCCCCAGGACCTGCCCAAAAAGCTGCTGCGCTCGTTTCCGCCGGCCCCATCCGGAAGCCTCAAGAGCATCGCTCACGGCCCAAGCTTTGTGACATTGAGACACAGGACAGCCGTCAGCGTCATCGGTCTGCTGCCACCCAGCCCTCAGCACTAGCAGCCGATGTGCCGCGTGCGAGGCGCCTCAGCCATGCAGCATCCTTTGGAGAAGAGAGGGTCCATCCGAGCGCAGTGATAAGGTTAGCCGGCGGACATTGGGCCTCCAATGAGTTTCTGGCGCCGATGATCGCCGCCAGGTGCGGATGTGGGCTGAAGCCACCCTGCCGACGCCCACGAGCACAGCAGCTCTGAGATCGCAGCCGATCCACGCAAGGAGGCTACCGCTCGCGCGAGCGTCGTCACGGCAGCCATTCCCCCTGGTGTGGCGGCCTGAGGTGCCACTAAAACGCGCTTGCACAAAGTACCTGCAGCTGCATTATTATTCCTTCCGCTTAGCCATTCTACAGAGGGGTATTGCATCCGGAGCCTGGCGTTAATTTATTTTCGCTCATGTCATGGGCAGTTGAAGCTACCGTCCGGACGAGAGTGTCGAATTGACTCTACATATACGTCCATACGATAGCTTCAACTACTCATATGTTGTTTTGATTTTTTTTTTTTAAAAAAAAAGCTGAGGCATAAATGCCCTATGCTATTCTTCGCGCTAGCCTTCGGCTGCAGTGCCCCTCAGTAGCCTCTGCTGCAGAATCGGGCAGGATCTTAAGCTCCCCCGGCCCATCGGGGTGCACCGCATGGCGACCCTCTCTTCAGCGTCTGACGGTGTGCAAAGCTGCAAACACCGTACATGCGTCCTGTCGTCGCGCGCATAATGCATCAAACTAGTCCACTACTCAGATGTGGAAAACTTTGCACTTACAGAACAGCATGCCACTGCTGCGTTCTGGACGCGGCGCGCTCGCGGCGTGGTTAGTTTAGGCTGCTTCGTATCCGCGCCCCATCAGACTACCGTTGCAAGCATTGCTCATAACGCATGTGGTAAGTCGATGATAATGACGCCGTCGAGATAAGAAAGCGACCCCACGCGACTGTTATTGCGGTGCGCGAACGGCCGGGCGATCAGGGATTCTGAGCCTTCAGGGGACCATCAATCAAACTGGGCGCAGCATCGTTGCCGAGAGGGCTGACGGCCAGACGGGACCTTCCATGAGGCTGTCGTCAAAGATCGAGCCTCGGCTAAAGCTACGTACTATCTTCATCACGGCGAGCTACCCTTATTAGCCATCGTCCCAGCGGGCTGAGATACACGTCGAATCCTCAAATTTGCCATGGGTTGCAGATTAATTAACGTCTCATTCGAGAATGCTTCTCTCGGCCTCTGAGTGCCACTGATCCACCCATCTTTTGTGGGGTGATGCTGTCTTAACTACTCGTAGCCCGAGATCTGGCCAAGACAGCCATCGATTTGGACGCGCGCCAATCTCCCTTTTGCCGGCGGAACCGACGCAACCAAAATCGGCGCCCAATTAAGCCATGTGGTTGCAGACAGTGCAACAGGGCTGTCGTTAGCCTCTGTTCATCGTGTTGCCGGCACCTTTGGGGTTGTCGTCCTTGAAATCATCCCATGCGCGCGCCTTCATCGTCTCCGCATCGGCCTTCTCCATATTGTCCTCATCCGGCTCCGGTTGCATTCCTGACTGCTCGCCGCCCCCTTCAATGATACCTCCCCTCTTTCTTTCTTCATCAAGGTACTCGTCGATGGTCATGGTGGGTAAGCTGTGATCTGGTCGGAAGACCCCTTGCTGTACCCTTTGTCTGTTGTCAAGAAGCGTGAAGGGTCGCAGCGGCTTTCCGTCTGCGCTTAGGATAGGCCCAGTGCGGTTTGACAGGCCCGCGAGAGGGGCATCCAGGCGCTCCGAATAACCATCGCCTCGGCGGTCACGCTGCCGCAAATCCTCTGCAGTGGGGCCCGCATTCGGTGGAGGCGCAGGCGGAGCCATTGCCAGAATCTGCAGTTCCTGCGCTATCGACTCGAGGGACGCAAAAGTCTGGTGGACGCAAAGAGCAATATTTGTGAGGTGCAGCTGACGCAGAGCATCCTCGTCATTCTGGAAAGCGGCGGGATTTTGGTTGAGATGCTGGACACCAGTTACTAAGAGACCACGTGATATCGCCGACGAACGTACCTCGAGCTTCGCTTTCAGCTCTTTCTCGGCTCTAAAGCGGGCAATCTTTGTCTCCCGTCTAGCTGCGGCATCTGAAGTAGATGCAGTAGAGAAGGAGTTGGGGGACTCCTGATACTTCTCGTAGAGCTTGGCGTCGGGCTTAGACAAAACGTCGTAGCTATCGAGCAACTTCATGAATTTTTCGTAGCACCCTCGGGCACTGAGAAGTGTGGCCTTGCGGTCTGTGCCAACGATCCTTTGGAGCAGCTCAGCCAGATGGTAGTTAATGATCATGTATCTGCAGAGAAGATGAGAAGATGAAAGGAAAGATCAAGACGATGCATCCTACTGAATATCCCCCGACGACACATCCTCCAGAGTCTCGTTGGGGCTGAACAGCGAAACGCGATCAGCGACTTTCAAACACTCTTCATAGGTGGCGATAGCTGAGCTGAGCTTCTGCTGGTAAGCATCGCTGTTTGAGTCGTAAGTAGCCTCGAGGTCTTTTCTTTTGGCCTCTGCACTTGAAAACAAAGCGCGAAGGCTCTGCGGCTGCTGTTCAGATTCGTTGCTCATTTCCGACGTCTGGGGTGGTAGGGATGTGTTGTTGTGTTGGAGGTTGTTGCCGCTGAGAAGGAACCTACCTGAACTGCATGGAAAATCATCATCACGTGCGCCGTGTCTTAGCGCGTCCGCCATGATGCGCGCGCACGGACACTCGCGACCCCCGGCCACGACATCCGCTGCGTCACACGGCCAGCTTACTTCCAGTTGTTTGCCTCTCCGACACAAGACCCTGGAGAGCAATCCGACCTCAGCACGGACTGCTAATTCAGGCAGCTGCGACGCAGGCGTTTGCTGCTTGCACCTGCTGCATACAGCAAACGACGGGTCATAAGATACATCTCTGCGCCATTCGCGCAACCATTCACTCTACATCTTCTGCTAACCCTCTCTCCACTTCGTCTATTCATCGCAGGCAGTGCATCCTATTGTCGGCACAGTGCATTGGATCCTGGCATCGCCCATCTCCACCTTGGCCTGTCGCATACCCGCACTCTGCATCTCCGGCTGTGAACACCATGGCGCACAGCTCGCCGGGAGAAGAACTTCTGATAGACTTGTCGTCTCCAGGCTGTGATGCAGGTCACGCACCACTTAAGACAGCCGCCCTTCAAGATGTCGCCAAGTCTCAGCACCCTGCCAAGAACTATGAAGACTCAGAAAGTGACGACGAACTGCCAAACTCCGGAGTTGCTCACAATATCTCGGAGAAGAAGCGTCTGCAACAGGCCCTTTTCAGTTCATGGGTTGCAAAACGTGCAGAACAAGTAACGGACCGAGAGGTGAAGGAAGCTCTAAAGACGGCCAATGATGACTCCCTCTCCATTCGAAACTTGTTGGCCAAACAAGATTCCAACGTCATAACCGATCCACGCGAATATCAGCTGGAGCTCTTCGAGAGGGCCAAAGAAGAGAATGTCATCGCTGTACTTGATACTGGTTCGGGAAAGACCCTCATCGCTGTGCTTCTGCTCAAGCATATCATCGACAAAGAGCTCGAGGATCGTGCAGCGGGCAAAGCTCCTCGCATTTCCTTCTTCCTCGTATGACTTTCTTGTTTTCCCCCGACGAACCCCCAAATTTGTTGAAATATCCGCTGAAAAGAGATTATAGGTTGATTCTGTAACATTGGTTTTCCAGCAATTTGCTGTTCTGGAGTCTAACCTCGATCAGAAGGTGGAGCGTTTCTGTGGAGCAATGAGGTGTGATCTTTGGTCAAAGCAGACTTGGACGAAGCACTTCGAGCAGAACATGGTCCTTGTTTGCACCGCTGAAGTCCTCGCCCAGTGCCTCATGCATTCCTTCATCACCATGGAGCAGATCAATCTACTAATCTTCGACGAAGCTCATCATGCCAAAAAGGGCCACAGCTACGCTAAGATCATCAATGATTATTACGTCCCTACAGATCAGAGCAAACGTCCCAGAATATTCGGAATGACAGCCTCGCCGGTGGATGCAAAGGTGGACGTTGCTCAACCCGCTAGTGATCTCGAAGCACTCTTACATTGCCGCATCGCAACCACCTCAAACCTGGACCTATTGCGCAAGACAATCAGTCGCCCGGACGAGAACGTGGTGATATACGCTCCACTTGAGAAGCCGTTCGAGACACCGCTGCACATCAAGATGAAAGAGAAGTTTGCCGACATGGAAGCATTCCGCACTCTCTTTCAGTCTTCCAAAGAGGCAAGCTCTCAGCTCGGTGCATGGTGCTCGGACATGTTCTGGTTTTATGCTCTCCAGGAGGAAGAGGCAAAGAAGCTTGAGAGCCGTCGAGAACAAGAATATCACCGGAACAAAAGGTTCAAGTCGATATCGGCCCTCGACGAGGAGGTAGCAAGATTGAGAGAAGCTGCAAAGATGGTTAGCAGTCATATGTTCGGCGAGCCTCAGCTGAACTTGACATGTCTGAGTTCAAAGGTCTTGGAGCTGCACAGTTGGCTGTTCCGGTACTTTGAACGGCCAACGAAAGCAAGGTGCATCGTCTTCGTCGAGCGGCGAGACACTGCTCGTCTGTTGCACCGCGTCTTCAGCAGCATTGGAGGCCAGCACCTCAAATCCGGCATGATCGTCGGTAGTACGGGCAAAGGGAATGACCTCAACATCACCTTCCGCGACCAGGTCATGACTCTCTTAAAATTCAAAAAGGGGGAATTGAACTGCCTGTTTGCAACCTCTGTTGCTGAGGAAGGCCTCGACGTACCCGACTGCAACCTAGTCGTCAGATTCGACCTTTACAAAACGATGATCCAGTATGTGCAGTCCAGGGGCCGAGCCCGGCACAAGAATTCCCGATACTTGCACATGATTGAGGAGGGCAATTTACGCCACAGGCAGCTTGTTCTGGAAGCTCGCCAGGCAGAGAAGTTGATGCGGCAGTTCTGCGAGGCTTTGCCGGAGGATCGCCTCCTGAAAGGAAACGACGCGGATCTGGATGACCTCATTCTCGATCGCACAGACTTTAGAACTTACACGGAACCCAGCACCAAGGCGAAGCTCACCTATGATTCCAGCCTCAGCGTCCTTGCTCACTTTACAGCACTACTCCCCAGGCAGGGAGAAGTTCCTTTTGATCCTCTCTATATTGTGTCCCCTCGGTCAGGTAAATTCATCTGTGAGGTTATCCTCCCAGAAAATTCACCCATCCCATCAGCAATGGGTCGTCTGTGTGCGCGAAAGGCTATTTCAAAACGCTCAGCAGCCTTCGAAGCATGTGTCCAACTCCGCGAAGGCGGGTACCTCGACGAGAATCTCCTGCCGATCTACACAAAGCAGCTTCCTGCTATGAGAAACGCCCGACTGGCATTGAATTGCAAGAAGACTAGTGCGTACGATATGATGACGAAGCCGCAACTATGGGAAGCTACCCGTGGTACAACTCCGGAAGAACTACATATCACTGTCATTGAACTTCCAGATGGTCTTGAAAGGCCGAATCAGCCGCTAGCGATACTTACTCGTACACCTCTCCCAAGCCTTCCGGAGTTTCCAATTTTCCTCAATTCTGGAACCGCGAGTATGGTCCAGCTGACGCCTTTGACGTCTGTCTTCAAATGCAGCTTCGATGAAGTTCAGTATTTGACTACATACACACTCAGGGCGTTCAAAGACATCTTCAACAAGACATACGAAGAGGACCACGCCAAGATGTCCTATTGGATTGCCCCGATGAAGGCTTGCTATCAGGTGCTTGATGGTGGATTTTATGGTTTACGAGACATCCTCGATTGGGCAGCTTTGGAGGAGGTCCAAAAGCACGTTGAGTACCATTGGACGGCGGAGATGTCGGATGATTTTCTTCTGGACAAGTATCTGGTCGACAAGTGGGACGGAGGTCGGCGCTTTTTTACGGAATGCCTTAAGGGAGATCTGAAGCCGACAGACCCTGTGCCGGAAGACGCTGTCAAAGGAAAGACGGTTGAACACAGGAAAGACATCCTGAACTACTCCATTAGTCTGTATAAGATGTCAAGAGCGAAGGCCGACTCAACCTGGAACCGTGATCAGCCGGTAATCGAAGCAAGGCAGGTGCTCCATCGCCGCAACATGTTGGCGGAACCCGAGAGGCGTGAAGGCGATCTCCGATCAAAGGTGTACCTGTGTCCGGAACCTCTGAGGATATCAACGCTTCATCCCGCAGCTGTGGCCACCATCTACATCTTCCCCGCTGTGATCCATCGCATAGACCAATATCTCATTGCGTTGGAAGCTTGTCAGCTTCTGGGACTGGACATCCGTCCTGACTTGGCGTTGGAGGCGGTGACGAAGGATTCGGACAACACCGAGGAACACGGAGAAGAGGTTCTGAACTTCCGCCGCGGTATGGGCAACAACTACGAGCGTCTTGAATTCATGGGAGATTGTTTTCTCAAGATGGCCACCTCGATTGCCCTCTTCGGAGAGAATCCGGATGACAATGAGTTCGATTTCCATGTCAAGAGGATGTGCCTGGTGTGCAACCAAAACCTGTTTGAAACTGCAAAAGAGCTGCAGCTCACCAAGTACATCCGCAGCATGGCATTCTCAAGAAGAACGTGGTATCCGGATGGCCTAAAGATGTTGGAAGGCAAAGGCCACAAGAGAACTGGAGAAGAAGTGATCAAGCATGGTCTTGGTGACAAGACTATTGCCGACGTCTGCGAGGCTCTCATTGGGGCGGCGTATTTGACACACGACAGTCGAGACGAATGGAAGCAAGAAAACTGGGATAACGCTGTGAAGGCAGTCACCAATCTCGTGGCCAGCCCAGAACACACCATGAAGAAGTGGTCAGAGTATTTTGACGCATACGAGAAGCCAGCTTATCTCGATGCGGAGCCCACGGCCGCGCAAATGGATTTAGTCAATCAAGCCGAGAAGGAGCACCCATACCGCTTCCGTTCAGCGAAGCTGTTGAGATCGGCCTTCATACACCCTTCTTATCCCTACACATTCGAGAAAGTACCCTCCTACCAGCGCTTGGAGTTCCTGGGCGACTCGCTCATTGACAACGCTTGTATTACCTGGCTAGTCTACAACTTTCCGGACAAAGACCCTCAGTGGCTGACGGAGCACAAGATGGCCATGGTGTCCAACAGATTTCTCGGCGCCGTCTGCGTGAAGCTCGGATTCCACAAGCACCTCAAGTACTACCACTCACAGCTCGAATACCAGATCCGCGACTACGTCACCGAAATCCGCGAGGCCGAGCACAACGCCAACGGAGCGCGCGATTTCTGGGTGTCGGTCAAGCCGCCGCCGAAGTGCCTTCCCGACATAGTCGAGGCATACGTCGGCGCGCTGTTCGTCGACAGCGAATACGACTTCGCCGAGGTCCAGAAGTTCTTCGAGATGCACATCAAATGGTACTTCGAGGACATCACCATCTACGACTCGTACGCCAACGCGCACCCCATCGTCCGCCTCCACCGCCTCTTCCTCGAGGTGCTCGGCTGCACCGAGCACAAGGTCATGGTCCAGGAGCTGCCGACTATCACGCCCGGCGCCCCGGTCAGGTGCATCGCCGGTGTCATGGTACACAACCGCATTATTGCCGAGGGTATGGCTTCTTCTGGGAAGAACGCCAAGGCCAAGGCTGCGAAGTTTGCGCTTGACGACCTTGAAACCATGCCGCTGTTCCAGTTCAAAGAGATGTACGGATGTGACTGCGACGAGCAGAGTGATGAAGAGGAATGCGGTGATGACGATGACGATGCGGGTGATTTGGTGGAGGTTGGTGAAGCCGAAGATACTCATGTTCGTATTGTGAAGAGGGGAGTTTGATCCGAATGGAGGGGAAGCGGGTGAACTCGAGCATTTTAGGCAAATGCATTGCCAGCCAATGCAGGGTGCTATGACAACTCTTACGGGTAGCCGAAGCAAGCGTCCGGACATACATGTAGATGTAGTAATCATACATTGTCGTCTTGACGAAAGCTTTTATTGCTTGCACAAGTTGAGTTTCGTTCTTCGTCAAGGTTGCGAAGTATTATCTCACATGAGACGAAGGCATCGTGGCCGTGACACCAACGATCATTCGGAAACCCGATTTTGTTGTAGTAGGAGTGTGTCTCCTGATGGATTGTTACAAACGCCACGAACCATTCTACAGTACAGGACCGCAGGTGTACCGGAGCACAGGAAAAACATACATCGTGAAGACTCCTCATCTTCATTTCCCCCCGCAATCCTCCAGTTTGACATTGAGCATAAAGAACCAGCGCCATATCCCACATCTGCTCGCCGCGAGAGGAAATCTCGTGCGCGAGGTTCCTTTTCCTTGATGATAGTACATAGCGTGTCCTGCGTGAAAGGCGTAAAAAGTGAAAAATGAAAGACATTCCATCTTTTTGTATCCCTATCCCGGGCTCGTAAGACAAGCGCCTGGGCAAATTGAAGCGAAGAAGATAACTATGGACTAGATGCCTATACATCATGTACAGCAGTCAAGCATGACAACCGTCACGACGGGTAGGTCACCTGATCCAATAGTTTCCGCTGGAATCCAGTCTGGCGGTGTTGTAGAACCGGTGCGATCTCCAAAAGATGACGCAAAGGCCAATGAATGCGAGCATGGCTACGATGCGGATGGAGATTTTGATGCGTTGAGACTTGTTCCATGGAGCTCTTTACGAGGCAAAGGGAATGAAGAAACAATCAGTTTGTTGGGTCCTTCAAGAAGAACAAAAAAATCAAAGTGGTCGTAGTTTGTTTTGAAGTACGGGTTTACTACTAGAAAAAAATGCGAAAGGGTTTATTGCTGCTTTTCGTACCCCTCTGGTTTCTCCATATTGTTGACTTCAAAGAAGCGTGCAGTGCCTGTTGCGATGAGAATGCATGGTTAGCGGCTGGCAGCTGGAAGAGTAAAGGGCGCAGAACTTACAGGAATAGCCGTTCCAGTCGAAGTTGTCACCAGGGTTGCAGTGGCACTTGTTGTCAGTGCGTGTCTTCTGGCTAGTCGGGCAGTGGGTGAAAGGGACGTGGTAGTAGGCAATATCATCAAAGAAGTGGATCTCGTCCTTGTTGAGCATAAGACCAGCAGCGATCGAGTGCACAGGCGCGTCGCCCCAACGCTCGTAGAAGAAACCGCCATCGTGGTCAAGGTGCGTGAAGAAGTCAATGTAAGCCTCGCTGCGGAGCCAGTTGAGGTTACCGATCTCGAAGTTGGACCAGAAGTGGCAGTGGTTGTAGGTCTTGCCGTCATCGTCGCTGAGGAAAGCCATGGAGTTGTCCTTGGCGATGTGCTGGGGATACTTCTGCATGAAACCCTTGACGCTGTCCCAGAGAGTGGGAATAGTCTCGACGTACTCGTACAGACTAAGCACGAAAGAGTACTTCTTCTTGTTGTCGGCCATGAACTTGAAGGTGTCGTAGTTGATGTCGCAGAAGAGCTCGATGCTGGGCTCGACGCGCCAGTACCACTCGTAGTCGAGCATCAACGGGTGACGGAAGAAAAAGCCAGACTCGTAGCGGCACATGTGGCGGTAGCTGATGGAGTCGCCGTAGATGATCTGCTTCTGCTTCATCTCGTCACGGACCTTGGCGGCCTTGTTGGTGTCGATCCAGGGCGGGAAAGACCACTGGTCGGTGTCGATCTTGCCGTACTTGGTGTTACCGGACACGAGCGAGGTGGTGACGCGCTTGAAGTTCTCATCGAAGTCGTCGTCGTTCAGGAAGACCCAGTCGTAGTTGAACTTGCGGTTGAAGCGGTCCTCGACCTGGCGAATGGAGCGAGCAATCTCCCAGACGTCCGAGTTACGGGCCAGAGTGACAAAGGTGGCGTTCATACGCTCGCCGGGGGCGGTGCCGGTCAATTGAGTAGGAGTATTCGGGGTGGTGCCCTGGGACGAGCTGCCGGAGTGGCCGGGAGAGTTGACGACGGGAAGCTCGTTGGAGCCAGGCTCGGTCGAGGCACCAGAGCCCTTCCATTTGGAGCCCTGCTCCTTTATGATCTCGCTGGCGCTCTGCAGGCGGCTCGTAGGGACATCGGACGAAGAGAAGAAGAAGATAAGCATAAGCACCTGGATAGGCGGTTAGCGGGACTCGGCAAAACGGGCGCGGTCTACGCACGATGAAGGCAAAGACGATGTAGCGCATGTAGCGCTGTGTGCCTGCCATGGTTGTGTCCGGAGCGGCGTGCGCTGGAACGAGGCGGACAGAGGAGCAGCTGGGCTACGTAGGCCGGGTGTGGCTGAAAGGGGCTGCGTGGTATTCAACGGCGCAGGTTCAGGTAGGCGGGCGCGCGCTGGATGTTATGTGCGACGGCTGGGCGAGCAGCGTTGAGGCATTGAGCGGCGAAGGAGAGGCAGGACGAAAGGGAGCGAGCGAGCGAAAGAGATACGTGTTAGGGCGGTTTAGGGTACGAAGGGGAGGGCAGAATTCCAGTACAACACGCGGCCACCGCGCGCTCGTATGGCGCTGAGTGTGCAATCAGCAGCAAGGAAGGGGTCTAAGCCCGGGCCCGTGCTGCCTTCCAGCCCGGCCTCCGGCACGCGTCGCTCATTACTGAGGCACCGTTGCCGCACTGTGTCCTTCTCGCTGTGAGTTTCTCGGCGCGGTTTCGCCATCTGCACCTAGCGGCGGCCCCGCGACACGCCAACCAGCGCGCACTGGCGCTGAGGATCGCCGAAAAGTCCATGTCGTAAACACCACGACCGCCGCCGAGCCCGCATCTCACCCACCCCAGCACGTCACCGCCCCCCCGCCACCCACCCTGCCATTGTCGCCCACGCCCCCCGAAATGTCCTTTTTCGGCTTCGACACGTCGTTGCCGCGGGACCGTCCCGCCCACCACTCGTCTGCGCCTGGCTTTGGCCAGACGCCCGACCCGTGGGCCGGGCTCTCCGGTCAGGGCGCCCCCGCCGACGACGATGCGTAAGTCTCTGCCTTCCCTCACTCTACTGTGCTGACCTGAGCTCTGCTGCAGCCTCAATTTTGACGACACCTACGATGGCCTCGGAGACCAGCTTGATGAAACCGATGACGCCTTCAACGATGACACCTTTGGCGGCGAGCCTGCCCAGTCCGTCGGCAAGGACTTCGACTTCTCCGGCCAGACGGCCAAGATTGCCGGCACAATCCACGAGGAGCAGATGCTGTACAGTGCTCGCCAGCCCCCGTCCCAGGTGAAAAGGGAGGAGAGGAAGCCCGTCAAGACTGGATACGAAAACTATGCCCAACCTGGCTACATTGGCAACCTCGAGGCGAGCGCTGATATCTGGGGAATCCCGAAGAAGACCACCCCGAGCCAGGAGAACCAGCGCCAGCAGCTCCCGCCCCAGCATGCTGCCCCGGCCGCTAGCAGGAAGATGATGAGTCTGGAGGAGGTTGAGGCTGCTATGCTTGCCCAGAAGAAGTACGGTGTCCAACAGCAGCCTGTTCAACCTCCCGTTACCCAGCCCACGCCTCAGCCCGCTATGCCTGGCTTTCCGCAGCAGCCCCCGCCAAACTGGGGCCAGCAGCCCTTCGGAGCTCCGCCGCAGATCCTCCAGCGCCACCAGCAGTTCCCCCCTCAGTTTGCTCAGCAGCGTCCTCCGTCAATTCCTCAGCAGCAGATGCCGCATGAGCTGCCTGCCCAGAGCATCCCGCAGCCCCAGATCCTCCAACGCCAGAGGCAAGAACAACAAGGCCAGCGCGGTACTCCGCCTCAGATGCACCAGCTTCCGCAGCAGCCCCGCCAGATCCTCCAAAACCCGAACCATCTCTCCGGCCCAGGCCAGCCCGTAGCTCAGGCCTTCAACCGCATGCCGCCGACTGGACCAGCTCATGCACGCGGTCCTTCGTATCAGGGCCAGGTCATCACTCACCCGGAGCAACTGCTACGTCTCTCCGATGCTGAGCGCGCTGCTTTTCTGGAGGAAGACGCCAAGCGTGCAAAGAGGATCCATAAGATCCACATGCTTTCCAAGGACAACGGCCTTATGACCCCGCAGGACAAGAATTTCATCACCCGCATTCAGCTCCAGCAGCTTGTCACGGCTACCGGTAGCATTGATGACCAAGGCCCCGAGGCTGCCCTTGCCGAAGACTTCTATTACCAGGTCTTTTCGCAGATTCGTGGAGCTCCGCGTCAGAACCCTCACCAACCTGCCAACCAGTTTGCTCAAACCTACCTGTTCCAGACTGGTGGCCGCTATGGAGGCCGCCGGCACCACCGCGGCGGTGACAACCACGCCCAGCGCATGGAGCAGCAGGTGCAACGCGCGGTCGAGGCAGCCAAAGCGAAGCCCAAGAACAAGCAACTTGTTATCGAGGGCAGCCTCGGCAAGATCTCGTTTAGCAACGCAAAGACGCCCAAGCCCCTGCTGAACATCAAGAAGCCAGAAGGAGAAGGCAGGCCGAACGGTGCCGGACGTCGACCCAGCCGGGCCCACCATGACGTCGCCGACCGCAAGGCGACCCTGCGCAACATTGAGAACGTCTACAATATTCTTATGAAGATGGAGGATCATGAGCGCAACATGCCCCCTCCGCTGAACGACGGCAGCAGCCCTGCTCAGATCCAGGAGCACATGGAGTGGCAGCACAAGGTTCAGGAGCTGAACCAAAAGCTTTGGCAGAGTTTGAAGGTCATGGACCCCATCATGCCTGGCTCCAACGTTCCGCACCCTTTCATCGCTATTCTGTCGCACCCGAAGGGCAAGAAGGCCATTCCGCGCATCTTCCGCCATATCGATGAGCAGCAGCGCGTGACAATCTTGACCATGATTGTCGTGCACTTGGACACTCTGGATGTGGTTCAGCATGGCATCCCTGCCGATCCTCTCACCCCGCTTCCGCGCGCAGCAAAGGAGGAGATCGAGCTGTTCGCTCAAGCCGTTATGCCTCCTCTCTTCGCCTATGTGAACGAGGCGCCCCTGAACATCGTCATTGGTCTCTTGGGCCTGGTCCTTGACCGCACCAATATTCCCGTGCTGGTCCGCACCAAGATCGGTTTGTCCATCCTTACCATCTTTGTCTCGCGCGCAGAGCTGGTCAAAGAAAGCACCCCGCCATCAGCAGCCACCTCGCAGGATCTTCAGCAGATCGAGCAACTGTACAATCGTCTCTTCGACACCGTTGAGCCTGTGCTGCCGTACATCTTCCCCGGCACCGTCAAGGATGATGAGGACGTTTACGTGTGGCAATTCCTTGCATCCATGGGTGCGAGCGCATCCGCCGAGCAACAACAGAGACTGGTTATTGGCGTCAAGGATCGTGTCATGGACACCGTCAACATTTGCAAGGCGCTCCCTAAGGAGTTGTCTGCGACGAGACTTGGCCATGTTAACTTGTTCATGAGGGCGATTGGCTTGGACGTTGAGTTGCTTGGCTAAGGATTATTGAGAATCGAAGAGCATGAAGGTCAGCGAAGTATATGGTCCGGCGCAAGAGCATTCGGAAGGACTTTCAGACGAAGATGATGACAGCGAGAACACCAAAAGTCCTTTCTCGGTCCTCCACCAAGAGGAACTAGACGGCAACGTTTCTGAGCTGCGCGCTCCTTACTTCGCTGTATATCGGATACCGAAACATACGAAGGAACTTGATTACATGGCTCCGGAGTTCGGCTTTTCCACCCCCGCCTTTCCTCTGATTGAGGATTGAGCGTTCCCCATATACTGAAAAGGTCTGGTCTGGTCTGGTCTGGAAAATTGTCCGATGTGGCGACGTCAGGATACCCCGATGATAGTCATGATTTTTTTTGGCTGGATGGGTTTTCTCTTTTGATTGCTTTCCCCTTTTGCACTTACTTTCCATGGGGCGGCTTCGATCCACTATAGCGTTTTATTCAACATGAAAATAGTCTTACGTCAATCCTTGTACTCTAGCCATTCGCGTGACATGTATGTGATGAGAGAATGGGACTTTCGTTGCTAACGACTCGAACATTACGATCGCTTCTGCTTGTTTGGCAGTCCTACATCACTCCCACCTGAAGCCCAGCCGATAGTAGGAAAAAAAACCTTGCAATGTCTTTCAAAACCATCTCTTCGTCGCAAGGGCCTCTTCGCTGGACCACCTCTTATCTCATGCCCGTAAGCATTTCTTGCTTGTGGGCCACTAGAATTACCGGTTTGAGGTATGCCATCCACCAAAGCACCCTACCGACACAGTTGCCATCTGTTTGTAAATAATAATGAGATACACGTGTTTGAGCGGCGAAATATGGAACGAGCAACCAAAAGACTAGAAAAAAATTTTCCTAGATAGACGGGACTCTTGTAGATAAGGTACTTTGACTGGATCCCTTGCTTACAGCCGATATGCACTGAGTTTGGTATTCCGGACGCAAGGCTCATCGGTGGACAGGCGGGGGCAGAAAAGGCACGTTGGATTCCATTTTCCATCCAAGCTAATGTAGGAAGTGCAGCTACTGACGCCTCTTTGAGATGCAAGGTAAAGTTTATTTTTTGCCCCTCCATTCTCCGCCCATTTCCACGACTGAAATTTTGAGTGGTTGCAAAGGGTCTTGTAGAAAAAGCCGTTGAAATGCCTGCTCCCTTCCGATTAAACTGGCTGTCTATTTTTGATATCCTCTTCGGGTTCGCAGTCACATCATTGACAGCCCTGCCTCCATCTCATGGGCTATCCCAGTACGAGCTTTGTAGACGCGCTTTAGTGGAGCAAAGTGGCTGCCAGCCCCGGCATCTTCTCCCATCCATAACAACTTGTTTGCCACCACAGCATTCCCATTCCGAGTCTCTTTTCCGCCCCAACTTGTTCTTTTCCCCTCTAGAACCTCCTCCTTCACTGAACAGGGATCTTGCCCTCGTTCAGTAGCTTCTCGAGACGGGTGATATCATCGAGGGTATTGGCCGTCTTGATCTGCTCCTCGATGCTGGCGCGCTCGGCGTCAGTCAGCTTGACGTGAGCCATGCCGGCAGCAACGTCGTTAGCACCAGCTGAGGCGTCGGGAACGGCGGTTCCGCGCTGGCGCATGAGCTGCTTGGCGAGCTCGGTCGGCTCGTCGGGGGTGCCGAAAAGCTCCTTGGCCTTCTGGCGCTCAGAGTCCCTGACGCGCTGGAAGTCGAGGAAGCGGAGCGACGGGATGCGGAAGATGAGGTAGTAGCGGTAGTTCTGTTACCGGCGCGACAAAAACGATTGAAACTTTAAGCGGATGCAACTCTTTCTTCCCCACCGTGACGCGGTAGAAGGGTTGGGAATGGACTTACCTCCTTGGTGCAGACCGGGTTGTTGGTCAGGTTCAGCTGGATGAGCCTGGAGAAGCCGCCGAGCGGGTCGAGGTCGGCGAGCTCGCGGACGTTGTTATCGGCGAGGCTGAGCGTCGTCAGTGACGGGATGGCGCGCGCGATGCCCGGCTGGATCTGCGACAGGCGGTTGCGGGCCAGCAGCACCGTCGTCACGCGCAGGCGCTGTGGCAGGTTGCCCAGCACCTGGATGTGGTTGTCGGTGAAGTCGATGCACTCGATGTCGGCGGACGCGGCGCCCATGTTCTCGATGTGGGTGAATTGACGACCTGTATGTCCCGGCAACAGACCGAAGTCATGATGGTATCAACGCAGCTCTTTTCTTTCCTTCAAAGTGTAGTATCTGTTCTTTTCAGCTTAAACGCACCTCTGAGGTCCAGCTCGCGCTCGCCGAGCGGGTTGATGTATGAGAGGGAACCCTGAATGATCTCGGCCGTCAATCTCATCTTGGGCAACTTTGGTGTCTCTCGTCAGCTAAGGAGCGGTGGTCTTGCTGTCGCGAAGGCTTGATTGTCGCGTGAGGGAGCTCGCGTCGAAAGGGCTCAGCGGGAGGCGGGGCGATCGCGCGGAACGTTATTGCGGGCAGGCGAGCGCGTTTGGAGGTGGGTGTTTTAGTTTGAGCGTGCGGGTGAGGTTGTCGCGGCGGGTGGTGAGGGTGGAAGCTAGGAAGCAGCTGCCCGCGGCGGATTTTCTCGAAATCTGGGGTCGCCGCGCGCCGGCCAGGCTTGCTTGCATCATCACGCGCCGCTACGGCAACCAATTTTTCCGCGCAGTCGTAGTCTAACTTCCTATACCAGCGCGCCGCCTCTATTGTCCCTTCCTCAGCAGTCGTACATACTCTCACTATTGTTCAATACCATGTTGTTGAGTTGCCACGCCAACTTTTCTCATATCTCTAAGCCTCGAATTATATCTAATATAGGCTTAACCTTGTGTAGGCTCGACATTTGTTTCGAGAATACCTTCTTTGACTGTCAATTCACACGCTATTACTATACCTCATTGTTAAGACAGAGATTTTTCGTTCCTCAAGCGTCTAGCCGCTTGATGTCACTCTGTAATGGATTTGGCTTGGTTCAGCGACTCGTGGTCATCGTCGGCCAGCACTTTCTTCTTATCCATCGCCGTTGCCATGTTTTCTTCTTTTCTAGACATCAACCAACCGCCCACCCGCCCTAAGTTGAGGAGCTGATCAAATATGCAGGCTCAATAACTTTACAGTACTCGGATGCGGTCTTTAACTCTCCACGCAATTACTACGTGACACTTGTCGTGAATCACCATGATTTCGTCCAATGACACCATCAGAAACCTTTTGATGGCCATTTAAATACACTCGTAGCGATCGACACCCCTATGGATAGAAAGTTAGTCCATATGTAGAACGTCAGAAGCACGCTTCGATCTAGATGGTGGTGCTGAGGTGTACGAATCCGTGATATCTGCGTCCCAAAGAGGCCACATGGTCGAATAAGATTCACATGATGCAGGGCAAAAGAATGAAATCTATCAAATCAATTCCGTTCGCTCTGCTCAATTACCCTAGAGCTCGGGTTGGGTATCTTAACAAAACCGGACATTTCCCCCCCAAACCCCCCCTCCCCTCCCAAACGCCATGCTAAAATCATTTAAAAAAAAAAAAACAGGCAAAAACCGAGGAACAGAAGGAGTAGGCCTCACTGGGCCTGCCACGGAACCCGGGTTGTCTCAAACCCCCTCCTGAGTTCAGCAATGGTGGGGCATGACCCCCCGGGCAGAGCGTTGAACACGCGGGCAGTGGCGGACGGAGAGGATGCTCCTACTCCCAGTCCAAACCACCAGAGAGCAGCTGAGCCGCCATCTGATGGCGGACACGGAGCACCCCCTCCGTCGAGGTGACGTACAAGTTGGGCTGGATGTCCAGGCCCAACGCCACTGCCCGCGCGTTCTGAAGCGTGAACACTCCGCAGTCATCGGAGTTGCTCTGCCTCGGGGAGCGCTGGCCCCCACCAACAATGACGCTCCACTCTGCGTCATTGTATGCCGAACCCAGGGTCGCCTTGACCCACTCGTGGGCCTTGGCGACAAAGGGGGCGGGCGAACCGGCGAGACTATCGTAGTAGTTGATAGTCCGCTCGGTGCCCGAGACAACCACCAGCCTCCAGTGGGCTCCGTGGCAGATGGGGATGAATAAGGCCTTCACTTGGAGCAGACGCTCCTCGTGAAGCCTACTCCTTCTGTTCCAGTTGAGGACCTTTTGGACCCCCTTGTCCATGACGGCCACCCACCAGTTGGAAAGGACGAACTGGTATGGTGGTGCCTTCCCGGCCTTCTTGTCGCTTTCCGTGTATCCTTCCTTTTCACACGCCTTCTTGGTCAACTCCTCCAGGTACTTGTTGATGAGCGAATCGTTGAGCCAGGTCGTGTGGGGGACTAGCGTGGACAGGTCGCGGACGGTGAAGTTCCTCGCAATCTCTGACATCGGGTCGCGACTGGCGAAGGTAGACTTTATCTCGGCTACTTGAGCGTCGGTTGGGCCTTGGCTTAGGAGCTGGCGCCTCCTCTCTGACTTGGCTTGCTCCAATGCCTTCTTCTCTCGCTCGAGCTTCTGTCTGGCCTCAGCTTCCTCCTGCTCAGCCTTGCGCTTTGCCTCAGCAGCTGCTTCGTCAGCCTTGCGCTTTGCTTCAGCCTCTGCACGGCGCTGCTTTTCGAGCTCCTCCTCGCGCGAGTCCTTGCGGCTGTCGGATATCTCCAGATCCCCGGTCTCTTTGAATGAAGTGTTCTCCATGAGCTGCTCCAATGAGGTGGCCGTTGGCTTGCGCACGTTGATCATCTCCTTGACTTCCTTGTCCCGGAGGTGCCACTGCGTCACTCTGACATCGTGAGCACTACCTTCATCAGAGGATTCAGGAAGTTCGATCGGCTTATTCCATTCGGTGCCAGCAAAGTAATTCTCAGCCGTCTGCGTGCGGGAATCCATGACCTGTTCGTGCAAAGTCTGCTCGGCCTTCTGGTTGGCGACAGGTCCAGGTTGCTTGTGACCATGATCGTTGGGACGGTCGGCTGCGGTCTTAGCTACTTGAGCGGGGGCCTTGCTAACGTCTGCACCGATGGCTTCCGTGTCACCTGAGCTCTCATTCTTCTCACGTTGCGATTGCTGTCCTTCCTCGCTGCTGCCGGAGGAGGAAGTGCTAGGACGTTCTTCCGACTCCCGATATGTCTGGAAGTCCGCTTGACCGCCGGTGTGCCTTCCGGATTGGCGGTTCATTTGTACTTGCGTGATGTTCTGTGCCGGGTCAGGCTGGGTAGCATCCATGATCTTCTGGGCCCTGCGGGCTGGGGCAGTCAAAGAGTCATTATTCTGACCGGTGATCCTCGCGACTGTGCTGGAAGAGGGAGCCAGGGCGATGTTTGTGCGCTCGTTGCGGTTCTGAATCCTCGGGACTGCAGCGACAGAGATGTGCCTGCGCTGAGGTTGCGCACTGCCAAAGCGAGACTTCAAGGCTGGCAGATCGTCATCTCTGCCAGAGCGCTCGGACGAATCGAATCCCTTCATGGACTTGCCGGTCAGCTTGAATTTGATGGGCGCCTTCTTGGAGCCGTTGGCCTTCTTGGGCTTATGCATGGGCAGGTCGTCCTTTTCCTTATCTGCGGCTTCGGCGGCTTCCTTAGCTGCGCGCTTATCCATCTTGAGAATGGTATTGCCAGGAATTTGCATCTGGATGGGTGACTTCTTTGTGCCATTGCTGCTCTTCCTGCTCTTCTTGGGTTTGTGCATAGGAAGATCTTCTTCTTCTGCGTTAGCGACTGCTGCACGCTTTCTCTTGAGGCTAAGAGGTGTCTGGATGATATCATTCGAGCCGGAAGGAGAGCTGGATCCGGACTCTTCTGTGATGTGTCCTTGAGCTGACGTAGTCATGCTGGACGACTGAGCCGACTGGCTATTGGAAGATGTGTTGGTGTTCGATGATGCAGCACCGCTGTGATCGTTGGATGAGGTTATGCTGGACGACTGAGCCGTCTGGTCATCGGAAGAGAGGTGGGTGTTTGATGTAGCACCATTGTTGGATGAGACTGTGGATGTAAAGAATCTTCCGACATGCTTGAAGGCTTTGCCAAAGGAGATGCTGGATTCAGAACGGACGTTGGTAGTCTGATCTGTGGCGGCTACAGCGTCAGCCGGATTGGCATGAGCCGGATTGGCATTGTTCGAAGCGGCGGGGTCAGTCGGTAAGGGATCATCGAGAGGGAAGGCACCGGGCATAGGCCTGAAGATGGCTCGACGCTTGTTGGATAAGGGTCCAGTGGGAACGAAGACAAGTTCCCTGCGTTTGTCTGCGCAAACGATGGAAGTGATGATGGCCCGGAAGCGATCTTTGACTTTAGTCATGAAGATGCCATCGCGCTGGTTCTGCACGAAAGAGGGTGTCTCCGACTCAAGCGGTTCTGTGAAGCCTCTAGCCGAAGACTCGCTATCCTCAATGACATCGTTGTCATCGCCACGGCGCTTGGAAGGTGTGATGGGCGCGACATCCTTACGAGGAGTGTTGCGTGCGAGCTGGTTCTTGATCAAGCTCTCCTTGAGCAAACTCTTCTTGCCTGAGGATTGTGTGGCGGGCTGTGAGGCCTTGAAGTCGTCATAGCTCTTGGGCTCCTGGGCTGGAGGTAGTCTTGCGACAGCTCCTGCATGCGACGGACCGAAATTGAAGTATCTGAAGTTCGTGCGGGGGTGGTAAGTCCGACGAGACCGATTGTTGTTGATGAGAGAAGAGATGAAGGTATGGGGAGCGGCGGAGTTGTTGATGGTGGAAGTGTGAAGGGCAGTCGAGTTGTTCATGTGAATGGAGGACAAGGTCCGATTGATCGTGGGCATAGACGCCAAAGGCTGCTGGCCTTGGTCGGGGATGGAAGTTTGGGTAGGGTTGGTAGGGGACCAGTTCTGGAAAGATAAGGTCAGCGACAACTGATCACAAATTTGGGAGGCTACGCATCGCCATCGCGGTCGGAACTTACCATAGGGGAGCCATCTTGGGCAGTGTCGGTCTGGCTGTTGTCGGGATGGGCGGGCGTCGCGTGGTTGTTGGCGTGGCTACGGACGTCGCGATCGTACGACAAGTCCAGATCCTGCGCACTGCGTCAGCGCAAGATCTTTGGGAGCAACGCGCAGGCATTGCGCGCAGGCGGCGGCTTACCATGTCGGAGGTGTCCTCCATGGTGATGACGTCGCTTGGACGGTGAGCGCAGGCGCGATGGGTTGTCGGGGTGTAGTACGGGACAGGAGCGGGATCGGGTGGGGAGAAGGACGGCAAGAGCTGTGTGGAGCAAGGGAAGCTTGGATGCAGGCGGGGCGCTTCGCGATGTGCTGGCTATCGTGCAATCGAAGCTTGCGTTGCTCGGTGTCGTGAAGAGGAAGGAAGATGGTTGGAGCGCGGCTGGCAGCTCCAGAAAAGCGGCACGGACCCTTGCGCACAGCCCTAACCGCGAAGGCTTGGCGCGACCGCGACGAAAGCTGCCCGCCGCCCCGCGCGCTGCGGCGCTGTCATGGCTCCAGCTGTAATTTACGAGCAGCTGTTCGGCCGCTGGCGGTCTCTAGATCTGGCCAGCAGCGGACAATGGCAATCTACGGCGCGCAATCGCCGCTTTCTTCAACGATCGCGGGCATTGCTTCGGCGGTTGTCGCACCGCGGACGCCCGCTGGGTCGCGGCACGCTAGAACACTGACAGCGCTGTTTCGCCTGTCGCATAGCGCTGTGGCTGGTGTTAGGCCTGTGTTGCGTCATATCGGGAGTCCGCCCACGCAGGCACTCATCTCCCACAATCTCATGCAATTGCTGCACGCTGCAGATAATTCTAGTGCAGAGCCTCTTACAGCTTTGTTCAGAGCACTCTTTCCTCTTTGCCCTCATCCGCATCCCGCTTTGAGCTGGCGCTGTTGCGCAATTGGTGATGCTGGGGTTGGCCCTGGCATCCTGTTCCACAGCGCAAAATTTGGGCGCCCGACTGCCGTGTCAATACAAGCCACACGAACACATCCCCTGCCGGACGCTTGTGAGATCTGCAGGAGGGGCAGCTCTCCCCGCGTTCCTGGATCAGACCCTGTGCCCCGCGCTCGCCCATTTCACATGCCCCCCGACCGATGTCGGCAGACGTCATCTCAGGCACAATCGCACCCTTATCGCACCCTTATCGTCCCTGACGCCTCTGTGCTCTTCCCGACCACAGTGGGTGCCGAAAGATGTGAGCCATCGTAACTAATTTCTTTCGGCAACTAAGCTCCACTTGCGTAGGCAGTTGAAGCTGCCATCTGGACGTAGATATTGAATTATTAAATACACATCTCCGTCTCGATAGTAGCTTCAATTATCCCCGTACGAATAATTATTTCCTGTGGGAAAAATTGCGAGCGATCATTTGTTTTGGCGCCGACGTGCCGACCGGTAACGATGCAATGCCTGTGGTATTTCCAATTTTTTTTGTGCTTGCATTATCACCGCATTTTCGAATTCATCTACAACACCTGGTCGTCATCCATATTTCTCCAGTGTATGACCGATATTATTGTTGTCTGAACTTTCATCATTCAAAGCATAAAATTGTCATCACTTTATCGTCTATGGAAGGCCATGAACCCCTGACTCTGCTGCAAGGCAAAGTCGTCCCAAGACCCCTACTGAAACACCATGATTACACCAGCCCGGTCTGCGCTCACCACCATTCCATATGGCTGCTCCAGGATCGCCACGTCCGAGATGTTATCCAGATGTCCCTTCAGCAACTGCTGCTGCTGCAGACTCCGCAGAGTGTCCCTACCACCCCTGGCAGCCGTTGCTTCCCTTCCCCTCTTCGTCTGGCTTCCTGTCTTTGTGCTGGCAGCGCCCTTGCCCTTGTTCGAGTCGCCGTTACTTTCTGAGCCTGTTCCCTGCTGCGATGGACGGAAGATGCGCTCCTGCACGATGGTCGTCTCCGGGTTTGGTGCAGCTGGTGGCAACACCGTGTAGACCGGCTTGCTCTCCTCCATTTCCAGCCCTGACACTACATTCGACACCTCCGGCCTTCCCAAGTCCCAAAAGCGCACCTTCCAATCCGATCCAGCCGAAACGAGGAAGTCATTTCCGTCGTCGGAGCCAAGGGCAAGCGCGCGCACGCTGCGATCAGTGCCGCCGCCATGACCAACGCTACTGGATTCGATGGATGCGGCGAATCGCCCCAGAAGCATTCCACTAGGCCCGTGTGTGCTGCTTGCACCGGCGCCGCTGCGCTGATGCAAGTCGTCATCAAGATCAATAAGCGTGTAATGCCGGTTCATTGAGGTTTCCTTGAACACCGAAGTGCGGAGGGCCGAAATGCAGATGAGCTTTTCAAGATCCCAGACAGTGATATCGGCGGCTGCGGTACCACCCGCAATGACGAACTTGGGCTTCCGAGACATCTTGACGGTCTGAATAGTGATTCGGTGAATGGGTGCTCCGCCGGGGAAGCACCAGGCCCGCAGGCGCATCTTGAATCGCAGATCCCAGAGATCAAGCACGCCATGAGTGGTCCCTAGTAGAAGCCAGTGATGCTTGCGATCGGTGACGAAGCAAGTAGGAGCACCATGGTGAAGAGGGTTGGAGAGTGTGAAAATCGTGCTCATAGTGCGGAGGTCGAGGGCGTGGATTTGAGAAGTATTAGTTGCAAGGAGAAGGACGGATTGGTTCTCAGACTTGTAATGATGAGACCACACGGCGAACTGGCCTTGAGGCAGCTTGTGTTCCCGCAGTACTTTGAGCTTGCCGTAGCGAATGCCCGTGTTGCCTCCACTAGCACTTTGAACCTCATTGTAGTCGACCTTCACTACCTGGACGCTGCCGTCGTTACCAGTGCTTACGAAGCAATGAGTGTTTTCAATGAAACACAAACTGGTGACCTTGACGCCGTCACCTTGCTTGTGTGTTCCTCTGGATTTGTGTGAGACATTGCGCTCCAGCCTCGAGGAATCCCAAACTTTCACAGTACCGTCATCTGAGCCAGTGATGAAGAAAGCGTGGTCCGGAGCAACAATGATGCGTGATATGGCACCAGTATGCTCCCCCAGCATCGCAACCAATGTACCTTCCGGCCGCCAATTGGATGAAGATGTCTGGCCGTTCCCCCTCTTGATGGGTTGCCTTTTGCTGATAGGCGTCACCAGGGGGCCAAACTCGGCGAAATCCACAGGGAAGTTCTCCAAATACACCGAATCCAAGAGTTTGAGAATCGTTGGGTCCGTGCCGGTGTACGAGTGCGCCGATTGGAACTTGATCTTGCCGGGATCTTGACGGTGCTGTTCTTGGGCCAGAGCAAGTGGTGACTTTGCTCTTTTCGGTCCTTCGTCTTTTGGAGTGCTAATGCTGTCCACGCGCCCAAATGCATTCGCAGAGGTGGTGCTTATCTCAGCAAGGGCCTTGTTGCCACCATCTCCCTTGTTCATCAAACTCATAGCACTCGACTTATGGCGCATGGTGTGTTCGTGGACCCCCAGGCGCGACTCCGCTCTCGAGGTGATCGAAGCCGGCGAGTCCAATGCGTCAGAGTCCATCGTGCGGGTTTTGGGTATTTGAATAGATCGCGGGAACGGTCCATCCGATGGACTTTGAGAAGGAGAAGATGGACCAGGCATGCGCGGATCGCTGCGCGGAATCGGTCTTTCAGCACTTCCACGGCGGTCGAAGTGGTTGTTCATAAGCGTCACTCGGCGTCTAGGAATGTTGTCTTCTGCCGAGGCATCGCGGAGGGCATCGGCGATTGTGTGAGGAGCATTGTCGATGGCCGCTCGCTCGGCGATAACCTCATCAAACAGGCTCTGTTTGTGGTCGAAGAAGATAGTCTGAGGCGTAATCCCAAGGTCTTTGAGTGGCAGTATTGTGTTGAATTTAGCTTGAGGTGTGTCGGCAGGATCCTGCTTTTTGCGATGGGAGACCCGCCAAATGTATTCGCGGAGAGCGAATAGCTTGAATTCGTCCTCCAGACTCATCCCCGCATTTCGTAATTTCTTCAGCCATTGCTCATCTTCTTCGTTCTTCGGAATTCTGCTCAAAGCCTTGGGACCAAGTTCTCGTCCAGAGATGCTTGGTATGGCGTCATCAGACAAGCCGAACGAAAAAGTCCGTTGCTGCTGAGCAGACTTCCAGAACACGCCTTTGCCTGTATTGGTAGCCCAAGTGTAGGCCATATCCAACACAAGTCTGGATAAGGGTTTCTTCAGGGAGTCAAGCAGTTTGAGCTCTGAGAGATCTGAAGGTAAGACCTTGAGGTAAGGCCTGATCAGTGGGAGTATGATGCTGTGGTTATCGGCAACCGAGAGATACGTCGTCGCCGAGGAAATGAATTGGGCAGCGGCTTCCCGAATCCAGATATTCGGGTGCATGGTGAGACGTGCAACAATGTCAACCAATTCCCATATCCGTGCGCGTTGAAACAGACCAAGCTGAGCCATGGATGAAAGTGACCGTAGCACCCTGTCGACCACAAATTCTTCCGGGTCCGTCAGGGCTTGCACCATGAGTGGGAGGATGAATTCTTCCAGGCTTGCGCCGCCAACGTAAGTGCCGACACCCACGATTGTCTCAAAGAATGCACATTTGAGCATCCAATCTCTGTCGTTGAGATAGGTGTTCAAGTGGCTGAGGATGACGTCGTTCGCCTTCGCACTTCCGAAGAAGACGCAAAGGCTAGACACGGATCCTAAGAAGGCTCTACGAACTGAAGGGTCATTGTCTGTGAGCAGTGCCTTGGTTTGGGCCTCAAACTTGGCTACTAGGTCATCCCGAGAGATGTCATAGAGTGTTTGATAGGCTGACCGGCTCATGCTATCTTCCTCCGCCTCGGGGTCATTCGTTGGGAGTGATCCGTCGGCTCTCAACGCCTGCATCATATCAAGGAATCGCGATGCGGTTGTGGCTAAAGTTGCAAGACAAGACGCATACGTTGCGCGAAGAAGTGGGTTCGGGTTAGACTTGTGGCCAGGGAGGAAAGGCTCTAGCCTGGGCAGAATATACTCCGGGAAAACGTAGGCATTGATTGGCGAGACAACGGAGACGAGTGCGAGCTACGGAGAGTTAGCTTGGTCAGCAGGGTGGGCGAAAGTACTCACGACCTGGGTTAGAGACCTCAGAGCAGAGACCTTGACGAGGTCGGTTTTGTCCGTAAGCAAGACTGTCAAATAGGGGAGGATACGGTCGAGTTTCGCTTCGTCAGTGACACGTTCTGCGAAAGCTAGAAGGAGCTCGCACGCTCTTATACGAGCTGTAGCTCTAGCAGTGCTTCTCACTGAAGCCGCTACCAATGTAAGGAAGATCAACGTGCCATCGTCAACGGTATGATGCGCACTGTTTGCCTGGTGTCTGTAATTCGGGATATCGATGTGAAGCGGAAATAGGTCACCTCTTAGGGTAAACTTGCTACTGGGAGGCTTCTGGCTTCCCGGATCGTCCGGGTAGCCCAAGAAGTAGGTGATCTTATCGAAGTCGTTGTAGACCTTATCGATCCTATCGTCTGCCTCTCCCAAGTTTTCAGACCCTGCTGTGATGGGTCCACGTCCAGCCGAAGGGTCCGTGATGGAGTACATGTATTGATGCAGAAAGCTGAAGAAGTAGTCTGGGAACGCTCTGTTGCGCCAGAAGTTCAAGCACTCATCAGCGGAATATCGCTGGTTCGGGTCCAGCTTGATCATGTGGGAGACCATCTCCCGGATGTCTACATCCTCGATTTTCTGCAGATGCGTCATGAAAGGGTCGTACTCCTCGGCGCGGTACTTGAACAGCTGGCTGAGCGAGAAGATGGGCGTTTCAAGGAAGAGCTCGGCGATCACACATCCAACGCTGAACATGTCCATTGCCCAGTTTACCTTTGTCGAAGTATCGACTTGGCTACCAGTGCTGAGGAATCGCTCTGGTGCCAGATAACAGGTGCGGCGGCCTGACGTGTCGAAAAAGAAAGAGAAGTCGGCGGGATTGTCTTCAGGGAGATAGGTGGGCTTGAAGGAGGACGAAAAGTCAGAGAGATACAGCCAGTTCCACGATGTTACGAGTATATTCTCAGTCTTGATGTCGCCGTGGTAGATGTTCCTAGCGTGACAATCTCTCACGGCACAGAGAAGCTGGAATGCTAGCCATTTTTTCTCTATGCTCTCCAGGAAGGGCCTCGTGCTGCGAAAATTAGCTTATTCCATATTGCTGGGGCTGCTGAAGCGTACCTCATGCGGTCGTAAAGGGAGCTGTGCATGTATTGCCTGATTAGGAAACCGTTCGTGCTGGTCTCCAATATGCGATGATAGGGCAGCGCATTTGGCACATCCGCCAGCAGCTTCCTCTCATCTTTTCGGAACAACTTCTGTCAGCTTCAAACTCGCAGACGTGACCAGAAAGGACGCTTACGCAGCAAGCCAGACACATATTCATCCAGCTGCATGTTGAACGGCTTCATGACAACCTTGACGACGACCAAGCCATCCTTGTGGCGGGCGCGGATGGTTTTCATAAAACGTGCAGTCCCGAGAGATTTCTCATAGGTCAAGTCGGCCAGCTCTGGGACATCGATGCCGGCAGCGCCGGCCGACAGCGTTGTGAGAGAGTATCCTTGTCCCATGCTGGATCATGTGCCGGAGAACGGTATAGGCGTGGATGGTGCCAGTTTCATGGTTCTCTGAGCGAGAACGGTGATGGCGTGGTTTTCGGCCAGACGCCGACGCAGCACGATGAGAGGCGCGGGGCGAGGCCGGGCGTTTGCGCGGAAGAGATGCCTCTGACGTTGTCCGATGGTGGACGTGAGCGCGCGTGCATCATCACAAGCTCGGGCAGGTGCCTGATATGTACCCTGCATGCGTCGGCTAGCTTCTGCCCGCCCAATCAGCGCGCGAGGCCACGTACCAGCCCTCATTACGCACGCCCAGCTCCACAACGCCCCTCCGTCTTCTCCTCCGCAAAAAATGTCCGTCGAGCGCAGGAGTGTCGTGTTCTTCCACCCGGACCTGGGGATTGGCGGCGCCGAGCGCCTTGTCGTGGACGCCGCCGTTGGCTTGCAGGATCTTGGCCACAAAGTCACCATCTTTACGTCTCACTGCGATCCGAAGCATTGCTTTGACGAAGCTCGCGATGGTAAGCTTACATGCCCGCCGCCGTGCATGCAGGCACACTCATGTCACCAAAGTCAAGTATAGCTGAGCAAGCCCGCGCCATGCAAAAGGAACCCTCGACGTGCGCGTGCGCGGCAACTCCATCGTCCCGCCCTCCATCGTCGGCCGCTTCTCTATTCTCTGCGCCATCCTGCGCCAGCTGCACCTGGTGCTACAGATCGGCTTCCTGACCCCCGAGCTCCGCAAGCTCAGCCCTGATGTCTTCTTCGTCGACCAGTTGAGCGCCGGTGTGCCTCTGCTCCGCCTACTCTCGCCCGTCTCCAGAGTCCTGTTCTACTGCCATTTTCCAGACAAGCTGCTTGCGCAAAAGGGCGGTGCTATAAAGAGTCTATACAGGGTGCCGTTTGACTGGCTCGAGAGCTGGAGCACTGGCTGCAGCGAGGTCATTGTTGTCAACAGCAATTTCACCAAGAGCGTCTTCAAGCAAGCGTTCCCCGGGCTGAAGCACCGCGATCCGGGTGTCGTATACCCCTGCGTGGACACGTCGGTGTCTGAGAAGGCTGAGCAGATCAAATCTGAAGAGAAGCCGCTGTGGGACAACAAGAAGATTCTCCTCAGCATTAATCGCTTCGAGCGGAAGAAGGATGTCGGCTTGGCCATTCGTGCCTACGCCGGCCTGTCCGTAGAAGAGCGCGAAGGTACAAGGCTTGTCATCGCCGGTATGCTGTTCACCGCCCTGTTCTACATACTTTCTCCTAATGTTTTTAGGCGGCTATGATCCCCGCATCCACGAGAACAGCTCGACTTACAACGAGCTTTGCGCCCTGGCCGACTCCTTTAAGCTTAAGCACGCCACCGTAAAGAACGTCATAACTGCCCTCGACGTCCCAGACGACATCTCCGTCCTCTTCCTACTCTCCATCCCGAACACCCTCAAGACCACCCTGCTCACGTCTGCCCGCCTCCTCGTCTACACGCCGCGCCACGAGCACTTCGGCATCGTCCCGCTCGAGGCCATGCTCGCCGGCACGCCCGTCCTCGCCGCCAACGAGGGCGGCCCGACAGAAACCGTCGTCGAGGGCGAGACCGGCTGGCTGCGCAACGTCGCCGCCGTCGAGGAATGGACGGACGTGATGCGCAAGGTCCTGGACAACGGCGTCGGCGAGGAGCGGCTGCGGCAGATGGGCCTAAACGGGCAGGAGCGCGTCCGCGGTGAGTTTTCCAAAGCGAAGATGGCGGAGCGCCTGCAGGGCTACATCGACGGCATCAACGAAGTCGAGAGACCGCCCGTCGTGACCGGCACGGTTGTGGGCGTGTTCGTGGCTGTCCTTGGGGCAGCGGTCGGTATCGGCGCGTGGTATTTGATGTAATCACATTTTATTTTCTTTTTTTTGTATAGGTAGATGAGAAAGACCAGCGCGTTCCTGTGTGTATCACGGCGCAAAATGTATATCAATTCCGATGCCTGACCCTGGTAATAAAAGCTACCTGTACCGCTACCCAGAAGTAGCGCCGTCAATGACATCAGCCCACCCGACTTTTTCTCCCAACGTATGATAATTTTCTTGACAGCCGGCAAGCTAGTGTTTGGTACCGAAGGCCGTGACGGCGTCGCACGATAATAGGCTTCAGTTGGGGCGATCGATGGCGTGAGCGACCCAACGCCGTCGGTCCGACGGATTGGATCCACGTTCCTAGTGTTGCCTCTTCTAGAAGCCAAGATGGGATTCTGTCAGAGGCCGTGCGAAATTTGCACAAAATTTAGCACGGTGAGGAAAACATGTGATAGGAATATCCCTTCAAATCATTCTCATTCGTCCTTCCTGTCGCACCGAGCCAGCTTTCTGCGGCAGGCCTGAGACCGGGAACGACAGGCTATCGACGATGAAACTACCTAAGAAACGGCAGTTGCAGACATTGCGGAAGGAAGAGCCCCAAAGGCGCTCCATCTTGTTCAGTGTCTTCTGTCAAGATGGACTCCAATCCGAAATTGTCTGCAGAGAAAGAAGAAGAGAAAACAGGGCGACCATAGAGAAGAAGGCAGAAGGGGCATCCCTGCCCATGCACCAAGTCCAAACCTACCCCTTCTTTTCCCAGGGACCTTGTATATGCATCCCATCCGCAGCCGTCCGTAACAAAAAGAGGTCGTAATCTTTGAATGCCCAACCCAAACCTGATCCATTGCACTCGACCTTGAACGCCATGTCTTGAGAAAAGAAAACGGGTAGAGTCTGCCCGATGAAAGAAGGGGATGTGATATCGGACCTCTAGCGCGTGAAGTTACTTCTCCAAGAGGGAAAGACAAGGAAACAATAGAACTCTGCCCACCCAAAGAAGAAACGTGACCCCCAATGCTGCCGATGTGCTATGCCGCCGTGATGGAACGGTACCGCCGTAGCTGGCCCGTATGCAACTGAGTGTCAGACGCAATGTTTATTGCATCAAATCAAAAGAGAACGCCGCCGCCATGCTTCGCTGTAAACACCAATGCATAATGAAAGAAAAGAAAGGGATGTCAGTCCTCCTTGGTCATGACTGAGCCTGACATCGTGAAGTTGGCTGGTGTGAAAGAAGGTAGTAAGATCGTCGCTTGCGAGATTATGGGGTGCGGGTGTGGGTATCTCAGGATGTCCGTGCGAGCGTGCTGTGCCGTACGCCGTGCCTTGTGGTAGGACAGGTGGTGAATGTTTACGAAATGGCTTCAGACATAAAGGACCTTGATGCCGGCATCAAGTGAAGGCGACGTTGGGTTGGACTTTGTAATGATCGGAAGCGTCCTAGTCGCTGTACTCTGGCCAGCAGCTTGTTGCTGTTGGCGCTCTCTGCGAGCAGCCTTCTGCGCTTGCTTCTTCATGTCCTTCTTGTCCCGAGCGGAGATCTTGCGGCCTTGGGGGCCAATCTGCTTCTGTGTGCTCTTGCCAGTGTGCATGCTGGCTGCTGCTTCTTCCATTTCAGGTGGAGGTTTCGGCATCGTGAGCCTGATTCGCACGGGTCCCTGCCTGGGTGCGGAGGTCGGCTTAGGCGACGGAGGTGCCGCAATGGGGTCAGCATCAGATTCTTGGCTAGACTCGGCATCTGAGTCAGGAATTGCAACAGTAGCCTGGCTGAACGTAAAGCTGTCGGTCTGCTGCGAATCAACCTGGGAGGATTGCGAGTCCGGTGAATAGAATTGAGGGACCTTCGATTCCTGTGGGCACTCTTGAGAGGCCAGCTTTGATCCGGCACGCTTCTTGTGACCCTTGGGCTTGATGATATTTCTGCTTGCCGAGCTGTCCCTGGATGCACTGGTGAAGCTATCGTGCTTGGCTGGGAGCCCGGTCTGGCGGCTTCGGCTTTTGTTAGGGCCGTATATGTCGTCGTCATCACTGTCAGGCTCGCGTTCTATACTGGAGCTCTCTTGTGCAGAAGACTGGTTGCCAGAGTCTTCATCCAGCAACCTCGAAACGGCGTTGTCGATGCTCCCTTTGCACTCTTCGAGTGTCTTGCGGATGGTAGACTTGTCCGTCAAGAAAGGGAGCGACTTCATGACTACGTCAATTTGCCAGTCTTGGGCGTACGGCGTAGCCGCAAGCTTCTTCTTCTGAGCGGCTTCGGTCTCCGGGCTGATGGCCCTCTCACGCACCTCAGGAGGACCATCGTGCGGCCCGTCAAGGTTGCGTATTGAGGAATAATGCTCCCAGGTCTGCGAGGCGGGTTATTTTCCGAGAGCAGCAGGGACAGGACGCGTCGACTTACGTGGTAGGCAATGTGTACAATTAGTCTCTTCTGGTCGTCCTGAAAAGGAGTGACATAGTATGCGAAATCTCTGTGGTAGATTTTGACGGTGACGTCGTAGGCGCGGGCAAAGGCCTGGACCTCGACGTTGTCGCCCCATGTGCCGCCTTTGGCCATGGTGTCGAGGTGACGCTGGAACGTCTGCTCGATCTCCTCCTCCGTCGGCACCTGCTGATTGTAAGGGGTCGAGTAGGCGCCGACGTTCTTGCGCTTCGGATTCCTGCGGACGCCACCGCCGGGGTTCACGCTGATGAAGGCCTTGAACTCGGAGGCGTGGTCGCGCATGTAGTCGACGGTGCGCTCGCGGATTTCCGAGTGCGCGGCCTGGTGGCCGTACAGCTGGTCAGACAGGGCATTGAACAAACAGTTGCCTGGGTGAGCGGGTCAGCACAATTGCTCGGTGCGGGCTGCACCCAGGTTGCGGGGCAATAACTTACCGTCGCCGAGGATTTCTGCGGCGTACAGGCCTAGGCCAGAGAGCAGAGGAAACTCGTCATCATTACTCCGGCGAGACGGCATTTTCGCAAGAGCAAGAGAGGAGTGGGCGACGGGCTAGGAAATGCGGGTCATGCAGAGGACGAGGTGGGGGAGGGTGGTGGAGAGGCTGGCGTGGAGGGCGCGGAAGCTCTCGCGGGCGGGCTTCACTCTGGCAGCTTCACTCCTGTTGATGATGAAAGGTCCGCAGAGGGCTGCACACGACAGGGGTCCGAGCTTGGCGCGGTCCGGTGCTGACCGCCTTGGTGCGCGCTTGGGTGACAGCGGGGGCTTGAATTTCGCGTTTGTCGATAGGCAGCGCTCGCCGAGCTCGGGCGGCTCTTCGTTCCTGCTCTGGCGGCGATGCTGCATTCGCGCCGAGCGTGACTGTCCAGCGCCACCTATATAGCTATGCCGCGTCCCAGCTTCTGGCGTTTGCCCGAGCAGGTCACGTTTGGCATCCGACTGACTCAACCGCGACACGCGACCGCCGTCCAAGCACCTCGACGCTGAACCACAACCCGCGCTGCGATGGCCGAAACGAGGATTGTCGTGCTGGGGTAAGTTAACGGACGTCCGGGCGGGGAGAGCGAAGCGTTGGACCGGTGCTAAGCCTCGACCTTACTGCAGCGCCGGCGTGGTGGGCCTCACTACCGCCTTGCAATTGTCCAAGAACAACAATTACAGCGTCACTGTCGTCGCCAAGCACATGCCCGGCGACTATGACATTGAGTACGCTTCGCCCTGGGCTGGCGCAAACTATCTTCCGTAAGTCCTGCTGCCTGCACGTCGCCGTCTGTTTGTCCTGCACTCCGTTGGGGCCGATTGCGGTACTCCGAAATCCACTATTTCTTTCGTCATTTCTTCTCCAGCGTCAGTTCCCTTTTTTTTTTTTTTTCAGGATAGAAGGTTCCATTCTCCACAAGTCCCCGTACTTTCTTCCAATATGAAGTCCAAGCTTCAGCGTTGTGGCGTCCATGCTGCTCCGTTAACGAAAAAAAATTACTATTTTCGGCTACAAGAGCAAAAGACAACAAGCGCTCCGCCTACAATTTTCTGATAGTCTCTCCCCAGCGTCGGCGCCCCTGGCTCGAACCTTGCAGAATACGAGAAGAACACTTGGCCGGAGCTGCAACGGCTGGCCTCGAACGTGCCTGAGGCGCACATCCATTTCCAGCAGACCGTCTTGCACAACCGCACAAAAGACGTTGGGACAACAACCGGCAACTGGTTCGCGGAACTGCTGAAGACCGAGCCGTGGTGGAAGGACGTGGTGCCTGATGTAAATCACTCCCTTTTGCCCAGACCATACCGCAAACCCCCCTTGCAACCCCTTCCATTTCCCATAATCCCCTGAGGCACCCTCCCTGGCACGCGCTCACTCTCCCCTTAGTTCCATCTTATCTCCAAGGACAAGCTCCCCAATGGCATCGACTCTGCCACCGCCTTCACGTCCGTCTGCATCAACACAGCGCTCTACCTGCCCTGGCTCATCGGGCAATGCCGCAAGAATGGCGCACAGATCCGTCGGGGCATCGTGAAGCACGTCGCGGACGCGGCATCGCTCCACCACAGCGGCAAGCGCGCTGATATCGTCGTCAACTGCACCGGCCTCTCTTCGCTCAAGCTGGGCGGCGTGGCCGACACCAAGCTGTACCCCGGCCGCGGCCAGATCGTGTTGGTGCGCAACAGTCCGGGCGTTATGACCAGCACTTCCGGAACCGACGACGGCGAAGACGAAGCTGTGTACATCATGGAGCGTGCTGACGGTGAGTATCACACTTTCCAAATAGAGCCGCCATGTAGGCGCAATACATCGAATTATCGCTAATCACGCTCCACCAGGCGGCGGCACCATCCTGGGTGGGTGCATGCAGAAGCACAGCTGGGAGTCCCAGCCGGACCCCAACCTCGCGCAGCGCATCATGAAGCGCGCCGTTGAGCTGTGCCCGGCGCTTACGGACGGCAAGGGCCCCGAGGCGCTCAGCATCATCCGGCACGGCGTCGGCTTGCGGCCTATGCGCGAAGGTGGTCCGCGGGTCGAGAAGGAGCGCATTGAGGGCGTCTGGACCGTGCACAACTACGGCCACGGCGGCTACGGCTACCAGGCCAGCTATGGCTCCGCGGATGCGGCAGTGAAGCTGGTGGACGAAATTACCAAGTCGAAAGCAAAGTTGTGATTGAAAAGATCATACGCTTAGTAGACGGTGATGTAGATGCGTGTCATGACTGTAGACGTCTCTGAAATAAGGCGAGAAAAGTAGGGCGAACTAGGCTATCGAATCGGGAACTTTTAAGCAATGGACGGATATGCACACACTGGATCTCGTCGAGACGCAGAGTACAACGTCGTGTATTCCTCTTGATCGCACATCCCATAGTGGGTACCGAAAGATCTGAGCCATCGGAACTAATTTCCAAGTGCATTTAAGCTTGTTACATTAGAAGCTACCTTTTGAACGCAGATATATATTTAATAATCCCACATCTACGTCCGGATAGTAGCTTCTACTACTTATGTTAGTCGAGTGCCGTTGCTATCGAAGATGATTGCGGGGGATCATTTCTTTTGGCACCTACGTGCATACATTCTGCCGAGTTGAAATAGGCTGGCTTCAAGTTCACGTGTTCTATTGCTCGTTTGAGTGGTCAAGAACGGTTTTTATTTATTTGTCTGGTTGCTGTCTACAACCTTCCTATCGTAGGGAATCACCTGTGACCAACATCCGGTAACTGGTTGAGCCAGATCAACACCGGAAATTCTCAAGCGTTACACGCGGATAACCGCAGTCTTGCTACGCACTCCGTCAAAGACGCAAGCATTGTCGACGGGGATGTACTGCTTCGTCACGACTTTGATGACCTCTTGCGATACTATTCCGCCAGCTAGAGCGGCGATGTTGTGCAGTTCAGCGCCGCCAGCACGAGTTCTGCGCTCATCGTCAGTAGTATTCATAGAGTTCATATGCGGCAATACTTACAGCTCAGCCACGTACTTGCGTACAGTAGCCTTCATTTCACTGTACTCAGCCTCGTCGTCAATAAAGGTGCCGGCCTCTTGCAGAAGACCATCCATGATGGTCTTTGCTATGCCGAACATCTTCTCCACGTCGGCGTCCACTTCTGCGTCGTTGGCGCCAGGGACCTTGGGCGCACCGAGAAGACCGTCTTGTTCATGTGATGCGACAAACTTATCCCATGCCAGGAAAGCGACGTAGAGAAGGAAAAGAGAGTCCGGGTTCTTCAAACCACCATAACCAGCGAGGCTCTTTGCTCGCTCGCCCCATGTGATGTTGCCTTCAGCACCGTGCACGACGTGGAATGGCCGTCCGCGCACAAGCTTAATGTGACCGGCGTTCTTGCAGAAAGCCTCTATTTCCTGCGAGGGCACAGAGTTGGGAGTGCGCACGAGCTGCTTCTCAAGCGAACGGACGGTCTCAGTAACCTCTGCAAGGTCGGCGCGTGCCTTGGCCTTGTAAACGTTTTGCAGCTTGATGTAATCGGCAGACTTGGCCTTCATATCTGGGACAGAGCCAGGCAGAGGAAGAACTCCATGCTTGTTGTAGAAAAGCGAAATTGCACGGGCGATAAGCCAGAAGTTCGGAGACGCTGCAGTAATGTTCTGACACTCATCGGCATTGAATACCTCACGGACAGCGCTGCTAGCCTCTGGTGGGTTCAAGCTCTTGAGTGCCGCAGCAACTGCCTCGCTGAAGTTCTCCTCTCCACCCTCGGGGGTGTTCGTCCGGATCGCGCTCGACACCAGCGATCGGAATTCAGACTTCTCGTTGTATTTCACCGGTAGGTTTCCATCGTGGGTCCTCTTCCACTCTTCCAGGAAGTGTAGCAGAATCAACACGTACGGAATGTGACCGTGATCCTCGTCACTCATAGACTCCAGGTTCTTGATATGCTCTGCAGCAAGCTGAGAGAGCTCAGGCCAGGGCGCAAGTAGCCTGAGATCGGTGGTAGACTCGGCAGGAGGGTGGGTATCGACGATGGGGAAAGCTGGAGAAAGGTGGATGGAAAAGTGGGCGTAGAAGCCGACGCAGTGGAGGTAGAAAACTGGCGTATTAGTCTTAGCAGCATGGAGGCTGATGTGCTCAAGAATTGCGGGTCTGATGGGTGCGGTAACGATTATGAGGGTGTATGGAGCAAGCGAGGACTGTTGGCTAATCCAGGAATCGATGGGCTACACATAGTTAGTAGTGGCGACACGCTGCGGGAACAACAGGCCAACCTCAGTGATGTAGTGACCCTGGACATCAGGGTTCAGTTCCTTCAGCAACTCGCAAGTGTGTTTCGCGCGGAAGCCTCCGAGATGCTCCTCCTCAAGGAAAAAGTTGGCGCCCAAATCGGCCTCGGTGACGACGGCGGAGTCTTGGATGGTAAACTGTCCGATTCCTGCTCCGTGTCAGCTCGTGTTGGCTGCTAAAGCTGCGAGTAGAAACATACCAGGAAGAACGAGATTCTTCAGCGTCTCAATGCCAACGACGCCCGGACCGGAGTTGATGAGGAGAATATGCGCATCCTCCAGAGCTTGCTGGCCACTGGCGGCCCAGAGGCGAAGCTGTCTGTCGTACTTCTTCTCTTTAGAGGTAGGGCCCTGCAGCGGGGGAGGCGTGGTGGCAGCCATGGTAGGCGAGGGTGGGTGCGAAAAAGAGCGGCACAAACGGAGGTACGGTACAAATGAGCAGGAGCTGCTGCCTCGCGCGGGTGGTGTCACTGCGCTGGAGCTCTCTAGCGCGTCATCCATGCCGCAGGGCGGGGCAGTTCCCGACTCGCCGACGCTCGGGCCGGCCCAGCAGTTCCCATAAGGCTGCGCTTGGGCGGGGAGCTTGCGGCTCTCTCATGACCAGAACCACTTTCCGCCATGACATAATCCGGGGGCTAGCTGAGATCTCGAGCTTATGCCTTTTAAAGTTGCCATGTGTCCCTGTCTTCCGGATTGGCAGGCTGCTGCACACGGAGACAATGTCTGCATCCACACGCCCCGAACTCACCCGGAGGAGCAATCGACCGTCGCCCCAAACCTGCGCGAGAAGATCAGCGGCGCTGTTCCAGCCCGGCAAAATAGCCTCGCGAACTGCTAAAGCAGGATAAAAAGGCTCGAATGTCGGGCGCTTGGAATTCCCTGATCGGGCCTTCTGGCAGCAACAGCCGATGACGGAACAGCGGCTTAGTGGGGTCTCAGGTCTCGCGACGGAAGATTATTCACGCTCCAACGACGTCAATTCCGTCCCATCACCGAGCGTCCTCCTTCTCTCCGCTCTCCCACGCACTCGGCTACTTATAGATAGCCTTGCCTGTTCGCCGCCTCTCCCAAGCGTCTCGCTGCCCAACGATTGTATGCCCCGCGCAACCGCACGCCTGTTCCCAACACAACTCACGTCTGCGAGACGCCCTATTACTCAAACCACACCCCGCCTCCTCTCGCGCAGGACTCCGGCAGCGCAAACCAGAAGCTTTCAGTGCGTGAGCCAGACCTCTCGGCCTCGAACTCATCAAAAGACGATCCGCCCTGAATTGCTACCGTATCAATCCGCCCGGTTCCGCTCCAACAACATGTCTCCCGTTCTTTCTGTGGAAGATGCGAAGAAGCAGGCGGCCATCAAGGCCGTCGAGGAGCACTTCGACCCTAACGCGCGCTACGTCGGTATCGGCTCCGGCACGACCATTGTTTACGTCGTCGAGGCCATTAAGGCTAAGAGCACCAACCCTCACATCCAGTTTGTGCCCACTGGATATCAGTCGCGACAGGTTATTGTGCAGGCGGGCCTGACGCCCATCGCCTTCGATTCGTTGCCTGACGGCGAGGTGCTTGATGTAGCATTCGACGGTGCAGATGAAGTCGACGACGAGCTCAACTGCATCAAGGGCGGCGGCGCCTGTTTGTTCCAAGAGAAGCTCGTAGCCGAGCGCGCGAAGAAGTTCATCTGCGTCGCAGGTATGCAGTCCAGCCCTTGACATGTGCGCACAACTGCGCTCCTGTTCTTCGCCCGCTAATACGTGAAAACCACTCCGCAGACTACCGCAAAGCGCAGTCGCGCCTCTTGACCCAATGGCCCAGCATTCCGATCGAAGTTGCACCCCTCGCCGCGCAAACCGTGTCGCATGCGCTGCGCCAGCTTGGATCCATCAACCCGGTTGTTCGCACTCACACGCTCGCCAAGACTGGCCCCGTCAAGACCGATCAGGATTTCTTCATCATCGATGCGCCGTTCAAGGCCCTTCTGACTGCGTCGGATGTTTCTGCGGGTGCAAGCGGCGACGGCAAGGAGGGAGTTTGGGAGGTCACGGCGCTCAGCAAGAAGATCAAGGCCATAACCGGCGTTCTGGAGGTCGGTATTTTCAGCGGCTTGAACGGAGAAGAATCACAGGCGCTGGGTGGCTGGGGCGGCCAGAAGCCCGTTGCGGTGTACTTCGGTATGCAAGACGGCAGCGTGATGGTGAGGACCGCCAAGAAATAGGTGGCAAGGCACGGCTTGGTGCGATCGTAATACTTCTCTTTCAAGATTCATAGATTTATACGCGGGTTGTTTTGGCTAAAGATTGCAAGCGAGGAATTTCTCCTGGGAGCATTTATCGTAAGCGATGTAATTCCAAATCCCCTACTTGTTGACGGAAGACAGCCTCTTGGGTTTTACTCCAGAATACGAATTTTACTCAGAGCACACGATGGAACATATCGACCCGCATTATTGACAGCAGATATAACGAAGAGCGGAGCCACCAAATTTCTTCCACCGGTCGGATCGCAACGGACCTCTCTTCGAAGCCCTGCATGGGTCCATCAAGGAGTCGCATACCTTCTAAGATGTGAATAGGCAAGGGTTCGGGGAGTGAGGTCTGAAACTGTTGAGGAACAAGCCAATTGAACCCGAGCCTTTGGTAAGTGCAGATATAATCACGCGGACAGGCAGAGAAGCAATCGAACTTTCCGAGGAGCTCTTGCGATTAGGAGGAGCACAGCGGGGCGGCAACTAGTACTGACTTGACTCGGGGCTTACTGCTGCAAGTTTATCTGAGAAGTCTCCGCGAAATAGCTAAGGCATGCAGGAGCTAGCGTTGGTGAAAGGATGCCGTTTCCAAAAGATATCTGGTATAGAGAGCACAAAGGTACGTAAGGGCGTCCTGTCATTGGAGCGGGGTCGTGCTGAATCGTCCTTTGGCGAGACTAGGCCAGGATGTTGGATTGGCTACGAGCCGTTCGGATAGGGCGGAATGCACCCGCTCCAGCATCCCACCAGCTGCACCCTCTGTGCGGCTTCGGAGCATGCGAGGCGGGCCAATGGCTCCTCTCCAAGTCGACCGAGTCCAGGCTCCCTGTTTCCGCCTGGTTCTTCTGTCAGTCCACGTTGAGTTGGATCCCCCTGGTGTGTCAGAGTCAAACCCAATGGAGCGGAACTTTACTAACAAGTACGTCAGCGGGCGGCTCAGCTGGACTCCTCTGGATCATATGGCTGCTCTCTGTGCATGCCGGCGCCGCTTCGACTGCAGCGCGGAGTCGGCGGGGCTGCTGATGCCGGCGGCGCATACGCAGGAGGTGGAGTCGTCCATGTACTCGGGCACGTGCAGCAGCCCGCTGCGTCACTACGACGCACCGGATTTGGAGCCAGCAGGAGCGGGCGCCTCGTATCAACGTCGGGCCCTCGCGCTCCTTACTCGCACAGCTGCTGCTGCGATGCCGAAGGGAAGGATGGGCACGACGTCTGCTTTGTAGCCGGCATGCGCTTATCAGCGGCCGGAGCTGCACGGGCCCGCGGGGTGTCCTGCTTTGGCAGCCGCATGCGAGCAGCAAATCGAGGCGCCGCTCTTTCCCCACGCCTTGGCCGATCGTGGGCAACACCAGCACTCCGCCCTCCAATCACCGCCGTGCGGCTCTGGCCCTGTCCGCCCCGTCCCTGTATCTCCGACTCCCTCGCAACCATGCCAGTGTCCCGTGCAGCGAGGACGTCAGCTGCCTGCCTGACAACCCTGTCTTCACTATGGCCTTCTCCTTATCGGCACGACTATATTACTACGCCTGTCTGACCTGCTGCTGCCGTCCAGCATCGGCATCCCCTCGAGTGATCCTGACTGCACCGCTCCCCTCGCCGCCCCCGTCAAAGCCGCATAGAGCGACGCACAGCTGCACTGCTGCCGTCTGCCTAAGCCTCCAGTGTCGCCTCCGCACCACGCTCCGCCATTGGTCTTGTGACGTCCTAAGCACTCGACTCTCCGCCCCGTACGCCCTACCGTACAACCAGCTCGGCGCCCTACAGCACGTCAAGGCTTATCGCCCTGCCTCTGTAGTTTGCGTCTCAAGTACTTGGCACCAACCGGTGATCAGTACGGCGTCCAGCTGATTGCCTCGTCGTCCTCGTCGTCCACTCGCCGCCCGCTCGCCACTTTCCTTTTGCCCACCTGTGGCCCCTGACCTTCCCCTGCCGGTTATTGATGTCGGTTGATTTGCGTCAAGCCTTCACCTCTCTCCGGTTCCCGTCTCGGGTCGAAAGTGTCTCGAGATCGCAGCTCTCGATTGATCATACAGGTGACAGTATCAGGCCAGCGGAACACTCGTGAACATCTCAGTCTGTAAAAGGTACTCGGAACAACTGGCTCTGCGGTATCAGAGCGCCGCGAGGTTCAACACAATGCCTTGGTCACCCTGGCCACGGTCCAGTCCTTCGGAAGCCTCCTACTGGGGACCACTGTCTGCGCCGGGGTCCATCGTTGCTGTCTTCGATGAACCAAGCGCCCTTCGTCTTGTAAACATATCGTGGAGCTAATCACATGTACAGGATCTGCTCAAGAAATAACCCAATCACCTTGATCAAACCTCGTCCTCACTTTACGCTTGCAAGCTATTCAAGCTGGCTATCCATCAGAACATCCCGATCCACAAACACAACGGCCGAGCCCACATCAACTTTAGTAGTAGAAGAAGAAGCAGTCAATCGCAATCATGGAGGCCACAACACTCGCTGCCAGCGCCATCGACATCGTCCAGCCTAAAGCAGCCATGAACCCCACTCGAAAGGACTCTGCCAACGAACTCAGTGTTGAGCCTTTCGATCCACCGAAGGGGACTGTAGAAACGATCGAAACCATCTCGGTCGAATCAAGCCCTGAGCCGTCGCCTGAACCTGCTGTAGTCCCGACTGCCGTCACCTCCGGTGAAGACAAGATCCGTGTCCTTGACGTCTCTGAATACAAGGGCGCTGCACTTGCTCTTGCCGAAGCCTTCAAAGATGACGACGTGTCGCGCTACTTCCTTGATACTCCTGATAGGGCTGACTGGACGGATGAGCAGAAGTGGGATCTCCATGTAGCCATCTTCGAATACCTCGTCTACGCCCACATTCTCAAAGGGCTGGTGACGACTGTGGGCTCCGATTACGGTGCTGTCGCTTTGTGGTATGTATGACCCAACCAAACATGTGCCTCTGTCGCAACCGGTCTGTATCTCTAATAATCACCTCAGGATGCCTCCGGATACCCATATGGATGACCTCCTCACGGTCTTCCGGAGTGGCATGTGGCGGCTCCGCTTCCGCCTCTCGCGTGAAGGTCGCAAGCGCTTCTTCACCGAGTTCATGCCGCTGCTCCACGACACCAAAGCAAGCGTCATGGGCGAACGCGATGCCTCCTCCTGGTACCTGGTCTATGTCGGCACCAGGCCTTCGGCTCGCGGAAAGGGCTACTGTCGCAAGCTGATCGAGCACGTGACGGATATGGCCGATGAGGAGGGTCGCGCTATCTACCTTGAGAGCAGCCACGTCCGCAACGTTCCCATCTACCGCCGCATGGGCTTCAGGGAGTGCAGACGCATCTACCTCCAGCGTGCCGAGAAGGGCAATGTGGCGTTGGAAATCATGGTTAGAGAGCCGGGCGTGAAAGGGGATCACTAAATTGAGAATTTGACGATGGGGAAAAACGGAGGTGATTTGGCCAAGAAGTGGCTCAGTCGAGGGTATATGAAGGTACTCAACTACCACGGTTGATTTTTCTGAGATGCACTCAACTTGCATCTCTTCGGTTTTTTATGGCTCATACATAGGATCCGTAGCTCTCTTTTATTTTGCCTTAAGAAATTACACTCTTTTCCATGACATGAGCAAAAAATGAATCCACGCTAGCCATCAGCTGCAAGATGGGTACAGTTTGCCCTGCGTGCCCGTTTACGGGGCGGTTTTGGAATGACGCGGGAAATGCATATTCAGACGTGGTGTATCCAATTTTAGATGTAGGGATAGGACTATTTTCAGGGTACGGTTCTAGTTTCCACATTGATAGAAGATGATAGTCAAGTTCGTCACCCAGTGTCCTTTTGGTGAGGACGGGTAGAAACTTAACTCTCACGTATTGACCGCGGTGCTTCTTTTTAACCATGAGTATTCACAGGATAGCCCTATGTGGACTATCCAATCTGAGTGGTTACAAGGAAAATAATAAGTCCGTGCAAAGAGTGTACAACGCCTATCTACAGACTTTTTCCAATTCAAACGCCACCCACCTCCTCAAAGTCCTCTCCGTCGCCCTTTCTTCCCATAAAGAAGAAGGACAGCACGGCGGTGACACCGCACACCGCGGCCATGACGGCCATCATGTTTCCGTAGCCCAGCCACGTCTTCAGCCAGCCAGCGACCAGGGGGCCGACGGCGAGGCCCAGGTTCCAGATCATGCTGTTCAAGCCGTAGAGCTGGGCGTGGGGACCGCGGGCGCCGAAAAGCTCCGGGTTGGCCTCGTGGAAGCGGTCGACGACGAGGCCGGCCTCGACAAGGCTGGGAGCGTTGACGATGGCTATGCCGATGCCGCACAGCGACAGCAGCACGCAGTAGACGGCGATCTCATGGCCGCCTCCGGGCACGGCGAGCAGCTGGAAGAGCGACAGTACGGGCGTGAGCCAGGCGTAGCCGACGACGGCGACGACGCGCGGCGAGAAGCGGTCAACGGCCCAGCCCGCGAGCGGGCCCATGAAGAGGTCGAAGGAGCCGAGTGAGAGGAAGAGGAGCCCCGCGCGCAGCGAGTTGAAGCCGTAGTTTTCCTTGGCGGCAACGGGAATGGTGCTGTCAAAGGTGCCGAAGAGAAGAGCCTGGACGAATCCGACTAAAAGGGAGGTGAGCAGGCGAGGGTTTGGCAGCAGAACCAGGATGGGCACGTGGCGGGCAAGGAATGATTTCTTTGACAAGTGCTTGGCTGAGAGACGGTAGCGGGGGTCTGGTTTGGGGTGCTGGCGGCCAAGAAGCGGCGTATTTTCGTTGGTGTCGTTGAAGGGGAAGGGGGCGGTTTCTCTGCTGATGCTGCCGGGCCCGTACGGAAGCTTCGCCGTGCTTGTTTCCTGTTGCTCATACTGCATTGCGACCTTGCGTTCGATGACGAGAAGTCGCATGATGAAGTCGATGAGAACTATGGCAACGCTGATGCCGAAGACACCAGTGTAGCCGGTCTCGCGATACAGGATACCACCTAGGACGGGTGAAATGAGGCCGCCCACTGTCATGAGGCTGTAGATCTGCAAAAGTCTTAGTTTCTGAAGTGGCGCAAAGGATTGGCTGAAACTGGCAAAAAGGAACATACCGAGCCAATGACGGCCCCCATGTTATCTGATCCGACTGTTTCGACGAGAAGGGCAAGTCCAACAACCCAAACGACGGCAGCCGAGAGACCCTGGAGAGCACGGGCAACCACGAGAGCGGCAATAGTCTGGCCAAGAGCAAGCAGAAAAGTGGCAATCAAGAGGCTGGATAAACCAAGGAGGAAAGGCATTTGGCGAGAGGTCCATCTGTCTGCCAGCAAACCGGTGATGGGCGAGGAAACGACTGAGGCGGCAGCGTAGACTGCCAAAAGATTTGAGACTTGGCTCTGGATCTGGTCGGCGGGAAGATGGATGCGGTCCTGCAGCATGAAGGGAAGAACGGGGACTATGAGGCAGTAGAGCACCATGTCGGTGAAAATGCCCATGCCCACAGTGCTCACGATGAACCACCTTGAGGAGCGCCAGCGCAAGCCGGTGGGCGGCGGCGGAGGCTCGTTTTCAACGGCCGGCTGGGCCGTGGTGGGGCGCAATGCGGGGGACATGGTCGGGACCACGAAGGTCAGAGGTGAGCGCGAAGGAGCGGATTGGATCCCCATGGAGCCAGAGTGACGCGGAAGTGATGGTGGGTGAGAAGGATGGGTGGATGGTGAAGCTGCTATGCTCCTCGCACCTCCTCCTGATCTCGAGTCGCCCGACCGCAAAGATAGTTCACGACCCAATGCTTCGCTTGGGGCAGCAGCTGGCCCGACGCCGGGTTTCGGGGCAAGGATACAGTGGCTTTGGGAATGGTGCAGTGCAACGGGCCTGTAGACGGCGGAGCATTCAAAGCACACGCGGCCGTCGGCTCACGGGCTCTGGTATGGTCGAGGACGGGGAATGCCTGTTCGGAGCGGCGGGCGCTCGGGCAGCGGGTGCTCGAAATGGAAGTGGCTGATCTAACGGCGGCGCGCGTTGTGGAAGCCCAAGCTTGCTCGTTTTACGGCAGCAAGTGTTTGCGTGGGAGAAACGGGAATGAGTAGGCCGGAATGGAGGGATTTGCAAAAGCGGAGCGCTTACTCGACAGACGCTGGCGCTTCCTTCCGGGCCGGCCAACCTTGTGTTGTCTTATCTGATGCTGCGAGAACCATACCAAACGGGACCCGCGTTTGCATGTGCATCGCCAACTGACCAATTCGCAGGGCTGCCGGGCGTGGGCGCCGGGTGGCGGCGCGGGGGCACACGGAGGCGCGGCGAGTGGGCGTGAGTGCATTATCATGCCGTCTTGGAGTTGAGCAGTCATTCGGCGGCGTGCGTATGACGAGATGTGTTGCCTCAGCGGCCGCGACGTCAAGCCCTGCGCACTGACTGCTCTGTTCCGCCGCCTCCGCGCCAGCGCCAGCGCAGCACCACGGCGGCGCTGCCTCGGACAGTACAGGCCCCTCTCGCAGCCGATGGCTAGCGCGAAGAATAACAGGGCTTTAGAATGTAGCGTAACTTTGTCCCAGCTCTGCCTAGAATAATAACATATGTGGGGAGCTGAAGTGTATGTAGAATTAAAAATTCGACATTCTCGTCCAGACGATAGCTTCAACTACCCATGACATGAGCAAGAACCAAATCCACGCTAGCCATCGGCTGCGAGACGGGACTGTACTGAGGCGGCCGGTGAGGCTGCAGCTCTCATCTCCAGGTCCCGGCGCGGCAGCATGCTTCACGAGCAGGCGCGATGCACGCTAGCCGTCGGCTGCTGCAACCTCTCATTCCGCACCGCTCCCGGACAATGGATGTTGAAGCCGCGCACCTGTGCCCGCCCGCCAAGCGGCCCCCCGTCGGCGCTCCTCCGCCCAGCTCTGTTTCGAATCTCCCCGCGATCGCCCAAAGATGGCCAAATCCAAGCCGGCCGCCTGTCCCAAGCAGCAGGCCCTGATTATCTGCAGAAACAAGCACTGGCGCTACATCTCCGCCTTCCACGGCCCATGGCTGCAGCTGCCGCTCGAGATCCTGGAGTCGCTGGCCCACAGCAACTTCCAAGCACCGCGCCCGCACCCCATTGACCCCGCCGTATTTTACGACCTCGTTAAGATCCGCAAGGCCGTCGACGAAGCCACCAATCTCGCCGTGCGCGCCACCTCCGGTCTCACCTCCGCTGCCTTGAGCAGCCAGGCCAATGCTGCCAATGGCATCCTGGGCGGCGCCGCCCAGCTGGGGTTGGGCTATGTTGCTGGCGGTCAGAATACAAAGTTGAGCCGGGAGCGCAAGTACCGCATGCGCGAGCTGGCCACTCAGAAGCTGTCGCATGCATACCACCTCGACGAGATCGCCGCGAGCGTCGCTACCATGCAGTCGGCTTCCACTTTGGACGATGTCGCCCAATTTGTCCTGCAGCGCAGCGCCGACCCCGACGCCAAATACGTGCACTTCTTTCACGAGAAGATTCCCTCGCGCATGATGGCCGAGTACACGCCTTTGGATCCCCTGGACCATATCATCTCCGAGCGCCCCAATGACGGCTCCGCGCTGCGCACCCGCGCCTTGACGAGATTGTTCACGGAGGACTACATTGGCGCGGCAAGGGACTTAACGGATGGGCTGTCGATCGCACGATACGTGCAACAACAACATAGAGCGGGGAGAGACCAGCTGGTGCTGGCGAGCTCTGCACGGGAGGAGGCTGACGCTCGCCGGGCGCGGGAGTGGAGAGTTCAGCCAGTCAAAGAGGAGGACCAGCCGAACAGCCTAGAGACGCAGCTCCTATTCCACAGGGCCGGGGTATACCTCTCCCTCGCCTGTCAGTACGTCTCAGATGCGCTCGATGGACTGCAGGATTTTGAGACGAAGTACAAGGTGCAAACAGACGGGGTTGACCCCGGAGCCGAGCAGCCGTCGCCGTCTCCCGAGGAAAAAGAGGCGCATCGCAAGCGACTTGAGAATAGAAAATTGGTCAAGACGTATGCGAAACGAGCTGTGAGGGACTACCTTGCCTTTCTTGCTCGCTTTGAGTACACGCCTGGCATCAATCCAGCCGTCGCCGAAGGCTTCCTTCACAAAGTCAATGACGTCGCCAATGGGGTCAAAAGCTCAGAGCCCAGCTACCGTAAGCGTGTACAAGAACTAACAGACTCTGATACCGAAGTGAATGGCCAGGCGCCCGACGCTCTCGTGAAGCATCAGCGTGAAATCGAGCTCAACTCTCACAGGAACGGCACTTGGTCTTTACCCCCTCCCGCGATACACCCCGTCTCCGCCCTCTTCTCGAGCACGCCTCCCGCGGATCTTCCTCCTTACCCACCACTACCGCTTAGCTCTAACCCGGCCATGAACGCCTTCGCTGAGTCCCAGGAAACCGTTACATACCACCCCCTTCTGACTGACGCACTCCACTCGCTACTCCTCTGCCACGCCCTCATCCAGACTCCCCCCACCGAACTCCGCCGACATGCTTACAACGTCTCCCGCATAGCCCGCATCTCAGACGGCTACCCCATCTTCCTGGCTGCCCGTTCACCTGCCCGCGCCGACTGGATTGAAGTCCTCCACCGCGCCAAGAACTGGGTCAACCTGGGCCAGAGCTGGGACCAGCTGTGCCGACCTGCGCCTTTGCCAGGCAGTAGGTCCAGCAATAGTAATGCGAGTAGCAGCAGTAACGGAAGCGGTAGCAGCGGCGGCAGTACTACCGAGCTCGCCCAAACCACCGGGATGACGACGTCGGCGGCGAAGGACAACCGGGAGCCGGAGCGCGCGACGCAGCAGCTGTCTCAAGAGAGTGGCCACAGCAGTGAGCACAAGAGACACGAGGCCATCCTGGATACCCTCGCTGACGAGCGCGTCGTCGACGAGGAGTCCTTCCAGCGCGCCGTGCGAGCACACGAGCAGCGTTGCCGTCGTCAGGGCCATGGTGGAGAAAAGGCCGAAAACAACGTCACTTCTTCATCGTCGTCGTTGCCACCGCCTCCCCTGCCGCTGCCGCGGCAGCAGGCGACGGAACAGCCGAAGAGCTGGACGCAGGATGACGTAAAGGAGTATTCGATGCTGACAGAGCGGGCGGAGGCGGTCGCGCGCTGGGTCAGGGAGGCGCCCCGGAGCGTCGGTGCCGGCGAAGGGGGTGGCGGAAAGAAGAGGAGGGGGAAGAAGGGCGGGGCGGCGGCGACGAAGAATGGATCGAGTGCAACCGCAACCACAACCGCGACGGCTGTCGCCGTGCTAGAAGCGGGCGTGAGAGATCTGGGCCTGGATGCTCAGGGGGGCCAATCAGGAGAAGGGGGTAATAATGGGTAGTCGATGAGCGGGGAAAGGAGAGAGCATGTTCCTTGTATGGAACATTGTACAATATTCTTGGCATGGGGGGTGTTTTGGATGTCCTGGATGCAGCGGTACGTGATTGGAAAAGAAGAAAGCCGGTATTTGGGCTAGGACAACTGTATGCACCCTGATGTAGTACAGCCCCCTCTCGCAGCCGATGGCTAGCGCGATGAATAGCAGGGCTCCCCAGCTCCGCCTTTAAAAATAACATATGTGGGTAGCTAAGGCTATCGTCCGGACGAGAACGTCGAATTTTTAATTCTACATACGCGTCCGGACGATAGCTTCAACTACCCATGACATGAGTAGAAAACAAATACACGCCATCGGCTACAAGAGGGGACTGTAGAACTTTCAAACGAATTGCGCGATCAGGTCTCCTAGCTACTCTGCGGCTAAGCGAGGTTTCTTCTCACTACCGATGCATAACCCGGGTGAATGTAAGCGCTTAGGTTGTGCGCCTGCTGTGGCAGTATTCGTTTATGCTACGTCGTATCACACCTAGAATATAGATCTTAGTGCGAAGTTGAGGTTTCAGCTAGTGCAGATCTGCTACACTACTATCTTGCAGAAAAGGCGCTTTAAGCGGTTTCACTATTTCCATGGTCGAGACAGTAGATGTGGAACGTTAACTACTGCAGACTCTCGACGGCATAATCGAGGCTTGCAACCATTATGTGTTTTTTGATATAGCTTTCGTCTTCTTCTTTCTTTTGATTCTGGTAGCTAGGACGCTTTGAACAGACACGTATGTGTGAAAGGGGCTGTTATGTACTAAAAGTAATTAGAGCCCCAAGATTGTCCTGCGCTCGAAAGAATGCCCTGAAGAAGTATGGTAATGTGAAGTAGAGGTCGTATCTTCGCTTCTCGCCTGCTTTTTGGAACCAACGCGCTATGAACAACGCGAGGGACCCCAAAAGATACCGTTCGCTTAGTCCTTGGGCGCCATGCCGAGGGACTGGTTGCCACCATTGAAGACAACTGGAGAAAGTCAGCAGGCAAGTTTCTTGTGATACTTTTGCAGTGGACTTGACTTACCGAACTGAGCCTTGAACATGGTATCACCGTAGATCTGAAGGCTGGAGCCCTGGTTGCCCTGGACACCACCGAAGCAAGTAGTGTTCGCGTCATCGACAGCGGCGAAGGTGACCTGGTCGCCAGGGATGTTGGCCATGTAGTCACCGATGGCGACGGCGATATCGGGCAGTGCGGCGTCGCAGGGGTAGATGAAGCCACCAGCTTGGGCTGAGTTGACGGCGCCCTGGACGTTCTTGTAGTAGGCCTCGGCAACGTTGTCGTCGACGAGCAGCAGAGAAGTACCAGTGTCTGTCATCACATGTCAGCATCGGGTTGAACAACTTTGGGTATATTGCATGACACTTACCAGCGATGGCATCGTTGGCAGTGGGATTGTCGATCGTCTGACCATCAACCATGAAAGACTTGGACGGGAACTGCCAGAAACCTTGGCTGGTATTCACAGCAGTGTAAGTCAGCTGGCCCTTGAACTTGGTGTTATCGATGGTGCCGAATTCGTAGGTGCCGGTGGTGTCGTTGGTCAGGTCGGCAGTGAAGACGGGCTCGTCGAGGTCGGCCATGATGTTGTCGAAGAAGGTCTTCTGCTGCTGTGGCTTGACGGTGTTGATCTTGCTGAAGGCAAGACCCACGAGTCCATCAGTGTTGGTGTCTTCGATGAACGACTGGGAAACAGCGGTGGCCATCTCAATGGCCTGCTTGGTGACGGTAGCGCCACCAATGTCAACGGTGTCGAGGCCAACATTGCCGGCGGCACCGCTGCCATCGCCGTAGGTGATGAGGAAACTGGCACCATCCATGGCCTCGAAGGTAGTGCTCTTGGAGGAATCGAAAGCAGTATGGCCGCCAATGGCACGCCGCGAAAGCTGGGTGCTGAAGACCCAGAGGTCACTGCTGCCAGAGTCGAAGTCCAGGTTGAGGGTCTGGCCGCCGATCTTCACGGGAGACAGGAAGAGGGCCTCGTTCTCCTCGGGGTTAGCGGCGACTTCACCACTCTCGTTGGTAGTGTTGGCGGCAGGGGTCGCGGCGGCAGCGGAGGCGCCGCCAGCCCTGTGGGCTTTGAAGCCGTACTTGCGCATGGCCTTGCGCATGGCCACGGCGCCATCCTTCCTCTTGATCTTGGGGTTAAGGTTGCGGGGGACCTTAAACGAACGCTTTCCAAGCGTCTTGGTGGTCTTGGTCGGGGCGGGCCGTGCGAGGACGACGGCCGCCAAGAGAGCGACAAGAAGGACAATGACACGAAGGGAGTGCATTATGAAAACGCTTGACCGGCAGGCGTGGGGACGAAGTGGAAAGAGGGGGCGGTGGGCGTGGAAAGAACGGAGAAATTATAAAGTCTTCCAGAGACAGGCGCGAGACCCACGATAGGTACGCGCTACGAAGAGAACAACGGCGAAGGCGAAGACAGAACGGAAAGTGAAATCTAAGAAAGAAACACCTCTTGGTAGCCAAGACGGGATGCAGATGAGAAGTCTTATAAGGCGGCAGCAGATCGACTGCTCAGATCCGGAACCGTGGCTCGCCGGGGCCACAGGGCGGAAGCGGAGACAAGACCATCAGGTACGTCGCAGCGGCAGCAGGAGCTTCATTGGCCGCGCTGCAGGCGCGACGACGGCGCCAACGACGAGCTGGGCAGGCGGTAGGCAGTGCCGGCGCGGACCCCGCGGGCGCGATGACGCGCGCGGGTTGCGTGGGCCATGGCGTCGAGACGCGCAATGTCTGCGCCGGTGGCTCCTCGTGCAGCAGAGTTGCTCGCTAAGCGTGAGAGCCCTGTCGGAGCGAAGCGCGTGGTGTTGAAGACGAGCGGCTGAGAGCAGCTCGGAGGCGAGCCGAAGTGGGGCGCCCGTTACAGCCAGGGGCCTTCGCCGTCAGCGCCCGACACACCCACGGAGTTCACGCCTGCGTCGCATCCGCCTTAGCTGCCAGCCTATTGACACGCCGACCCTGCTGCTAGACGTGCCGTCTGGAGCCAGCCGCAAACCGCCTGCCGTCCGCCGCGTCCCCCTGCGCCGCAAGGCAATCAAAGCCGCCGCCGTTCGTCCTGCGCCCCTCCAGAACCCACCCACCCGGGTCGCGCCCCAATCCGGGACCACAGCCGTCTGACATTCCGAGCCCCAGACCAGCAAGGCCCGCACCCGCACCCGCAAAGCTTGATCCCGACGTCTCGTGCTATTCCTCAGACGCCCGCGCCCGTCACAAACATGAACCATCACCCGGTCGAAAACGAGAGCGCCATAGCGGCCATGCGGGCCCAGGTGCTCGCCAACGCCCGCGTGCTGTACAAGGAGCACAAGCTTTTCGAGGTCCTCACCTCGCAGGAGCTGGACGGCTCCGAGCTCGTCATGCAGCAAAACTGGGCCTACCTGGTCACCTTTCCCCACGACGCACGCGCCCTGATCCTCAGCTGCAGCGAGCCGTGCGAATCCCGCGAGGATGCCATGCGCTCGCTGCTTGACGACGTCGAGGCCGAGATGGGCGAGATGATCACCAAGGAGCTCAAGGACCAGAAGATCCCCATCGAGAGGAGGCGTCGCCGCAGGGAGAGGCTGGTAGAGCAGAGCCGCCTGGCTCGTTCCGCATGAGCGCAGAACAAAACAGGAAACTGAACAAGAGGCGGCGTCTCGTCGTCGAAACCGTATCTCGGCGCCTCCTCGTGCCTAGCTGCTGATCAGACTCTCTTGACACCGTTTCTTACTCCTCATGGTGGCGTTGGGGGAAATTGCAACCGTTGGATATGCGATACGCCTTCCTGCAGAGGCTAAGGCTCTGCGTGATGGCACGCTAGGCACCGTTGGACGCTTATTTCTCTTTTTCGTCGTGCATTGGGTTTTGGGATGTGGAGCGGGGGGCATTTGGTTTGGGACGGAGGGAGGTACTTAGGTAATTTTCTGGGTGGGCTACGGTTGGCGGTTGGGTCTAAACTACAACGAAAACAATCTCTTGGCTGTCGATGCTACTGTTTCCTGTACCGCCCTTGCCGTGTACGACTGTTCATCTCGCGCGACTTGGCCGGCTTCATGCGTTTGTGCATGTTTGCAGACGATCCTGCCTTCGTCCTTGCCGATTTCCACCCGCTGTTCTAACCAATTCGCATGACATTAGATAAAATTCGTTCTGTTTCTCAGGTAGCACGTCTGGTGGCCCTAAAACTGCCTCACTCCACGCCGTCATCGGTACAGAATCAGCTCCCGATATGCGCGGTTAGAGGGTGCGACATGCACATTGAACATTCTGCAAACGTCCGAGACTCTCAACCACTAAAAGAGCAGACTGTATAGCTCTGACTACGTGGTACTGTCGTATCGTGCTTTTTCAACTGTTGTAGCTATCAGGCTGCCATGTGGACGCCTTGTTTTTGACGCTTCATGAACGTCGATTTGGTGCGATATTTGGCAGATTCGCGAGATAGATTGCTTCTATGCGTAATTTGCGCTCGCAGAAAGCACTTGGGCGAGTGCATGGGAAGCCAGTCGCGCAAACAGACTCTCAAACACGTCTCTTGGGTGCTTCTAACTTGAGGGTTTCTGGCCTGAGTACCGCATGAGGTTGTTCCCCGTATCGCACTGACTCGGAGGCCGTGACAGGGAATTGACCAATCCATACGCGAGAGTGGCTCAGAGCGCTCCACTCGCGCATGAAAAGCACTCCTGATGGGCGGGCTCATATATCTCCTGCACTCCTTGAAGAAGGCTTCGCCCGTACGATGCACTCAGTCTTTTCGAGAAGGCCACGCACTCCACAAGGCCATGAGAGCGCCGATCACTTATTGGGCGACGTGGAGACTTGGTGTCGAAAGACCACGGACCACCTCTACCTCTGACAGGCGGTGACACCTCTGCAAGTAGCCTCATCGGTGCGTTCGCGTGATGCGACAAGCAGGCTAGTAAACAGGAAAGCTCCCTTGTTTTGTTAACCGCCTGCAGCGATACGCGAGAGCCCATCTCACTTAAAGGCCGTCGTGGAACCACCGTCCCAACCACATCTTTCCATCTGGTTACGTGTGCTCGAGTCGGCACCTCTCCGCTGTGCATGGAACTTGGAATTCCGGCGTGACTTGCCAACTTTTGCTAGTCGTCCAGTAGTCTCGAAGCGATCAACGGCATCAATGGCCTTAGCGACGACGGACTATTGGCATGCATCGAGCATTCTCGGACTAACCACAAGCCTTTGGCGGTCAGGATGTGGTGCGGGCCTTGTGCGAAAAAGCTCAACCTTGATCGCAACCTTGATCGCAAGAGTTGAGGCGGGGTTGTGTGTGGCCTGACAATGCGGCCTGCCGGAGGAGACTCCTCGGCACAATGCATGCCGTCTCTTCAAGCTGTTATCAGCAATAATAACGATGGCAGAAAGGTCGCGCGCATCGCTCCAATGATGTCAACGAGCGCCGCTGGCGTCTCTCCCCTCGCTTGCGAGCAGATCTGATCCTGCATTTTCCGATCCACGCACGACCCGGCTCAGCGCAACTGCAGCGCACAGTCTCAGCTGAGAAAATTCCAATCCCATGGTGTTGAGAAAGTCTCTGGCGGTCTAATTGATTCTAGGCCCGAGGCGCATATGTAGGCTGTGGCTGATACAGCGGGTTTGCAACGAGGTCCTGGTGAATCGACGGTAGCTGTTTGTAATTTCCAGGGTCAGTGATCGGGCCACGGGCGGAGGGCAGGATGCGACGGAGCGTGTCAATCACGGATGATGCGAGTCAAGGTCCCGTCCTGCGTCAGCCGAGGCTGTGCCGCTGCGATGTCGTGGCCGCTTGGCCGTCCACGTTGCGTCGCACAGACTTTTGCACACCGGTTGACCCGCGATAGCTATATAGGATAGCGCATAGCTCCTTCCGGCGTTGATGGAGGCGGCTACGCTCCCGTCAATAGTCTGGCTGGTTGGGATGGTGCAAGCGGTCTCTCATGTTCGCCACCGTGAGCTCTTACCATGCACTGGAGAGGAGAAAAATCTTGGAATGGCCCGTTCTTATCATTTTTACCTATAAGACGTTCAGGCGCCCAGTAACCTGTTCGTATTGCAAGAGATTCTGGGGTCTGCAGGCGACGAGGCACGCCGGCTCATGCCGAGGACCATGGAAGCGATGGCTCCAGGGTCTGGCACAGGCCGCATGGCACACTGGCATGTGGACCGGCTCCTCGGGAGGACGACAGACGTCACACCCGCTGCATGCTGATAGCCACTGGTTGCAGCGCTCAGCACGATGGTGGAAGGAGCGGCCACGACATGTTGGCGCGCGCGTGGGCCAGCTGGCGGCTCTGATCAAAACTGGGCCAAGACGGCGTGGCTGGGCGCTCCAGCCACGAACTTGGGTGTGTGGCAGAATCTGCGTCGCTCAGCTGGACCAGGATTCGAGTGGGTCAGATTGATTGAGCGCCTAGCGCATGGGTTGTTGCGCAAGCTCTTTGGAGTTGGCGCCGTGCGACAGCCATTGGCGCGAGGCCGGTGAGTGCGCGGCCAGCCCGTCTGGCAACGCAAGGGACGGCATATGACGACAAGATCGCTGTTCCTGGGGAGATTGGTCTTAAGAAGCGCGGCCCAGAGTGTTTATCGTTCCTCCACGCGCGCTACCTCGGACGACCGCACGATCGCTCGCTGGCCCCGGTGCTCGCCTGTCCATTCTTCTTTTTGCCAGTGCCGTCAGAGTCTTCGGGAGGCGCGATTAGTGGTGCTCGCGACCTGACACTTAAAACACCTGCCAGCCCAAGACCAGGCCCCCCTGGTGCTCTGTAACCGCCAGCCTCTCGTCTTTCGCCCTGCCCAACCTTCCAACGCCGAGCCCACAAATCCCACAAAACTCAACGCGCGCGGCAGGCACGGTGGGTCCGCTACGCCAGCCAAGGTCTGACGCATTCCGACGACACCATGGGAAACTCGTGCAGTGTCCAGAACGTATGTTTTATCTCTCCCTCTGATCTTGTTTACACCACATCTCGAGCCCCCCGCGCTGTGCGCACTCCGCATCCTCTCCACCGCCTCCATGTTGCACCTGTTCTCGAAGCGCGACAGCATTAGACAATGCGCCAACAAGATTCTCACGACATCATTACAGGGCCAAGATGAGAACATCGGTTCCTCGCAGGAGACCGAGGCCGTCTCCGCCTCCCGCCTCCTTTCCACGCTTGCGCCGGTCGCTGTCTACGCTGTCATCTGGCTCGTCCTCTTCCTGATCCTGCGTCGCGTCTTCGTGCGCAATTACCAGGCCCGTTCCGTTCTCAATACATTGAAAGAGAGTGAAAGATCGCCCCAATTACCTCCGGGCCTGTTCAGCTGGATCGCCGCCTTCGTCAAGATCCCCGACAGCTATGTTCTCACCCACCACTCTCTCGATGGCTTCCTGTTCTTGCGCCTGCTCAAGATGGCCGTCATCTCCTGCTTTGTCGGCGCTGCCATCTGCATCCCCGTCCTGTTCCCGGTGAACATTACGGGTGGCGGCAAGCAAGAGCAGCTGGACATCCTTAACCTGTCCAATGTCTCTGGTACCTACTGGCGTTACTTTGCTCACGCTGGGTGCGCCTATCTCTTCTTTGGTATGTGCAGTTCTTACAGGAGCCCATGTCGAAGGCGACTAACCCGGTGTAGGCTTCATCATGTTCATGATAACTCGCGAGAGTATCTTCTACATCAACCTCCGCCAAGCGTTCCTCATGTCTCCTCTCTATGCTAAGCGCCTCTCGTCCCGCACCGTTCTGTTCACCGCGGTCCCGGAGTACTACTTGCACGAGTCGAGGATGCGCGATCTTCTCGGAGACCACGTTAAGCGCGTCTGGCTTCCCACCGATACCTCGGAGCTCGAGGAGAAGGTCCAAGAACGTGACAGTATTGCCATGAAGCTTGAGGGAGCTGAGACTAAGCTGTGCAAGCTCGTCAATGCGGCTAAGCTCAAGGCCGATAAGACAGGCAACGCTCGCGAGGAGGAGTTGACCGAGATTAATGGCCAAGGCAGCACCGAGTCTGGCTCTGTGGCTGCTCGCTGGATCAGGGCCAAAGATCGCCCAACGCACCGTCTGAAGCCCCTCATTGGCAAGAAGGTCGACACGATTGACTGGTCTCGTACGCAACTGGCGAAGCTGATCCCGGAAATCGAGAAGGAGCAGGCCAAGCACCGTGCTGCCGATGCGAAGAAGATCAGCTCTGTGTTTGTCGAGTTCGACAGCATTTCCGAGGCCCAAGCCGCTTTCCAGAGTCTTACGCACCACCAAGCCCTGCACATGGCTCCCCGCTACATCGGCATTACTCCCACCGAGGTCATCTGGAGCAACTTGCGCATCAAGTGGTGGGAGCGTGTTATGCGTGTGCTTGCTACCACGGCTTTCGTCACTGCTCTGGTTGTCTTCTGGTCTATCCCCGTGGCTTTCGTCGGTGCCATCTCAAACGTCCAAAACCTCACCTGTATCATTCCGGCCTTGAGCTTCATCAACGACATTCCTTCCGCCGTCAAGGGTGTTGTCACTGGACTTCTGCCTGTCATTCTCCTGGCGGTGCTGATGTCTTTGTTGCCCATCATTCTCCGCATGATGGCGAAGCTTAGCGGCGATCCCACCAGGTCGGCTGTCGAACTGACTGTTCAGAATTACTATTTCGCCTTCCAGGTCGTCCAAGTCTTCCTCGTGGCTACTCTTGGATCTGCCGCTGCTTCAGCTGTCGGCGATATCATCGAAAACCCCACCGGCATTCCAAGCAAGCTTGCAACTACGATTCCCACAGCATCTGGTTTCTACCTGTCTTACTTCGTTCTACAGGGCCTGGGTGTTGTCTCCGGTTTGCTCGTTGGTCTCGTCGGTTTGGTCATCGCAAAGGTCCTTAGCAAGATCCTCGATACCACCCCTCGGAAGATGTACAAGCGGTGGATCTCTCTCTCCGGTCTTGGCTGGGGCACTGTTTTCCCCGTCTACACGAACTTGTTCGTCATTGGTAAGTTAGATTCCATAATGTGCTTCTTCTTTTACTGACATTTACAAGCAATTTGCTACGCTTGCATTGCCCCGCTAGTCCTCCTCTTTGCCGGAATCGGCATGTGGTTCTTCTACTTCGCCTACCGATACAACCTGCTCTTCGTGTACGACATCGACGTCGACACCAAGGGCCTTGTCTACCCACGTGCTCTCCAGCAGCTTTTCGTCGGCCTCTACATCGCCGAAGGCTGCCTTATCGGTCTCTTCGCCATCCAGCTGGGTGACCGGAGTGCTTTGGGACCATTCATCCTGATGCTCGTCCTTTTGATCTTCACGTTCCTGTACCACGCCTCTCTTAATGCGGCTCTCGACCCTCTTCTCAAGTATCTGCCTAAGAGTCTTCAAGAAGAGGAGCGTCGCCTGCTCGCGGCTGAGTCCGACCTGCCTCCTAGCGAGCGGGCCGACGCGCCGACCGAGGGCTTCGAAAAGGCAGGCGCTACCGAAGACGGTTACCTTGACCCGCGCGTGGCCCCGCACGAGAAGCCGGGCATGATCAAGAAGTTCCTGCGACCCGACATCTACACCGACTACCCGACCATGCGGCGCATGGTCCCCCGCAACTTTGCTGATCCCGACGCACTGTATGCCCCTGAGGTGGAGCGCGACGCCTTCTTCCACCCGTCCGTCACATCGGAGCCCCCGATGCTTTGGATCCCGCGTGACTCGGCCGGGTGCTCCCGCCAGGAGGTGCAAGACACGGGCAAGGTCATCGCCATTACCGACGTGGCGGCTCATTTCGACGAGAAGAACAAGCTTGTCTGGGATCCCGAGGCAGAGGTTCCGATTGCCGAGCCCAAGATCTATTACTAGGCCATCTCTTTCGTTAGGGGTCCAGCCTTCCGCACGGCATTTGTTTTATTATGGTTCTATGACCACCTGATACCCACGCAAATCTAATCTGAGAGCAGGGGTGGAGAGATGAGATGTACGATGGTCGGGGTAGATGCTTGCTGGGCGTTTTACGGGACCTACACTCCATTGCCCTTCCACCCTTGGCAATAGAGCAGGATGCCCCCCGTCCCTTCAAGCTTCCCCGCAAGACCGAAGGAAACGGAAATGAGTAATGCTTTTCTTTGTCTTGTCCTGTTCTGTTTACACTACCTTCCTCAAAGGACTAATACTATTGCCTGAGTTTCCCAAATAAGATACTTGGCTCTCCCTTTCGGGGCGATGCAATGTCATCTCGTCTTCCCATTTCTTTCAGCGTTCCAAGCGGTTGAACGGCACTGTAGTCCTAAGAATTGGCCAAAGATTACGAAGATTTCATTGTACGCTTTTGCTTTGGATACCCTTTAGATAAATTGAGTGCCTTTTGGCTCACTCCCTACAACGACTGATTCTGAGAATCACAATGCAGTCGGTGATGCGTGGTGAACTTGCTTCCTCGACACTTCCCGAACTCGTGTCTGCGTATTCGGCGTCTCACGGCGGCACGACTCATGCTGCTTATTGTAAGCGGTAAGGGCGGCTCAAGTCGTGCTCATCTCTGATCTTGAACGGTGGAGCAATAGCATCATCGGCCCACAGTCTAGTCGCACCCTGTCCAGAATACGACTCGAAACACAGATAATTACCCACGGTACAGTCGGTGACTAGCGTGCTGTTGGTAGCCGATGGTGCAAACGATTTCAATGGGTTGGCACCGGGTGTGGCTTCGTGCGTCAAGCGTGGGTGACGTTTTGCTTATTCGGGAAATAATGACGACGAAGAGAAAATGATCAAAAGTCTTCAAAATTTCCAATGTTATTTATTAAGGGATATCTTCCAATTCTTTGGCCTACAATGCACTCCTGAATAGAGGCAGGTCTCGGAACGCAACACAATTGCTCATGCGACAAATGCATGGCGGAGTTGAGACTACCACGTCCTGCGCACAGCACCGAATTCAAGGAAGAGCCGGGTTGCGCGGCACAGCAGTCGGGCAGCAAAGGATTCCGGCGTTCCGTCTGCAATCATCGATCTATCCCTCGCGATCAACTTCCTACCCTCCAAGCTCGAGGTTGAGAGAAAAAAAAATTGGGCTGTAGACGCATCTGGTGGCGTGATGCATCTAGATCTGGAGGGGCAGCGTAGGTGGTAGCAGAACCGAAATCCTATTCCTGCATGTAAGCCGGCACATTTGGCAAGGTGGGCGGGCAGAAAGAGCGTCGCGGGCCAATCCGACTCCTCGAGTGCTGAACGCGACTCGCCAGCGGGACGGTACACGCCGCCTGCCCCTCTTCCCAGCAAAACCCAACGTCGAGGCGAAGCTCTCATTATCCCCCCTCTGCCGGACGATCATCGCATGATATTTCCAGTCGCACCACCGCGCACATGAGAAATGACGGATCTGCTTATCGGCAGTGGGGGGCAGATTGAGGAGGGCGGAGCGGTGTCAGAGCGCGGAGAGCAGCTTTCTGTTGGTCTTCGCAGTTCGTGTCTGTTCGCGTGCTTGCAAGCGGAGCGGCGGCCGGGGGTCGTGGCTGTTGTTGCTGTTCTGCCCCACCGTTAGCGTCATAGCCCAATGGCAGCGAAGGTGCGGGGTGCTCTGCGAGACGCTTCCCAAGATCTGGCCAGATGCTGGGCGGTTCCAAACAAAAAAATTGCACACGCTCCAACGCGCGTCCTCAGACGAGCAGAGGAGTGTACTTTAGTTCCAATTCACCAAGTCATGTCTTCCGGTCAAATCCTCCTCTCACCGGAATAATGGGGGGGCGTGATGAGGCTGCTGAACGGGCCCAGGCCATGTGGGGAGTTGGCTATAGCTGGAGCCACTTCGGCGCGTGCGGAGGCGCATCGTGGCGGGCTTCTGGTAGGTTTCGAAACGTGGAAATTGCGAGTGTCTTGCTAAATTTGCCTTCTGGCACGGACAAGCGCATCCATAGAGGCAGGCTATGCAGGGAAAACCGCCGACCGGCCGCTGTTCTGCAACTTCCGCAATTCCGAGCCACGGGCAGGCAAAGTGCCGCAGCTCGTGTGGATACAGTATACCTGGAGAAAGGGGGCGCCTGAAGCAATTGGTGGGGTAGTAGGGCAAGCCAGGGGCGGGGCGCTGCAATGGAGGCTGCATCTGCCCCGCCGTGGACTCGGCTCAAAGGCAGGAGCAGCTCAACGACTCAGATGCATTCGCTCGCGATACTGGCGGAGCTCCGGTCTTCCTGAGCTTCAATGCATTCCCCACGCGGCTCCGCGACCACTCAGTGGCGCGCTAACCCCAGGTATTCTGCATGCGGCCCCCCGGGGTGAGGCGGTGGACAGGCAAAATCGCGGGGAGACTGGCGTGCGGCTGCCGGGAGGTGCTGGCGTCGTGCGGTTCCGCTGCAGGCCATACCGCGACGGGCAAGGCTGCGCAGCGCATCGGTCCTGGGGAAGCGGCGGCGGAGGTTGGGGGAGCTGTCGCGTGGGGAGTAGCGCGTGGAGAGGGGCCATGGCGGGCTTGCGGCTGCTTCTGCGCGCGCTGTGCTCAGGGTGCGGTGGGCCGGGCCTGCTGCGGCGGAGGCGCGAGGAGTGCGTTGGTGGTGGTCGTCGTCAGAAGCGTGCTTTCGTTGCCCGCGGAGCACTTCCAGTCGCCCGGCGGAGGCGTGTGCGTGCGTAGATGGGCGGCATCCAGCTCCCACGCGCAACGGGGCGCCGCGCTCCCTTTATGTGCGCGCAGTGACGTACCCTACACGAAAAAAATCGCAGCAAAAAAATGTTGGCGCGAATGTCACCCGTTGTCACGCTCTGCGCGTTTTTGGACGGTGGGCCGCAAGGCTGACCTCACCTGAGAGGGCTTGCGATAAGATAGCGGATTCTTCATCGAACCGCATGCGGCCCCAAGCTCCGCCGCCCTCTGACGCGCTGCCTCGCCCATACCCGCAGTCGACTGACGCGCATCCACCGCCCGGCCGAAGCTCGCCGCCTGGGCTACGCTGTGTCTGGCCAGCGTGAGACGGCCGTCTTCCGACGTCGCTCACGACCCGCCCGGCGCCCAATCGCATCGGCCCATGGCGCGCCTCCGGAGCGCCGGCATGCCCGCGGACCCTGGGAGGGATCATGGCTGGAGCGCGATGGGAGCTTGAGCATTGATCTGCCGCACCACCTTCGTTGCCCCTGTCACGCCGACTGCCTGCGCCGCCAAGCGGGGTTACTTCTTTTGTCATGAACTGCCCAACGATGCTCGCAGTATAAAGCACCCTCGACTTCCAGCCTGCTCTGACTTCTTTCTCCAGCACTACTCACCAGTCCTCTCTTCAATTGCCTTCCTCAGCCTCATCCCTCCATCAACCATCCATCCCACCCTCTGACATCATCATCATGTCTGCTCCCCAGGTTCCCAAGAAGCAGATGGCCCAGGTCGTCGAGACCGTCGGCCAGCGCCCTGTCTACAAGGAGATCGATGTCCAAGAGCCCGGTCCCGATGAGGTCCTCGTCCACGTCAAGTACTCCGGTGTCTGCCACACCGACCTCCACGCCATGCAGGGCGACTGGCCCCTGCCCGTCAAGATTCCCCTTGTCGGTGGCCACGAGGGTGCTGGTACCGTTGTCAAGACCGGTTCGCTCGTCCAGGACGTCCAGATTGGCGACGACGTCGGCATCAAGGTCAGCTCTGCTCCCTCCCCTCTTCCACCCTCCATTTTCTCTAACAATTGCCGCAGTGGTTGAACGGCTCCTGCCTTGCCTGCGACTTCTGCCAGCAGGCCGACGAGTCCCTCTGCCCTAAGGCCCTCCTCTCCGGCTACACGGTCGACGGTTCCTTCCAGCAGTACGCCATCGCCAAGGCTGCCCACGTTGCACGGATACCCAAGGGCAGCGATCTCGCCGCCATTGCCCCCGTCCTGTGCGCCGGTATCACCGTCTACAAGGGTCTCAAGGAGGCTGGCGTGCGCGCTGGTCAGACCGTCGCCATTGTCGGTGCCGGTGGTGGTCTCGGTTCCCTTGCCCTGCAGTACGCCAAGGCTATGGGCATCCACACCATCTCCATTGATGCTGGTGATGACAAGAAGGCCATGTGCGAGAGCATGGGCACCACCGCCTTCGTCGACTTCTCCAAGAGCTCCAACGTCGTCAAGGATGTGCAGGCTGCCACCGTCGACGGCCTTGGTCCCCACGCCGTCATCCTGCTCGCCGTTGCTGAGAAGCCCTTCCAGCAGGCCGCTGAGGTAAGCCTTTCCACTGACATTGGTCCACCCGTCGAACAGCCGCTGACGATTGAAACAGTACGTCCGTCCTCGTGGCTCCGTCGTCTGCATTGGTCTGCCCGCCGGTGCTTACCTGAAGGCTCCTGTCTTCGACACCGTCGTCCGCATGATCTCCATCAAGGGTTCGTACGTCGGCAACCGCAAGGATACCGCCGAGGCTCTTGACTTCTTCGCTCGTGGCATGATCAAGGCTCCCTTCAAGGTTGTCGGTCTGTCTCAGCTCAACGAGGTCTACGACCTCATGAAGAAGGGCGCCATTGCCGGTCGCTACGTCCTCGACACCTCCAAATAGATGGATGCAAACGCTCCCGCGTGCTCCAGAAAACATGGGAAAAGATCCAGGATGGAACGGAGGTTTTCTGATGAGTTTACGATTTTCTGCTGCTGAGAATCCCAAGAGTCAGGGACGGTGGCTTTGTACATACTTTGTTCGCAATTGATTCCCCCTTTGATAAACATCCGTCGTTGTGCATGGTGAGGAGAATGATGATGATGGCTCGAGGGGAGCCGACGTTTATTTAAGCGCCACGCGCAGCCAACAAGGTGCCTTAAATTGAGATCTCGGATTCATGGGTGCATAGGGCATCTCCGGCTCGTCCCGTCCCGCACCGTGCCCCCTCTTCTGCCCCCGTTCTTTGCCGAGGTGGAGATTTCACTGCCGGCTGGTTCAGTGCTCGCTGCCCATGCCCCATCGAGTATAAATGATCCGCGTCCATTTTCCATCTCTCACGCAAGTACGTTTCATTGAACAGTCATCATGAGACCGGTTCGTTTCAAGCCAGGGTAGTTGAACTTTTGTGACGATAGCTCTAATGATGGTAATATCGTACGCGAACTGTACAGATGCCTCTTCAACCACCCATCCCCCCTTTTTTGCCACGCTAAGCGAACCCATCGTAAGATGTCTCCAGTGTGTCTTCTGAAGCCCATACCGACTACATAGTGACATCGTAGTTGACGTGGTGACTCCCGGTAGTGGCTTGTAACGCCACTCATCCGCTGAACCAATCTTTGCTGCGGTCACCTCGATGAAAATCAACGTTACGACATTCGCCACCCTGCATGCCATCAGAAGTAAGCTAGCGCTTTGTCCTCGCTCGTCAATCCGTCGCCGACCTCGTCGCCTCTTCAAAGCGGAGGATGGCCTTGCTGCTGTCGCTTTCTCTTCATCCTCTCTAGCTGAATCTCGTAGTCGATTTCCTTCAGCTGGATCTCGTAGTCGATCTGCTTCAGCTGGATCTCGAGCTGCTTCTTTTCGAGCTTTAACACGCGCTGTTGCAATTCTATGCGACGCTGCTCCACCTTTATATCTGTGTATAGGCAAGTTATAAGCAAGTCAGGCAGGTATGCAGTATGCAGCTTCCTATCTTGGTTGCATACCCTTCTAGTAGGCACAACCCTTGTTCTTCAAGCATGACTCAAGACAACGCTCCAGAATGCAATTTATTTCGGTCCAGTGGTTTAATCATTACCCGCTACAAGACAGGGTATCGTCCGAATAGAACTTGATGTCCGAAATAGTAAACGAGTTGACTTATCTTCCATTCCACCATCACGCCAGTTCAGATGACCCAATCTATTTCCTCTTCCTTTACTCATCCATCCCTCCTCCGCAGAACTCACGTCAAAACATACGTCGCGAAGAAAGCCGCCAGATCCAGCATCGCGGGCCAAGTGTCGTGCTTGCCCTCGTCCGTCCGCGCCTTACTACGCTCCTTCTCGCTCCGCAGCTCGCTCAGCTTCCGCTCGTGCCGCCTTCGCATCCGCCCCGTCTCTCCCCTGCGTCGTCGTCGACGGCGACGCTCCTTGACCATCCGCTCCGGCTCTGTCTCCGTCTCCGTCTCATCGTCAAAGTTATATGATAATGGTAACGATGACGAAGACAATGATACACCTACGTGCCTGGCACCCTCTTTTCCGCGCACCTGTCCATTGCCCCTCGCTTGACAGCGTCGTTGGCTGGCGTCGATTCCACTACTGCGATCATCCTCAGATGTGGAGTAGTCGGACGAGGAGGATGAGGGGAAAGATGTGAGGGAGGGCCTGTCTTCCTTGATCCGCACCTGCTTGCGCGAGGAGTATGATGAGGATGAGGAGAGCGGCGGCCGCACCGCAGTGGGTGCAGGTGTCGCCGGGGCTGGTGGCGAGAAAGCGTTGACGTCGATGGGATAGGTGCGGTAGACACCGGTTTGGACGGGCGGGAAGGAAGAGCGGTAATCAGGTGAGGTGGGCTTAGGTTTGCGGGAGGGAGCGGCAGACTGTGGTACTCGTGGTGCTTGCCTTGTGGAGCTCCTCCTGGGTATGCCGGGGGTTTGGATGGGTGGAGATGTGGGGTAGGAAGAGGGTTGGTGAACGGGGCTGTATTGTTGCTGCGGCACTTGTTGCTGGTAATGATAGTACGAAGGCGGTGTCGATGCTAACGTTTGCGGGCGGCGTCCTTGCGGGCATGCCTGGGAAGAGTGGATTGACGTTGTGCTGCCACGTGAGGCCGGATATGGTGTGGCTGCCGCTTTGAATGGTGGTACGGCGTTGGTGTTGTAACTCTGAGGTGGTAAGTCGGTATAGGGGATTCCATTGTGTTGAAGTGGAGGAGAAGAGCGAGCTGAACTATCAGGATGCGATTGTTGTGGCGGAGTCTGCGAAGACGCGATGTGCGTGTTGGAGGAACTAAAGGCATAAGCCGAAGGGTATGTGAATCTCCGACCAAAACCCGGCTTTGACGGCAAATCGTCGAAGTAAGTCTCATCGGAGGCTGGCGGAGATGGATTGACGTAGATTCTGCTGGATGGCAAATTGAAGTAACTCCCAGCAAATTCCGAACACTGAGTAGGCGAATCAGTTGGCGTCTCGGGCGGCGTGTTAGGCTGCAAAGGTGACACCTGCTGTTCTGAGAGACGCCATGTTCCGGATTCTGTGTTTCTGTATGTTCGAGGTGATTCGATTCCCGAGGGTGACTGAGGGATTGCTGCTGGGTGGCAGGAGGACTGAAAGCGAGCTGGAACATGCGATGGTCTGTTGATACGTGGATATCTAGTCGAGCATGGTGATACTGGTTCGAACGGGCGGTTGGGCTTAGGAGACAGCGGATCTTGCGCCTCGACCATCTTCGCTTCGTCTGGTCTGACGTTCTTGCTTGGGGTAAATTTGACGTCGATACCCGTGATAGCGAAAGGTAAACAGTGCTGGATTGGTGACAGTCCAGACTAAGTCGAGACGAAAGGAGCCTCGTCACCCCTGGGTGTCGACAGAGTGGTATTTGCCAAGTACTCTTGCTGTACCAGGCCGCCGACAAGAGAGGCGAGCAGGCGGCTTCAAAAAAGATAGCCACAGAAGGCTTGAGTACCGCTGCCTGATGTGCAATCGAGAGGGGAAATTCAGGATCCAAGCTGTGCAGATAACTGATCGAGAATGGGATTTAAGTAGGACAGCTCCCCGAAAAGCATATCACATGAGCGGTTGCCTACATAAGGGATTCGAGGAATGCTAGAAGCGACGCCAATTGCAGGCAAGATCAGATGGGTATGGTGGCGAAGGTCCAGTCCACACGTGTATTGCCATTTGGCTGGGGAGTGCCTGATCTGCAAGGCCGCCCCATTGAATGTGGCTGGAAAAAAGCCTGTCTGGTCTTGAAGATGGAGCAGATGGAGGGGCCCTCTCGAACCGGATGTGCAATGACGCAAGCCGGCAGGAAGAAGCCCTGAAGCACCCCACAGGGCTTGTGGCACGCGGACACGGTCGCAAACACTGCATGAAACTTGTTCTAGAGTTTGAAGGTAATCCGATGGCGATTAGGTCGGGCGCCCTGCATAAAGGGTTTACCACAGGCCTAGGTACCTCACACTCCCGCGCCCCTCTGTCATTCAATGCGCTTAATCGTTGGTGTCGAGCGCGCTCAAAAATCGGACGCCGTTTACGAGAAGTTTGTGAAGAGATCGGTTTTGACGACAATATGCCACAAGTTCTACATACCGGTCCTACGTTGAAGCCCCGTTCTTCTCTCCATGACAAGGAAGCGTTGTCCGGCGACGGTCTCTTGCCCCATTGGCTCGACGCAAAAGGGCCTGAAAGTGGCAATGCCTACGTAGGGTGCCAAGTTGCATACAGCTCCACGCACCTCTGCTGACCGCGAGGAATGGCTGGATGGGTAACTCGAGCTTCGGAGTCATCTCCATTTGTAATGAATCTTCAAAAGCCTGTGCAGTGATAGCGTTACATTTTCGCCTGCCTTTCGTCGCTCCTACCTCATACTGTGAGCCTCCAACGACAGGGGTATATAGTTTGGGGGTAAATGTGAAGGGAATGGCTGTGGCCGCCGAGTGCAAATTACCAAAAAAACGCCAGTCTATGCTGCAGGTGAGTTTCGATGCGCCCAAATCAAAACAGAGCAATTAAAATGACGCGCTTAATACCAAACCCAAAGGAATCAATACGAAAGCAGGAACCGTCGGAAGGCGCTGTTGAGTCGGTGAATCATGAGCCAAAGTCTTCAGAGGATGTCCTGCCTAACCTATCGTGCGGTTCAAGAACCCTACAATCTGCTGTGTCAATTGACGTTCCAGGCTTGCGGTCGTCGAATACTTACGAATATTGTTTCATGAGAGTTCCTTCGCCACCGTTTTCTAGGTCGATGTTGAAGACAAAGAAGCCACCGTCATTGGTCACTACCATGACTTGAGGGCCGTTATTGCTCATGGCGACGACGTTGCTGGGATGCATTGGCGGCCCGTCAATGTTTCTCTTCGGTATTTTCACCCAGGCGAAATCCCTGGCGGGCTCCCATATTTCAGCAACAGCACTAGGCAGGTAGCCTCCCAGCTTCTGCGCAAATCCCATGCCAACATTCTGCGAAGTGCGACGGATCATGCTCGCAAGGCCCGGATTGTTTTGCTTTCTCTCAGGGACGGCAGGGGCAGATGAGTCGTAGTCTCCATTATCCGGCATCTCTTCGCTGCTCGGGCTCCGACTGCGGTCGCGGGATCCAGCGGCAGAAGGTCTCCGGCCAGAAGGCGAACCGTCTTTGGAACGAGACTCGCTCTGTGGAGACAGGCGGAAAATATGGACTGTATCGGTTGCGGAAGAGACACAGAGCAAAGTTGAAGTGGAGTTGAAGGCCATGCTGAGGATTTTGGCGGGGATCGAGCCTCTGCGGAACTGGAACAGCTTTTTGGCGTCGGGAACGGAGAAAACGCGGATGATTGTGCCTTTCTCCGAGGCTGTGGCCAGCAAAGTGCCCTCATTGTTGAGCGCTATGCACGATAGCGGAGCCTGATGCGCCTCTATGACATTGACAGCCTCCATCCTAGTGGCATCGAATATGAGCAGCTCGCCAGTTCTAGGGGCAACGTGGGGCCCAGTTGGTGGCGCATGGGGCGCGGATGAAAAAGTCGGAGCATCCTTCTTTGGCAAAGGATAGACGAGGTGGTTGCGGTCGGAAGACGGCGACAAGGCGACGATGCCGTGCGGGTTGGGCGACGTCTCAATGGTATACAACAACTTCATGTTGCTGATGTCGTACAGGTATATTTGTTCCTCCAGCACAACAACTAGGCGCTTGCGATTCAGGCGAACGGCGAGGACTCTGGTGGGGAAGGTGAGCTCGCAGATGGTCGAATGTCTCTGACTTCAATCAGCGCGCCGGTCCTCGCAAGCGTGTCGCGATCGTACCTTGGTGTTGCGGATGCGCAGGAGGCGCGGCGACTGGATCAGAGCAACCAGAGAGGTGGAGAAGAGCATCTCCATGATCGACACATCGCCCTCTTCGCCCTCAAAGGATTTGGAGAAGGGCTCGGTATCGTACAAGCGGATGCCCTTCTTGGTGGCTGCGCGCGGGTGTCAGACTCAGGGAAGTGTGCGCGGGATGGCGGCAGGCTCACCGACACCAAGGGCGGTGTAGTCCTGGTTGAAGGTGACGAAGTTCATGGCAGGCTGCGTCATGTTGACGAGCTAGCAGCGTGGTGGAGCAGCGGTGCAGGACGGCGGGGGAAGCTGAGCGGGGGTATAGCGACGGGCGCAGCAGGCGGCGGAGAAAGCAGCTGATGGTCGGAGGGTGGTGGCTATAAACGGCGCATGGTTGAGGACTGGAGTGGTGAGTTGGGCGATGTTCGGGCAGCCCAAGTCAAGCGCGGTCGAGGTGGTGGTGGGGACAATTGCCTAGCAGTCCCGTTTGGCCCAAGCTCCCGCCTCGGGCCGCCGAACTTGGCCGACTTTTCATCCACTGCCACCACCGCCCTGCGATCATGTGTCGCTCTCACTATAAGTCATATGCTCCTGTTCCCTTTCCGCCACTCTACCTGTTGACGCCTCAGGGATAATCACCCGCCTCCTTTGCCAAGCGAGATACGCGTAACCCGGGATAGATTGCCGCCTGCCAGCATGCCCGCCCGGAATCGCGAGAGCCGGCCCGCGGCCAAGTCGACAAAGGAGAAGCGAGATGACGATATTATGTTGGTAAGTCAACATTGCTCGCTCGCCTCCCGTGCGCATGTTTCTATTTTGGTTGTTTGCGTTTTAAATGACCGACTGCTTTTCACTTTCCTTTGCTGTCTCCGGTCGGCCCCGAGGAAAAACTATCCTGATTCGGGTCTTGCATTCCTGGCCAGCCTTCGATGATTCCTGAGGCTGAGAGCGGCCTGAATAAAGAGCACCATTGTCTTATACAAGCATCTCGGCCTAGCTGGTAGCCCTCAAGTTAGCTCAGTGATTTTAGTCGTAGTAGCAGGGTACTAATACCTAGAAGACCAATGACAGCAGCATAGTTTCTAAGCAGAGCGTCGTCAAACTATATCACAGCGACCAACCAGACTTCTTCAAGCCGTTCATTGCCAAGTGCCAAAGGCGGAGCCCGCTCATCAACAGGGGCTATTGGCTGCGCATGAGAGCAATCGAGCATACTGTCACCGATTTCCTCAGACAACCCATTAAGAAGGACAAAATAGTAGTCAATCTTGGCTGTGGATAGTGAGTAAGATGATTTCTGCGCCCCCCTTACGTTTCCTAATAATGACCGCTATCAGTGATCCTCTACCATTTCATTTCTTACATCAGCAGCCAGAGCTGTGCGCCCGCGCGACATTTGTTGATGTCGACTATCCGCAACTCATGCATAAGAAGCGGGCGTGCATTTCAAACAGTGCAGCCCTACAAGAACTCTTCCCTGTCCTCAGTAGCGGCGTCTCAGATGGTCCGGATGTTTGGCGAGCTGGCCAGTATCTCGCAGTCGGCTGCGACCTTCGCAAGCTTTCCGAACTCGAAGACATCCTCAGGAAAGAAGTCCACGTCCACGACTGCGCCATCCTCTTTGTCGCCGAGGTCTCCGTGGCTTATATGGATGTCAAGAGCGCCGATGCAGTAGTCTCCTGGGCAAGCGCGTTTAAAGATGGTACGTTGTACATCTGTTTCGTTACGGGTACCGCTAACGAAGTCAGCTCAATTTTGCATTCTCGAGCAGTGTCTCCCGGAAGGGCCAAGCCATCCTTTTGCATCCACTATGCTGGGCCACTTCGAGAAACTTCACACCCACCTCAAGGTTGTTTATCAGTATCCCACCCTGAAAGATCAGGAAACTAGATTCCGGAATGCTGGATGGGCATCGGCGACAGCGCGAACGCTCTGGGAGCTCTGGGGCGATGACGAGTTTCTTCCACCAGATCAACGTAGGAGACTAGACGCCATCGAGCCTTTCGATGAATGGGAGGAGTTTGCCCTATTCGGAGGCCATTATCTCCTCCTGGTTGCAGCGACGAGCACCTCTACCCGCGAGGCAGACGATTCTCAGGTCCAAATCCAACATGCAAATGCTAAGCTGGACATGCAACCTGTTCTACGCGATGGCAGTGAAAGCAGCCTCCGACGTTTTGGTGCTGCATACTCGCACAGGGGCAAAGTCATCTACCACGGAGGTTATGGAGAGAAAACTCGACTGAGCGACTGTGATATCTACACCGCCGATGCCACGTACGAAGGGAAATTCGAGCTACAGCCTGGCAAATCCGGTTCGATAATGTGCCAAACCATCACGAATGTGGCCTCCGGCGATGACCTTTTCCTGCTTGCTGGGGGAAGAGAGTCTCCTAGCAAAGCCGTCGCTAGCACCTGGCTTGTGACTTCAACAGGCCGTTCCATCAGCGCCGAGAGCTTCAATTCCAACCGGGTGTTCAATGGCCGCTACCGACATTGTGCAGTGCCTGTGCTTATCGACAATAGAAGTGATGCACCTGGTGTTCTCATCTATGGCGGCAAGTCAGATGCAAGCACCGTCCTAGGGGATTTCTTACTCTTCGACTTGAAGAAACAATCCTGGTCCTTTGTACCCTCTGTGGAATCGGAGCAAGGTTGCGGCCTTCCACCTGCACGGTTTGGCGCAAGTATGTGCCATTCGGAACAATTCACTTCCATCGGACAACAGTCAGGCATCCTAATGGGAGGAATCTCTAAAGACGGGAGCATCTTGAGCGACGTTTGGGAGTGGACGCTGAGTTGGCAAGACGGCAGCCCGGCAATCAAGTGCACCGAAAGGACCGGGGAAATGGGGCTCAATAACCGATCCATACCATTTGCAAGGTTTGGCGCAGCTATCGTTCCACTCTCGAACCACTTCCTGCTGATTGGAGGTGTCACGAATGACCGTATTACTAGCTGGAACGAGGAGATCCTTCTCATCTCACTGGGTCCCGAACGTTGGATAAGGCCTGTTCAAATGCCGGCTTGCCCTAGCCCGCGACCGCTTTTTGTTGGCATTGGAGCGACGAAAGCTGACGACAAGATCGTGCTGGTTGGTGGAGGAGCAGTCTGCTTTTCCATGGGAAGCTTTTGGAACGCAAAAAGCTACAGCTTACGCTTGGACTACGAGCAAGAAATGTCATCAGCTTCTCCTGAAGAATCATGTGGGAAGGAGGCTGCAGAAATGCAGACGAACGGCTCACAGAGTATAGTAGAAGGATCAAAGCCTGAGAATGGCTCTTCTTCACCGGCAATCAAGCAAATCGGACGTACCACGGTGCAGACGAAAGAAGAATTCGATGCTATAGTCGCAGCCGGGCAACCAGTCATTCTCACCGACCTCGACATTGGACCATGCGTAGACCTCTGGACACCGGATTACCTCCTTTCCCGTATCGGCGCCGACCGCCCGGTGATCGTACACTCTTGCCCGACATCGCGTATGACATTCCAAACCAAGAACTTCAGCTACCTCAAGCAGAACTTCGGCGACTTCATCAAGGACGTCACGGCGGGCGGACAGCTCTACTTACGCTCCGTGGCCAGCACGCAGCCGGCTAAGCACCCCACGCAACTCTCCAAGGACTTCCCCTCGCTGGCGACGGACTTCCGCCTGCCGGACGCGCTCTCGGCCGTGGCGGAGGGCGCGCACAGCTCGCCGCTGCGCATCTCGGGCCCGGTGACGCTTTGGCTGCACTACGACGTGCTGGCCAACGTACTCTGCCAGATCCGCGGCGCCAAGCGCCTGCGCCTGTACCCGCCGGGCGACGTCGCGCTGCTGGCCTACCCGCCCGGGGCGTCCAGCTCCAACATTGACGTCTACGCGCCCGCCGACGAGCTCTCGCCGGCGCAGCGCGCGGCCCTGGCGCAGGCGCACCCCCACGAGGCCTTCCTGCGCCCCGGCGACGTGCTCTTCATCCCGCCGGCATGGAGCCACACGGCCAGGCCGGACGAGGACGTCAGTGTGGCGGTTAACGTCTTCTGGCGGAACCTGGAGAAGGAGGTGTACGCGGCCGGCAGGGACGTGTACGGGAACAGGGACATCGCTGCGTACGAGGAAGGCAGGAAGGCAGTAGACAAGATCGTGAAGGGGTTCGATGGGGTGCCAAGGGATCTGCGCATGTTCTATTTAGAGCGGTTGATGGGCGAGTTGAGGGACGGAGCGGAGGGGGCTGAGGAGGTGGAGAGGAAGTAAGCTGACGGTGCAAAAGTGGCGACAGGCTGAAACAGCCGGTTAGGTTAAGCCATGATCGATGCTTGTTTGTATCAAGTACGTCGATCTGAAGTTCTCAAACGCGTGTGTAGGGAAATTGACGGGGCAAACGATATGGAATTGGAGGACGCCCCGTGTCCACCCGAACATGAAACTGCGGTGAGAAGTATGTGCGATGGACTCGAATGGCACTTGAAGACCCCACTTGGGAACTAGCTGCTATTGCCTCGCTTTTAGTCGGTCGTTGCACACGGTTGTATATGTACAGTACGCGTGCGAATAAGATCGGACGGTACGAGCTTGACAAGATACATGACCAAACATGGGCTCCGGGCGGCCAAGATAGCGGGGTCGGTGCAAAAATAGAGCAAGACATTGGGACTATTTCTGCTACCCACCGGGATTTCACTGGTCACCGGGATGATTTTCTGAAAACAGAGGCATCATTTTCGCATTGCGTGGCAGGTGTTGGATGCGAGTAATGTGTCTGGGTCCCCCTCTCGGACACACGAGCCACGAACAAGGCAGACTGGCCCGATTCGTACCCTGCACGGGCGCACCCGCCAGGTGTTCGGAGGAACCTGGCATGGGTACGAGGGAGGAGCAGCGATGATCCCATTCAGGGTCCGGCGGGAGGCTTTGCGGAAGGAAACGGTTAAGCATGTGCATGGTGCTGCTTCGGTGCTAACGATGGTCCACGGTTCGAGAATGATTCAGAAGGTGCTCTGTGTTGGCGTGCGCCAGCTGGAAGTTGCCGCTACGTCCTTTACTTTGAGCGAGAGGGGGGTGAGAAGTCCGCCCAAGCCGAGTCGGGTTGCTTCAAGTAGGGAATATGGCGCAAGATCAGACGGAAGGCTGAAGATCACACCAACGGCAGCGGCGCGCTGATTGGACGTCGGCACTTTGGACCCATGCACGATGGAAGCCCATCTGCTTTTCCCGGCGCAACGGTGGGCAAGCGGTGTCAGAAAGATGATTTCTGCATGAGACGAACGCGTTTTCGGGATACGCGGTCCTAAGGCGGGCGGACGCGGTGTGAATGCAGCCAGGCGGCCCAGTCGGAGCGGCTGCACATGTTTTCTCGAAACAGTCAGCCATTGCGATGCGCGTCTGGCGCGGCGCGGCTGAGAGTGATGATGTGAGCGGCTATTTCCCCTGCTGCGATGGAGAAGTCAAGCACGAGAAGCATAACCTTGAGGGGAAGGCGGCAGCAGGCCAATAAGCGACGCGGGCGGCCCGGTGTTGCGGGAGGCTCACGGTCGACAAGGATGGCGACTAGGCTAACCGCGGAGGCGGAGGGTGGCGAGTATCCCGCCAGCGGCGGTGGGCGCGTACGGCAGCGGGCGGCGACGGACTCTCTGATCGATCGCGCGTCGTGCAGGCTCGCAGCCGGATTCCCTCTTGATGTTGGCCGGCCCGAGCGCTGGCATCGCGATGTCCATGTGGGCCCTCTGGCTTGGCGCGGATCACGGCGCTAAAGGCAGAGACCCGCCTACTCCGGTCGACCAGCAGTTAGCTTTAGCGGGGAGAGCCAGCTCCGATGATGCAGCTGCCATCGGACCAACCGCTCTCCAGCCCAGTTGCTCATGGCGCTGCGCTGGCACCGCCCCGTTGCTCTGCCGCTCTGCGGCCAACACCGCACAGGGGCCGCCCGATAAGGCGCCAGCCTGCTTATCGGCAAGGCCCTCATTCCGCCGGGGAAGATCCCCATGCTTCCGCTGCGGCCGGTGCGATGCGCGGCGACGGAGACCAGAGCGCACGCGACAAACCGAGGGGTGGTGGCAGCGGAAAGAGCTTCGCTAGCGCCCAGGCCCTTGTCCTGGTAGTCCAGCCTTCTCCACGCCTGATTGATGAGACCACCCTTGCACCAAAGCAAGCGGGGATGAGCGCCGCCGCACCTCGTTTGTGCCACTCCCTCCCCGACCTCTGTACCATCCTCTCCAATTCCTCCTCCCTCCAACTCGGCTGTGCCACCCACGCCCACGCTGCCTGCCTCCGACACAGCGTCGCCTGCAGAACCGCCCGCGCTCGTCCCACCGAGAGCCTGGCCCCAACGCCGCCCGTCCGCTGTTGCTTTTATGCGCCGCCAGCGCAGCCCAATGCCTTCTTGAGCTCCCGGCCTGCATTCCTCCTGCAACCCGCAGCCTTCCCGTCTTGCCGTCCTGCGCCGCCAGACTGCCTGCAGCCAGCCGTTGAGCCCTCGCCGCGACCGCCTCAGCAACATCACCTTAAACCTCTCCTCCCTCCTGACCCAAGCCTGTCGCAATCGTGGCCGACATCGTAATGGCTGCCGCTGTAGCCAGGGCGCCGTCGCTTCCCGCGCGGTCCTCCACCCCTCCTCCCAGCCTGTCGCTCAATACCTCGCCACGAGGGACCCCGGCTCCCGTGCCAAACAAACACCTTCCAGTATGCCACCCGGGCCCCCAGCCGGTCCAGCAATTCGACACGCCTCCGGCATCCCCGCCAGTCAAGCAGGTCGTGATCGAGGCATCCTCGCTCCTAGCCCCACCCGACAACCTTCCCCGGATCTGCGATGAGCCCCCTGTCTATTCAATCGACGCCACCACCGTCTCCCGCGCCGTCGAGCATTTGGCAACCCAGCCACTGCCAGATCCGAAGCAGGTCTTTCCATGGCTGCACGGCCTGCATGCCGACAACCAGATACAATTGGCTTTTTTTGTTCAGAGGAAGAGGTCGCTACGCAAAGTGCCCCGGTGCATCAGGGGCCTGACTATCGTCAAGGCCGACGGAGATCTCAGCAGCGCCAAGCTCAAGGGTGCAATTCCTCCGAACGAGTTGTTGCTCATGCAGAGCGACGCCGCTCAATTCCTCGAGATAGATCCTCGGGATGGCTTCTCTGTCAGGAACTTCCAGATCCAGGCCTGCAAAATGGCCACTGTGTCGGACATAATCGTCTACGGAGACGAAAAGATGCCTCATGAAGATGTCGTGAGACTGGCGACTAGAATTGCAGGCGCGCAGAGGGCTTGGAGAGAGAGGCACATCGGCACGGGCTGCGATGTGCAGGATTTCAATACATTTGTTGTGTCTGGTAAGTTTTGCGTCAGTCTAACGCCCAGGTTTCACCATTTACTGACGCTCAGACGCAGATCCGTTCAGTGCGTTCGAGGAAAACCACCCTGAACTAGTGGCAGTAGATTCTCGAGGCTGCATGACGGGTAATGTAATGGATTTTTGTAAGCTCCCATTCAAGCTCCACAACGAACAGTTCCCTCGAAATCCCGGACGGCAGCGTTCTCGAGACTTCTTTGCAGCGGATCATTGGCCTACGCGTATGGCCGTTGCATGACGCGTGAGCGATCATTCGCTTGCTCATACGCTGCTGTCCGGATATATGATTGAGGGGCGGATCTGTAACAACATGCTGACAACAGTCGCAGTCTATTGGGAGCGCCTGGAGATGTGTACCATGTCCGAAGCCTCAGAGATCAGCCACAACGTTTTCATGGGGCCAACTCCCGATCCCGAATTGGGAATATCGTCTGCGAATGATTACGATGTCTTGATCGAGGCAAACGATCACGCCCATTGCCCCGACTCTCGGTCTTTGCAAGCGGCTTCAAAGATGCTCGAGAAGACCAAAAGACCAACCCTCAGTCTCTCGTTCCCGTCGTCCGGCAGCATCGTACCACCAACTTGGTCCCATGCTGAAGTCGACAGTTTGATGGAGATGTGTCATTGGATTTACAGAATAGCCAACCCCGTGGATGCTACGGATTCAGGTATTGACGAAGATGGGGATAGCGATATGAACGAGAAGACGGACCGGTCAAGGAAACTATTGATCCACTGTGCAGACGGTTACACCGAGAGCTCGCTGCTTGGGCTTACCTACTTCATGTTCGCGGAGGGACTTCCGGTCCACGAGGCTTGGGTTCGTCTGCATCGGGACCGAGGCCGGAACTTTTTCGCCTATTCATCTGACGTGGCGCTCCTAACGAGCATCCAGCCACGAATCCTGCAGGAGTCTCCCCGCTTTGGCGGTTCAATTCTCACCCTCCAAGAGCCTGCTTGGTTGTCGAAGCTTGATGGTAGCCTACCCAGCCGCATCCTACCGTACATGTACCTGGGCAATCTCAACCATGCCAACAATCCCGAGCTCTTGCGAGAACTCGGCATCACGCGAGTACTCTCCGTCGGCGAGCCAGTCTCGTGGGTGAAGGAGACTATGGAGGAGTTTGGCACTCAGAATCTCCTTTACATTGACCGCGTCCAAGACAACGGGGTCGATCCTCTGACTGAGGAGTTTTCCCGGTGTTTACGTTTCATTGAACAAGGCAAGATTGATGGTACCGCCACTCTCGTCCACTGCCGAGTGGGGGTCAGCAGGTCTGCCACCATCTGCATCGCCGAGGTCATGAACGAGCTGGGCCTGAGTTTCCCACGTGCATACTGCTTTGTTCGTGCAAGGAGGTTGAACGTCATCATTCAGCCGCACCTGAGGTTCACGTGAGTGGTCTAGACTTTTGACATTTCTTAGAACTGAGCTAACAAACCCAGTTACGAGCTGCTCAAATGGGAGGAGTACCAGCACCAACGACGTGGCGAGCCGCTCCGACGCGAGCTTGAATGGGGAACGATTGCGCGCGAAATCGCACTAATGAACCGCCCGTACTCAAGGCAATGATCTCGCGATACATGCTTACACGGCTTTCTGCGCTGCATTAAGCCCTTCTTCTTACTTACACCACGCATTTGATTTTTTATTATTCTTCTGCGCTTATTGGTGCGCTTATCAGCCTTCCCGGAGAGGCTTCAGCTCACTGGTACGGTTTCTATTGTCTCTTTACCTTCGCTTCTCTCTTTTCCGAACTTTGCGAGGAGATGGCAAAAGACTTGCTTTCGTTCATTTTCCTCTCAAGCTCGACCGAGATTGCCTTTCACTTCTTAGTGGTATTTCTCTTTTAGTCGCGAAGGGGTTTGCAGATGTAGTTCGCTTTGACATAACCTTCTGGATGGCTTTCTTCCATCTTTCTATTCAGCTTAGTTTGGTTTGGGGTTCAGATATGGAACGGAAGGAGAACCGGGACTGGAAAGGGCTAAAGGGTTCATTGGGAATGTTGCTGGAACTTTACTTTCTTTTCGTCCCACAGGAATGGGAATTCGGATATGATTTATGAAATTATGATTTAAGGGACTTCAACGTTCGTGCTTTCCTGTCTTTGTTGGATCAAGAGTCTTTCGCTAGTCTTGCACCGAGATTGCTGTCTTTTCTGGATATACGTGCGTTTGGACAAGACTGTTACAGTGCTTTGGGAAAGATGGCGGAAACGCTCAGGCGGAGATGGAAACAAGAGGTGGTTGTTCAGACGTTGATTATTCTTGCTCAGTCCCTTGCTCCTTTTATACGTCCCTGGTTCTCCTGCTGATAGCTTGGCGTTTGGACTTTTATTTCACTTCTAAATCATTCAAGGACTCACCAAACATACGTCTCTTACCAATTCTCGATCTGTGCCCAGAGTCGAAAGACTATAAGTGCTTTCGTGCCACACTCCGGTACATGATTCCTGCATCTTCTGCCCCGCGGTAAGACGGGGGGTAGTAGAGCCAAGGGTAGACACATGGCCTATGGTGTTCTAGTGCGTGCGTTTCGGGTATGGTGAATGCTGACGTTCGCGTGATTGGTGGTGGGTGTAGCGCAAGACTGCGCTTGGACTTCTCTAGCTGTCTTATTCGTGGCCTTCGTTTCATCAATCTTGTGTACTTTTCACCATCCCGACTAGAGATCAGTCTACCGACATTATAGTGAGACAAGTCCACAAAATTTATTGGATGAGAATTACATCGCAGATGGGGCTACCGAATAAATGCGGCAACATGCTCTTGAACGACAACACCTAGGATATTGACTAAGCAGTGCCGACAAATATTGAAATTTCCATACAAAGTTATTAAGCGGTGAAAAGAAAATTTTGTGTCACATGTCTCACGAGGTTGTTATCGTCCATATGTAGGGATTTAAAGTAAACAGTCGGATGTGAATATGTGCTTTACAGCTACAGCTAGTTCTTCTTCGAGAAAACGTATCGATACTCGAATAAGTGGATTATGGTATTGACCCTGGACAGAAAGCCTCGAAAAGTGCCCAGCGCTTCGTTATTCTTCTTAAACCTAGGGGGAAATGAGGAACTATGCCATAGCTCCTATGTCCTAGCGAAGGCTGTCGTTACCGCAGCTATGAGCCATATATACAACTCTATTCTCCCACAAGCCGTTATTACCGATCATTCAAGGTACTTTCTGCACCGGAGGGTTGCGGAGAAAGACCGGCGCGTGCTGGCCGGAATGCGACGGTATGGCGTGGTACAGTGACGAAAAAATGCGGAACCTAGATTAGGATGTAAGAATGAAGTTCTCTGCAGACTACTTTTGTTTACGCTTTCCAAAATGCAATGCAGGAACTGATTGCTGTCTGTTTCCCCCAGATAGCATAGAAGATTATCACTTACTATTTCGGGAAGTGACAGTGCGGACATAGCTGCAAGGGTTCCGTTGGCCCAGCTGCCAAACAGAGGCGCTCGTGGCACATGACACGAACAGGCATTCCGAGTCGACGAGTGGCAATTCGAAGCAATGGCCGGATAGTATCGATGCGGAAAATTGGTGGTCTTCGAAAAAAGCCGGCTCTCGGCTGGTTGCATCCCATGTTCCTAGGAGATCTAACAAAGCCAGGAAAGCCACGCACTTCGATTGCCGGCGTGCCCATAGCAATGTATTAGTAACAGTGGCAGAAAAACGACCAGGGGCGACGCGCGGCTCCGGACACAGCGTCACAGATAAAGCGGCAATGCATGCGAAGTGAAAATAGACAAATGAACTCGCACCAGCTATCAAGGTGGAATGCAGACCCACAATCGGATGATTTGTCAGCAAAGAAGACCCATTTACACGTATGTCATGGTGGAGAGTAAATAATAGCCCTGGTTGGCGGGCCAAATGGATATAAGTATCTTGATGTCTTTTTCTAAATCCAGAGTCCGTTTTCACCGATGCAAAGTGTATCCAGCGCAGCGCCATTGCGAAGTCCCATGTCCAATTTCGTCCCAGCGTCGGCATGATATTTCGAAGTTCCCTCCAGGACCGGTCAAAACGCCACACACCCATACAATAGAAGTCCTCCCAGGACGGGAAAAAATGTCAATCTGCGGCGACCCAGTTGACGGCCTCGTTCCACATTGGCTTCCCCTTGGCGACCCAGCGGTCGTAGCCCTGCTTTGCGCAGGCGCGGGCCTCGGCGTAGGCGATGGCGCGCTCGTTGTGCATGACCCAGTTCTTGCCGGCGTTGAGCGACTCCTGGTAGAACTTCCAGTAGTTGGGGTCGCGCACCAGCTCCGACGTCTTCTCCAGGCGGCCCGTCTTCTGGCAGACGCGGTCGACGCGCTCCATCAGCTCGAGCACGTGGGTGCCGTCGATGTACGTCTGGGCGCCGTCGTCGCTGAAGTCCGGGGTGACGAGCTTGGTGAGGCGGCGCAGCGAGGAGTAGGCGGGAGCCTTGGGGTCGGCGTGTCGCAGCGGCGGCTGGTAGGCGAGGAAGCGGGCGAAGTCGAAGCCGCTGGTGAGGAACTTCTGCAGGCGCGGGTAGGGGGGCAGCACCAGGCGCAGAGTGAGCTCGCGCAGGGCGGGCATCTGCGGCAGGGCCTTCTCCAGCGAGGCCTCGAGGTTGAGCTGCTTCAGCTCCAGCGACTGGCTCAGGCTCCCCAGGAACAGCACCCAGCGCGGCATGAAGGGGTCGCCGACGACGTCGGTGAAGTCGGTCTGCACCTCCCAGTTGCGCAGGTGCTGCAGCAGGCCGGCCTGGTGCAGGGCGCGCTGGCGCGGCCAGCCGCCCGTCGACAGCTTGAGCTCGCAGCTGTCCTCGGGCCCCAGCTCGCCCTGCAGCTGGCAATAGCGGTACACGGCCTCGACGTACTCGGCGTGGATCTGGCGGTTGACCAGGAGCAGCTCGCGGGCCGGGCCGTATGTTAGGGCGTCCATCAGCAGCGGGCGTGCGGTGGCGTAGTCGTTGCCCACGGCTGGTCTCCGCGATGCATACAGGACGAATTCGTAGACGAGGTTCCGCACCTCGCGCGGCAGCCCCAGCAGCGATGCTCGAGCCAGCGGGGCCGCCGCCGGCCCGCCGTCCTCTGGTGGTGTTGTCGTTGCGCGCGGCATCCCGGGCAGCTCAAGTGCTTGGTGCTCGTGCAAATTCCTGCTCAGGCTTTGCTCAGGCTCATGAGGTTGTGAGACCAGAAATTAGCGGCATTTTCGCATCTCGTGGGAAGTGGAGAGGCGGTCGACGAGCAGGGATGTTGGGCAATGATCTGTTGCACAGCCACGCTGAGGGCCGGGGTAAACCAATCATATCAGGGCAAACGGCTACATTAAAATTAAATAGGCGCGCAAAATTCTGGAGGACCGTTTAGAAGGGCCGAAACAGAGCCTTCAAGGGCCGGTAGACGCCCAGCAGCAACGGCAGTCAACCGTGACAAGGGCGAAGCTTCAGGCACTGCGATTTTCTGATACTGGAGAAGGCACGCTTACCCGATCCGGCAATATTCGCTTCGTCCGCCATGTACGTCACTTCGAGCCCACGGCCCGACCTCCTGCGACGCGCCCACCGCCTGCGATGCCTCCGTACGGGGCGGGCTAGCTGAGTCCCAGACCGCTCCGCCCGCTGACTCACCGGGGGAGCCGTCCTCCGCTCACATGCGGTCAGTGGAGATCCTTGGCGCATCCGGACGGCCCAGCGTCCATGATTTGCGCACGCCCACGCGGCCGGCCTCGATGCGAGCCCCAGTCCGCCCGCCCGCCGCTGCCTCTGACCGCCCAAATGTATCCCGAGACGGGGGGTGGAACGGCTTGCCACCCTTCGCAGAAAACCGTGTCCCGTCCGCCGCGCACGGATCCCCAGAGCCGACGCCGACGTGGTCGCCGCCAGTTTGCATCCAGCACCCCCTCATCCCGCCCTTCTCCTCACTGCGAGCCCAGGACCCACGGTCCGTCTTGCCGGGCCACTTCTGCGCCTGCCGTCCCTTACCCCCTCCTTTCGGTCGGTTACCTGTCGCAGCAGCAGCCCCCGGCCCGACGACGACCTCCCGCATGTGTCACCTCATAGTGGGCAGCGGCCTGTAAAAATGGGGCCACCGCACCTTGATTGCGGCCCGACCGGACGAGAACCCCGCAAATCGAGACGTCCGACTGTCCTGTGGCCGCCTGTGGCCAATCGTCTGCGGCCTGTTTGTCGCTCGTCTGGCCTGCCAAGGTCCGATTCCACCCTCGGGATCTGCACTGAGGTCGAAAGAGACGCCAGCCGCCGAATTGGCAGTTCGATCCGGCTGCCGTAATTTCTGTGACAGCAGGGTCGGGAATAGCGCACGGACGCTCGCACCGGGTGATCAGAGCCAAGGGTTTGGCGGGATCTTTCGTCATGGGTCTTCCCAATCGATGTCCTCGAATTCTCGTCGTCAGAACCTAACTCCAGGCACCACGCAAAATGCTATCCGAATGCACCCTCATGAAGCCAGAAAGGGGAAGGGAAGTAGAAGCCCGGGCGTAATTCTGCTCCTTAATGCACGTGTTTCAGCATCCGAGAATCATCACTCCACCTCACAAGCACAACTCAAGCATCCGCCAAGGTCTCCGCTCACGACTTTTCTCTCCATTTCCCCGAAAATGCCCCGTCGTCCCAACCACCAGCCATCACGGTGCAATCAACCCACCAGCCCAGCAACGTCCTCCGGCCAATTGCCCAAAATCATGGCACTTCGCGGGATTTGGCCGCTCAGCGGCGCCAGCAGTTTGACGTTTTGCTTCGCTTCGTCGACGTCGGCAATGTACACGTATCCTACCACGCTGCTGTCGCGGATGTGCTCGTAGCTGTCCGACGGCTCGGCATGCGTAATGGCGAGTAAGCCGTTCTGTATCATGAGCGACGGCTTGATTCTGTCATACAGGCGTCCGGAAGACTCGGTGTCGTCGTCCTCGCCACCGGGAAGAAAGGATGATGCAGGATTGGTTGCGGATGCTATTAATTGGAGTCATTATATAGCCCCTCGATCGTCAAATGGGGACTTACTGTCTACTGTGCGGAAGATGTGGAGTGAGTTAAAGTCGAGGCGTTGCGTGTGCGGGCTGAGAGTGGTGGAGCCATGGCCGAAGAAGTAAGACCGGACTTGCGTTTGTCTCAATGCCTTCATGTAAGTCTCGTCGCGGTCGACACATCCGCCTGACTTGTCGAGCTTGACCACCTGGACCGGATCCTCGCCGGGGCGCGAGAAACGGCGGGAAAGATCGCTGTATAGGCGCTCTGAACCGAGGACGAGGATGACGTTCACTAGAAAAGCTTTGTGAGTAGATGTACACCAAACACGCAGAAAGCAAAGTTGCATGGGCAGAATTTTGGCGAAGGTTTTCGTCTGGCAGTATCATAGTCATCGTGCACACACCTGAAAACTCCGAAACAACATGTTGTATATTCTCATACACGCCCTTCTTATCCACGCTCAGCACGCCGGGCGTGTCAATAATGCATCCTGATTTTCTGGCCTCATCGTCCTCGCCCAGCCTGCTCGTCACCGCCAGCGCTAGCCTCGTCACCAAGCCCCGATACATTTTCGGGTTATCGTCCGGGCTGCCCAGCCCGAAGTGATAGACGAGCGGCATCTTGACTGGGACGGGGCTGGGTCCGTTGATGGGGCTGCTGCCCCAGCCCTCCTCGACGTCCAACACACTGGCCATCGTGGCCGTGGCCAACGAGCCGGGCGGGCTCAGCATGCCCTGCCTGGGATCCAAGTTGACGACGACGGGCTGGCGACCCATCTTGACGCCGTACGCCGTCAACAGGCGCACCAAGCTCGTCTTCCCCGCGTTCTCCGGGCCCACGACCAGCACGCGCGGGCCAATTGGCTTCTCGCCGCCGCTTCCCATCTCTTGCGTCGTAGAAACGGCGTCGCGCAGCCGCTCGAGCGCAAAGTGCACGTTTGCGTACTCGACCATGGGCGTCTCCTCGGCCTGGTACTCGCTCTCGACGTCGCCCTCGACCTGCAAGCGGCAGCCGTGCCACGTGAAGATGGCCGCCTTCGTGCCCGCCCGGAACAGGTACGGCTCCTTGGCGTTGCACGCCAGCTCCGTGCCGAAGCACTCGGCCGTGCCGTTGAGCAGCTTGACCGTCAGCGTCGCGTTGAACGGCACCTCGAACCGGTACTCGGTTCCCGGCGCCAGGTCCTGCGTGCGCGGCGCCGACGACGGCGCGAGCACGTCCGCGGCCGACGGCGGCGGCGCTGCCGACATGGACAGCCCCGGCAGCGAGAGGCCCGGGAGTGACATTGCTGCGTGTGTTGCGGTCGATTCGCGTCGGGCTCGGTTCGGTTGCGTCGGTCGGTCGGTCGGTCGGCGTCGAAGCAACCCGTCGGGCGTTGAGGAAAGCTTGAGGCGTTGCGAGGGGGTGGGTGCGGGGGTGGGCGGTGGTGCGATGGAGGTTCGTGTTGGGCGACGCGCTTCTGCAATGATGCGCGTTTGTTGCCGCGCCGCCGGGACGGGAGCGGCTGGCCTTGGCGGGGTCGTAGGGCTGATCACGGTCATGGATGCTGCACATCACCTCATATGCCGAAAGCGGGGTTATCTCGATCCTTGGGGCCGGAACGTCATAGCTGAAGCCAAATTTCTAGTTGAGGTAGGATCGTATCTACTGAATTGAACGGCTATCGTTGGGCCAGAGGCCCTTTTCTGTGCTGTCTGATCCCTTCCTTCATCTATCCCAATGCCAATACCATGCATTGCCAAACTGTGCAGAAAGTAAAAAAGAAAAAAAAAGTCCAAATCGGGTAAGAATAAATGTATGCACGAGTGTGATGCAGAAGCGAAAAAAAAAGCAACAAACAGACATAACCCCAATGCAAGCGCTCTCGTCATAAGCCGTCTTGCGGCTGCGTATGGACTTCCTAGGGACAACTAACGCCAAACCCGCTATGCCAAAATACACTTCGCTGCCTGTCGAGAAGAAGAGAATCGAAAAGCAGAATAAAACCAAATGAGCTCAGAAGCGTATTTTGCAGATTCGTAATCAAAGAAAGACTAGTGTGGAGAGGGTGTGTGTTAATGCATTCAGATATCCATGCTCCACCGGAGGCGAGGGTTTTGCGCATAGTCGGAGCCGGAATCGTCGCCTGCCGCTATGAAGTCATCAGAAGGAAACCAGGGGCTGAGCGACCGGAGTTGAAGCTCTTCCGACGAGTCGGTGGGCGGTAGCTGTATCCTGGCTTCCAGAGTTGGGGACTTGACGAATTGAGAGTTCAGCAGCGCGTTGGGAGAGACGAGTTCCTGGAGGAGGTTGAGGGAGCTATCGCGGATGACCAGAGGGGTCGGTTTCTTCGCGGCCCTGGTCGTTTTGGATCTCACAGGGAGTTCGCTAATGTTCTCCTTATGCAGCACGGAGGTTTTGAGCCCCATTTGCGTCGACGCTCGGACCGTGTTTGGTCGCTTAACCAGGGACTCTCCTGAATGCACAGTCGATAATCTCTGCTTGGTCGAGTTGTTGTTTTTTGGGGATCCGCGCTCAACGTTCGGGGAGATGATAGCAAGGTGGTTGCCTGAGTCATGCCTCTTGTCGCGTGGCATGCTGTCGTCTGACGCATCCGAGTCTTCCGCTACGGACCTGCGCTCATGGCTGAACTTCTTGGCCGACAGAGTTGGAGACAAGGTAGCCTTTGGGCTCCCGTGCGTCGACTTGGACTCCCTGACATATGAGCTGCCCCTTGAGACTGGAGGCACCTCCGGGGTCTCGCCCCTCTTCATCTTCTCGGCAATGCCTCTCTGGCTCACTTCCCGCCGTAAGCTAACGTGACTGCGGCTGCTCGCACGACTCCCGCTTCTGCTGCTGGATGATTTTTTCTTCCCGCTCATGACCTTTGCGCTTGGCGGCGGTGCAAGCATCCAACTGTTGGCGCCGGCGTGGGGAGCAAGTGCGCTGACGACGGGAGGGTGGTAATCGTTGACTGGAGGCGGACGGGGGGTGTAGTAGCTTTCGCTGGCCGATCGTCCAGTGCTGGGCCTGCTGAGAGGGACCAAGCCCGTGGCGGAGCCTGCGCTGCTCGACAACCTCATGCCACCTCTTGAACTTATTGTTTCGGCGCCCCACGTATCGTCGTCTTCCCTCTCGTCTCTGCGCGTGTCCCAGCGGGCGTCGTTCAACGTAGTGTCGGAGGCGCCGGGCGACACGCTCATCTCGATACCAGCCACGCCATCCCCATCAAAGTCGCTGTTCACTCGGCTTCTTGCCGATCCTGCAGTTCCGATGTTCCGCTTGTTCCTCTTCTTTCCTCGCGGTGGTGGACCCGGACCCAATGCGATCTCCTCGTTCCAGTGGGGATTGGTCGACGAGGGGTCCGGATGGCGGTAGGCGTCCGGCGACTCGAGCTGCAGGGCGGCCTTTTCTATACGGTCACGGCGGGCTTCCTTCTTCAGTCGGCGCTGGTGAGCCATGCCAACACATGGCGCGCACGACAGGTAGAAGAAGATGGCGGACTGGATGCCGCGGGCGATCGACATGGCGGGCCAATGGCGCTCAAAGTTCGGTGGTGGGCGAGCGAGGCAGAGGCGGGCGGAGAAAAGTATGGCACGGCGTAAGTACTGCTTGTTGCGCGGGAAGGTCGGGCGGGCCGAGGCGCAATGGCGTGAGGGTCGGCGCAGTACGGAGAGCGGGTGATCAGAGGCAGTATCTCGAGACGCCGTAGGCCATGCTTTCCTTGATCGAGGGTCGTCTTGCGCAGGCCAGCTGCCGTCGAGGAGCGGATTGAGCGGGCGGCGGGAAGGCGGGACTCGGGCAGGTGAGAGTCCGTTGGCGGGAGGCTAGTGATCGGGCTGGGAGAGTCCGGACTGGTGGGGTGTGGAAGCCACGTCCCTATAGTCTGCAGACCCCTAAGATGTCTTGGGCGCCAGGCCAACAGGTGGAAGTTGCGTGAAGGAACGGACGGCTTACTTGCGTGCAGCCACGGGGAATGCAGGCGAGAGGCGCAGCGAGAACGTCGAGGCGCGAGGCCGGCTCCCCTATTTGGCAGCCAGGCGAGGGCGGCGGCGACGCGTGCGGATCTGCGTGTGTAAATGAAACACACGAACGACACAGCCGCGGTTTGGCATCTCATGTTAGCCCGCGCCCTGGGCTTGCTGGGCGCCGCAAACTCTGCGTTGCCTGTGCAGCTAGCCCAGCGCCCATTCCGATCCTTTGGGCGTTGGTGTTGCTGCCGCGAAAAGTGCAACAGGCAGGTGCGTGACTGCGCGCATCAGGATGGGACCCCACGCCCAACCCTGGCTCGACGGCAACCAAGTGGACCCATCCCCCGGGCGCAGCGCACCCATGAAATTCGCCATCAATTAACGGCCGGCGCGATTGCGGCTGCTGATATGTCCGAGGCCGACTGACAGCGGCGCCGCCCGTCCCCCAGGCGCGCGTCTGCAGCCGTCCCGGCTCCTGGAAAGGGTGGATCCCGGTGGCCGGGCTGCCCACTTGACGAAATAGCCGCCGTGTCGCCCATCACACACATATGCCAGGGGACTCGCAGCTACGCCCGTATGATTCGTTGCGCACGCCTACATCAAGCCCAGCGCTGACACTAATTGCGTGCTGTACTTGAGGCAGCTCTCCGCCTGCGAAAGGGGGGCGAAACACGCCCGGGTGAGTATTCAAGCGGCCCATGTGCCGGTAGTGGTGAGAACCTAATATAGCGGCGCTACCCATGATTTAAAAAATCTCCGCTTGTTTGCATGGCGCGTGCCGCCGTTTGCTGCGATGGCGCAACGCGCCGGTGCCAGCTACCTTCCGCATGCCCTCGTCGCAGCGTTGTTTCATTCTTCAATGTCCTTTTCTGACCTGCGATGTCGTCTGACTACACGTGAGCGCGTGCTTGCAGATGCAGCGCGCTGCAGGTGGTCCTTTCCTCTTTTGGGCACCTGCCTGTGCTGTAGCTACTGCTCTGTGCCGCATTTCAACGGACCTGCATGCTCTTTGCTGCTACAACGCAACACAAACACCACGGCTCACAATGGCGTCGCCCGTGGACCAAGCCGCCGCGGGCCAGCTTGCTACCGACCCCAGCATGGCTACACAGCTTGAAACTCAATCTCCAGCTGCTGTGAATGGTCTCGCCCAAGCGTTGCTGCAACATGACCTCGTTCCCGAACACCCCCAAGGTGATGAAATCCGGCGCCAGGTCGAGTACTACTTCTCAGACGAGAACCTCCCATTTGACCGACACCTCCTCGAGAAATGCCAAGGTCGCCTCAACCTACCAGTTTCTATCAAGTCGATATGCGGATTCCCCAAGATGCGCCGCTACAAGCCTTTCCGCCAAGTCGTGGAAGCCCTCAAGAAGAGCGCCTTCCTAGATGTAGTTGAAGGCAACAAGATCAAGCGCAAGCTTCCCTTGATGGGCAAGACCGTTCTTGATGAAAATGACGACGAGTCCGATGTCGACGTCGCATCGGACGCAGAGCCTAAGCCTAAGCCTGTGCAAGGCAAAAAGTTCCAGCGCCCGGTAGCGCAGCCGAAGATAGAGAAGCCTTTTGGCTTCGACAAGCCTCATGGATTCGAAGAGTTCTACGCTGACGCCCCAGTCACCCCCGCCGAGTTTCAAGCAGAGGTGGGCATGTACGACCCCGGCATCTCATTCCGACTGTAAGTCAATCTCTTCCCGTTCCCTACGTGGCACGACGCTAATGCCACTAGGCGGATGGAATGCGCCATCCAGCGCTACAACTCGAGGCGTAAGATGCACCAGCATTATGCCAATGTCTTCGCCAAGTTCATGAAGTATGGCGGCGTTGAACACGGTCAGCGCCAGTTCACAGGTGGCATCAAGGACAAGGAGCTGGAGAACCGAGACGCGCAGGACATTGCCCTCATGATGGCCACCTATACCATTGATCCGGATAAGGATGAGGACGAGAACTGGCCCGTTGCTTTTGAAGAGGTTGCAAAGGGCTTTCTGTGAACTTCCCATACCTCCTCAAAAAGAATTGTTCGCTAATGACGTCTCTGCAGCTCTTCCGAATGGCCGGTCCTCGTGTTCTATGATTTGGCTAGCATCCGCCTTGCATCGACAGTGTTGAAGAACTTCTACAACTACCTGCTGCACCACAATGTCTGCCCGGAGTACAACGATGACATTTACGCTGCACGCAAGATCTGCAATTTAGCTGAGCTAGAGTTTCCCAATATTATTGAGACGTCGGCCAACATGCCAGGTGACCTCAATGTCGCCTGCAGCAACCTCTTCAACGGGTTCTACAAGGACAAGTACGTCAGGATCGGAGATTGGGACGAATTGGAGGAGCCGCACATGCGAGGAAAGTTCTCCACACATACCGAAGAGAAGTCCGGCATCATTCTGAAAGCTGCCGTCGGTGCTCACGGGACTGACGAACAGATGACTGTCCTGGAGGAGGCATTCAATGACATAACCTGCATCAGCACGAACGAGAGCACTGGACTCGAGGTTACAGCGGTCGAAATGCCCTCTTCCGATGTTCTTGAAGTTTACGCAGCTCTGAACGCCCAAAGTAGAGGTAGGCTTGAACTCAAGCCTGTGGGTAAGCTTCACTGCAAGCATTGGGAGATTCCAGACTTCAGTACCTATGACCTTCCTGAGTGCTACATGAAGCAGCTCGTGGAAGATCAGAAGAACAGGAAGTACGAGTTTTGGCTCGAAACAGACATCTTGCAAACCTGCTTCGTAGGCATGAGGATGCAGGCCACAGTGCGCACCCTCAGTCTGGGCTTACAAGTGTTGGATCAGGTTCAAGAGGTGTACTGCTCATTCTACACCTACCTTGCTAACGACATTATGTGGAAATGGAGGGAGCCCGTCTTCAATGAGCATCCTGCAGAGGACAAGCCGGAGCCCACGACTAACGAAGATGACGACGACAGCGAGAAAGAACAAGGATAGTCAGTGATTCAGGCGTTCAAGGGTTGATCAACGCCCATTCGGCAGACTCAACAATGCTCGCCTTCACAGTCGTTTCGGCTGACTGGAAGTAGACGTCATGTGGGAGTGAAATTAAAAAAAAGAAAGGACCAGTTACCCTTGGAAACTTAGTCGGGACAGCAATTAGCATGGCGTTTGCAACCATCTATCAAATTACACACCTGGTAGATCTCAATTGAACTGGTCAACTGATGCATGAAAAACGTCTCGCGTGCGATCTTTCTCTTTTAGTCGACTCCGATGGTCCAAGCTTTTAGGGATCGCTGCTCTCTGAGCAGAGTGGGTAACTCTCACATGTTACGAGTCTTCGCTCAAATCCGTAGCCTTGAGGCTGTTATGCATGCGAGAAGATCCAACTTTCCCCACGGCCAGCCTCCCTTCTTTGGATATATTACGTCTTGTAAAATTAACACTGTGTGTGAGCCTGAAACAGAATCGTTCTCTTTTCCCTCTATTTTTCTTTTCCATTTCTATCTGAAGTAATCTCTACGAGGCCCTCGAATATGGCACGTGGCCTTCATTATGGGTTGTTGCTATTAGCACGTAAAGTAAAGTGCGCAAAGTTGAACAAAGTGGAGTAGAGGCACGCGCAAAAATTCCTGGAGAGGCGGGTGATGGATTCTTAGTTGGTAGAACTTTAGGCCTCTATTACTAATAGTTTCTAATAGCGAATCGCGCGGCTGTTTTCGAATCAAGAGAAGAAATGGGATTGAAGTGTTCGTGATAGAATCTAGGAGGGAGGGGTCTGTGCACAAAGATATCTCGAACTCCGACCTATCTCAACCTGGCTCAGAGGTATCCAACGAGGTCTTTTGGTAGTATTTTATTTTCAAAAAGTCCTAGCCATTGCGTGTTTTGAACCGTTGGGCGGAATGTTGAAGTGTTGTTCAAAGAGGCGACTTGCAGTGATGGCACTGGCGACAAACACTATGGAGAATTGCTTCTCATTCACTACGGGGATTTTAACAATCACTGATTGGTCCAAGCTTCTTAAGATACTATGTAAGACCCTTGTTTCTTCCTCCATCCATCCATATTCCCTCCAACCCCACAAACTTACCGACCTACACCGAATGTTCTCCAGAATGCCTTCTGGAGGCTCGACCCTCAGCAAAACCAAGCGCAAGCTCAGCGCGATCGCCAAGCGCATCACCGTGTCCAACCGCAATGCTCCCTGCTACTTCCTCCAGTTGCCGCGCGAGCTCCGTGATAGGATCTACGAGCTCGCCATCCTCGCGTGCAGCGACCTCGAAGATGTCGCAGACAAGCCCAGCATCACGGAACGGCCGCTCTACAGCACTTTGATGGCCGGGCTCTACCCACGACTCCCGAAACGCAGCCTGCTCACGCGCTTGCACCTCCGTCGGGAGCCGTCCCCGCAGCGCGAGCTTCGCGCTCTGTTCAAGGTCAACCGCGTGGGCTCACCAGCAAACTTGCTCCTCACCAACCACCAGATCTCGGCCGAGTTCGCCGAGGAGATGTACCGGAGCTGCAAGCTGGTCGGCGACATCAGCACCGACGGCCAAATCGACAGGGCCAGCGCCGAAATCGTTATTGCGGAGCGCATCTCTCTGCTCCTGGGCATCCCTCTGAGAGGGGACTTCTACTCCAGCAGTAACAAATACGCGACGCTAGCCCTGCAACGCGTCCGCAACTGGGAAGTACAGATCGACCTTCTCCCTCTCGCCAGCACGACGTTGGAACCGGGTCCGATACTGCAGTGGGCGAGCGGCAAACTCGACATCCTCGCGGGTCAGCTGGACCGCGTGCTCGGGCTGATGCCGGACTGCCGTGAGCTGACGCTGCGCATGATGCTCAGAACCGAGGAAACCTTGCCGTTCCTCTACCTGATGGGCCGGAGGGATCGATTTGGCCTGGTCGCGCTGTTCGAGGACTTCTTCCAGATGAAGCTGCGGAACAATAGTAGTGTGAAGACGTTCAGGAAGATGCTGACGGTGGGATTCGGAGAGGAGGTAGGCTTTTCGGCCGAGGCACAGATCTTCCCCCTCCGGGAACGGGTGGAGAAGTGGCATCATGGAAAGCAGGAGATGAAGGTCGTGTCGGACGAGAAGAGAGATTATGCGTACACGTAAGTTCAACCCGCTGTCACAACTGATTCCCCAATGGAGAGAATGTTACGACCTGCTGACGTAGTGGAATTTTTGTTATCTCGCTAGGGACTTCTACAGCAACAGCATCGATCACTCTTACTACTGGGTTCAGGAACAATTCCAGCCTTACGAGCAGTTTGGACGTCCTGGATCTTACCAGTCCATCGTGGCTGCGACGAAGTACGGGTACGACAAGTGGGTCAAGATGGGAAAACCGAAGTGGAACGAGACGGCGGAGCACAAGGAGGTCATGAGGCTCTGGAGAACGCTGTAGTTGCAGAACTGCAAGGCTGCGTACGATCACGGATTCTATGGTTAATGGTGGGAGGCTCTCCCAGGGGATCGTCGTGGTTTCCAGCTTGCTCCTTTCTCCTTCCCCTTTGTTTCACTGTGAAGGTACGGGTACGAAGTACATAGTTACGATGTTGCTTCTAGAACGGGAAGTTGCTCGATAATTGTTCGCTATCATCACATCCATCTCAATCCCCTGCCCCGACCTGGTATTACTCAATCTTCCTCGGCTTGATAGGCTGGACGTGCTGCACCGTGTCGAGGTAACCGGCCGACTTGACGAGCGGGATATCGAAGGTGCTCATCTCCGAGTGCCACTTCTGCTGGCCGAAGAACTCGAAGAGCATGCTGGACGGGAAGCCGACGTCGAAGGGCACGGCGTCCTCGATCTCGCGGATCTCGTCCTTGGACAGCTCGAGGGTCAGGGCGTCGATGTTGCCCTTGAGGTGGCTGACCTTGCGGCCGCCGACGATGGGGAAGACGTAAGGGGCCTTGTGCATGACGTAGGCGAGGGCGACGCTGGTGATGAGCGTGCCCTTGGCCTTGGCCAGGCGGTCCAGCACCACCGTCACCGCGCGCTGGTTGTCGCTCTGCGGCCGCATGTTGCGGCCCTCGCCCTTGGCCTTCTCGTCCTCGGTCTTGAACGCGCCGCCGCCCAGCGCGCCCCACGGCGCCAGCGCCATGCCCTCGTCGCGCACCATCGGGATGATGTCGCGCTCGAAGTCGCGGTCCGCCGCGCTCCACCGCCCTTGGTACACGCAGAACTGCGTCAGGGCGTGGTCTCGCGCGTCTGTGCGTATCATTGTTTGTCAGCTCCTTGCAGGTGTTGGAAGGATCAGGTGGGTGGTGGTAGCTCACATTGGTTGGCTTTGCTGACAACCCAGGCAGGAGTATCGGAGACACCCAGATAAGTGACCTTGCCGGATTGGACGAGATGGTGCAGGCTCTGCATGACCTCGGGAATCGAGGTGGAGAAGTCCCACCAGTGCAAGTACAGGAGGTCAATGTAGTCGGTCTGCAGCTTCCTCAAGCTAGCAGCGACTGAGGCCTTCAAGCTCTTGGCGTGGTTGCCCTGGAAGTTGCTCTTGATGGTCTCGCCGTTCTTTCCGGAAGGATAGCCGGTGGTGAACTTGGTAGCAAGAACGATCTGTGGAGCAAATGGTCAGCAAGATGAATTTTTAGGTAGACGGGGAACTTGCCTGGTCGCGGTTGTTGCGCGCCTTCATCCACTCGCCGAGCCATTCCTCGCTCTCCTCGCCCTGGTCTTGGCCTGGTCAGCTTTGCATCTCGAAGGATCCGCATTGCATCACTCACAGTTGTTCGCAGTATCTGCAATCCTAAGTCAGCATTACATACATTTTGGAGTTTCTGTCAGCACTTACCAATGAAGTTTCCACCATTCTCAAAGAAGTAATCGAGAATCTCAAACGTCGTCTTCTTGTCACATTCGCCCATGAAACCCTTCCAGGCATCACCAAAGTTCATGGCACCCAGGCAGAGGGGCGATACCCTCACACCAGCCGAGGGCGAGAGGATGCGGTGGTAGCCAAGAGCCGTCTTGGGCGGAGGGGGGATGGGGAAGGCCATTGTGTCGTGTGAAAGGTAATTGGACGGGTGATGTGATAAGGTGGGGGAGAGCAAGCGGAAGTCTGGGAGTCTGCAGAGTGAGGGCTTGCGGAGGCCCACGGGAGTGTATTATATATGTAGGACTAGTCCGGAGGTAGCATGGCAATAGGCACTTGAATCAACTGATGAGGGGTTTAGAGCGTCTGAGACGCCTGCTCATTGTCCTTGCTAAACCCGCTTATTTCCGCGGCCCGCATCCACCCTCCCGCGCTCCCGCAAGCGTCTTTAGGCGTTAAAGCGTTGACATTGAATGCTGATTACGCGATGCAGACCATTATTGCTTCTTTATTGTTGTAGCTTGTTAATTGTTGGCGTTTTTCTCCCATGCATCTACATGCAGATTCTTTCGAGTTGCTATCTCCGGGGTAGCAAAAGTCGTTGCCAGGCACGGCTCGCTTGCCCCACACGACATCCACATCTAACTCCGGCCCCACGGTTCGACCGGACCAAATCGAGCGGAGAAGATACAGCTCGGATGATCCGCGCTTAGACGAAACGTTATTCTGCGTATGATTGGTACCGTTTGTGAAATGACGACACCACCCAGCATCCGCGGATACTGGCCCGGTCAGCACCTTAATCCTTTCTTTCCCTATCAGGAATGTTACCTAAAGCTTACGCTGCTCAGATAAGCGGGCTCCGCCAAGTCATCGAACGAGGCTTGCCTTCAGACACTAAGGGTTATGCTGCTGCCTGCGGACGAATCGGCAGCTGTTCGGGGCGCTGCCGTCCATCTTCGTCCGATACGTAGAACAGCAAATAGCAGTAGCGACTAGGAAAGGATGCCGCCCTTGCAGTTCTTCACTTCAGCTCAAAGACCCATCTCGCGATTTTCGCCACACGAATCCATGCCTTAGGCAGCAACCACCGTCTTTGTTCTTAATTCCGGATCAGCCGCCGTAATTACGTTCCGACGGATCTTGGGCTTACACCCCAGCGCACAACGCCAGTCAAGTCAATACAATTCATTATGCGCAGTCTTTGTCATTATTTCCGAAGCGCGTCGTAAATACGCATGGACACGATCTGATCTTTGCAAATGCCTGTCGAGGAAGTAAGGTGCAAAAGCACAACCGCCCAGATTTTCAAATCAAAAACAGACCACCGCCACCGTGACTGAAGGAAACAAAATACAGACAACAGATATAATGAGACCATCATTACTGCACGCTTGCTGGCACGCTTGCTGGCACGCTTGCAACTCCGTATGACGTGAGACTCGCAGGTTACGAGAGGGAAAAAGAAATTTCATGCACAAAACACCAAACCCCAACAAATGCAAGGAAAGAACCAACTTACCCCAAGAATGGGCCCAACGCAAGGAAAAAAGCAAGGAAACTATAACACAGATCCGTTCCTCGAAGCCTCTCAGAGCGATGACCTCGATGAGTCCATATCGCTCTCGTGCTCCGCTTCCTCAATCCTTCTGATCGAGGCTCGATCGTCATCGCTTCCGTGGCGGATAGCGTTTCCATCGTGAAATGCCGTAGCAGTCGTTCCACCAGTTCCCCCGGTTCCCGTGCTTCCACCACCAGCCGAGCTCGCGCCAGGCGTTCTCGACCCTGCGGTTGCCGGTGTCTTGGTGCCCTTTTTGTTCTTGCCCTTCTTCTCCGCAGGCGGCACCGTCTTGAGATTGCGGACTTCTTTCAGCACTTCCTTGAAACTCTCCTCCAGCGTGTTCATGCGCGCCAGCAGGATCCTGTTCGTGCGCGACCTGTCTTCCTCTTCCTCGTCTACTTCCTCTTCATCGTCGTTCGATGTCATTTCACGGCGCCGGGGGAAACGGCGTGCTCCCATCGCCGCCATCTCCATCTGCGTCGAGAAGCTGGCCGACAGGCCTTGCATACCTGGCAGCTCTGGACGAGGGCGGTTGTCACCAAGGTCGGAGGCGAGGTCCAGGGCCAGAGCGTTGAATGACGGATCGCGGCGAGAGCGAGAGGGACGAGGAAGGTTCCCAAAGCCGATGGTGGGATTGGGCGGAGACATGTTTGCGAGCGGGGAAAGGTTCGGGCGACCTGAAGCAGGGCGCTTCGGAGTAGCCTTGGTTTTGGGAGTTGCCGTGCCGCTACGATGTCCCGTTGGCGGCCGTGTCCCCGGCGCGGTAGAGTTCGACTCGTGACCAGATCCGAAGTCATTCTTTTCTGGGCTGAAGAGGATGGTATTGGTGGAGATGGTGCGACGATGGTGCCGGCGCTCTTGGCCAGAAGACGACGGCCTCGGGAGAGGCGGCGGATCACGAAGTCTTGACACGACGGAGCCTGGGGCAGCGGGAGTATGCGATTTTGTGGCAACCGGAGTCTTGAAATACTGCTCGCCCTCAGACGATTCGTAATTTGGCTCGTTCACCTTGGGAGGGGGTAAGTGAGGCCCGTCGCGGACAGACTGACCCAGGGTAATCCTATCGTCTTCATTATCGTCATTCGTGACAAGCTCGTCGTCGCCATCCGCATCGGTTTGCTGCGGCTGTTCATCCAAGCTTGCGAGGCTGGTTCCGACAAACCCGGGACCGTACTGAGACAGTACGGCATTTGTTGGAGTGACATCCGGATCCGAGGCCACCGATCTTGCCATGATGGGCTGCGTCCTACGCGACGGTATCAACTTGGAAGTCCTTGCTCGACGCATCCCTGGACGTTTGGTTTGCTCTAGCCGGTCGAGAACAGACCTGGGCTCTTCTTCCGGGGGCGATGCTCCTCCCTCGTGACCCATACCCTTCATCCAATCACGAACCACATTGCTGGACTTTCTCCTCTCATCAGCGCCGTCACTGATAGGATGGCGCATGCTTGGAGTCGGTCCTGTGAAAGGCCGACGGAAAACCTCATCGAGTGCACGATCCTTCTGGAATGTGGTGATAGACGGCTCACGTAGACGTGTTCCTGGGCTGAAGAGATCACCCCCGCCGCGAATGGTGAATGCCACTGGCACCTTTGTCCGAGAGCGTCCCCGCTGTTCCACCAACTCCTCTGGTTGGAAGGCAATCCGCGAAAGGATCAGCCGTTCGTATGAGAAGATTGCCATAAGGACTGGGAAATGGGTGATCTTGATCAGTGTTCGGTTCATCTTCACGAACGAGCGGAAAGGCATCATGTATCGAAGTGGTGTCAAGAGCCATGCGATGATGTTGGTCGGCGCGATGTAGGAGAAGAGGGCGTCCGATTTGACCATCGAGATGGTGTTAACAGCAAACAAGAACTGGTGCTCTTCGTTTGAGTTCTGTACAACCGCCATGAATGACTACACATAAAGTCAGCAAGACTAGTCACTTTGGTGAGAACATGCTCCCGTCGGATGAAGGCTCGGGTCTTTGCAGCTGACGTGTGTTCGGATAGCGGAAAGTGAAATGACTTACGTTCGTCAAAACCTAGAAAGGATATTCGTTAGCACTAAGAAAGATATACTCTATACATTAAATGCCTTACCGTAATCAAGATAGTGACAATCAAGAAGTGGGCAATGAAAAGGAAAAGGATAAGAATAGCTCTTCCCAGCAGGTTGTATTCACCCCACATATCCCAGGCTGCTGGAGTGAATCCCATGAGCAGCTGGAAGAGCGCATATGCTGCAGATCCAGCCGACGTGAGCCCGTTGTCGCCAAATGCCAAAGTAAAGGCCACGAAGAAGCCACTACAGCTGATTACGATGAGGACAAGGACAGCCATGAGGTCCATCGCCATCATCCGGAAGGCAATCAGCAGCTGCGAAAAGTACCGATAGTGATCCAGGACGGAGAACAACCTGGGGAACAGCAAGACGGCCGTGGAAGCTAGAACGTCATAAGCCCAGCCTGCTACCACGCTCTTGCGGACATCGGGCATGAGAATGCCGTATAATCTCAGAACATAGTAGACCAGGAATAGGAGTAGAATTCCAAGGTCGAAGGCATTCCAGACACTCAAGATGTACAAGTTGAAGCCTTGCTCCGTATATGCAACGATTTCTTCAAGAAGGTATCTGGGAGTCTTGTTAGAAATGGCTGGTGAATGAGATGGGAGGAGCTTACCCTGCGGACCAGAACCAGAACACCACCTCTAAGGCGGTGATGTCAGTGGACTTGCCTGCAAGGACCATTAAGAAGAGGGCAAGCATAACAGCAAAGGAAGCCGTGGAGAAGAGCTGTCTGTACCGCGGCACGCGCAGGCGAGACAACTTGAACAATGAGGCCTCGTGCGGGTCGTACAAGGTCACAGTCCGACGAATCATGGAGGACGGCACACGCTCAGCCTCATTCATCTTTCCCGGGTCATTGTCCATGGTGCCATAGTTTGGCCCGCGAAGGACATTACGCTTCGCCGGGGGCCTATGCAGGCTGTCGGCGTACGAGTGAAAGACAATGGTCCCGGACCAGATGGCCTGCAGCTGCTGCACTACGAGGGGGTGGGCGAGGAACTTCTTCGCTTGCGCGCGAATAGCAATCTCGACGGTCGAGATGCGCGCGTGCGTCATGGACTTGTCGCGACCAGTAGCATTTGCAGGCTGCGCCCATCCCTGCAAGGGATCAAAATCGTAGGAGAGTGCATCAATGAGCTCACGGGTGGAAAACTCCTTGAGCAGGCGCATGGCCAGCAGCTCGCAGATCAAGCCGCGGGTGCGCTCCACGCCCACATTGCCCGGATTCGCCTCGCCCTGTTTCTGGAAGTTCAAGCAATTGGCGATCAAGGCGTACAGGGTGCCGCGCGAGAAGAGGGTTGCGCGAATTTCCTGCTGGATGGGCTTCACAAGGAACTGGGAGACTTGCGGTGAGCGCAGCTGGTCCCAGGACAGGGTCGTCTCGCAGCGCTGCAGAACCAGCAGTCTTATGGAGTGGGTAATGTTGTAGATCGGGAGGCGGTCTGCGGATCAGAGCTAGAGTCAGTATGCGCCGGTCGCACAGCCGAGCGCAGGACATACCGAGATGCTCGGCACTGAAGATGGGAAGCACAGGATCGTGGTCGTCCTCGTCCTCGCCGCCGGCGTCGTACTGATCCTCGTCTTCGTCGGAGCCATTGTTGCCATGTGCCGGGTCGAAGTAGCCGTTGGCGGTGCGTTCGCCGGCGCGCTGCACAAAGGGCGACGAGTAGGGTGACGGTTCGGGGCGACGGCGCCGACCCTTTCGCGGTCGGAGTAGCGATGCGAGCATGTATGGCCCTGGGCGCGCAGACGAGGCGGCGGGTGAGGAGATGAGGCGGGCGAGAGAGCGGCGGGAGATTGTTTGTTTATAGAGCGGGCGCCTTCTTCCTTGGACCTTGACCAAGGCTAGCCGGGAGGAACTGGGATGGGTGTCAGGTCATGGATCGCGGCGCGCAGCTTCACGGCGAGGGCGAGGCGGCGCGGCAGGGTTTCAAATAGCTGCAGCCGCTCATTAATTCCGTACACCCTCTCGTCAAGTGCCCTGGCACCTGATCATGCACGCTTCTCGCCCTTATCTTCGTTATGATGCACAGGAAATCGTCGCTGGTGGAGGCGCCCCGGCCAATCACGCAGCCCGCGCGCCCACGCAGCTAGACCGCCTCGACGGCGATTCACAAAGATGCGCGACAGGGGGCCCATGCTCGTGCGGCTGGGAGCTGCACTGGAGACGGTCCTCCGCCCGCGCTCTGCTGACTGCAGCGCCGCGTCAATGGCAGAGCGGCGCGTCGGCTGGAGAACAAGCCCCGGCGGGTGGCCGCATACGTAGCTATCGAGGCATACCGACTCTTCTCAGCGCGATCCTGTGTGCTAATAGCCGCGCACCTCATGGGTAGCTGCAGCGGATGCCGGCACGGCGGCACACTCTAGCTCTTACCAGGCATCCACACGACGGTTTCGACTCTCCGCGCGGGAGGGCGCAAAGCCTTGCTGGCAGCGTGAAAAACATTTTTGCCTACTACGTAGCTCGGTGTGCCAGCCAACAGCAAGCTCTGGTGCCCTGTTCTAGGGCCGATTACGCAGATCTCGCCGCAAGGCCCGCTAGCCGCCCTAACCACTAGCGGGGGCCTGCACACTGGGACGTAATCCAAGCGCGCGCACGTGAATTTGCATTCCCCACAAATTCCAAACTAATACGCAATAGTTAGGACGAATCTTTTTTTCTGCTACTTCTTCTCCTCACCCTTGCGTCCTGGACGCTCTCTTCACCACCCATCACACACCATCATGGCTGACCAGCCGGGCGCGACGATGGCCATGAAGCTGGAGCTCCAAGATGGCAAGGCCTTCGAGGGCTTCAGCTTCGGTGCAAACCGGAGCATCGCCGGCGAGCTCGTCTTCCAGACGGGCATGGTTGGTTACCCCGAGTCCCTCACTGACCCCTCCTACCGCGGGCAGATTCTGGTCATCACCTACCCGCTCGTCGGTAACTACGGTGTGCCCGACCGCAAGGAGCGGGACCCCCTCCTGAAGGACCTCCCCGCCTACTTCGAGTCCGATGAAGCCCACATCGCCGGTCTCGTCGTTCTCTCCTACTCAGGAGAGAACTGGTCCAACCACCTCGCCAACAGCTCGCTCGGCGACTGGCTGAAGGAGCAGGGCATTCCCGCCATGTACGGCGTCGACACCAGGGAATTGACCAAGATCATCCGTCAGGAGGGTAGCATGCTTGGCCGCATGCTGCTCGAGGCTCAGACCAATGGCGACGCCGTTGCTTCCGACAGTGTTGTTTACGAAGAGATACCCTGGGTCAACCCCAACGAGAAGAACCTGGTGGCAGAAGGTGAGGCAGCTCGACTGCCCCTCAAGCTAGCCCCTCTCTGACAACTCGACAGTCTCTAGGAAGACCCCCACCACCTACTACCCCGAGCCCTCGACCGCATTGAAGCACCCTTCCGGCCGCAATGTGAAGATCCTTACAGTCGACGTTGGTCTGAAGTTCAACCAGCTCCGCTGCCTCGTGAAGAGGGGAGTCGAGGTCGAGGTCGTCCCGTGGGACTATGACTTCCCTAAGCTTGCCGGCAAGGAGTACGACGGCCTGTTCATTTCGAACGGTCCCGGTGACCCTGCCCTGATGGATGCCACTGTCAAGCACATTTCTGCTGCGCTGGAAGAGGCCAGGACACCCATCTTCGGTATTTGCTTGGGCCACCAGCTGCTCGCCCGTGCTGCTGGTGCTTCGACCAAGAAGCTGAAGTTCGGTAACCGTGGTGCCAACATTCCCTGCACCAGCATGGTCTCCGGACGCTGCTACATCACCTCCCAGAACCACGGTTACGCCGTTGACGCCTCCACCTTGAGCGGAGGATGGGAGGAGCTCTTCGTCAACGCCAACGACGGCACCAACGAGGGTATCCGCCATGTTAGCAGGCCCTACTTCTCGGTGCAGTTCCACCCCGAGCACGCTCCCGGTCCCCAGGACACCGAGTTCCTCTTCGACGTCTTCATCAATGCCGTCGTGAAGGCACTCAAGGAGCCTGAGACTCTCAACAAGCCCGTTCAGTTCCCCGGCGGCGACATTGAGGACAACCGGAAGCTGCACCCTCGTGTCAACGTCAAGAAGGTCCTTGTTCTCGGCAGTGGTGGTCTCAGCATTGGCCAGGCCGGCGAGTTCGACTACTCTGGTAGTCAAGCTATCAAGGCGCTCAAGGAGGAGGGCATCTACACCATCCTGATCAACCCCAACATCGCTACCATTCAGACCTCCAAGGGTCTTGCCGACAAGGTCTACTTCCTGCCTGTCAATGCCGACTTCGTCCGCAAGGTCATCAAGCAGGAGCGCCCGGATGCCATCTACGTCACCTTTGGTGGCCAGACTGCGCTCCAGGTTGGTATCCAGCTCAAGGACGAGTTTGAGCAGCTCGGTGTCAAGGTCCTGGGTACTCCTATTAACACCATCATCACTACCGAGGACCGTGAGCTCTTCGCTCGTAGCATGGAGTCCATTGGCGAGAAGTGTGCCAAGTCCGCGTCTGCCAGCTCTGTTGAAGAGGCCATGTCGGTTGTTGGTGACATCGGCTTCCCGGTTATCGTTCGCGCTGCTTACGCTCTTGGTGGTCTGGGCAGTGGTTTCGCCGAAGATGAGGCACAGCTGCTCGACCTCTGCAACAAGGCCTTTGCTGCCAGCCCGCAGGTGCTCATCGAGCGCAGTATGAAGGGCTGGAAGGAAATCGAGTATGAGGTCGTTCGTGATGCCCACGACAACTGCATCACTGTCTGCAACATGGAGAACTTTGACCCTCTCGGCATTCACACCGGTGACTCCATTGTCGTTGCTCCTTCGCAGACGCTGTCGAACGAGGACTACAACATGCTCCGCACCACGGCTGTGAACGTCATCAGGCACCTCGGCGTTGTGGGAGAGTGCAACATCCAGTATGCTCTCAACCCCTTCTCGAAGGAGTACTGCATTATCGAGGTCAATGCTCGTCTTTCCCGTTCCTCGGCATTGGCCTCCAAGGCTACCGGCTACCCTCTGGCATTCATTGCTGCCAAGCTGGGTCTTAACATTCCTTTGAACGAGATCCGCAACACTGTCACCAAGGTCACCTGCGCCTGTTTCGAGCCCTCCCTCGACTACTGCGTTGTCAAGATCCCTCGTTGGGATCTGAAGAAGTTCACCCGTGTCTCGACGCTTCTTGGCTCGTCTATGAAGAGTGTTGGTGAGGTCATGGCTATTGGAAAGACGTTCGAAGAGGCCATCCAAAAGGCTATTCGCGCTGTCGATGTCCACAACACCGGTTTCAACGAGACCCCCTTGGCCCTGATGTCCATTGACCAGGAGCTTCAGACGCCGTCTGACCAGAGACTGTTCGCCATTGCCAACGCGATGCACTCTGGCTACACTGTCGACAAGATCTGGGAGCTGACCAAGATCGACAAGTGGTTCTTGAGGAAGCTGAAGGACCTCAGTGACTTCGGCAAGCTTATGACCAACTATAACCGGAGCAACATCTCGCGTGAGCTCTTCGTCAGGGCCAAGGCTCTTGGTTTCTCTGATCGTCAGCTTGCCAGCTTCTGGAACTCCAACGAGCTCGCCGTCCGCCAGGCTCGTGTCGACTTTGACATCTTCCCCTGGGTCAAGCAGATCGATACTGTTGCTGCTGAGTTCCCGGCCTTCACGAACTATCTCTACACCACCTACAACGGTTCGGCACACGACATTGATTTCAATGACCGTGGTGTCATGGTTCTTGGCTCCGGTGTCTACCGCATTGGTTCGTCCGTCGAGTTCGACTGGTGCTCCGTCCGTGCCATCCGCACCCTCAGAGAGGCCGGCCACAAGACCGTCATGGTAAATTACAACCCGGAGACCGTAAGCACAGATTACGATGAGGCCGACAGGCTGTACTTCGAGACCATCAACCTGGAGACGATTCTGGACATCTACCATCTCGAGAGCTCGAGCGGAGTCATCATCTCCATGGGTGGCCAGACGCCGAACAACATCGCCCTTCCCCTGCACCGCATGAACGTCAGGATCCTGGGCACCTCGCCTGAGATGATCGACACGGCCGAGAACCGTTACAAGTTCTCGCGTATGCTTGACCGCATCTCGGTCGATCAGCCTGCGTGGAAGGAGCTCACCAGCTTCGAGGAGGCTGAGGAGTTCTGCGACAAGGTGTCCTACCCGGTGCTTGTGCGTCCGTCTTACGTGCTGTCGGGTGCTGCCATGAACACGGTCTACTCCAAGGCTGATCTCGAGAACTACCTGAAGCAAGCCACCGAGGTTTCCCGCGACCACCCTGTCGTCATCACGAAGTACATCGAGGGCGCCAAGGAAATCGAGATGGATGCCGTCGCTCGCAACGGTACCATGATCGGTCACTTCATCTCCGAGCACGTCGAGAACGCCGGTGTCCACTCCGGTGACGCGACCCTGATTCTTCCGCCGCAGGACTTGGACCCTGAGACTGTCCGCCGCATTGAAGACGCTACCCGCAAGATCGGTAACGCGCTCAACGTCACTGGTCCCTTCAACATCCAGTTCATTGCGAAGGACAACGATATCAAGGTCATCGAGTGCAACGTTCGCGCTTCCCGCTCGTTCCCCTTCGTTTCGAAGGTCATGGGCGTCGACCTCATCGAGATGGCTACCAAGGCCATGGCTGGCTTGCCCGTTGTTGAGTACCCTGAGGTGAACATTCCTTCCGACTACGTTGGTGTCAAGGTTCCCCAGTTCTCCTTCTCTCGTCTTTCTGGTGCCGATCCTGTTCTTGGTGTGGAGATGGCTTCTACTGGTGAGGTTGCTTGCTTTGGCCGTACCAAGTATGAAGCGTACATCAAGGCTTTGATCTCTACCGGCTTCAGGCTGCCCAACAAGAACATCCTCCTGTCCATCGGATCGTTCAAGGACAAGCTGGAGATGCTTCCCTCCATTCAGCGCCTCCACGAGCTGGGCTTTAACCTCTTCGCCACCGCCGGTACCGCCGACTACATTGTGGAGCACGGCATTCCTTGCAAATTCTTGGAAGTCCTTGGTGGTTCCGATGCTGAGGCCGACCAGAAGCCGGAGTACTCGCTCACTCAGCACTTGTCGAACAACCTGATCGATCTCTACATCAACCTGCCGTCGAGCAACCGCTTCCGCAGACCCGCCAACTACATGAGTAGAGGTTACAGGACTCGCAGAATGGCCGTCGACTACCAGACTCCTCTGGTTACCAACGTGAAGAACGCTAAGCTTCTTATCGAGGCTCTCGCTCGTCACTATGACCTGGAGATCAGCAAGGTTGACTACCAGAACTTCTCTGCCGAGAGGAGGGACAGCCAGATCGTGCCGCACGGCTTGGGCAAGCCGCGTGGTGACTTGACTCTTGGCCAGCTCCTCGCCAGGTCTCCTTTCAAGGGCCAGCACGTCGTCTCGGTCAAGCAGGTCACCCGCAGCGATTTGCACTTGCTTTTCACTGTCGCCCAGGAGATGCGTCTGGGTGCTCAACGCCAGGGTGGTCTTGACGTTCTTAAGGGTAAGGTCCTCTGCACCATGTTCTACGAGCCCTCGACCCGGACTTCGGCTTCATTCGATGCTGCCATGAAGCGTCTCGGCGGCTCCGTCGTCGCTATCAGCGAGGCGACCTCCAGCACCAAGAAGGGTGAGTCCCTCGAAGACACCATCCGTACGCTTGCCTGCTACGGAGATGCCATCGTGCTGCGCCACCCTGAGGCCGAGTCGGTCCACGATGCTGCCAAGGTCGCGGGTGTCCCCATCATCAACGCCGGCAACGGTAGCAAGGAGCACCCTACGCAGGCATTCCTGGACCTGTTCACGATCCGCGAGGAACTCGGTACCGTCAAGGGTCTCACTATCACCTTCGTCGGTGACCTTCTGTACGGTCGTCCCACGCACTCGCTTTGCGAGCTTCTCAAGCACTACGACGACATCAAGATCCAACTCGTTTCGCCCGAGTCGCTTAGGATGCCCGAGGAGATCCGCGAGGTTCTGCAGCAGCGCGGCCAGCTGCTCACTGAGAGCTTCGAGCTCACGCCGGAGATCGTTGCTCGCAGCGATGTGCTCTACTGCACGCGTGTGCAGAAGGAGCGCTTCCCCGACCTCGAGCACTACGAGCGTGTCAAGGACAGCTTCGTCGTTGACAACGCTGTCATGAAGAACGCCAAGGAACACATGATCGTCATGCACCCTCTGCCTCGCAACAGGGAGATCCCTGAGGAGGTCGACACCGACCCGAGGGCTGCATACTTCAGACAGGTGAGTGACCCCCCTTCCCCCCAATGGTAAATGGATGCTAACGTATTTCCCCGACAGATGAGATACGGGCTCTACACTCGCATGGCTTTGTTGGCTTTGGTGTTGGCTCCGTAGGCTGTCGGTTCATAACAAAAAGTGATTTTTTCTACAGGGTTTTGGGCGTTTGTTTGTGGATACAGCGCACTCTTCGGTCAATGGGACCAAGACATAAACCAAAAAAAGGGCAAACGGGCTGCGTTTTGCTTTTTCGTTTTTGCGCGCACATAGAATCGACACATCGAGACCGGCGTTTTCTACTTTATAGCATATAGAAAACGGGTTCAAAAGTGTTTGGGAGGAAACGCGTACTCAAATCGGGCCATTTGAGTACTATGTCATGACAATGGGTTAAATCGCCGTGATGAAAACGACGTATATGCATTGGTATATGCATATCTGTATTATTTTATGTACGTTATGTTGTATGACGTTTATGATGTATGTATACGTATTTGGGGGGAAGTTATTTTATTTTTTCTGTAGCATAGTTTCGTTTCTTTGTATGTACATAGTAGTGTTTGTAGACCTTAATTCGTAATAGCTATTTCAACAATCAATCTCCAATTGAAGCAGCTGGGGAAAAAACCAAAGAAGAAAAAAACGCCTGCTCGAATTCGAGCTCCTTAAGGTATTCCGGTCTTTTCCCTTCCAACAAACTCCTTTAACTTATAAAATGGCAAGCTTGGCTTTGCCTTGATATATATGGTCTGTGCTCAACCGACACATCTCGACCAGCCTGTAAGGAGAAGCCATCAGTAACCAATGCCATAGAGCGCCAAGTCCTGCAGCCAAGTCTTCAGCGGAGGGGAAGGGAACCAAACTCACCGGGAAGCCCACAGCCGAATCCTACAAAAAGGTAGATGAGGAAAATGACGACGACGACGAGCAGCACCATGAGCTTGACGTTCTTCCACCACATGCGGCGGCGGAGGCCGCGGGAGCGGACGCGGAAGTCGCGGGCGTTGCCGCCAAGGCGGTCGGTCTTGTCGACGAGCAAGTCGATGCGCTCGCCGCGCTCGAGCACGCGCTCAATGTTCTCGGTCATGATTTCGCGCACGCCGGCGATCTCGGTCTGGACGTTGCGGATGGCGTCATTCTGACCCTCCTCGGAAGCGCCCATGTCGACCATCAGCCGCTTGAGCGTGCCGTTGAAGGCGGCGCAGCCGTAGGCCGGCAGTGATGCAAAGTCGGTCCGCCCCGGGTCGTACTGCGCCAGGAATTGCTTCTTGATCTCGACCAGGAAGCCGAACGGCACCCGCCGGCCCAGGCTCGAGCTGGCGATGACCAGGTAGGCCAGGCCGCCGGCGGAGGATTGCGAGGCCGGGTATTCCGAGGCGGCGCTGGCGATATAGTGGATGAAGTGTTGGCCATGGGTGTAGGTGAGCTTTTGCGGTGAGGCGTGCGAGATTTTGGGGAGGATGAGCGAGGCGAGGGATGAGGTTTGCGAGGAGGCAGAGGCAGTGTGCTCGGTGAGGATGGTGCTGTTATGGGCAATGCAGGCACTGGAGAGGAGGGTGTTGTTAGCGCGCGGACAGGAAGAGATCATTGGAGATGGTGGATAGAGGGCTGACATACTAGAGCAGCGGCGTGCTGGTAGAGGAGGACGCCATGGTGCCGGTGTTGTGGGAGGTGATGCTGGATTGAGTGGTTCGTAGTTGTTGACAGGCGGACGACGGGGAGTTGGAAATGCGGGTTGCCGTCGCCTGCGTGGATGACGGCGTATGTGGCTGGGATGCGCTCGGCGATGGTGTTGGTATAGGGAAAGCTGCCGGGGTTCTGGCTGCAGCAAGGCATCATCATAGGTCATCTCCGCCCACGTGTTGAGGTGGCCCCAGCATAGCCCTAACATGACAAATTTGTGCTAGCCGCAGATCCGCGTCGCCCTTTTCCGCCTTCCGACCTTTGAGAACACCATCGCTCGCGTGTCGTACGATGCCATCACAAAATACACTCTCTCGAAGTGTAACTGGCGGAATCTGCTTCCCGCTAACCGCACTCATGCACACTTCACCCCTCGCACCCCTCCATCGGCACAAGGCCCGATTTCCGTAACGAACTAGGTTAGGTATGCAGTGTTGTCGGCAGAGAGCACGGCTTCAATGGGAAACCCTGGTGCAGCCCATCGTCCATCGCAGGGCTGTGCCTACAGCCTGAGCGCCGCCAGCCAAATCATTGTGCACCATCTCTACGTCACGGAATGAGGCAACCACTTCTGGCCGGTGCGCCTGGTCCTCGGACCTTCTGCGGATGAGCCGTTGTTTCTACTTACGGCGCTTGCGTAGACGACACTGCCCCTCTGTGCGTTGTAATCTGGCATATCGTCGGTGCCCGACAAACTGCAGCTGAAGAATGCCGGGTTTCCATGTTACCATGAACCCCTCCAGGGAACAGGAAGTTGTCCGAGATCTCACAGAGGATCGATCGGTATAGCCGAGATTCGTTGCCGGCGATGTATCGAGATCTCGGTCATGAGAGCAGCCGTTGCAACTCCGAGAAAGCCGTTTCACGAACTTGGTGAATGTGGCTTGCCGTTGCGCTGCTTCGCTTCACAACACACTTCCGTCCAATCCAAATGCGATTTATTGCTGCTAAATCAGGCAGCTCAGTGGTCGAAACAACAGATTTGCGCCAGGGTACCTGCAGCCTCAAATTTGTGCATCAGCCTCCGTTGGGTGTTCATCAGGCCCAGACGCGCTACGCAGAGGCTAGTGAGAGAACGAGCCAATTTAAGGATTTCCAGAGGGCGCTAGCGGGGGTTCCTGGCGTGCTAATCCACTGCCAGCACGCGGATGCAGCCACAGGCTTAGCCTCTCTCTATCAAGCTTACTGCGGGCGTTCACCCTTCATGTTCGCCTCACCGTTTCTTTCTGGGATACCTGGTGCGGGAAGCTGGTCTGGATCACCTGTTCCTACGAGCTTGAACACACGATCCTAGACCTTGCCCGCTCCCCCGCTGCTCCATTGCTCAGACAGCCGTATTGCACGGCCTCATGGTGGTCAGTTATTAGGCGCCGTGCGCCCACGCCTGCGCGCTTTCACTCTTGCTCTTCTGTAGAGGATCCTTCTGCGGCCACAGTCCCACTGTGCCCTACCCTGAAAAAAAACCTTAAAGGTCTAGTATCCGCAGTCACTTGGGCACCAAGTGACCATTTCATCAAGTTATCTTTCTTCTCTCCGCTCCCAGTTCCTCTGCAAGCAAGTCTTGCATTCTCTCTTCCACCAAGACGATCGAAGTATTCTTCTGGTACTTTGACATTTCCTCTCTCTCATGTCTGCCCTTGTTGGTGATATCACCCCGGATAAATGGCCCGAGCCCAACTATGATGATCCAGAGACCCGGACGTCTCTTATTCTAGGCTTCATGATATCAGGGGCCATACTGTCTATCGCATTCACCGCCGGGAGGTTAATCGCCAAAGTCAAACGCAGCAACAAACACGCTCTTGGCTTAGATGATTGGCTTATGACCATATCCACAGTGAGTATATCACGAGGTTTGTCTAGCGTATGGCTCCCGCTGACTCACTCAATAGGTCATGATGCTCGGTGTAAACATACTCGGCTGCGTATCAACTTCTGTAGGCTCGGGACGTCATACATGGGACGTAAAGCTCGGCTGGGCAGTCACTTGGGGAAAGGTGCGGATATTTACTTGTGTTGCTTCTCTTTTTACTGCAAACGTATCGATTAACGCTTCTGTTTACTTGCTGCTGTTCTGGATCTTCTCATGCTTGCGGTTGTTCTTGCCTTTGGACTCGCCCGGATTCCTGTGCTAATGTGTCTTGCAGATTGATCTTGCCACATACGGTTAGTGATGTGAGATTTTCCATGAAGTTGCTCATACTTACGCCTGTTAGTGCTATTCATACCAAGTGTCTCGCTCACCAAAAGTATGTAACATCTTTGACAACCCTAATCTCTTGCCGCGCCTGCTAACCGTTACAGTCTCCCTCTGTGTGTCCTACCTCAGGCTGTTCCCATCCCGTATGAACCAATGGTTCTGCTACATCTGCATCACCTTTCTCACCCTCTGGTCCCTCACCTTTATCTTCCTGATGATGTTCGCCTGTCGGTACGTCATGTCTAACCTCCCTTTATCCCTTGCATCCAACGTCGCCGAAACTAACCATCGATGCTCAACTAATTCTAGCCCCATCAACGGTTTCTGGGATCCCACTATCCGCGAAGCGTCCTGCCTGCATATTAAGGAGCTCCTCATCCTCACCGGCGTCCTCAACTCGTTGACTGACTTCTGTGTGTTTTTGTGGCCAGTCAAGACGCTGTGGTCGATACGTCTGCCGCTACTACAACGAATCAGTTTGGTAGTGGCGTTCGGAATCGGCTGCTTCGTGTGCCTGGCAGGTGTGGTGCGCGCGTGGTACATGGAGGTCTATTTCCAATCCGACGACCCGTACTGGAAGGCGGCTATCCTTTGGATCATCGTCAGCCTCGAGGGCAATCTCGGTATCGTGTGCGGCTGTCTCCCGACGCTAAAGCCTCTCGCAAAGATGCTTTGGCCCCGCCTATTCTCCAGCAGCAGTCTCGTCATCGACAAACTGGCGCCGGTGGCCACCGGTCCGAACGGTCCCAGCAATGCGGAGGAAGGGAGAAATAGCGGTAACGAGAGCCATCGCGGCACCGTTGCTGCTGCTGCTGGCCTCGGGCCAAAGTTGGAGCTGGGTGCCATGGGCGCGTCAATGGGCGCCAAGAATGAAGGATGGCCGTTCGGCAACATCAGCCAGCCCGGCCGAGGCGGCGGCAGTCCGGGCATATTCGAAGAGATGTTCGCCGCGAAGAAGAAGAGGGACGGCTACTTCGACACCAACATGACGCCGATCGGCCAGGGCGAGATGCGGATGTTGGACGACGGCGACGTCTGGGCCGAGGTCGACACGAGGTCACCCAGTGGCGTGTGGCGCATCTTGCGCACCGTAACGCTGCACAGCAGCAGCAACAGCAGAAGGAATTCAAGCGCCGTCGTCGGGGCTGAGGGCAATGCTGTCCCTGGTGTTGCTGCTGCGGATGCTCGCCATTCAGCCTTGTCGTCGACGTTGCCCCCGTCGACGTTCGCATCCAGAGATCCGTCGGCAGAGATCGAGGATGATAGGAGCGAGGAGCATATATTAAGACCGTCAAGACGGTGGTACGGGAAGGACAGGTGAAATTTGTTTTAACGACAGGTCATGATGCCAGTTATGATTAAGTGCTTACAACGTTTCCTCCTGTTTATTTGTCTTACTCAAGCGTCGGTGGGTTGACTTTCGAGGCGTTGGTTTGAGTTGCATTGCTCTGGAGTCAGCATACTATGGGGTTCTAACTGGGTAGTGGCTTCGCTTCCTGTATTGTTTAATTACTTGACCAAGTAATTAGTAAATATTGTTAGTACGGTCATCATACTGTGACAGAATACCTTATAAGATTTCAGCTTTTTCAGACATATAGGTAGTGGAAGTGATCGTCCGGATGTAAATGCTTAATTGAACCCCATATTTCCTGGGAGACAGATAGGAGAGTGATTTGAAATGCATTGTGGTAACAAACTTTGCGTTTCCATTTCATACAGGAGTGCACTACTTATGCACCAGATGACTAAATATGTGCTTGAGAAAGTAATCCCACTTTTCATATCCTTTAAGTGAGTCGGTTTTCCCTTCTTCACTACTCCCCTTTAGTTGTACATGTTGACCGACGACCTCGCGGTGGCGGAGGTCTCCGGCCAGTTGTCCCAGTTGACGTCAAACAGAATGTTATCATCGCAGTCGCTGCCGAGAGCAGTGTTGTTGATGAAGGCCGGCTCCCAGTAGAAAATGCCGGCACCAAGGCCGTCAGGGACGTTGTTCAGCACGTCGATGACAGCGCCGACCCAGTCAGTCTGGCCCTGGGCGTCGACGGAGAAGTCGGCGGAGAGGTCGACGCCGGAGCAGCTGGTGGGCCAGTCGGTCTCGGCGACGTAGAGGGGCTTGTTGTAGGTGGAGGCGAGGGTGTTGAGGCTGCTCTGCAGGGCGTCGGTGGTGGCGGCCGTGTCGAAGAAAGGGTAAAAGGAGAAGCCGAGCACGTCGACCATGTCGGTCGTCACGGTGCCCTCGTCGAACAGGCCCTTGAACCACCACGTCATCGTCTCCGAGTCCCACCCGTTGTTCAGGTGGATCATGACCTGCGGCTTCGTGGCGCCAGCCGACACGGCGTCGTCGACGCCCGCACGCGCCGCCGCCCACAGCGCCGCGAAGCCTGAGAAGTCGTTGTTGGAGATCTGGCCGTCCGGGAACAGCATGCCCTGGATGATCTCGTTGCCGATGGATAGGATGTCCAGGTCAACGCCGCCGTCGGCGAAGGACTGGAGCGTCGACTTGACGTAGCTGCGCACCGAGCCGGCCAGGTCGGACGTGTCGAAGGACGAGGGAGTGGCCTGGTTGGAAGGATCGGCCCAGGTGTCGGATAGGTGCAGGTCTAAGTAGATCTTGTAGCCGGCCTTGGAGAAACGCTGAGCCAGTTGTAGAGTGTAGTCGAGGCCGTACTGTTCGCCGGTCCAGAGCCTATCAGTACAGATTAGCAAGTAATCCTTTAAGGTGTTAATGGTCCTCAAGAGCACTCGGGAATGACTTGGATAGTATTGCATTGTGAGTTTGAAATCCAAAAGTCCAGCAAGTTTCAATCCAGAATATCTGGAAGTCAACACTTATGGTTCTTTCGGCAATACTTCTCAAATCATGACGCCAAATACTCCGGGTAGACGTAAGTATTCTCGGCTCACCTCAGTCTAACGCTGTCCATGCCACCAGCACCGAGAATCTCTTCAATGGTGCTAGTCGAGCCCGACTCCGTGAGCCAAGTAGCGCCTTGGTCGGTTTCCATGTAACCAGCAGACGAGAGGTCGTGACCCTTGGAAAGGGCGGAAACGCCGTTAATGGCGTATGCCATCAGTGGCAGGGAGTTGATGAGAGTCTTAGACAACATCTTTGAGTTTATTTTGATGCTTGGTTATGACGTGAATCGAGATGCGTGAATCGAGAGAGCCGGATGAGAGAGCGAATGAAGACACCAGCGCTTCTTAAAGGCAGCAGCACACTTCTGTCGACGGAGCGAGAAAGAACGGCAGCAAGTGGAAAAGGAAGGTTACGCTGATCCACAGTGCAACGAATGAATAGGCAAAAAGAAACGGCGAAACGTTTCGAGCGGAAGGGACAGCATCAATAAAATATACCCGGCACCAGCGGGAGCAACCCTTTAAAGGCCGACCTGGGGTCGCAATGCATTGCGGTTCCAAGCGAGCCCGCATCCGTTTCCAGCGGAGATTATTATTTGCGGAGAAGGAGCGCGACGCTTGGGCTCGCATCCAGTCAGGGAGAAGTGCGAGAGTCGATCTCCGAAACAAGGCGGCACGATCACCAAATTTATCCATGTCGGGAGTGAAACGAAGCTGAGGCTTATCCCAAAGAGTCCAGTGTGGGTCCCGAGGAGGTGATCGGCAGCTTGCCGACCTATTGCTCTGTTGTATCATGTACACTTCTACAAACCTCTGACATTGTGGAAGCTGTGGATTTTGTTCGAGAAGAAGCATGACCTGTCGTAGATGGTAAGGCCTGGAGAGGATCCAACCGTGAGAAATATGCTCCTGTGACAGCCGTAGCGGGGCGGCAGATGCGTAGTGTGGTAAGCCAAGAACTCATTTGTTTCGCATCGGCAGGGCCATCGGAATCAGGTACCCTTGCCCGCGGTTGGTCTGTTTATACAAACGGGACGTACCCGAGCAAGCGAGATGGATACCGAGCGCTTGCAAGTGGAGGATGGCAGCGCATCCCCAGATCATCAGCTCATCAATGCGCAGCTGCGGAGCGGGAGTGAAAAGGATAAAGAGACGGTCAGCTGCTTTAGCAAGGGAGCCATGTTTCAAGTTGAACACGACACACCCATAGCGGGGACGGAAGGGGGAACCAGTGCCGGATGTATCCTTATCCCCGAGGAGCGACGCGGCCTTGCTGCGCAGCGGCGGTCGCATTTTCGAGATCGGTCGAGTGGACAATCGGAGCCAATGCTCAAAAATCGTTCTCACCACATAGGGTTTCTAGAAATAAAACGGATTGGCCACCGGGTGTCGTTGGAGGTTACAATTTCTGCAATATTGCTCAGATGTCGGCTCACGCTACTCACGCCAAACGAAGACGATACATCTTCTAGAACGCACTCTGCGAAGTGAAGCTTTCGTAACCTACTGCCCATCTATAAATGCTAGATCTATGAGCGAACCGATTGATTAAAATGCATCCCTTCCTTGAAACGAATGCTTTTTGCCTGCGGGAACTTTGCAACGTATCGTGTATGCGATGCTATACCAACCATCGAACATGCACCGAAAAGAGTCATAGCTCCACCAATTACGCCATACCTCTTACCGCATGCTAGCCTAGCTCGACCCCGTTCTCGCTGCAGAGCCGCGTACGTCGCCAGTCCGGCCCAAGTCTAAAATTAACATTATTCCGTCAAAGCAACTAAAAACGCGTACCACCACCCACCGTTCATGCATCCCTCTGATGACGCGTAAGCTGACAGTAGCTGCCACAACAAAGAGGTCTAGAACTAGTCGAAGCGAGAGAAATGGGATTTGGACTCGCCAACCACACAAGTCTCCAAAATATGCCTCTTGACCCTGGTCATCCAACAGCGGTAGAGAAAAAGAGTAATGAGAGAACGAACACAGAAATGAATCCCTACAGCGCACCCCTATGTACTCTAAAAAGGCTGTTCACCTTTATGACAGTCGGTGCGAGCCCCTCAAAGTATATGAGACGTCTGCACTCTAAGCTAGCTTTCCAGCGCTGATTCTCCTGAGAAAAGGATGTGAAAACTGCTCGTGCGCTCCTCTTTCTACTCCGCCTTCAAGTTTTCTGCCTTCGCATCCTCGCCCTCTGCCGCAGCTTCGACCTCACCTTCGGCCTCAGCCTCGCCCTTCTCCTCCACCTTCTTCTCTTCACCCTCTGCCTCATTTTCCTTTTCCGCTGTGGCCGCCGCCGCCGCCGCCGCCGCAGCAGCTGCACTTGCATCAACGCTCGGCCTCGCGCTCGTCTGCGCCACGCTCAACCTCTTCTGATGGCTGCTCTTCATCCTCTTCTCCGCCTCTTCTGGGAAGAGTTCTGGCAGAAGATTAGGTAGGAATCGATCGAGCTTCGTCCACGTCTCGCGCCATAGTTCCTCTTGCTCGGGCTTTTCGTCGGGCGATGCTAGGTAACCACCGCTGGACATGACCAGCAAGATATTCTTGAGAGATTCTGGAACCGCTTCCTCCTGTTTAATTCGTTAGTCACGTGTACAGATGAGAGCTGGTCAGCGTAGAGGGTTTCCTTACCAAGTTGTCGCCCTGCCCGCTGTTCATCAGCCGGTCCATGATGCTGAGAATCTTGAGCCAGAGGTCCAGCATTCCATCCCACTCGGAAAGTGCTACGAGGTAGTGCAGGAAGATTTTGCAGAGCAGCGTGGCAGCCTGCACTCTCGTCTCACCCATACCGCCGGGATCGCTCTGGTAAGTCTCGGGCTTGAGTAGTTGATTGATGAGCGGGAAGAGCACCTCGCCGAAGATCTTGGTCCATTCCTTATGATCGGGTGAGGCGAGGTCGTTTGAGAGAAGCGTCCCTTGCAGCGATCCAAGAGCCTGATGCCTGATCTCTCGGCACGGGTTCAGGCACTGATTAGTGAGGCATTGGAAGATAGGTGACCAGTATGCGTTCCAAGCTACTCGTAGTTAGCATCAGGTCAGAGTATCCAACTTCGTTGCACAGTTACCTTCGTTAGTCTCAAGCTGGGACTGCTCGATGAACTGGGGAACGCGGCTGGTGAGCTGAAGGACGATATTCATGGCCTTCGAGCCACGAAGAACGACTTCGTTGGTTCTACAAGATAGTTAGTCTCAGTGGCATGGCTTGAGCTGAATAGGACATACTGGGTCTTCTTCTGTTTCACCCCCTTGCCTCTCCGTCTCGCGGCGTCCCCACGTTGCTCTTCGATCGCGCCGGCGCTTCCCGCAGTCGCAAAGTCGTTGAGCAACGCTATTACTGCCTCGTAGTTATCTGCGCAAATACCTGGAGGGTTTGAGAGAGTAAGATTCTCAGCGACCTGGAAAACGTCGGCCGCGACTTCCGGCGAAGTGTGGAGCGTGCGCAAAAGAGTCCAAAAGTCGGGAGAGTTGACCAGCTCATTGCGCAGGCCGACAGGTCCATTGATGCAATCCAACAAGCCCTTGAGCAGAGTCGGTGCAACTTGCTTCAAAAGGTCTTGATTGAAAGTAACAAAAGTATGCAGGATCACCGGAGCGCGAATGTAATCGTGATCGTTGCTCTCGCGTAGCAGCTTGAGCAGATAGTACACCGTTCGCGACAGCACGACCGGGTGCACATTGTTATCACGCAACACCGTCTGCAGTGCATCTGCGACGCTCTTTCCAAGCTTCTCGACAGCCTCGGCATCTCTCAATGCGATGACCGTTGCCAGCTCAAGAGCAAAGACGAGAGATGGGTCATACTGCGGGCCTTGAGTCCGGGCCTTGTTGCCGTTTGGCCTTATGGGAGTTGGTGCTGGCAGTTCAGGCTTCACAGTGATGACGCGAGGCGAGGAATCCTCGGGTATCTGAGCGAGGAGTGAATCCAAGATCGACTGTAGAGCATCAATGGGCATGCGGCTAGTTGGGTCAGCAGAGTTGTTATGGAAGAGAAGAAAGATATCCTACCTGATATTTGCGAAGACGCCTGGGAAATCGCACGAGTTGATGCAATCTATCGTGCAAAGCGTGTATTCTATCTCCGCGTCTGATGGCTCCGGCGGCTCGTCGTTCGCAAAGCTAAAAATGGACGAAGCGAAGGTAGAGAAGAGACTGGTTTCATTTTGCCTCTGTTCTCTGTCGATGACCTGTGCAGGGTTTTGAAGAGGGATGGGAGGTAGCTCGAGAGCATTGGATATCGATGAGAAAGACGAGGGTATCAGGGAGTTGATGAATAGGTTGAGCATAACACGGATGAGCTGAATGGATTGTCAACAAAACTCGCGCGAATAAGATATACGAGATGACTTACGTGGTTCCACCCATCTCTGACATGGGCTTCATTGCCATGAATAATACGGAAAAGCAAGACAGTAGCCAACTGTGCCCTGTCGTCACGGCCGAAACGAACAGCCGTCTCACTGACCATGATCTTCTCGCTCTTCTTGTCAGCCTGGACTTCTGTGTTCAAAGATGTGCTAGGGGGCACATCCGGCGCCAAAGTGCTAATTTTGCTCAAGCAAAACACGATCCGGTCAATACACTCGGTCAGCCCATGCTTTGCCGCAATCTGAGCGCACTGGTAGAAACCAGTGACAACGCGTGAGAACACAGCATCGTCCGATGCCGACATGAACACAAAAGATAGTGTTGCAAGAATTGGCCTCCACGTCGCAGCGAACATGTCTGCGTCGAAGATATTGGTGTCACAAATGACGAGATCCGTGGTTGACTGGACCTTCATCTGAAGCTCTTTCCAGGCGTAGTCGTAGGCGTGCTTGGTATCATGCTCCTCCGGAAGAATGATTTCTCTTGTTTTGATAGAGTTGTAGATCTCCTCGAGATACTCGATCGGAAAGTCCTGCCCCCCATTGACTCCGCGTAGGTTCCGTGCGAAGTCCTCCAGCGCCATACGCTTCTGAGCCTTGAGATTCGGGTTGTGCTGATCGGTGTTCAGCATGATGATGGCATATGTCAACACATAAACGGAATCTCTATCCGCAATGCCCTCTGGAGGCGATTCGCCGCAATATTTCTCGGCAAATTCGGTAACGATCCGCTCAATCAACTGCGACTCTCCTGGCAAGCGGAAAGTGTTGAGGAGCTGGCGCAGAGCCTCATCAACTCTCTGGCCGCTGAAGTCGAATGTTTCCATGAAGGCGGCCAGTATCGTTTCGTTTTCTTTCTTCGAGATAAAGTCGCCCAGCACCTTCTTATCCAACCTTGTCGTTCCCTTGATGAAATTTGCGATCGACTTCGGATTGTCCGGGTTGTCAATGATCCCCTGAGACACAAGGAAAGCGATACCGGCCTTAGGCTTTTCGTTGAACTTCTTGGCGCCACGGATAATTATCTTCTTCTGCTCTCTCTGTTTCACCAAATGCGCAGCATCTGGGAAGCCTTCTGTCCGCGGTTCGTCTTCCAGTCGATCCGCTATCAATTGGATAAACCCGAGGAGAGCATCAAGGCAGAGCGGGGGTACATTGGTTGTACTCCATGTGGCAGAGTCCGGGAAAGCATTCCGTGATAACAGTCCAATCATGTCCATGCACAAGTCACTCCGATCGATCTCGCAATCGTAATTGACGAACAGCTCGACCATGAAGGAAGGTATCCTGCACAGAGCTCCTACACTCTCCACCATTGCCTCTCTTGCATCGGGCTTCCTGGCGCCACCTTCCAACCCAAGCCTTTGCCTGTCCTTCACCGGCACAGGAGTAGATCGGCCACTGCTTGATCCCGGCTGGGGCGCAGGTTTGACTAGACTGGGGGCCTGAGGAACACCTTCATAGAGTGCAGGGTCGATACCAGCTTCCTGGGGTATGTCAACGCGAGGGAATAAGCATGCAACAAGGTAGGAAAGGAAAAGCTCTTGTTGGAGCTTCAGCACGCCCCTGCAAGTTGCCAAAAGAGTGTATGCTACTCTCAGCGACTCGTTCAGCACCGCAATATTTTCCGACCGAACAAGCTGGAAAATGTGCCGACAAAGAGTGTCCTTTGCCAAGGATGCAAGGCTCGGGTGGCTTGCAATTGAAGGCCCAGCAACCTCGAGCGCGACGTCGACGATCCGGAGAGCCATGATCCTCATGGTGTCATTGTGTTGTCGATCGTCAGGGTCCAGGAGATCCACCAGAACGCGGAAAAGCTCCCGTATAGATGGGAGCGAGTACGGCTTGATGACTTGCTCTTCTTCAGACTCATCCTCTACAAGCGGAAGGTGCAGCTGGCTGCCGTTGGGATTCCCGTTATCCTCACTGCCATCTGGCGTCTTCTCCAAACTTGTTGAGGATCGTGATGCTTCAGGCACGCTCCCCGGTACGGATAAGGAGTCCCCGTTTGCTGTTGGGTCCATTTTGACGGCATCCATATCATCCTTGGTACTCTCTTCGAGGGCTCCCGGGTCGTCACCGGCCTCAATTTCAAGATGCTTCAATCTCTCGAAAATCACCTGGCACATGGTGACCATGGCAATCTCTGCAGACCGCCGCAAAACCTCGGAAAGTCGAATTTGGCAGCACATGCTCAATCCGGTCTCCATCATTTCACAAACACTCTCGTCGCTCAATAGATCGCCAGCCGGGCCGGAAATCATGTTCTCCATAAGCTTCAATATCCGCAGAAGCACGATCTCGTCCGCTGCGGTATCAGTAGCCTCGAAGCGGCAGTGTGTGATTGCGGAGGAAAGTAGTTGCATAGCCAGAGGCAGGCGAGGCGAATCGCGGCCTATGATGTTGTAGGAGAGGAACTTCGTGATCGCAATCAGCGCCAGCGAGGTTATGGGAGCCGAGGTCGACGACGAGCGGATGACCTGCAGGAACGGATGGAGCAAGGCGGGCGTGTCGAAGCTGCGGATGTCTGCACCTGTGTCAGAAAAGGGCGCTCTGGACTATCAATGCCCATGTCCTTACCATTGCAGCCCTTCAAGTCACTTCGCAAACGCGTGAAGGCTGACATAAGGGGATTGTCCTGCATGCTCCTCCCCTTCTTGCCGCGGAGCCCCCATCGCCCGGCGAGGGCATCGTCGCCGGAGCCCAGCTTTATGCTGGCGGCGTTTCCCTCGCCCTTCTCGATGCGCTGTATTGCCAGCGGCTTCGCGGCGCCGCCGCCCAAGATGGCGGACACGGAAGATTGGGCCCAGCGCGCATGCTTGCGCATGGCGGAGGTGACGGTGATGCATTCTGTGACGACGAGCGCGACGGGATCGATCGAGGCGGATATGGCGCGCGTGCGCGGGTGGAATTCTGGCACGCCTTGCAGTGCGGCCTGGATCGAGGAGTCCGGCTGGGTGCTGCCGTCGGCGGCCATGATTGCTGAGCTTCGGCGGTAGGAGAAGGCCGGGGTGGGGTGGTGAAGGGCGGTGGACTGGTCCCGGCTCTTTCACAGCTGTGCAGGGTGGCGAGCTTCAGCTTCCCATCATCGGACGGAGGAGTGTGAGAGTGCGCGGGCGGTGGGCGCGTGGTGGATGCTCAGGTATCTCGCGCTGCTGCGGTCAAAGCTTACCTGCCGCACCGTGGCACGGAAGCGGGCAAAGACCGCCGCGAGTTGACACCTTGCACTGCCAAGCACTCCACATCCAACCACCGAGTCCACTCCACTCGGAACATTTGCCGTGCGCACGGTTCTGGCTTTGGTTGATCGGTTTGAGCGTTACTAGATATCCTCCAAATGCGCCGCCGCTGGACGCAAGCACAGGTGCCCTCCGAATTCTTGAACTCTATTTTATGTACAACCCCATGTTCCATAAACGCCGGCAGCCATCGTCAAATCACACGTAGAACAACCGTCACGCATATGCAGTCTTCCCCGTCCCCAAATTTCTCTCAGAAACTCCTGTTGTGCCCATTGCATGCCCCAGACTGGCCACTCAAGTGCTTTCATCGCTGCGCTTCAAGGCCCCAAGAAGATAAAATAGTGCATGTCAAATGTGCGGAAACAGAATTACAAAGTTTTCAACCGTATATGAAGCTAATTTCCCGAGACTCTACTCGAGTGGATCTTTAATCTGCTTGGCAGTATTCTTGCCGTCATCTTTCACGCTGAATTTGATGTCAGTGCCACGTCCATCGCGCCTTTGGTGAGTTGGGAAAGCTTACAGAGGAGCGTCTGCTTTCTTCTCTCCCGTGACTTGGTTCCTGTCCGTCGTCTCTCCCGCCTCTTCTTTCTCAGCTGCCAGTTTTGCGTGTGCGGCTTTCGCTCGCTCGACGGCATCCTGATTCTTCTTCGCCTGTTCCTCTTTGACATGTTCAGCCTTGGCTTTGGACACATCCGCGTGATCCTTGTTCGAAGTCTGATCCTTCGAGGAGCTGTCTTTGGCAAGAGTATCCTCAGACGAACTGTCGGCTGCCGAGCTATCCTTTGCAGAGCTGTCCTTTGCCGCACCACCCTTTGTAGAATCGTCCTTCGAGGTTTGAGCCGTAGAGTCCTTCTGGTCGGAGTTGTCGTTCTTGCCCTGCTTTTCATTTTCCATATACTCCTCCTTGGCTATCTTCCGGATGTCGGCCTTGTCTTTTCTCCATTGATCAGCTGGGACCTCGAAGGTATCTTTCAATTTCTTCAGGCGGTCCTCCTTGTCCTGCTCTTCCTTCGCTTTTGAGAGCCTCTCCTGTTCCATTTCCTCCATGTGTCGAATGTCGTCAACACTCGGCTCATACAAGTGCCAAATGGTGTAGTGAGGAAGTCCAACAACCGAGTACTTCATTCTCTTTGCCATCTGCGATATAATCAGCGCGGCCCAGCCAAATCTGAGCGGGAAGACGTACTTTGCCAAAGCCCTCGGTTTCCGCGTGCTTCTCGAAGCTGAAGGCTGGGAAATGCACACCAGAACGAAAGACCTTAGCCTTAGCCAAGATACTAACACCGCCAACACCGTCAATTTCCATTTCCATATCAGGATCTCCGTAAGGATCGCGCAAGTAGGCCAAATGGGGACGCCACGTCGCATATTCTGCGTAGCCTTCGACAATGACCGCGTCTTCGTCGAGGGTATCAGCGAGAGCAAGAGCGGTTTCAGATTCTTGCCAAGAGTTCAGGTCGTAGGGCTGCTCTCCGCCGAGCCAATCTGGAAGAGGTCGCCACACGTCTGTTGCGAATTAGCCGGATCCAAGAGTGTATGATGACCACCAACATACTCGGTACGATAATGTCCTTGTTGTGGCGCATGAGGTCCTCCAGGATTGTGAACGGCGCGGTCTCCACGTCCACGTCGCGCCAGTAGACCCAGCTGTGCGTAGGCCGCAAAGCTGCGCTCAACAACCAATTACGCGCTTGAGCCATGGACTTTCTCCGGCCGGCCTGCGCTGCAAAGCCGTGTCTGCTCTCCACGTCCTGGTTGACCTTTTGACCAAAGTCCTTCTCCATGATCGAGATCTCTCCGAATTGTTGCGTGGGGTCCTCGTTTGCTTGCAGTTCCTCCAGTAGCCCAGAAAGCAGCTCGAGTGTTTCATCCTTCGAATCACCAACCAAGAACGCCAAATCGATGAAGTTGTGCGGATACGTCAAGTTCCGTAGATGACCGAAGAACATGGGCAAATGCGGCGCGGCATCTCTCAGCGGAGCGCAGAGCAGGATGCGTTCCTCTCTTTCCCAGCCACGCGCCGTACCTTGTACATTGTTGAGGTCGTAGTAGCGAACGGTCTCGAGCTGGAAATCGGGTGCGGAGGAGAACAGGCCGAGCGTCAGGACAGGTCCGACGGCTGTCCTGAAGCCTGAAGAAAAAAGGAAGAGCGAACCAACGATGACGGCGGCGAGAATGCCTATTCTCACGAACAATTGCCGACGTCTTCGCTGCGCGGGTGTTGAGCGCGGCTGAAACCTACAGGAACGTCAAGTCAGCATCACGGCGTCGATTTTCGCTGGAGGCAGATGCGCACTTGTGAGGCTCGATATGAAAGGTCTGCTGCCCGCCCGTGCTGTAGCCAGCGTATCCGTTGGCGTAGCCGTGGCGGTGCATCGTTTTGCCATGAAGAGGTAGCATCAAGACGACGGAGGTCTCCAACTGCCCGCCCTGCGGCTCAGGAGGTAGGATTCGGAGGGCCAGCCACCTCCAAAACTGTAGACGCTCGGGGCGCAATTGCGGGCTCTGGGGAAGCTAGGTCGAGGCGAAGCGATCGCCAGGCGGTCGGGTGGATTGTGGGTGAGGTCGTGGCGGAGGAGCTGCGGGCGAAGATGCGTCTCCACGGGCTCGACCTACGGCCAAGGTGGCTCGTTAGAGGCAGATCAGCAGGGATTCCGTTTAGCTCGATGCCGTCCCGTTGCCGTCCCCTGCCGTTAGGCTTAACGTCACAGCCCAGAGCGATGATCGGTGCAGAGTCTCCGGCGCAGAGAACAATTGCCGCGAGGTGTCCTAAAGCGACGCAGGAAAGCGCCCCTTGGCTGAAGACGGCTGACAAGTCCGCCGTTGCAGCAACGACGCGATACGAGATGCAGATGATCCTGCGCCATTTTGCGGCAGCCGCCAGGGCGATGTGCACCAACCGAACGTTTGCAAGTCTGCGGCCGATACCGATTGCGAAGGCTAGCTGAATCATGTATTATGCCCTGACTGGTTCTGGCACTAAAACAATGAGCGAAATGACACTGGCGCCCCTAAACGTGTGTAGCTAGCTATTCTGCAATTCTGCCGCCCGAGGCCCCGGCGTCAGCATACCGCCCTGCGCCAAACGCCTTGCAGCCAAACCATCCACCATGCAAAGAAACCCCCTTCTGTGGCTCCTATAAAATTCTCACATGTTCACAAAGCAAATGTCTCCTTAACTCGTAACCTTCTCATGTCTCGACGAAACGCGAGCCCAGTAGCTCGTCGATGTGAGCGCGCTGCGCCTTTGTGTTGTCCTTGCCCTCCTTCAGCAGCACCGCCAGAACCTCGATGGGAGGACTCAAACCGAGGCGGTGAGCGCGCTTCCAGCGTTTGATGCGTGCATTGCCAATGCATGGCTGCTTCGTGTCAGCAGAGCTCTTCAGACAAGGGCTGTTTCGTGGTCGCACTCACCCCATACTGCCCGCTTGTATCGAATTCCCGCAGCACCTTCTCGTAGAGACCGACGTCTTGCTGGTGTACCCGTGCCACCTTCCTTACACGCTCCTTCTCCTTCCAGTACTTCTTGATCTGCGTCTCCGTGACGCGGCTCGCTTCCTTCTCTTCGAGCGAAAGCTCTGCCTTTGCGGCTTCCTTCTGCGATTGCTGAACGATGGCAAGTTCTGACGTAGTGGGCTCGGTGAGATCAGGGTCCGCCTCGGCTTTCAGGTTCGTCTCGGTGATCGATTCCGACAGGATCGGGTCTTGCTTTGACTTATTTGTCGCCTTTGCCTTGCCCACGGGCGAGCCTCGGGGCTTCGTCACTCGGTTAGAGGTACCATGAAAGGCGAGTGTTGCCTGCCTGGGCTGCGGGCCGGATGCGTGACGCTTGGGAGGCATTGCGGCGGAGGTGGTGTCAGTGTGATGGAATCAGGGTCTTTACGATTGGTTCAGCAGAAGATAGAAATACGTGATGTGATGCCAGGATGTGAGTGGGGATGGCGTCGAAGGACCTGATGCGTTGCCTATGACGACGATACCAGGTACGGGGCAGTGGCTTGGCGCACGCCGTCGCGCTTCGCGAGATCCCGTGAGTGGCTGCCAACTTCCACCGCTCTCGAGCCAGTCATCTCCACCACCTCTCTCAGCGCACCCGCAAGCACATCATGGCGCTCTCGAATGCGGAGGCGGAAGCCTTGATCCCCCAGTTCAAGCTGGAAAAATTTCTCAACCAAGGTAAAGCCGAGTCGGTCGTACTTGCACAGTATGATCTTCCCCGAAGCAATTTAATATATACGCGCAGTCGCGAGCGGTGCGGTCATAATATGGTTGGCATTATGCTGCGTCTTTACGCCCGGGTCATCGCTTCGACCGCCCCACGACTGCGCGTGCGGCTATCAAATTGTTCACCCCACCATCCACGTATCCTCTTCCTGTAGCATGCGCTCATTTGTTCCTCGTGAGCAGACCAAGCTGGTCGTCGCCTTGTGCTTCTAGGCTCCATTCAGGATAAGCCAGCGCTTCTCGTCGCTGAACGTGCAGCCTTCTCCGTTGAGCCGGCCCATTTGCAGAGCTTCACGTCGTCGTTAGCGAACATAAAAAATCTCGGAGCCAATGACATCTACTTTTGGTTCCTTGCAGCCACTGCGGCCGACTCCCAGAATTCCACCCAGCCACCAGACCTCAAGATCAATCTGATCTGGCCTTGCAACGAGAAACACATCAAGAAGTACTCGCAGCAAGGGATCCGCATGGTGACCGAAACGCCGGAAATCTACAGGGATCATGTGCGTCCTTACATGCAAAAGCAGCGGGAAGAGGGAAGGCTCAACTGGGTTTTCAACATCATCGAAGGACGCACTGAACAGGAGGATGTCTTTTTCCGCGAGCACGGAGAAGAGGGGTTCCTCGTGTTGCCGGACCTGTGAGCATTCCTGACCGGCGCGATCGTCTAGTGTGGTGTGCTGACTCCACCTCCTTTCCTGCAGCAACTGGGACCGCAAGACCATGACCAGTCTCCACCTGCTTGGACTCGTGGAGCGCCGCGACATTTGGTCGGTGAGAGACCTCAAGAAGGCGCACATTACATGGCTCAAGCACATGCGCGCAAAGTTTCTGGAGGCGACGGTGAAACTGTACCCCGAGCTTGAGAAGGACCAGCTCAAGCTCTACGTCCACTGTAAGTTGCGCAGGACGTCACACGCTCATCTCCGCTTCTGACGATCGCAGATCAACCAACCTACTATCACTTCCATGTGCATATAGTGCACGTGGCTCTCGAGGCCGGCGCAACTCAGGCCACAGGAAAGGCCTTGGGCTTGGAAAACATCATCAGCCAGCTCGAGCACATGGCTGGCCCGGAGGACACGGCGGGCATGACCGACGTGTCTTTGACCTACACCGTGGGCGAAGCTAGCGAGCTGTGGACCGAGATCTTCCAGCCATTGAGAGGTAGCGGAAGCTCGTAACCAATACGGGGATAGACATGAGCCCGCTCTCGCCATTCCGAACAGTCGGGGGGCGTCTGGTTGTTTGGCGTTGAATCCCCATGCCGCCACCTCAAACAGCCGAATGAAACAGAAAGTAGGTGCCGCTATAGTTAAAGATAGGAGAGCTGCCGGGAGGTCTCCGGTTGGTCAAGCGACATCATGCAGCCAGGCGTCCCAGACAAAGGGCCGGAGGACTCGTTTGTAGAGGGATAGACTCAGAAAGGGACCCGTTCGTATACCCCGAAGCGGCAGGATCAGCGAGGCGCTCGCCAGCGAACTTTGCACGATGTGCGCAGTGCATTATTAGATCTTGCATAAATCTCCGCCGCGCCGCCAATCACAAATAGTTTTGCCCTGGCAGGCAGGCTTGTCTGGCGCCGCGGCGGGCACGACCTTAAGCGCGCTTGGCGGATTGGTGGCGGGCTCGACGCCATTCGTGCAGCAGAGGGTCGACACAGCCGCGGCCGGCTTGCAGGTCGCGCGGTCGCGTCAGCGGCGGGGCTGCCTGAAGAAACCAGCCCGCGACTGCCAGTTGACGAAGCAACACATAGAGCTGCCCAGACGCGGTGTGAAACTGGGAAGGCGTTTCAAAATCCTTGGCTCATTAGGGGCGAAATTTCGGCTCGCGTTGGCAGGCGCTTGGGGTCGCAGGGCTCGTGGGTCAAAGCGCCCCCGGTCACTAGCCGATATCTCGACCGCCGCCCTCTTCCAATCGCGCGATTCTTCGACCATAAACTTGCTTGCGGCTCCTCTTGGTGCGCTTTCACTCCTTCATCGGCTTTGCCTCACACTCTTTCGGTCTCTGTACCTTCCGCTCATTACCGCGCCTCCAAGAGCCTTGGCCTCTGGACGCAATAAACTACTACGCCCACACGAAGTCTCACGGAACAAACTAGCAGCACCGCTTATCTTAGCCGACGCCGCTTCACGACACCATGCTTACCAAGTACCTTCTGCCGGCGCTCTTCGCGGGCTCCGCCGTCGCCGTCAACAACATCGAGATCAGCGGCCAAGATTTCGTCGACTCCAAGACCAACAAGCGCTTCTACGTTATCGGCGTTGAGTACGTCCCTGGTGGCCTTGATTTTCAGGAGCGCACAAGCTAATTGATGCACAGCTACCAGCCCGGTGGCCAGGCCGGCTACAATGAGGCCTCCGGCGAGGACCCCTTGACCGACGCCGATGCTTGCTTGCGTGATGCTGCTATTATGCAGCAGCTGGGTGTAAGTTCGGTTCCAATCGCATTCCTGGCGCTGCTCCACGTGCTGACCCTTGCTCCCAGATCAACACCATCCGTGTCTACAACGTCGATCCCGATGGAGACCACGACCAGTGCGCCAGCATCTTCAACTACGTCGGTATCTACATGATGCTTGACGTCAACTCTCCTCTGGCCGGCGAGAGCATCGACCGCTCCCAGCCCAGCAACTCGTACAATGCCGACTACCTGGAGCGTATCTTCAAGATGGTTGAGGCCTTCAAGGGCTACCCCAACACCCTTGCCTTCTTCGGCGCCAACGAGCTCATCAACGACGTTGACTCGTCTGAGAAGAACCCGCCCTACATTCGCGTAAGTCGTTTTGCTCGTAATTGGTGTAAACGACTATAGCTAACAACCATTATAGGCTGTCCAGCGTGACCTGAAGGAGTACATCAAGAACAACGCCGACCGCACCATCCCTGTCGGCTACTCCGCTGCCCAGGTCCAGGACGTTCTTCAGGACACCTGGGAGTACCTCCAGTGCGCCATTGACGGCGATGAGAATGACATGTCTCGCTCTGACTTCTTTGGTCTGAACTCGTACTCTTGGTGCGGTGGTGATGCTACCTTCCAGTCCTCTGGTTACAGCGACCTGGTCGACATGTTCAAGAACAGCAGCATTCCCGTCTTCTTCTCCGAGTACGGCTGCAACGAGGTCCAGCCCCGTGTCTTCGACGAGGTCCAGGCTCTGTACGGCGAGAAGATGACCTCCCTCTCCGGCGGTCTCGTCTACGAGTACACCCAGGAGGAGGCCGACTACGGTCTCGTTGTCATCAACGACAACGATACTATCACCCTGAGGACCGACTTCGACAACCTCCAGAAGCAGTTCAACAAGCTTGACATCTCCTTGATCCAGTCCCAGAACGAGACCGGCACCTCGATCACTCCTCCCAAGTGCGCTAAGAGCCTCATCTCCGACGACACGTTCGGCGCCGACTGGGACATCCCCTCGACCCCCTCCAAGGCTGCCAGCTGGATCAAGAACGGTCTCGACAACCCCAACCAGGGCAAGATTGTTGACGTTAAGGCCACGGCTGTTCCTGTCGCCATCTACGGCACCGACGGCAGCGAGATCAGCAACCTCAAGATCACCAAGGTCGCTGATGGCGAGAGCAACACCCCTAGCGGCAGCGAGCTCAGCTCGGGCTCCACCACCAGTGGCAGCAACTCTTCTTCCACCAGCTCGGGCTCCTCGTCCAGCAGCACCGCTGAGGGCGCTGCCGGCAAGGTCGGCGTCAAGAGCACCAGCGCTCTCGTCTTCGCTGCTGTTCTTGCTATCATGCTCTGCTAGACCATGGATGCATAGTGTTTACAAGCTTATGATGTGTTCCATGACGAGTTTTCCGTTTTTCTTCGGCTCTGGGGCTTTCTAGTTAATCGGATGCGTTTCCAAGGCTCCTTTTTGTTCACTTCACCGGCATAGCAAGTTTTCTCCCACTGCAGGTCGGCGGCTAGCTATGGGTATTTAAGAGCATGTATAGATGATGGGGTTTTTAATCAAAAATAGACTTGATTGCTTCGGCACAATGCTTTTCCAATTCTTGTGACCATCCCTAAATCTGAAATGAGGCCCACCCATGTGCCTATGCTTCAGGCAAGTCTTCGAACTCAACCTTATTCTAACTTTGAATGGGTTGCAAATTGATTCTGTCAGAACTGAGTTTCTGCGGCTTTCTCGGACTTAAGAGGTCCCCGCACGCACCGCAATGACGCGATGCGGGGCGGGGCTTTTCCGCGTAGCTACGAGCTCTCTGACCCCCCCATTTTATAATGTTTGATTGATAAGCCAAGCTCTGGCACGATCAGACGACTCACACTCTCTGTCACTGTAGTCAATGTCTTTCAGAGCATTCCCACGCATCGCATTGGCAGCTTCATCTCCTCGCCTTGCCTCTACTCCGCTCGTACGCAACAGACTCTCCGCCATCACCTCGCACCTCAGAGCTCCCCTCGCAAACTCGCAACCCACAGTCACCGCAAGAACAATGGCTTCCGCAAGCATTCCGACGACCATGAAGGGTGTCATCATCGAGAAGACGGGCGGAACAGATGTTCTGCAATACAAGACGGACTTGCCCGTCCCGCAGCCCAAGGCCGGCGAGGTGCTGGTGAAGAACGACTTCATTGGCATCAACTACATAGATACGTGAGTACTTCATGAGGCTCTCAATGCTATCTCCCTGCCATTGAAGCCTGCAACGGCACAAAAAAAAAACGTCCGAACAAGCCGGCTGACCTGCTGCTCCCTTGATCCAGCTACTTCCGCACCGGCCTCTACCCCGCCCCCTCGCTCCCCTACATCCTCGGCCGCGAAGCCTCGGGCACCATCGTCGCCACGGGCTCGGGCGGCGACCTGTTCGGGCTGGCGGCGGGCGACCGCGTCGTGTGGATGGCGACGGGCGCGTACGCCGAGTACACGGCGGTGCCGACGGCGCACACGACCAAGGTGCCGGCGGGCGTGGCAGCGGACGTGGCGGCGGCGGCGCTGCTGCAGGGGCTGACGGCGCTGACGCTGATCCGCGAGGCGCACCCGGTCAAGAAGGGCGACTGGGTGCTGGTGCACGCCGCGGCCGGCGGAGTCGGGCTCTGGCTGTGCCAGCTGCTGCGCGCTGTTGGTGCGCGCACTATCGGTACGGCTAGCAGCGCGGAGAAGATTGATCTTGCGCGCAAGAACGGCGCGGAGGTGCTGATCAACTACTCGAACGAGGACGTCGTCGCGAAGGTGAAGGAGGTGACGGGCGGCGCTGGCGTTGTCGCCGCGTTCGATGGCGTGGGCAAGGCGACGTTTGATATCAGCATGGAGAGCTTGGCCAGGAAGGGGAGCATGGTCAGCTTCGGCAATGCGAGCGGTGCGGTGCCGCCGGTGACGATTGCGTATGTGTTTTCTTCTTGACACAGCTTGATGAGAGCGATTGCTAACTGTTGTATGCCATTACAGACGTCTCTCTGCAAAGAACGCAAAGCTCCTTCGCCCCACGCTGTTCGGCTACCTCGCTACTCGCGAGGAGTTCGACCGCTACACCGCTGAGCTTTTCGAGTTTATTGAGAAGCACAACATCGACGTGCGCATCCACGGGGTATACCCGTTGGCAGAGGTTGCAAGGGCACACCAGGATCTGGAGGGAAGGAAGACGACCGGAAAGCTGCTTCTGAAGCCGTAAATTGGGCAAGCAAAAATGAGAGACGGATACATAAGATCAACATGAGAAGTCAGAGCAATTTTGAATGAGTGAGACGAATTGGGAGTGGGTTGCTATATCTAGCATCCAGATAATATCACTGTCTTCGGCTCAAAGCGTCAAAATACTTCTTAAGAAACCGTGAAAGTAGCACGCAGTTCAGATCAACATGTTTCGTACGCGTATCTGCTAATTCTGGTAATAACTTTCATCTCCAATCAAGCATCTACCCCCAGAGCCCGACACTCCTCGACCAAAACTCTCATCTCCTCATCCCCTGCGCGTGCTCTACGCTCGAACTCTGGCATGTTCTCCTTCATCCACGCGGCATCATTGCCAGCCTCGGGGAGCATGAATCCTTTCTCCTCGCCGGCAATGATGGTGCCGTGGACGAAGATAGTGTCGAGAGACGGGCCTGACAAATTTTGCTCCCATGCCTGACGGAGCTGCCGGCACAGGTCGTCGTACATGCTGCGCGGCCGAGAAGAGCCTGGCCTGACGTGCGCGTGGATGGCATTGACGCGGGCCTGTGGATAGTGTTATTGATGACACTTTTAGGCCCTCTTCCACCACTTCTTCGATGTATTGTTGGCGATTATATGGCGGATGTTTGGATAATTGCAACAAAGAGGTTGAGAAAGCCAGAGCTCGTTCTATGGGGAAGCAGTTCTCCATTCCATTTCTCCTTTTTTTTAAGAAAAAAAAAAAGACACTGATGTTTGGAACACTGATATTCATACACAGATTCTACAAACGATACATATTTAGGACAGAGAAGTCTGTCTAAACCATTTCCTCACGTAATGACTGGAAATTTGCTTACGGGTTTGCCGCCCACGTAGTATGAAGCATCTGAAGCGTCCTCAAACTTGACGTTGACGAAGAGAGATGGAGTAGTGAAGACAGTCGTGTGGATTTTCGTGACGGCAGCGGCAAGCCCGTCCCGCTGTGTGGGGCTGATGGGGTCCTTGTGGGAGATGATGTAAAGCGGCATTGCGAGGTGTGTGTAAAGCTTGCGCTAAAATTGTAGTTGAGTTAGGAATTGCTTAGGTGGGATCGCAGTAGCGAGGTGCCGGAACGCTATTATTTTATGAAGCCTCGGATTGTTAACCACGATGCTCTAGTAAGACAGCTTACCATGTTTACTACTGTTTACTGATATCTGGGGAAGTTGCTTACGGATGCTCGGGGAAGAGGAGGGGTTCTGGTTGGTGACGTCGATCTTCCGCTGTGGCGTGAGGGGGTGGGGCCCGTTTTCGGGCAAGAGGATCTCCGGCCTCATGACCAAGTGTCTTCCCGCCGTTAGCGAACCAACAAGTGATGCGTACACCGTGGATAAAGTCTGGGATGTTGCATGCGTTCCTGAAGGAGTGAATTCCATATATACATGACCGTTGTGTGACGCTGGTAGTGACAGCCGTACAATAAACTCCATAACGCCGACGCATACGCAGCCCTTTCGTGTACAATAACCTCGGCTGCTGCATTTGGCTGAAGACAGAGTTCCGTTCCCCTCAATCTTGGCTCTGTCTTTGCTAGAGTTGTTCGATCTCAGATTTCGTGCGAGGTCGCTTTGTAACACCCGCTGCAGCGGGATGCCGACAAAAGGACAGTCCAGATCAAGACCAAGGCGTAAACGATTAGAGGTATCGGATGGATACGCCTGGATCAAGAGTAAAACATTCTACTGCCGCAGGGGAGGGCATTGATGGCCATTTGCGTGTTTAGATACCACCGCCTGTGGCGAGCTGTTAGCCGATGGAACCTAGGGACTTCGGGATGCGGAGCTTACCAGAACGGTGCGTCTCGACACGGTAGTCGCCGGCCGGTCTCTGACGAGTATTCGGGTTGGTATTCTTGAGTAGCAGGTATGAAGCGCTCAGTCCAACAAAGGTGAGGCCGAAAGCGCGGCGACTGTACGATCACCCCATGTCAGTCGAGCTCCAGGAGCATCTAAAATGCGGGGAAGAGCTAGCAGAAATAACGTACGTGAAGAGTGCGTTGAGACCCATGTTGTAGGATTCTTAGACGTCAATTGGGGAGGGAGAAATCAGTCAGAGGACCAGAGGTTCGGAAGCAGCGGTGTGGAGAAGGTTGTTGAGGTGTTGGCGCGATGCCTGTGGCACGCGACAGGCATTGAAAGGCCCGGCCACTCGAACCGCGGCTAACCCTATGACGAAAGCTTAACGTTATCGATACCGGCACTATTTCGGCGGCCTTCAGAAAAATCCACGGCCGCCCGAGGCGCGACGCGCAGCTACGCTTCTCTACTCCAATTTGCGCCGTTGCTCGAGCGCACGCGATATTTCTTCAGCCCACGCTGGTTACTGTCCTGCAATCGCCGCAGCAGCTAATACTAGCTCCACCATGGCTCCTTCAAAGCAAAAGGCCCCCAAGGGCAGCGCCTCGAAACCAAAGTCTAAGTCTGGCGCCATCATCTGTAAGTTTTTTTGCGCGCAGCAATGCGATCTTGTGCTCCAATATGCAATCAGACGCGGACAAATTGGCTGACTCCAATTTCCTATAGCCGACCCTCGTTTCTCCAATATCCACTCCGACCCCCGATTCCGCCTGCCGTCGAAGAAAAGCACTCATGTCACCGTCGACAAGCGTTTCGCGCATATGCTGAAGGATGACGATTTCACACGCAAAGCCTCCGTAGACCGGTATGGCCGCAAGATCACCAAGGATGCTGGTAAAAAGGAGCTTGAACGGATGTACCGGGTCGAGGACGAGGATGAAGACGAAGAGGACGAAGAGAAGGCCGAGGAGGAACAAAGTTCGGACGACGCCGATGACGATGACGATGTCCAGAAGGAGTTGGCCAGGATGGACAGAAAATATGACCCTGCCCGAGAGGGCGGCTTTTCCTCTTCGGAAGACGACAGTGATGAGGAGGATGAAGAAGAAGAGTTGGAGGTTCAGGAAGAGGACGCGTTCGAATTTCCCACTGGCGGAAAGGAGGCAGAAGTCGAGGAGATGGAAGACGCGACACCACGGCTGGCGGTTGTGAACCTGGATTGGGATAACGTACGAGCCGCAGATCTCATGGCTGTCGCAAACAGCTTCACGCCTGAAGGAGGCCGCATACTCAACGTTACTGTCTACCCCAGCGAATTTGGCCGCGAGCGTATGGAACGGGAAGAATTGGAGGGACCGCCGCGAGAAATCTTTTCCAAGAACAAGAAGGACGACTCCAAATTGTCTGAAGAGGACTCTGAAGAGGACTCAGATGATGAGGAAGAGAAGATCAAGAACGAGCTGCTGCAGGAGGACCAGGGTGAGGAGTTTGATTCCAAGGCGCTCCGTCAATATCAGCTGGAGCGTCTGCGGTATTACTATGCAGTCATCACCACCGACTCTGCTGCGACGGCACGGCACCTCTATGAGAACATGGACGGACGCGAGTACCTATCCAGCGCCAACTTCTTCGATCTACGCTTCGTGCCGGATGAGGTATCCTTCGACGAGGACAAGCCGCGTGATGAATGCAAGCGCATCCCCGACGGCTACCGACCCAACGACTTTGTCACCGACGCCCTCACTCATTCGCGCGTCAAGCTGACCTGGGACGCTGATGACAACCGCCGCAAGGAGATCCAGAAGCGTGCTTTCAGCCAAAAGGAGATTGACGAAAACGATCTGCAAGCATACATCGGCTCAGACAGCTCCTCAGACGAAGACTCCGGCTCCGAAGGCGATTCGGAGGCCGAGGTCGCAGCCGCCACCGACAAGGACGCGAAGAAGCGTGTTCGCGAAGAGAAAGCCGCGAAGCTGCGCGCCGCGCTCGGCCTGGACAGCGGCGTCTCGAGCTCCAAGAAGTCCCGCGAGGCGGACAAGCCCGTCGGCGACATGCAAATCACGTTCACCTCCGGGCTCTCGTCCTCCAAGGACGACAAGAAAGCCGTCTTCGAGAACGAGCCGGAGGAGTCGACCAAGGAGAAGTACATCCGTAAGGAACGCGAGCGCAAGCAACGCCGCAAGGAACGCGCGAAGGCGCGCCGCATGGGACTCAACCCAGACGACCCGGAGGCGCTCGCCAAGGTACGCGCCGAAGAACAAGGCGAGGCGGCCGCGGACTCGTCAGATGGAGAAGTCGCGAAGGCGCAAGACGACAACAACGACGACGACGATCCTTTCAACGACCCCTTCTTCGAGAACCCCGAGGAAGAGCGCAAGCGCGCCTTCAAGGAGGCAAAGAAGGCTGAAAAGCAGCGCCGGCGTGACGAACGTGAGGCCCAGGCGGCCAAGAGCGCGGCCGAGCGCGCGGAGCTCGAGCTACTCATGGCCGAGGACGAGGGCAACTCGCACCTGCGCCACTTCGACATCAACGAGATCGAGAAGGCGGAGAAGAAGAAAGGCAAGAAGGGAAAGCGAGGCAAGAAGGGCAAGAAGGGCGGAGATGCGGAGGAGGGCGAAGAGGCCGAGGGCCAGGAGGGCTTCGAGATGGACACCCAGGACCCCCGTTTCAAGGCCCTGTTCGAGAACCACGAGTTCGCCATCGATCCTACCAACCCGCGCTTCAAGGGCACCAAGGGCATGAAGGCGCTGCTGGAGGAGGGAAGGAAGAAGAGGAAGTTGGGCAGGGGCGCCGGCGGCGCGGATGAGCTGGAGGAGGCTGATGTCAGCAGAGGGAAGAGGGCGAGGAAGGGTGAGGATGCGGATGATAATGGTGGTAAACAGCAGGACGATTTGAAGAAGCTGGTCGAGCGGGTCAAGGGAAAGACGAAGAAAGTCAAGGCGTGAGAAAGCGGAAAGTAGAGAAAAATGGCGACGTTTGCATTTGATTGGAGTAAAACTTAGGGACTCGCACAAAAGTTGCGCGGAGTAAATATGTATATTTTTCACCAGAAAGTGGACCTGGACGGGAATCATTAACGATGCTATCCGCGGGGATGGCTCGCTTGGCAGTGTGGTGAGACCGAGGGAGCCAAAGTCTTTCGTCTGGATGATAATTGGGTTGATATATTCATGATACATATACATCCTTGGATGCTTGATATGCCATTTGAGATTGTTCCTCACATCGCAGTACTGCACGCATTGACCTCTTGTTGACCTCCACAACGTGGTTCGTTTGGTGACCCTGAGTGAGTAAAAGGATTCAAGAAAATTCGTGAAGTAAGCGCCTGCTCAGTTGAACTCGAAGAGGTTATTTTGCATCAATCGTGAAGAAAAGAACAGTGGTCTAGAACGACACCTGCGCCTACACTCGTGTCCTCCATCGCCCCTCTACCTCGCCACGTACGTTCATTGTTTTTCATACACTCGCAACATGCGCTAATGGCATAAAGAAAATCCTCACGTGGTCCGTGGACTCAAAAACGGGAAGAAGGGAAAATCTTTCGCGTCAATTGAACTACAGAAGAAGAGGTTTAAAGAAAAGAAGAGGTGTATCTAGAAGTTCATGAGGTCTGTAGCAAACTGTCAGCTCCGGAAGAAGATATGCGGGAAAGAGGGACATACCTCGTCCAAACAAGGCTCTCTTGGTCCAATCCATGGCGAGCAGGATTCTCGTCCGCAAGCTCACGCTCTGCGCGAAGTAGACGCTACGCCAAAGGTAGACAGCCAGCAGGCCACCAGAGAAGTTGAGGCCGTTTATATCAAAAATGGCGGCGTTACCGATGTACGCAAGCGAGCCGAGATGCCTGTACTCGAACGCCTTGTAGGTTGCTTCGTCAAGGTCACCGTAATCGATTTGGTTCATGCGCATGCCGGGGGCGGCGCGCGCAATGGCGTTGAACTTGCGCGCCAGGTACTGGCCCTGCTGATGGGCGCGCTGGGCCGTGGCCGGGAGCGAGGTCAGCTTCGAGTCAATCTGGCGCAGCAGCTCGTGCAGCTCGCCGAAGTCGAGAGTGCCGCTCTTGTCCTTGTCGTACTGCTCGAACAGCTTGTCGAGACGGCGCAGATGGTCTGCCGATTGCGGGAAGCGTGCCCTCACGCGCTTGGCGACCAGCCGCCAGTCCGAGTAAGAGATGTGCATGTCCTCCGGGTTCTTGCCCTTCTCCCAAGCAAGCGTACGCAGGAAGGTTACGATGTGGTCAGACACGTTGTTCTGCACGGTAGAGCAGTCGCCGATAGCGTAGACATCGCCTAGGGGTGCTCCTACAACACGGCAGTGGGCGTCGGTCTCCAGAGCGTGTCTGTTGTTTTGTCCGTCGAGCTTCTTGGCCAGTCTTGCACAGAAATCGGTTTGTGCTGTAGCGATTAGCTATAAGTTGCTAACAAAAGGCGTAGCGGCAAAACAGTCTTACCCACACCAGTTGACCACAGGCAGAAGCCCATGGGCAGTTCCTTGACGATAACCTTTCCCTTCTCGTCCTTCTGCGTAAAGAGAATCTTGTCTTCGCGGACCTCCTTCACTCTGGAGTTTGTAAGAACATCGACTTGGTCGTGGGCAAAGCGGGCCTGGGGAAAAGTCAGTGCCAGATGGTTGAGCGTGAGTAATCTCCAGAACAAACCTCAGCGTATCTCGAAAGAGCCTCGTCGTACGTGTTAAGAATGTGTCCTCTGCTCTGGATTACGTGCACTGAAATCTCTGATCGAAGAATTTTGGGGAAAAATTTGGTCAAATCCTCGTTGAGCATGTCGTAAAGCTCGGCTGCGAATTCGACACCAGTAGGTCCGCCTCCGCACACAACAAAAGAGAGAAGACGACGACGCTCCTCATCCGTGGTCGTAGGCAGGCACGAGGCTTCCAAGTTCTGAATCACGGAGTTCCGGATCAAGCGTGCATCGGTAATATCCTTGAGAAAATGGCAGTTCTCGAGGCCCTTGACGCCGTGGGCATTGGTTACGGAGCCTGTATTCGTAAGCTGAAGATTTTCACCCGCATTCGCTCTCTGACTTACCAACGCCAATGATCAGCTTGTCGTAGGGCAGGTAATAGTGTTCTTCTTCACCGTGGGGACCGACGCCCGCGACCTCGACCAGCTTTTCCGAGAATTCTACATCAACTGCCTTGCCCTTGAAAAAATGACCGTTCTTGCCCGCTATTATGCGCCGCACCGGTTCGACCAGCGACCTGAGCTCCAGCGTGCCCACGGTGGCGGACGGAAGCATCGGAGTGAAAAGGAAGTAATTGGAGGGCGCAACAACGGTAATGTGGTAGTCGTCAGGATTCAAGCCCTTTAGCAGGGAAATGCTACCCCATCCGGTACCCAGAATTACCAGCTTCGGCTTGTGCTTTTGCTCCTTTTTTTCCGGGCTGTCGTCATCGTCGACCAAATGCTCGGCAATGGGCAGGTTTTTGGGACCTCCTTTCCGGGGAAAGAGGGCAAGCTCGGAAACGTGAATGTCCTCGTTGAAGGGGCCCTCTTTATATGTGGTAGCGTCGTAGATGAAGAAGGTAACCACTATGGTGCCGCCAACAATAATGAAAATACCCAACCAAGCGGCAGTCTTGTAGAGGGCTCTGAGGGCGGCGGGCGTGCGTGGTGGGACATGGTTTGTAGAAATGGGACGACTGAAGAAGTTCGGCACCTTGTTGTTTTTGAGACGCGCCAGGGAGTTCGGGGCCAGCGGTCTTCTCCGCAGGGCGATGGTGGTCGAGGAGGAGGTGGATGAGCACCTGGCGGCGGACAAGCGGGCAGCTGGAGGACGCAGGCTGGTCCTGACGGCGGCAGGCGTCCGCGTGCGCGCGGTGCCGGCGAGTTGCTGCAGGCGCAGCATTGTTGGAGCTACTCGAGACACGCGGTGGTGGCAGGGGCTCGCGAAGGTGAAAGGTGACGAGCAGAGGCCAATTGGCAGGGCAGACTAGCAGAGCGAACGTGCGGGAGTCATGGACGCGTGAGCGAGGAGGAATTGGCGTAAGGATGGCGTTGAGGCCGCTCGAGATGCGAAAGAGTCGAGTGCCAGCTAGCTCTGTAGTGTGTGACGTACAGGCCGCGCATTGACGCTCCCGACTCGGCCGATCCGCCCGCGCCGGCGCCGACAGGAGCATTCACGCTGCAACCTCCGCCTATCGTCCCGCTATCGGAATGCGTTCTGAGCCGTTACTGGCCTCGCCCGCCTGGTCTCGCCCACTGCTCCTGAAAATTTGTTTGATCCTGCTAAATTTTATCAGATTTGGACCCATCTCCTTTCCCCGTTCACCGCAAAGAACCCGTCTCCCTTTATCTAATCTGATCATCTTTGCCCTTTGGGTGCCCACGGCCCCCATCTGACCGGCATTCTGATATACCGAGTCTGGACTTCGGAATCAATCCCCTGGATGATCCAGGCAGCGCTTGTTTTGAGCCGCATTGTGCGCAAGGCAAGCTTTCGCGAGTCATGCTGGCCTGGCCAACGCCTCCTACTTCTGGCCCCGCCAACTGCATCGTATTCCGTTCGCCGAGTTTTTTCCTTTTCTTATATTTCTAGCAAGCTCTATCCTTTACTTATGGTCATGACTCTGATTTCGTACCCTTTTGGTTAGCATAACGTGTATCATGTCTCATAATGCTGGCGTGAAGGTGCAACAATCGTTTGGACCTAAATGTCAACTACCATCAAATATTTCTATAAGTGCCATTATTCCAACGCTGTAGGTCTAACAACCCTTCGTCGCGTGACCCATGCGGGCCTTTTGATTTTTCTGCTTCTCAAAGTACCGTTGTGGATCAGCTTCGGAGCGGTACCCACGGTACCACAACTCGCTATCATCATCACTCCACCCGCACCATCCACCACAAAACGGTGTGGAATGAAAATTTAAGATGCCAAAAGTTGAAGAAAAGAGAGAAGAACCTCATGTATAGATAGGTATTTGATGTGACGAAGGAAAAAAAAAAGTGTTCCTCTGGGAGGCAAAACTACACGCTCCCCAGGCGACCCTGGAGCGCGCAGAAACCCCGTCATCAGGTTCTGTCCGTTGAACCCTCAAGGATTTTTTGCGAATGTCATTCCCCTGCGAAGCTAGGGACTTGAACTCGAGAACTTCCGCGAAGTGTCACGAGTATCGCCAGCGCCTACGACTGAGCTATGCCAGCGTAGACGCTGACGATGCTAGGGTAACTGCGGAAGTTAATTATATAGCCCACATGTATTGCTTAGCACCACGACAGGATAGAGAGGAGCAAAGTTTTTGCTACATTGTGCGTGCTCGGCACCTTTCGTTCGTCTGCGTGATTGCTGTAATAGTTATGAGTAAGGCTCATACTCACCCATGATCATGCTAAGGTATTTTCTCAAAGCGGCACCACCGTTCTGCTACTGACCTTGCCGTCACGGTACGCCCAGCCCATGCCCGGTCGCCGATACCAAAGCTCTTCGTGGTGACGTTCAATATGGATAGCCTTTCAGCCCATGGATCAGCTTCAGCTACGGTTTCGGCCATGGGTAAGTTGTCAGTTGCTGTGCCACCTTCACTTTCCCTTCGCTCTGCATCCCCTCCTGCGCCTGCGCCCTCGCCAAAGCCGGAAGTTAGTCTAGCACCAAGCAAGTCCTCCTCTTCGTCCGTCCAAGCGTCCTGTCTTCTCTGGCGAAGATGTAGAGGTACGGGACACTCCGCGATAACCAATCTCTGGTTCCCGAACGCAGCTGCCTCAACAGCAACAGCAAGCGTACGACTCAAGCCTTGGGCAGAAAAAGACGTTGTCTCTTTGTGCAGAGCGATGGGGTTCAGGAGTGCGAGAATGGGGTAACTGATAGTGGGGCCGCCGAATGACGTGCTCGCCCGAGGAGCAGGCTTTGACGCCGGCTCATTAAGAGCTCTGGCCGTCAGGGAGGAGAGATGCGCTCTCAGAGCCTCCAGACTGGCGCAAAAGGTAAGCTGAATTGTCGATGTAGTGAAGAGGTTGTGGAGGGTGGGGATCAGAAGCTCATCCAAGATAGGAAGTGGCGGGGATGGAGGATGCCCCTGGTCGTTTATATTTTGTGCAACATCCCGGGCTGCAGCGTTACGGGCGTCCTCTACGAGGTGGAGAAGCAGCCGCTCGAAATCGGCGCGTGAAGAACAAACGATGAGCGATGTGGGTGTCGCATGGTGGTCGATAATGTGTCGCAGGAACTCCGGCAGAGAAGCCGGGTGCAGGACAGAAGGCCGATGCATGATATCAGCTTGCGTACACTGCGGCAGTCTGGCCTGGCGTTTTTGCTCGTTTAGGATGTCCACGTGTGATGTCGCAGGTTGAACAAGGCCTCCGCCGACTCAGATAGAGCGCGTTCCTATTCGCCGGCGGTAGTTGTGCTGGGCGGAACAGCCGCCCCCTAACCGCATGCCTTTTAACTGGGCTGGAGGGACTCGCGTCAGTTAAGTGTCGTTGTCGTGCGAAGAGCGCGGTGCCTGAGAGATCCTTGATTTTCCTGGGGTGGCTTGCTGCCGGCGCAGGGATTATGTGGGCGCTCATGGAAGGCGGGGCTACGGGCCAGCACTCATTCTCGTCAAGCTGGAGCTCCGACTACTGCGCGCCGACATCAACGAACAACGCCTGCCGTCTGCCTCTGCACAAAACACCCCCACGGCCTGGCCCACCAGCCAAGAGGAGGCTCCCGTCCGCGCCCTCGCATGCCGATGCCAAGATGGAGTCCATGACGAGGATCTCGAGCATGCTGGAGACGGGTACGCCTCTCCGATCAACGCTTCTTTTACCGCCTTCCAAACACCGCTCACACCAGCTTTCCGCCCGACGTAGCCCGCGACCTGACTCTCGAAGCCGCCCGCGATGCCAGCGCCGTCCGCCGAACCTCTACTCGCCCGCTGCCTCCCGACCAGCTCAAGAAGCTCCTCGATTCGCGCCATGACCGCGAGGTGCTGGAGGGCCTGCGGCGCGTCATATCCGTGCGTCATCTTCATACAAGACTCCAAATGAGAGGGAACAAATCGCTGACCATAGGTCTGCTGCGCGACCGTAGATGGCGTACCACAACCAGCACACGTTGCCCTTCTTCTCCGCCGTGATCAAGAACATCGCGTCCCCCAACATCGAAATAAAGAAGCTGGTCTACATCTTCCTTCTACACCATGCCGAGTCCGAGCCCGACACAGCTCTCCTCTCCATCAACACCATCCAGAAGTCTCTCTCCGACTCGAGCCCTCAGGTGCGCGCCCTCGCGCTGCGGGTCATGTCCGGCATCCGCGTGCCCGTTATCAGCCAGATCGTGTCTCTCGGCATCAAGAAGGGCGCCGGCGACATGAGCCCGTACGTGCGCAAGGCCGCCGCTCTCGCCATCCCCAAGTGCTACCGGCTGGATCCCAACACCCTGCCGCAGCTGATCGAGTACCTATCGACGCTCCTAGGCGACAAGCAGTACTACGTCGCCGGCGCCGCCGTGTCGGCCTTCCTCGAGGTGTGCCCGGAGCGGATAGACTTGATTCACCCACACTACAGAGGCCTGATACGGAAGTTGGTGGACATGGATGAATGGGGGCAATTAGCTACACTAAGGCTTATGACTATCTACGCGCGCAAGTGCTTTCCACGGCGGACGCGGAGGGTCAGGAAAAGCAATGGAGGCAGCAAGCCCAAACCCACCAAGGGATTCTACGACGAATCCAGCGACGAGGAGGAGGAAGAGCCCGTGGATCCGTCAGAATTGGAGGAGGTAGTGGTGCTGGATGCAGACCTGGAATTCCTCCTCCGCTCGCTGACGCCGCTCCTTCAATCCCGCAACTCTGCCGTCATTGTCGCCGTTGCACGCTGCTACCTGCACCTGGGCACCTCAACCTACCTAGACGCCGCCGTCGGTCCGCTCGTATCTCTTCTCCGCTCGTCACCGGACGTACAGCTGATCGCGCTGCACAATGCAGTGCGCGTGTGCATGGCGCGACCGGAGGCGTTCGTTCGCTACACCTCGCACCTGCTGCTGCGCAGCACCGATGCGCCCCAAATATGGCGGCTGAAGCTCGAGATGCTTACCTTGATCTTTCCGCATGCGCCGCACCATCTTCAAAGTCTCATCCTCGCGGAACTCGCGCACTTCACCGGCGGCCATGACGCAGGGCTGGTGCGCGAAGCCGTCCGCGCGATAGGACGCTGCGCGCAGCGCACGCAAGATGCCAAAGTCGCGGCACGCTGCATGCGGCTACTCCTGTCCCAAATATCGTCGCCGGACGCCCGCCTGGTCGCAGAAGCGCTGGAGGTGGTCCGACACCTGATTCAGCGCGATCCGGAGGCGCACCGCGGCACCGTAATCAGGCTGGCCAAGAACCTCGACACGGCCGCCAGCCCGGCGGCGCGCGCCAGCATCATCTGGCTGGTCGGCGAGTTCTCAGGCATGGATCCGGCCAACAACATCGCCGCCGACGTGCTGCGCATCCTGGCCAAAGGCTTCGCCAACGAGGCCGAGGAGAGCAAGCTCCAGATCCTGCTGCTGGCCGCCAAGGTGTACCTGCAACACCTGCTGCTCAACCCGCCGCCCGCGCCGGCAGAAAAGCCTGCCGACGACGACCAGCAGCCCGCTACTACACCCCTCGCGCTGCCCGAGGAAGAAGGCGGCTTCCGGGAATACAACGACGCGCTGCCCGCGCAGCCAGAAGAAGACCAAAAACAACAGCAGCAACAATCCCACCCCATCCCGCTCCTCTACAACCACATCCTCCTCCTCACCCGCTACGACACATCGTACGACCTGCGCGACCGCGCCCGCCTCTACCGCACCCTCCTCGCCGTGCCCTCGTCGACCGAGCTCGCCACCCTCCTCCTCCTCGCCCCCAAGCCCGTCCCGCACGCCCCCTCGCCGTCCGAGTCGCGCGCGAGCTACACCCTCGGCTCCGCGAGCCTCGTCATCGGCGACGAGGGCGGCGTCGTCGGCACCGGCCTGCGCGGCGGCGAGGCGCTGCTCCCCGACTGGGTGCGCGAGGGCGAGGAGCCCGATCCGCGGCTCCGCGAGGAGAAGGTCGGCGCGGCGGCCGAGTACAGTGGCGGCTACAGTGGCGAATCCGTCGTGCCGGCCAAGGTCGTGCCTGCGGGCGAGGCGCTGGATCGCGCGGTCAAGGAGACGGGTGGGTTTGGGGTTGGAGGGGGGATTGGGGGAGTGGGGAAGCAGAATGGAGTCAAGGAGAAGACGCTGGACGATTGGCTGGCGGAGGATGAGGATGAAGACGAGGAAAGTGAAGAAGAGGAAAGTGAAGAGGATGACGAGAGCGAGGAAGAGGAAACGGATGAGGAAGAAGATGACGATGAAGAAGGCGAGACGGAAGAAGAGACGGAAAGTGAGGACGAGGGGGAAAGAGGGCGATTGGTGAAATGAGAAAACGACGATGTAATTCATGAAAAGAAAGATCAGAAATGAAATAGGAAATTTTGCGAACACGTACCGTTTCTTCCCCTTTCTCCTCCCGCGCTTCTTTGGTATCTGATGATTGGGAAACGTCCCTTCCCTTCCTCTGGCACCCTTTTGCTCGCAGCACCTCAGATTGCTCGGCTAGCCCCTCCCACTTGACCATTTGACTGATACTTACCCGTCATCGTTCGCGTTACCTTTTCGCCGTTCCGGACGGGGGACCTTGTTGTAACTGTGGAAACAGAAGAGAGGGCTTGACTAATTGAAAGAGAAGTTGTGACTGTAGCATGAAGATTTTGATGAACGAAGACGACTACTGACTGATACGTGCGACGACTTTTCTTGATTCGCTTTTCTGCGCTGACTGCTTTTTGCGACGACAGCTGACGACGTATTGAATTTGAGAAAAGCAGAGTGTATGCGGAATGAGAAAGTAGAGGAAGGGGTGTTCTGCAAGCAGACGTGTAGTGTGTGCAGGGGGAAAGGTTCGTGTGTAAGTGCAAGCAATACGTCATCACCAGTCGTCTTTGAACCCTGAGGAAAGAAGACTCGGAAAAGAGGATAAGGATATTATCTCTAATACGAACCTGACGTAAGAAGGATAAAGAGGATAAGAATATTTTTCAAGAAACGCGGGAGAAGAGAGGGCTTTTGGACAAGGATTCAGACGAAGGAAGAATGGAAAAACTGGATCCAGACGCGGGAAGAATCAAAAAGGACGACGCGTTCCCAAAATCCGTTTGTCTCGTAACTCCTGAAACCATGCAGTTTTGGAGGGGCTTGAAAGATAACCTCTCCCCCCTTGAGAAAGACTTTTTAGCTCTGATAACCGGGTGCGAGGGATGGCCCAGCAATACAAGGCGGCCAAGTAAGTGAAGAACATCAACAAAGATGGTGAGAAGGAAGAAAGGGCCCCAATAAAAATCCCGGATAACGCCAAGGCATCAGATGAAAGGCAGCTCGCGGTTATTCATCACACCCATGAGTCATAATGCTTCCAGCCCGGAAAGCAGAAGATGGCGGATGACGGCGAGGAGTAAAAGTAGAAGATGCGGAAGCGTTCTCATATCCAACAGGAAATAACAACCGCGTTAACTCTTGATTGGAAAAGACAGAATTAGCTAAGGCACAGAGCAAACTTCGAATCAGTGTGAGGATTGACTTACGAAGTCGTTGTCGAGGCTTCCTAGTGTCGTTGTCGAGGCTTCCATATGGCTGGCCCAAACGCCTGCCAGAACATGCGCAAAATTTAACCGATTTAGCTTTTTTGCGTTGCTTTTTGGAAACATTGCCAGCTGACGTGTCAACCGGACTATCGGGATCGACTTTAGAACTATCGTCGACTTTATCAAGTTAACGTCCGCACAAATACCTTTTGATAGGCTATCATTGCATACCCATAAGCAGCAGCAACAACTGGCTGGCGCCTCTTGAAACGTTGCGTGTCATCCGCTTGCCGTTGAGGAGATTCCGTTTCCTCGTAGCTTCGTTTTCTCCCAGCACTACTATCAGCTCTAGTCGGTCTCGACGGCCTTTGCGGAGCTGGGGCATTTGTGGCGGACGTGTCATGGTCCTCCATGTGGAAATCCGACCCAGTGGCAGTATGCTGGCTATTTTCAGACCTGGCTGGGCTTTGACGTCTGTCGCCGTTCTTTGCTGGTGTGTGGTCCGCCCTCCAAGGTTCAAAAGACGGAGATTGTTGGTTCTGTGGGCCATGCGAGCTGTGTCCATTGTTGTCAGTGGATGGACGTTTCGGAAGATGTTCTTCATACGGCCTGAACCCGTCAGCCTTCGCCGGATAGGAAACTTGTAGATAGCTTACCGATCATGATCACTGCCTTTTCGCGCGCTGGGTTTGGGCGGTTTCGGTGGTAGGAAAGTCGGGGTGGGCATCTGAGTGACTGGTTTCGGGGAACCTGTCACGCCCAACGACGCCAGCAATGCTTCCTGGGCATCGTCTCGTGAAGCGGGAGGAGGAGGGGGTGTTGATTGGTCAACGCGAGATTGTTTTCGTGAACCGCCGTCCTCCGCTTGCTCAGATGACAAGGCTTGCTCAAGATTGTCCATAACGTTCCAACTAGCCCCTTGGCGTTGTTTTCTTTCCTGAAGTTCATGGATGTTTGGATAAGGGTTCTCCCCTTCAGGGTCGGGTCGATCTCTATTCGCAAGAACATCCTCCAATGCCACAATGTCCGACGTTTTGGGGAACTCATAGAAGATTGAATCATGCCTTATCAAGTCCCACTCATCGGTTTGCCGAACGTTCAAAAACGCTTCGTGAGCATTTTCAGGACCAAAATATTCAGAAACAGAATCTCCGTTGCCGATCTTGGGAAGAGGGGGCTTTGCTGCTCTCTCTTCGGCTGACACGAAGTCGGATGAAAGCGCACGAGTCGTCTCATTCGCAGGATGCCATATGATGACACCGAGACTGAAATTCGAGTCGACCGGCTCGTTTGCCTTCGGCCAGATGGCACCGTCGAAATCGGTTTGATCCCATTCGTCCAGCCCGAGGTTGATCGTGTACGCCTCGGATTGGTAGAGCTTATGAGACTCTGGAACTTCGGTAGGGGCTATACTTGCGGTGCGAGTGTTTCGACGGGATTTTGAGGGCCGTGAATTTTGGTTTGGAGGCGAACCAAGGTTCAATGGTGGTGCGGTTGTTGTAGGAGAGATGGCCGACTCATGCGGAGGATAGGATCCAGATTGGCTGCTGGGCGGAAAGGTCGGAGACTGCTGAAATCCGTTGGGTGGATAAGCGGTTGATGGACTGGATGCATCAGGTGGTGGCGGTGGAGGTGGCTGTTGATACCCTTGCTGCTGATAGCCTTGAGGTGGAGGGTAACCTGGCGGCGGCTGCCATGGCGGCTGGTAACCTTGGGAGGGTTGCTGGTATCCGGGATAACCTTGCGGGTAGGATTGGGGAGGATAGCCCTGGGGTTGTTGCTGATAGTTGGGCTGGGGATACTGGCCTTGTCCGTAGGGAGGCTGGCCTGAGGGCGGCGGAGGAGGCCGATAGCCCGGAGGCGGAGGATAGCGGGTGATTACGGGGTTACCTTTACGCTTGGGGGGATAGGTGGTCGGAGCACTTCAATATTATCAGTAGGGAGGAGAAAAAATTTGGCGAAATTAAAGAACTGATTGAGAGTGAAAGCATGCGCGAACAGTCGCACAAGTGCCGAAGAATCTCCAGTAGACTCAACAAAAACACTTACCTGGATGACTGGGTGGAGGGCGGGGCGCTCTGTTGGTACGGGGGCTGGGTATACGGGGGCTGGCCGTATGCTTGCTGCTGAGGATAGTGTTGCTGAGCGTATGCCGGAGCTGGCTGATATGCAGGAGCGCCCCCGGACGATGGAGCGCTCCAGGACATGTTGGCAGCGCTCAGAGTAGCTGCGTCGATGATAGGCCCGATTGCTGGGCCGATGGATAAAAACGGCCGCAGGCGAGGTGTAGGAGGGTCGTTGATGCTCGATGGCCTCGGCGATGCGACGTGCGGGCTGATGCAGCGACGGAGAACGCACACGAGGCGAGAGACGAAAATGACGATGGTTTCCAGAGCTACCGCATCGCGGTGCAGGAGGGCGAGCAAAAGAGCGAATTGCAGAGGGCAGGAGAAGCGTGGATCAATGCGGGAGATGAAGAGCAGACTGGGAGGCGAGAGAACGGGAAATCCAAGCAGCGCTCAAGAGGGAAGGAAGTCCAACAGAGCAGGGGTTGTTCGCCGGTATCAATCGGGAATTGACGACAATTGCGCGGCGGCCGTGCGGCGGAAGACATGGAAAGCTGTGCAGCGGGCGGGGGCCGAGGGCGCTTCTCGAAAGAGGCCGAGCGAGCTAAGAGAGCCGCTGGAGATGGTGGCCGTTGAGCGATGGAGGCCGCGCAACGGGAAACTTTGGAGACGGTCACGTGCGCGCGCTGCAACCTTAGCTTACCTGAGCTTAGCCTTGTGTTCTTTTGAGCTGCTGCTTTCACATCAACACGCCCAGCGCCCGCCGCCCCAGCGCGGCCATGCCCTCCTGATACCCCCGCCAGAATGCTTCCGCCGCCCCCGCGAATGCTGCTTCTTCCTGCCTCTTAGTCGCCCGAGCCCGTTCCGCGCGCGCCCTCCTCCGCGCCCTCCATCATGCCAGGCCTCCCGGGTAAGCTCCTGCCTGTCGCCGCGCTCCGACCACCGCCTGCTCCGTCAATGGGCTGACCCCGCCGCGTCGCAGCCACCGTCGACCTCGATGAGTGCATTGCTCGCCTCTACAAAAAAGAACTTCTCGCCGACTCGGTCATCGAGGCAATATGCGCCAAGGCAAAAGAGCTCCTGATGAAGGAGAGCAATGTCGTGCACATTGACGCCCCCGTCACCGTCGTCGGCGACATCCACGGCCAGTTCTTTGACATGATAGAAATATTCAGAATTGGCGGTTTTTGCCCGGACACGAACTACCTCTTCCTTGGTGCGTGCCCCGCTTGGCCGCGACTTCCTGTGCTGACTGTATCCAGGCGACTACGTCGACCGCGGCCTCTTCAGCGTTGAGACCATCTCGCTCCTCGTATGCCTCAAGCTGCGCTACCCGCACCGCGTGCACCTGATCCGCGGCAACCACGAGTCGCGCGGCGTGACGCAGTCGTACGGCTTCTACACCGAGTGCTCGCGCAAGTACGGCAACGCCAACGTGTGGCACTACTTCACCGACATGTTCGACTTCCTGACGCTGTCGGTCGTCATCAACAACCAGATCTTCTGCGTGCACGGCGGCCTGTCGCCCAGCATCCACTCCATCGACCAGATCAAGATCATCGACCGCTTCCGCGAGATCCCCCACGAGGGCCCCATGGCCGACCTCGTCTGGAGCGACCCGGACAGCGAGCGCGACGAGTTCAGCCTCAGCCCCCGCGGCGCCGGCTACACCTTCGGCGCCCAGGTCGTCAAGAAGTTCCTCGAGGTCAACAATATGTCGCATATCCTGCGCGCCCACCAGCTGTGCCAGGAGGGCTACCAGGTCTTGTACGACGACCGCCTCAGCACCGTCTGGAGCGCCCCCAACTACTGCTACCGCTGCGGCAACATGGCCAGCGTGCTCGAGGTCAGCGACACAGGCGAGCGCTTCTTCAACGTCTTCGACGCTGCCCCCGAGAACGATGTGCACAGGGCCGAGCAGCAGCAACAGCAGCAAGGGAAGGAGGTGCAGACCGAGTATTTTTTGTAGTGCGTGTACACAATCGGCAAGAGAAATCATGTTTTGATGGCGTTAAGAATGGCTTCTGGCTGCATGAGATATCACGGAGCATTGAGGGCGCGATACGTTGCAACGCTTTGATGAAAGAACGGGGAAGGATACCACGTATAGTGAATAAGACGCTCTGTCGCTTTTCAATTTTTGAGAGACCGTCATGAAGGCTTCACTCCATTTACGTAAACGGCGCATCGACCGAGGTCGGCAATTCACAAGACCAGGGCGGTCAGTTTTGGTCGGAGAACGAGATACCTGTAAGCAATGTTGCATGGAGATGTAAAGACGTAAGCTTGAAAGCTTATGAATGGGTATATTAATTAATTCCTTGACCTTTGAGGATGATGTAGCGGTTCAAGGACATATAGATGATACAGGGCAATCTACTAGACGCCCATGCCAGCCGAACCCAGTAGTCATCCCAGAAGCCGTTCCCATACCGGACCGAAAAACGCCAGAGTATCAACGCCGTCACCATGGACCAACACCATGCTAGAATCCTTGGGCAAGAGAGACTGTGGGACAAAAGTAGTTCAGTCCCTCATCGCATCCGCTTCGCCATTACCGTTGTTCATTATTTCGTCATCATCATCGTCGGCTGTCTTCTCGGAGTCCAGCCCCAAGCTCAGATTCGCAGGAATATGCTTGCGTGCCTCCTTGGCCTTGTTCTCTGACCACGCACGCAACCTGACGAGCTGTTTGATACGAGCCTCGCGGTTGGCACCTTGGCTGGCCAGAATGGCTTCGTTGACCCTTGTTGCAACCGTTTGCCGAAGTGAGGGATCGAGCAGCTGCGCGAGCGGCGGCGCCAGGTTCTCAGGAGGAAATATCAGAAGCGCCATAGTGCGTTCGAGATCTTCAAGAAATTCCTGGTTCGTTGGAGCACGTGGCGCTAACTCGGACGTTGCGAACGTGAGCGCCGGTGTGATGTCGGCGTTCGGGCTCGACATGCACTTCCGAATCAACTCAATCAGTTGCAGGCGCAGGAGTGCGAAGTGCAGGGCTGCATCGTGATCGAGGATCTGCGTCAGTTAGCAATGTCTTTGACAAGGCTTCATGTATTGTGACGTCAATGTGAATGAGTTGCATGTCATACTGAGGACTGAAGGTTTGTTTATCATCAACACCCGGAGGTGATTATGCGTGGTGCATGATACTTCGATAATCATTGCAAAGGGGGAAAGGTGGTGAGAGGTGTACTGACCTGAGGGTTGAGATCGTTGATCTTGTGGATGGCCGACTCAATGTTCCCCGCATGAATAGCATTCCTGATATCAACGCGCTCCTGTATCGATTGCGGTTCGGCACTGTGTGGGATGTTGGCCTCAAGCGCGAATCGCTTCGCCGCCATGGGATAGCCCTCGCTGACAAGGTAGTCCATGATGACATGGTTGATGTCTCTGCACAGCGCAAGTCAGCATCTGAAGACTCGCCCAGGTCCATAGCAGCGTGCGGAATGAAAGCAGGATCAGAAACAAGTAAATTTAATCTCCACATTGGTTTTCGGAGAGATTCCCAACTTGATATTAACACATCATGGAATTGGCGGGCGGGGTAGGCAGGGTAGGTGGTGCAGGCGCGGCAAAGGCATACGTACGACTTGGAGGGCTTGATCTCGTCGACGCGACGGTGGAAGCTATGAGTAGGTCTCGGCGTAGCCGTCGAGACCACCGTGGAGGAGCTCTGCGCGCGTCAGAAGCCGAACGAGGCCGGTGAGAGCGGGGGGCCGTACATACCATTGTGCTGCAGATAAGAAATCCTCAGTCTATCGCATGTCCATCGGTCATCTCCGCGCTGTCCTGACGCGAAAGACAGCGGCAGTGAGCAGCGAGCGAAGAGGGGTGGTGGAGGTGGGATGAGGTGTTGAGAGAGGAAGAGCGATGGATGTGGGAAGTCGCGAAGGAGAAAAGCCTCTGCCGAGGGCAGTCACGTGCGCGCTCGGCACCGCCCTATTCCCCGGGCTTGGACCACATCCTCGAATCCACCGCGAACATTTTTAGTCATTGCGCAGCCAGGGTGCAGGACCCTATCGCAGCTCGCCTATTTCGTATATCTTCCCTCCTCCACCATGTGCTTTTAGACCGCCTCATCCAACTCCCAAGCCCAACACACAGAATGAGCACCGCCCAGAGGGCCCATTATTCCCCACCATGGGCGAACACCAGCCTCATCGGCGTGGCTGGTAGTTCCGGTTCAGGAAAGACGACTCTCTCCCTGGCGATCATCTCCGCCCTGAACCTGCCATGGGTCGTGATCCTGTCCATGGTGGGCTTAGACTGCACCCCCTCCACCTCGCCCGCCTGCTTACCCGATTGCTCCCCAGGACTCATTCTACAAGCCGTTGACCCCAGAGCAGTCGGCCAAGGCTTTCAGAAACGAATATGACTTCGATGCACCCGAAGCCATCGATTTTGATCTCCTTGTAGAGGTGTTGCGCGACATTAAGCAGGGGTAAGACATGTAGGCCCGCGCTTTTGCTCTTATCTCGGCCGTCCCAAACTCCTCCAGCAAGAGGCAAACTGACGTCCGCAAAGTAAAAAGGTAGAAGTTCCAGTGTATTCCTTCTCCAAGCATAACCGCGAAGAGAAAACAACCACCATTTACTCGCCACACGTCCTCATTCTCGAGGGCATTTTCGGCCTGCACGATCAGCGCGTGTTGGATTTGCTCGACCTAAAGGTTAGTCGCCGCGTGATATCATGTGACAATTTAAATATTGACTTCCACAGATTTTTGCGGACGCCGAGCCCGACCTGTGTCTTTCACGACGACGTAAGCCTCTGTGAACTTCCGATCACGACTCTTCTAACCAGATGCCCGTTAGTTGTGCGCGATGTCAAGAGTCGTGGCCGTGACATCGAGGGCTGTATCAAGCAGTGGTTCTTGTTTGTGAAGCCCAACTTTCACAGATACGTTGCACCTCAGCGAGAGGTTGCAGGTAAGTGCTCATCTAGACACGGCGAATCAAAGTTCGACATCTAACTTGCATAGACCTTATTGTCCCACGTGGTGTTGAGAACAAGGTTGCTATTTCGATGGTTACCGACCGCATTCACAAGATTCTCACGCTGAAGTCGAGGATGCACCAAGCCGAGCTCATGCGTCTGGGTAAGCTCGCAGAGGAAAGTTCTCTGTCATCCAATGTCATTGTTCTTCCAGAGACAAGGCAAAACAGGGCCATTCACACTCTCCTGATCAACCCAAGTCTTGATCGCGAGAACTTCATCTTCTACTTTGATCGCATTGGCGCTCTGCTGATCGAAGAGTCTCTTGTCTGCATGCACTTCGACGTAGTCGATGTCACCACGCCTATGAACACGGTCTACCGAGGCCTAAAGCCCACTGGCGAGACGAGCGCAGTGACGATCCTCCGTGGCGGCAGCGCATTGGAGAGGGCTTTCAGAAGGGTACTTCCTGATTCAAGGAACGGAAGGATCCTCATCCAGACCAACCATCGAACCGGAGAACCAGAATTGCATTACAGGGCGCTCCCGAAGGACATCGAAAAACATGAGCGCGTCCTGCTTATGGACTCGCAAATGTCAAGCGGCGGTGCAGCTCTCATGGCAGTGAAGATCCTGGTTGACCATGGCGTTCCGGAAAAGAATATCGTCTTTGTCACCTATATGGCCGGCAAATTGGGCGTAGGAAGGCTAACACACGTCTTCCCGGATATCCGCGTAGTTGTCGGACGCCTGGTTGATGATTACGAGGAGAGATGGGTCGAGAAGAGGTATTTCGGACATTGAGATCCGAAAGTGGTGTATTAAAATGCCATACCGGTGAGTACATGATGTATAAAGAACACAAAAAAACATGTAAACATTCACGATAGCACGGCGTCAGTTTTGTCACACCATTTCTGTGGAGAGTTGGGGCAACCATGTGAATACGAATTTCGAATTTCATTTACATCATTTCACACATGAGGCTTCACAGCCTCGCAGATACCTTGGTTCCTTGATTCTCAGCTTTACGCATTTCCAGCACATCTCTCACAGCTCTGTACCCTCTCTCGATGGCACCGTCTATGAATCCCCTCCAACCATCTGCCCAATCTGCACTTGCAAAGATAACTTGACCATGGGGCAACTGCAGCTCTGCTAGGTACTTACTCATAGCTTGTTTGCCCCAGCAGGACCAGACGCCCTTGGCCAACGGGTCAAGGTGCCATGGATGTGTCAAGTAGGCGGTTACCTCAGCTCCAGAACGACTTTGCGGCCGAAGGTTCTCCTTGAACGACTGAACAATCCGTGCCGAGTTCTCGGGTCTCGTCGGGTCAGGAATGCGGTCGTTGTAACCGAAGGCGATAGCGTAGGTGCCACTTGCCCCGTTCGCTCCAGTACCGTTGTGGTCCGAGAAAGCAAAGCACCACGGAGAATCACCACTGGGCGAAGCCATCGCAAACCAACCGGGCTCGACCTCGCCCAGGCGCATGTGGATTTTCGCGCCTTTGTTTATTTGACCGTGACGGATGGCTTCCTGCTTGAGGGGGCTCAACGGCGGCGAGAAAGCCACATCCCCAAGACAGTTCCTGCAACGCGTCAGCTTCCGTCCTTTTTTTCTCTCCACTCACCACTCGCTTCACACTTACAGCGGTACAGTGCAAACCACCTGCTTCGCCCCAAACACCCTCCTCCCCTCCCGCGCCACCACCACCACCTTCACCCCCTCCGCATCCTGCTGCTCGACCCTCTCCACCACCGCGCCAAACACCTTATCCCCACAAAACTCGCCAACAACCTCCCTCGCGAACCCCGTCATGCCGCCGCCACCCAGCTTGTACACGCCGGCCAGCTCGAAGACGCCCTGCATGCTGTGCCCGCCCAGCGCGTACCACCGCAGCGCCTCGACGAAGCCGATTTCCGCGCCCGGCGCCGACCCGAAGCTCGCGACCAGCGTCTCGAACACGTCTTTTTCCTCGGCCGAGAAGGAGGAGGGGTCGAGCTGCGCCAGGCGGTCCGCGACGCTGAGGTGGTCGAGTGTGCGCCATGGCTGTTGCTGCGCCGGGGAGGAGGAGGTTGAAGAGGAGGGAGGGCCGCTGCTGTTGCGCAAGGGGTCGTGCGGGTACGGCATCCAGTACCTGCTGGGCTGGCCGTCAGGGCTGAAGAAGGCGTCGGCGACGCGCTGGGCGGTTGCTGCGACGGTTTCTGGGGGGATGGTCTGCACGATAGCGTCAGGTCGCTGGCCTTTGTAGAATGTATGTTCGGCGGCGATGTTGCCCGCGGTGGTTTTGAGGCGCGGGTGTAGGTTGTAGCGGGAGAGCTCGGCGTAGACGTGGGGTTGGTTCCTAACCTGGAGTTAGAGTCAAGGCAAAGCATCATGGCAGATTCTGCCTGGTAGAAGCAAAGAGGGTGGGGAGGAGCCAAACCAGTGCACCCAGGTCCCGCCCATTTCGAACTCTTCGCCTAGCTCTCTCGCGGTCCACGTGCGTCCGCCGATGCGGTCTCTGCCTTCGATGAGGAGAACGGAGAGGTTGTGCGATCGGGAGAGGTCGCGTGCGGCGATGAGGCCAGCGAAGCCGGCGCCAATGACGATAACATCGTAAAAGGGCTTGAGCTGGGAAGCAGGAGTGCTGGGAATTATGGAGTCTGTTTCCAAGCCATTTCTCGTGGCGGAAGACGTCCAAATGAAGCCTTCTTGAGAGCGTGTCATTATTGATTGTAGATTTTTGGTCTCCCTGAAGGTGAGTTGCTCCCCCTTCTCCCCAAATCTGCGTTCATCTTATAGACTCCTTATCGACGCGCCATCGTATATCGAGGCTGCTGCTGTGGGGAGTAGTATGTGTTGTTGTTGGTCGGCTGGGAGGCTCATGCACAAAGTTGCCTATTCAGGTAAGGGCTGCAGACGAAAGACGGCAGGTCACAGCGAGCTTTTCAGATAACGACCCTCAACGCATGGACTACGCAAATATGCGGTGGTATCCGGCCTCCTTGAACGCTTAATGACGTCTGACCTCGGTTCTCTTCTGGATTATTTTCCCTTTTCTCTGGAGAATAGCGAAGTCTGTGGACCAGCAGGTGCATGCGCAAGATGTATCAGCTCACTATTGGCCCAACCCATCTGCAGACGGATTACGGGATACTTTTTAGAAATTAAATGATGTAGAGGCTTTCATTTGTGAACGGCAATCAAGATCCAACAATAGCACCAAGGTTGGTATGTAGAGTACTCCTCATCTTCGAACTGTACAACAGCAGGGGCAACGACAAAAGATGACATAAGATATTTATCAGGACGCAAACCACTGGCCAAAGCAACAACACGAATGCATGAGCAATAAGATCTGCTTGCTATTGTTGGCTTACAACACTTAGTGAGCTGACCATTTACTGCACAATGAAAGCTCTGTTGCCAATTCCAGCCCATGGTTCATCTCGAGATCGAACGACTCAGCATAGATGATGCTATCAATTCAACAGCTAAAGGCCGAATTATCCCACTTTCTTTGCTGCTTAAACACAGTAGAGTGGGCGAGGACATTTAATGCCAAGGTTTGCATGAAGAACAGCACAGCACGACAGAGCACTCGTCAACACAAATGTCCGAACAAGTCTCAAGACAGTGAAGAGAATGAACAGCACATCAATAGCATTATCATCCCATTCTGCCGCCCAAACACCCGGTGCGGCACAAGGTCGCCTTCCGCGGACATCCGGCGGAATGACAGGTGATAGTTTGGGCTTTCCGGTGCATGATCCGACGGATGGCCGCTGCATGCAATTTGGTCTTGATTCTTTGGAAGGACAAGGATGCGCAGTACCGCTGAAAGACGTTGGTCGTCGTCGACATTACTTGAGCAACCAAAGATGCACTAGTACCGCCGTTTTCCATCGCGAGAGCCGCAGGGCTCCAGCGAACAACGGGATAGCCATCCGAACAGCTCCAATTGGGCTGAGGAAAGACGGAGAAGACAAGAGGCGGGTCGCTGGCAGGGTACCTCCGAGGATAAGCAGGGACGCATGAAGATCGAAGACGACGACGCCAACCTCGACGTCTCATTCGCCCACCTCTTCGCCGAAGTCAAGAGCCGCGTTTTGGCGCAAGCGAAGGAAAAACAAGGAATTGAGGCTCGGGGTTTCGGCAGGGCCAGTGAACCCCCCCTCCAGCGCCAATTTCGGTCTCCCCCGCACATTCAGCCCCCCCCGGCCAGCCTTTAACGGCGGGCCAGCGGTGCCGGTGGGCCCGCGCTAAAAGCAGGCCACGCACGACAGGCACGCAAGAGTCATGATGAAGACACGGCGACCAGACCGGGCAAACGGTGACTAATCATTCGACCACAAGACCGCGACCCGCGCTGCCGCTCTTTTTTGGCTCCCGTCTCTCCCCCCCTCCTCCTATCGTCGTGTCGATCCCCTTCTGCAGGACAGGCGGATGCAAGCAAACCTCCGGATGCCCGTCCGCTTTCATCAATTGCCAATGGCTTCCGCACAACCAGCCGCTACTGTCAAGTGATGTGGACGCATGATCAGCAATAGTGCACAAGCAAGGCTGCAATTTCGAACGAAGGGCGGGCTCGAGAACACACAAGAATACGTGCTCCAAGGTGCTTCCCCGGTGCTACTCCACATAGGCGCATGCAATTGTCAGGTCCGCAGTGCTCCTACCCACATGCACGAGGCTCACGCGGGAGTGACATGTCCCCAGAAGTACCGCCGAGTCTCGGGATGTCTCGCCAATCAGGAGCCGCAACACACCAGCAATGCATCCCAGGTGGCTGTTGATACCACGCAAGGCGTGCCGCCCAATGGCTCTGGCAAGTTCAGCTGGCCATACCGTCGAAAGAACGCTGGTGACGGCTGCAGTCTGGAAGGCCATCGTCGATGGTAGCTGGCTCCAATTGCTGTTCCTTCCGCCTCATCACATGCAAAAGGCGCAGTAGCAGCAGCTGGATTGAGTCAGTAGTAGCAGAGCCCTCGCTCACCAAGACGAGACTGGATCTTGTGCGAGCGATCGACGAGATGGCGGCTGCTTGAGGCTTTTTGAGGCTGCTGTTGCTGTTGCTGCTGTTGCTTGTCGTGTGGTGCCCATCATCGGTCCCGCAGCTGGATAGGGTACGTCAAGCAAGCAAGGAAGGAACAAGTAAAAAGTGCCTCACGCCGACCCTTTGGTCGGCCAGGAACAGTGGAGAGAACCGAAGCGCCGGCGCCCGCTGATCGAACCCCTTGACAGCGTGACAGTCCGTCCCGCCGCTTACGACGTCAATTCCCTTAGTACCGCAGAATTACGACGGAGCTGAATCTCTTGTCTGGACGTCTCCTCTACCGACGCTGTCACTGCATGGTATCTTTCCGTCCACAGCAGTACTCCGGCGGCTTTTCTGTCCTCGATCAATGTCAGCAATACGGATCGGACTAGCATCGTAGTCTTCGGACTAACTGAAGTGACATAGACGGGCATAAGTAGTCGCATCTACCATTCCTAAGCTGGACAGTAAAAAGAAAAGAAAAGGTCGCGGCGGCGCGAAAACAATACGCCATGGTCATCTCACATGCCGGTAGTTCGCAGTCGGGTAGCTGAAAGTGGCGGAGCTGGCGCCGGAAGGAAGGAAGATGAAAAAGAAAAAGAGGTACATGACCTGGTTTCCCAACTTCGCGGGTGTATGGTTGCGGTTGAGCATCTACAAACTCTTGTTCGACTTTTCCATCGGGCCACCCATGTGTAAAGTCGCATTTGAGGACCGCTGTCATATCGATATGGGGCTGCGTTGTTCACCCCCCCTTGCAACGTCAGTCTCCTAGCGTACCATGCCTTCGCCGCATGCTACCCAACGCCAAAACGCCCCTGCTACCGCCCATGTGGCCGAGTAGAGGGAGAATGAATCGCTAGAGTAAGGGAGAAAGGGGAATTAATTTCCTAAGCAGTCGGACGGGACGCCTTGCCTTTACGTTGCGAAAAGGGCAAGATATCTGGAGTCCGATATAGGATAGAGGTTATTGGAGCAAAAAATGACGCTGCAGATAAACAGTCACAAAGCCTAAAAATGAAGAGTGAGCAGATCAGACGGCAAGCCCTGCTGTGCAGGGTCGGTTAGGTAGACAGGGAAGGCATTTGCGATAAAGCTTCGGAAACCACGACTATGCGCACCGTCTCGCAAGTCAAAAAGGTGGAGCGAACTGACGCCATGACGAGTCGCGAAAGGAGAAGCTCTGGTTCGGTGCAGCACCTGGGCGACAGTGGTTGCTAAAATCAGAGCAAGCCCGTAGGACAGCAGTGGTGACTAGCGACGTTGGTCGGGAAGAGAATGCGGAATTAGAACCGGATGCAGCTATCCAACTCACAGTTTCGTCGTATGCGTGACGTGGGGGTGGGGAACGTAATTGTGTGCGATGCAGAGGGTCTAGACACAATCCTTCGCGATGTGATTGTGATTTGCTGCTGCCCATTGCTGCCCTTTCCGCGTTCCGCCGCACCCAAAACCCTAGCACGCACATGCTTCGGGCGCGACTCCGGTCGAGGAGCACGAGTCCGCTTGAGGAAAGAGGCGAGGGCTTCTAAAGTGTCTTGTGCTACCAACAAGGGGTAATAATAGTCTTGTGAAGAGCAAGGACGGAATAGTAACAAAGCTAGCATTTTTGAGTAACAATGCCTCCGAAAAAAAAAAAACATCAGGCACGAAAGACGTAGCGAGACAGCGGCAGCTACGCGCGATGCCAAGTTCTCTCATGCTTTCGTTATCGATCCGACTTTCCCCATTCCCCCACAATCCTGCTTCCTCAGGGCTTCTCTTTTCCCGCGTGGCCTAGACCTCGAGTCGCGAAGCAACCCTCTTCCCCGGCCGCTCGCTCCCCCAATCCCGTGTCGTTGTACACCACCAACACGCAAATTCTGAAACGTGCACGAGATAGATAAAAATAAAAAATAAAAAACCCAAAAAATAGCCATTCGCACGCGCGTCGAAACAGGAAAGGACTGGAGAACGGCAGAGACAGGCCAGAACCTATACTTCTCGTGCATTAATGCAAGCATTTTTGCCCATTCCTCTACTCGTACCACGCTCTGAAACGCACCGTCCAAGGCTACCATTAGTGAGTGAGCTCATCTCTTCCCCAACGCCAAGGCACAACGACCGACCACCCTTTCGTGTTGAATCCCTCGCTTTTCTCAGTCAGCTCCGGTCCGAGAATAGTACTTTGCTGACAAGATAAGCTGCTGACGGGCGCGGATGGCTGCTTACTGTGTCTCTGCTTACCCGTGATCGACGCGGAGAGGGGAAAAGAGAGGAAGACGGTACGTAGTGACAAGTGCCGGCGAGGGGAGAAAAAAAAAGAAAAAGAAAGACAAGTGCGAGAGAACCATAGGCAGAGAAGATCAGGACAAACGAGCAGTTTTCGTAGTGGTCATTCGTCGTTCTCGTCCTAAAATCAGAACTCATCAGCGTCATCTTCATCTTTGCTCGGGTCGTCTTCGTGCATTGCCCGCGCAACACGTGTTTCCTGTTTCAAACTCCGTGCCACCACTTCCCCAACGAACCAGAAAAGAAGCGAATAGTGTAGTGGTGAGTGGGTGAAAGAACCGAGAAGGCCTGACGGGGCGGAAAGAAAGCGACCAGATAACGATTAGGGTAAGCATGCAGAACGACCGCTGATCCTTTCCCCTTCCACACGGCTGGCCGTCGATTGAGCGTTCGTTTGTCTCTTCTTCTCCTCGCTTTCGGGCTTACATCGCCCCCCCATGTCTCTCGCCCTTTTCTTAATTCCAGTCAGTTGCAGCCAAGCAAATGTCTTGAAACTGGGCTGAGGCTGGCTGGCTGACCCAGACTGTCGGAACTGAGGTTGCACAAGACACAAGATCCAGACCCCAAGAAAAAGAAAGAAAAAAGGAACGAGAGACAATGAGGGAAAAGCAATGCACGCAGCCTCTCGTATGTACATCCACAGCCCTAATTCAAATCGATCCTCCCATCAAATCATGAGGCTTAAAGAGCCTCAGGCACGAGGCCATAAATGAAAAGTCTTGGCAACTGCCCTCATGCACGAAGCCGCTTTGGGGCTGGCAATTCATGGAACACCGCATTTTCACCTCCGTCCGCCTTATTCTCTCATGCTGTGGCACGCACAAACTATCGAAGCATTCCCCACCTGCATGTGCATGACCGTAAATAACGTAAGCGCGCAACATCGCAAGCGTGATTTTTTTTATCCTGTTATGTCCTGCTAAGCGTAGTCGACGTCGACAGCGCCCAATATGACACGCGGGGAGGAGTGGAGCCGAAGCATCTCCAGAAGACTCCAACATTTTTGCCACGCCTGTCAAAGGGGAAGAAAAGGCAGCCTCAAAACCCTCCACACCTGAAAAAGGCAAGGTAGTCGAAAGCAAGAATTCCTCCTGGTCCTCCTGAAAGAAGAGATCAATCCCTTGGATATCCGCGCTGCCTGCTGTCGAATCATTGCCCGTCCTGTCCCATCCTATGCTCCTTTCTCGTCTTTTCCGTCCCTGGCGCCTGCCATCAACCGGTGCAGAAGATCATGGGTAATTCGCCAAAAAAAAAAGAAAAAGGTATCCTCCTGTAATCGTGACTGTAGTGGCCGTGAAATGAGTGCAAAAATGCAGTACGCCAGTAGCGACCGAGAAAGCGGCTTCTTTCGCTTTGTAAATGTGAAGATTGTAAAACGACGTCTGCATGAACTGTCCGTCTCGCATGGAGAAAAGATTCGAAGGAAAGTGGTATCAAACGAGGGTCGAGAATTTATACCTTTCCATAGTCAAACGCCCTCTGCAAACGCCCGCCCACATAAAAAAAAAGATAAGTAAGCGTTCACCCTCATTGAATGCATGGCATCTTCGAGGGATGAAAATGTTAAAATGACAGATATAATCCGGATGGGCGAGCAAGCATGTTCAGAAGATTTTGTTGTTCAAGACCCGATTCGTCGCCTTCTTCCCCTGCCTCCACCTTCGGGCCGTTGGGCGAGAACTTCTCGGAGTTGTGGGTCGTCCTTGTCTTTGTCAACGTGGTGGACTCTGACGTGTCGTTGCAGGTTGTCCGGCCTGGGATATTTATGGTCCCTCTCAGGGCAAAATGGACAAACGTAACCAGGTGAATCGTGCACGAGGCCATGTCGGATCATTTCGTTTTTGCGCTTGAAGCCCTTGCCTCCTTCTCCACGTGAACAACCAGGCACTGGACAATAATGCGGCCGCGCTTGTGAATGCACGTTGGCATGTGAACTATGTGAATGTCAGCAAAGGATTCGTTGAGTTTATGCTACCGCGCAGAAAAACCGACTTTAGCAAGTATTGCGTCTGGAAAGGCGGCGCATTGCAACCTGGATAGTCGCACTTAAATCCCGTACTACCATGCGGGGGCACGTGCTGAATTGAAGCCGGGTTGGGATGCGTAATGCCATCAATGCTCATCCTGTGGGAGTCGCTCCGAGGCCTCATCGGGGGGCTGTGGGCGTAGGCATCAGAGCCACGCGATCCATAACTTTCATTTGTCGAGGTGGTGCTGAGAGTCAAAGGCGGTGGAAATGCGGTATCTGAGAGAGACGATTGCCTGCGGCTGCTGGCATACACTGAATAATTAGACGGCGGTGAATGCTTAATGTCAGCCCCGGTGTGGCTGTTCACGGGCGACAAAGGATTTAGTGGCGGGAACTGAGTCGGGGGAGATCGGCGCGAGTTCCCGTTGGGGGGAAATCGGCTAACAAGTGTTGGAGAAAGAGCTGGCGCACCAGTCGACGAGATCGACGGACGGTGCGAGAAACTTGCTCTATGGTCAATGCTTGCCCGGTGCTCATTCTCCTGAGACGCCTGCTCCGCTATTTCGCTCAGATGGCGGAAGGAAGGTAGACTCTGGTTAGGGGAGCCAGCCGTACTGTCCCGATTCGGGGAGGTGGGATTCTGCAGGGCCGGCAGCCTCTCGTCAGGGGAAGCTTGGGAGTCTGGAATGGCCAAGTCGCGCAGGTTTGGCGATGTTGCTGGCGAGTGGTCCGCTTTCGTCGTGCTGATTGGGGTCGGCCCATCAGTGCCACCCTTGGGGAAGTTCTCGGGAGTGGGCAGCCCCTGGTTGAAATGGGTACTCTCCCTTCTTGTCGGCTGTTCCTCGACTCGGGATTTGGGCGAATGGCGATCCATGTCGGTGTCGTGCTCCGGTCTGATCTCTGTCACGGTTGTTTTTACGGGAGGTGCCAATGCGGGCTTGGAAGCGACAGAGTGCCCATCGCCGTTGAACTTCTTGAGGGCGGCCTCAGCAATACGGACTGTGGCTGTCGTCGTCTCGTTGTTAGTTTGCATAGGGGAGCCTGGAGTGTCGTCCTCAGAGTCGCTCGGCTCTGGGTCTGAGTCGGAGTTGAGGGCCCTCTCCCCAGCGGCTCTGGCGATGTCCGGCCGATTGGGGTCCAGGAAGCTCAGGAGGACGGTATCGCCCTGGCTCGGCCGAGTCCGGTTATTTCGTTTCCTTCTGCGGGAGGAGGAGGTGGTGGGACTGACAGTTTGAGTGATCACAGGCGCACTGTGCTGCGGAGGGAATGGCGGCGGAGAGGGCGAGGGAGTCGATTTGATCTTTATTGGCTGCAAGCCAGGCGACTTGGGATAAGCGTCGTCAGAATCGTAGTGGGACATTCGGCATTAGAGGAGAGGCTCTTGAGCCTCCCGCAGTAGTGCTCAGGGTCAGGACGAGAAGCTAGACTGAGTCGGCACGGGGCTCGGCAAGAATTGGCTTGGGCTCAATAAAGTTAAGGGCCGGGAAAAGAGCAGGCTGGGTGCTTTGAATAGTTTTGTGTCTTGAGTGGGTGGGATTGCAGCCAATGGCTTCTAGACGGACGAAAAGTTGCGTTAGCGACAAGCTCTGGTGGGACCGGACAGCAAGTGCGGCGGTGGAATTATGGCTGCCTGGACGGGCAGCCTCGCGGCGACGACTTGAGGCGCGCAGCAAGACAAGACAGAAATTAAATCATCAAACAGAAGAAGACGGAGGCCAGCAGCGCATACTCAGACGTATACGAGAGTAATCAAAGCGACGACAGCACAGAGCTAGTTGTGCGGAGAGCCGCAAGTCGGGCAATAGCTCCGCGCGGGCCGCCCGCGGGCACAGTGCCTGGGCTGGAGAGGGCGGGGCGCATCGGAGAATTGCGAGCAGAAGAAAGCAGAAGAGCAGAGCTGAGAGAGAGAGATGGGGAGCGGGAGAGGAAGAAGCGTCGACGTACCGCGTGCGACGAGGCGGGCAGGCCGTGAGGCTCAAGGTGGGCGAGAAGCTTAAACGTCGATCGCGAGCGTGCAGGTGGGCGCGAGCGGGCTGAATTTGCGGAGGGCCGAGGCGCGGGCGTGGAGTCAGCGCTGGCTTGGAGCGGAGGACTGCGATTGCGGTGGTGGAAGAGCGCGGAGGCTTCTGGCAGCGTGCTTGACAAGCGTTGTGGTTGCGAGCTGGCCAGGGCGGGCGCGGCTGCGGTGCGTTGGACGACCAAGGTGGGCCGCCAGCGCCAGGCCTCGGGGCTGGGGAAAAACGGGCGAGGAGTGGTGCGCTGCCTGCGGTGCAATGCAGTGCAGGCCGCTGGGAATGTGGAACGGAGTATCGCGAGGCTGAGTGAGCTGCGGCGCACGCCCCCTCTGGCTCTCGAAGCTCAAATCAGCGCAGCGGGCGGGAGCGCCGGTATGCACGGCTCGAGTCAGGCCGCGTCGTGGTGTTTGTCGTGTCGGTCAAGCGCGGTGGAGGGCGACTCTGCAGCGCTGCCAGAGCCGCGCTTCCCTGACTGGAGCGGAGGCTGTGCTCTCACCGCATGGGGCTGCTTCGACTCACGCGCTGCTCGTCGACGTGAGCCTCGCCGCCTCGGGTTATTGGGAATAGGCTATTGGCGCAGCGCCGGCTGATTGGGCGCGCCCCGACAATCCGCGGGATGGAGGGGGCGCGCGCGTTCGCCTCTGCTGCCGGCTGGAGCAGCCTCCGTCGCGGCGGGAGGAGGCTCTCGCCCGCCAACTCGCCGGCGCGCGATGGCGCTCCCCAGCGCTCCATGGCTTGGCCGCCTGTCGCGGTACCTCGCGGCGGCCAGCCCGGGGCCCCCGGCCTGCCAGCCCTCCTCCCGGCTTCCTTTCACGTGCCCTCGTTCGAAACCGCCCGGATCGGCAGCAGCGCGGCTGAGCCTCCAGCGCCCGCCCACTGTCGATCGCGCGTCGAGAACAATCCATTCCCCTCCCGCCCGCAGGCCCCCCGTCACGACTTTCCGCCAAACACACGCAAGCCTCGAGTTCGTCGGAGCTTATCGCCTGCAGCCAGCCGCCGGCATGTGCTGCCCCGAAAAAAGCCGCAAGTATCGTACAGATTCATTTCTACCTCTAGCTGGGTGCGCGAGCTCTACCTTTGCCAGAACTCTATCCGACGCATGTAAAAAAGGAAACCGTCGACGGGGGAACAGTGCCATCAAGGCAGAGACGATGACGCCAGGAAACGCCGCAACGTAACAGACACTCTGGCGGCGCTATGCATTACCCTTCACACCAGACTCCCCACAGCAATGCTCCACTCTTTTCCCGTCCCTCCCTCACGATGACGAACCGACGATCTTGCCGCCGAACCCAGGGAACCCTTCCCATTTGGCGCCAGCCGGCAACTTGGGCCGTCCGAAGTTCTCGTCCAGATCCAAGATGATCTTCAGCGCGTTGCGACTCCGCAGGTACGGCAGCGGCGCCGTTGCCGCCTGCAGGCCCACTGCCGGTTCCACGTGGCCTCCCACTCCCTCGCCATGCGTCGAGCCCGGCATGGGCAGCAGGTTCTGCAGCACCTCGTAGCCCGCGAGCGTGAAGCCGAACTGAGGACTCGAACGCATGATACGCGCCGGTCCGCCCTTGAAGAAAGCGCGGAACCCTTCTTGTTGCCAGATGAGCTTGGCCGCGTGACGCAGCGACGTGTACGTAGCCTCGCCCTTGCGTGCCTCGACCTGCAGACGAGTCTTGATGACGTCGGCCGGAGTTGTGAGGTAAGCAGCCGGCATACCAGCGATGGCACCCGCCGTCAGGAGCTGGAGCACGCCGAGCTTCTTCTGCGCCGACTCGCCGAAGACGTCCCTCTTGAGGTGGTTGTAGGCGGGGAAGTAGATGGCCGAGAAGGGAACTGCACCAACTGTTTAGATTGAAATGCGCCATAGCAACTAACACATCAGGATGGACTTACCGTCACGGAGCAAGCAGGCAGTGGCACCCTTGTACAAACCGACGAGACCCAGGTTGCGGACGATCCACATCGCTGACCTCTTTGGCGCGCCCTCGACGTTCTTTGCGATCTCACCTTGAACCTGCAGGCGAATCTTGACAATCTCCAGAGGGTTGGTGAAAATCTACCAAGATCATTAGTTGGGCGCCCCACCATTTCAGGCCAAATCGACTATACGTACCACCTGACAAGCACCGGCCGAACCACCGGCGAGAACCTCCCAACCCCACCAGATGTTACCAGTCTTCTTATCCGTGAACTTTCCTCTGACCAAGTCGTTCACCGTAAGCTTGATAGCCTTCTCCGGCGCAACACCGACGAGCTGAGGCAGCACACCAGCGTACAGACCGCGGAAACCCTCGTTCTTGACGATCTTCCTGAAGCAGTCGATCGAGTTGTTGTACAGACGCTCTCCAACACGCTGACTCCTCTGGTTTTGCATGCGCGTCTTGACCAAGTCAATGGGGTAGACCATGAAGGCACCGAAGGCACCAGCCAAACTTCCGAGCGCAAAGTGGTGTGCCGATTCCAAGATGTCGTGCATGAGCGTCTTCGTCTTAGCAAAGGTCTTGGTGCCAATGTCGGACACCAGGTCCGTACCGCGCTCAATGTACGTGTGCCACGAGGGATCGAGGACTTTGGCGAAGTCGGTGAGACCGAGCCTGCCAGAGGGCTCGTCGAGACCGGCGAAGTGGAAGAGAATATCGGCCTCCATGGGGGTGAAGAGGGAGAAGCGGGTGATGCGCGCAGCTTCATTCAAGAAGTCTGAGCGGGTGATCTTGCCATCACTGCTCTTGTTGGTGGCATTGCGGATGATGAGCTCGACAAGATCCATTTCGCGGATCATGTTCTGGAAGGCGCGCACATTGGCGTAGGAAATTTTGCTGCCTGCGGAGATGTTGCAGAGAGTGTGCAGGTTGTCCAACAGGTGGTCGGAGAGCTTGTGGGCAGCGGTGTTCTGAATGATGCGCTGGAACTCCTCGGGCTCGATGTAGCCATCGCCGTTCTTGTCGAAGTGCAAGAAAGCCTGCCTAACCTTCTCACCCTGCAGTCCGCGCAGCATCTGGGAGAACTGCGGGTACGTCATCGTGTGGCGTTTGTTCTTGCGACCAATGTATAATGACGCCCATTCCGAGCTCCAGTCAAAAGGCAGAGCATCATCGCCCTTGTGCTTGTTGTAAATTTCTAGGAAGTTGTCGAACCTGACCAGGCCGGTGCCCTCGACGTCAAAGAGACGGAACGCGATCTCGTACTCGGCATCGGGCTTCGACACGAGGTTATCGAAGTTGGTCCAGTCGTGGAGAGTCACGCGGCCAGTCTTTTTGCGGTCTGCGACCTCGAACAGGATGCCGTACTGGTCGCGCTTGATCTTGTGCTGTTCTGTGCATCAACATGGTGCAGGGTGAGAGGGTGCAGGTGAAGGGATCGTACGTAGTCCTCGCTCGGCGGCGCGACGGCATCGATGAACTGCTCGCGGCCCAGGTAGGGCTCGCCCGAAGCGTCATCCTTGATGGCATAGCGGAAGAAGGTTTGTTTGGCCTGCTCGCTGAGCTTGGGCTCCTCGGTGGAACCGAGGAGGGCCTCGGTGACGGATTCCTTGACGGAAGCCATGGTTGGAGTCGCGGGAGGTGAGGGCGCGACAATTGACAGGTATGAGTGTTCGGGGGTGCGGTCGGAGGGAAAACGCACGGGGCGAGTCTGGGGAAGTCGAGGGCGCAAGTTCTCGTGCACTTTACAGCGTGTCGCGCGTGGTAAAATTAGTAGGCGCTAGTCGGATAGCTCCGGAGCCGCGGAGGAAAATGCGTTCGCTGCAGCTCAGCTTGGCGAGAGTGGGAGAGTTGATCTGTTGCGGGCGAGCGGGCGGGAGTCCGTTGCGGGCGTCCGGAGGAGCAACGTGGATCGTGGGTGGTGACGATGCCGCCGCTCAGGGTTTATTTTTTTTTTGTTCTGCACGCCCTGGCGCGCGGTTGATCTAAGATCGCATTTGCCGTGCAAGCCAGCAGCCAGGGTCTGTCAGCCGCCCTGTAACCGGTACTCGGCGCCCTAGTTTCTTCTAGATTTTCGCAAACGTCGCTGTCGCACGGCCAGTCGCGCGCCGCCGGGCTGGGCAATGGTACGCGCCAGGCGAGCCCGTGAGGCTCTGGCGTGGAATTGGATTCCCGGAGAAGCGCATATCCAGGGCGGTTCACGTGCGGCTCCGGTGGGTGGTACGAGTGCGCCCCGATTTTTTCGCGCCGACTGCGGAGCTGCAAGTCCGGGGGGCGGTGAAGGAGCCGCAGCGCCGTGCCCTGCCCTCTCGGCCGCCTCGACGGCGAGCCGCTCTCCACGCAAACACCACGAAAACGACGACACGGCTCTCTCCAGTAATTAAGCTCCCGTTTTCTGGGGATGCAGGTGCCGGCTGCCGCACCGTGGTCTCTGCGAAAACTGGGACTTTTGCTTGGCTGCTGAAGATCTTGCTCGTGCAAGCTCAACGCTGAGTCGCTTGTTTCTCGCCTTTGCATTATATAACGAGCAGATCGCGTTGATCTTAACCAACGCCATCGTCTGACTAGATACTCAAGAGGAATGCGCTGTGTCATCTCTCGTAATCGCCTCTCCACAATCTCAAGTCCGCTCGTCACATTGCGGGGCCAGCATGAAAATAGAAGGGTAACGCAAATGGTCATGACTCCATTCTGATTGGTCGCTTCGCCCTGCTATATTGGCTGAGCCCTGTTGTGGTACCTATTCCTTGTTGACACCCTCGCCTCGCGGGTTCGCCCTTGAATTAGATCAGTCGTTGCCTCTGTACCACACCAACACCTTTAGGTATTACCGCCGCCAAGCGGCAGTAAGAAGAAGCATCACCATCTTACGAAGTGCATGCTTACATAAAATGTCCGCCAAAAATTGCAACTATCCTGATCCCATAATTAGGGAGAAAGTGGCGAAGACCCTGAACGACGAGAAACTAGCAAACCTTATCAAAGCCCGATCTTTTTTTTAACAAATTCCAGAACGCCCCCATCAAACATCGTTACCACCCCGCTCCACTTTACTACTACCACCTGCAACAACCCTCAGCGTCTCCGTACTGCTCCCTGCACTGCCTCCCGCAACCGTTTTCGCGCTCATCGCGGCCGAGTATTCCGCAAATCTGCTGCGTTCCCTCAGCTGGGGCCCGTACTTCAGCAGCACCCAGGGGCTGACACAGAAGACGGTCGCAATGGCAGCAAGCACGCTGGCGGCAGCGTTCGCACCCATGTGCTCGAACATAGGCTCGGCGAAGAGCGGGAAGGCGGCGGCGCAGAGGGCGCGCAGCAGCGACAGCGCTGAGAAGGCTGACGCCGCGTACATGCTGTACACGTCGGCCATGTAGCCGCACCTACAGTGATTGATTGTCAGAGGAAGAAAGAGAGGGAATGGAAGTAATTTGTGGAGAAGTGAAGAGGGAGATCCTTACAGCACGGAGTCGAGGTCGTTGATGGCGAAGCCGACAGGCACGAGCGCGGCCATCGACACCAGCAGCGGCGCCTGCGGCACAAGCGGCGGGATCGTCCAGGCAAACACCCAGAACCCGAGCGCCAGCGCCGGCACCGCGATGGTGAAGGACGTCAGCTTGCGCTCCGGCGGCACGCCCTCGGCGTTGAGCTCTCGGAAGTTTCGCGCGTCGCGCGCACGGAAGGGCAGCGAGAAGAAGAGGCCGATGATCAGCGGCACGAAGCCGAGCGACGACGTCGTGTGCGGGTCCGGCAGCCCGTAGCTCGGCGACGAGTAGACGATGGTCAGCCCTTCGGTGAGGCCGTAGATCATGGCGAAGGAGATGGCGTTGAGCGCCGAGCAGAGGATGACGATGGGTTCGGTGAAGAGCAGGCGGAGCGGCCGGAAGAGCGTGTCGGTCAGGAAGGTGTTGAGGGACAGGACGGCGTCTGGGTTGTGGATGCGCAGGGAAGCGGTCTCAGAGGAGCCATCGGTAAGTGCGAGGATTTCGTCGAGCTTTTGTTGGAGAAGTCGGGTGGAACGAGATTCGCGGAGGAATAAGGTAAGGAAGAAGCAGACGACCATGATGATTGCTGAGATCCAGAAGACCCAGCGCCTGCTCGATGGTCAGAATGATGCTTTACCAGCAACCGTATGATCAGCAGGGGGCTGAAGATGGCCGAAGACCAGAAGTAGAGCCCGGTAGTGGAACGCATTCTTTCCAAAAGCAAAACAGCATCTTGAAGCAGTGAACCACACACTTTGCTTTTCCTTCTGTTCAATACGAAAATAAGGAGACTTCCCACTTACCATCCCAGATATGCAGTGACGTAGCTGCCATAGATAGGCCCAAACAACACGCCCACATTCGATGCTGTAGTCCAAGCTGAAACCGTCCAGATGCGCTGCTCCTCATCAAACATATCCTCCAAGCTGCCTGGTGCCACTGTGGCCGGCACAGAGCTCACCATCCCCGCCACGAAACGCGCGAAGATGAGGAGCGCCACCGATCCATTCAGCTGCGGCGGCACAGCCGCGACGATGACGCAAAAGACGGAACAAATCAATGGTGCAGCAATGTAAACGAATTTGCGACCAAAAGACTCGGAAACAGGCGGTAAGAAAATGCCGCCCACGCCCTCGCCAAGCAGGAAGCTGCATGTACTAAATGTCAGACTTGGTCGTCACACCGATACGAACGGGGTGGAACGCACGCGGAGGTGAAGGAGAAGTAGCCAAGAGTTTTTCCATAGCCGTATTCGGGGCGTGCTTGATCGGCCACGGCGGACTAGGTGGTGAGGATGCGCGTAAGCTGTCTAGTTCGTGGGCGATAATTGCGCGCATGCGGTGTGGTTTTCGTTGCGGGATTTTCAACTTACGCCTACGGTGCTCATGACGGTCCTGTCGATGGTCAGCGAGAAATTCACGCACAAGGAACTAAACAAGGCGCGGGGAGTTTGCGGAGTGAGTCTTTTACTAACATGAGCATCTCCAACATTATGATTAATCCCGCGTCGTACCATTTCCTTTTCCAGTGCCAATTGCGGGGATGCTGACGGCTGTCTGCTGACCAGCGCAAGTGCTGGTCGCCGTCGATCTCTAGACCATGCTTTTCTAGTAAATTATCCACATCGGGTGTGGAAACCATGGTATGGTCGTTGTTATTTGCCATTCTCGGCTACCTCGACCTCATCAAAAGGAGTGACTTGTGCAAAAAGAGTGTGGAAAGTTGGGTTAACGAAAGTACAGAGTCCTGGGAGCTTGAAGGGAATGTCGAGATACTGGTATCTACGGAATAATTGCAAGGAAATAAGGAACGGACAACAGCACGCTTGCTGCCCCTGGCTCAGAGGCGCACCGGCGGACTCGGCAGTTGTTTCTTGAGTAGACAAGCCACCCACATGGTGGATAGCTGAAGAAAAGCCCAAGAAGTCTAGCCCGACGCCGAGTCTATACATAGGCCCAGAGCCTCACGGCAGTGGTGCGGCAAGGCGTTGGGCTGAAAAAACGTGGGGCTGAAGATAGAATTCCTACGGTACTTGCCCTTCAAGTGATGGGAGCAATGCGCAGGGCTGAAGTAAAGGGACAATCCTCAGTTTCCTAGCTGAGCACTAGCGCATCCTCTGATTCGTCAACTCTTCATACCCATCAAAGCTCGTGCGCGACCCGGTCTCTGCAAAGCGGCTGTATCCGTAATCCTCCGTTCAGGAACAAGAGTAGTGGGCGGCGGGATACCTTGGCGATTGTGCATTGACCTGGAGCACCTGGATAACTCCGCAACGCACAGATCAGGAGTACGTCGACAAAGGTTTTAGCGATCTGGTTCATCTGCGGATCATCCGGAGGCAAATCGCATTCGCATTGTCGATCAACGTACTAGACATCGTCATAGTTTGAACTATGATAGCTCTTGCTGAGGGATATTCTCGCACACGCGGTGAGAGAAGTCTTCTGAGGCTAAAATGGATATGGTCCGCTAATGAAAGGCTGGTACGTACCCCAAACGCTCGGCAAAAAAAAAAAAAAAAGCGAGATGGTTGGTGAAAGTGGCTGATGTTCGCTGCATCACTTTTTGTCCGTATTTTCTCCTGCATCAGACGATGGTATAAGTCGACTGTCAGGGGAATCCCGACCTCTACCGCAGTGGCGTTGGTAAACACCTGTTGCGCGATTCCATATACGGCGAAGGCGGATGGATTTTGCAGCACAGCGTACCCGTGTTCTGACCTTGGGATGACAACTTGACACACGAAAATTCGCAAAGTCTGTCTGACGTTTGCCATGATGAATCATGAAACCCCTTTCGAGAGCAACATTGAAAACGAAAGAAAGCATTCACAGACTTTTGGGCTGTCGTACTTCAGCAAAGGCCCGCCAGCTTTGTTTGCAGTGATGTCTGACCAGCGTGTGAATACCGGCTTGGTATTGGGCGATATCGGACCGGGGTCGATAGACTTTTCCTCCCCCTTTTCTGGAGAAGAGCCGGCAGTTGCGCTAAGTTCTGCGGCTGATCCGCAACAGCCGCAAAGCTTGGCTCTCTGGAAGACCGGAAATGGCATGCCCGCGCGAATTCTGCTCCCTTACACAGGCACGACTTGCCATGAATAATCGCGCCATTCTGCGTACCCATGTCGTTCGAGGCTGTGTGAGCTTCGTCGGGCAAAATCCCGCAGGATAATCCGCGCAGGCCATGCATCCGGTTGTGGCCCGGACGCCTCGCCAACTTCCACATCCACGGGGTCGCCGGTACGCCAAGAATTTGGCAGCCTGCCTTATTATCCAGTCGCTTTACGTGGTTAGTAGAGAAGCGCATGGGGTGTGGCTGGAGTCAGGGGAGAGGCTGGAGCAACGTCTGTGTAGACGCGCACTGCGCTAGGCCAATCCTGACAAAGACGTATTCAGCCTACTCCTCGGTCTCGACTCCCATGTGGCAGAGACAGTCCGGGCTCCGGATACAGAGGCTAGTGCTCCAACAGAACCCCGCAGGCGATGCCGAACCGGTAACTTCCATACTAAAGTAAACGGTTTGTGCAGGGGCTCATCGGCGGCATTTTCTCCACACACAGCTGATGCGCAGATCGAAAATGTCTCTGAGCTTCACCGCCGCGTATGCGTGTGGAAATAATGGCGCTGTCCAAAAACGGTTTGTGGCAATGCGGAGTTGGAGGCGTCAAGCGTGAGACGGTACCCCTCCTGCAGAGTAGAAAAGGGTGGATGGCGATGCGGGTTTCCAGTATCAATCTCCCAAGTCTCCTCCACATCTGTCTCCAAGCATTCTTAAGCAAGAATCCCGTCCTGTAACTTGCTTCTTCAGATCCGCCTCTTTCATCCATCTCCCCACCGGGCCCTCTACCATGGCACCAATTGCACTTACCCCGCCCAGGTCTCCCGACCTCAACATCCCACTCGACTGCGAGGAGTTTCCGTATGAAAAGCAACCACGGAAAGTGACGCCAGAGTACCTCGTCCAGAAGACGATGCATGAGCGCATCCAGAGTATAGACTGTGCGAGCTGCGCACCGGGAGAAGATGATGCTTTCTTCGTCGCAGACTTGGGAGAGGTGTATCGGCTTCATGCCGAATGGAAGCGTCGCCTGGGCCGCGTGACGCCCTTCTTTGGTTGGTTTGCCCTCGTGAACAAGTTCGAGAATGAAAGCTGACTCGGCACCTTTTCCAGCGACGAAATCAAACCCGGATCCGTACGTGCTGAGATTGTTGGCAGCCTTGGGCACAGGATTCGACTGCGCCTCGATTGGAGAGATTCAGACGATCCTGAACATGGGCATCGACCCGTCTCGCATCATCTTCGCCCACACCTGCAAGGTCATGTCTGGCATCAAATTCGCACGCGACATGGGGGTCCACCAGATGACGTTCGACAATGCCGACGAGCTCTACAAGATCAAGCGCGTGTTCCCCGAAGCACAGCTCTACCTCCGGATTGTGGCATGCGACCCTTCGGCTCTCTCACAGCTCAGCGTCAAGTTCGGAGCACGGATGGAAGCGGCCGAGAAGCTTCTCAGACTGGCCAAAGACTTGGATCTCGAGGTGGTCGGCGTGTCGTTTCACGTTGGCAGTGGCGGAAAGGATCCCAGTGCGTTCATGAGAGCGGTTCGCGACGCTCGGACGGTGTTCGACAAGGCGACGAGCATGGGTTTCCTGATGCACACCCTGGACATCGGAGGCGGATTCAGCAGTGGGCCTCTTTTCGCGCAGACTGCTGACCAGGTCAACCAAGCATTGGACGCATACTTCCCGTCTGGAGTGCGGATCATTGCCGAACCAGGCCGTTACATGGTCAACAGCGCGTTCACTGCGGCGGCAAGCGTCATGTCGCGGAGGAGTTCGGAGCGACTGGCGGAAGACTCGAATAACCTGAACACAACGATGCTGTACATCAACGACGGCGTCTATGGCAACTACTTCACGTCGATCTGCGAAGTCCCGCCCGAGCCCAGGGTCTTCAGGCGTGCGGGACGCACTATCGTCGATGATCCGGAGCTCGAGTCGGCGGATATGAGCGAGTACAGCATTTGGGGCAACACATGCGACAGCTTCGACTGTGTCAATCCGTCGTGCAGCTTGCCGGGTGAAGTCGAGGTCGGCGATTGGCTATACTATCGCAACATGGGAGGTAAGTGGTCGTGTCGTCTCGGAATGCGTTGCAGCAGCTGACTGTTTTTAGCATATACCAGGTGTAGCACAACAACGTTCAACGGCTACACGGGATCGCATGACGTGATCTACGTCTGCTCCGAGCCAGAGGCAGCTGCTCTGCTCGGCGGAAACTGGAACTAAGGGTGTGAGGGTTCAAAAGCGTTAATCATTGTTATTTTAGCGGGCGTTTGTCGTTGTAATGTGATGAAGTTTTCCAGTGAGGGTGAAGGTGTTGGTGTTGTGTCGAGTGATCAAGAACGCCGCTAGTGAGCATCGATCTTGTGTTGGGGTGACCCGTGAGCGCGGTCGACCACAGATCGCCCCACCTTTTTACCACAACACTTCGACCTCTTCACTCGTTCAGCCCCCAACGCGACCGCGTCAAAGGAGGATGTTTGGCGCATTGACGGTGGAGAGTCAGGTTCGTCAAAGATTGCCGGGTTTCAGCCGCCGGCTCTCAGCTGCCGGTCGATAAGGTGGGTTTCAGTGAACCGTGCTAAATTCGCCGACAAATTGACGTTTGTGGTTGAGCCTGCCGAGGAAGGAAGAAAGGGTCCGCGGTCGCGTCATCGACCTTCGGCACTTCGGCTGGCTATGACAGCTGCCGCTGTGCCAACTTCCTCGGCGCGGGGCACCCTATCTCTGGGCACTCGACACGACGATGCTACACGAAGTAAAAGAGGCGAGCCTGAGCTTCCTTTCGTCCAATGCGCGCTGAGAGATTCGCGCCGAAGGCACGTGCAATGGCTGCCTATTCCGGCACATGAGCCTCTCGGTACTTGGCCACGGACAACTGCCGGTGGGGCCCTCACCACGAAGAAGCTTTAACAAGCCCGATTTTTTACACTTTTTCTTCTCCAATCCACTCTCGTCTTTTCTTACAGCAGAACAAAATGGGTCTTCCTACCGGTGTTTACAGAGCTGACCACGTCGGTTCGTGGCTGAGGCCCAAGGCCGTCCTCGATGCTCGCAAGGATGCTGCCGAGGGCAAGATCTCCAGCGAGCAGCTCCGCAAGATCGAGGACGAGTGGATCGAGGGCGTCGTTACCAAGCAGGTTGAGAACGGCCTGCTCTCCATCACTGATGGCGAGTTCCGCCGCGCCTACTTCCACCTCGACTTCCTCGAGCAGCTGAGCGGCGTTACCGTCACCCGCCAGATCAAGTACGGTGCCCCGCCCGTCCTTAGCGTCACTGGCAAGCTCGAGCACGCAAAGCCTATCCAGGTCGATGACTTCAACTTCCTCGAGAATGCCATCGCCAAGAACAAGGCCGTCGGTGCCACCACCAAGGTTGCTATCCCCTCGCCCACCATGGTTCACTTCCGTGGTGGCCGTGCCGGCATCGACATCAACTCCTACCCCGATCTGGATGTCTTCTTCGAGGACTTGGCCAAGGTTTACCAGGAGGAGCTTGACCTGCTCTACAAGGCCGGCTGCCGCTTTGTCCAGCTCGACGACACCAACCTCGCCTACCTCTGCGACCCTAAGATGCGCCAGGAGGCCGAGGCTAGGAACGAGGACCTCAAGACTCTTCCCAAGAAGTATGCCGAGCTCATCAATGCCGCCATCTCCAAGAAGCCTGCCGACATGAAGATCGGCATCCACCTGTGCAGGGGCAACTACCAGTCGCAGTGGTTCGCCTCCGGTGGCTACGAGCCCGTCGCTGAGGTTCTCTTCAAGGACCTCAACGTCGACGCTTACTTCCTCGAGTACGATGACGCCCGCTCTGGTGACTTCGCTCCCCTGCGCTTCCTTCCTGAGCACAAGGTCGTCGTCCTCGGCCTCATGTCCTCCAAGAAGAACACCCTCGACGACAAGGACGAGATCATCAAGCGCCTGAACGAGGCCGCTGCCGTGTGCCCTCGTGGTCTTGACCAGCTGTGCCTGAGCCACCAGTGTGGCTTCTCCTCCACCGCCGAGGGCAACAAGCTCTCCGAGGAGGAGCAATGGGCTAAGATCCGCCTCGAGGTCGAAATCGCCAAGCAGGTCTGGGGTAATGACCTGTCGAAATAGATCCAATGCGCACCCTGTACAAAAGCACTACTTTCTGATTGACAGCCTCCTTTATTCAACCTCTTTTCTTCCTTGTTTTACTGGAGTGGCATGGCTGCATTTTCAACGGACGCTTCCAAAAGGTTTCAACGACTGTTATGAGATATCCCGAATCAACTTCGCGAATTCATGTATATAGCCTCAACATCTTACAGGGGTATTCAACATGAATGCCGGCAAGCGGCGTCTGCCGTACATGAAGAAAATCAAATACTTCAGCCGCAACGTACTGTCATTTGTATATGTGTCTCTCATTCATGTTTGATGCTAACTTACTCAGTTTTACAATGCCTAGAAAGACTCCACTATTGAGTTTCTTTCGCCGTTTTTTCCCATATGCATACAAAAAGAAAATACCCAATGATTCACAAATGCGACTCTCCACCAAAACTTCCCACCTTTTTACCTCCCCCAGTTTCTCGAGAGGAACAAATAAGGATGAAGAGAAAGCAAAAATAAACAAAGATAAAGATCCTCAAACTCACATGCTCCCCAGCGCCGTTCGCTTTTCGTCTCTCTTCCCCACCACTTCCCACAACAAGCACAACCACCTCCAAAAACAGCAACACTCTCGCAACCTCTCCTACCTTACATCCCATCCACAACCCTAAACCAAGCCCTCTTCTTCCCCTCCCTATCCACCACAACGCCCCCACCCCCTCCACCCTCTCCCCCGCCCTTCCCTCCCCGCACTAACCGCCCACCAGGCCACACTCCCGCCTTCTCGCCCCACAACGACTCGCCCGCAATGACACTAACGGGGCTGAGCGGCACGAACAGCACATTCGGCAGCGTCAGCCGGCGGCCGGGGCCGCCGATGGGCAACTTCACGGTGCCGATGGCGGTGGCGGTCAGTTCGACGTAGCCGGTGTTGGGGGTGCTGGGGACGACGGGGACGTTTTTCACTTGCATGGGGGTGATGTGGGTGAAGGTGGTGAAGCGCGAGGCGTCGTTGCACGTGGACAGGGCGGCTTTGGGGGAGAGGATGAAGGAGGGGGGGTCGGCGTCGGCGGTGACGTCGGTTTTGGCTGGAGGAGGAATGGTCTGGTCTGGTTCAGATTCCTCCTGGGATGATGATGGGGTCCGCTGTATTGGCGGGTTTTCTGGTTTCGGCGGTGGGGAGACGGTGTTCGGTTCGGGCGTGGGTTCGGACGACGACGAGATGGATTCTATGGAGGGGGTGTTGCGCAGAAGAGATGTCCGCGGGGGTGTCAGTTTGGGAGATGCGGTTGGGCCGACGCCACGGGTCTTGACTTCGACTGTGAGAGGCATTGATCTTCTTCTTATCTGAGGTTAACATGTGTTTGTGGGTATACGAGAGTGAGTGGGGCAGTGTGGAGAGAGACCCAAATCGAAAAGAGGCGCGAGTATATACATTGCCACCCTTTTGAATTCGAGCAGCCCCATCTTCCCCCAGATTGCCCAGAAACTACAACAAAGGAACATGATGTTGTTATGGAAAGGTCCAGGCTCTAACGAGTCACGTTGTTTTGCCGCTCCCTGCGATGACGCTATTATGACAGAATTAACCCTTGTCTCCCGCCCGGGAAAAACGGGCCAGAGCGAGAGAGTTTCGGCCACGCGAAGGCGGTTCAGAAACTAACCAGAAGAGTGCTCTGCAACTAACGACATATTCAGAATGGTCGCTGTGAGCCCCCGGGAAGCACGCCGTGGCTGTGGAATGCATTCAGCGGCATACGCCGTGCCGAGGCAGATAAGGAGCCGCTATGAGAGCATGTGCAGGGTCTGAAACGCTCTTTTTGTCTGCGATGCCATTTTGAATTGTCGAGCCCGGGAAATCTGCCGGTTCCTGGAAAGGCCAGTCCCAGAATACGAAGTAAATGTACGTTAGCACGGATGGGCATCCATTGCTAAGCACCCAACTCATGCACCCATTCTTACTATCATGCTCTCAATTATCTAAGTGTACACACACATCAGTAATATATTGAGTTTAATCGTCCCTCGCCTCAGACCGCCCAAACGTAATGAAATATACTTTGACCGAACCATGATGGGGATAAACACTGGAGAAGAAGCAGAACCCCATACCACCCAAGAGCTTCAAGCGTAATAGCAAACAACCCAAAATACCAAAAGTAAAATACTGACTGCAGGTTCGATCCAACAACACGCGCACAAGTCTCCCAGAAAGTCAGCGAAACAGGCCATTCCTGCGGAGTCTTTCTAAGATCAGGTCTCCTTCCTCAATGTCTTCTGGAGTCACTTCGACATCTCAGTATATCAGGGCTTGTGAGTAATGGTACTTTGAAACTTACTCTTCAACCCATACGAAGACTGGAATGCCGCTCTCGAACCCCATTGGTTCTTGATGAAGTCGTTCCTCGGCACTGGCAGCCTCTTCGCCGGCGGCATCGAGGCCCTCACATTTGGCCTCGGTCCAAGTGGCTGGCGCGCAGCCGGGGTCGAATACGGCCTCGAAGCCTGCAGCGTGGGCGAGAGCGGCGAAGTTCCCGACGCTTGCCCGGGCGACGGCACTACCACATGAATACCGAGCAGCTTGACGAAATCCTCAACGGAGATGTTGACGACTTTCTTCGAGAGCAGGCGGCGTATGATGGCCGGGTCTGAGCGCGGATTGGCTTCTTTGAGGCGTGCGATGACCTGCAGCGCTTCGGCGAAACCGTTGACGGCGCGCGGCACCGGCTGCTGCTTGATCCAGGCATCGCAGTACGAAGCCGAGCGCTCGTCGTCGGTGAACTCGTTGTCGAGGTAGAGGCGATCAGGGACGCCGTCGAGGCGGAGCGTGGCCAGGCCGCCGGAGTTGGGGAACCACATGATGTTGCGATCGTTGGCGTCGTAGGCGAAGCCGCTGCGGTGGTCGATGGCCGTGCCAGAGTGGTTGAGGCGCTTCAGCGACAGGCTGTTTGCCTTCCGCGTTGGGACGAAGAGCACTTCGCCGAACGGCAGGCGCAGCGCCTGACCATCCTTGAGCCTCACAGGCAGCCTGATCGTGCCGATACCAACAGCTACGTCGCCCGTCTTGCCGAAGCGTGAATACATCGGGTTGGGCTCGATCTCATCGAAGGTCGCGTATAGGCTGCGGTTGTTGCAGATGTGATGCCATCCTTGGGGAGCGAGTACCCAGGCGTTGGGGTTGAGAGCAGGGAACTTGGCGCTCTCCTGCCCGTCTCCGGTCAAGGTTTCGGGTCTCGTTTCCTCGCCGTTCTCGATGTCATATGCCTCGATGTAGCCGATGAACTCCTCCATGTAAGGTTCGTCTCAGGGAACTGTGAGTCGTCAGTGACTGCGAAGTGCCTGTGAAGCGGTAGGCGTACATACAGTCAACTAATGCAAGATGTGTATGCAAGGTCGAGTGCAGGTGCAATGTGCTGCGAGTATCCAAGATGCGGGGATTAAGAGCCAGATCTGTGGAGCTGCAGGACGGGAGATGATCAAGATTAAGTTGCGGGACGAAAGAAGCGATGGGTCGGAGCTGTTACTGTAAGCGCGGAAGCCACTAGGCCGCAGAGATAGAAGGAGTCACGTCAGGAGCATTCCTTCCCAAAACAGAATCCCAGAGCTGTAGCTACCTAACAGCCCATACTTCTCTACCTATGCTCCATGTTGCAGCTTAGCTCTTTACCAATCCTCGGGATCCAACATGCTGCGAAGCCTCCGGTTCTTCTCTGTCAACCACTCAACACGCTGTTCCAAATTCCACTTCTCCGTAGCCAACTCTTCAATCCGCTTGTTTAGAAATGGGATTTTGGAGCTAATTGAATCCCCCTCTCCTCCCGGTGTTTCTCGAGTCTCGCCTTCAGAGATTCCTATTCTTCGTTAGCTTCCTTGCTGGCTCGGCTGCCATGCTTCTCCACAACTGTACCTTGGGCTCTGCTTCCAGCTTCGGCCTTCAGCAGCTCAGCAGCCTTCTGCCCACAAATGAAGATGACCGGTACATCGTGGCTTCTATAGAATCCTTCACAGGGTTTCTCCCCGTATCCTCCATCCTCCCACCGCTCATCGGTTTCGGAAACATGGCCGGACGCTGTAGCAACTCGCTGAAGTTCGTCCAAAGCGGTCTGAAAGTGGGATTTCTTGAACAACTCATCATCTACCAGGCGGTGTTGTTTGACCAAGTCCGTGATGCACGAAAGACCAAAGACGATGCCCTTGATAGAGGCAACGTGCTCGGAAGTGGCTTCATTTCCTGCCATGGAATAAGGAAAGTGGTAGTACTCTTGATTTGCTAAATGTAGAAAAGCGTTAGAGAGGTAGTGTGTAGATCCTCTACTAGGGTAAGGGTGCGGTACCTTTTAAATCCTTAAAGGTCTTTGTTGGCAATTCGATCACTGCTACCGTACACCTGGCGCCTTGGCGCTAGCCAATACCTCTACGCTTGTACTCAAACGTGCTCGCTTCCTTTTACAACACAAAGCAATGAGATATTTCGCCACGTAAGCTTCCAGTGTATGTTCAAAAGTACCTACGTGTTGATATGGATATTTACTGGGGAAATCGGATAAACGAAGCTCTTTAACTAGATCTTGTTCTTTTTTTTTTTTTTCCTGGGAATGATTTCTCAAATGCTTGCGCCAGCCTTGACTCCAGTAGTATGCCCTTCCGGAACACCTCTGAGTTTTCTTAACCTCTCGACGAGCTCTGGTAATACAGAATCCGAGCTTTCTGCACTTCTGAATGCCCATCTCCCGTTATTATCCTGTGGTACGTCTGCGAAAAACGCCTCCTCTCCTCTAACACCTCCCATATTCAAGATCCCAATCGGCATACCCTGCTCCTTCGCCCTCTTCACCAATCGCCATGCCGAATACGTCGCCAAGCTACTCCCAATCACCAACAGCCTGCTCGCCCCATCTATCGCCTCCTCCGCCCGGCTCTTCACCACATGCGGTATGCTCTCCCCAAACATAATCACCGCAGGCTTCAACACCCCCGCCTTCGACCCCTCAACCAACGCCCCATCCGCATCCACCTCGACCTTCCCATGCGCCTCATGTCCCCCCTTCTCCAAGCACACCGGGCACGCCGGGTACCTAAACGTCTGATAATCCACTCCAGGCACATCCACATCGCCATCCGGATTCGTCTTCAACCCCATCCGCCTCCTCTCGTCCGGATTCTCCGTCGACAGCGCGCCGCTCGCCAGCATCTCGCGCAAGAACGCATCCCACGCCGGATTCAGACTCGCCAGCCTGCGCTGAAACTCCTCGCGATCAAACTCATTCCGACACGACAGACACACGCACGCGCGCAAGTATCCATGCAGCTCCAGCGTCGGCAACCCCGGGTGCGCCACGGGGTGGAACGAGTCGACGTTCTGCGTAATCACGTTCCCCACCACACCCGCATCCCCCAGCGCCGCGACGGCGCGGTGCGAGGCGTTGGGCCGCGCGCGTGCGAGCGTCGTCCACCCCAAAAAGCTGCGCGCCCAGTAGCGGCGGCGCATGCGGTGGTGCGCGGCGAACTCGCCGTAGTAGATGGGGCGGTACGTCTTGTTGAGCGTGTACGTGCCGTTGGCGCCGCGGTAGTCGGCCAGGCCGCTGGCGACCGAGATGCCCGCGCCCGTCAGCAGCACCGTCGAGTGGTCATCGCGCGGGGTGAGCGTTGCGGGCGAGAGGTGCGGGCGGAGGTGGGGCGACGGCGGGGCTGTGAGGAAGGTTGCGAGGGCGGCGATGGCACCGGAGGTCGTGCTGGCGCTAGGAGGCAGGATGCGCGGGAGCGGCAGCGGGTCGGTGTAGGGGATGCGCATTAAGGGCATGGCTTGTTGATGCCATGGTCAGGTTGCGGAGGGGCGGATGGGGAGGAAATAGGGAAAATAGTTGGTGTTGGATGATGGTGATGCGTTGCGGCAAATCGGAGCGCTGCCGATACGGACATGTGCGTCATCGATCCTGGTAATCAATCGGTCATTCCTTCCACCGATGTGTAAGAAGCTTATCAGTCAAATAGCTCTTCACATTGACATTTTTACAAGTTTAACTTTGATAGGAGAGTTCTCGGATATCTTGCAAACCTTCTATTGCCTGACGGCCGTTGTCTACTCTACCATCTGCGTCTAAATTAGAGATTATTCGTACACGTGAATCATATCCTCCGAAACTCGTTGGACGTCGTATGCCAAAATGCATGTTCCACGTCGACGGAATGTCGAAGCCTAACTGGCCGGCCAGCCAGCCAGCCAGCGCATTGCTGCACCTGTGCCTCAGCGGGGTCTTCCGTCATTATCGGTGAATATTGCTGCTGAACATAGGTAGCTGCTGGAACAGACAATTGCGCAGACGCCGAAAGCGAGTAACAGGATTCTCTCATCCGGCTTGTCACTTCACAGCCTCCTGTTCAGCCGGCTTCTCTTTTGCAGCCTGCATCTCCCCCTCCACTTCCATCGTGTCAACTGCAGTTTTCGATGTCTCATCCTTCGACTCCTTGGCGCTTTGAACTTCCTCCTTACCCGACTGAGCTGGCAGAGACTTTTCCGAGTCTATTTTACCGCTTTCCAGCTTCTTGCGCAGCTCCTCAATTTCCCTCCTCTGCTCCATCATCCTACGATCCCTCTCCTCATCCTTCCGCTTCAACAACTTGATGTACTCGATCGCATTCTCAACCGTGCTTGCCTTGCTATTGCTCTGTCGTTCTTCCTTTCTTAGAGCACTCTCCTCAGGGCTAGCGCTATTTCCAGTAGGGGCACTTGTACTGGAATCCTTAGGGTTGATTGTAGGGCTCGGGATAAGAGATTGCAGCTCCTGAAGTGCGAGGTTGATGCGGTTACGGCGACCCTGCTCAGCGATCTTGTGTGAGGTACGCTTTGACGTCAAGTTTGTAGAGAGCGCTTCCGGGTATACAACTCCAGGAACATGTGTGCCTTCGAGAATGTGTTGATAATTAGATTTGGACGCGAGCAAAAGCGCATGCGTATCGTCTGACGTAGAAGCTGAAGAAGAATTAGCATGGCTATCCGTAGTTCCACTAATAATAAGTACTGACCTCCTTCGGGAAGCAGAGGCTTGATGCTTGGACTGATCTTCGGTCGTAGTGCAGGGCTCACCAAGGCTGAGCTGACACTGCCACGCTTTTTGCCACCCCGTCCTGTTGGCTTAATTTCAGATTTCTTAGCGCATGTGGTTGAGCTTGGCGAAGCCATGCCGCTAATTGAGGGGCTAATGGATGCCGATGGTAGCATTGACCCAGACGGCGTGCTAAGAGGGCCAAGTTTCGGGGTTTTGCGAGCAGGCATACGCGGAGTTGACTGGTCATCGTGGATGGCAGTGTCCACTCGTGATACGCCAGGACGGGCTGTCACACCTGTCAAGGCTGCTGGTTCCGGGAGGGCAAAGTCATCGTTGATTGGCTGGGTGCTTCCTTGCGGGATAAAAGAGGGGGTTCCTGATTGCGAACTGGGCTGCGACTTGTTCTTAGGGGAAGGCTGAAGGCGCATGAGCGAGGCTGGCGTAGCAGGACACATCTGCTGGCCCTCGATTGAGGGCTGTGGTTGCCCACTGCTGCCAGTGGCACGTATCGAAGGGGAGGCTGTGACTGATCCTGGACGAGGCGGAGGTCCCATAAGAGCCTCCGATAGTGGTTCCGGCGATATCGACTCTGCCTCCGAGACGTCCCTGCTTGACGGAATCAAGCCAGCGGAAGTAGGTCGAGATGAACCTCCCGATTGGTGCGCCTGTTGTTCCAACAGTTCGCTGACCTCTTTAGGAGGAATAACAGAGGACAAAGTTCCTTTCTTCCTATGGCCATGGCTCTGCGGCTTCACGATGGGCGATTGTCTGATGCGTGCTGCAGACCCAGAGGACCGAGTAGATGCCGCGCTTCTTTTGTTTTTCAACTTTCTGTTTAGGTCCTGTTGCTGTGCTTGCTCGCCCAGCATATCCACATCAAGATCAATTGGTGATGTCGTCAATGAGTTTTCCGCAGTATGCGTGTGAGAAAAGTAGGCCTGGTGGCCACCGCGGCTATTTTGAGCGTCCAATGCGGGTGATGTTAAAGGGCTAAAGTATGCGCCAGGAACCGTAAACTCGGGCTGCATTTGGAAAGAGGAATCATGGGGTGTTACGGCCGGAGATACGAGTGGAGTGAAGCTTGCCTGCCCGGCATTAGCAGTGAGCCGGCGCGAATGCGAAGGAGCGCCATACCAAATCTTCTTTACGCAGTTGGTATCGCTGGTCCATTATGGCGCGCGACTGGGGATCCAGATGGTTCATGTAACGCGCAGCATCACCATGCATTTCCACGCTGTTTGGTGTAGGCGGGACGAAGGCGCGCGGCTGCATGGAGTGGTCTTGCGGCGCAGAGAAGTTCTGCTGCTGCTGATGGGTGTGGTTGTACGCGCTCTCGAAGGTGAAGTCGAAAAGGTTGTTGGTGTCCTGCATGTTGCTTGGCGACTGCAGCGACTGCTGCTGTTGTGCACCGGAACCATCGTCCTGGTTCTGTGGCGGGACGGCGCCGGAGGGTGGCAGATGCTGGGAGTCGAGCGAGTCGGCGAGGGCAGAGAGCTGGTTATCGGTGGGCTGGGCTTGGCTGGAGTCGTAGAACGGGATGTCGAGGTCAATGTCGCCGAAGTCGAGTAGGCTGTCGAAATCTTGCTGCATGGCCATGCTGTCGAGCGGCTGGGACCATTCGTGCTGCTGGGCGGATTGAGACATGCTGGCTCGATCTGTGGAGTCGTTACGCTCGAGAAGCACAGTCGCACGAAGCACGAATCCCCACACGGCTGGGGAGCGGGGTGTTGTCGCGGCTAGAAAGTCTCAAGCATCGGCACTCGCTCTGCGCTCGGGAAGGGCGCAGGCTGGAGGACGATGTTTCTTGTCGAGCGCTATCAGCGCGGAACGGAGGAAACGAGGAGCGCGGCAGTCACGACGAGGTGGCCTAGGATGCGCAAAAGGCTAGCGAATGGGAGCAGGGAGCCCGTGGTTGCTGCACGCAAGCGTGTGGGCCTTTGGGCCCTGAAAGCTTCTCCGCCGGTGACTTATTTTTTCTTCCCTTTGCCGGCGCGGAAGAGAGCGGGCCTATCAGACTTCACGCTCGGCCCTTCGAATATTCGACAGCACGTTCTTGAGTCGCGAAGATTGAGGTTGTGGGTCAACGGCGAGAGGGATGAGCCGCAGCGGATGCATGCACAGCTGATGACGCTGCCACGCCTCGGGTGGGCTGTGATCAGCTGGGCAAGCCAGCCACAACGCACGCGCGGGTGGTGGTTGCGAAAATCGAAAGAAAATGCCGTGGGTGGAGAGGCAGCCACACTACCTCGCTCTCTAGTGCCCGAATTCCACCGACCGCGTTGCTACGCGCCAAGTCCTACGCAGACCTGCTACACAATGACGGCGCGGCGTAGACGGCTCTCCAGACAGCGACTCGCCGGCTCTCTGCTAGCTGCTCTGCCGCGCGAATAACGCGACGCAGCCCTACAACGACTTCTGCTTACGCTGCTTACCTGGGGGAGAATGTCTCGTCTCTTGGTTGCGCGTGGCGCTGCCGGCCTCTTCCTATAGCTGCTGTGGCCCCATGGAGCATTGGCGCGCTGACGAATTCTTTTTGGCAATCTAGTTGACGCATACAGTCTGCGTCAGACTTGGAGATACTCAATGCGGAAGAAAAGGTCATGCTCGACATCTTTCTGGATTTTGGTCTTCACCTGACACGCAGCCCTCGCCAGATCCTGGAACGTGATCGATGCCGTTCCCATCCAAAACGGCGCAGGTCCAGCCCCGCCTCGCCTACAGAACGACGGCGATCCTGGCGTGAAGTTTCATGAGCCATGGCATTCATTTTCACGTGGATGCTGCCCACGCGAACGCCTGTGGCCGGGCCCATCGCACCTTGCTTATGAATCGACGTCAAAATTGCTATCATGCCGTTGGACAGGCAAACCATGCGATGGAACACTCAGCAGCTTTGCACCGGGCGGCTGGAGAGTGGCCGGCCGGCCGCGCCGTGATCGGCACGGACGTGCGGGCGAAGGGCTATAAATGTGGGCGAACATGGCCAGGATATGGAGTGGCTGCGGCGAAAATCACGACAGGAACGAAATTGGGCCATGGCCAGAGATGATGAGAGTGCTCCGCGCTCCTTGTTACGCGCGTTCCGCTTCCGCGCAGCAAGTGCAGTCGCTTGCGAGGCTCTCGCGGTGCAGGCTTTTGCACGCTATGCTAGGGTCGGCGACGGGGAGATTAATCTTGTCGATACGCCCCGCAACGCCAACCACAAGCCTGCCAAACGAGCACCCGGCATCGTGAGGCGGCCCAGAGGACAAAGGTTGAACAGGGTTCGGTTGCCCGAGTGAACCAGGGCCTGTCTGCCGCCGTCTGTCCGTCCAGCCGGATAAAATAGCTGGTGGACGTGCGGCTGGGGCCTCGTTGCTTGGATGCGCTTCCCCTGTCCCCCGGCTGCGGGTCTCCAGAGCACGGTCCGTCTCGAGCGGCAGGCCACTTCGAAGCCTCCCACTAACCCGGCCTATCAGCCTCCGTGCCCCGAGCCAGCCAAACGCGAGGCTGCAAGGTATCGCGCCTCTTCTTCTGCACCCAGCGATCAAGGCGGTTCGACCTGCATTCCGGCCGAGGGCCACCGCTTGGTATGCGTTCTCGGCTGCTGCTCTCCCGTGCGCAACGGCCCTGAGATAACGTGCGCAAGGTTTCTGAAACCTGGAATGGCGTCGTCCAGCGCCCTCTCCCCTTGCAGCAGGTGGAAATGCGCAATTTGCTAGCCTGTGTGTCACGTGCGTGGCTGCTGGCCTTCGCTACCTGTCGCTGGGGGCTCCTGGCCGCGGCAGCGGTGCGCGCCACAAAGCCAGCCTCATCATTTGAGTTTGGTTCGTCCGGAGGTGGAGGCTGCGGTTAGGATGCGCGGATCAATGCATCGCCAATGCGGCCGGGTCATCACGAGGAGAGGGGTAGGGAGCGTATAGTGATATGATTTCGTTTTGAAGTATTAGCACGAACGGCAGCGCGGACGGAAAGAACTGTGCTGCAGCAAAAGAAAAAAAAGGTCTTTCATCACTTTTGAACCAGAGCCGCCGCCGCCGCCCTCCCACGCTTCAACTGCAATGGACAGCTGGAGAACACTTGCCAATCCTAATATACAACCGTCTTTCGGGATACAGTGATATCGGTAAGAAAAAAGCGCTGGATCCTGATCGAAAGACCCAGCAGTCGGCGCCCGAGCAGGGTGTGTATTAACCGAGAAGAAGCGAAATGCCGTGAATCAAAAAACTCTTGAAAACGCCGTGGGTAAGAAGGGAAATGTAGGGGGGTATGAGTGTCGTCGTGGTCCTGGCTACATAACGATGCAGCAGCCGTTCGATTGTTGTGGCGCATACGGGTCATCACGCTTGTCGACCTGCCGTCGTTGGATTAGCTCGACACCTCGCTCACAAAGCGGCGGGGGCGCATACCGTTCCCCATCTCGACGGTACCATGAAATCCTTGGGCTCCTTGTCCGTGAAGTTGATCAAGCTGGCAGGCCTCTGTTAGCGACCAGCGCGACGGCGCGACACGGGCGATGGCGCGACTTACTCCTGCGCGGCCTCCGACACAGGTATCCGGGAGCGGTTGAGATCCTCCTTCAGCCTCGTGTTCAGCTCCGTCAACCGCCTCAGCTTGAGCTCGGCCATGCTCTGCTTCTTCGACTTGCCGTCGCCAACATTGCGGGCCTCGTATGGGGTTGACATCATGTTCGCCGGGGTCGATGAATGGTATTAGCGCGTCGGTCGCGGGCAGGCGGCGTCAAACGAGAATCGCGAGGGTTGAGCGTCTGTGGCGGGTGAGCATTGGCATTGGGTGCGATGCGAGATGGTGCGACGTACCTGCGTGCGCAGGGTAGGCGACGACGAGGAGTAGCCGGCCGTCAAGCCGCGGCGTCTCGGGGCAGTCGCGGACTCTCGCGGGTTGTCGGAGGGGGAGGAAGGAACGGCGCTGGTGAGGAGAGGCGAGAGGGAGCGTGAGGAGATCGAGGTAGACGAAGCCGCGGGGGGCGAGCGACTGCGGGCGGGAGCGCACAATGGTTCGGTGGTGATCGTGAGTCCCGGCTGCTGGGAGCTTGCAAAGGAGAGGCTCGGCCAGGAGAAGGTCGCTCGCTTGGGCCAAGGGCGGATTCGCAGCATAGACGGCGCTAGGCCCGAAGCATCCCACCTAGCGGCCTTTCTTCACCCGCCGGCGATCGCAACAGCACGGCGTTATTGGCGCCCAACTGGAACTGCTGGCGATTCCCTCGACATCCCACGGCGCAGTGCCAGGTGGCCGCGGCTTCCCTCCCGGCCCTGCTGCATCCATGAAGCGATCCTCGTACCGCCCGAGATCCGACGCGCCACCAGCAAAGGGTACTTCTTGTGTCCAGGCGCCTGTCTCAGTGCAAGGAGGCCTGCATTGGGCGGTCGGCGTGTAAACATAAGCACCACCCAACGGCCTGTTCCCTTGCGCAGTGGCCGTCAGCTCTGCGCTCGCGAAGGTTTCCGCCATTTGACTGGTCCAGCTTCAGCTATTCCCGCCACCACCGCCCGTTAGCGCTGCTTGGTGCCATGGCGGGCGAACGCTTCCCGCCTGCAGCTGTCCTTGTGACGGCTGCGAATGCTGATGGACTTCAACCTTAAAACCGGCGTCGTAACCGCGAGGTCAGTACAGCCCCCTCTCGCAGCCGATGGCTAGAAAAATAACACATGTTGGTAGCTGAAGCTATCGCCCGGACGTGTATGTAGAATTAAAAATTTGACATTCTCGTCCGGACGATATGTAGCTTCAACTACCCATGACATGAGCAAGAAATAAATCCACGCTAGCCATCGGCTGCAAGAGGGGACTGTATTGCAACAGCGAGTGGGCAGTCGAAACTCCGTCAAGACGCGTGTTCGGGGACATAGGTACCAAGCTAGACTTTTGGCTGGCTCAACATTGTTGTAGCGTCATATAAACCTATTTCATGCGCCCCATGCTGCCATAGCTCAGCATCTGTTTCGCTGATAGTGCGGGGATCGCGGGTACACGTCGTTCCGCACAAGTCTTCGCGTCTGCCGTTACAAGTGCTAGTCGCACGAGGACCTGCAACGCCCACGAATAGTACCGTTAGCTGCTTGTAGCAGTACATCTCAGACAGGCTGCAGCAGGGAAGTGGCTCTGCTGACGACTTTCTGCAAAGGTGTTCTGACTGTTCGCGGATCAGGATTGCTAGACCGTGGATACAACCCCGGATTAACACGCGCCGAACCTCCGGCGCCTATATGCGGTTTTCGGGTATCACATCCACCAACTTTTGCCTACACCAAGCGACGCTCTGGCTGCTCGCGACCGGGACCCCACGCAGCAAGCACCAGCCAGCCGCACACAGCGAACAGCTTGCCCATCATGCCGCCGCCACCCCACAGCAGGCCGGAGAATGTGCTCAAGGCAAGTCTCCATTGTGCGCTTTGTGCGCGGATCCGCCTCGCGTCACCGCGCTTGCCCACCACGCGCAGACAACTCGCGTTCAGCCCTACTAACATGCCATTTCTCTACAGAGGGCCCAAGAGCTCATCGGCGTCGGCCAGCAGCAGGCCGCGCTGGCCCTCCTGCACGAGCATGTCGTCTCCAAGCGCACCCGCAACAACCCTATCGCCTCCCTCGAGCCGATGATGATACAGTTTGTCGAGTTGGCTGTGGAGCTTAGGAAGGGCAAGACCGCCAAGGACGGCCTGTACCAGTACAAGAACACCGCCCAGAACACGAACATCGGCACCATCGAGGTACGCCTCCACGTTGACTTAACGGAGTGGGGCAACGACTAATATTGTTGGAACAGCTGGTTTTCAAGAAGTTCATTGAGCTCGCCGAGAAGAAGGTCACCGAGGCCCAGACCAAGGCCGATGAGGTCCAGTCTACCATCGACAGTGCCGCTGGCCAGAACATTGAGGACCTCGAGGCCTCCGAGACCCCCGAGTCCATCCTGCTCTCCACCGTCTCCGGTGAGCAGTCCAAGGACCGCACCGACAGGGCTATTGTCACGCCTTGGCTGAAGTTCCTGTGGGAGACTTACCGTACGGTTCTGGACATCTTCAAGAACAATGCCCGCCTCGAGGTCATGTACCAGCAGACGGCCCACCAGGCTTTCCAGTTCTGCTCCAAGTATGCCAGGAAGACCGAGTTCAGGAGGCTCTGCGAGCTTCTGAGGAACCACCTCCAGAGCGCTGCCAAGTTTTCCTCGCAGATGCACGCCATCAACCTCAGCGACCCGGACACCCTTCAGCGCCACCTCGACACCCGCTTCCAGCAGCTCAACGTCGCTGTCGAGCTGGAGCTCTGGCAGGAGGCTTTCCGCAGTGTTGAGGACATCCACACTCTTCTTAGCCTGAGCAAGCGTCCCGCTAAGAACGTCATGATGGCCAACTACTTCGAGAAGCTCACCAGGATCTTCCTCGTCAGCGAAAACTACCTCTTCCACGCTGCCGCCTGGAGCCGTTACTACAACCTCATGCGCGTTTCCGCTGCGGCTGTTGCTTCTGGCCAAAGCCCGAAGAAGGACAACCCGGCCGTCACTGAGGCTGACATGACCAAGGCTGCTTCCTTTGTGCTGCTGTCTGCGCTCTCCATTCCCGTCATCAGCACTTCTCGCTCTCGTGGTGCTCTTGTTGACGTTGATGAGGCTAAGAAGAACAAGAACTCTCGTCTTACTAACCTCCTTGGCATGTCCACCGCCCCCACCCGTGCTACTCTGTTCAAGGATGCTTTGAACAAGGGTCTGCTCAGGAGGGCCAGACCCGAGATCAAGGACCTTTACAACATCCTCGAGGTCGACTTCCACCCGCTCTCGATTTGCCAGAAGATCTCCCCCATCCTCGCCCAGATCGGTGCCGATCCCGAAATGCAGAAGTACGTTGTGCCTCTTCAGCAGGTCATCCTCACCCGTCTGTTCCAGCAGCTTTCCCAGGTCTACGAGTCTGTTGATCTCAAGTTCGTCCTGAACCTCGCCCAATTCCCTGAGCCCTTCCAGGTCAGCGCCGACACCATTGAGAAGTTCATCATGAACGGCTGCAAGAAGGGTGACCTCGCTATCCGCATCGACCACGCTTCCGGTGTCCTCACGTTCGACTCGGATGTTTTCTCCTCCGCCAAGGCTCTCCACCCCGGCTCCGCTGCTGGTTCGGCTGAAACCGAGACTGGCTCGGTCCAGCGTCTCCAGAGCACTCCCGCAGAGATCGTCCGCTCCCAGCTCACCCGCCTGGCCAAGTCGCTGTACATCACTTGCCAGTATGTCGATCCGAGCTTCAACGAGGAACGCCAGAAGGCCAAGGAGGCGGCCCAGGCTAGGGCAGCAGCTGGTGCAGAGCAGGAACACCAGGAGGCTCTTGCCAGAAGGGAGATCATCGAGCGCAAGAAGCAGACCGCGGCCAGTGCGCTTGCTCAGAAGGAGAAGGACGAGGCTACCAAGCGTAGGATCGCTCAACAGCAGGCCGCTGCTGCCGAGGCCCAGAGGCTGGCTGAGGAGAAGAAGGCCCGTGATATGGCCCGTCTCAAGGCTGAACAGGAGCGTATCAAGCGCGAGGAGATTGAGAAGCAGCTGAACGAGCTGAAGAGCGGCGTCAAGGGCGTTGATCTGGATCTTGACAATGTCAACATTGACGAGCTCGACTCCGGCCGTATCCGTGCCATGAAGCTTGCCGCTCTTGAGAAGGAGAAGAACGAGATCGGCGAGAAGCTGCGCATCACCGGTAAGCGCATCGACCATCTTGAACGTGCTTACCGCCGCGAGGAGGTCAAGCACCTTGCCGAGGACTACGAGGAACAGCGCAAGAAGGATCTTGCTGCCTACGAGAAGGCGAAGGCGGACACTCTCAGGGAGAGCAAGGAGAAGCACGACGAGGAAGTCTCCCTGAAGCACCGCCTGAGCCGTCTTGTACCCGTCTACGAGAAGTACCGCAACCAGATCCAGGAGCAGAGGAAGGCCGAGTTCGACAAGCGCAGGAAGGCCGCCGAGAGAGATCTCAACCAGAAGATGCAGGCCCGCATTAAGGAAGTCCGCGAGCGCAAGGCCAGGGAGCGTCGCGAGAGGGAAGAAGAGGAGAGGAGGCGTCGCGAGGAGGAAGAACGGAGAGCAGAAGAGGAGGAGGCCAGGCAGAGGGAGGAGGAGGAGAGGAGACAGAGGATGATGGAGCAGAAGCTTGCGCGGGAAGAGGAGCGCAAGTCAGTACCATCCTGTCCCTTTTTTCATAAGTTTCAAAGACTAACAGTTCTACAGGAAACTCGACGAAGCTGCCGCAAAGCAGCGCGCCCGCGAGGCCGAGGCCGAGGCCAAGCTGGAAGCCAAGAGGCAAGGCCGCTGGGTTCCTCCTGCCGCCGAAGAGCGCCCAAGCCCAAGTGCAAGCAACGATGGTCCGCCGCGCCTCGCCCTCTCCGGCAACAAGCCGTCGTGGCGTGAGCGCGAGGCCGCAAAGGCCTCTTCCGGCGGCGCTCCTGCTGCGGAAGCTCCTGCTGCCGAGGCCGAGCAGCCCAGGCGCAGTGGCTATGTTCCCCCTGCTCTCCGTGGCGAAGGTGGTGGCTCCTCCTGGCGCGAGCGCGAGGGCAGCGGATCCCGTGGCCGTGAGGGTCTGTCTAGGGGAGACTCCGGCTCGCCTGCCGGTTCCTCGGGCCGCTGGCAGCCGCCGCAAGCCCGCGGCTCGCCCGCGTCGGGCAGCCCGGCGCCCGCGTCTGGCAGTGGCTACCGCCCGCCGCACCTTCGTGGCGAGCCCAGGGATCGCGACTCTTCCGATGCCCCCCCTCGTCCTGCCGGTGGCGCGTCTGACGGCAAGTACAGGCCCGGCGCTTTCTCTGCTCGCAGGGGTTAGTTAATTTGATTGGGGATTTGAGGGGGCTCTTTGCTTTGCGGTGTTGCTCTCTCCCTTTATTTTTTTTTTATTATGCTGGTACCATCACGTTTCTTTTCCCCTTTTCTCGCTTTCGAATGTGTAAGGACGACGATATGCGGCTCTCTTTTTTGAATGGCATGCATGGAACAAAAAAGGGATGGGGAAAAGGAGGGGGGTGGTTGGATGAAGGCGGGGGGTAGGGAGGAGGGGTGGGTGGTAGAGCACGACCTGATGAGACCTTTACGGAAACTTGATCGGGTTTGTTTCCAAAAATGAAAATGGCTTTCAGTTTGAAAGAAAACTTCAGTATCCTGTTGTGCTTTACAGTGATTGCTCTCGTGAGCTTGAGGGTTGATTTGCCTTTGCAACTTGACCGTTCCGTTCTATTTACTTCATGATCTTTAGGATTGTAATGTTGATGCTTTGGGTTTTGGTTTAAAACGACAGTGTTCATCTGGCGGACAGAATTATGGAGATGTCATGGCCTAAGTTCCAAGCATGCTTTCAGTCTACGCAGGTTTCCCTTTGCCGTCATCAGCAATCTAGGCTCAATGACCTAAACAGTGACTCTTCCTGCCGCTGTCGCCGACACCAGCGCGAGAGTTCTCCGGTTGCGTGGCTCTACTCATTAAAAAAATTTGTCCATAATGCTTGCAGATCTGTGGCGCCAAAGTGCGTGTTTGCAACGATACTTGTTTTATCACCGCATGGTGGCTTACGGGCTGGGACTGCACGTTTCTTATGCTTTAGTTATGATTGGCCGAAAGTAGACGAGCAAGGACGTGAGCTTGGTGGGACCATACGTAAATTCGCCGCCACTCCGCCGTTGGCATTTCACACGTCTCCGTCGGCCATTACCTCAACATGACCATATTTTTGGCATAAAGGAAGGATTCGGAGTGTTCCGTCCTATATTTGGAGGTTGGAAGACTTCTCCTTTCCCAGCGCTCTGCTCCGGGACTAACTTTTTTTCCTACGCTTTCATTCTGGCCACTGGCTCTTGCCACTTGCGGTACAACCAAGTGCAGCCAAGTCTTCTGGTCTGGCGCAGGTACAGTCAGCTGCTACTTCAACACAAGACTTTATCATATCTGTGGCAATAAACGCAATGGCATTCTACAAGCTGATATTTTCAAGTGCCGTGACTGCTCTTTAGCTCTGCATATCAAGAATTTACCTAAATTTTACAAATTTTCAGCCAAATATATTGGTTCACATTGATATTGCTTGATTATTAGCAAAGACATTGGATCATGTAGATCAAACTAAAAGCTCCCTTATTTATCGCGTGATGAAATGGCCCAGGCTACCCCTGAGCCAAAAACAAAATATCACGTCAGTCACGGGATCGTGCGTTTTGGGTAATGTCTTGATCTACTCTATCATAGATCGAGGAGAAATTAATCCAAATGTATGCTAACGTCAATAGTAGAAATTTAGAGCTCTAGACAGTCCTCCAAGAATGTTGTCGCTGTTAGTAAAATCTCGCGAAGAGATTTCAGTATCGACATCCTCGTAGATCTATTACAGATATTAGCCAAAGTAAATCCAATCCTCAACACATCGATAAAGTTCCCCATAGGCTAGTCAAGCTGGTAGAGCTGATAGAACTGGCGACGTTGGAAGCAAGGGTGATTTGCATGCAGGAACGGGCCTCCAGCAATCCGATTTGCTGCCAGCTCCTTCGGCTCCTTCAGCACCGTTAGTAATATGTGATAATCCTTTCAAAGTTTCTTCCAACCCAGCAAAAGCGCCTTTTATTTAGTAAAGCTCTCGCTCTTTAAAATGCAACGCTATGAAAAACTAAGTCAGATTTACGCGTCTCGTAAGCATCCAACGCAAGCGTATATGTCGGCGTCTATCCGCATTCTTCTTTTTTTCTCTTTCGTTTGGGGTTTTTTTTTTGTACATTTGTACCTTTATGTCTCAATGTATTTGATCGTGAAAAGAATGTATACTAATAGTATTGCTGGTAGTACTAACGGCGCTGGAGGAGTTGGAGGAGCCGGCAGCGCTAGCGGTAACTCGATTTGCTGTTAACCGTATACGTTTAAGTCCAGCTGCTTTCAGCTAAACCTTAACTTATACGTGGAGAATCTTGCCGATGCAAGAAAGACATGGAAGTCATAGCCACCCGTACTGATATACTAGCGTTCACGTATTGTTGCCTCATGCAAGAAGATACGCTATGGGGAAGCATGACTTCTTAAAATCGCTGGCCTCTTTACCTTTATTTAAAGCAGTAAACTATAACCACGGAGTGGAGATGTGAATTAAGTATTTCGACATCTTTCAAATATGTCTATGGCTCATACAGGGCGTCCCATGGCCGTAAAATACCTTGAAGATCATAGTCTGCGTCCTCTCCACCAAGAACAACAGCAAGTGGAGTTGGTAGAACTTTGAATAAGCCCGTTGAGATTTCTACATAGTGAGGCCGACATTCCCGGGAATAACTGTCATACCTTGGCAATCACTCTTGAATTTGATTGAGATTTCGGTGGCACTTGTTCATACCTATCCCACTAACTAGTACAAAGTCACGCTGAAGACAGTGCCGCTGAATCAAGAACTAGAGGATTGCGTTAGACAAATAGTAGAACTAATATTCTCTGATGTCCTAGTATAGCACGGCAAATTGGCCGTGTAATTGAAACATAGTTGTTTGGGCGAAAGCTTGGGAGAAATGATATCCTGAATGTAAAGTCCACGACTGGGGAGAAGAGCGGCAAGTTCTTTCTAAAAGCCGTGTGAAACCTCATAGAAGCAAGGGCTAATTCCGACGCAAAATCCATATTACTTTCTAGTAGCACTCCGGATATGTTGAATACGAAGGCGTTGACAACGCTGATGCGATGATTATATGCTGAAGGAGGAGGAGCCAGCAGAATCTTAACGGAAGGATTAACACAAGATCTCCAAGCTTATGATTGTGATCCAGTGTTTGCCCATCTTTTGGTAGAGCCGCAGAACAATCAACAGGCATCCAACGCACCATTCTGAATTCTACTGTTTCTATTCATGCTGATTTTGAGTCTTATAGCGGGCGGCCTCCGCCTTTGAGGAATTCTACTGGAAAGGAGTAGATAAGGGTCACGCTAAACAAGAGCGTGGTCGATTATATATGGATAACAAATACGCAATATGGGGAGCTGTAGAACTTACGCACTTACTAAATATCTCTATATGCACCTCTATCCTCTGCTTCTCCTGGCACTTAGAACGCATCTTACACCGCACCCTCCCAAAACTCCACCATCGCCCTCACAACCTCCTTCGGCTTACTCATCGGAAGCTCATGCCCCGCCTCCAACACCACCGTCATCACATTATCCTCTCCACCAAGCGCATCAACCGCATCCCTCCCCACCTCATCCACCAACACAATCGGATCATCCTTTCCGAGCAGCAACAACACTCCCTTCCTCCTCTCCCTCTCCCCTTTCTCCACCGCTGCCACCCTCTCCGCCTCCACCTTCTCCCCCACCACCCGCCACCTCTCCTGCTGCCCGTAGATGGGCGCACACCGCATGCTGCTCACAAATGCCGGCACGACGAACCCCCGATGATGCGCCAGCTGCCAGTTCACTGCGCCCGCAGCCGTGACGTGCGGCCTGTCAGCGCCGAGCAACGGCGCTGGATGCGAGAGCATACTATCTCTCCTGCTCCTTCCGCGTCCCTGCTGCACCGCCACCACCTGACCCGCCTCCGCCTGCGCCGCGTTCCCAACATCCGCAGCGGCGGCCGTCGTAGAGGCGGCAGCGGCATCATCATCATCATCACCACCGACCGGCGTATACAACCTCCGCCCAACCAGCCTCCGCAACAGACCTTGCGGCATTAGTAGGGGGCACACGTCGTACAGCCACCAGCTCTTCCAGCTGACGCGCTCGCGGCGCATGACGCCCCCCGGCGCGATGAGGACGAGGGAAGAGACGAGGCGTGGGTAGAAGTACGAGGCGAAGTCGGCGGCGATGCCGCCGCCCAGGCTGTAGCCGACGATGGAGAAAGATTGGCTGGCCGAGCCGGTCCAGGAGAGCGGGGAGGAGGCGAGGGCGAGGAGGATTTGCGTCGTGTAGAGGCGTGCGTCGTAGGGGAGGCCGGTGGGGCTGTCGGAGAAGCCGCGGCCGAAGAGGTCTGTTGGTTGCGTTGGTTAGTGGGGGTTTTGAATGTTTTTTTTTTTTTTTGATATTGAGGGTGGTGGTTCGTAAGGAGATTGGGGGAGGGGAGGAACGGATGTCACCACTTGTCGAAAAAGGGAGAAAGGGGTGGACAGGATGGAAGATTGATGAAGGGACACAATTGAATATAAATGTTGAGAAGAGCAATATTATAGTCATCCATAGGTCATCAATAGATCTCACAGCTTCTACGACATCACGAAGCCTCATTCACGGCTGGAGAGAAACAAAAAGAAATTCCGGGATGCACACTAAGAGAGTGAAAAAAAAAAAGGAATTGCTGCAAAACTCACCAAAAAGCATCACCCTCCTCCCACTCTTCACCAGCTCCTCAGCGACAGCTGCGAGTGCTATACACGGCGTGCTGATGCCGTGCACCAGCAACACCTTCGCGCCATCCTCCGGCCCCCACTCATAGACGCGCACACTGCCGTACGGCGAATCGACATCGCGCGCTCCCGGCAGCAGGCCGTCCGGTGGGTAGGGCAGATCGTGCTGCTCGGCGGCCGAGAGCTGCGGCAGGAGGGTGGTGCGCGGGGATGGGATGACATTTCTCCTGTGGTCATTATTTTTCCGGCCGTTGGCGGCGGCATTGTCGGATGTGGTGGCGAGTAAATAGAGGAAGGCGGCGGCGGCGCCAGCAGCGGTGATGGTGATACCGGTGGCGTAGGGTAGCGATAAGGCGGCGTTGGAACGGAAGCCACCAGCCATGCTTTCTTTTGATGACGTTTCTCGATGCCTAACTCCGGCGCGGTAAACTTTGGCAACCTTTCTTGAGAACCGGACGATGGCTTCATGTATCTGAAACTACGACTGATGACATGGTGTTGCGGCACGCAGTTCGACACGGCCCGGCGACAAGGGCGCGGTTGTATCGGACCTCGGCAATGGCGTGCTGGTGGACTAGATAAACACATAGGTGGGATAAAAGACCGGACTTAGTACGCGCACAAGCGGGCGGGATAGAGATCGAAAGCAAAAACAAAACAACGTATGAGTAGTTGAAGTTATCGTCCGGATGAGAATGTCCAATTAAAAATTCTACATACACGTCCGGACGACAGCTTCAACTACCCACGACAGGAGCACAAAAAAAAAAAAACAAATCTACGTAAGTGGAAGTTAGTACGCGCACAAGCGGAGGGGATAGAGATTGAAGGAAAAAACAAAGATCGAAATTTTTTTTAAGCCGCGCGCTGTAGGCTGCAGGCACGATCCTGGAAGAAACGCGGTTTGCCCCCCTCCCTCCACATGGCAAGGCGACAGGCGTCTTGTTTCACCATGGGCGGTTCGTCCCGCATGCCCATGACGATCGCACGTACCGACGTCAGAGACCTGCAAAAACAACAACAAGCGCTCGGACTCTCTCGGCCGGACTTGCACGCGGCCGCGAACCATGGTTGACTGTCGCGTGCGGTGGCTGTGCTAATTCCTCCACGATAACTTTTTCCTTCCCCTGCGCTCCCCGGTTCATCACGTCAATGGCAGCGCACGATAAGCAGCCGCTGACGGCAAAGTGTGGAGAAAGTAGTGGTATGTGAAAATGTTGTTTAATATTTTCAACCGCGCGACGGCGCGGAAATTGCTAGCTACGCTTATCTATCTGACTGCTGGTTGGTGGTCTAGACTACGTGTTGGGAGCTGGCTAGTTGGACGGCTAATGCAGGTCCTATCCTAAGCTTTTTCGCCTCGGATTTCGTTCCTGCATACACCCCCTCGGCCTTCGAGCGGGTGTGGTGATGGTGACGATAGTGTTGCTGCTGTCCAGTGTACATGTGGAACAAGGCGCGCAACCTCTGGCCACCGCTCACAGTCGAACGTTCCTCTCCTTTCACTGAAACGAAAGCGGATCCTCCTGAGGTGTCCCGGTAACTGGAAGGGGGTATGACGCAGATGCTTTCAAGCATTTTGTAAGAGGATGGCGAGAATGAATGCGCTCTTCTCGTTCTTCGACTGGACTGTGGACGACTCTTCTCCCGTCCAGTCGTCGATACAAGAGTGTTGGTGAAAACGACGAGGATCGGGGGGGTATCAATGAATGACCTGAGTGAGAGACCAATACATAGGAAATTGGTGTTCTTCCGGCGATGATCGAGGCGTCCACGGCGCGTGGAGGTCGTCGGTCGCGGGAAGAGCCACCTTCTGATCTATCGCAGCGTAGAATGTCTACGGGCGAAATGGGGTATCTTAAAAAAATTCGAAAAAGGAAATAGCGTGTTCCTACGCTCAGAGGTTGAGGTAGGAGTAACCCATGCGGTGGGCATGGTATTGAGAGAATTGGTTGCGGTTCATCTCCTCGACGCGAGGAGCCTTGCAGGGCCAGGTTGCGCAGGCGACGGGGGTTGCGTAACGGGCAGTGTTCTTGACGAGCTTGCTCCGGGTGTTGTTGTCGCGTATGAGGGATGTGGTGCTGTTCTTGGAAGACGAGCCGGCCGAGCTTTCACTTGCGGCTGAGCCGGGGCGGACGTCGACGTGAGAGAACTTGTAGCGGACGGCCTGCTCGGCGTCGCCTGCGGTGAGGAAGTCGTCGAAGTAGAAGGCCATTGTGTTGTAGTGATTGGCAACAGGGGAGGAGTTGAGTGGTCGGAAGAATACGTCACTCAAGCGAATGACTGATAGATCTGTGGGGAAGATTGCAACGTTGGAAGGGCGGTGATGGACTCTTGCAAGCGGATTCCGGGGTGGGCTCTGGGCTGGCTTTATCGGATGGCTGGCGGCGGGTGACGAACCCACATCACCGGGTCACACAGCAGTAGCACATCGTTGCGCGCGACTCAACGCCATGTCATTGGCGCCGAGGAAGCAGCGCGGCGTCGTTCGGAGCGCGATAGGCTCAGCCTCCAGGCCACGCGCTGGCTCGTGGTGGCTTGAAAGACTAACAGTAGCTCACTTCCTTTCCCGCTTTGCGCTTTGGGCCCCACCATTAAGCTTATCCCGCCAACTCTGCGGGACCCCTGACTACTGCTTTCGCGGAATCCCATTGACGTCGAAACTCTTTCTCGCTGTCGGCGCTTCCCTGTCTCTCTCACCCACGCCCATCGCAACACTCCTCCCTTCCTGCTGCCACCGCTCCGAGGCAGCCGCCGCCTTCAGCCGCCCGCCTTCAGCTGTAATCAGTGTGCCCACTGCCGATCTGATGATGCAAAGCGTCAGAGCCCCACGCCCTGGCACAGCTGCGCGACATCGCAACATCCCCGCTGATCGCATTTTCCCAGATGCGACGTTCCAAATCTTGCCATGTTCCCTGATTTCCCTGCCGCTCAATAACACGAGACCTGTCCCGTCATCGGCCGCCATCCCCGATCAGGCACACCTATCACGCCAAGCAATTATTTTCAATATATTCTCCCCCGCCACGGGCAACCCGAATTTGAGGGCGCCAACGTCAGTGCGTTCCCGCAAAGCAAGCTGAGGTCCCAGTACTCTGTCACGCCGTCTCCAGGGAAAAAGCTTGGGGGTTGCGCAACTCTAAGCACTGTTGATCAAACCGGCGGCGGTTGTCGCGTCTAGAAGATGCTGCTTGCATCTAGAAGACACCGCCACTTGCCTCATTATTTTCTCCGATCTCGCTGCACGTCAATCCAAAAAGCCCCCAACATCTGCCCCCCTTCCTGCCCCAGCGTGACCCGGGACGGTTCCCCTGTCAGGAAGAAGCAGCGGCCGCATCTGCCCATTTCTCCAACTCATTTGCTCGAGTCGAACGGATCTGCGCCGTATCGAGCCATGATCGTCAGCGCAGAGATGTGGTTCGTCAGTGGTGCAGTGGGGTTGAGCGAGAGCCGCAGGAAGCGCCCGGCGCCATTGTTATCTGCAATTTCTCAACGCCCATGATTTGGAAAACAATGGTCGATCCCCCATGGTATCAGATTTGCATTTTCACCGGTTGACTAGAGCTTTGTCACTGCAGAAGTTGCGCAAGAGTCAGACGAGGACTATCCTTTTCAACGACCGCGCGCCATGATTCGTTCAATCTACCTGATGAGCTCATTGTGGGTTTTACTAGCTGGAATCCCTACGGAGGTACCTGCGAGAACGTCATGAGGCCGATCGAACCCCGAGTATCTAGGTGTCCGTGTTCATCATTCTCTCTTTGATTTCACTGCCATCAGGGCACATGTCGTGGAAAAGCTTTGACTTTGGTGGCTGCACCCAATCCGTGAACCACAGAACAGCCTCGAATATCTCGTATCGGAGCCATTGACAGCACAAGGTCAGCCTCAGTAGATGTGCTGCGTCTCGCCGCGGCGGCGACAGCGCCAGCGTTTGATGAACGGCTTCGCGAAAGCCAGCATGAGCAGCAGAGCGAAGGCACCGCCGACGCAGGCGCCGATGGCGATCTTGGTGTTGGCCGGCATCTCGTGGACCGATTCAGCGGGGGACTTGGGCTTTTCGTTTTCGTTGCTCATGCTGGGCGTCGGGCGAGATCCTGGGAGGTAGTCACTGCACTCATCTTGTACGGTGGCATGTGCGACGGCTCTGCGACAGACCTGGGTGGTAGGATAAGGTGTGCGGCTGGAGGTTCCTGCGCGAACGAGCGGCTTGTAGTGTATGACGGAGCGTCGGTTGCTTGGCTGGGTACAGCGCGGTCAGCTTGTTGTCCTTTGCGGCCCGTTGGCGTTGTGAGTGACCAAGCGATGGAACTCACAGGAACGAACGTGCTCACGATTCGGAGAGAATAGTTCGGGTAGTGCGCTTGGCTTTGATGTAGAGCGACAGGCGGCTAGGTGTTCGCTAAATGCAAGATGGCGTGTGGTAAGTGCTTGGGATGAATCCTTCCGGAAAGGGAAGGCACCCGGGGGAAGGTGGCCCGCGCGCCTTCCGTCCTCGTGAATGCAAAGCACGCAACTTCAAACCTCCACTTCTCCAAACATCAACGCTTTTTCATGTCACCCACCATGTGCGGATTCAAGAGTGCAACTCTGGATCCTTGCAACGGCTTCAACACCTTGTACGCAATACACTTCATATGACCTGGCAATGTTGAAAATGCACAGAAGAAAATTGACTGGCATGGTACAGAGCAGCAGTGCCCTGCCTAATTTTATGCCCACGGTATCTCCATTCCTCTTGCAATCTGTATGTAAGGCCTAGACCGCTGCATTTGGGGCTCAACACTTACCCCAGCCTCCCTTGCTTTATTAATTGACCCCAAAACATTAAATGGAGATCAAACACTTGATGACGTCAAAGCAGCTTAAGGCTCAACGAAGAGAGGTCAAAGATCGGCACAAGGGTGAGGGGAGAGAGGGCTTAGTCACTGGCTTAGCACGGTCTGGGACGTACGCAGTGTCGAGGCTCCTCTTCTCCGGTCACTCCACCCACCTCAACGGTCGCACTACTTTCACCCCTTCAGCCAACCATGAGCGCTGCTGGCCCAACACCAAGAAACGATAGGTGCTCGCCGCCGCGTCGAGGCGATCGGCGACAGGACCCTAGCGCCACTTCCCCGCATCCATGCAGTAGTCACCACTCCCCCGCATCACTTGTCATCACCATAATGCCTGTCATCAGTCCACCGCGTCTACAGCGCATCAGCAAGACAATCTTGACCATGCTGGTCCGTCCAAGGCCTGCGAGTGGACCAAAGGGCCAACCGATTGAGTTAATGCACTCTCTTCCCCTCTCATCCGACACGTGCACGAGCGGCCACAAAACCTGCTGGACCTCTCCATCTCGAGATACCTACCCACCGTACTCCTAATGAGAAACCTATCCTTTCTGCCCTGATTATTCCGAGTTCAATTGAGTTTTGAAAAGTCATCTGCCGAACCAGAATGGCTCACGCCTGGTCCGATCTCCCCAAAGCCTTGGGAGGCGACAGTATCATCGCCAAAGTCAACGAGGCCCTGAAGACCGACGTCCAGTACCTAGCATTCACTAAAACAAATGCTATTGCCAATCCTGTGACATTCGGCATCAAGGCTGCCGGCAATGATGCCACAATCCTTGTCAATGTCGCCAATGCAAAGGGAAGCGCTGAGTTGGGCAGTCCAGACAAGGCCAAATTCACTCTTGTAGCACTTCCGGAACAATGGGAAGAGTTCTTCAAGCCTATTCCCAAGATGCCTTACCAGAGCTACTGGGGTATGCGTCAACGCCAACAGCCGGAACTGCATGGCTAACTCGGAACAACAGGATTGTTCGGCATGAATATCAAGCAGAAGGGTGTCGAGGTCTTAGGTGACCAAGATGCCTTTGCACACTACGCACACATCTGGCGCCGCGTCCTTGAGCTTCTTCATGATGCCCACTGTGGACCCATCCCCACCGACCCAGACCCGGCCGAGACGGACGACGACTTCATCACGGGTCGCTACATCTACGTGACGGCACCACACTGGGGGCGGACCAAGATCTTCGTCGAGAAGTCGGGCGTGGGGAAGCAGCACATTCTCTTCCTGCACACAGCCGGGTCAGACAGTAGGCAGTACCATGGCGTCATGAATGACAAGCGGCTGCGAGAGCGGCTGACCATGTACGCCTTCGACCTGCCCTCCCACGGCCGCAGCTTCCCACCGCAAGGCTCCGTACCGGGCTCGCACACCAACACCGAGGACGCGTACGTGGGCTGCATCGCCGCTGTAGTCCAGAAGCTGCAGCTGAACCGGCCCATCATCTGCGGCGCCTCCATGGCTGGCCAGGTCTGCCTCGCCATCGCCATGCGCAACGCCGAGGTCAAAGCTGGAGGCACGATTCCTCTGCAAGGGTAAGCACCGTCTCCCCATAATATTCTCTCACAAAATGTACATATCAGATACATATCATCACTGACTTCACACCCGCAGATCCGCCTACCTTAACATGCAACGCACCTTCAACGACGAATCCCCAGAAGTCAACCAAGCGCTGTGGAACCCAGAATGGGTCTACGGCATGCAGTCTCCCACAGCTCCGCCCAGCTGCAAGGCGCTGATCTGGCACACGTACTCGGCGCAGGCCTACGGCCTCTTCCACGGTGACCTCGACTTTTATTTCGGCGGCTGGGACGGCCGCGAGCGCCTCGCCTCGATCAACACGGCCGCCTGCCCCGTCTACATGCTCACCGGCGAGTACGACTGGTCCACGACGCCCGAGCTGGCGGCTGCTACCGCTGAGAAGATCTCTGGCGCCGCTCATAAGACTATGGAGGGCTTGGGGCATTTCCCGGCGACGGAGAATCCGGCCAGGTTCGTGCCGTATTTGCTGGAGGCGGTGGAGTGGATTCAGAGGGAGAGGAAGGAGAGGGGGGATTTGAGTGTGTTGAGGATGACGGATGATTAGGTTTGTGGGTGTGGTGGATGGCTGGTGTGTGCTGGTTTGCGTTCTTTCTTTTGTCGAAGTATTCTGAGCGCGTGAGGAGGGAGGAATGGGTATACATGGACTTTCTGTAAATTCTTTGCTTGCACCACTCTCGGGAGGCTGCTATATGAAATACTTCTTACGAGTTACGAGTTCGATGTCCGCGCTACTTCAGCAAGGCTGAGGTAGTTGAAGCATTTGTTCCGAAACGTGGGGTGCATGCAACGGTCTGAGATGGTTGACAGCAATCTTCAATGAGAGTGCAGTACTCAGAGTGGTCCTTCACCCATTGTTCTAAGCCCCAGATTACATTGAGATTGGATTTGATACTGTAAAAAGCTGTCTGGACTTGCCTATCTGTTTTTACACGCGTTCAGCGGAGATATGCGGTGAGATTCGCATGAATGGTGCGAGATGGCCCAGATTCTCGTACAGAGTGAGCATATCCAGGTTGGACTACTATGCCTGCGTCAAAATAAGGTTCAACGACTCGAACACTAATCGGATTTCCCGGGACTGCGAAGTCACGGGACAGACTTCCCCTGTGATCACTTGGTCGTACATATCCCGGTATGAATGCATTTAAGTTAGAAAAGAGATTTTGGGTTACTTCTCCTAGCGCAGAACTGCAACGCTGAATACCAGTGAAAGATTGGCATGGGATCGTGATCCCATGATGGGTCATTGTTACTGTCGCTTGTTTCCGCGTCTTCACCATACATTTTAAGTTAATATCCGATCTGTTAATGGTTTGTCTACAGGCGCCGCTCATCATTTGCGAATGAGTTTGTACTACATCATTTGGAGACATCACTGCGCATTCTTTGTTAATTTTGATGTAGAACGGTGATACGCGGATCCGACCATGACTCACTAAAGTATAGTTGGCCACCGCAGCCCGGGAGTCGCATGTCGATTAACGCGTTCGCTGCCGAATTTCAGTTCAACAGCCACCATGAAAGTGTTGCTCGTCAAGTTGCCTGTTGGCTTTTTAAGCATCGAAAAGTCGGGCGAACTTGCCAAAGAAGACTGGTCGCAAGAGTGATATACGTGAGTCATCACCCGTGTGCAGCTGCAGAAAGCGGGTCAGGAGATATGGTTGACGCAGGTGGCCCACGCGGGCTTGTGCGAAGCGTGCACGTCTGCCCTCAATCCTTATATAGGCTTTCCCTGGAGAAGTTTGCTGCTTTCAGTTCATCGTACACTCGTGTATGTAATTGGTGGAAAGTCCCACAGACAACTGCTCGCTTTTCGGCGTCTGTACTCGGCGGACATGGAATTCACTCGCTTCGACCTCAGGCCCTCCAGAGGTATTACAGGCTCTGTTGGAAAGTTCGAACCATGCGACAGTTCTGCCTGGCGGTTCAATGCACCATCACCAAAACTCAAAAATGCTGAAGAACTGCTTGAACCAACAATGTCGGGGGTCTCTGTTTGCGCTTTTTCTGCAACATTTGAGACCGTAGATTATGGAAATCTAACAGCGAAAGCGGAAAAGAGTGTGAGATGAGTAAGAAGGAATGAAAGAACGCCGCAGTTGGCTTCTCATTTCATGGCCGTCGCTTTCGAAGACTGAGCTTGCAATTGTTGTAAGTTGTGGAGGATGAGGCAGAGTGTCCAATGAAAAACATTGAAGAGCGAGAGTTCGGGTGAGCATGGGCTCCGAAAGATGGACGACTGATCAGGCACATGGCTTTCGAAAGCACCTCGTGACGTGCCCCCTGGAGCCGGATTTGCTTCCCAGCTGACATGATAGGCATCACTGCGTCTATTAAAGTGTAGACTCGATTGCCAATTTTTGAGCCTCGCTCTCTAAGACAAGTTGTGGGAGTTTCGGTCGCGGATGTCAGTGGTATACCAGTGGTATACTTTGGTCGGTTTCTGTGCGCGACTGCTCCTATACTCGTGGTTGGGTGCACGTGGAGTAGCCGAATTACTGGCATGCTTGGATTTTACAAAAGAGCCTCACTGTCCTCCATGAAGGAATATAGCTACTTCTGGTCAGCATCTTGTTAAAATTCTGGGTGTATGTACATAGTAGTAGGGGATTTTGTTCGTGGAGATATTATAGTAGAAATCGAGTTTAATCTGATTGGGCCTCAAGTGGGTAGTCGGCAGGGAGTGAGTTGATTTTAGATGGTTTGGATTGTAGAATATAGATATGGAAATGGCTGATTGAGTAGACGATGTCCGGACATGTCCAGATATAAGTGTTCGAGAGTGGCTCGACACATGACAATAATTGCTGCAAGGCAGATGACGCTACTTTCGCACGTGGCTGATAATACCAAGGTCAGCTAAGTGTTGGTGGGTGTAAGCTCGGGTGCTATTTGTGTATGCAACACGTCTCTGATCTGACAAAGAACCCACCCCGGTAGGATCCCGGCCCTATAAGAGGAGAGTTAGGCGGACTCGCTTAAATAGGCCGCGTCAGTAGGCTCTCCAAAGCTCCACCGGTAACAGTCCACATTGTGGGGGCCAACACGCCTCTCCGACCGAATACCTCACCGCAAGAAGAAAAAGGCCGCGGGGTGTACATATGGACGCGAGGGTACAGTGAAGAGCTCTGGGAGCGAGAGATGGTGGACGATGGACGACAGGTCATGCAGCAGGCGGCAGCTGCAAGGCCCGTCTGCCCCGCATGTCTCGATCTGGACTACAGCCTGTACGACGCGCCGCTGAGGGAGCCCTTCTTCTACCAAGGCCAGGGGCTGCGGTACCACATAACCTCGTTCTGGGAACTGGAGAAGCGCGCGACGCAGGGCTGCCGCATCTGCGCCGTCCTGCACCGCGGCATCCAAGCCGTCTGGGACGTCAAGCGCGTCGGGCTGACGGGCCATGCGATGCGCGAGTGGGAGCAGTACCGCTCCAAGGCCACCATGGGCCCGCCCGATCGCAAGGACTCTAAAATGGACGACGTCGCCTGGCAGCGCGAGGCCAGTAAGAGAACCTCGGAGGAGGACGAGAACGACAAGTTCTACCGGCCCTGCATCGAATTGCGCCCGGGACGCAGCCTGCTCGTCTCCAACGCCCTGTACAAGCGCGTGGTGCAGGCTGAGGGGCACTGGGGCCGCAAGTTGGGCCAGAATCCGCTGGAATTCGAGCACTTCCTGAGGCGGGCTCCTCTGGAGTTCTACAGCCAGCCCGGTAAAAGAAAACACCACGCACTACGACGAATAGCGGGATGCTTACATTTTGGAAAAGGACCAGCAACCACCATCCACCCGGCATTCGGACGCAAAGAGCACATCCCCGCCGCCCTCACCCCCGAGCACTACCAGCGCAAGCTCAACCAATGGCTGCGCGCATGCAGCACCCACCACCGCATCTGCTCCGACACCTCTACGACCGCCAACCCGCCCAAGCGCCTCATCTACATCCACCCGGACGGCGACGACCGGCACCTGCGCCTGATCGAGACGGCGCGCTTCCCGGGCTTCGCCGGCGCCGCCTACACGACCCTCAGCCACTGCTGGGGCAACGAATCCGACGCCCTGGCCCTCAAGAAGACGGTGCGCGCCAACCTGGACGCCCACCTCGAGCACCTGCAGGTCGAAACGCTCCCGCGCCTCTTCCGCGACGCCATCACCGTCACCCGCATGGTCGGCTGCCGCTTCCTGTGGATCGACTCGCTCTGCATCATCCAGGACAGCGCCGACGACTGGCGCCACCACGCGTATCGCATGGCCGACATCTACTCCCACTCGCACCTCAATATCGCGGCTACCGCGCTGCCCAATTCGGCGGGGAGTTTGTTCTTTTCGCGGACGCATGTGTATGAGCCTGGTGCGTTTGATAGGGAGAAGGTGCAGACGATTAGTATGGAGGCGAGGGAAGTGAGCGGTGGCGGTGGGGGTGGTGGTGGAGGGGAAGGAGGAGTGTGGGTGCGGCCCTTCCCGCAGATCACGCACGGCAACTTCCTGCTGCGCAGCCCGGAAGACCCGGCCAACCCGCTGCTGCAGCGCGGCTGGGTGTTTCAGGAGCGCCTGCTGAGCCGGCGCACGCTGCACTGCACCGCGTCGGAGCTGGTGTGGGAGTGCAGGGCGTGCACCTGGTGCGAGTGCGGCGATCTCGGGGACTGCAACGACGACGATGAACAACAAGAAGACGAAACGCAGGCCGTGCAGCAGCTCCCCACGAAGACGCAGTTCCAGAACATGTTCGAACCGGACTCGACGCCCCAGTCCCTGCTCTACGACTGGATGTCCATCGTCACCCGCTACAATCACCTACAGTTCTCACACCCGCGCGACCTGCCCTTCGCCTTCGCCGGCGTCGCGCAGAAGGTCGGCGACCGCATCAGGGACAGCGGTGGGAGCTACGTGGCTGGCTTGTGGACGGCCGATCTGCCGAGGAACTTGCTGTGGGTGGGCAATAAGAAGCGGATCGGCCACGACGAGGGCAGCCGCGTGTATCCCGTGGATTGGGAGAAGGCTGACGGAGGACCGCCTAGCTGGTCGTGGCTGTGGTATGCGAGCTGGCCTGGCGCCAGGAGCGCGCACTACTACGGGTATTTGGAGAGGGTCGAGGTGGATGCGGACGCGGTGGTGGATCTGGAGCGCCTCATTTGTAACACTGAAGATGGGAACCCGTTTGGGAGCGTTGTTGAAGGTGTCTTGAGGATGCGCGGGCGTGTTATCCGGGGGAAGCTCCGGACGGGTGAACCGAAATTGGTCCCGAAGGGCTTCTCGTACAGCCACGTTAGAGAGGATGCGTACGTCACCTTTGAGAAGTTTGGCCGCACGCTGGGGTTCCCGATTGGCACTGATTGCTACCTCTTCGTTCGAGACTCGGAGGGCCAGGAGATCGAGCAGGAAGTTACATGCTTGCTCGTAGGTCATGAGAGAGAAAGAGTTGATGCTAAATGGTCTAAAAAAGAGCTTCGTTTCTTCGTGCTCATTTTGGCGCGAGCTGGGCAAAGGCGAAGCTACAGGAGAATAGGTATCGCACGATGGCCCAAGTCAAGCCAAGTGTTCAAAGATGAAGCTGTTGCCGAGGTAGAAATAGAGTAACTGGAGATCGTGTGAAAGCATAAGTTCTATGAGTTTTGGGAAGCGCTGTTCGCCCTTGACATCAGCTCCAGAATAATCCTTCATTGGAAAATGGTTGAAGCTGGATATTGATTAGACATGTAAGACCGTGGATGGGCTGTCTCAAGGCCCAATACTCTGTGAATTTGCTGACATATCCATGAACAGTGAATCGGAAATCCTCCTATGATTACTCAATTTCAATTTCTGAAAGCCTAAGAAACACCCTGCCAACAACTGAAGGCTCGCTGCTATTACCACGCTCCTGCCAATCTGAAATGCTTCAGTGCTCTGTTTTCTCATATTTGTTTCGTTCATCAACTCGCCTGAAAGTTTGTTCACATCCCGCGATTCGACAAGGTGGTCTGCCTCCTTGACGTTTTGCAGTGCGAAAGTGCCTGTGCCAGTTACAATTTGTCTTAAAGGACTTGCCACATTCTTCGCAGTACCAATTCTTCTCTCTAGAGGGTTTCGTCTTCTTCAAGGCAGATATTTCCTCCTGCGAGGACGTTCGCTTCCTGGAGGGGGCTCGGCCGTTGAGGGTGGGATGTTGATGGGTCGAGGTGCATTATGGAGAAAGGGGAGCGAGACTCGCAATGGTTATATACCTCGTATGGTGACTTGCGAACAGGCTTGGGACCATTCAAACTAAGGAGCTGGTCAAATCATATACTGCATGATTCCCAGGTTCCCGTTGTATGGCAAGAGAACAACTGTTTCTGATGTGGGTATGGGGTTTAGTCTGCACGCTTGCCGGGGGCGGGGCTCGTTGCCTAACGGATCAGCTATGGCGCCACAACCCGTTCGGTCCATGACGGAAGCGAAGTGTTACACAGTACACTGCTGGCTGCGAATCTAAGCGGAAGCGACCGAGTCAGCTTCAGCCTTCTCGTGTTTTAGACCCCAATGCATGAAAGATTCCCAAAACCTGACCAATCATGACACTGCACTTTTGTATGGGAATCAGCATCATGGCAATTCATGATTAGGCCGCCTCTTTTGGGAATCAGTAACGTGGTCAGAGTCTTTGAATACCGGCGACCATTACTGCTTCACTGCTAGCTAGTGTTGCACCAGGAATCGAGAATCGGGTTGGATCGGGCAGCGGAGGCTAAAGGAATTGATTCCCATCGAGCATGAATGCATACTAAGTTGTCTATATATTTCGACCTCATCTCGAACCCAGCTTAATGGATACTTCAAAGCATCAGGTTCAAGACAATTTTCACAAGAGGAATCAGAATGTCAGATCAAAAAGCCAACAAAGGACCGAGGCAAGTAGTGCACCTGTCTTCGTAGAAATGAGGAATTGTGCGCTAATACTGCAAAGAAGACATCAGAAACAGGACTACCCACTTCAAGGCACGGGCTCCTGGACGGAGAACTGCGCAGGTTCAGATCATCAGAATCGTCAGGCCTTTGATTCCAACCAAACAACTCCTCTGATACCATCATCGGGACAACAGATCACCAACAACGGTGATCCAATGTGCCGATTCCTCAATGAAGTTCCACACGATGCCGGCCAGGTCATGCTGTGGATCGGCGAGCCGCGGCGCAACGATTCAAACAAATGAACCCTATGTCAACGAAAAAAGTGCCCCAAGTGGGAAGTTTCAGGGTGGAATGAGGGTATTTTTCTTCTTTGAGGAGGCTACTGGACGATTTAAGCACTGGTCAATGGTTTCGTAGATGTGGCTCATAGTTCAGAATCAAGTCATTTTACGAATACTTTGCACATAGACATTTATGGTGTAAAACTCGAAAGGACTATCACCATCTTAACCAAGATTGAGATAACCGCATGCAACAAAATCTTGAATTTTGTTCCTATACCAAAACGCATATCAGTAACACAGACTAAGCACTACGATCCGGGAACAATTATTAAGCTTGATCTGCATTCCCAAAATTGAGTGCGGAGGCAGTTCGTCCTGATAGCTCCTCCTCCACAGTTTTCCTCCAGCCGAAAAGGATGTTGAGAGCTGTTCGAATATGGTCAATGGACAGTGGCAATTTCTGATGCAGCGCTATGGATATCCCATTGCTGATTAGATTCTTGCCGGCCATTGAGGTCATGACTCGCAAGTTCATCAAGATGAATATCATCAATCGTGGTCTGCAACTGCGTAGCCTTGGTAAGTCTGCTGAAAAAGGTCCGCCATAATTGCTTGCGGGAAGCGAAGTCAAGGTCGGGATAGTGGAGGCTGGAAGGGCGGGCGGCGCTGCCGGTCGGCGTGTATCTGAGAGAAAAGGAGGATCTGGGTGGGTGGGCTGGGTCGGCGTGTGGAGTGCGGTTGCCGGAGAACAGGGGCATGGGCCGCCTGGATGATAAGGTCGAGAGATTTGATGTGGATGATGGTTGTGATTTGGAGCCTTATATTGTTTAGCGGTTGATGTCTCCTATCTCAGGAAGAAGCTACTAATAATAGTGGCACAGTCCCATGTCCTACCAGACTTTAAGAACAAATTCCTACTTGATAGCTGTTTCTGTACACTTATTGCCAGATAGCCTTGTTCTCTTCCACAAACTCGTCAAATGTCTGGCCCTTACTGCCAGTGATCAGCTCTAACTCGTCAGTCTGTATCTGCCCGTCGCTTTCATTCTTAGCGGCATTCGCCTCGGTCATGGCCAGGTAGTTGGCCCAGTATTCCGGCAATCCGTTCTTGAGGAAGTTCTGCCTCCTGTCCTCCTCCGACATCTTCACGTGCTCAACTTTCTTCCCAATACCCTTGCTCAGCTTCTCGGTGATCTGCAGAAAGGAATGCATTAGCCAAAAAAAAGTGGAGCTGCAGGGGTGTAGAGAGAGAGAGATCACGTACCTCATCGTACGTCAGCTTCTCCGGCCCGGTGACGCGATGCCTGTTGGACTTCAGCTTGTCCGCCGTCGTAAGCAGCTTGGCTGCCATGGCAGCGATGTCCTTGGCGCTGATGAAGGGGATCCTGCCATCGCCCGTCGCCGTGTGCAGCTTGCCTTCGGTCCGGATCTCCTGCAGGTGCCAGCCCTCGGAGAAGTTATCTGCGTGTGGACGATTATTCTCGTCAGATCCTTGCTTCTTTCGGGAATTCGGGGCCAGAAAGAAGGATTTCCACTCACCCATGAACCACGTCGGCTTCAACACGCAGTGCTCGACACCGACGTCGATCAAGTGCTGCCACACCTCGCCCGCCATGGGCGTGCCCGGCTCGCTCGAGCCGCCGCCGCACATGACGAAGCGCTTGACGCCGTGCTTCTTGACGGCGTAGTCGATGAAGTCGTTGGCCGCCGCGACGATGCTGAAGTCGGCGCCGAGGACGATGTAGGCGGCGGTAATAGTCTCGCCGCCGGGGAAGCTGTGGTCGAACGGCGCGCTCCATGTTGACTTGTCGTACCAGTCGAACTTGACTTTGGGCATGCCGGCGGGAACGGCGTCGGGCCGGCGCGCGGCCATCACGAATGGGACGTTGGTGTCGCGCAGGATGGCGCCGAGGCGCACTGAGGTTTTGGCTGTGCCGCCGGTGACGAGGATGGCCATTGTTGTTGGGGGAAAGATGGGGATTCGAGGGTTTGTGAGAGCTGTGTTTATCTACTGTATGTTGTGTTGATGTATTTGGATCTCTTTTATGTAGTTCAATTTTAACTCCGTTCGGTGGATGCTAACTCCGTTGGCCGGCACCCCGAGTGACGTCGAGAACTAACTCCAGTAACTCCGCTGTGGCTGTGTCTGTGGTCAGCACTAGTTCGAGAGAAGTCTGTCTTGTGGCTTGGATCATCAGGAACGATAAGAATGCAGGTCCAATCTTGAATTGTGCCACCATTTCTGCTGTAATTGGGCTCGAATTGGTCTAGCGCTATTCCGAGAAGGAATTTTGTGGGGTTGAGGATGAGTTGGCTGATCAGCAACGTCATCTAAAAAGCAAAGAAAAAAGCGGGGAAAAGAAAACCTATGGAGAATTCGTCAACATGCTCAGGATACAGATAATATGCGGTTCGGCATACGTACACATCTGAGAGGAGCTGGGCTACGGAGAACTGATATTAGGAACAAAAAAGAAAGAAAAAACCATGTAAAAAGATCCCGGTAAGCTCTCACGTCAAGGGGTAAAGGATGTCCGGTCATGACAAACATAGAAGGAGAGGCAAAAATGAGAATTAGCACCCCCTAGTTCTTTAAAGAGAACGCCTGATAATAACGAATTAAAATGGGAAACTTTTTCGAGAGCCCCAACTCCCATACTCCTAAAGTTGTGCTGGAACGGACTCCAAATGGTTACGGCGCGAGTTGATGCGGAGTTGCCTTTCCTCCCAGTTCATGCGGTTGTGGTCTTCCACTCAGTTCCTGGACAGGAGACGATTCCATTTCGAATCTTTCGGGAGGAGGTGCTTCATGGATTTCAGACCTCTTTCTTCGCGACCGCCGCCACAACAAAAAGCCCAAAAGCGGCAACGCAACGGCTCCCAATGCGGCCCCAACGCCGATTCCAGCCCCGGCACCAGCTGAGAGTCCAGAATCCCCTGTAGAAGTTGAGACGGTGGTGGGGCTTGCAAGGGTAGTGGAAGTCGCAGCGGCCGATACCAGTGTTGGAATAGACGTTGTGACAACCTCGCCTGAAATGGTTGTCGTCATGTTGACCACTCTCGCGTACGGAATGCTGGTGGAGAAAACAGTACGCTCGTCGTAGTCACTGGAACAACAGTCCCGGAGAAGCTTACTCCTTCCGCAGCAATATGTCTCTGTATCTGGACAATACGCCAGTTCGCAATTTCCTGCGCCGTCCTGCCACGCTCTTTAGATTGTGAGACTGCACCGATCAAAAGGAGCCCACCTGGTAGCAAGAATTGATGAATATTTTCATGTCCTTACAGGCCGGATCATTCCATGTTGGGTCCGTGCATGATTCGATCCAAAAGCCTTGCTTGCCTTCATCGTCCGGGGCGACTTGATCGTTGTTGGCACAAAGCCCATTCGGTAGGCACCAGTCGGGCGACCAGCCATTTTCTGCGAAATTGTGGCAGCACATTGAATACGCTGAAGCCTGGTCGCACGGTGTATGCGTGCGCTTCTGCGCTGTGCCATCGGCTCTGTAGCATGTTGTCGATGAGTTGTCCCTCATTATGGGCGCAGGGCGTGGGAGAAGGAGCGAAACAGAGGGCGCCAGAGTATAAGTATGTATCACGCTGAGTGTGGGGGACGTGCATGGCCAAGGGCTGAAGTGTCTCACATGCCTGGGGTCATGCAGCTGATGCTCGCCACATCACAAACAAACTTGTCCCATTTGGCAGGCCACGAAGCAGCATTACAGACTTCTGTGCTACATTACATGCCCACCAATCCATCTTAGCTCCTACTTGGTCTGCAACGGTAGTACAGAGGCTCACCACTGTTGAAATCTATTCGACGCGTGGAGTAGGGCTTACATTTTTCCCAATTTGGGCATTGTACAATTGTCAATGCAGTTGCTGACTCACGCATGAGAGTGGGTCGATTTTCCCTTGGCGTCAGCCCGGCTCGAGTTAATTTGACTCGGGAAGGGAAATCCCTTTAGCTGGTGTTCTAATGGTTGCTATTCGCCTGAAACATTGTGTCACATAATTGTGGTAAAGGCGGCGGTAGGTGGACTCCAGGCGGTATCTGGGTCCTACATGATCAAACCCTTACAGATGAGAGCCGAAAGAAAGGGGTTACCGCAATGGGACTCATGATTCAGAGGCTATCAGAACATATTTCCAATTTTGAGAGCTAATTCGGGAGAATTGATATCACTTTAAAAAAAATATAAAGGCAGGAAAAGAGGAGGGAGTGGTAGCAAGTCAGTGATGCAGCGGTGGTGGTAGTGGCGGCGGTGATAAAGACAGCCAACATCGCAGATAGAAGATAGTTGATGTACAGAGATGAACTACATTCTATGCGAGACCGTATTTGGCGCGGATAGCTCTATCGGACAGAAATGCGCGCGGTGCGCGAAGAAGCGTTCCGCGCGGACGCGCTGCTCGGGGACGTGTTACGCGGGTGAGCAAAATGCATGTATATAAGGCCATTCAGTAAGCCATTCTGCCACTACAAACCCCGGTCAAGGGCGAGATTAGTGTACCATAGCGAAACCCCCGAACTAGTGGTGCCGGCTGCTTGGATGTTCAGACTGGGTTCCGGCCATTATTGTAGGAACATCTTCAAAGGGTTTCAAGTTCGATTCCCCCCTCTTTTTTGCATTTTTTTTTCCCTCGCCTTTGTTCCCACCGTCTTCTTCAGCCTGGCCGTGGGGATCATGCAGTATGAGATGCTGCTTTTCCCCGTTGGCCCAGCACGAAAACTACCTCGCAACACGTAAATATCAACGGTAGACAATCTTCTATGCAGGCGCTTTGTGAACCCAAAGGGTTTTCATACCATGCGCATGGTGTCTGGATCCTACATTTGTTAATGAACATTATCATCTTCTTGTCGTGGCGGAATCGCCCGCCACGGCAGAAACAATGGCTTGTTCATTCTTGTACAGAATTTCCGCAAAAGGTCTTACTTAGATAGCATTATAGCAATGGCACCATGGAATGCTCCCGGAGAGTGGTATCTGACGAATGTGTGGGCTCCATGGTCTTCTATTCGGAACAGTGTAGTCGCTTCAGACGTCTTGCCCTCCACGAAGCTCGGGCGACGACAATGACTGTTGCAGCCACAACGGCGAACACGACACGCAGGACAATAACCGCACCGTCCCCGACGACAACGAAGGCCAAAATCCCGGAAGCGGGCCCAAATGCCCCGTCCGCCACGAAAACGCAGAACGCTATCTCCTTCAGCCACGACAACCTCGAGCCGGTCCCACGCAAAAAGGCCAGCCCAGCCACCCGCGACTGCTTCGTTACCCCACTAAGCCCTCCTCACCCGCAAGTTTTGCAGCCGCCCTATCCATACCAAGGTCCTCACCTCCTCCCCCGATCCGGGCATCACGATCGACATTCGTCAACGCGGGCTCGCAAGCGCTATACCGAACGTCCTTCCGCAACGAACCTTGACAAGGATACACAAGGCGTCTCTTGTCGCATGACTGCACCCGACTGCGCCGGGAGAATGGCCCGGAATAATTGAGACTAAGGTGAGAGGAAAACCGTATGGGCTGAGCCTAGAAGTAGTGGAGCTCTTCAAATAAAAGCCTGGTTGGATACTGACTTGATCTTGAGCGAGAAGGACTGTGCAGGATGGCAGCAATCTTTCGACTTCAGATACCATGAATCTAAAAGTAAACTTGTAGCTGGCAGAAGTCCCTTTCAAGATTACGACGAGAGGATGGTTCAACAGGTATATTCATTCTTTGAGCTTAGAGAGAACGGATAGATAAAGTTGCTACTGAAAATTGCTTTAAATACAAGGAGAAAAATTTAGACAGCTTTCTTGTGACCATATTCCGTGCTTAGAGACTATAAGTAGACGCATTGCTCTTGTCTAGAAAGATTTGAGAAGTACCATGCAAGCTTTTTGGCGAGACGCCACTTGTGTTGTGCTAATCCTAATTCGATATCTTATTAATTATGACTGCAGGCCTACCCACACTGCCTGTAAGACCAATAAGGAAGAAGGGAACCTACTATTAGCGCTTTTAGCGCAAGTGATGTAAAAGGACTGGCAGGGAAGCTGACTCAACACATCCATATATTATCCGGCGAACTCTTTTCGCCGAGGTTTACTTCTTAGTGAGGTCCCCTAGTTAACCTCACTACGGTCACTGTAGCCTTCTTGCGCCCACATCCTGATACAAGATTCAAAGCAGGTACCACCCGTCTGATTTGACGATGGTTATAAATTCGGTGACTGCCAGCATTCTATCGGAGACTATAGGTTTGGGATGTGCACCAGTGGTCTTTCAATTCACTTGTTAATGCAAAGTGGACGTTTGCTCTGAATGTACTGTACAATAGGACATTGATAGAAGTTCTATCGGAGAATCATCTTCATTATCAACCCCTTGCTGTGACAGCGCAAGAAATGTAAAGTGAGAGCAAGGCCCTTAGAACATGGACTCGCTTAATGTGAACCTTCAAGGTGTGCCATCCAAATCCGGCCAAAACTACATCTCCCCATAGAGCGGCTTGTCACGACCCTCGGTCAAAATGCGCAGGAGTCGGCCATAGAGGGGATCATGGAAGCTCTCCTCATCCTCCTCCTTCTCCTTCCTCTTCCGCTCCTCCTCCTCCTGCTCCTTCGTCTTCCTCTCAGGTCCGCTTTCGCGCCATCCCCTGTCCAACTCGTAGTAGAGTGGGCCAAGTCGAGGGTCCGAGAGTATGGAGCCATCCGAGTCTGAATCGCTCTCTCCTTCCATCTGCTCGTCCCTAGCCCCCTCATTGTCCTTCTGGCTTGCTTGGTAGTCTTCCTCAACGCTGGGAATAGGGATATCTGGATCCTCAACGCTGGGCATAGGGATGTCTGGATCCTCGATGCTAGGAATGGGGACGTCCGGATCCAGGTTTTCGACATCCATCAGGGAAAGCTGGGGGATCCTGTTCCTTGCATGCTTCTGCAAGTTCTGTGACTGGCGGTGCTGCATGTACTGCTGAGCTGAGGCAGAGTGCTCTGAGGTGCTCATAGCCGCCATGTTTCCCAGCCTCTTTGACCTGTTCTTGGTGCCAGTCTCGGTGGGATACGCCTCAGGCCAGAGCTTGTCAGGGCGAACCAGACCGGCAACTAGATCGGCCATGACGTTTCCCTCTACGCCACGGTGTCCGGGCTGCCAGTGAAACTCGAGCTTAACGTCAGGGGTCTCCGACAGCTCCACCATCTTCTGCATGACCTTGAACAAGAGCGGCCAGTCCCAATCAGGCAACTGGCGAGTCCTCGCCATCTTCAGGATCACCTTTAGGAGCGTCTGAGCATCGGTGAAGATCAGCAGCTTGGCGATGGTGAAGTCGACTGCCAGCCGCTCCTGTGCCACAACCATGGCCCGGTAGAAGCCGTCCAGCTCGGCGTTGTTGTTGCTGAAGAGCAGAGGGGTCGGGTAGCCGCGCATCTGCCATTCCTTGTCTGTCGGGTTCTTCCTGAATGCGACGCTTGAGCTTGTCCACCTGCGGCTGGCCGGCTTGACCTTGCACTCCTGGCCGCCCAGGTGCACCTGCGTGACACCAGCAGGGATGTTGCCAGAGGCCGATCCGTCGCAGAAGAGAGCCAAAACGCCGTCATCAGCGCGGCGGTCAGAATATCTTGTCGCGAAGGCTTTCGCCTTGGAATGGTCCTTCTCAAGCCTGACGAGCGCGGCGCACTTGGCCACCAGCGGTTCGAAGTCTTTCCAGGTGAGCGGGGCGGGCGGCGGGTTCATCAGCACCGCTATGGCGAGCGCGGTGGGCGGGTGGTCGGACATGGTGTTGGTGAGGTGGATCTGCTGAGCATCAGTATGGCTGTTCTGGTGATAGCTGTCGCCTCGTATTTGGGCGGCGAGGAGAGGTGAGCTTACGGAGCGGGATAGAGGGAGGAGCTGTTGCGCTTGCGCGCTCTGCGGTGGTCTTGGTGGTGGTCGCAAGCTGGCAGCGACGGCGGAGCTGCGGCGGTGCGACGGTGGAGGTTGTGGGTGTTGTCGCGGATTGGAAGATGGCGACGATGATATGGACAGAGGACACGGCACGGACCTGACGCGCCTTCCTCATCTGTGCCTTGGGCTACCGATGCGCAGGTGAGGCCATGTTGCCTAGGTGAATGTCTGCTAGTACTTTCCATGCTCAAATCACTTTTCACCTGCCACTGTGCTCCAGCGAGGCCAGAGAAGATACATCAACCCAAACAGGCACACGTCACGAATCCGACTTTTGAACCACTCCCTGGATATGCATAAGATGTAAATATGCTTCCAAAGAGCTATATAACTGTTTCCGAGTCCACCAATCCGCCATTGCTGTGAAGAGGCGTTGCTTGAAGCATTCTTATATGCTGAAAACACTTCGCGATTACGTGCAAAGAACATACGTTTTAGGAAACATAAAAGAATGACACTTATTATAAGTGATGTATCATGATATCTATGCTATTTATAGTCATTATTCCGCTCTGTGGGTGTTTTGTGACGGAAGTGATGAGACGGGAGGACGGCGGGGTCGCTGTAAGCGGCAACTTGGCGACGGCGGCGCTTGCCACTTTCCTTGCATTAAAGCACTTATTTCAAGCAGTAAAACATTTAATACTACGGAAGCGTAGTTGGAGCGGTAGTCCGGACGCAAATGTTGGATTTTTAATTTTGCAAACGCGTCCAGATAAGAGCTTCAGATCTCCCAAGTTGTTGTAATTTATTACATGCAGGCTACCTTGGTTACCACTTTACTCTCTGCTAGAAATATGTGCAATGCCGCATGGAAATTATGGAAAGGGAAAGCGGCGCCCCACTAAGCGGTTAATTACTGCCGAAGGCGTTGTTGGCAGGTGCGATCATCAAGAGGGGTATTTAGTGCTTTCTCTCGGGTAGCTCAATACATCACCCGTTCACCTCCTCAGCATTCGCGCATCAGCCCAGCCGCACAGCGTGTATGCGCTGGTGTGAAATTCTCAACAACCGGCCACCCCACCACACCCACCGCCCGCACCGCAAGCACCATATCTCCCGCAGCGTTCCTGAGTCCGTCGGCCGATTTGGCCATATTTGTCGCTCTGCTTTTGGCGGTTTTGTTCGGCGGATGGGCGGATGCCCAGTCGCGCGCGCTTGGCTTCGGCTTGAGCATCCTGTAGTTAAACTCCTTCCGGAGACTTACCGTCTACAAAACGAGCCCATCAGAGTGTACACTCCTCAAGAGAACTTCTGGGGAACGATCTCCAAGCGGGAGCAGAGGAGATGGGAGCTAATGAATGAGATGTTCCAGGAAGAGACAGCCCAGTGGGAGGAGAAGCAGAGGCTGCTAGAGTACGGCCATATAGAAGTGGAGGAGGAGGTGGAGGAGGTGGAGACGAATACGGAGAATAGCGAAGAGGAGAAGCATCTAAATGCAGAGTAGGCTCGATTTCATGAGGTATTGGGAATGAGTCCTCCTTGGTAAGTGTTTACCCTTGAGAACAGCTCCTCTTGGGAACAGGTCTAAGTTACGCAGAACCCTCAGCATCTTCTCGCCTCTCTCGCCTATGCAACCAAGTAGCGGTAAGAAACCCCAGCCACAACAAAGTGAAAAACGCGATACTACTTGGCCAGCCAGCTTTCCACTGTGGTGCTCCCCAGTCTCCTGCCGTGGGAAAGAGCAGCAGAGGGACCCATATGTTGAAGCTGTAGCCAAAGGACATCATAGCGCCCTGGTAGAGACCCGAATGAGTCAGCTAATGCGTATTGAATCTCCAGACCAGACCATCTAGAGACTTACCACCGTGAGCGCTCGCTCTTCCGCATCATCCTTCAGCACAGTGTTTACAGTCGAGTACAAAATTGGGCTCGAACAACCAGCCAGACCGAACGCGTACCAGGCGACAAACCTACACATCACATTAGCACATACATTCACTTCTTCACACCATTCATTTGCCATCCACATTATCGCCGCTCACGGCCCTTCCACCATTGACGCTACACATCACACACATCGGGGAGTTTAGGCTTACTTTAACGCGGTGGGGATATTCCACACGGTCATACAAATGCTCGAGAAGACGCACGCCGCCATCGCAATCGAGTAGATGACCCAACTCGGATAGATGGTCGCAAGGGTGGTGCCCAGCCAGGACGAGAGGATATTGATGGCATTCAGAGCGGTTGGAAGTTTATTGATTTGGGGGACGGAAAAGTTTTCGGCCTTGAGCCACAAGTTCATGTAGCTGACGGGGTAGTAAGAGATGATCATGCAGCTGATTGGACGAGACACCGGTCAGCGGAATTTCGAATGAATTGCTCTTTCTAGCTCCCTGCTTTTCCTTCTGCTGTCTTTGTTTTGGGTCGTGGGTTGAGGGATTAAGAGAATGAGTACGCACATGTAGCAGAATACGAAGATGTAGATGTGCCATCGGCTCAGGCTGCGTTTGAAGACGTCGAGGGTAAGCTTGCTCGGCGGTCGGACTTTCTCCTCAGCCATCCGCGCTTTGGCGAGGGTGATGTCGTCATGGGTCAGAAAGATGGGCTTGGGCGACTCGGGAATGCCTGGGAAGATGATGTAGCCGGCAAGAGCGACGGGGATGGTGAAGATTCCATCTGGTGAAGGTCAGAAATACATCGCTGGAGCTTGATCGCGTTCTTTGTGAAGGGAGAAATTGGTACCTATGATAAAGAGCCAGCTTTGATAACATCAGCTTGATGAAGAGAGAGTAGAGATGGGATGAATCTTACCGCCACCCTGACAGACCGGCGACACCGGAGAGGTTCGTGTATGCCGCAGCTTGAAGGTAACCGCTGACCATGGTCCCGAGCGAGTTGCAAATGAACCAGGTACCCGCCCGCTTGAACAGCTCCTGCTTGCGGTACCAGCTTCCGAGGATGAAATGCGTTCCGGCGAAGACAGGGGCTTCGAACAGCCCCACGAAGAAGCGAAGCGCGTACAGCTGTCGTGCGCTGGTGACGCGGCTTTGCGCGAACGTGAGGATGCCCCAGGCAATTTCCAAGGTAGGAAGCATGTATCGGGCGCTGCGTATGTTAGTATCTTCTGCTTAGAGGGGGCAGACTAAGGGCGCATACAGCGTGGGGCGGGATATGAGCAAGAGCATGGGTATTTGAGCAATGACGTAGGCCGTGAAGTACATCACGTTGAAGTAGTTGAGCTCATTACCGTAGAGTTCGAGGTCCTCTTTCATTCCTGAGGTGTAGGCATTGCTGATGTTTGATTGGTCGAGGTATTTCGTGAAAACTTCGAGGACGGTCAGAAGGTGGGAGAGCTACGAGGAGAATGGAACAAGGAGGGGAACTTACAGCACAGGCATGCAAAAATGAGGATGGAGAGGTCAAGCTTGAACAAAAGTCTGATCGGTAAGCATCTCGAAGTACAATCTGAGCCGTCCGGTACTTACTTTCGCTCTTCGGCGGGATAGTGAGACGGATACCAATTGAACACTTCTTTTATTACACCCCATAACGTCCTCGGTTGGCCCTTCTCAATCTCCATTTCTGTTTGTGTCTCGTAGACACGGCCACGCTTTGGGTCGGTCATCGTACCAGGCAGATGCTTTGTACTTTCACTTCGAGGCAGGCGAAGCCAGATTGCCGGGTAGACGCTTTATACTTCCTGTTGATATAAACGACGCCAGATTGACAGAAAATGAGCATCAACGGAGTAGATAACGGTTCCAGAACAAAGTATCGGGAGCAGGGGCAGGAAGGAGATAAAAGTGCAAGGAAGTTCGTGCGACTTGCGCGAGCCGCGTTGCGTCAGTGCCATTCTCACTCAAGCACATGGCTTGCGTGCTTGATCAACCCCATGCCGGCACTTTCCCACCTGTGGCCGTGCTTATGATGGTCATAGCTTCGGGAAGGAAGCTTGTTTGGACTAGGCTTCGCATGTGGCATCCAGCATCCTACCGTAGTTATGATGACAAAGATACTAACCTGAACATTTCGCTTCAGAGTATCAGGAGAACTTTGCCACATCATTGTATACCAGGGCAAAGCAAGTCGCAGCTTGTTATGCAGCTATTTGGTGTCTTTGCATTTTTAGTCTCTTATCTTCTCGGCGTTTGACCAAGTAGTTGAACATGGATGAGAGCTTGCTCTATCTATCAGAACGAGTGAAATACAAAGCAGTCGGGCTTCTCTACAGCACAGTTCTGGGTACTGGTAAAAGAACTGCGGGGCTCCTATCGGGCAAGCTACGTTAGCCATTGAACGTTTTGATATTATAACCCGCGGCCCCAAGGGCAAAGCTGCGATTCCACTTAGCATTTCTAAAATAATTTTCACAATGGATAATTCTTTACGAAGCGTCGGAGATAGCGAACGATGGGTAACGGCGGCAGCGCCGATGTTGTAAGAGCTTCCCCGCATTGCGTGCTTCACCACACCAAACAATGCGTCTCTCCAACCACGCCGTCCAATCACCATTCCTTCGCACCCGTCTTACCTTTAAATTCTGCTAATCTTCGGCAACTCTTCATGCAGAGCAGCTCGGGAAGGATTAGCACTTTGCCGCCCCTCACTGTTTCCCCAATCTCGGGCTCCACTTTCGCCGGGGCCGATAGACAGGCTGTGAGCGGATTGGATGGAGATTATCTATGGTGTGATTGCCGACACCGGTGATATCATATCGGGCGGATTTGAAAGCGGATATTGGAGGGGTAGGTGTTGGGTGGTCGGCGACCAGACGGGGACGAAGTGGGAGGGGGTACTTATACTGTCATGCATTAGCACTGTCCAGGCGGGGAAGCACCAACCTCAACTTTCAATTCTACGAATCTTACGCTTTCTGGAAAAACCAAAGCAATAATGCCTGGCAAGGTCATTTCACCGTACGAGCAGGTCCCGGTGACCAAGGCTGATCGTCAGTGCCTACCTCTCAACTGTCGCTTATTTCGATTACTGATGAGGGGAGTTGTATAGTCGACTGGGCTGAGCTCGTTACGCTTGATCTGAGCCAGTTCGACAAGCCGGGCGGCAAGGAGAAGCTTGCAGAGCAGCTCACGTATGCGGCGCAGCATGTTGGTTTCTTCTATGTGAAGAACTTTGGCATCAGCCAAGAGGAGGTCGACAGACAATTCGCGCTGGGTCGTGAATTCTATGACCTGCCGTTGGAGGAGAAGTTGAAGTACCACAACATCAAAGATCTTGAGAGCGGAGAGTACAACGGATATAGGCCTGCTGGTCTGCGGAAGTAAGAGCTCCTTGACCGTTTTCTCTAGGAATTGCAAGGGCTAATCGAGGATCAGTCTCACGGAAGATGGTAGCATCAAGGACAACATCCAGGTGTACAACATTCCCAAGTTCGACGGTTTCCACAAGCGCCAGCACCCGCCCGTTTTGTCAGACCACATCGACGAGATCGAGGACTTCAGCCGGGTTAGCTCACCCTTGCTCCTTCTCGTACCCCCAGCTCTTCCACAAAGCTAACCTTGTCCTCCATGTAGAAATGTCACGAGTTCGTCGTCAAGAAGCTTCTGAGGCTCTTCGCTATCATCCTAGAGCTGCCTGACGAGGAGCAACTGGTGCGGGAGCACGTGTACGACGACAGGGGCGAGGACCACCTGCGGTACATGCACTACAAAGCGCGCACGCCCGAGGAGAACAAGCGCATCGGCAGTCTCTTCGCCCCCGGTCACACTGACCTGGGCAGCGTGACGCTGCTGTTCCGGCAGCCGGTTGCGGCGCTGCAGATCCTCAACAACCAGGGCCAGTGGAAGTGGGTTAAGCCGCAGGACGCGACCATCACCATTAACATCTGCGACGCCCTCAGCGCCATCACCGGCGGCTACCTGAAGAGCAGCATCCACCGCGTGCACGCGCCTCCCGATGACCAGGCGCACGTCGACAGGTTGGGTGTGCTGTACTTCGCGCGGTAAGGCCCCTCCTGAGTAGATCCAAGTTTTCTAGAGAAGGACATGGAGCTGACGAAAATCCGTTTAGGCCGAACAACCACGTCGTGCTGGACCCGATCAAGAACAGCCCGCTGCTGAAGCGCCTGGGCCTGGAGGAGAATGAGTTTACCAAGCTTGGACAGCATCTGACGATGGAGGAGTGGGTTAAGGTCAGGCAGACTCAGCAGCAGCGCAGGACCCAGGCACCAAAGATTAGCGAGGACGGAAAGTATGAGTACACGAAGAAGGACTTGGAGATTATTCCGGGGCTGCATGCGAAGATCCACAACTAGAGACCGCAAAGCAACTGGACACGAGGCTTTTGAGGTGTAAATTGCACGAAAGGTATGCGGGAGAATAAACAGGCGATATTCTCCGTCAACGGATCTGAACGAGAATCAATTGGACGGATAGGACTCAGAAATAAAATATCACGAATTCATGACGAGACAGTACTTATTCAAAATTCTTGTGGATGATGTAGATTCCGGATTGGGCGGAAAATGCTGGCACCGTGAAGTTTGCGAAAGCTGGCTCGATTCTGTGCGCCCTCGACCGAAGTAACACAAAGTCTAAGTTGATTGTGATTGCGGATGGATGCAGGAGAGTCGGCGGAGAGGCTGCGGGCTGACGCATGGTGGCCCGTGCTCGAGGCAGCTTACGAGTACGTTGCATTAAGCCAAAGCTCCAGCGAAGCAACACCACGACGCTCCTCTCTGCCCAGCATCGCCCACGCAGAAGTCCGACCATGCGTTTCTCGTTCCTGTCATCGCTGCTGCTCGTCGGAGCTAGCGCCGTCTCCGCTGCCTCGTCCTGGGGCTTCGACGAGGCCACGCTGACCGTCACCTCCAAGGGCTCAGGCGTCGGCAGCGGCCTGAAGGAGAAGTACAGCTCACCTGATTTCCAGCCATTGGCCCATGCAGGATGCTAATTCAGCCTTCTACAGGTTCGGTCCCAAGTCTCCGCTCGAAAAGCCCGTCGAGTTGGGCCCGTCGGACACGCTGAAGCTCGTCCTCACTACCCTCGATGGCAAGAAGGCCCAGCGCCCGCACCAGGCATTCCTGACCCTTACCGAGCCCACCACCGGCTTGGAGGACTCGTTCGCTCTGAGCGTCAAGGACAATGGCAAGGGCAAGGTCGAGCTGGTACGCGCCATCCACCAACCTGCAATGCATTCACCAGAACGTTAACACCTCCCCACCAGACGCAAAAGGATCTCCCGGTCCAATTCCTCACCACCACCTCCCCGGTCAAGGCCTATCTCGTTATCGCTTCCTTCGGCTCCTCTACCCCCTACAAGTCCGCCGTCTTCGACCTCGACGTGCAGCGCGACCCGAACACGCCGCTGGCGATTCCCGAACCGCCGGTGCGCTACGGCAAGAAGGCCGAGATTCACCACATCTTCAAGCCCGACCCGACCAACCCGCCTAAGGTCATTACCCTCGTCTTCACTGCCGCCGTCGTCGCCGCTCTCCCCGTGCTCTTCGGCGCCTGGGCCGTTCTGGGCGCCAACATCTCCCACGCTCCCAAGGCCTTTGGCGCCGCACCGGTCTCGCACGGTCTGTTCTTCGGCTCCATCGTCGCTCTTGAGGGCATCTTTTTTCTCTACTACACCGCCTGGAATCTTTTCCAGACTCTTCCGGCCGCCGCCGCCGTTGGCCTTGTGGCCTACATCAGTGGCAGCCGTGCCCTGTCTGAGGTCCAGGAGCGGAGACTTGCTGGCCAGAGATAAGCCGAACGCTTGGTTCAATGCTTGGGATTTGTCATTGCTGCATTTGAAGAGCGCTGATGCTGTGAGCGTTGATGTCTGAAAAAAGGATAGCGAGCAAAAAATCGGAATAGATGTTATATTTAAGAATTTCCCATGGTTTATGAAGTAGCCGCGAATGGGCTTACTAACTTGCGAACAGCAAGTATTCAACTCTTCACCTCCAAGAAATCTAATGGAAATCTGTTTGAGGTTCACTTGTCTTCAGAACTGTCATCGATGTAAGAGGTTTCATTCCACATATGAAACCACATGACTCCAGCCGCCAGGACACGAATGTGCTACAAAACGCCGCAGCTCCAGGCCACAGCACCGAAACTGAGCCAAAGACGCCATGCCAGGAAAGGACAGAAAGAAGCAAAAAAAAAAAACCACCATTGCGCCCAACCACCGCCACCACCCATCCCAAATCAACAACTGCCCCTCTGCACGCCATCCCACCCCACAAGCCTATTCGCCACATCCACCACATAACTCTCCGTGCCCACCCCATTCGTGACGCTCAAATCGCCCGCATCCGGCACCGACCCGGTATTGTACGCCCGCAGCGCCTTCCACGGCTCGTCGCCACCATACACGTCCAGCCAATACTCCAATCCGGGCCCGCCGCTCGGCCACGTCCCGGGCGTGCCCTGCACGCCATCCCTGATCATCTGCTCTATCGACGCCGCGGCATCACCGCTGCCGCCATCGTACGACGCGCTGCCCGGCGGGCCCTGCATCAGCCCGCAGTTGCCCGTCCCCGTGCACGGCGCGTCGAGCCTGCCGCCCGATTCTTGCAGGATGGTGGCGAGGATGAGGCGCGCGTCGACGCTGGTGTCGGATGCGACGAGGAGGATCTTGTCGTGCAGGATTTGCGTCGTCGTGCTGCTGCTGCTGCTGCCGCCGCCGGAGACGCTGCCGCTGCCGGTGTCGATGGCGCTCACGGCGCTGTTGGCGGTTGTGATGGCGCTGGCATGGAGGGACCAGAGGGCGGCGAAGGTGGGCCAGGTGCTTGGAGCTGGGTAGTTGCCGTTTGAGAAGCATTGGTAGGTTGAAGTGCCGGCGGTGCTGCTGCCGCTGGAGGGGCTTTGGGGGAGGGGGGTTGCGAAGGAGTAGGAGGAGGAGTTGGTGGTGCTGCCGCCGTCATCGTTTTGGGTGGGTTGGTACGATTTGAGTTCTTCGGGGTTGGTGACAACGGGTTTCTCGAAGTGGATATCGCATTTTGCGAGGGAATGCTCGTCCGGACGAGCGACGGGGAGTGCTAAGGCAGCTGGCACAGCCAGCAGAGCAAAGAGACGGGAGTTCACCATTGTCAATGAATGCTTTGGGTTGTCTTCTATGACCAGCAGGAGACAAGGATAGCAAGTAATGACAGTAGGAGGCTTGTCCAATTGCAAGCCTGACCAGAAAGGACAGTGGATAACGAGACTTGAGAAAGGAGAACGATGAGCGCTAGAATTATATCTAGAAGAGGCGCCAGCCCCCCCTTTCTATAGGAAACTCGGAGGGTTGGAAACGGCATGGGAAATGCCGTTTGCAGGATACGGAGGACTAAATTTGTGTGCAACGTTCTCCGTCGTCTATTCCCTCAAAACAAGACTTTACGCCGCCGACATTTGCAGGAGTTTCTTCACCAACACGGTGGTACTGCATCGGTAAACCATGCCCAATAACATAACCAGCTGGCGGCACAAGCGGACGCCCCATTTCGCAAAATTCGAAAATGCAGTGGCAGGACCTGAATCGAGACCTGATGTCACCTTCCCATGAGAGGAGAAATGGCGCTGCCCAGAGCATCCAGCATCACTCGGGGTACGTAGTTCTGCCACCAGAATCTCGAATGTGCCTTCTTGGACAGGCTGTGATACAAAGAGGTGGGCATTCTCGGAATGCGGCGTCGGGTTGGTGTTGGGGTCCACAAGCCCAGAACGTCCGTGCCAACGCGCTGAGCCTCAATCTAAGCGACCTCGAAATAGGGTGTTGAAGATGCGCCACTTCCGCATACACCACATTATACGGTGAAGGATCGATGGCGCGAGAATTGGTTTGCGCGGTGCCTGGGCTGGGGGGGAGGATATAGGAAGGAGTGAGGTTAAGAGTGCTGGACTCAATGCTCAACTACAAAGACCACTAACCAGTCTAGGTTTGGTGGGACATTGGTAGAACTTTGTCTCTTCGAGGCTTTCACGTAGACTGGCATGAAGTGGGAGGATGACCAGAATGTCTTACTCTATGGAGCGCAAGTCGTTATGATTCACGTGTGTCCCTCAATGTTACCATATGTTGCACTAATAAGCTGCACTCGGTGCGCCAGTTAGACAATCTGCGGCAGGAACCTTAAAGTGATTGAAATGAAGTCATACTCAGACATGTGACACCGTTGTTACGGTCCAGACTCTATGACGAAGAGGTGGGCCTGTTGACGATGCCGACTTGTAAATTCATCTTCGCTAGCGCGATGGAAAGCCGTTGTATGGAGAACGACAAGGCTTTCATAGGGTCGACTAGCGAATGGTGAAATACTTCATGGTCGGCGAAGGAGAACCAATTTTCGTCCAAAAACTCTTCATTGCTGGTATGTACATAATCCTCCTCCTCATGGGTCTCGACCTCGGACCGGTGCGACCGCAGCGATCCAAGGGATATCCTTCCAGAACTTGGTTCAGAGATGCCTTTTAGCGTCCGTTATGGTAACAAGGTGGGTGTGCCGAACGCCGATATCATGCTGCCTCCAATCCCACAATCGAACCACTTAAGCCCGGTGAAGGGAGAGCTCGAAAGCGAGAGAGAAGTCAGCTCATCGGGTACACGCTAGGCTTTCATCATCTGCGCGATACAAGTCAGCATTCTGCGCGCGGCGCGGGCGGGTGGAAGCAGGAGGGCTCACTTTTTGTAAACTGGAAGGATACAAAGAAAGAAAGAGGAGCGCGAGGCCGCGGGAAATTTTGAGGTCCTCGGCTGACTCATGAATGGCGCTAGCACCGATCGGGGTCAGCGCGCCAGAAAAGCATCCGAAGAACGCGCAGCGCCAACTCCATCGCACCACCAACTTAAGCCATTGCTTGCATTCAGGAAGTGGGTCATGTTGCTCTCTTCCAGCAGAAGGCCTGCTACGAGCAGCATTGCTGCGTTGAAAAGCTCAGCCGTGACAGCCAGATTTGCCGCATCTCGAGGCGTCGTGAGAGCGTCAAGACTATGCACTTCAGCTACTCAACGCCAAGCAGGCCAGAGAGCATCGCCAATTCGCGGTTTCTCTTCGAGTGCAGCACTCCGTAATGATCTCTCTTTTCTTGAAAACTACAAGCAGTCCTGTAGGTGAACGTCAATTCATTTCCTTCAAGATTGTTTTGTCTGATTTTTCCCTTTAGTCCATTTTCCCGCAGCCACTCATGAGATCAAGGAGCTTGCGAATGCTTCAATTGGGGAGACAGTCACTCTGCACGGCTATCTCGGGCCTCGCGCCGACCTTTCGAAAAAGCTCTCTTTTGTCCCTTTGATAAGCAAAGATCTCAGCCACAGTGTCCAAGTCATTAGCACTCCACGTTCGTCCGAGGAGCTACACACCCGCTTGAAGGCTCTGGGCGCACAAGACCCTGTCGCTATCACTGGTATTTTGAAAGAACGTAAGCCCACGAAGAGCGATGGTGGCGAAATCCAAAAAATCACCAACGTGGAGGTTGAGCTGAAGGCTCTGTGTGTGCTCAACGAGTTTCCCAAGGAAATCACCTTCCAAGAAGACACGAATATCCCGCCTGAGCAACGCCATTTGCAGCTCCGCCAAGATAAAGGCATTCGTGACGCCCTAGCATTCAGGTCCAAGGCCGCCAACATTTGCAGAGATGAACTGAGTAACAAGCATCAGTTCTTGGAAATCGAGACTCCATTGCTGTTCAAATCTACGCCCGAGGGTGCAAGAGAGTTCTTGGTACCTACACGGACCAAAGGCTTGGCATACGCACTTCCTCAGAGCCCGCAGCAGTACAAGCAGATTCTGATGGCCAGTGGTATTCCAAAGTACTTCCAGATCGCTCGTTGCTTCCGAGATGAGGACCTTAGGGCAGACAGACAGCCAGAATTCACCCAGGTCAGTTAATTTTACATTGCCTCAAGTCTCTGCTGACAGTTGACAGCTTGATCTCGAAATGTCCTTTGCAGCTGGCGAGGACGTCCAGAAGTGTATCGAGGACCTCGTGAGGAGGCTGTGGGGTGAGCTACTTGATGTGAAGTTGCCGTCTGAGTTCCCGCGAATGTCTTATAACGATGCTATGGCGAAGTATGGCTCTGACAAGCCTGACATTCGCCTTGGAATGGAGGTTCGAAGTTCCCCAGTTCTTTTCTCCTCCACATGCTCACCATTGTAGATTTCGCAAATCAATTACCTGCTTCCTGTGGACCTGATCAGCAAAATTGGCCCTCTCACCGACCCTGCTGTCGATGTTATGAGATTCCGCATCTCAGATGACCCTTCGGAGACGCGCAAATTCGTCAACGAATTTATGGATTCTCCAGATGCGGCACCGTTCATCAACAACCCTGACGGACAGCCTGGCATCTTCATCTTCGACACGCGAAAGCCATTGCAAGGTCTGCAGCCGTTCGGCTTTGAAGCGGCAGAGCGTCTCGATGATATGTACCAACTTGAAGATGGAGATCTCATAATCATCCAGGCCCGCAAGAACGAGCCCTTTTCAGGAGGCTCGACGCCAATTGGAAACTTGCGTTTGGCATTGCACAAAGCGGCGGTTGCTAAAGGCCTCGTTCCTGCACCACAAGGCTTTGAGTTCCTCTGGATCGTCGACTTCCCTCTATTCTCGCCCAGCAGCGATACAGAGCCCGGACAGGGCGGCGCAGCTGGACTATCAGCAACCCACCATCCTTTCACAGCCCCCAAGACTGCAGAGGACGTGAGTCTGCTTTCTACCGATCCCGCTAGCGTTCGCGCAGAGCACTACGACATCGTCGTCAATGGCGTGGAGCTCGGCGGTGGCAGCAGACGTATTCACGATGCCCGGGTCCAGGAGTTCATCATGCGTGATGTATTGAAGATGAAAGAGGAACGTCTGCAGGACTTCAGGCACCTACTCGACGTTCTTCGAGCAGGATGTCCGCCGCACGCTGGCATAGCGCTGGGTTTCGACAGGCTCATCGCTGTAATGCTCGGGAAAGAGTCGGTCAGGGACGTCATTGCTTTCCCCAAGAGTGGCAAGGGAGAGGATCTACTCGTGAAGGCCCCGAATGCTGTGACGAAGGAACAGCTGGAAACATACCATTTGATGCTCAAGAACTGAATAAAGTGAGGGCTTCGTCGCCTCGCTTTCGATATCCTGTAATATATTTTGCTGTAGATTACTGTATTTTTTTTGCTCCCGTAGCAGGATCACCGCCGAAGATTCTAGATGGCCAACCACCAGATTCATCTCCCTGCGTAACCTCAAATACACCCAACTCCTAAATACTTCCTGTGGATTGTTTTTTTGTACCTCGCTATGCCGTAACTGACTATCGTGACATCATGTCCGCTTCTGCGCGCGGGCCGCTTAATTGATCTTCGCATTGGAGAAGTCCATCTCCGGGTGTTGGGCCTTGAACTTGGCCAGGATTTCCTCCTTCTTCTGCTCATCGCTGGTCGGCTTGCCCATCTCCTTCTGGCGCTGGTCCCACATCATCTTCTCAACCATGGCGCGCGTTTCGCCGTCCAGGTCGCTGAGCTTGCTGCTCTCGGGGGTAATTTTGGCCGTGTCGATCTTGGGCGCAGTCGTCACGACGTGCTCCCACCACTCCATCTTATTAACCTTGTCCAGGTGAATGGCGATCTCCTTGCCACCCGGGACCGTCTCCAGCGTCCAGGTGCTCTCGTCGGCGTGGATCGGCTTCGACAGGTCGCCCTAAATTTCGCGAGCGCCGACGTCAGCGGGGAGGGCGCGAAGGGGCGGGGTAAGCGAGAGCTCCTTACGTCGATGATGGGCTCTTGACCCTTGATGGCAACCTTGAGCTTGGTCTTCGTGATCACGACGTCAAGGTCGCGAGCTTTCATGTTGGCGGGGATGGTCGTGGTGATGTCGACATCCTGGATGGTTTGCTCCCACTTGTAAGGAAGCGTGGCCTGCTCGGCGGCCTCTTTGGCGCGGGCCTCGCGGTCCTTCTTCTCGCGCTCAGAAGGTGTGGGCGAGCTGGGGCGCGACATTGCTGGGGGCGTTTGCGTGGTGGGCTGGTTGGGTCGTGCAGCATGCAAAGGAGCTAACAGAGCGATATGAAGACCGCGCGCGCAAGGGTGCGCCCCAAATGGCCGGAGCCCGCGCCCGCCAGGCCGCTTGATGACGCTGCGCCGTGCCGCCGCCGACCTCCCGTCTGCCCAAATCTATGTTTACCACTGCCGCACCCAACACCCTATCCTAGGCCTCCCCGCCCGACTGCCGCCTACAGGCCCTCCGTAACCCCCTCTCCCATCCGACGCTGCGGCATGCGACGAGCGGGAAATGTCGAGCTCCTTTGAGAAGTCCGTGAAGGGAGCCACCAAGATCAAGGCAAGCCGCCCGCTCCTGCTCCTTGCGCCGCGCGCGCCCATGTCCCGCGAGCAGCCCAACGAGCAGCCGCTGACCGCACCACCGCCCACAGCTCGCTCCCCCTAAGAGCAAATATGTCGAGCACATCTTGGTCGCTACCCACGCCGGCGAGGCCGGTGTCGCCGAGGTCTTTCGCGCCATCCAGAACCGCCTGCGCGACTCCACCTGGACCATCGTCTTCAAGGCGCTCATTATCATACACCTGATGATCCGCGAGGGCGAGCCGGACGTAACCCTCAAGTTCCTCGCCCAGTCGCCCGCTCGCCGCCTGGCGATTAACAACTTCACTGAGGGTATGCGCCCGCTCTCCACTGCATCCGGCCACCTGGTGCGGCGCAGGTAGTGCTAACCCGCCGCGCAGTGCAGACCCAGGGCCACAACATCCGCACCTACACCGAGTACATTGTTGTGCGCGCGAAGAGCTTCGGCGCCACAAGGATAGACTATGTGCGCAACGGCGAGGGCCGGCTCAAGCGCCTGTCGGTTGACAAGGGCCTGTTGCGCGAGACGGAGCAAGTCCAGGACCAGATCCACGCCCTGCTGCAGTGCGACTTGCTGTCGCAAGAGCCCGAAAACGAAATCACCCTGACAGCCTTCCGGCTGCTGACAATGGACCTTCTTGCCCTCTTTCACGTCATGAACGAGGGCACCATCAACGTGCTCGGTCCGTATACCCTTGGCCCCCTGGAGCTAGGCCCGGCTGACCGGTCGCAGAGCACTACTTTGAGATGTCGCATACCGACGCCGAGCGCGCATTGAAGATCTACAGGATATTTTGCAGGCAGACCGATGCGGTGGTGCAGTATCTGTCCATTGCAAGGCTACACGAGCATTCCACCCGCCTTGAGATCCCCAAGATCAAACACGCCCCCACCAGCTTAGGCAACTCTCTCGAGGAGTACCTCAATGACAAGGATTTTGAAATTAATCGCCGGCAGTACCTTGCGCAGCAGGATGCGAAGAAGAATTCGAAGACCAATGGCTCCAGCAAACTGCTGGACAAGAAGGAAACTGCAAGGGCCGACACCGGCTTCCCGGAGTCGAAGCCAGCGCAGCTTGAAAGCAAGGGCCCGGCGCCAGACTTGATTGACTTCTTCGAATCCATTGAGCAGAACCAGCAGCCTATGGCCCAGCAGCCCCAGGGTTTCCAGCCGCCACAGATCCAATTCCCGCAGCAGACCGGAATGATGCCGCAGCAGACAGGATTCGATCCGAACTTCCAAAGCAACCCGTTCGGACAACAGCAGCCTCCGCCGCCCCAGCAATTGCAGCCGAATTTCACTGGCGCAGGATTCGGGGGTTATGGGCCGCAGCAGTACGGGCAGCAGCCACCAGCGGTGCCACCAGTGCCACCGATACCGCAGAGCGCACCCTTCTTGCAGCCGTCGTTTACTGGACCTGCATCACAGGGATTGCAACCGCAAACCACCAATCCCTTCCGCGCCTCAATGCTCATGCAATCACAGCCGACCGGAGGAAATCCGTTCAGCGCCAACAGCCCGAACAGGGCGTCCACGAATCCTTTTGCAAAGAACTCACCGCAGAGTACTGGTGGTTTTGCACCTTCTCTACCTGCAATCCAGTCCTCGCAATCCATGGACTTCTCCCAGCCGCCGCGGACCAGCCACAGCCCCGCACCACTGCAACCCGCGCCAACTGGCACCAATCCATTCGCACGACCGCAGACGGCGCACGCTGGCGCCTCGCAGTCAATGCTCATGCCCACAGCCACTGGCAGCACGAATCCTTTCCGCCAGAGCGCGTTTGTCAACCAGCAAACGGGACAGGGTTGGCAAAGCAACCAAGGCACGATGGGCGGCTTGGAACAATTGGAGACGATTTCCGTCTTCCCGCGACCTGGTCAGCCTACCGGGCAGCAGCCGCAGCAGACGGGATGGTCATCTTGAAGGAACAGAAAAAAAAATGCATGTGCGGGTCATTTCCACATTTTTCTTGTTCGGGAGGGACGGGGTTATTGAGCGGTGGCGTTTTTTGAGGGGTTTTGCATCGTCAATACTTCATTACTATATCACACGGAGAGAACCACGAAGTATTGTTTTGGTTTCACGGTTTTGCGGGCCTTGAAGCGGGGCCGAGGAGCTGACATGGACAAAAGAAAGGCTTCTTTTTCCCGGAAACGACATCGTGTTTGATGTAGTCCTCATCCGTAAATGTTCTCTTTTTTTCCTCCTTCAACTGGGTTAAGCCGTAATAAAGCTTATCACCTGCAACACTTAATCTTCTTCTTAGTGTCGATATACTCTTCCTTGTCGGAATATTTTCATTTCAGCTTGCGGTCGTTCTTTCTGCTTTTCCTTTTGTTTTCCTTTTCTTTTTTCAACAATGTCTGTTGAGCGAGAGATTGCAAGACTGTGGTGGACCAGCTTTTACCAGGCATAGCCAGAGGGGACGGGGAAGGGGGAATAAGTGCGCTGTATTACACTTCTGACGGCCTGAAATAAGCGGATCATGGAATACGAGCGGCATCGCTGGTGCAGCGCTGTCGGTCGTGTCACACTAGGGCTGAGTCGGATGGTGCGGGTGTTGCGTGTTTTAGATTGCAGGTCGAGAGAGCGTTGTTGCGTACGCGTCGTTTCCGTGGTTGGGCTAGGGCTGCATGGCTTTGCTGTACGTTGTACGCGCCTTCGCTGCGTCACGCATCGAACAAGGCGGAACCAGCAGCGACATCGTCATCAGCACGGCGGCAATCGTTTAGCGGTCTGGAGAGGATGGCGTGTGCGTTTGGGAAAACATTACTGGAACGGATAGACCATCAATGCGAGCTTCGAACAATGCTCCCCAAATTACTTTTAGCGATCTGCGAGCTCCCACCTTCTCCCTTTTGTCTTTCGTCCGGCTGCAGCGGAGGGGGGTGGTGCCGGGGGCCGGAGTAAGGGTCAATAGCGATGCAAACGAAACAAACTGGCTTGTGCTGCTGATAAGATTAGATTAATCAGAGACTGGTCGAGGGCGTGGAAATATGACGAAGGCGGGGTGTGCGCGGCCCAAGAATATTCGCCCGTCGTCGCGCTCTGCCCAAGTTTTGAGCTTTCGCATATTCGCAACCTTGTTTCGAGTCAACCACGACCACTTCTTTTCTCGAGCGTACATATTGCAGGAAGGAAATATTCAAGATGTCTACCATCGGACCGCCTGGCGCGCAGCTCAATGCTGAGCAGGCCGACAACTTTGAGGATGTACGTCGTAGCCTGCAACTACTCGATTTCGTCATGCGATGGTGGTTGACTGACTGAAGCAAATGTAGATTGAGAAGCAGTTCGCCGTCAAGGGTACGCACGTCTCTTCCCTCTGCTTTACCTAGCATCTCTCACCTATACCACTGCGCCACCTATAAAACCCCAACCCAACACCACAGCCGCGCGCCTCACAGGCAGCAATCAGAAGACACAATGCTAAGCACAGAAGCGCAATCGTGCGCGCGCGTGATGATACAGTGGTCCAGCACATGACGACGTACTGGTCGATCCTCGAGCGGATGCGCGGCAGCAAGCTGCGGCTGACCAAGATCGACGACGAGATTTACGAGCACTTCAAGAAGGAGTTCCCGGACTTCGACCCGGCGGCGACGATCAATGAGGACGAGATGAAGAGCAAGGCGGGCAAGGAGAAGTGGCGCAACTTCATCATGGCCTACGAGAAGCGCATCGACGACTACAACTTCGGCACCATGCTGCGCGCCAGCCCGGCCACCGAGTATTCCGAGAAGGAGACCATCTTCGGTGAGTGTGGAGGAGAGGGTTGATTCGCAGGCGTTGTGCGGTTTGCTGATGTTTGCTGTGTCTTTCTAGCGGTGAGGATGCAGTTCTATGCCGTCGAGATTACGAGGAACCGCGCCGGCCTGAACGACTGGATCTACGAGAAGGCGAACCCCGAGAAGGTGAAGGAGGAGGCTGAGGCGGCGGCGAAGAAGGAGTAAGCTATGCGCCGCATGGTGCTCATTTTTTTCCGTACAGCTGTGAGCAGTCACTACTTCGCCTCTCCAATACAGTAGCCCTATCCGGACTCAGGTATGTTAGTCCAGGCACAAGGAAGCATCATGGAGTGAGCGGGGTACACGATACTGTGAAGTGGTGGCGTGGTCTCTGGAGTGCTTGGATCCGTGAAATCCTCGCAGGATACCCTACGAGACGTAACTTTAGGTAGACACCGGAGACTCGGTGCCTAGAAAATTCGGCAATCCTTACCTTTGTTCTTGATGTCTTTGTTGTTGTTACATTGAAAGGCCAAACAATCTTGGCGTTACGATTGTTCCTTGGCCTCGCTCACCACCTGGGCTTTGGCCGCTTGCGAAATGTATTTTGCTGTTTGCTGCTACCTATTCCATGCTTTAAGTCCATCCTTCAAGATTACCTTCGCGATAAAGCGCACATCGTGTGTTGTGATCTTCCGGCGACACCGTCCAATATCCCCGTCCACACACGATGGCGGCAACGGCTGACCTTAGCGGACCGCTCCCACCAGGAACGGCCCAGGAAAAGTATGAAGGAAATAACGACATCGACCGTCTTCCCGACCAAGAGCTAAACGTGGCCATCCCGGGAGAAGACGAAGCGCTGCGACAGACGCAATGGAAAGACCTCTTCAACTTCATGACTCGGAAGCACGCCCCACTGTTCGCCCTCGCATTCTCACTGTCCGTGATTTGCGGTCTAGCAGTGCCCGCAAATGCGTATCTGCTTGGAAAGGTGTTCGATGCATTCGCTAAGCAGGGAGCCGGGACAATGACAGGAGAAAAGCTCAGGAGCGAGGTCTCAAAGTACTGCGTCTACATTATCGCTCTTGCCGCAGGAAACTGGCTGATGAACACCTTCTACTTCACGACATGGATTCTCTTCGGAGAGACACAAGCCAGGAGTGCTCGAGAGCGGGTGTTTGCGGCGCTGCTCAAGAGAAATATGACCTGGTATGATCAAAGGAAGAACGGTGTTGCAGCAATGGTCCCACGACTCCAGACGTAAGCCTCCAAATATACACCAAACATACTTCTCCGCTGACACAGCTACTTGCAGGCAAACGCGAGAGCTTCAGTTGTCCCTGTCCCAGCCAATGGGTACCATCATCGAGCACCTGGCCACGGCATTCTTGTGTCTCGGTATGGCCTTTTACTACTCCTGGCGCATCACGCTCGTGATCCTTTGCATCGTCCCCGTCTCCATCATTACCGTCATATTTCTCTCCATCCGTCTCCAGAAGAACATCGGCTATCAGATAGAGAGTCTACAGGAAGCGCTCAAGTATGCCATAGGCGCTATCAGATCCATTGAGACGGTCAAGAGTTTCAACGGACAGGATCACGAGGCGTGGAAGTATACCCGTCTCGTACGACAGGCGGCAACCTTCTACATTCGCCAGGCCAACCTCAACTCGATACAGATGGGTGTCATGTCATTCGTCAGCTTTTCCATGTTCATTCAGGGCTTTTGGTACGGTAGCACGCTGCTTGACAAAGGCCAAACACCTGGAAAGGTACTGACTACATTTTGGGCCGCACTCATGGCTTGTCAAGCTTTCATGTCAGTCATGCCACAGTTTTTGGTCATGGAAAAGGGCAGGGCTGCAGGCGCGAAGCTAAGAGCGGTCATGGTCCACGGGTCGAAGGGCCAGGAGGAAACAAGGCCCGAGGACGGGCTGAAACCTGATCACTGTGCTGGAGACTTCGAGTTGAAGAACGTGAGTTCCCATCCCACCCCTCTCTCGTATGGTTTCGCCGCTTATTGCTGTCTCTCAGGTCTGCTTCTCCTACCCAATTCGTCCCAATGAACTCGCCCTCAACAACGCCTCCCTCTTCTTTGCCGCGGGCGAAACCACGTTTGTCATAGGCAAGTCTGGTTCCGGCAAGTCGACCATCGGACAAGCTCTCTGCCGCTTCTACCCCACCAAATCGGGCAGCATCACGCTCGATGGCAACCCGCTCGAGGCGCTAGACATCGACTGGCTGCGGCGCAACATCACGCTGGTGGAGCAGAATAGCGTACTCTTCAACGGCACCATTTTCCGCAACATCACTTACGGGCGGCCCGATTTTGATCGCGTGACGCTGGATGAGGTGAAGGAGGCGGCGGAATTCGCACTGCTCAAGGAGACGGTGAGCAACATGCCGAACACGTGGGATACTGAAGTGGGAGCGAGCGGGACATCGATGAGCGGTGGTCAGCGGCAGCGGATGGCGCTGGCGAGGGCACGCTTGAGGGATACACCGGTGCTGATATTGGACGAGTCAACCAGCGCACTTGACTATATCAATCGCACCCTTATCATGGAGGCGATTAGATTCTGGCGGAAAGGACGGACGACCATCATCATCACGCACGACATCTCGCAGATCCAGCAGGATGACTACGTCTACATTCTTGAGAAAGGCAAAGTGGTGCAGGACGGATACAGGAAATCGATGGAGAAGGCCAAGAGCTCGCCGTTCCAAAAGTTCATCACCATCAAGGAAGAAGAGGAGGAAGACGAGGATGAGGAGAAGGGAGACACTTTCTCTGGTTCGAGTAGCCCCGATGGTCAAGGTCGGCCCAGACCCCACAGCATGCAGAGAACCAGCTCAAGGTACTCGGAGGAATCTTCCGACGATGAAGAGAGCAACCAGGACCCGCTGCAAAACTACCTCGATGCCGACGACTTCGTTGCGCCTCGCTTCGTGCCCAGCGTGTTTGTCGAGCAGCGTGTCGAGCCTGGAAACCGAAACTCGATGATCCTCCCTCCAGCCATGGGCGCCAACTTTTGGCGTGTCCTCCCACCCTCTGCGGCGTTCTCGTCTCCCGAACCCAAAGATGAACCCTTACCTGAACAGTCCCCTTACTTCGACGTTCTGGAAGGCAAGAGGCGCTCCGGCTTCTACGGCTTTGACCACGGGATCTCAGAGACCCGCCCTATGTCCATGACGAAGCGGGACTACGAGATAGGTTTCGGGGTCATGGACGGCGCTGATAACAAACGCCAAAGTAGACGGATGTCCCGCTTGGAGGCGACCCCCCTTCAGGAGCAACGTCGGCGCAGGATAACGATGATCAACGCCATCGCCGGCACACCTGGCCTCGTTCCTACCGAAGACCAGCATGAAAGCGCAGCAGCAGCAACACCCAAATCCCCTTTACATCGCATAGCCTCTCGCCTCCCTCTCGTCGGCGGAAGGCAGAAACGGAAAGAACAGGACGCCAATCTACTCACGTACAAGCAGATCCTGTCAACCGTCTGGCCACGCCTCACCTGGCCACAACGGGTCCTCCTCTTCATCGGCGGCGGCGCCTGTGTGACGCATGCGGTCGCGACACCGGTTTTCGCCTATATATTCAACAAGCTGCTCGCAACCTTCTACCTTCCAGGGCCGGACCGCTCCCGCAAGGCCCTCGTCTACTCACTCGCCATCCTAGGCATCTCAATCGTCGACGCAACAGCCAACTACCTCTCGCACTTCATGCTGGAGTACACGGCACAGATGTGGGTGCACGCGGTGCGCGAGAGCTCGATCCAGGCCATCCTAGCGCAACCGCGCTCCTTCTTCGACGAGCCGGGCAACGGCGTCGAAAGCCTCTGCGAGGCACTCGACTACTGCGGCGAAGAGATGCGCAACCTGGTAGGGCGATTCCTAGGAGCAGTCTCAGTCTCAGTGCTCATGATGGGCACAGCCATCGTGTGGTCGCTGGCGTCGGCGTGGAAGCTGTCACTGGTGGGGCTAGCCGTGGCGCCCGTCTTCTACGCCATCACCGTCACCTTCAACCGCGTCAGCAGCCGGCAGGAGCACCTGCTCAACGAGGCCGACGACGTGGCGACGAGCGTGCTCGGCCAGACGGTCGTCAACATCAAGACGGTGCGCGGGCTGACGCTCGAGGGCCCGCTGCGCCGGCAGTACCTGGCGGCCACGCGCGCCATCTTCTCGCGCGGCTGCAAGCGCGCTGCGGCGTGCGGCCTCTTCTACGGGCTGACGGACAGCATCGTCTTCTTCGCGACGGCGCTGCTCTTCTACTACGGCGCGGTGCTGGTGGCCGACGGCTCCTTCAGCACGCCCGCCGTGCTGCAGGTCTTCACCGAGCTGACCATGAGCATGACCAACGTCAACTCCATCGTCGCCATGATCCCGCAGATGGGCTCGACGCGCGACACCGCCACACGCCTCCTCCGCCTAGCCACCCTCGACACCACTTCGCACGAGAGCACCGGCACCACGCGCATCCCCACCATCGGCGACATCACCCTGCACCACCTCGACTTCGCCTACCCCTCGCGGCCCACCCACCCCGTCCTCCGCGACCTATCCTGCACCATCCGCGCCGGCACCTGCGCCGCCATCGTCGGCCTCTCCGGCTCCGGCAAGTCGACCATCGCCGCCCTCCTCCTCAAACTCTACCCCCCTCCGGACGGCCGCGCTGCCACACTTACCCTATCCGGCAGGGACATCCGCCACCTGCACACGCCGACGCTCCGCGCCCTCGTCGCCGTCGTCAGCCAGACGCCGACCATCTTCCCGGCGTCCGTCCGCGACAACATCGTCTACGGCCTGCGCGCCGACGATCCGGGAACGAGCTGGCAGAACGTGCGCCAGGCGGCCGTGTCGGCCGGCATCGACGAGTTCGTCATGACGCTGCCGAATGGCTACGACACGGTTATCGGTGATGGCGGCATCGGGCTGAGCGGCGGGCAGGCGCAGCGCGTGGCTATCGCGCGCGCGCTGGCAAGGCGGCCGGACGTGTTGGTGCTGGATGAGGCGACGAGCGCGTTGGATGTTGAGAATGCGCGGGTGGTGAGGGAGACGATTAGGGGGCTTGTGAGGGGGAATAGAAGGGATATCGCGGTGGAGCAGGAGGGAAGGAGTGGGAGTGGGAGTGGGGGGAGTAAGATTGGTGTGGGCATGACGGTGGTGATTATCACGCATGCGAGGGAGATGATGGAGATTGCGGATCAGGTCATCATGCTGGATCAGGGCCGGTTGGTCGAGGAGGGGACGTATGCGGAGTTGAGCAAGAGGAAGGGTGGGGAGTTTGCGCGGTTGCTGAGGGGTGGGTTGGAAGGGGAGGAGGAGAGGCCGTCGGCGGAGGAGGTGGAGAGGCTTGAGAAGAGGAAGCAGAGGAGGGAGAGGAGGGAGAGCAGGCGGATTTCCGAGTGGAGGTTCTCGGGTGTTGCGAGGAATCGGAGGAGTGGGCTCTGGTAGTGTTTATTCGACGTTAGGTGGGCGGGTAGGGAATTCTCAGGACACATTTCTGGTAACACTATTTCTAATCGCAGAGTAATAGTCGCTAATTATGGAGATCGATTTGCATATATTAGTGTGTCCACTTCTATTCCTCGGCCTTGCGTCTAGGGTGAAATTGCTACTATGAAATGTTACACTCACCTACAGTTGTCCCGGACAATCCAACCGAAGATCAATAAAGCTATACAAATCACAGGCTCATGGTACACTAGCTACTAAGGATACTCTCCTCCCTAGTTAGCAGATCTTAATATGATGATTCGCCGTGTAGGAGAAGTGAACATTAATATTGTTTTCCCCACCTTTGCAAGTGGCTACAACAAAGATATTTCGGCTTATGTTTTTCATCCAGACGAGATACGAGACTGTAGACTTTCCAAGAACTGGATGAGAAACGGAAGGCCGGAAGTAAATTCTTATTCAGATTTCTGAGACCATAAAGACCGAAGCAAATGGAATGCAAGACCGAACGCCCGAATCCCCCGAACGCCCATCCAGAAGACTTACAAAGACAGGTTCAGATGGGTGGCGTGCTAGCTTGCTGCTCTATAAGTGCAATACATAGAGGATGGCGTCTAAAAGGCCTCAATTCACTTCCAACAACGCTTAATGAGACCTACAAGAGGATAATCGATTCTTTTCTCGACACATGTCGTCAAGACTCAAGAAGGGTCCTGCAGCTTTTGGTGATATTCGAAACGGCCCATGTATCTATCGGAAGCTGTAGATATTCTCGCGGTCACACCAGGACACATGCGGTCATTCAACAAGAATAATCGCCTACTGCTACCTGAAAAGATCCTAAATTACTGCTCCAGATTAGTCACTTTGACTAACGGCATAGTCGGGATTCACCTCGCTCACTTCTCAGTTGAAGAATGCCTCACATCTTTCGAGGATAAGGGATAATTCACCGCATCAATCAACTGGATCACAGCGCATCAAGCCATCGTAGAATTCATTATGACCTATCTCATACATCTTCCATAATCCATGAATAATCATTTACTATATCATCAAAGAATTTCAGTTCGCAGCATAATGCGCGCGGTATTGGACTTAGCCTGTCGACCATGTGGAAAGGTAAGTAATACAAGCACAATTTCACTTAAACTTAGTTCTAATAGGAGCATCATTCCATTTGAGGAAGAGGGGGCAATATGCGGGGAGCGGTTGGCTTCAAATTGAATAGAAACCATTGGACATTGCTAAAGGTAAGCTAGACCTGATATTGTCACAGCCTTGTGCAAAATAAACAGGAATCCTTCTAGGCAGACATTGACTCAGCGAGCTTATCTTATACTCGATTGATGCCGCGCATGCGCCCTAACCCGCCCCACCGCCCTCCTCCGTTTGAACAACAAACCAGCCAGCCTCGTGTCCACCAGCTTGTCGGCTTCAACAACACACCAACTCGAACATCCAGCATGATACCCATTTCGCCACATTCTCTAGTACAGAGAAGGTCATGGACGCAACTCAGCGTGCAGAAACAGAACGCAGATGACCATCTTGCGCAGATACAGGACCTTGGAAACGGTCGGGCACTGCGGAGGAATAGCGCACCAGGATTGATCCAGCGAGCACCATTTTGGACAGGCTGGTACCCAATTGGGCTACCACGGACCTACTACAGACCGAATATCAGTGATTGGGGCACGGCCGACACTTTGATACAGGACGACGAGGGAAAAGCGTTGCAGAAAGCCTCGGACGGTGGTATGCTTGAGGGTTCATCATCACAGGATGATCATCGATTAGCGAACTCTGACTGTCGCTTTTGCTGTGAGCCGATGGCTGCACCGCAACTGGATATCGGCAGATTTGGCGCTATCAATGACCGCTGGTTTTGGGTATATCACAGGAAGCCGTCCCAGGCAGCGTGCAACGATCTCTTCCACGGACCGTGTCCAACCTGTGAGCTGGCCGAAGCAGCAGAGCCATCAAATCTGTGCGGCTTTTGCCGCCATCTGAGACTCAGGCATCTGTTGTCTTGCACAGATGAGAGCTTCGCTATCTTATTGTTTTATCCAAAAACGCACTTAGTGGACAACTCGAATTGCCCCTTTTGCCACTTCCTTGTCAACTATGGGAGTGGTCGTACAAAGTACTGGAAGGATATCTTCGCAATTACGCGCTTACCTCGCGACATTCATGACTTGGACTTTGAATCGGAAAATCCACCATACCTGCACATGATTCATGCCACTATACTCGCAGACAGCAGTCAAATTACATGCATCAAGGGGCCTGACTTAGGGAACAACGACATTTCCCTGTCAAGGTGGATAGGAGAAAAGGAGTGGAGACTTGCCAGAGGTTGGATTGATGAGTGCATCTCGAATCATTCAGAGTGTCGACTAGGGTTTGCCCGTACAAGAGTACATCAATTCCGACTTATCGATGTTTGGAAAAGGTGTATCCAGGAAGCCTCTTTGGACGAAAACTACGTTGCTCTCAGCTATATCTGGGGATGCAAACAGAACCCCGTCTGGCTGAAAGCTACACAGTCCTCTATACAGTCCCTGGAACAGCACGGCTCTTTGGATCCCACTAGGATGCCGCAAACTGTTGAAGATGCTATACAAGCGTGCCGCATGCTTGGAGAGCAGTACCTTTGGGTAGATCAGTTGTGTATCATTCAGGATGATGGAGAGAACAAACAACACCAAATCGATAGAATGGCTTCTATCTACTCGTCAGCTAAGTTTGTGATGGTAGATGGTGATGGAAGTAGCATGGGAGATGGCTTGGCAGGAGTAAGTAGGGAGCGAAAGGTGACCTCACAAGTCATCATTGACGGTATACGATACCATGGACTTCCTGAAGATGGAAAATACGCACGTCTGGATTCGACTTGGAGTTCTCGAGGATGGACATTTCAAGAAACCGTGCTGGCCCGGAAGAAGCTCTATTTCACCCAAAGCCAACTGTTTTTCGAATGCCAACTCCACGACAAGTACGAAAGCCTACTCACTAATACATATCACAAGGCTACGGCCATTACCCTTCGTCGCCGCTGGCCCCACGCCTATAGCCTCCGATCCACGAGTCTCCAACAGCTTCTAATCTCGTATCGAAGGCGCCGCCTCACATACGACTCAGACACTCTCAATGCATTTTCTGGGATACTTGAGGCTTTTGATATTCTAGAGAATTACGTGTACGGGCATCCATGCGGGGCTTTCGACCAATGGCTTTTATGGTATCCCTTCGGTGGGAAGAGCAAACTACAGGCTTCCATTGAGGGAACCGTTTTCCCAACTTGGTCATGGTCCAGTATGACCGGGGATCTACAATTCTGTGATTTGAAACGTTTCATCTTCTGCGGCCCTCTTACATCATGGCAGCACAATACGACAACCGGGTTCCGAGATATCAGAGCTACGTCGCCCAGAAATCTTGTTGACCGGTGGCGTCAAGGTATGGCTATTGCCTGGATGACAGGCTGTATTGCATCTGAGTTCTCGGCTCGACCAGCCGCAGGAATGGGCTTCCCGGAATATGTCGAATACTTATCCGAACGATGGCCGAGCTTTGAAGACTTCTGGAATGAAGCTTTCGCGAAAGACTCAGAATCTTCAAATGGCACATGTGATAGTGATCATTCCCTTCATCAAACCCCCGAAAGTGGTCTTGGACGGCTATCAACCGTCGCTCAATGTGCCAGATTCGGGTTAGGCTTCTCTACTAGAGGCAGCAAGATTCATCCTCATCTTGCAATCGTCCATCATCGACTCGGAAGGGTTGGTACCACTTATCCAGGTGGTCCTCGAGTGAAGCTTGAGGTCTTCCCTCTGATGTCATCAAGCAGGACAACATACGAGTTCATTGCGCTTTCCCTCCATTGGATGGACTATGAAGACAACTGGGCTTTTGAGCATGTGTCTGAAACAGGGCATTATATACTTCGGGATTCCAATGGAAAGATGTACTCGTTCCCGCTCCAGGTGGTGGTGATGCTGATTGGGAGAATTGGGCCAATCGCCCATCGAATTGCCATCGGATTCATTGCACTACACAAGTGGATCGAAGCTGAGCCGAAGTGGGAGAGGATTATCCTGGAGTAGGGCCTGGAGCAATTGAGCCAGCAATGCAGCGCGGTTAAGAGTATCCCAAATGAACCGTGTGATTACATAGTGCGGCCGCTGCTTACGAACGTGGCTGACGTGGTTGGGGAGTTTATGACGGGGACTTGTACAGACGCAGAAGGATGGCGAGATTTCGTTTGTTGGAGCACTGGGCCTCTAGAGTACGCGAACATGGGAGCTTGTTTTTTTTAGTGTGCTTGTGGAGTTTTTGTGTTTCTCTAAGGTTGAAATAATGCAACGAACCTCCTTTTCCGTTGTTCAGTGCATCGGCCCAATTCATCCAACAAAGTAGAAGGCTGTAATTGCAAAGAAATTCCATACTGAGTCCTAAGACACGTATACTGGTACATTTAGCTACTATCGTATGGGTTCTGCCGTTACTGAATACAGGACAAACCGCTTTCCGCGTGGAACACCCGCTGTACAAAACCCAGAAAATATTACAAAGTACACCACCTTAAGTCCCTCTTACACCATGTTCCAAACCACCATCTACTCTCCCTGAATCGACGCCAAACCTCGACGACTCTGAGAAATTATCTGTCTCAAAATCCAGTCCAAGGCTATTACAAACGCTTTCCGCCGCTATTACCGTACTGCTCCTCGCATCGCTTGCCGGGCCCATGCCACCCGTTCCGCCACTGCTGCCGACATCGTTGACAGTACACGCCTCGCTCTTAACATCTGTGCTGACCCTCGGTCTCTTTCCTTCCATCACAGCACCCTCTCCTACTTCCTCAGCAATATTATCACCAACTCCTCCTCCCCCTCCCCCTCCTCCTCTTGCATGATCGCCCGTCCCCACGCTTCCACGCCCTCTCTGCGTCACCGTAACACCCAACCCACGCCCATCACCACCGCTCCCATGTCTTGACCCCCGCACCCCATTACCAGCACTATTCCCCCTGTCGCTATCATCCCCAAACATGCCGCCCGCACCCCCATGCATCCCCATCTCCACATCCGCCACCGACGCCCCCCACCTCCCCCACAAACTCCACACCTTCCTCCTCGTCGACATGCGCCCAATCGTCCACGTCGACGCCTTCCGCACCACCGTCCCGCCCGGCCCCACCACCGCCGCACTACTCGCCGCACCACTCGCCGGCCCCCCAATCCTCGGCGAAACCTGGCTATGCTCCGCCGTACTCCACGCCCTCTCCCTCTGCCTCCGCTGCTGCTGTTCCTGTAACTGCTGCTGGAGCTGCAACTGCAACTGCTGCTGCTGCTGCAACTGCTGCATCGCGGGGAAACGGATCGTCGTCGACAGTCCCGGCGACTCGAAGGCGGTGTCGCGGTTGCGCGTGTCGGGGTTATTGGGGAAAATGGCCGGGAAGTGGCGCGAGAGGAAAGGTTTGAGGATGGGGACGCAGGCGCAGATGATGCAGAAGGTGAGCTCGACCTGCGTCCAGATGGCGACGGGGGTCCAGTGCCAGGTCACGTCGCCGTAGCGGGGTTGGTGGAGGAGCTTGGAGATGGGGATGAGGCGGCAGATGCTGACGATGCAGGAGCTGTGGTTTTTTGTGGGTTAGTGGTGGGGGCTTTGGGTACGGGGTATTTTGATGATGACAGGTGGGTATATGGGAAAAGAAGAATGATGACTAACGCTGAACCTAAAAAGAAGACGGTGGCCACTTGTGCTTTACGTTTTGGGCCGAGGTTGAGCGACCAGATTAGCGGTATGGGTAGGCTTAGGATGAGGAGGTCATCTAGATGGGTGAGACAATCGAGTCAGTATGGTGGATGATGTCCTGGCCGGTGCGCGATCAAATTGACGGGATAATTTGAACACGCAATTGCCCGAAAAGGGGCTCACTTACTAACGCAGTGGAAGATGGGGATTGCTATTAAGGTCTTAGTGCTAATACACGTCCGATGTTGTATGTGCAGGTCCCTAAGCGAGTCAGCACGAGGCCTGCAAAGTGCTTCGTTGCCTGGCTCTGCAGGGGAGAAGGGGGGTGGGTCAACATACCACTGCGCAGCAGGCGGGTCGCAGGCAAAAAAACTCAAGACGATGGCCGTAAGGGTATGCGCGATCGTGTAGGTCATTACAAACCACCAGCGCTTGTAGAAGCGGTACACGTCGAATAAACGCCGGTACAACAACAGCAAAGACGTCTTGACAAAAAACATTGCCGCTGTGTAAAATACTGCCGCCAGGACGCGGCCAAGGAGGTAATGCGGGGAGAAATCGTCAAGGCTGATATTCCAAACATGTCGGCCAAGGCCGTATTTAAGCAGGACCTGGACGAGAGAATCAGTGACGGGTCTTCCAGAGACAGGGTATGGAGGGATAGGGATAATGAATACCTCGAGGGTTGCAACAAGAAGCGCCCAAAACACCACAGCTAGAAGCAACGCGTCTGTGGAGGTGTTAGCGGGGAATGCAGCCTGGGCCGGAAGAAACGGGAATCGGAGAGGTAAGGAAAGAAAAGTCGAGAAGGGCCGCAGCCGCCGCCGACTGGATTGCAAGAGGAATTGACAGAGAACCAAAACAGAAGATACAGGAAAGAAAACACAAGGAAAAAAAGGGCAGGCTCACAGTCATCGTAACCCAGTCCTCTCACAATATGCATGCGGGTATAGAAGCGCAATCCCACGGTCAAAATGACAAAAACGGCGCACACGACGTTCGAAGCGGTGATGCGGTAGGCGAGCGACGGCGAATCGGCGAGCTCGCTGATCTGACCTTCGGGCGCTGTGCCAGCTGGCGTCGTGTTCCAGTCGACGTCTCCCGTCTGCGACATGGCCACCGACGGCGAGACGACAAACAACACTACTACCACCACCGGCGCCGCGGTCCGACTCTTCTTTCCCCTTTCCAAGGATGGGATGTATTACACTGCTGCCGCCACGTAGAGGACCGGGATGCAGCCAAGGATCAGGCTGAGGAGAAACGCTGCAAAGCATTCGCAAAGAGCGAGGCGGTCTGCTATTGGTGCATCCAAAATCCTGCTGGGTGGTGTGGCGCGAGAGGGTGAAAGGGGGCGTGTGGCAGGACAACAAAACCCACCCGGCCGACAGAAAAAATCAAGCGAACGATTGCCAGTTGGAAAGGATGAAGAAACGCAAAATTCCGCCTTTTCCCACGAGGAGTGTCTTTGCGTCGTGTGTGCTGGGATACGAAGTGGCGGGTTGTTGAAAATAGGCGGTGAACATCGATCGCCGTTGGCTAACGCCGTCGTCACCGTCCAATGGACTGCAGGATGGGCCGGATGATCGCTAGCGGTGCAGGAACGGTAAAGCGGACAGCAGATCCTGTGCGGGTCCAACAGGCAGCGAGCAAGTCTTTTAATTCGACCGTTGCTCCTGAGCGGCGCGGTATCATCAGCTGCCTGATTCGGACTTTCATAGGGAAATGGGCGCCGGTGGGGAAGACACCAGGCCTGCGCGTGAAAGGAGGATTCGAGGCACGCGCTGCGGGAGATCGTCCGAGCTACTGTATCAGTAGCTGGAAATTGACGGGAACGATGGCGGAACTTTATTTAGTCTGTATTGCTGGATCGCGGCGTGCAATGGTCTTGCCAAGACGAGTATAGGCCCGGCTCCATGCAAACTAGGAGAAATATATCCAGAACTGCTTGAGAACAGGTATTTGACGAGCCAGAAACAGGGCTATGACGCGGTAATGCTCCTGTTAGCCTTCCCGCCGGCCGAAGGGTGCAGAAGCGCCGCACAAAGATGCCGCTGGCTTACCTTTGATAGATCCGTATGCCCGTGGTGGAGTGGCAGTGAGCGGGAGAGCCGTTGAGCTGAAACACTGAGACGCTCCGAGCGCAGACTGAAACATAATAAATACACGCACACGAAGCTGCAAGACAAGGCTGCAATTGGGCTGACTGGTTGATAAACCTCGCAACGGCCATCGTCAATCATCACCCCACGTTCAGGGTCTCTCGTTCGTCAATACAAGCATTGTCGACAGCGAAGCTGATGTAGGTTGCGTCAAAATGCGCCGGACGCCGGGATGGGCCATGGTTTCGTGTGCCGTGGCCAGACCCCTCGCGAGGTGGCACTGACTTAGGGGGCCGGTCAACCTTGGTACGTATGCAGTGGCTTGCTTAAGCTTCTCAAATCAGGAGACAGGGTGGGGTAAGAAGCGAATGAAGATAGTCATTGCCGCCTGACACGGTCGTGGGCCGCCTGAGCCTTGGCCACGAGTATTTCTTCGCCAATCGGCACTTCTCCGTCCCACCTCTGCGCCCTGCGATGTGAACACCCTTCTCTCAGCCGCAATTTTACTCGCGCATCGCCAGCCGTCTTCCGTTGCACCAGGTGGGGCCAACGGGCCCGTTACGCTTCTGGAAATTCCTAGTCATCACGCAAAACAAAATGTCCGTGGATCAATGCGGATATGACAATACGATCATGAAAGGAGAACCCATCACTTAGGTATACACCAAGTTTAGACTGCTCGGCATCCGATCTACGTCTACAGTTTTATATACCTGTATGATTGCAGTACAGCGCATGGCAGCCATGCGATCCCAAAATAAACACCGGGGAGAGAATGTCCGAATCGAAATGGCTAAGCAGCCCTGATGTACGACATTGCAGTAGCTACGAGTGAAAGAGGTATCAGTAGAAAACCCAAAATAACATCCATCGTGAATCATGATCTCTTTACATCCAATGGCACCAAATATTTCAACCGCGCCAAGCGAGGCCGGCTCCAATAAACTTCCCCTGTCGCCGACGGCTCGCTCTTCAGTCCGCCTTCAGGATGCCAACAAATAGCAAGCATCGAAGCCCTCGGCGCCGAGCTTCGTTGAATGTACCGAGCGCAGAGGTTAACGCTCATCGTAGGACGGGCCCATTGCCATCAGAATGGCCCGATAGACCTCCCCTCGAGTCAAACCGCATCTTCTTTCGCCAACGCACCATCTTACTCTGTGGGCAGAGTGCGGCCCTGCACGACGAGGATGCTAGCCTTGACCTTCGACCTAACAGCGGTCTCAGCAACGACGCCCAGGCATTTCTGCGCCTCGGAATCAATGTCGTCCCGTGGAACGTCCTTGACGTTCTCCTTGGTGAATGCCGCGAACTGCGCAATGCTGCGTCCCAGAACAATCAGATCACCGGCATTGCGCGGGTTCTGGCCAATTTCCGATTGTGCGCGCTCAATGGCGGCCGAGATCGGGCTCGTCGTCGTCACCGAGTCAAAGAGAACTGAGTCTTGCAGCTCGCTTGGAACAGAGCTGCGCAGCGCCTGGAAGAAGGCACCATCCTTGTCGGCGCTGGGTGCAACCGTTGTTGTAGGTTGTTTGCTCGTTGCTGGAGAATCTGTTTCTACCGCTGGTGTGATTTCGGCAGAATAGTCGAAGTAACCGTCAGGAGTCTCGAAGTGGACGATTGTTGCAGTGACATCTGGGTGCTCAGCAAGTTGAAGAACAAGACGGATTGCGGCCCGGTCATCGGCTCCACCAAAAAAGGGGAAAAAGATATGGTGGGTCTTGTCGGCACTCGGGGCTATCGGGATGTTCTTCTCCTGGCTGCTGCGAAGGCTGATATGACTGATCGAACGCTGCAGCTTTTTCCGATCCTTCTTGCCGGAGCCACCAAAGTTCTCGTTGATGAACACAGCGGTAACGCTAGAGGTCTTGTTTAAGATAGAGGTGACGAAGCTGTTGTAGGCACTTGTGTGAAGCTTGCGACGAACTGCATCATTTGAAATGGCAACAAGCTCAGACATGTTTCCGGTCTCGCTCCAAGGGATGATGACAAGGTCCGAGGACATGTCTGAAGCGCGGGAAACCAATGTGTCCGAGAAAGATTCCTCTTGTGTGACATCAACCTCTCCGGAGATTGCGAGATTGTTGAGATAACCAAACGTCCTGAAAGTGTTCACCACAGGGTCGTGTAGTCCGAACTCGTCCACCTCGGACACCTTCATGACTGAAGATTCACGATCGGTGAGCCCCAGCAAACGGATACCATGAGCCTTGACAGGCCTCTTCGCCACAGTCGATCCTTCTTGCTCATGCGACTCAGACGGCTTGGACGGGTGGACCTTGTTCTTGCCGCTGCTGGAGGTGGCACCGAACAGTGATACGAGGGGAAGCAACGCAGACATGCTGTCCAGGCGAAGGTAGACAAGTAGGCTTTGAACCTTTGCACTCTCCAGCTTCTCGAACGAAACCGCGTCCGTGCTGTCTTCGCGGTGGCTGATGGCAGCACCCGTATCCCAGTCGATTTCGCCCCGCTTCCACGCCTCAATCTTACGTTGGTAGTGAGGAGGATACAGCCAAGACGTGAGAGGGGTCGTGACAAAAGTCGTGATCAAGGCCATGACGACGAAGATGGTGAAAGTACGCTGACTGAGGATTTTGGCTTGCAGTCCGATATTCTAACCGCAATTAGCTGAGCGAAGCTTAAGCTTGTTGCAAGCTTAACTTACCAAGACAATGAGTTCGACCAAGCCCTTGCAACTCATGAGGGCACCAATGGTAAAGCTCTCTCTCCAGACAAGGCCACAGGCGCGCGCTGCCCCAGAGGCGCCGAGGAACTTTCCGAAAAAGGCGACGCAAACGACACCAATGACATAAGCCCATGTCATTCCCGTGTTGAGCAGACCCAAGTTGGTGTTGAGACCAGACAGAGCAAAGTAGAGAGGAAGGAAGACAGCGCCAACGATATCCTCAATCTTCTCAGTCAATTTGATGGCAAAACCTCCCTCGTGGGGACAGATCAGGCCAATGATGAAGGCCCCGAAAATAGGATGAATACCGATAACGCCAGTGAAGAAGGCGGAGGTGAGGGTCAAAAGCATGGTCATAGCAATTATTCCCTGGCTAGGCCCATCCTGAAGAGCGCGGGACCTGCGCAGGACCCACCAGAATGCAGGCTTGACCGCGTACCAGACAAAGAGCACGTAGCCGACAGCGACTAGTAGGACCCAGAGGGCGGTTATTCCACTACCTGCATTGACGAGCGCAACGCAAAGAGCAAGGAGAATCCAACCTGTTCAAATTGGGTTAGCTGCATGAAACGGTGCCTGAAAGTCCCCGCAATCTCCCCGCAAGTGTGCGACCTACCGACAACGTCGTTTCCAACACCAGCCGAAAGCACAATAACACCGACCGGAGTGGTGAGCAGCTTCAGCTCAGTCAGGATTCTGCACAGAACCGGAAAAGCCTAGAAGCTCGTGTCAGCCTCGCCACCTTCCCTCCGCTAAAAGTCAAGCGTACCGTAATTGCCATGGCAACACCAATGAAGAGCAAGTACACGCCGAAATTAATCGGCACCGTGCCCCCTTCGCCATGGAATTCATTGTACAGGCCGTAGGAGATAGCAGCGCCCAGGCCGAAGGGAAGGGCCATGCCCGCCACGCCCACGCTCGCCGCAATCTTCCAGTTGCTGAGGAGGAAGCGAAGATCAACCTCGAGACCAACCAGGAACAAAAACAGCACAAGACCCAAATTGGCTACGAGTGTCAGGGCGGGCATTGACGCCGTGGGGAATATCGTCTCGGTAAAGTGGGGTATTTGGCCCATGACCGACGGACCCAGCAGGATGCCGCCGATGACTTCGGCAATGACGCGGGGCTGGCGTAGCTTCTGCAGAGGATAGTGGAGAGCACGGCAGAAAATAATGATGATGCCGGCCTGCACAGAGTCAGCCTTGAGAGGCGCATACGAGATGTGGGGAGGATGGTACCTGAATGATGAACAGGATAATCGGATCTTTGGGGTTGTAGTGGGTCGGATTGTTACCCTCGAGGATACCCGCCTGCTCGGGAACCTTGGTGGAGCTCGTGGCCGTGGCCGTGGCCGCGCTGCTGGTGACGGACGACATGGTTGCTCCTCGTTCCTGGGGTTTGGATAGAAGAGGGAGAACCCAGGCCAGAGGTTGGAGTCCGGAGGCCGGCGCGCGACGCGTGTGTATATGTAGTCGCGGGAATCAAGGCGGCGCGGGATGTTCTCGAATCGTAGAGTCAATTCAGGCGCACCAGCCGAGAGGAGCTCTCCGTTTCGAGATGGAGAGCGTGATCTGACGGGCTGACGCGGTGACGGAGGGCAAGCCAAGCCCAGAAGCTAGGCGTCCGCTTGGGGTCTGGGCGGGTTGGCCTCCGGTGCACCATCTTGGCCTGTGTGGAGAGCGAAGCAATTGGCTGACTCGAGACAAAGGGCCAAGCCACCCGGGTCAGCATGGCCCATCTGACATGGGCAGAAGCAATGGTGGTGAAAGAATGGAAGAAAGGGCATAGACACGGTGCTGTTTGCGACTGCCGCGGCGTCCGGGGAGCCGGGAGCTCCCTTGCACGAGCTGCCACTGTGTCTGGCCCGCCGCTTTCACAAGCCTCTCGCAAAAAAATACGACTCACCGCTTACCGAGCTCGAGCCCCACGCCCCGCGTTTTTCTGGCGTTGCACACATCACTGCCCTGTCGAGCAATCTCCTAGCGCCGTTGAACGGCTCTGTCTTATCTCTCTCTAATTTCGTGCAGATCTCTAGCGGCTGCCGCTAGCGCCCTCGGCTGTTGTTTCTACTTTGGCGGCCGTGCCTGCCTGCGCTTGCCGCAGACGCCTGCGCAACACCAACATCCGCCACACAGCTACGCTCGCTCCTGCAAACACCAGCGCGTTCAGAATGACCATCGCCCAGAGCGCCCGCGCCGCCACGCCCGAGCCAAGCCCGCCTCCAGATGCACCGCTGGCCCACGCATCCTCACCGCTCGCACTTCCGCCATCGTCCCTGTTACTCACGCCCCCCGGCCTGAGCTGGCATCAGGCGGAGGCATGAGATGCTGGGCTGGGCGGCGCATCGCCAGTAGCCCAGTTTTGTGGCGTGGTGCCAAGTACGAACGCCATCTCTCCACCCTCCGCGAACACGTCTTCCCATGTGACCCACGACTTGTCCCATGCCTCACCGTTTACCGTCAAGCTCTGCACATAGTAGGCGCCCTGCCCGCGCTGCGTCGCCGCATCCACGTTGGATGTGATGTTGAGGGATTTACCATCGCCCAGCGAGATCGTCAGCTGCTCAACCCACGGGCTGCCCACCAAGAAGGTTGTCTGCCCGGTCACGGGGTAAAGGCCGATCATGTTCCAGAGGATCCAGCTCTGCATCGCACCCGCATCGCTGTTGCCCGGAATTCCGCCCCGCCCCGCGTTATAGCTGTTGTATCCGGTCGTGCGGATCTGCCGGACCGTGAGATCCTGTCGGCCCGCGTAGTTGTAAAGGTACGGCGTCGTGAAGCTCGGTTCGTTCCCCGGGTTGTACAGCTTTTGCGAGAAGAACGCGTCCAAGCGCTTGACGAACGTGCTTGAGCCTCCCGCCCGGCTTATCAGGTTATCCATGTCGTGGATCGCATTGAAGCTGTACGTGTACGGATTGTCCTCATAGTACGGAGACGCCCAGTAGCAGTCACCACACGAGAGGGGATCTTGCTCCACGAACGTCCCGTCGGCGTTGCGCGGGACAACGAAGCCACTGAACCCCAGCGCCGTAGCGTTGGAGTTCCAGTGGTTTCGCCAATTGCGGGATCTGCGAATATACTTCGTGGCGTCGTCATCCCGGCCTAATCCGCAAGCCACTTGGTAGAGGCCAAAGTCATTCGCCGAATACTCCACCGCTCTAGACACAGCTCGTGAATACGTGGGCGTGATCCACCCGTAATGGAGCCAATCTGGCAGCGCTCCCCTCCCCTCCTTCGTCGACGACACGTCTGGCGCTGTCGACGGATCGTTGCTATTCGCTGGCACCTTCTCCGCATCGGTGAGCATCGCAGCTTCAGCGCTGTTAGTAGTTTCTTGCAGGGATAACTTTGATCTGGCTTACCGTAGCCCGCGTCCCAGTTGATGGCCCCTCTTACGCCCTTCACGTACGCATCAGCGAGAACATTGTCAGCGTTGGTCCCGCCTTGGACACGACCGTTCCAATTCGATGATCGCGCATCAGGCATGAAGCCTTCATTTCTCCAGATGTCAATAAATGAGCGAATCTGTTCCTCGTATGCCTCTGGTTGGAGGACATGCATCAACGGCGTCGTGCAGCGAAACAAGTCCCAGAGCGTAAACCCTACAACCATCGTTAGCTCTGGATTGAACAGTACTGGAAATTTGGCTCACAGTCGTCGTAGTACGGCTCATCAGATTCCCACAAGGGATTCTCTCCAGTGCGGTTGGACGGGATCAGGTGCATCCCGTACAAGCTTGAGTACAACTGCGTCAGGAACTCTGGATCCGTCTCTGTCGTCGTGACTTTTGAAAAGACCTGGTCGTTCCATGTTTCCTTAGACGCAGCGACCAGAGACTCCAAAGTGGTATCAGACGGCAATTCATCGTCCAAGAACTGACAGGCTTTATCTGACGAGATGAACGAAATGCCAACTGTCGACTGGACAGTAGTTTCGTCAAACGCAAAAACGCCTCCCAAACGCTCAGAACCGGATACAGACGACTCTTTCCCGTACTGGTCAAGAGTGGTCCCGCTTCCGGAAAACGTCTTGCTACTCGTCGCTGTAGTGTTGAACCTACCACAAAAATAAATGTCCCAGTTCGGTGCTAAGAAGTTCAAATCAGCCGGTGTTGGAAATCATTCAATCCACAGCACTCACCGAGATTCCAGCCATTATTATACGTCCCTTTCCCCTCGTAATGCCCATCATCAAAAATCTCAAACTCTCCACCCGCATACTCCTGCCCCCACCCCATCCCCCTGAACGACGGCAGCACATGCGACACATCTACCACCACCGCCGCCGACGCATTCGTGCCAGCGGGGAACGTGTACCGATACAACCCGGCATGGTCCGTCCCGGCCAGCTCGACCGTCACGCCGTTCGCCAGGCTCGCGCGGTAGTAGCCGACCTCGGCGTCGTCCATCGCAGCGCGCGCAACGCCGAGGTCGGCAAGGGGGTTGATCGGCACGGATGAAGAGCTACCAGCAGCAACGACGGGCAGCTGGGAGACGACTCCGTATTTCGGCGCGCCTCCCGTGCCGCTCTCGTGGAGCATGCTGAAGCCGGTCACGTTGCCCGTCGGCAGGTAGCCCGAGTAGGCGTCGGTGGTGCCCGACGAGACGTCGATGCCGAGCTTGACTACGGAGAAGGGTGCTGTTGCCGCACATGAGCGAGAAGCCTGCAAGAGAAACTGTGGGGGAGTTTACCTGGAACGACGCCGGGGAAGACGTTGCCGCCATTTTCGGTGCCGTGGCTGGATGGACTTGTCAGCGAATTCTGCTTCGGACGAGAACAGCCCTCATACTCCAGAATCAAGCCACAGGGAACTTACAATGGATCGACATATTGTGTATAATCAGTTGCCTGCGCCAGCACTGCACCACCAATCTCGTGGACCACCAGCACCAGCGCCAAGGACGAAACAACACTAGTCATAGCGATGCTAAGACTATTAAATGGGTATCAATAAAAAGATTAAGAAGAATCAAAAGAAGGTTGTGAAAAAGCTGTTCGTCAAAGAACCGGAGAGAATTGCGATTTCCAGAAGCGGAACCACAAAGCAAGCGCTGAGGAGGTGTGTCTATGAAGTGGCTGCCCTTTCCATGGCAGCTTTAGGTGGCGATGAAACAAACAATCAGCGGGAAGCCCAAGAGATTTGCAGATTCTGAGAGCTTTTCACTCGACTCTTTCCCAGCTGATATCGACACTGTTTTTCTCTTATAGACCAGCACGCCCACCTCCACACACTTGCACATCACAAGTGGGGCGCACGCGAACAAGCGGGGAGTCTTCAAAGAGTGGACATGATTTTGAGCACGGTGTTCAAAGAGATGCCACGATAGGGTGGCTGCCGGATTCTGGTCAGCCGAGTGGCGGAGGAATTGTTGAGCAAAGCGCGTGAGCGTATCAGGAGCGTGAGAGAGGAAGCGTGCCGGTACACGCAGTCGCCATAAGGGGGCGCAACAGGATCGGGAAAACGGCCCTGGTAGCACATGGCCCCCATCGATAGTGCCGCATCGGTCCAGGGCTGCACGGTCGGATAGGAGCGCTAGCGGAATGGGCAAGTCGCTGCATGGTCCAGCATACTAATTTGGCCCGTGGCTGAGAAGCATGATGGCTATTTGCGCAGAACGAAGAAGCTTTATATCTTCTCTGATGGCGCACTGAGGTATCCCGAGCTAACGGAATGGCGGTTCTCGAGGGGTACATAAAATGGGTTCATCGCACAAGCAAGGGGAAGAGGATACACGGCGACTGAAGTTGTTGGGACGATCACTTCCCCACACGACAACATACTCTCGCACGCTTCGCAACCGAGGCGTCTGATTGGTGTGTTTCTAACATTGCGCTCCTTCGGTGAATCCAACGGCTCGGTGCTATTAATTTATTCCAGCAGCCGCTTGTGTTCCATCTCTACTGCACATGTGCGAGCTTCCACCGCTCAATAGTCTGTTATCATGTCTCTCACTCCTCGAATCAAAGCTGGTTGATTGCTCACGCATCTGATCTAGGTCATGAACTATAGCGCCTTGCTGCCACCTGCCGATGTCATAAATGTCAGCGCCTTGTTGATCATGATGCCACGACCGACGAGCCTCAACGCCTCAAACCTTAGTTCTTGCCGACTTCATCACCACCTGCTGCATCCTGCCGCCTGTGACCATTTGGATGAAACCTAGTTGCGAGAACAAACTCTACGACGTAGCTACGTTGTGATCATGTTGGTATTCTCAGCAAACTTTCAGCGTGCCCTCACGCAGTACCGACTTAATTACTTTAGGTCAACAAACGGTGCGAGGCTTACCGTCTCAGACGCACGCGAGGATTTTCAAAGACAATCCGTCGCCCGGTTAACAGCACGGCAAGTCTCATGGCTTAATCGCGTGGCTGGCCATTTTCGTTGCCGAGACATGTGCGCGCTGTGTTGTGCGACCCCGCGTGCTTCTACCGGCTAGTCGCACATGTCCGCGTCCGCACCGAGTCTACTGCTGCGGTTGGATTCTCTTGCGGTCGACTTCCGGCCGTGTCTGGTTGATTTTCTTGTCCTCTTGGTCTTGGAAGTGTAAGGCTTTTTGACCGGATAAGCTCGTCATTCGCACTTCCTCACCGGGCGCGATTTTTCCACGGATAGCAATAACTGCTACAAAGGCTGTAAAAACACTCCGCTCAAGAATCTAAGAGCCGTGTGGGCAAGCAAGATATCGTCATGTTCATCAATCCTCGGCTCCATACCGACGGGTATGTTTTGCGTGGAAGGTACTCGGCGTGGAACCGACTATCCGTTTGCTGCCTGCCTACAAGGATTCACAATATTGCTCCTGACGGTATCACAACTGCAAGTCATCCGTGTGGAGCTGATGCTCAGCTGTTTCAGAAATTCCGAGGTGATGGTCAGTTAAATCGATTGCCCAGGTTACCAAGATCTGCTGACTTCGGGCCAAGCTCACATGACGACAAGGACGCAGGAACGGCTTCCTAGGCTAAATTGCATCCTTCCCGGCGAGCCTACCGAGTAAGCTTGAATGGTTCCGATTATCAAATGCCGGCACTGCGGCAAGATCCGAGTGGATCGTTTGGGTGCAAGAGTTGGCGCGGTCGCAACCACAAAATCATATGGATATTCAAACCGTTCGCGGAAGCCCCCCTAGAAATTGCTCTGCATACAAACACGCCACGCCAACAGACATCTCAAAGCCTTAGATCCAAGGCAACCAAAAAGAAAAAAGAAAAGGGGAAAACAAAAGCCTCAACCTCCCTCCATCACCTAGGTACTCATTCAAACCCTCCACCTCCCCCAATCCCCCTTTCACAACCGCCTACTCCCCACGGGGCTACCGCCATAGCTGCTTCCCGCCTCGCTGCTGTCGCGGCGGTGGTAGCTGTTGGCGTCGCTCTTGCGGCGCAGCTCCTGGCCCCAGCCGTCGAGGTTGACGACGACGGGCGACCGCCCGCCGCGGGTGATGACCCAGACGACGTCGGCGTCGCTGTCGTTGATCTCCTGGTGCTGTGCAAAGGCAGGGATGAGCGCGAAGTCACCGGGACCCAGTTCCTGCCGCGTGCGCCCGTTGTCGCTGACGATGCTGCCGTGGCCGCTGACGGCGTAGATGATTGTGTCTATTGGTTTGAGTGTTAGTTGTGAGGGGATAGGATGGAAGAGTAGGCAAGGAGAGTGGAGGGAGGGTATGAGGGAAGGGCAGATAGCAACGGACCTTCGTTGCCGTGGTGGTGGACGGCGGAAGTCGTGTGTGGTTTGGCTACCATGACTGCGTGGGTGGGTTAGCGGGCGGATGCGGCGTTGGGGATTGGTGGTAACAACGTACCCGTGCCGCATATCTGGTCGGACATGTCTGCGATGGCGTTCATACGGATCATTCCTTCTGTCTGCGCACCGCTGGTCTTGAGGTTGTCACCCTTGACTACCTTGACTGCGCCGCCAAGCACCATTGTGGCAGTGAAAAGGATGGTATTGTTTTAGGGGGGAAAGAGGTGGTGAATGTTTCCAAAGAAGAGAGACGGCCTTTTAATATTCAAAGGTAAACAATTGAAAGAGCACGCGAGCAGAATGTCAACTTCAAACCACCAGAACGTGAGGGCAGCGGGGCCTTAAGAGGAGAGCCGTCGTCTCCTCACGCAGCTAGCCATGTCAGCAAGATGCAAGGCCCACTCATCAGGGTCTAACCATCACCGACTTCCTCTTGCGCGAATGCCTGCTCGTCCCTCGCCCGCACACCCGCGCGTTCTCCTTCCCCACATAAGATCGCGTGCCATGAACGTCATTCCCGCCGTCGGATCCCTGCCAGCATCGGAGCAAAACGGGGCCACAGGCTGTGCGGAAAGCCACTTGCAGAAGCCGTGATTGGACGGCGGGAGACGGCGCGTTCTGGAAGATTGGCGGATTGGGTAGCTTGAGCACCGTCCCTCGCGAGCTTGTTTCCTCTTGGACTCTCATGCACCCCGCACTTCTTCCGCTGCACTCTGATAACCTAAACGCACATGTCAAATTGCTGAAACCTCCATTTCCGCTTCACCGGAAAGCCGGTCCCGCCGCTTACGGCCCTATTGTTTCCGATTCCCCTCTATTTAAGGCTTTCCGATGTCGGTATCAGGAGATGGCCCGCCTTGCATATCAAGTGGTGGTGTAGCGATTCGAGTGATCCGCGTAAGCGCTCGGAGGGGATGGCCATGCACAAAACAGAATACGGAATACGAAACCGCCTGTGAGAGAAAGTAGAAGGGACTTTTGTCGTTTTTGAGTATCATTTTGGAAGCGAAGCCCCGCGTCCTCTGTCACCATTTTTAAACCATGTTCTGTCAGGGAAGCTAAACCCCATACATCCTCCGACTCACTCACTCCGAACTCCAGCGCATTCCAGCTCGAAAGGAATGGTGAACTTTAGATCGTCGCCCCAATGGTCTTCTCGTGCTCGATCTGCTTCGGGTCAACAATCACGATGCCCTTGCCCGCCATCTTTCCACTTCGCACCAGCTCCAGCAGCTTCGGAATCTCGTTCAAGCCCTGAACCGGGTTCGTCTTGACGGAGATGCCATTCTCCGACACCACCTTCATCATCTCGCGCGCTTCCTTGGGCGAGGAAATAAGCGAGCCATGAATCTTGATGTCACGAAAGATAAGTTCGTGGAAAGGTATGGCAACCTCATCCGGCTATACGAAAGTGAGCTGACGTCCGTCCCAGACCACACATCTCCACGCCCAGCGCCTCAGCAGCACTCACCTGCGCAATCTGCACCATCAACCCATGCACCTTCGTCACCGCGCACGCCAATGCCGCCGCACCCTGCGCATCCGCAAGCGTCACCGTCGCGTCCGCTCCCCCACCACCCGTCACCCTCCGCACCTCCTCCACGACCCTCTCCTTCCCCACCCGCGCATCCACCACTACATCCGCGCCCGCCTCCCTCGCCAGCGCCAACCCCTCATCACGCGCATCGACCCCAACGACGCGCAGGCCCCTTGCCTTCGCAAACTGCACCCCCAAATGCCCGAGCCCGCCGCCCGCACCAACCAGGCAGAGCCACTCGCCCGCGCCCAACCCCGCCGCGGCCGTCACCCCGCGGTAGATGGTGCAGCCCGCGCAGGCCAACGGCGCCGCCGTCGCAAAAGTGACGTTGTCGGGCAGGCGCACGGCGTTGCGGGCGTCGACGCGCGCGTACTGGGCGAAGGCGCCGTGCGTGTGCACGCCGATGGCGCCGGCGCTGCGGGCGCAGTACTGCGGCTGCCCGGCCGCGCAGTCGGCGCAGGCGCCGCAGTGGCGCAGGTAGAGGCCGCACATGATGCGCGTGCCCGGCGGGAAGGCGGCTGCGGCGACGGAGGGGAAGGAGCTTTGCAGCGCGACGGTGCCGGCGCCTTCGTGCGAGGCGGTGCAGGGGAGAGGTGGCGTGTAGGTGCCTGCTGCAACCATCGAGTCGGTGTGGCAGAGGGAGGCGACGGCAATTTTGATGAGGAGGTCGTGTGAGCCGAGATCGTGCTTGGGGACGGGGATTTGGTGAATTTTGTAGGGCTGGTTGAACTGGGTGGTGGAGGGGGGGATTAGCATTGGGGGAGTGGATTGTGCCTGGGGGTGATACCTCGACTACCTGGCATGCGAGCATGCTGTCAGGGATTGCTTCAGTGTCCATTGCGATTCAGAGGTGAGTCAATTGTTTAACTTTTGGCGATTAGAGTCGGTTTGGTGCGGAGCTCCAGCGGTTCCAATGGCTCAGCTTTTATCTTCGAACAAAGAGACGAGTCGGTTTGTCTTCGTTGCACAAAATGAGGAGATGTGATATCCCGCAGCAAACTCTTGAAGCGCGTTTGTGCATGCATGAGCTGAAGAGAGACCCACCTCGCGACGTCCCGCAAAAAGCAATGACAGGAAGTGATACAGGAAGATAGTAGCCAGCCTTCTTAGGCAATAGAAATCTTGAGAGGATCAAATCCAGGGCATGCAATCGCAGGCACAATTGCATCTCGTGCTTTGCGTATCTCGTCTACCCCTCATATGTAGATGCTACGTCATGGTGATAGTCTATCGCCGGTCTCAATCCTTGAGCCACAGACGGGCCGTTGCAGGTGGAAGTCGTTGGGCCGAAGGTTGCATGGTCTACGATAGACCTGAAAAAAAGGAAAATATCAATGAAAATTGCGGCAAATTTGAAGTAGGAGATATTGGAAGGAAGACGTGAGGCTTGAAAATGCTGCAGGGGAGATACTGATAAGGCAAAGGTTGCATGTTCCTAGATTACTCTCGGAAGAGTTTCCCGTTCAGCTCCCGCGTTTGTTCGCCGTGGTCAACGGAGAAAATATTCGCAGGGCTGACATGGATGCCTCCACAAGTTAGTGTTTCTCATGAGCTTACGGATGTCTTTGGTTTGTGTGCGCTGAGGATTGTCTTTCGCGTAGTTGCAGGGCCTCATCAGGCAGCATATACTCAGACGGCAAGCAGGCCGGTTAATAAGGATTATTGGTCAAGTCGCACAGTGGTCCGCGAGGATGCATTGTTTCGGGGAGAGGGCCGCCGCCATGGCAGCCGTGGCCCCATAAGGAGAGCATCGTCCGAAAGCGTCGGTACCCCAGAAAAGCCGTGGATCCCGGCCGGCCGGCCAGCCGCGGCGCAGGCACTTCAGGAATGCCGCAACCAAAAGCGTCGCGAAGCGTGGGCACAGCTGACGGCGGATGAGATGAGCTCGGCGTGGTCGTACATAATGCGGCGGTGCTGATTCGGCAGGCGGCGTGCACGTGCCGCGAGTGACGCAAGGCACAGCTGAACCTCGGCATGTGCGACCCCGGACGGGGCGGCCGCTGACCTCTCCGCCAGCATTGCCGTCTCTTCTGGTTGGCTCGCCGCACGTCACGAGCACCGCTACCTGCGGCTCCCCCAGATTCAGGCGTGTCCGGGGTACGTGGGCGCCCTTCTGCCGCTGTCCGCTGACATGTGAAAGGAAGACTTGGGCGTTCCAAAGGCCGAGAGCACTCGCTATTAATCCGCTCCACCCTTCTTTATCACTACGTCCGTAGCCCGAACCTCACCGCTCCGTCCATCCTTCTCTGCTTTCCCTTAGTCCATCCACCATCTCAAAATGTCGGGAACGTTTTCTAAGGCCGATGTGGCTGAGCGCAGCAAGCCCGATAACCTGTGGATTATCGTCGACGAAGATGTCTACGACCTGACAAAGTTCCAGGACGAGCATCCCGGCGGCAAGAAGAGTGCGTGGCCCCATCGTGTGATGGATCCCCTAAAGCTAACTCTCCCCCGTAGTCCTCCAGCGTGTTGCCGGCAAGGATGCTTCGAAGCAGTTCTGGAAATACCACAATGAGGGCATCCTGAAGAAGTACCAGAAGCAGCTCCAGGTCGGCTCGCTCGACAGCAAGCCCAAGCCTGCTGCTGCTGCTCCTCCCTCGCCGCCAAAGACGCCCAAGGCGGCACCGAAGGCCGAGTCCGGCACCGTGTCTGCCGTTCCCCAGGAGGACTTCGAGCCCCTCGACCAGTTTGGTGACTTGATTCCGTTCGCCGACCCGTCCTGGTACCAGACTGTAAGTAGCCGCGACGCTGCAGAAAGAACGTGGTCTGACATTTGCCCATAGTACCACTCCCCCTACTTCAACCAGACGCACGCCGATCTCCGCGCCGAAATCCGCGAATGGGTCGACAACGAGATTATCCCGAACGTCACCGAGTGGGACGAGGCTAAGAAGGTGCCGGATGAGATATACAAGGCCATGGGCGAGAGGGGTTATCTTGCGGGTCTTCTTGGTCTCCACGAATGGCCCAAGCACCTTACGGATAAGCGCGTGGCAAGCGTGGAGCCGGAGAAGTGGGATCTCTTCCACGAGATGCTGCTGACCGACGAGCTGTCGCGCTCTGGAAGCGGTGGTTTCGTGTGGAACGTCATTGGCGGTTACGGTATCGGCTGCCCGCCTGTCGTCAAGCACGGCAAGAAGGAGCTCGTGAACAGGATTCTGCCCGGCATCCTGAGCGGTGACAAGCGTATTTGCTTGGCTATCACCGAGCCCGGTAAGCTTATTTTTAAACTTCCTTAGCGTTTCAAAGACTGACAGATAGCAGATGCTGGTAGTGATGTTGCGAACCTGACCTGCGAGGCTAAGCTCTCGGAGGACGGCAAGCACTACATCGTCAACGGCGAGAAGAAGTGGATCACCAACGGCATCTGGTGTGACTACTTCACCACCGCCGTCCGCACTAGCGACAAGGGCATGAACGGTGTTTCCGTCCTGCTCATTGAGCGCGACATGGGTGGCGTCAGCACCCGCCGCATGGACTGCCAGGGTGTGTGGAGCAGCGGCACCACCTACATTACCTTCGAGGACGTCAAGGTGCCCGTCGAGAACCTGATCGGCAAGGAGAACCAGGGCTTCAAGGTCATCATGACCAACTTCAACCACGAGCGCATCGGCATCATCATCCAGTGCCTGCGCTTCTCGCGCGTGTGCTACGAGGACTGCGTCAAGTACGCCCACAAGCGCCGCACCTTCGGCAAGAAGCTCATCGACCACCCCGTCATCCGCCTCAAGCTCGCCCACATGGCCCGCCAGATCGAGGCCTCGTACAACTGGCTCGAGAACCTCATCTTCCAGTGCCAGCGCATGAGCGACATGGAGGCCATGCTCAAGCTCGGCGGCGCCATCGCCAGCTTGAAGGCCCAGGCCACCACCACCTTCGAGTTCTGCGCCCGCGAGGCCTCGCAGATCTTCGGCGGTCTGTCCTACTCCCGCGGCGGACAGGGCGGCCGCATCGAGCGCCTGTACAGGGACGTGCGCGCCTACGCCATCCCTGGTGGCTCCGAGGAGATTATGCTGGATCTGAGTATCAGGCAGTCTCTGAGAGTACACAAGGCGTTGGGAATGAAGTTGTAAACTAAAATGAGGGATGTGATATTCTTCTTGTATTCTATGATATATGGGTTTGGGACGGTCATGATTATGTAGGCTTTGCATGTTGATTGATCAATGGCAGAGGTGATCTAGATTTAATGCTAGACGTTCTGGTCTCCTGTTCAAGTGATAGCTTTTCCCAGAGTATCTTTCGAATTCGTGAGCTTGCTGCTGATGGATCTGTGCATCAACACGTCTCTCCGCTGAGCCCCTTACGTCAGCTACAATAAAAGCTGTCAGCTAATCCCTGCTGATTCACCTGAAGTCGTGCAGGTTTCAGTTACAGGTGTAAAAAGAGTTTCCTGTGCTGCCTCACACAGCAAGTGTCATATAAGGCTTCAATGGGCGAGGCGGCGCTCGATGGTATGAAGTCACTGCAACATCTGGGGATTAATCATCCAGTTTCTGCCTTGACCACTTACACAGTACCACTCAGCCCTTTATGTTTTCGCGTCACACTATGCAGTCAGCATGCAGAGCATAAACCTCAGAATGGAAAATGGCAGGCAAACCATTGCGAAGTGGTACATAAGATCACTATTTGTGCTACATGGTAGCAATGCTCTTCAGCGTAGTACTTCCCTTAAATATCAGCCAGACCCATAAGCAGCCGTACCATATCTTGTCGACTTCTGAGATACATCCCAACTCAAATACAATGGAAACTTCCCACCTACAAAATCCAAGCGTTGCACAACTTCAATGCGACAGTGGGCAAACATTTGAGATGGGTGATAATTACGACGAGTAAGCTTGGTGCTCAATCTGGACCGATAGCTAATTTGTCTGAGAAACGAAGCTGACTGCCGATGAGTAGACCAAGTTCTTCTACTTCTGCATCTTTGTTGATGGAGCACAGTCCTAAGCAACCCTCTTCGCATTCATGGGCAAGGACTCTTACGCCAACAAAGCTATTTACAAAACCAAGAACATCCGAGCCTTGCACTGCATGGCGAGGAGGTGTATATATCGGGTGTTGGGCTACTGGCTTCGTGTTCTTCTGCAACATCTGCTTGCTGCTTGTTGGTCTTTTCCACAATGGCGGCTCCAGCCATGGCATTGGAACAATATTCAGAGGCACCAAAGAAGAAGTTGATCGTTGGAACACAGCATGCCATATTTTCATCAACATCCTGAGCACAACACTGCTGGCCTCGAGCAATTATTGCATGCAAATCCTCTGCGCTCCCACTCGCAGCGAAATCGATGCGGCCCACGATGCCGGAACCTGGGTTGATATTGGAATCCTGAGCATGCGCAACTTTTGTCACATCGAACGAAAGCGAGCATTTGCTGCATTCCTGCTTGCTTTTTCATCAATTCCCTTACACCTCTAGTAAGTTTATATCAATTCTTACTATGAGTTTTATCACTGAACAACGAAAAGTTACAACTCCGCCGTCTTCAAGGTCACTATCGGACGTGATTACGAAGTCCAGTTCATGAATGCAAGCGACTCCTCCATTGTAGCCTGGCTCAATCAGAACGCCAATAATCTCACGAATGGACAATGGAAATCCCAATATGCATCACAATACATCAGTGGGACAGGAACACTATACCTCGTTGCGGACAAAGTCGGTGCGACATTGAAAATTTCGGAAGCAAAAAAAGTTTGTCTGGATACGCATGGGACTCCAAGTATCACGGACTTCGGTACAATAAAGGTGGGCCCAAGTATTGGTGATAGTGAGACTTTGGTAGCGTATCCCCTGAATTTTCCAAGGTTCTCCAATTGCGATGGGTCCACCTTCGAATTGCCACAAGGTCTCAAAGTTAAGACAGCGGAGACACAAGGCCTCCAGAGCCTTACCAACTATGATCAGCTCCCGTGGGTAACGTTCAATGGACAACCATCTTTTCACATCACTCATGGTTTTGCAACGACGACTCCAAGCGGAAGCGAAGTCCAGATTGGTATCCATTTCATGGTGATTGTCATATTTTGCAACTTCATGAAGCTCTGCACGATGTCATGGACCCTAAGGAGGCCGCTTTCCTCCCAAATAGTGACGATCGGGGATGCGATTTCCTCGTTCCTGAAAACCCCTCACCCTGGAACCAAGGGCATGAGTACCCTTCATAGGAAAGCTGCAATACGCAGAGAAACACCAACAAAGATCCACGAACCCTACTTTGGGCGCTACATTCGTATTCCAGGCGAGCGGCACGTTATTCTTCGATCGACAATGTAAGTGGGCAATTTCAGTGGCTCCAAACGCATCATGTAGACGAATGCTACGATACCTGAATGACCGGCTAACGTCCTACTAGGCTTTTACTAGGTGTAATCGCCCTTACCACTTTCCTCGTCGTGTTCTTCACCAGCGGTCAACCTTCTTCTTGGGGCACGACATCGCTCCGTCGAGTGGGCTTTGCACCACAATCCTTCGATACAACGGCAATACTTCTGAATGCATTACTTTCGAACTCGCCACAAATCTTGCTATCTTTTTCCTATCTCTCTCTGAACCGGCTCTGCACGGCTATGTCTTTTGAGAGAGAATGGAACACATACGCTTTGGAAAGAAAGGGATTACGTGTTACGAAACCACGCGGTCATCAGAGAAGCACGTACTTTCTCCAGCTTCCGTACAAATGGGCGCTACCACTAACAATAGCTTCTGGAGGTCTTCATTGGCTGCTTTCACAAACGTTTTTTCTGAGCCGCCTTGAGATTCTGGACAGCAGCGGAAATTTGATACTTGAGGAATCGAAATGTACTACGGGATATTCGCCCCTGAGTGGGGTAGTGTTTGGCTCTGGGTTCTTCCTGGCTGTTTTGGGCATCTATCTTCTTCCTCTGTTGAAAGTTCGGCATCATATGCCATACGCGGGTCACTGTAGTTTGGTCCTCTCAGCAGCATGTCATCCCCCATCAAATGATGGTGAGCATCACGAGGAGAAGGTGATGTGGGGTGTTGTAAGGAGCATGTCGAACGGGGAAGTCGGACATTGTTCATTCACCAGCAGGGACGTTACGCCACCACACAAAGGCGAAGAGTATGCGTAGGAACACTTTCTCCCTTCATTTAATCTTTTTTTTGTTTTTATTTTTTTCTGTAAAAAACATTAAGCTTTCTTAAACATAGGAGAAGGAAACAAACAGTGACAGTTCTTCTTCGGACGTAACGATAAATTTAGAAGAATGTCGATCTGTCCGGTCTAACCACAAACGGCAATTTGGAGCACATCAATTAGTTGGTTCCATATGCGGCTCTGATACTGTATACTTGAGAAAATCTTGCAAGCAGGGCACCCGGGAGCTCTGGTCGCCAGTAGGTGTGGGGTATCAGTGCTTTTGAATCTCTGGCCCCCAAGAAACTAAAAATACGTTAAACCAAGATCGTCGGCCAATCACAACCTCAAACTTTTTCGACCCAACACTAATGCTTGCCAGGAACGTGCATCATTAGCTCCGCCCCACGCAGTAGTGCGGCAAGCCACAATGGATCCCTTTGCGGTGGTGCCGTAGCCTGTTTATCTTTCTTGAAGTTCGAGGTACCCCAGGCTTCCATCCTAACCTACACATTTACAATCATTCCGCCATGACATCTTCGACACAACTAAAAAACGACGCTACAACGAGCGAAGGATGCTCCCTCCCCATCCCCGTCTGGACAGAGCATCCCGATACACCTAATTCCGCGAGTGGTGGTAAACAAAAGCAACCACAACTCGTCTCCGACGACGGTCTCCACGTCGCCGCCCGCCCCGATGATGGCCTGCAGGTCGTCGTCCGCAAACCCGTGCCCAACGTCGACGGCCTGCACGTTGTCGACGCCGAGTCGACAGACCTCCCGCCGCCCTACGAGTCGCCCACCGGTCGCTGCCTCGTGCTGCCTAGCCGCGCCGCCGAGTGGCGCGTTAAGAGCGCTACTGATCGCGACATCCGGTTGTCAACGCTCGCGGCCGCGGTGTTGGTGAACGAGAAGGTGCTAGATGGGGCGAATGTAGAGCTGTGAGCAGTTGCCCGGCCCCCTGCTTCCGTCAAGTCCGATTTGTTTGGAAACTAATCAGATGGAAAAAAACAACACAGCATCCGGATTTACGGCGATGAACAAAGAAAAGCGACGGCAGACGAGAAGACCAGCACGTTCAGCACCGTCTACGAGATCCAGCGCAGCGCATCCAAGACCTCGCTGCGGTCGTTCCGCAAGAAGGCCGAGGAGCAGCAGCAGCAGCAGGCCGCGGGGAGCATCCGGAGGAGCTCCTCTGCTGCCGCGCTGTCTCCGGCGTCCGCCGCGGGTGATGTTTACGGGCCGGGGAGCCATTCAGCCGCATCCAGCAGCCTCGCTCTAGCGGCGGCGGCGCCGTCGGCGTCGGCGTCGTCGTTGTCTGTCGGTTCTTCTGGTGAGGCCGCCGGGGGGAGATCAGAGGCGCGGGTGGCGAGGAAGCAGAGCGGGGCGGAGCGGCTGGACCGGTTTGCGGAGGAGGTGGCCACGTCGGGGAAGGGGCTCGCGAAGGTCATCGGGATGGGGCTGGCGGCGCCGGGCGCGTACACGCACGAGTTGGCGCGCGAGGTGCACAATATGCCGCGGTTGTACGGCGATGAGACGGTCAGGAAGGACGAGAAGATTGTGGGGTTCACGTCGGGATTGGCGGCGGCTGGGAAGGTGCGTTGACTTTATTGGATCTGTGCTGTGTCTCGTGCTGATGTTCTTTTGATCAGGGGTTTGGATACGGCTTGTATGATGGCATTGCCGGCTTCTTCGTGCAGCCCGTGAAAGGTGCGAAGGAGGAAGGAACTAAGGGCTTTGTGAAAGGTTTCGTGAAGGGGGTTGGTGGTTTGGCGGTTAAACCCGCAGCTGGTAAGCCAAGCAGCCTCCGCTGACTGCCTTTGAAGTTCTATACTGATGCGTATCGTTAGGAGGAATTGGGTTGGCAGGGCACACCCTCATGGGTATTCAAAAATCTATCGAGAAGACCATTTCCCGAAAACCCACTGAGGAGGAGTGCGTTGCTGTGGCGTCGGTATGGCAGGGAGAAGAGGAGATGCGAACGTTGACGGAGCAAGAAAAGACGGCCATCATAAATTCATGGTTCGCCGGATCTCGATAGACAACCCTTTCATTCTACATCTGCAGCATGGTTTCAAGCGCTTTGCAAAGAAATTTATCTTGAATCTACATTCAGCGTAACGTGTGTCTCTTCTCCCCTCTTTCCCCCATGACTAAGAGCCTGTGAACTCGGAATATGCTGAGGAGAAGGGAGATATGTTGGTGCGATCACACCTAAGAGTCTGCAAGAAATTGCGACCAGAATGTTACTAAGGATGAAGCGCCCTTGGCTCAGATCCTACATGGAGGGCCCGTACGTAGCGAAGCATGCTCGCGATCCGCGCAGCAGGACATAGGCAGACACGCATCCCTGTGCAGCCCATCGCAAGATCTCATATGCAAATCGACTTGTGGGCTTTGTGTGCGCGGGCTGAGGGCCCTTTTCGAAAACTGATCATGATGTAGGGAACTAAATAACAAGCTGGCGGCGCCTGTAGATAGAATAATGTCTCTCCGCAAGAGGATCGTGAGGGTGAAATGAGCCATGTAGAGCTGCAAAGATATTCTGTCCATACTCTTGAAGTTCTCCTCTCTCCCTCTACGTTGTGCAGCTATGCTGAACCCCCCTAAATGAGAGCATCGTCTTTGAATAATGACATCCATCCAAGTTCCGCTTACAAAGTGGTGCCCCATTTCAACCCGTTGACGCTCCACCGCGTAGCCTCGAAACTGGTTGGATGGGCTCGGTCCACCCTCGAGCGTGTTTGCTTCAATAGCTCCGCTTCTGCCTCCGCCGCTAGCCACCACTGCCGGCCTCTATGCCTCGTCGCAAAATTCTCCCGCCGCTCTGATTCCCACTCTCTCCACCAACACCCACCCACCTTTGGTTCCCAACTATCAAACTGGATTGGACGCAATAGAATATGAACTTGCGCTCTCAACGAAATGGAACAAAGCTACTATCATGCACTTTACTCTTTATCGGCGGAGTCAGGAGAAGACGACGCCGATGAACAAACATACATCCAGACCGATTCCTCTAAAGAGAAAAGAAGCTTCCGCGACAGTCATGGCGGATGTGCGACCTCTACGTCCTCAGAAGTGACCAAGACTGACGGCGAGCTTCCTTTCTCTATCCTTGATGAAGACGATACTGCTGACTGGCGTGACTACAGCTACCTCTGCCTCGCATAACCAAGAAACTACACCCCCAGTCCCTGTGATCGACAATGTTCTAAACAAATTCGAATCAGTGACACTGGACTCGACAGAAACTCCCGCCTCCCACTCTCCCACCGCCCAACAGACTAGGTACCGTTACGCCCGCTGGAAGGCCACTCAATATCCTGGAGACATTATCATAAAAGAGTGGGACGAGTCGATCTTGGACGCGCAACTGGCGTGCGAGATCAACACGAAGACGGGCGAGATCTCGTTCTTCACGGATGGTGCCTTCGCCAGTGGGGAGCCAGGCTCAGGAGCGGCCGTTGTGTGGCGCCCTCCTGGTGAGCTGCAGGATTGGTGGGATAGAGAGTGTCGCACTCTCTGGGGCATCAACGATAACAACGAGGCCGAAGCATTTGCCGTTTGGTTGGCGCTTCGTGTCGCCTTGTGGATGCAGTCCATGAATATCAATATCACTCACATCAACATATTCACGGACTCCAGGACTATTCTGAAGCGGGTTGATTGGCATTCTGCTGATGACCGCCTGGTCACTCATGTCAATCCGCTTGTCAGATACACCCAAAATATCCACAACTATACAAGGGCACTGATGGCCCAAGGAATAAAAGTGACATTGCGATGGGTAAAGGCCCACAAGGAGAAGGAAGATCCCAAGTGGGCAGTGGTTGGTAATATGACGGCGGACCGGTTGGCCAAAGAGGCCAGACCGTTGGTTCCACTACTAGGTGGACAGGTAAGATGATGATCATTGTCTTGTTCAGTGTTTCATTGCTGATAACTTCATCACAGGCTTCCGGTGAATCAACTCACTCAGACCTCAGCGGGCAACAAATACGCAAACTCTAAACTATCCTGGCATTTCAGAACGAGAAGTCTGGTTGTGCCACTACCCTGGTTTCTTTTCGACATGACGTGGTTTCGACTACGCCATTGTGCAGGTTGATGCCCTTGTTGGCGCTTGCTACACTAATAACACGAGACGATCGGCTTTGTTTACACTTCGCAGTTACAGCACATCATCATCCAAAACATTGGAATTCACCTATGGCAACAGGTGAGAATACTTGCATCAGGACAAATATCACGAATTGGCAGAGGACGGAACTATTTGTGGGGCATGGGATCAGGATAGGGGATGAAATGGTGGACAGAAAGGCAGGGGCTAGATGTAAACAATGGCAATGTTTAAACTTCGATCGGGCCACAGTGTGGAGAGAGAGACGGCCAGACCAGCAGACAACAAACAAAGGCGGAGCGCATGCGGATGCAGCGTTGCGAGCTTGTGGGGCGAGGGGTGCTGATTGGTCGAGGGCGAAGAAAGCGGAGCGAAAGCGGCGGTGACAGGGGATCGCGATGGTTGCTTGGCCAACGCTAGCGCCGTTTGTGTACCATCACAAATATGACGACACGGACACCTCTGTGTCACAGCTCACGACCATCAACAAGCGACGAACAACACCAATCCATTGTCCATGCCGCGTTCATAGCCATTTCTACTTTCGCCCCTACTAACAACCAAGCAATCCCGCCTCAATTGCCCACCATGGTCGCAACACGCGCTCAGCGAGCACAGACCAAGGATGAGCCCGCCGCTCCCAAGCGCAACGCTCTAGCAGCACCGGCTCGTCGCGGCAAGAAGCCCGAAGGCGACAAACCTGGTTCCACTGCCCAAAAGCCTACACGTGCCGCTGCGACGGCCAAAAGGGCAGCTGCGAAGCCCGCTGCTCCGACCGCCGCGAAACAACCTGCCCCCACCACTCGCCGGACGCGCGCAAAAGAAGCCGAAGCGCCTGCGCCTAAAGTAACCCTCGAGGACCCTGAATCCGCAGACGAACTCGAGGTCGTGGAGGAGCCTGCAGCACCTGCGCCCGCAAAGGCTACGAGGAAGACCGCCGCCAAAGTTGCGCCGAAGCAAACCGAGACAACAACAACAACAACGACCGCAAGTCGCAAGCGATCTGCGCGCGAAATCGAACCCGAACCCGCGCGCCCGGCCAAGAGACAAACGCGTTCGCGCGTCACCGAGGACCCTCAGGAACGCGAACAAGACGAATCGATGGAGGCAGAATCGAAAAAGGCCGTCGCCGCGCCTCGGGCCACTCGCGCGACTCGCGGAACCAAGGCATCCCAGTCGCGCTCTGCGGCCACCGTCAAGCCTCTGGCGCAGCGCATCACCGTCACCGCTAAGAAGCCGACGAGGAAGGCGAAGGCCGAGGTGCCCGAGCCCGCTGTTGTCGAGGTCGAGATGGAAGATGCTGATGAAGAAGAAGCGCAGGCTCCGGAGCCGGCGAAGTCGACGAGGAAGTCGTCGAGGAGAGCCGCGAGCGAAGAGCCGCAAGAGCCGGCTTCGGATGCGCCGGTGGAGCCTACGCCTGCGAAGTCGACAAGGAAATCTTCCAGGAGAAAGACTTTGGAAGAGGTTCCTGAAGTCTCCGCAGAGGCTTGCGAGACGGAGGACAAGGAGGACCCAGCTCCTGTAACTCCGGTGAAGTCAACAAAGAAAGTATCGGAGAAGCCTGCGGAGAAGGAGGAGACCGAGGCCGAGAAGCTCGATGAGGAGTCTGCAGTTGAGGAACAAGAACCCGCCTCCACCCCAGTCAGGACGCCCGAGGCCCCTCAGCAACCAGAGACTCCGGTTAAGCCGACCCCCGCACCGCCGAAGTCGATCTTGAAGTCCGTTCGTCCCGAGGCAAAGGAAAACGTACCCCCGAAGACCCCAGGTCCCGCGCACTACGCGGCAACTTTCCCGTTCGCTCAGGAAGCCACCCCATTTTTCAGACCTGAAATTGCCCCGCAAGCTGCCAGCTTCCAAGCCAGGACCCCGGGCTTCACCAAGTCTCTGCTTCATGAGACGCCTCGCAAGGCGCCTATGGCTTCACCCTTCAAGCTTCCTCCTATGTCAGCCGCGAAGCACGTTGCCGAGGCCAACGCCGGCAGCATTCTGAATAGCCCTGCGAAGAGGGCACCGCTTGGCGCTCCGATGCACGGCATGACACCCATGAGGCCGACAGCTGCGAAGCCTGAGATCAAGGCTTCCCTTCTTCAGACACCTGCGAAGAAGGGCCTGATGCTTCCTCCCTCCACTGCTCCGGTCAACAAGCAGGGTCCTCAACCTGCTCACGCAAAGTCCTCCCTTCTCCAGACTTGCCCCCGCAAGATCGCTCTGCCAGGCCTCCCTCCCAAGTCTTCCATCACATCTCCCACGAAGGCAGATGAGGGCGTCATGGGATCTTCTCTTCTGTCTGCCACGCCCCGCAAGGTCCGCATCGAGCCGCCAACTCAGCCTGCCTTCGGAACCAGTGTCCAGGATTTCGCCATCCAGGCGCAAAACTCCGCACTGGCGGCCGAGCCTCGCCGCTGGAACACGCCCGCGAGGACTCCCGCCAAGCGCTTCGCTACCCCGGGCAAGACGCCCGCCAAGTCCCTTGTCGACGCCGACGCGGGCAGCCCCACGCCCGTCAAGCGGACCCCGGCCGCCGGCCTGAGGGACGTCAACTCGGCCCTCAAGCTGCTCAACGAGGCGTCGTCGTCGCCCGCCATGCCGCCCGCCACGCCCACCGAGCAGTTCGTCCAGACCGTCATCGACAAGATCGACCAGAGTATGTCCGAGTCGGAGAGCAGCGAAGCCGCCTACAGCTCGCAGATCAGCCAGGACATCGAGGTCGCCCGGTCTGCGGACGACGAGCAGCTGGCGTCCGACGATTATCATCACCACGACGATATCGCGGCCGATTTGGAGCTCGGTCAGCGCACTGCCGATGCCGGCGAGGTCGAGCCCTGCGTCTCTCCGGCTGACTTGGTCATGTCGGATAGCGAGACGCCGCTGGGCAGCCCGCGGGCTGTGCCTGTCGAGGATGTTGTCATGGAGGAGCAGGTTGATGTCTCCATGCAGGATTTTGTTGGTCCTGTGCAGGAAGTCGTCGTGGAGGATGCTGCTACGGGGGCTCTTCAGGATGTCCCCGAGATAGTGGAGCCCATCACTGAGGAGCCAAGTGCCGTCGTGCATCACGAGGAGTATGTCGAGGCCACGCCTGCTCGCTCGGAGATTCAGTTCATCGAGGACGTGCATGAGGTCGAGGCTGAGCCTGAGCCTGAGCACCAGCCTGAGATTGCGCCTGCCGAGGTTGCTCCGGAGGCAGTTCAGATGGCTGTGGAGCAGGTCGAGAAGGTTTCCGAGCAGCGTGTTGAGGAGTTTGTTGAGAAGCACTTTGAGGAGCACGTCGAGCAACCGATGGAGCAGTCTGTCGAGCAGCCAATGGAGCAGCCGACTGAGCAGCCTATCGATCAGCTTGTCGAGGAGTACGTCAAGGTGCAGGTCGAGCCACAGGTCGAGCCGCAGGTCGAGTATGTCGAGGAGTACGTCGAGGAGAAGGTTGAGGAGACCACCATTGTTGAGCAGACCACGACCGTTCAAGAGGAAATTGTGGAAGAGATCCCAGTGGTCAGTACCCCGCAAGTCCCTGAAAGGCCTTCGACTCCCACAATGGAAGAGCAGCACGCCGCTGCGCTTGCTAAGGAGAAGGCCAAGACTGAACGCCGCGATCGTCGCAAGCGACTTTCCATGGCTATCGAGCTGGAGAGCTCTGTCAGGAAGCCAAGGAAGAGCCTGGCTTTCATCCCTTCGCTCACTCCCGCCAAGTCTGCTCTCCGTTCGCCTTTCAAGAAGCCCTTCGGATCTCCCAAGAAGTCTGTCGCCTGGGCGACTGAACCTACTCAGGCTCGGATCATCGAGGAGCCTCAACAGCCGCAGACACCCAAGGTTGTTCACCACACGGCTGATACCGACGTGAACATCCCTCGTCCGGACGACGGTCTGCTGAACGGAACTGTTTTCTTTGTCGATGTTCGCACCGTTGACGGTGAGGACGCCGGTGATCTGTTCATCCCTCTTCTTGAGGAGATGGGCGCCAAAATCGTCAATGACTGGAACAGCAACATCTCCCATGTGCTGTTCAAAGACGGTGATTCGGAGACTCTCGAGAAGGTCTTCGCTACCAACGGCGCCGTCAAGGCCGTCAACATCGGCTGGGTCCTCGACTGCGAACGCTTCAACAAGTGGGTCGCCGAAGACGAGTACCTGATCGAAGTCTCCCGCCTCCTGGACGGCAGTCCTGCCCGCAACCTCTTCGCCCCCAGCGTCGCCAACACGCCCGCTCGCGCCACTCCGGCCAAGTCCGCCTTCGGCACGCCCTTCGCCCTCATGAGCCTCACCCCCAAGGGCAAGCCTACCCTCAGCCCCTTCGCCGACATCACCACTCCCAAGCCTTCTACGCCCATCGCCGACGCCGAGGACAAGGAGAACACGCCGCCGACGCAGCTCTTCAAGACGCCGACCAAGCCTTCGACTCCTGCCGTCACCGTCGCTGGCGCTGCTGGCGAGTTCTCCCCGTCCACGCCCTACTACCTCCACCCGGAGAACATCATCCAGAAGACGTGCCCGCCGAAGCAGATCAACAAGGGCCTGTTCGATCGCGATGAGAGGCAGGCTACGGCCGTCACGCCCTTCAGGCAGAAGATGTTGCTCGCCAGGAGGAGTTTGAGCCCGGCGGCTTTTGGGAGGGCGCAGGGTTTCTGATCGGTGAAAGGCTAGGTGAAGGGATAAGGCGTACTTTGTGGTGTGTGTGCTCTGCGTTTCGCGATGATACCCGAAAACTGGCTTTTTCTGTTTGATATTTTGTTTTCTGGAGTTTTTTTTTTCTGGATTGGAGTCAAGGATGGGTGGGCGGTGGGGTACATGTGGACATGTGCATAAAAGGGATTCTTACAGTGCATCGAGGATAATGTAAATAATTGGCACGCCTCGCAACGATATTACTCCTCATCGTCTGTCCATGTTCCTGAGTTGCCTTCGATCCTGAAGTGGTATTCACAACGTGAAGTGTGTTAACACCACTAATACAGCTGCGCAAACTTTCGTGTTAAGGCGGAGTGTTGCTCACTCAAAGGAAAACAAAATTCCATTCAAAGATGCATTCACTAACACCTGCGGCGCATGCATTCACGTGGCCCCTGCGGTATCATAAACATCACTTTAATCGCCGTGCTGCCACTCCGCTTTCCACCCTGCGCCGCCAGCCTGCCGACCATTTGGCTCGTGACACACTTTGAGTTTCATTACTTCTCCCACTTCCTTGCTCGTGAACTCATCACCGACTGTCTGCAACATGAAAGAGCCCGACCGTGCTCAAGACATCCAGGAAGCGTCTACGCCGCACGCCACAAGCGAACCGCATATCACTCCTAACGCCATGCCGCACGTTCAAGACGGTGCGCAAATGATCCCCTCATACAAAAGCTTCACTAAGAAATCACGTACTACAGGCCCGACGGCGACCGAACTTTCCGTCCGGTTGAAAACCTCTGGCAAGGACAACATGAACAATATCGGCGATATTCCCGTTGGAGCTGCCTCTCAAGCCCACATGGCTGATCGCCGCGCTGCCCAAGGCGAGACTACCGCAGCGGCACCGGACATTGTGAAAGACAACAGCAGGCCCAAGGCCGCGACAAAGAAATCGAGGCTTCAGCGCGCTCCGATCAAGCTCTGCAATGGCAGGCGTTTCTTGTTCCGAGACCCTTCCTCTGCTGCTACCTCTTCCTCTGCTACTAGAGGTTCCTCTACTGGTGCAGCTCCTTCTGCTGTTACAGCTTCTTCTCTTGCTACAGCTCCTTCGACTGCTACACCCTCTTCTACTGCTACAGCCACACCGCAGGCGAAAGAACCACGTCCGCTCCCAGAAGTATCTCGTGCTCCCAGTGCCACTGTCAGCGTCACCGTCATGGACAAGCATCCCGAGCAGGTCGATGAAGAGATACCGCTTCACGGCTTCGATGTCAACGTCGCTGAAGCCAAGGCTTGCGTTCAGTGTCTCGTGTTTGCCGTGAGGAAGTACGGCGTTGACCCTACTGTTGAGACCATCGAGGTGTTCACTGGCAGCAATGAGTTGCTGAACAGCCTTACCAAGTTCCATGCCAACCCGTCGGAGAGCGCTGACCTGAAGGAGCAGTTACAGCAAGTGTGCGAGTTTGTGGAGGTGTTGAAGAAGCTGGGAAAGCGCGTCGTGTTCACCTGTGTCAAGGATCACGACGGCGGAGACGTGGGAGTTGAGGGCAAGAGCAAGGCAGACGATGAGGTGACTGTCCGCGATGGAGACATGAAGGGAGAAAAGATGGTGTCGTTGAAGAGGAAGAAGGGCGAAGACGAAGGCGATGGTAATGGCGGCCGAAAGAAGACAAAGTCTCAGCCGTAAGAGTCACACTCTATGTCGGCTACTATTACTACTTTTAGGCTTTTCCCAGCGCCTTTTCGACACTGTTTGGTTTCCAAGGCGCGTCAGCCATTTTTATGCTTCCTCAAGCACCTGTCTAAAACGGCACACAAATCGGTCATATTGCGGCCACCTCTGTTTTTTCTCTGCTTTTCTGCATCAGCAAAGGCATTGTTTTGGCTCTCAATCACGACAACGATGTTTGTGTTTCTTTTCTTCGGTACGAAACTTCACTTTGCATTCCTGGAAAACAAAGGGTTATTATGAAGGTATCGGGGTGTCCATTACCAGAGATATCTGGAAGTGTTTTTCGGACATGCGATTTGTATCCTCTTTTACCAATGTACATCCAGCCGGCAGTTCTAATTGCCCTTTTGATGTGCTTCAATTTGTTAACATGGGCATCGTGTGGTGACGACAGTTCACAGACACGTCACCGTTTTCTGTAGGTAAAATCTGCACTGAACGGCTGGAATATATTGCATAAAGGGGAAACCCGACGTCAACGCGGTCTTTTTCGTGGATAGATAAGAGGTGTTCAATCACGTGCATATGACCCCGGCAAAGCGGATATGTTATCCGTTTTGGGGGGTCTTCAGAACGCTATCGTGTGGGGAAGACGTGGATTGCGTAGTTGACCCCGCGTTTAAGTCAACTGTTAAAAGGTTATGTCAAACGTCAGCGGGCGCAACATCAAACCTCTAATTTCCCATGAACTAGCGCTTTTTTACCAGTATCAACGAGAGGCTTTAGTCTGTCACTGCTCAATATGTCATCGACCAACGAACCGGAACAGTATCCCGTACGCCCCACTCCGCACTGCCCGAACAGTGTTTTCCCCATTTTAGTCTACCGCGGGGTTCTGCCAACGCCCGTGGACGAAGAGTCGACATCAGAATTCCTTCAGCGGAACCACTGGGAGAAAAAGGCAAGTCACGAGAGTATTTGGAACACACAAAAAAGCAAAACTCTATGCGCCGCCTTCCAGACGCACACAGCCTCCACCAACCTTTCTTTTCCTCTCTCTTCGTCCCACCAAAATAAGACATGAACATCTTTCTGAGAATGCAACGCGGCCCCATTAGGGAACGTGGGGCGCCATCACGACCAAGCACTTCCACCCTAACACGCACGAATGCTACGGTGTCATCCACGGGCGTTCCGAGCTCGTCTTCGGGCTCGGCGGCGCGGACGCCGTCGAAGGTGACAGCGGCAACTACGAAGGCGTGCGCGTCACCGTCGCCGTGGGAGACGTTATCGTCGTGCCCGCCGGTGTTGCGCACGCGTCTGTCCAGAATGATCGAGACTACAAGTACATCGGTGTCTATCCAGAGGTGAGTTTGTCGAAGACGATGCTGGATTTGTATCTATTTCCTATTCTTCTCTTGCCCTCGTACTGGCCTCTGCGGGGAACAATGGGAGAGACAGTCTTTCGTACTGACGTATTCGGCACGATGTTAGGGATCACCGAAGTGGAGGAGCGAGTGGGGGAAGAGAGAGCTCAATGGCATAGATGATCCTTTGTTCGATGAGATCAAGGGTGTGCCTTTTCCCCGATGTGATCCGGTTTTCGGCGCGGATGGCCCGCTGAGGAAGGTTTGGGGCGAGGTGTTGACGAAGTGAAAGTAACCGGCGATGTCGAAGAAAATATCGCGAGCAGCCATTACTTAGTCACATGTGTATGAACTTGACTTCAATGTGCCTGCTTCATTCGCTATATCAATATTGTTATTTGCGTAGGGCTGCAGTGTTTATAACCCTCACCGGCAAGTTCAAACTTCCACCTAAGGGCTCTCGGGCCTATGGTACGGATGTCATTAGACTCCACCACCTCCCTCGCTAGGGTAAAGGGGGAAAATTCCTGAAAAGGGGTTTTATAGGGCAGAACTCGGGGGCCTAACCGCCCTGTGGTCGCTTGACTTTTTGTTTTTTGGCGTCTTATCTTTTGGGAATTTGTGCTAGCAGGGACGGTTTTCTTAATGTTGTTCATAGCTACTATTCTGTTTTTCTCGATATGATGCGAGTATCTGTGACAATACATCCATGCGGACCCTGTTGGCTTTACGATCTTGAAGTACCGAGAGAAAGGTTTCGCATACCTTTTACGTCATTCTCAATAAGGCTCAAGATGACCTCGAGCCGCTGTCAAGAACATCCGGGCTCATATGAGCGGTATTGTACTTGTTCGAACTTCCAGAATATTCATTAATACCCGTTCGCAATGCCCAGCATATAGGCTTTCATTAGACGTGTCGTAACAAAACAATATCGATTACCACCTCCCATTAACATTAATCATGACTGCACGGGCGCTACCGGCAGCTTTTCCACAACGCCGACCACGTCTTTGACCTCTTTCATGACACCACCCCCATTCTTGCCCACCCCCAAACCCTTCCTTTTCTCCCCCAACTGTTCCTTCCACTCTTCGTTCCAGACGAGCACCTGCTGACACATAGCCTCCATGGACGTCCATGGCGCCCGATACCCCAACCCACCCTCTTCTGGCCTCTTCCTCGCCTCGCTGTCGTCGTAGAACAGATGCACGTTACAGATAGCAAACAGTGCAGGCTGCAGCAGCGCCAAGTCGCCGGCCAGCGGCGGCAAGACACTTCGCAGGTAGCGGTGGCGGAGCAGCGTGTAGAACTCGACGACATGGGAGATGACGAGCATCAGCACGGCGGGCACGGCGACAAACTTGACGGGCGTCGCGCACAGCGTCTGCAAGAGGAACGCGATGTCAGCGTAGCGGATGGGCGGGTTAGGATCAGTGACGGTGAAGGCGCTGCCGCCGATGTCGACGCGCTTGCCGGAAGCAGGGTCGCGGGCGGGAGCGACTAAGCGTTGCTCGAGCAGCAGGTGAGCCAGCGAGACGTTCTCGGTATAGACGAAGGGGTTGACGACATGGCGGATCCAGTCGACGACACCGCCGCGCCGTATGTAGCTGCCGATCGTATTGTCCTGCGCTGTGCCATATACACCAGACGCGGGCCTGATGACGCCGGTCCGCAGGCCGCCCGTCGCGGCGTCGTCGGCACCGCGCACGAGCCGCTCGGCCGTAGCCTTGGAGACTGGGTAGTTGCCGAAGTAGGTCTCGTGCGGGCGGGTCAGGTCGTAGTCGGCGTCGCTGATGGTCTGGAAGAAGCGACGCGGCCAGCGCCGCCAGGGCGCCAGCCAGAAACTGACTCGTCGGATAGCAATAGAGCCCGAAGAGGTGGCGATGAATATGGAGGCGCCGGCAGCCTTGGCGGCGGCAAGGACGTTCTTGGTGCCGACGACGTTGACTTCTTCGGATAGCGGGAGGAGGTCCTTTGCGCGTTCAGCGAAGCGGATGGTGGCGGCAGTGTGGAAGACAGTGAGCGGCCTCTCGGCGACCGAGGATGGCCAAGGCACAGAGAAGGCGTGGTTGGCAGAGTCAGGGTCAGTGATGTCTGCGGTTTGGAAGCTAACTTGGCTAAGCTCTGCAGATCGGTGCACGCCTCCCGCAACATCTGGGGTCGGATGTCTGAGGTCAACGATTCGGATCGCATCGATATCCTCGCCACGCGCCAGGAGTTGTTGCACAATGGAGCCGCCGACCAGACCTGCTCTTGGTGTTAGCTGAGGACATGTGAGATTCGGATTGTAGAAACATGCCTGCTCCTCCAGTCACGATGTAGCGGCGGGACTGCTTAGGGGGAAGATGGTCGCGGATATCGATGGGCGATTGCTTCATTCTTTGATAGGTTTTCTTCAACTCTTCTGCCGTCCAGGGTGGGGAGGCAGCACGCTCGGCTTCGTCAGGCGTTCCGCCGAGGGCGCGATTTACATGTCGCAAGTACAGGAGTAGCAGTACGATAGAGATCCAAAGGACATAGTTCGAGGGAGAGAAGAACCGGGCGACAAGGTCGGCAGGATACATGGTTTTGGGAGCTGCTCAAGCGAGCCGAGAGACGTAGTGATTGCGGGAACCTGAAAGGCGAAGGCTCAAACATATAGGCCGGTCGAAGGTGCTGTCTTTGGTACAGTTACACCCGTCCTGCAGGCGGGGATTGGAGGCGTCATCTGACGGGAAGAGCGTCCCGCGCCCCTGTGGGAGTCCCGCGCGGCATAGCGAACACCAGGCGGATGCGTGATACGACAGCGCTGTGACAAGGCGGCATTGAGTACCGGGGAAGCTTGAGCAGAAAGCGGCGCAACGGTTGGATGGTAGGATGGGTCGTGGATGATATGCGCAGGGATGGGCTGCTCGCGTCGCAAGCGAACGCCCTGCGCGTCGGGCCTTCCAGCGCAGCCATCGCGGGCCGCGCAACACGCTTACCGCGACATGTATACGCGCCTCAACACTACTACTCATGGCGCAGACTCGCTTACGATGCGATGCCGAATCCGGCGCCCCCGCTCCACTCGACTGCCCTGTCTCAGCCCTGTGCGGTCTGGTGCTGCATGATTACCGCTTCTTTTTGTCATTCCTTTGAAACAGGCGCATGAGTCCAGGCCTGAGCCATCGGTTGAGCAAATCGGGCTCCACCACGGCTGTGGAGATCGGTTGCCGATGCAGCTCGCGTTTTGGTGCTGATGACACACGGGCGTGCATGACCCAGGAACATGCTCCGTCCAACTGACCGATTCACGCGGACTGCATCACCAGCCTTATTTCCGCCGACCATCTCGGTTCCTTCCCCGTCGCGGCCCGAGTAGGGGCCAGCTCAATCCAGCTGATCCGAGATGTGACAATCCTAATCCGGCTCATCAATCTCCCGGAGATCACCAATTACCTCTTCCAACTGGCCAGCATTTTTTCCCTTTCATTCGCCGTAGGGCCTAATCTGCCAGAAATCCAATCATTACAACGGCAAATTCTAATGTAGTCTGATTGCAACTTGCTGATTGGCGCTGAACGTGACAGAGCTCAAGCCAGGCAGACTAATTGTAATTGAACATCAGACGTGTCCAGCTGTTGTGAAATGGGTTGTTTGAAATGATTCCGAAGGCGCAATTTGCGGCTGCTAGTGCGTTGGTATGGCGCCTTTGTGCCCGTATACCTAGCGTATGTCAGCTCCCACATCCAGCATATCACACCATGCTGCCAAAGGGGACTCGAGATGTTCATTGCGAGGATGACGGCCCGCGCAGAGCAGACGGAAATGTACAGAGGACATAATTACGGGCCTCTGTTAGTGGAGTTGACAATGCTTACATAGCTATCGGTGAGGAGAGCAAGCAAGAGGTTAAGCTAAACTTTTAAGTAGTACTCTCTACACTTTAAAGTTTACAGAGAGTACTGTAGCCAATGGCTAACGCGCAGAATAGCAGAGCCCTAGAACATAGCGTAAATACGCCTCACTTTTTTTCCCCACTACAAAGAACATATATGGGTAATCATCCGGATGAAAATGTAGAATTAGTACTTATACATTCACGTCCGGACGATAGCTTTAACTACCCATGGTATGAGCGAAAAATAAATTCATGCGAACTGGCAGCTGCAATAATCTTCCCGCTTAAGAGTCTAGCCATCGAGGAGCCCATTTTAGAGTTTCTGTTTAGCTGCAGTAATGTTCGTTAGAAGCTTAATAGTTATAAACTACAGCCTCATGTGCATGGCTTTCTTGAGCCTGACAGTCTTCCCTAAAAGTGGCCAAGAGCATAATTTGTAAGCCGTCTCCTACGAGAGAACCATCATGAAGTGCTGCAAAAGTGGCCCAACAAATTAACTCTGCAAACTCAAACCCGTCGCACCACCCTGCATTCGCAGGCCTCTGACACTGCGCCATCCAACATCACCAATCAACAGCGTGATGAATCCCTACCATACCCCTCAATGCACCATGTGACTCACACACTAACCCCACGCTACGCTCTGTATTCAGGCATCGCAGGCATACACCCTTGTCGTCTTTAATTTTGCCTAGAAAGACGCGTCGAATCCATGTTCGCGTTTTGTTTACCGTGAAGCGCGATTGAGTACTCGAACTTAGCAAAAACCACCATTTCCCCTTTCCTTGAAAACTATCTTCAATTCAAAGGAGCCCTCGTACCTGCATTAGACATCACGATCAAGAAGAAGAAATTTTTTTTAAGAAGAATGGCCGACGCAAGTGCTATCCAAAAGCGACCCCGCGGCCGCCCCCGGAAGCAGCAACAAGTCGTTGCCGCAGCCGAAGTCCCCGTCATCGACATCGTCATCGACGCCGCGCTCGCGAAACCCAATAAACCAGCTCCAACAAAAACCAAGAAACTCAAAGACGAGAAGCAAATGGTTTCAAGCGCCAAACCCGCCCCAGACAAGAAAACGACGAAGAAAAGTACCGCGTCCAGCGGGACCAATGGCAGCGTGACAATTACCAAACGAAAGGCGGCAACGACAAAGCAGACAGCGGCGGACCCACCCGCGGCGGCGGCCGCAGCGTCGATCACACCTCCGAGCTCTGCTCCGCAAGCTTCATCCACGTCCACTCGACTGCAGCAGCGACGCAAAGCCGCCGAGCCAATTCCCGGCCCTTCCATCGAACCGACGGGAACAATTCCAAGCGGGACGAAACCCGTCGAGGAGGCGATCGCCACGGCTACGAACCGTTCGAAGATACTGAGCGAGCTCGCGGCGCAGGGATCACTGCCATTGCAGCGCGAGGAAAAGGACTCGGGAACGGAAGCTGCGCGCGCTGAGGAAGGGCGACAAGCTCAGAGGGCACTGCTCTGTGATACTCTGCAACAGGAGGAGGTACACGCGCAAGTTGCAGTAAGAGACGAGCTCCAGAGGCAAGAGGAGCTCGCGCGCACTGCTTCTGCGTCTGCCGCAACGCAATTTACCCTCTCCGGACGCAGCACTCAGACGGAGGACGCTGCTGCTGGCCCCGCGCAACTCGAACCGCACACCTCACCGGCCTCTGCTATCACGCCGCCACCACCACCGCCAACCACAGCCGCGCTCAGTACAATTCCGACACCACCAACCCAAACCACCCCAATAACAATGGCCGGCCAACAACAACCACCGCCACCGCAACCCTACCGAGCATCCCCACGCCAAGCACGCCCTTCACAACCGCCAGCGCCAGCAGCACCAAAACCGGTGGAGGAGGGGCAACCCTGGGAGCCGCCGCAGGTGCGGCAGTGGCGGCAGAAGCAAGAGCAACAACGGCAGAGCAAGTGGAAGCCCGTCGAGCCGCTGCCGCTCAAGTACAAGCCGGCGGCGCGACGGGTGACGCTCGCCATGGTGGCGGCGCCGATTGCCATTGTGACGAGCTGGGCGCTGTACGATCGACGTGAGTTCTTCCCATTCCCCTTCGGCGCATTGTCTACGGTCATGATTATGTAGTTAAGGGAGAAAAGTAGAGAATATAACGAATGTGCTAACATCAATGCAAATTTAGTGGTGCTGGGCAAGGAGCGCAAAGAAATGCCACGGGTGGCTCCGAGCCTGGCGAACGCGATGAAGGATAGAGATGCCGAGGATAAGAAGATGTAGAAGAGTGCTGGTGGTAACAGTATGATGATTTTGGCGGAAGTAGGGGAAAAAGAAAAGGCGAGAGAAGCTTGATACCTGGATATAGTTGTGCTCAACTGCAAATGTAGCAAAGAGAACGAAGAAAAAAGAGGAAATGAAAAATGCCAGGCAGACGATGAAATGAGACATGGAATAGAGCCTTAAGATGGGTCTACATGTATTGTAAAACATCACAGGACTGATGGAACTATCAAGCTAATTGTGAAGTATGTATTTGTAGAATTGGGTATTTATTTTCATCTGATTATACAAAGGAAAGATAGACGTTTGTGATGGCTCGTGGGAGCGTGTGTATCTATTCCCCAATCGATGTGTCCACGTCTGATGAGAAATAATCCCCTTTCTATGCGTTCTTACCCCGCTTTCCGGGTGTCAGGTTAGACGGTGTAGACAATGCAGAATAATACAAGCCAATGTATGCCAAACTTATCCGCGGGAATGGTCAAAAACAAGTGGTGCTCGAATGCAAAGAGAAGCAAGCATCTGCAAACCTGCGAGCCAGTGCCTCTCATCTCCTTCTTCCTGCGCAAAGGCGCTACTTAAAACTCCTGAACAATGCAAGCCGCGCAGAGTCAAAGCTCTGCTGCTGGTAATGGTGTCATGACTTCCAAGGGTATGTGTAAACAAGATATATGCGTGAAGGGCAAAATTACGAAAGATCGCTTTCGGTTGGGTATTCAAGCACTTCAGAGGACTTCCTGCTCTTTCTTTGGAGACGGTTTGGGAGCAAGGAGTTGAAGCTCTTCTTGCGGCGCAGGAGCATTCCCCTTGTGCCGCTGATGTCGGTGTGCAGACCCGAGTGACTCTCTCTGCGCCTGCCCTCGTTGGGCTTGTTGGAGCCTGCCTGGGGAGTCTCGGGTGTCTTGGTCGACTGCGTCGTCTTCTGCGGCGGATGGAATAGACGCTTGTAGATGCGCTCGGGCGAACTAGGCTGTGTAACGGCGCTAGGCGTTTTGGTCATGGTCAATAGTTGTGTGGCCGAGGGGCTGCGGAAAGACGGCCGAGAGCCGAGGTTCGGTGTTGTCGGCTGTGAGATCGAAGGAAACAGGTGAGGTGGCCATTCGTCATCGGCGTCTGGAGGCGAGTCAAGGGAAGAGATAGACGCATTATCGTCCTCGCTATCAGACGAAATGAGGTCTTCCTCGGTGGCAGAAGAGAGGATGTCCTGCATTGGGACCTGAAGAAGCGCCGAATCGCTGGCGCGAGGATACGCAAAAGTCCTCAGGTCTGGTTTTGACCGGGTACGATACTTCACAGGCACGTCCAAATGAAGGCTGATTGGGCGTCGGGCTTCTTGCTCCAAATCGTTGATGCTCCGGGTCATATCATTACGGCAGCGCCTGCCTCGGCCTCGGCCAGATTCTGAATGAACGGAGGATGGCCGCAGGCTCTTGCGCAGATCGACCTCACTGGGGCTGAAGACCACGCGTGCTCTCAGCTGACGCACAGCGTCATCAAGTGCCAGCTCGATAGCACAGTGGTTGATGATCCTGCTCATCTTGGGCCAAGTGGCCCTCTCCCCGCAGATCATGGCCTGTTTCATGAACTCCGGTGTGGGGTTGCTCAGGATCTTCGGGAACTGCGAGTACGAGATGGCTGGAAATATTGTGATGTCTCCGGAGTAGCGTTGGCTGAGGATGGACCTGGCCTTTGTGCAGTAGTTGGGGAAGATGCCAAGCTCAGCCATGACGTGCAGCCTGTGCTGAGCCTCGCCCTTGGCAAGGCCAGCCATGGTATGGAGCCACCCAGGGCCAGCTGCGAAAGCCGAGTTTTGTGGCGGAGCTTCCGGAAAAGGAAGGCCCTCCTCTTTTTCTAGGAACGGTACAACGTGAGGATTGACCTGAGAGACGATGAAGTGATTGACGTTGAACATTTCGGCGAGACGCGTAATGGGGAGATCGTTGTCGACGGACCCGTCAATCCACCGCTGGGGCGAAGGATCCCAAGGGATTTGCTGGCCGGTAGTAGGATCCTTGGCCTGCAGCTGAGCGGCTGAGAATACCAACGGTACCGAACAAGAGGCAGCGCTAAATCAGTCAGACGATGCCCAAACAATCCAAGACCACGTTGAAGGCGCAAATAGGAGTAATCACTTACACTGCAGACCAAATGATAACGTTCGGTGCTGTGATATAGTTGAGGAGCCTGGGCAGTTCAAAAGCACTTGCGCTTGAAACCGTGATGTTAAGAATCCTCCGGGTCCGGTTGTAGGCTTCCTGGAAAGTCATATCGCCAAGCAAATTGCGCATGACCTGAATGAGGTGTCCAATGTCAAAGACAGCGCCGTATTTCAAGAACCGCGCAGCCTTGGTTAAGATGCCGCGGTCCTCCTCTTTCTCGAAGACGTTCAAGTCGCCGTAGCAAAATTCCTCCAGTATCAGTGGCATCTCGGCGTCCGTGCGTGTGCAGAGCACAGCGCAGACAATGCTGCCAGCAGAGGCACCTGAAATGATTCTAGGGAGCAGATTGGCCTCCCACAGCGATTTGATAACTCCAATATGGTTCATGCCAAAAGTGCCTCCTCCAGACAGAAGCAGAGCGCTGCGTCCGAAGGATTGCCGGGTGGCAAGAAGTTGCTCTAAAACGTATCGCGGATCCAAGCCATTGTCTCCCTGCTTCGACGACACATCCAAGAGCGCAGTGAGAGTCTGCTTGGCCGATTCAATGTAGCGCTCGATCAAAGCCTTGGTTCCAACGTGAGAGTGTTTGTACAGGCGCAAGTCACCCATGCCTCCCAGGCCACGGGTGAGAGAGGTTCGGATGAGAAAGAGCATTCGTTGTACGTCACAACTGATGCGTGCATCGTCGAGCTGCCGGAGCCGCTCCTCGACCAGCTCGTAGTTGTATTCGGAGGACTCGCGTTCTTGCTTCCAAGTGTTGTTCCCTTCCAGTTCGTCTAGTTCGGCGGCAGCGGCGTGCCATTCGGTGTGGTCCTCGGCCTATCGCAAATTTGCTCATTAGCGTCCGGCCGCACCCTTTCACCACGAGATGTGCGCTCACATTCTGCAGGCGAAGGTACAGGATCTGCTTCCGGCTTCCGTCTTCCAGGTCCGGCGCATTGGGGCATTCCTGACCACCTAGAGCGCCGACAAAGTCCTCTATTGTACCCGCCGGGTCCCTGACCAGCCTGGTCAGCGGCGACAGGAGACCGCCATTGCCGCTGGACCGCTTCAGTCCATTCCGGTCGGACTGGTCGTTTGTTGGGGCATGGTAGTACCGGCGGGAGAGGAGGGCGTCTTGGAGGAAGGACATGAGCGCGCCGGAGCCATAAGCGAGAGGGCACAACTGGCTCTCGCAGGGCGGCTCTCTCAAAGTCGCGAGTCTGTGGGGAACAGAATGCGGAGTGCGGAGTGCGGGTTGCGGGGAGGTTTTGCGAGTATTTGTGTCGAATAGAAACGCAAGGAGGTACGGTGACGACGGGCGGCGGGTGAAAGGCCGAAGGCGGGAAAGCTAGCGGGTCACGCGTCGCTTTCAAGCACTCTGCGGTACGTGTGGGAGGCGCGTGAGACGTCAAGCTGGCAGGCTCGTAGCGCAATGCGCCGCCTAAATCAGCGATGCACTACGCGAAGAGATCTGTCATACGCCATGCGCTGACCAGCTGAGACACCCGCCAGGGATGGTATCCACGCCTCGACACTTCGTCATCGACACTGCCAGCGGGCTTGCCATTCGCTGCCGGTCCACGCGCGCCAGCATCCCGGCTCCGCGGGCTGCGTGTCCTGCTTCTTTGCAAAAAGTTGTCGTCCTGCGAATGCCAGCGCCCCACGCCGTGCATTAGGGCTTTCCCGCAGGGTGGGCTGCGATCAGGAACCGGTAACGCGCTGGCGGGTACAAGGAACGTTCTCCGCCGCGTGTGTGAGACCGCAGCGCAAGGGTGGCTGCGCGATCCCCGTTCTCAGCATGTGAGAGAGATCCAGCCCGCATCTATCCCCACCGCGGGGCCCCCAGGGTTGGGCTTATCGCGGGAACAGTGCTGAGCCCAGCCGCCAATCACCCCAAGGCGCCCCCTACAACGACCCCTACATCCTTCGAGCCCTCGCTATGCGCGCCTGCTCGTGTCGCACACACTGTCACCAGGACAACTGCTCGCCCCTACGTTCAGATGACACTAAAAATGGCGACACCTTCTGCGCTGCCCATCACCCGCGCTCTCCCGCCGCACGCTTGCGCTGCCTAATTACCGGATATGGCACGGAGTGGTGTGGTGAAAGGAGCCGCTGGCGTTGCGCCGGTCGTGCCCGCGAGTCATCTGCAGACTTTTAACTCCACCTCTTCCTCGACCAGCATTTGCATGTGAGAATTTGAAACATCGCCTTCGAGCCTGGCCTTCGAGGTGGGACTACATTCTCCTTTGGGCCGCTGCGAGGGAAATTGCCGCTGGCAGCCAACGGCGCGACGAACAGGTGTCACCGCTCACCGCTCTGGACCCCCACTACCCCAGCTGCATTTTTGAACCACTCTCACCCTCTTAATGCCTTCCATCGGGACTTCATGCTTCTTTGACGAGCTCCTCCACTCAGCAAAGCTCCACCACCCCCACCACCAGCATCCATGGCGTCGCGCTTCACATGTCGGCACCACAACCTCAGACGACTCTTGATAACCTATGAGTCCACCTGCGGTACTTTTGGCTCCGTCTCCGTCCCAACAAGTCCGTTGAGTCAGACAATCCCTTTGCCCGGCCCGGTTCTCCTATTATTCCTTGTCTCCAGCGGAAGTGGTTTTCTCTGACGCCATTGCAAATCGAAACGGGCGTTTCAGCCCTATCGCACCAATCCTCGAACGCCAGGCACTCTGGACTCTCATTGCTCCATTCTTATCAGTATGGATAATGTGCATCGCTGGCGCACCTTTACTGGCTGCTCGCTCTCTTTTTTGTGGACTTCTCTGCAACTAAGTTCCTGACTACCAGCAGTTTCCGCGCGTTCCTGGTTATCTGGTACGACAAACCACGTTCTACGCGTCCCCGGAAGCTGCTGTCATGATCCGACTGGCTGTGGCCGCAGAATCGTACTGCTGGTCTGCCGCGATTGCATTACCGGATCTCCATCCGGCATCAACTGGGTGTTCCTGGATACATGCAACGTCGAATCCGCCCGGGCTTCTGGCCAATGCAATCATTGGACCGCGTTGGACTGGCGAGTTAACAGTGCCCCTGAAGACAGATTCAAGACTGAGAATTATCACATGCCGTGAAAAGGTGTTGATGGAGGTACGCTGCGATTGCTAAGCTGGCAAAGCCCTTTTATTGACAAGGGTCCTTTGATGTCGTCCCAAGATGAGAAGTTGTCGCGATGATCCACTCCCTGCAAGTGGGCGGTCAACTTATCAACCAGGCTGGAACTTTCGATATCGTACGACAAGCAGAGCGCCTCCAGAGACCGGTCGAGGCTACACGCACGCCAACATGGCAATCTTCAAGTCAGAAATCCTGGTTCAAAAAAGTGGGGGATGACTCCTGCTTTCCGGGATGTATTGCCCATTGGCTGCTAGAGATAATCAATCTCGACAACTCACACAGCTCAAAGTGTTTGCGACGATGTCTTGCCAACGTTCGGATGAAATTACCTTTCAAAGACAGTTTGGTGGCGTCCAGGATAAATGCATGAGAAGTTTCTGGAATAAGCAGTGCATTCTTAGCGCCGAGTTCCCCCCGACATTGAGGCAAAGGCGTTCCTCATGGGCATCCTCCAAAACCACATCAAAAGATTTTAAATATAACGCTACATTATACTTTGTCTGAGAAAGCATCCCGCTCACTATTGTTGAGTACATGCAGCCAGCCGTTGACCAAGCAAAATACCCCCTAAAGTAGGTCAAGGTTTAGTCAGAGCTAAGCCAACTTCGGTACCAGTCACGCGAAATCCAGCTGCCAACTACCGCCTCTAGAGCTGTCGGCTGATCTGCCGGTGACATGTGGCCGGCTTCGTCAACGGTAAAGATGCTCAAGCGGTAGTTGCCTTTCCACTTCCCGCCCTTAGTACCAAAACTTTCATTCAGCTTACCACTGCTATGGTACCACTCGTGGAGACGCTGGTTTCTGAACCAGGCTTGCCGCTTCCAGGGCTGTTCATCAAGCAAGCGGAGCTGTCCCGGCGTGTTACTGGGTATTCCGTGAGTAATAGTCAGGTTGTAGCTCGGGTCTGTGACGTACACTATGATGTCATTGTTACCGTTAACAAACAAGACCCGAACGTCAGTGTTGTCGAGCAACCACGTCAGTTCTCGTGTAGTAGGGACGAAAACATGTTTTTCCAGCGTCCAACGCTCATTCAGATCGAAGTCAATGAGCTCAAACGGCCACTGCGAGAACCCCAACCGCTCCTGCACCCACGGTTGATTCAGATACACCGCGGCAGGACCGCCGTTAAGATCAGAGCACAACGGCGGCTCGGTACACTTATTCCGGCCTATTTAAACGTCATGGTAAGTCAACAGACCTGTAAACAAGCATGAAGAGAGACGCTCAGTTTCAAAGCGGACTCACTATCGTATGGATCCCACCCTCCCGGTCGCACGCCGTCCCAGAAGTATTTGCCTACGCCAGCCGTGCACTCTCGCGCCGCCACAGCGCATACATTCCGGTCGTATGTGTCGCGACACAAAGCGCCTAGGCGCTCACACTCAGGCACCGCCGCCGCCATAGCCGCACACGCTGTCTCGTTCATGAGCGAGTGTTGCCCGCCCTCCTCATCACAAAAGAAGTCGTATAGGCCCACGTCTGTCCGCGAACTGTCGATGTAGGCGCTAACAGCAATAATTGTTTCGATATTGAGGCTGAGATCGCCAATACCGCCTTCTTCCTGCTGCCGCGACAGGATGTACTGCGCGTAGCCCGTCGTCCAATGCCCACCCATCGACTCCCCAGCGAAGTGCCAGGGTCTATGCGCCAGCTCAGGAAACACGGAGGCCGTGAAGGTCGTGAGAAAGGCATGCAGGTCGCGAGCACCGGCGTGGAGGTTAGTCGCGGCTGCTGACCGGTTGGCCAGGGCGGAGAAGCCGATACCGATGGGTTGGCTTTGGGGGCCGCGTTGGTCAGCCCGTCCCGTTCCTGATCTCGTCTATGCGGCTTACTCGATGAAGAGCACATTGGCCCTGTTGGTCCAGGACATCTCTCTTCGGCTCGTCAAGTTGCCGTCGGCGTTGACGTAGCATGGGCCGATCTCTTTGAACATTCCGAATTCGCCTGTTGCTCCAGGCCCGCTATCGCGATCCCTGTTAGCCCAATACTTTCGTTCTCGTTCTTTCTATTTTGCATGCCACTTGCCCGCTCATCCAGAGGATCACAGGGTCTGTGTCCGGGTCGTTACGGCTTTCATGATACCCTGCTTCTTATCAGCAGGCCGTTTGAGTCGGACAACTCGGCGACAGGAATCATTCTACAGAAGAACATTGAGCGGCCTTCAGCTACATTGATGCTTCCAGTCCATTGACGAGCGCCCGAATCACAAAGCTCATCGTTCTGCTCCCTAATGGTGAATGGTGGACTCGTATGTTCGTGCGGTGCATTCAGCGGCTCTTGTTGCTGCTGACGGGCATTGAGCTCGGAAAACACTGGCCCAGCCACGGCAAAGGCGGGCAGGATCAGAGAAGGCAGGAAAATGCGCATTTCCAAATTTTATCGCACTTGAGGTCTAGTTCTCTAGAGAAATCTTAGGTTTACGAGCTTTATACAAATATTCTGCCTGAAATTCACAGCTAATCCTTATCAAGCAATCATGCGATAAGACTTTGCCTTAAAAAGCAGGCCCACCCGCCATCAGCGGGGCTGCAGTTATTTTATTTTTTTATGAAGGATCTTACAGCATGTACATTCAATGACCCAAATGTTCAACCCAAGAAGCGTCAATTCAAATTATTAATTGGAGAGGTTGACAAGACAGACTAAAGCAGAGGGGAGGTAATTGAAACGCCCACGGAGATCTGAGTTGGGAGTGAAAATACTATGAACAATGCGTAGATAAATTCCTTCTACAATTAGATCCCGCCATAGAAAGATTGACGAGCATTAAATAGATGGTGAAGCTCAGAGGGACCGCGAACGGAATGTCTTGGCATGATGACGTTGGCGGGGGGTGCCTGCCTGGAGCCGCTTCCCCGGACGCGCAATGACATTCATGTGTCAGCTCCTTCGCCAGCTCCTCGCTCTCGAACCACCTCATTTCTAACCCTCAAATTGATGCAAGAACGACTCCAGCACCACCGGAACCATGGGTCAAGGGCAATCTTTGGATGCGCCCCCACCAACCTACGGTACGTTCGCATTGGACCCTGATTTTCGGCTTTCCCAGAGCTCCCTGTGCTAACCCTCTCCCAGAGCAGCTATCCCTCGAGCTTGTCCGCCGCTTCGCTGACAGGTGCTACACTCCACTTGAAATCTACTGCTTCAAATGCGTCTTCAAAGCCCTCGCCGACTCGTCCTCCGGTATCCGTCACTGGAGCGAACCCACGCTATGCCGCTTTCTCGCCCTTCCCGATTCTCTCGCTGTAGGCTCCGTGGTCTTTCAAATGGCCACGTATCTCGGCGCCTTCCCATTCCCGAGCCAGGCACCTGCGATATTGACGAGCGATAATTTACTTAAGGTAGTCACATTGTTGACACGGAGACACGCCCCGGTGCTGGGGAAAAAGGGCGACGCCGTATGGATACGAGAGATCTATCGGAGTCTTGCTGTCTACGATAGAGGTTTGGAGCAAGCCACAAAGGATGCGAAAATTGCTGAAGGTGAAGATCGGGAGACAGACGCTGTTGCCTCGTACGACGGCTTCGCTATAGACGCTCCTGCCGACGAAGACGAAGATGAAGAAGATGATGGGGACGGGCTCGCCCTTGCCGCCCTTGACACGATGGATGCGGTCGAAGTCTTTAAGCAGGGCGAACAATCCACTCTGAGCCATTCAATCATACCCACTGACAACTTCCTCCGCTTGATCCAGCTCCTCCTGTTCATCGCTCCGCTGGAGCCTCAAGATGACCTTTCGGTGTACAGCCTTCAGCTCACTGAGAAGCGATTGAAAGGATTAAGAGAAACCGCAAATAACATACTTTCGTCTTTTGGAATAGAAAAGAGCCCGGGGGTAAATTACAAGACTTTCAACGCTGTCGTCTCATCTTCTCTTCCTTATATGTTCGACGGGCTCAATCCTCTTTTCGAGCACTTCCTCTTCGCAAAAGACTTTGACCTATCCAAACGGAAGAACTCTGGCGCTTCGACTTCGAAAGACACAGCACCTGAATCACCCAAGGATGCTCCTCCAAAGAAAAAGATTCCTGTGCCTGAACCAATTCTCTTATCCGAAGGTGAAATCTTGGACTTCAACCTGGTGAATCAGCTATCATTTATCATCAAAGGGAGCAATCTCTTCAGACGCCTGCGGCCACTATATGCCGGAGGTAAACACGGCTTCAGCATGGGTAGCTTCGAGAAGAGCGTCTTCAACTGGCGCGCGCCCTCTATTCTCCTAGTTTCCGGCAGCCTCCTATCCGACAAGCCCGAAAACCCCAGCGAACGCGCCTTCGCCGACTCTCTTCCACCCAAACGCCTCCCTAGTAGTCTTGACCTTCCCTCACGCAACACTACCAATCAGACTCTCACGTTCGGCGCATACATCCCGGTTCCGTGGAAGGGCACGCCCAAGCTAGCCTTTGGCGATTCGTCGACAAAACTATTCCAGCTCTCTCCCACGCACGACCTCTTCGAAGCGTCGACCATGAGCACCGACTACATTTACTTCAACAGACCGCCGCACCACCCGTCCGGAATCGGACTCGGCTCCCCCGTCCCACAGGCCGACACATCGCGGGCGCATGGCCGCTCGCACGGCACCATCCCGCTCGGCGCCGTGTCGCTGCACCTCGACTCGGGCCTCGAGTTTGGCATCTTCACGCACCTCGCCGAGGGCGGCGGGTCCTTTTACCCGTCGCGCAACCCGCAGCGGAAGAGCAGGAGCTGGCAGGACCGCTTCGCCATCGAGGCCATCGAGGTGTGGGGCTGCGGCGGAGACGACGAGGCCGAGGCGCAGCGCAAGGCGTGGGCGTGGGAGGAGAGGGAGGCCGAGGCGAGGAGGCGCATCAATCTGGGCACGGGGGATATCGACGCTGACAGAGAGTTGCTGAGGCTGGCGGGTATTCTCCAAGAGAGGAGTGGCGGAAGCATGTAAACCGGGACCTCTTTTATTTTCCCTTTGCTTGCGGGTTCAATTTGCTGTTTTGGAGTGGGGTTTAGGATACGCGGAAAGGCGCATGGGTGCTGTAAGGATAAGAATGCAATGCTCTACGAGTGATCTCCGCTCGTGATTTTTTCTCTTGAAGTTGAGATTTGGATCCTATGCGATTCCTCTTGCTGAATGCGTGATTTGGTCTTGAATGTGGTATACACGGTTCGCCCTTTTCCCGAGGTATGTGAAGAAGAAAACGCCCAATGTGCCTTTTATGTTACAACATAAACCATGTTTACCCGGATATTTCGCCGTCTTCGTCTTGGTCCCTTCTCAGCCGCTGTGTGTTCGTCTGAACGCGTCTAGCCCTGCCTGTTTTGTTCCACGCCCGCTGGTCAGTCCGCCGTAACTTTAATGGGATCGCATGGATCTCCGTTGTGCCAGACTTCATGAACGTACCTCTGCTTGTGCTTCGGGTTCTTGTTGCAGATGATGTACACGTATCCCTTACGCCTGACGCTCTGTTTTCCCCCAAATATTGTCAGCCAATCATCCATCAATCGTCTCTTTTCCAATGTCTTCCAAAAACTCGTTTCCTTTAACGCATCCCAACCTCTCCACCACCAGCCCTCCGCGACCCAGACGAGGCAAAACCCCGCCAATCTCCAAATATCCCTGGGGGCCACCATTGGCCGCTGTGTATATGCTCCCCAACCAAAAGGAAAAAAAAATACCGACGTACCTTGCACCCTTCACACAGCTTCTTCACACTGCTGCGGACCTTCATGCCGCGCACCTGCTGTGTCGAGGCAGCAATAGCAGTCGGGCGCGGGCGCCATAGCGAGAATGGCGTGCGGGAGGCGACGGCGAGAGTGGTAGCGGTGGTGAGCAGGCGGCGCGGTGCGGCGGCGAGGACGGTCGCGCGCCGGAACGGCGCGAGGAAGAGGGTGCGGGCGAACATGATGTCGAGAGCGCTGCGGGCACAGGCGAATTGGGGGTGGAGCACGGCGAGGACGAATGGGCGGGTGCGGCGGCGATAGGTGTGGTTGCAAGATTCCGTGGAGATAATGATGGATGGATGGGCCGAGCGGCCGGTGGTTCGTCGTCGGAGCGGAGGTTACGGATTGGGTTTGGCGTGGTGATTAGGTAAGTAAGGTTATATCAGACTACACAACACTGCTAAACTTCCTTGTCTCCGATTCAACTTTTGGGCAGGAATACATCTCTGCAAATTGAAGCTGCCTATCCTCTCTCGAAGTGCTCTAAACCCGTTAGACCGTCCTTGCCCAATCTTTCCACCACCATCCTCCCCGAATATACACAGTCGTGGACACCAATACCGCCATAACATTTCCCGGCTATTCGAACTCTTCCCCCAAACTTCTTAAACAACTCTTCCCGGAGCTGCTTCATCATTCTAAAATAACCAACTTCATATTGCGGAATAGCATCTCGCTGCAATGTCGCTACCGCTGCTACCGGTTCATCCCGGATGCCCAAGTGTCTTTCTAACACGCGTCTCGCCATCACCACGCCTTCTTCTTTGCTCGGGTACTGGTGCTCCTTCAGCTCGCTCCACCAATGGCCACCTATAACGACGGTAATTTTGGTGCCAGAGGCAGAGTCTTGGTCTGGTAAGACGTCAGAATCAAACACAACACCAATAGCCTGCTCGGGGTTAAGAGAGCTCGGAACAGAGCGGGGGACCAGGTAGCCAAAGCCATGGTAGGGACTGTTTAGCCGAGGTCTGGCGTAGCAGAGAGTGACAACCATCACAGTCGCTTCCTGCATCTTCGGAAGAGGGAGTTTCGCAGCAGTGACGAGGTGATTCGCCGGCGTAGCAGCGATGACGTGCGTAAAGTCCCGGGCGACATCACCAACCTGCAGCACACATCAGCACTTTCTCTCCCACGTCCTCGAAGACAAAGCCCACCGTAATCGTCACTCCGCCTTCTTCCCTCGCCCCAACCCCCGTGACCGCCGCCCCCGTCACAACACTCACATTCGCCCGCCCCCTAACCTCCCCCTCCAACGCCCTCGTCAGCATCCCCAACCCTCCGCTGAAACTATACACGCTCATCTCCCCCATCCTCAACCTGCCCTCCAACCTCCCCGCCTCTCCTTCCCTCAACCCCCGCAACAACCTCCCATCTTCCCCTTCTCCTTCTCCCCCTCCCCCTCCCCGGAACCCCGCCCTCACCATCTCCCCCACCACACCGCCCCACTTCCTCGTCTTCCTGCCCCCCAACCACCCAGCCATCAACCGACTCCGACCATGACCCTCGACCAACCTCCCCTCCGCCTCCCACAACCCCGCCACGCACGCCCTGGCGCTCAACCGCTCCACCGCCCCGGCCCACACGCCCTGCACGACCGCCGACGCGAAGTCGTCCGCCGCCCGCGCGCCCCAGCGGCGCGTCGTGAAGGCTAGGACGGACTCGTCGTCGACGGACGGAGAACGGGGTGAAGCGCGGAAGGCGTCGTGGAGGAGGGCGGGGAGGAGGGTGCCGACGAGAGAGACGGAGTGGTGGGGGGACTGGGGGGATGAGGATTGGGTTTGGGTTTGGAAGGGGTTGAGGAGGGATGGCAGGTGCGGGAGGGAGGCGGGGAGGAGGTGGCGGCCGCCGGTGGGGATGCGGAGGAGGTGGGGTGGGGAGGAGGGGGAGAGGAGGAAGCGGGTTGAGGCGGCGGGGTGGGTGCGCGGGGTTGCTTGGATGTGGGGGGTTAGGTTGAGGGTGCGGATCTGGAGGGGGTGGGTTGGCGTTAGCTGGTGGGATGGATAGGTGGATGGACGGGTTGGTAGCGGTGGATCCTAAGCGCTTCCGGAGGCGCTTAGGGAGTGAGAGGGAAAATGCGAGGGGGAATTCTCTCAACGCGCGCGCGAAGAGATCCAGGCATGATAGACTTCTGTAAGGAAGGAAGACTGACTAGATCGAGCGTCACGATGGCGCGAGGAGCGTTAGCACGGAGCGTGCGAGTGCCTGTCTCGCAGACCATGGAACCATTCCCGACTTTGGTGTGGACAGAGTCTATGACGCCGCCAAGACGATTTGTCGACTCGAAGAGGGTGATGGTGGCGTCGGGGAAGCGCTTGCTGGCATAGTAGGTAGCGGTCAGGCCTGTGATGCCACCGCCGAGTATGGCGATCCGTTTGGGTTCAGATGGGCATGCTGCAGCATGACTTTGCCTGCTCATCGACATCCAGTACTTTGCATGCCATGCTCGATGCGGCCACAGGGGAAAACGTGGAAGATTTCTCATATTGCGAAATAGAATGAACATCAGGAAAAGACGGCGCAGCTCCTGAAAGAACTGAAGAGCAGTCTTTTTTTTGAGCAATTCTAAAGGAACACGACCATGTTCACAAACATTCAGGCATTCTGTATTTGCTACCTTGTTTTCAGCTGATGCCTTGCAATCGGTTGCGGAAGAAGCGATCGAAATCTCTGCCATGTACTGAACTCGAACGGGAAGGTGAATGGGTTGTAGCTCTGATCGGTCAAAAGATGTCGTGGTAGTATGATTCTATGGTTCCTTGCGTCTTTGAAACTCACTCCAGCATCTCGTAATGGTTCTGGTAAGCCGAGTTGACATCTGGAGTCGAGTTAATGAGTCCTGGGTAACTCGTACCACTAGAGAGGTTGGAAGTGACGCACCACTTTCCCAATCCGACGCTTGGATCCGATCTCTGTTACGAGAAACCAACCACACGAAAAGTGATGGATACGTTGCACGGGGAACGGTACCGATCAAGTGCAAAGCATGGGGATTGTGGATTAGGTCACCTTTGGTTGTTTCCTGTTGCGCACCGTCGTGGATCAAAGACAGACAAGCGCCGCTGCAGTGAATGCTATGTGTAACGGACGACGGGAGCGACCGCTTTTTCGGAATTTCTCGGATGTGATTGATGCTGTTTCATCACATTTCTCAAGTCTGAGATGCACGGGGTTCTGAGACAATCAATTTGCGTTTCCTCGGCTCACGTGTGTTTTCAGTCCCCCGTGGATGATGCCCCCAACAGTGGTGGTTGATTTGCTCATGAGACCATTTTATGAGAACCCGAGCATTTTCCCATTGTGTGTCTTATAATCCCGAGCATCGCATTGCCGGGCGGAGAACCTTATGTGCCGGGGACTAATGACATCCCTTGGTGCACGCCGGTGTGCGTTACACGCGGTGCGGCGCGGCGGGGCCTCCCGCTCATGCATTCCCGGTTCCCCGCTTGCAGTCTAAACACTTGCACCAAGCAGCAATGGCGGTTTGTCACAGGTACTGGCCATATGATCCACGGATAGGGAAGTGCTTCTACGATGGTCGAGACCAGGCGGAGAAACACCCTAAGGGCACTTTTTTCTGACATGTTACGCAGACAGTTCGACATATTACGATGGTCACAATATGTCAAATGAAACATGTATATTTCACTTCATATGGTATGGCCTTTTTGCAAACTTTTTATTATCTTATTTTTCTTTCCCTTTGTCATCTTGTTTTTATTTTTCTTGCCGTGCATAAAACTTTTTATGGGCTCTATTGACCTCAACAGCGTACAAAAAAAAAAAGATGACATTGCTCTGTAGCGTCAATCGAGGGCAAAGGTGCAGATAGTCGAACAGAAGGCTAGAATAATCAAATAAGAGAGAGAATAAACAAGCAGAACTGAACGGTATTCAAAGATGTTATGCAGAGACGTTCATAACGTATAGCATGGATTGTAGCGCTTATGTACTCTGAAGGATATGCAGTGTTGTACGGGGGGAGAGTTAGTGTAAAACACATAGGAGCAGCGGCCGTTTGTATAATTTCTTAGTTCAGACGTGCTAGCAGTTCCCTTGGGGTTCGTGATGGTGATGGTCCAAATTCCCTTCTTCAACTGGAGCTCCGACCTCGGGTCACAGACTGCCTCTCTTACCCAACTAAGCTCTTCTACCAAAATGCTCGGTCGAAAGAGGAATCCCTTGCCTGAGAGTATCTATTCACCCTCAAAGTACTCCGCAAGATGATTGCACAAGCTGTGAGGGGGTAAGTGACCAACACGGGGAGATGGACTCCGGGAGGCGTTCCGGAAGTAACCATCAGTGAGCTCCAGACGTCTATATAACAGGCAACCAGCAGCTGTTTGACCATCATCGCCCTCTCCACTCCAGAGTCCATCACTCGAAGCCTAGCACACTTGCAATCATGAAGTCCACCTTCGTTACCCCTTCACTGTTCACCTCCGTCCTTGGAGCTGCCTTGGCACCTTCATTCGACACCATCACGATTCCCATCCCTTCCCAAGGCGAAGAATTCACCAGCACCGTCACCCCCTGCGGTACGGTCAACGGCTTCGCCGTCGTCGGCGTCCCCAACGGCACTCTCGTCGCGGGCACCACGACCATCTTCCTGCCCCCACAAGCCTCAGCCAGCTCCGCCACCTTCATCGACAAAGAGCTGTCCGCAACCCAAGTCATCGAGCTCGTCCCCCTGCAGGGCTCCTGCGCGCCCTTCGAGCTCCCCACCAACACGGGCGCCTTCACCGACATCGACCAGCTCACGGCCATCAGCACGGGCTTCCCCACCGCCACGGCCGCGGCTGACTGCCCGCTCGGCACCATCGCCTCGACCGTCGACGCCGCGGCACAGGGCGTCATCGACCTGATCAACGAGGTGACGCTGCTCTCGCAGAACCTGCAGGCACCGGCCAAGCAGATCGGCTCGACCTTCGGCAGCGCGCAGGCCGTCCTCCAGGTCGTGAATGGGCTGGGCAGCGTCGTGGCGGAGCTGACCAAGGGCATCCCGAAGATCACGGCGTTGTCGCCGTTCGAGAAGCGGCAGGACAACAACAACAATGGCGTCAGCCCGGCTGACGACGCGACCGACGCCATCGTCATCGCCCTCATCTCGTTCGTCCGCGTGCACCAGGCCCTGCTCAACATCGTCATCGGCCGCCGCGGCTTGCTCAGCAGCATCCCGTTCGCTGACGCTGACGCCGCGCAGCTTGATACCATTGCCCAGGACGCCTCGGCCAATGCCAACCAGCTGCTGGTGGCTATGGGGTACCAGCAAGACGCCAGCGGCGCGGTTGTGACTGCTTCTGAGCACGAGCGTCGTGCCGGCCTTGGTGTGGCCAAGGCTGTTGCTGGTGCGTTGAGGTCGGTCGAGGTGGTTGTCGATTCGCTGGCGTTTGCCCTCATCGACCTGATCCCGAGGAGGAAGGAGTGCGCGAAGCAGCAGAAGCTGTCGATTGACGGGACGCTGAATGAGGCGATCGAGGCTTATGACAACTAAAGCTTTTGTGGTAGGAGGAATGATGCTGCCTGGCTGTGGATTGGGTAGGGGGAAGAACTGATGCCCGCATCTCTTGCCGGTCTTTTTTTTTTTTTTTTTGGCACTTCTGGTTGCCGGTACATTCGTTTGTTATGGCTCTGCGCCACTGGTCTCCTTTTTTCCCCCTTTGAAGCAGGTTTCTTCCCAGAAGGAGAGTGATGGAGGAGTGGATTCGAGGACGAGAACCCCTTTTCGGAAATGTCATCGGGCGAGGTGCGAGATTCGGTTCGAGTATCTTTTTCCTACTTTACAATGGCAATTTTTGCTGGACCTTTTGAAGAATACAAGTGTGCGATGGTTGTGGGGTTTCAAACAACACATTTGCGTCTGAAGATAAAAATTCCAATGCGCCATTTGGGATAAGTGTAGTATCTTCACGCGAGCCACAATGCCGAAGTCCTTTGCAATACGCAGTGAGCGGAATACTGCATCAGAAAATCTCCCCGGGAGCTGGCAGCGCAAATGGAGCTGACAGAGCCAAAATTGACGGGTATCATTGACAGCAACTCGAGCCACTATTAGCGCCTCCCGCTCGCCCTGCTCGCCCCACGGATGAGCAACTGATTTCAGGTGGAAGCGTGTACATACGGCCAATAGGTCGAAACATGTGATCCGTAGCTTGTACAGTCCCCTCTCGCAGTCGATGGCTAGCATGGATTTATTTTTGCTCATGTCATGGGCATGGGTAGTTGAAGCTATCGTCCGGACCAGAATGTAGAAATAAAAAATTCTACATACACGTCCGGACGATAGCTTCACCTACCCACATATGTTATTTTTCGAAGACAAAGCTGATGCTGAACGGAGAGATCAGGCAGTGAACCTTGGTCATGATTCAAGGCACAACATTTCTAGAACATAATACCAGACGGAAAGCGTTGGGAGTGAATTTTTGGAAGCTAATCGTGGGGCATCATGGCCCAGTGTGTGCTACGCAGTAATTGCTAGGAACCGGAAAGACCTCTGTGCCGTAGCAACACTACTCCTCGGCGTCGAAGAACGAAGCCTCCTGGCTGGCGGCCATGTCCAGCGCCTCACCCACCTCTCCACCCTCATCACTCGACTTGCTAATCTCGTCCTTGGCCGTGTTCTTGGTGCGACCGCGCTTCTTGGTCGGAGACTCCTCGCCATCCTGAGCATCGCCGCCGTTCTTGCGCTTGCCGGACTTGGGAGTCTTCGGGGTCGTGGTGGCAGCGCCGTTGGTACCGTTGCCGTCACCCTCGGCGGACTTCTTGAGCCTGGTGATGCGGTTCGTGATGGCGAGACCGACGCAGTCTGTATGTAGAGAATAAGTCAGATGCTGCTCGGAATCTGGAGCTTGGGCGAGCTTACCGGGTCCCATGAAGGCGTTGAGCTCCTCGAGCTTTGGTCCTTTGGTGATCTTGACATCGTAGATCTTCAGGATACCAAGCAACAGCTGCATCATCATGGTCAATGAGCTGAAGCTGAAGGAGATCGGAAATGTGTCCATACCTTGGCATCGGCTTCGGCATTCCAGATCATGGGCATCTTGATGATGATTGTGTTTTATCGGATGCGGGTGAATCGAGAGTGCGATGAGGAAAGGTGTGCGGAAGAAGGTTGAGGATGGATGGTTTGCGGTGAAGTGGCTCGGCTTTTAAAAGCGCTCCGTCTCGGTTGAGAGAAAACACTTCACCTTCCGAATTGAAATGGGTACCTATAAATTTGACCCTCCCCGCATTTACCTGCCATTTGCCAAATAAATTGAGGTGAGTGAGAGGAGAATGTGTGAATATCTCGAGGGGTTCAACCATCGGTTTATGGGGGGTTCAGATTTATAGCCGCCTTGAAATGAAGCATACAGAACGACAATCAGTCATTCATGCATCACCATTTGTAAAGACGCCTACTTGTCTGGGCTATCGTAAGTGGGTCCAAGCAGCGCGAGCAACCACTAGCATGAGCAAGATACATTTCCCCCAGTCTTTTATATATTTTCTTTCCTTTGCCGTTTGTTTAAGCCTTTCCTTTTGTTATAAGGCATTATCCGGGATCTCACGGTCATCCAGTAGCTATGAACTGTTGCTTTTCCCCATGACCACGCACACGAAGTGACGACCAGCCAACGGTGTCTTCTGATCCTGGCCCGGCTCAAACGACCTCCTCATCCTCATCCTGAAGATAGAAGAACGATCCCTGACCGAGGAGGGGCTCGTCGTCGAGCGCACCGAAAGCCATGCCGCCCATAAGAGTGTTGGCAGACACGACACCCACGTCACCGGCATCTCCGGCCAGCTCCTCGTGCTCGATCTTCAGCTCGTCTTCCTCCTCGGCCTCGGAGACCTGCTGCTTCTGCTTGACGTTCTTGCCCATCGTCTTGGCCTTCTTCGCAGCACGCGCCGACGCGCCGCTCTTCAGCTCCTCCGCCTCGCTCTCAGCGTGGTTGCCGTCGTCGTCATCGTCGTCGTTGTCGTTGTCGTCATACCTGACTTGCTTGCGGCCACGAGCGCCAGCACCACCACGGACGCGACCCTTCTTGCTCGGCGTCGCTCCGTAATCGGTGTCTTCGCCGTACTCGAGCTTGCTGACAGCGTTCCTCTTCTTCTTGGCGCCACCGCCCTTCTTGGCAGTATTACTGGCAGGCGTGGCGGCGCCGCTGCTGTTGATGGGGTTCTTGTTGCGCAGCTTCGCGATGCGCTGGCGGAGCGCGTTGCCGGTGACGCCGTTGCCCATGGCTTCGGCCAGGCGGTCGCAGTCGGTGCGGTTGGGCTGGAAGACTTGGATCATGGCGTGGAGGAGTAGCATCTGCGCGCAGTCGCGACTGCGGCTTTAGTCATGGTTTTGCCCTTGTCATTGCGATTGGCGGGGGGTGAGAGAGTGGTATGGCATGGGTGAGGTTATGAGGACGGAGGTGAGGTGAGGAGCGGAGGAGAAGGAGCGGGGAGTGGTGGAGGGAGACGTACGTTCTGGTCGTCCGTAGACATGGTTGCGGCGGTGTCTTTGGTCGTCGCAGTGTTGCGGAGGGTTGGGTGGCTTGTGTGAGTTTGGACGCGAGACCGTCTTTTGAAAAAGCAGGGTGTGAAGAAGGTTGGGGACAGACGGAAGAAGACGCGCAAGATGATTCATAGAAGGCCTGCGAGCAGCGTGGAATATCTGCGGTGCCTGTTGGCTGACAATCATGTAGTAGGTCACCAGTGGTTAACTGGAAGGTGTCTACAAGTCTGACTACCCATCTCCCTCTAGAAGGATAGATAAGTTGGTTCCTAGGGATGTCACATGCTGCAAAATGCGGGCGGGCGGTCGTCGAGTTTGTGGGTATAAAAATACGACTTCCATCTTCCGCCCTCCTCCTCCGCCCTCCACCACAACACTTCACCGTCAGACTCCAACCACAAACCCAAACTCTTTGCAACGCAGTCCCTCCACCACACCACCCAACACACTTCCAAACGACGCATCTAAACGCAATCATGCCGATCAGCTGGACTGCCGAGGTCGATCAACGCGCAAGTCCACCCGCACATCCCTCAAGCCGCCGCCGTCTTCTAACGCCACGCTTCACAGCTCTTCCAATCCACGATGGATGTCTGCGGAATCACCATCAGCTCTCGTCAGTACGACGAGATCGCCGAGCGCATGGGCGAAGGTGAACAAGCCCTCCCTCTCCACATCCCCCTCACTTCACTTCCGCTTCTTTGCTCATATCATCATCGCCGCGCGCACAGGCTTTACCGCCGAGGCCCTCAAGCACCGCTTCAGAAAGATCAAGGCTCAGGCTGGTACGGGTGGCGGCAAGAGCGGCGGCTCTTCCCCGCGCAAGGCTGCCACGCCCAAGGCCAACAAGACGACCGATGCCGCTTCCAAGTCCAGCAACAAGACTCCTCGCTCGTCCACCCGCAAGCGCAACGCCAAGAACTACGCCGAGCCCGCTACTGACGAGGAAGATGCCGAGGAGGAGAAGATCCCCGAGTCGCCCACGAAGAAGATCAAGAAGGAGCAAAAGGAGGATGACGAGGATGACTCTGGCATCGGCGCCGCTGAGTCATACTTTGACGCGCAGCCGGAGCAGGTCTAGGTATTTGTGACAGGCGTTGGATAGCTTCCTCCTTGTACGGGTGAGCGTACGGCACGACCGTCATCTCTTCTACAGCTCATCATGCTGGCAAACCAGCTACAGGGGGCCCTGTTTTATATAGGGGCCAACAGGTAGATATATTACAAGGAGAATTCCGGTGGCCATTTGGTAATTCAGAAGTGCAATGTTGGTATTGGGTAGAAGTTGCGTGAATTCCTATTGTCGGCATAGAAGGATGATCACCTGCTCATTCCTTTAAATTGAACAAGTACGTCCGGACAACGGCTTCAAATCCGACAATTTGGCGGATATCAGCCTCCCAAGATCGCGTGGATACTCAAAGTAGGCAGGAGCACCTGAGCGCTCCTTCCTCATGCTCATTGATGTGTATGCGAGCACGAGGTTCACGTGCATCCTGGCACTATATAAACCCTCCCCTCTGATCTTTCGCTGATCTTCCTTTCTTCACCAACCTCCCACATCACTCGCACTCCAAGAAGACTTCGCCACTCCCATCAGAACCTCTTCCATACAACTTCGTCCAGCCAAGCGTACAAGAACCAGCCATGCCCGTAGTTTGGAACGCTGACAATGATGCTCGCGTCAGTAGCTTCACCAGAAGTCCCATGTTCATGCTAACCGCCACACAGCTCTTGATGGCGTACATCGAGGCTACCGACGCCAAGCTCGGCACCGACGGATGGAAGGCTATCGCTGAAAAGCTCGGTGGTGGTGAGTCCAGTTCTCTCACTTAGCAGCAGCATGTCATAAGTTAATCATATCCCAGACACCACGGTCGGCGCAATCAGCCAGCGCTTCACCAAGGTCCTCAAGAAGAAGTATGGCGGCGAGAACTGTGTTTTGGGCAGTGGCGGCGACGGCGGTGGAGGCAAGACCAGCGCCCCGGCTACTCCTGCGAAGGCGCGTGGTCGCAAGAAGAAGGATACCGATGATCCGGAGAAGACTCCCCGTTCTTCGCCTCGCAAGCGCGGCGCCAAGGATGATGGTGCTGAGGGTGAGGACGACGACAACATTCCTGATTCGCCTACCAAGAAGATCAGGTCCGAATCCTACTTCGACCAGGACGGTGAGGACGTGTAGATAGACACGTCTTGCTACGCCATGGACGGATTAAGGCTCTTCATTCACGGGTTGATTTCAACGAGAAAGGCGGAATTCTACACATTGCGGTTTCTATACGGGCTGTTTAGCAATGCAGGATCTTGAACAATAGAGCTGGATTGCCACGATGCTTTAAAATCTCTTCTATTATGGTGCTCCCGCCGATAACTTCCTAACTTCTCCTGGCATCGTGATTCTAAAGTCTAGCCACTTGTCGCCAGGTGGCTATTGAGCCTACTATTCACTTGGATCCTGGCACCCCTCTCGATTGTTACTTGTTCCAAATCATAGAAGCACAAAATGCAGTCATTGCTTTGATTTTACGCTTAGCTTCTCAAGACGAGCAAATCAGCGCCGATTCTGCGGTAAAGCACCGCCGAGTGAAATGAAAGGCTATTGATGAAATCCAAACATCAAGAAGGAGTCTCGTAGCTGTCAGCCTCAGACCTCCTCCTCGCCCAAGCCACCATCGCCGTCGAAGAAGCTCTTCTGGGCTTCCTCCGTGCCGGCCTCCACGCCAGCCTCCTCGCCGTCACTATCCTTAATCTCATCTTCCTTCTCGAGCTTGGTCTTCTTAGAGGCAACCGCGCGCTCCTCGTCACTGAGCTTCTTCTCGCCCTCGTCGTCGGAAGTGTCGGGCTCCTTGTAAGAACGCTTGGCGCCAGCGGCCTTGCGCGCGCTCCTCGGGCGTTTGGCGCTGCCGGGAGCGCTCAGCAAACCGACGCCACTGTCATCGCTGTCCTCAGAGTCGTGCTTGGAGGCGGCGCCCTTCCTGTTGCTGCCACGGGTGCCGGGCGTGCCGCTGCCGCCGCTCTTCGGGCCGCGCGGGGTGAGGGGAGCGGGCTTGATGGGGTTGCCGTCACTGTCAGAGAGGAGGTCGGCGGCGCGCTTGCGGACAGAGCCAATGCGGTGAGCGATGGCCTGGGATTTGGCGTCTACGAGACAGCGAAGACGTAAGTGTGAAAACGAAGACGGGATGTGTACGGAGGGAGGGTTGCGTACCGAAACCCATGGCGGCGTTGAGCTTCTTCATCATGTCGCCGCTGACTTTGATATCGAAAATGTTGAGAAAGAGGCCGAACAGCTAGGAGGAGTGAGCCGAGCATTTCGAGATTGCGGAGCAAAGCCATCACGTACCTTGGCGTCGGCCTCCGAATCCCACTTCATGCCAGGTGCCATCTTGGTGGTGTCTCGTTCGAAGATCTGAAGTCGATGTTGTGGGTTTTGTCTGGTAGAGGGATCGAGACACGGATGAGGCGGAATAAATAGAGCAGCGGTCGTGGTGAGTCGGAGCGCCTAAACCTAATTCGGCAGTGCGTGCAAGATTCGGAGAGCGCGCGGCCTGTGGAAAGCCCACTCTGCCCAAATTCCAACCCTTCCTCTCCCCTACGGAATATTAACTTCGACAATCATATCGATCTTAGCGAATGCTGATCCTCCTAGTAGTAGCGAGCAACGTAAGTAACTTGTAGTAACTTACGTTATTGTGTATTTCGATGGTTACCCGCGCTGTATCCTTAGCTCGCTAAGCATATGGCCAGTATTCTCTTTTCCATTGAGTAGACATGAGGGTTAAATCGAACGGATACAGGCGCGTCACGATAATACCGCGAGGTCGGTTTGCTAAGTATTGCAACGAAGTCGAGGTGGTTGATGCTCTTGTCCGGGTGCGCTTGTCGTATGGACGTTGTGGCATTCATGTCAAGATGAATACCTCAACTGCTTGTCTTCTGTTGCACGCCTAAGGGAATCGATATGGACGCTTTTTTCATCTCCACTTCTGGTCAGTCATAGACCAAATCCCGTACTCCAGAGAGGGAACTCGTAGACAACGAAGTACATCCAACCGGGAATCAAACGGGTCAATCGCTTTCGATCTAAGAAGAGCTAGGAGATAGGACTGAAAAACAACAAAACCATTAAAAAGCAATACACCTAGCTAAATATACATAGACATACACGAACCACTGCAACGCGAAGCTCGAAAACCATTCCAAAAACGACAACCACGAAGCGAAGTGAAAAGAAACAAACGGGCAAAACACACGCAAAGACCAACAACGCAATAGCCAAACCACGAAAACAGCAGCAAAAACAACAAAACCAAAACCAAAACAGAGGGTTAGGCGCCGCAGCTCCTATCCTTCAGTCGTCCAACGTCGACAGCATGCGTTCGTTTAACCAATTGAAGCCGCCTCCTATCTTCCAGAGACACGGAGCATTCTGCTTCGTCCCGCGTGTAACATCCATCCATACCCTTTTCTCTTGAACCATATGGCGCGCCGTACAGTATTCAAAAGAGGAGGCAAAACAAATAAAAAAGTTGCAGTAAAACACGCACACCGTCATCGCCTTTCGACCAGCGAAATGACGAGTATGGCGGAGAAGGGGGAAAGAGAAAAAGGAAGAAAAATCAGGCCTTGTATCCAAAGGCCATCGCCAGAGAGAAAATCGCCCAACAGAGAAAAAGCACAAATGCTCGCTATGCTCGAAACCAGTCGAAAAAAAGCGTATGGTCTGTACCTGACAGACGATGACGCCTCAAAGCTCGCTTTTGCCTTTGCTTTTTGCCTTGACCGAAAAAAAAAAGGCAGGGCTAATCGAACAGGTCGATTAAAAAGGGTGGTGTTTTGTACCGGAAAAGAAAAAAGTATTTACTGGTTATTCTCAAAAAACGCAACCAAGTTCGAGATGCGACCCCTGCGCGGGGCAGCGGAGGCGGGCTTGACGGGAAGAGGAGGAATGTCGCCACAGACGGACGACGGGGTCGAGCCACACGTACAGCCGCTGTTGCTGGTCGGGGTGCTACCGCCGTAGACGGACGTGGCGGCGGTCGAGGCGGAGAAGGCGGTGCTGGCGGAAGAATAGGCGGTCATGCTGCTGGCGTTGCTAAAGCTGCGGAGAGCGCGGGGCGCGCTTGTTGGCGTTGCTGTTGTGTAGTCGGGGAAGAGTTGTTGCGGCTGCCGGATTTGCGGGGGCGATTCAAAATGGGGAGCACCTGCTGTTGGGCTACGACCTGGCGAAGTTCTTGACGCTTAATTGCATGCAACCACAAAGAGATAAAAGTAAAGGAAAACATGAGCGTGCGGTGGGTGGAATGAAAGTTTAATACGCGATTAGTGATTGTGGAAGAATAGTGTATCTATCTTACCGAATAACACCGCCCTCAATACCCGCAGGCGTTTGCGTCATAGTCTCCCCGCTCTCCTCTTCCGGCGTGTTCTTGCCCTCCTCCTCGGCCGCCTGTTCCTCCTCCACCGGCTTCTCAGTGATGGGGGCCGCCGGCTCCAGCTTCGGTCCCGAGCTTTCCTCCTGCTTTTCCTCAGTATCCTTCTCCGCAATCTTCTCCTTCGCCTTGTCGATACCCTCCACAACCTTTGTCTTCGCCTTCGCAGCAACGCTGCTGCCGTTCGTCTGCTTCGACTTCGTCGACACCGTGCGGCGCGGGGGCGACTTGACATCATCCTTCTTCTCGTGGGTCTTGTTGGCAGAGGATGCCGTCGGGCGCATCATGCGGGCAAGGAAGCTGTCATCGGGCGCACGGGCACCAACACTGGGCCTGGAAGTGCGGGACTCGGGGCGCTTGGCGGTGCTCTGCGCAGGCAGCGAGGGGCGAGAACCGGCCTTCTTCTCGGCTGCCGTCTTGCTGGCCGCAGCAGTCGTGGTCTTGGCCGCGACGGCGGGGGCGCGGGGGGTCGTCGTCGTCCTGGGCTTGGCGGCAGGCTTCTTCTCCTCCTTCTCAGCATCGCGCTTCGCCGCAGAAGCAGCCGTGGGCTGCGTCAGGTGCGAGGGGAGCTTGGCGGGGCGCGTAGGCGACTTTGGTCTGGGCTTCGTAAAAGGGGGCGTGGCGTGAGCCTTCCTCTCGGAAGCAGGCCTGGACGAAGCGCGAGGCTTCGCGGCGGAGCTGGAAGTCGCAGACTTGAGCGAAGTCCTGCTCGCCCTCTTCGCGGGCTCCTTGGCGGTCGAAGTTTTCGAGGTCGTCGACTTCGGGGAAGCAATCGGCGAGGTGGGAGTCGCAGGGGGAGCGGGAGACTTGGCTCCGGACGGCTTGCTCTCCTCAGCCAGCGCAGGCTCGGGCTTCGTCTCAGCGGGCTCAGGAACAGGCTCAGGCGCGGCATCGGCCTTCGTCTCGGGCTGGGGCTCGACTTCCTCGGCCTTTTCCTCAGTCTTCTCTTCAGCGACAGGTTCAGGCGCCTCCTCAGCGGCCTTCTCAGTGCCCAGAGGCTTCAGAGTCTCGGTAGGCGGCGGCAGACCCTCGCCTCCGGAAACAGCGCTCTCTTCCTTGGGGTCCGAGGGCTTCATCTCAGCGTTCGGGTCCTCCACAGCGGTCTTCTTGTCAGGCTGAGACATTGTGGGCTCTTCGGTAGGAATGGCGACGTCTTCGTTCAGTTCTTCGGTGGCGGGAGTTGGTGCGGTAGCGGTGGCGTCAGACGACGACTTGTTGGCGGATTCCGACTTCTTCTCCTCGGCGGCAACCTCGACGCGCTTCAGGCCGGCGGCAGCTTCCTGGAGAACGCGCTGCGCGTTCTCCGTCGTCGCTTCCTCCTTCGGGCCGGGCTCGCCCGACTTCTTGGCGTCGTTCAACTGGTTGTTTTGGTTGTCGACAAAGTTGCCCATGGCCTTGTCCTCCTTGATCTCCATGAAAGGCGTGTTGGTCGGGCCGGTGAAGACGGCGTTCTCGGGCACCGTCTCCTTGATGTCGACGCTGGCGCGGCGGTGCTCGGCCTCGGACGACACGGTGTGCCGGAGCTCCTCCAGCGTCTCGGAGTCGCGGCTGGGATCGAGGCTCATGCTGCCGCGGCGCTGCGTCAGGGTGCTGCCGGTCGGCTCGGAAGGCGCGGCGGCCCTGAGGGCGTCGATGGCGTCGCTGGGCGGGCTCTCAACAGCCGGGCTGTCGACGCCGTTCTCTCCCGGCATGCTGGTCGGGGGCGAATCGAAGGGGCCGACGGAAATGAAGCTGGCGCGCACCTTGGATGCCGGGCGCGAATTGGACTCGCTGCTGCGAACAGAGGGTGAGCCGGGGGTGGGCGAACGGCCACGAAGCTCAGGGGAGGCAGAGCGCTCGGGATGCGAGCTCTCAAACATAGCACGGAGTGATCTCACGCCGCCGCCGCCAGGTAGTTGTGACATGGCTGCGGTGCGGGAGGGGGGAATCAGTGGGTGTGTTCTCTGGAGGGGAAAATTGTGGCTAGCACGACGTGGACATAGTAATGCGGTCGTGGGACTTGATGCGGGCGGGCGGTGGGCCAATGTTGTAGGGCAGGCAAGGTTGCGCGCGGGCGTGGGCACCAAACGGTGACCGGGCGCCGATGTGAAACGCGGGTTTCAGACGGGGGGGTCGTGGGTAGGATGTGCACTTACAATGCGCTTCAGATGCGTGTGCGACTACGGGCGCGTAACCCTCTCTCGAGATAGAGAAAATTGTGTTGTTGGCTGGCAGCTGTCGACAAGCAGTCGTCCAGACTAGTTCCAGGGTTCGATCGCAGAGCTAGCTACGCCATCGATGGCTGGCCCCCTATGACGACGCCGCCTCCCTTCGCCCATCAATTGACGCTCAAATTACGCCGCTCTCGTCGCCCGCCTGTGCCGAACGGCCCTAGATGCGGGCCCAATGACGTCCCGTCCACGCCTCCGCGCCCACCTCACCTCATGAGACTGGCGAACCGGCGGCTCTCAATCAACTGCCTTTGCTGCCCAGCTGTCGTGACTGCGCGACCTGTCCTAGACCACTGCGGCCCAGACGAGCCCGTCCGTGGACGTGTGCGCACGCTGCGTGGAGCTACCGTAGCGCAAAACCAGGCACGAAGCGGGCGAGCCCTAGGCCGGATCGAGATGGCCTGTCTCTGCCCAAACCGGTCTCCCCAATTCGGGGCGAGGAGAAACACAACCCACATCTCGTGGTGGAGAGGGGTCATCAAACGGCCCAGCCCTACCGGCACCTCCGCTTCACCATCGTCAATGCGCCCGGGCGCAGGCCCCTTCTCCTTCTCCGGGCTCGCCCCTAATATTGATTGCAGGAGCATTCTGCGCAGGACCAACTTGCTCCTCATCACATGCCGCCGGCCCCAAAATGAGAGATCGCCGGCCGCACGCAACCCGATCTGTCCAGGGATCCCGTTCCATCTGCTGAACCGCCCCGTCCCAGCAGCAATTGCTCGATAAATGCGAACGACCCTTCATATTACCGTCCCCGCCGAATGGGAACACCCTACTTTCCTCTAAACTGCTCCATCGCCCGGCGTCACCTTCCCAAAACCGCCTGCCTCGCCCGAGACCCGGTGCACCGGAGGGGAAATGAGAAGTTAAGGTTACGAATGATTTGCATTGCGGACGCAGCCGCAGCCGCGGCCGCGGGGGCCACCGCTGTTGTTGGTGTTATTGCTGGCGCGCCACTGTAATGAAATTGTCGTGTTCTCCAATGGCATCTCTTCCCGGCCGCGGCCAGTGCGTTTGGCTCGTCGTTTGCCTAGTCCAGATGAAGGCCTGGCTCATTACAGCTTTCCATTCCCCACGCTGAGTGGCGCCTCCAATCGAGGACCACGTCTCGTCAGTAACCGTCTTCGCCATTGCGTTGGCCAAGTTCGCCGAAGAATCCTGTGCTTCTGAACAGTGTTGCCTAGATGACGTGTCCGCTTGACGTTAGAATAAAATGTTTCAAACCTTCCCAATGGAGTCTCACCCCGTCGCACGGGACGAGAAAAAGCAAGTCCTACATATGCCAATCAAGACCACGTCCTTTGTCCCATCATCGCTCCCCTGGTCACAAAGGCGCCCGGGAAGCAAGGCTGGATTGAGCAAATCGAAACAAATGGTATGATCCATTGAGATTCAGTAAAACAAGAAAAAAGACAACGCCTGTATATAATGCACATACCCGAACCCGCCGCGCGGTATCCCTGGCTGAGACCGATCAACCCAACCTGCATCGTAAATCCTCCAGACATGCCATTGAGACCGATCCGATGCTCTATCTTCTGTACACTGCACGGACGGTGCATCCCTGTCTGCCTCGTGTGGTGACCATGCACGACCTCTAGTTCAACAGTGCGCCCGATGTCGCAAAACCACAGTGACACACCCAGCCATCGATGATATACACACTCTCTGGAGCAAATATGCGACAAGTCCATCTCACCTAGTCTCCACAAGCAGCAGATGCATGCTCGCGTATGCGAGGACAACGAACACGCCGCAGAAGACGGCAAGTCCAATGGCATCGTGCCACAGCGCAAGGACGTTGAATCCAAAGCTGCTAAGAATAGCCGAGCCGGGAACCTCGATGTCGAGGCCATACTTGTGATCCACCAAGGAGAGGTACTTGACCTCGTTGACAATCAGACCCTCAAAACCGTAGTGGAAGATGGACAGCTGCAGATACTGTTAGCGCGTTGTCATGAGAAAATGCATCGAGAGTATGGACTTACCGACTGCAACCACAAAGCAGACTTGGGAATGGTCTCGTGGTTAAGGAGGAATCCACCAAACAGCAGCGAGAACAGCATTACCAGCGTCGCAATGAGGTTTGCCACACCCTGGTTCTTTACGACGATACCGATGAAGAGGCAGATGTTCGCCGCAGCCAGATTGAACAAGGTCAAAAACAGCATGAACTTCCAAAACTCCGCCGCAGCTGGAATGAGACCAGTCATGGGGTACACAATGGCACCCATAATGATCGGCGGTACGAGACGCAGCGGGACGATGTCGAACAGCACCTTCGAAGCGAAATAAGCGATGGGCTTGTAGTAGCCCTTGGCACGCTCGCGCATGAAAATTAGGCGCTCGGGAGCGAAAACGGTAAGCGACGTAAGCGTGCTGAAACCGAAAAGAGCGAGCAAGAAGAAGAACAGACCCAAGCGGTTCTGGAAACCCTTGATGTCGTCCGTGAGACCATAGAAGAGGTAGCCGATGAGGACAGCAAGAACGATTGCGATGGCGTAGTGGGTAAGCATGAGCAGCGGGTTCCGGTAAAGGTTACGCCAGGTCCGTTTGGACAAGATCACGAACTGGCTGATCACACCAACCTTGCGGTAGCCCTTAACCTTGTAGCTGCCATTCGCCGAGTTGGAATCATTGTGTCCGTTCGAGCTCTGGGCAGTCATGATAATCGTGTAGATTTCCTCGTGAAGAGCCTCGGCAACATCCGAGCGAGAGTAGGTCGCAACGAGGGTGTCGAGATCAGTACCAGTGCTTCCCTCGGCAGCCGGGAGGATTTGATCAGGGTCTTCCAGGATCTGCGGCGGCGGAGCCCCCTGCTGTCGGTGAAGGCGGATATTGTCTCTCTCAGTATCAGCAATCGACTCATCGTCGGTCTTAGGCGTTGGAGGCTGCTCATAGTTGCTCTTCTTGCGCGTGTAGAGCTGGCGTTCCTGCTGCTGTCTGATCGAAGTCTTCCTCTTATTCCTGGGCCTAGAGCTTGCTGACTCGCTACCTTGCTCCTGATCGATGCTTACGTTGGAAATGCTCGGGATTGACTTCACGCCAATTGCACTGCTGGCCCTAGTTGGGATATCATCGCGAGGTGCAAAGAGAGAGCTGTTCTCATCAATCGGGACTCGAGGTGTAGAAGCGTGCATCGTGAGATCGACGAGGAAATCGGCAATGTTAAATCCAGGAGGACAGGAATATCCAATATTGTCAAAATAGGCCTGGCAGTTCGCAAAAGGTCCGGAGTAGACAGTCCTTCCTTTGGCAAGCAGGATGAGCTGGTCGAAAAGTGCGACAATGTTCGATCTCGGCTGATGGATCGTGAAGACCACAGTCCTGTTGTACGTCTTGACCAAATCGACCAGGCACTCGACAACGTTGAAGGCATTGTAGGCATCCAAACCGCTGGTGGGCTCGTCAAGGAACAGAATGCTGGGGCTCGTGACCAGTTCGCAGGCAATTCCGACACGGCGCTTCTCACCACCCGAGATGCCACGGCCACTTCCTTCCTCCGAGCCGATCATCTGGTGGCGAATGTGGTAGATACCAAGCTGTTTCTCGACATCCTCGACCCTCTGTTCCTTTGCAGCGCGGCTCATTTCCTTTGGCAGGCGGAGTAGGGCAGAATCCATAATCGTCTCATGAACGGTCAGAGTAGGCAGGAGAGCGTCCTCCTGATCGACAAATCCAATGACGCTCCTGAAATCATCGTTCGGAATCTTTTCGCCGTTGACGTAAATATCGCCGTAGATGCGACCGCGCTTGTTCTTCCTAGCCAGGATATCCAAGAAAGTAGTCTTGCCAGCACCAGAAGCACCCATGATCGCCATTAGTTCTCCAGGGCGGACGGAGCCCTGAATGTTGCTGAGGATCTGCTTGCCATTGAGCTGGTATGACACGTTTTCGAAATGCAGCGCAGCGGGCTTGTGGTCGGCAATGAGCTTCATGGCCTCGTCATCCTCATCGTCGGTCAAATGAATAGGGCCCCAACCGCGCGCGGCGCTCCTCCTAGAAAGAATCCATACGACGAGAATGACGGCCACAAGGAACAAAGCGCAACCGGCGATCACGCCAGCAATCAAACGAGAGTTGATTGCCTTCACCGGGCGCTCATAACCGGGAACCTCGGTCTCGTGCAGACACTCGCCGGAGTGGCAGCGCAGGGTAATGCTCTCGTCACCAAAGACGCTTGCGATCAAGTCGTTCATGGCCGGCTCAGAGAAAATGCTGCCATCCTCGCTGCTGCCACCATCGGTCGAGATAGTCCTGAACGTGGCCGGGCCCTTGATGGACTCGTCCAAGAACTCGCCAATGTCGATAGAGCCTTCCTCTCCGCAAAGCATACGCCCAGGGATACACGAGCACTTGACATTCTCGCAGCGGTATTTGGTAGTGTTTCGGTTCGATTCTTGGTTAACAGTGAAGCCGCAGGTATCAAGGGAGCAGTAGAAAGATTCCTTCTGATCGACCCAGACTAAAAGCTGTCAGCGGCGATTCTGGGAGGGAACGGAAGCACATACACTGGAAATTACACTCCTCGGTCTCTGCGTTGCACGAGAATGTAGCCTGCGGCTTCTGGTCCTTCAGTTGGTCGAGAATCTTGCGGTTCGTGATGTCACACATCTGGTAGTTCTCCTTGACAACGAGACCCTCGCGGTAGCACACTCCATCGATGCCCTCGGGCATCAGGGCGTTGCAAGCCTGGTTGGTGGTGCAGACATTGCAATTGATGCCTGCCCAGCCCTCTTTGCAGTCGCACTGTGCGCCCTGGCGAGGCGCCCTGTCTCTGCCGTCGGCGAGCGAGCCGCAGACGGGATCAGAGCAGTCGTTGCCGCCGAAGCCAGGCGGACAGACGCAGCGGCCGTTGTTCTTGCTGCAGCCGGCAAATTGATGACACGGGAACTGCTCGAGGTTGCAGTTGAAGCACGGCGGGCAGCCGTCGGGGCGGTCGTCATAGATGGAGAAGGGGTCCTGCACCATGTCGTTGCTGGTGTAGTTTGCATAGGTGCGCTGGGCGGCGGCAATGCTGGAGAGGGCCGCCATGGCCGCCAGCAAGTGGGAGGCCCATCGGGGCGAGCGCATGGTGTCTGTTGATGTGGGCGCGGCCCAAGCTGCGTGTTGCGACGAAGCTCTGGAGTCGCGATGCAGCTGCCTGGAGCTGGCGGTGGCGCGACGTCGCAAATATGAGCAGCGGCAAGAGTGGAGGGCGCAACTGGGACGTGACGAAAATATCGGACGCGGCGGTTAGCTCGGGCTCAGCGGAGCATAATCCGACGCGAGACAGAGAGCAGCTGTGATGGCGGTGAAGCTGGCTTGCTTGCTGGTGTGGAGACTTGCGGGGAGGCAGGTTCATTACGGCCGACGCCGCTCCTCGGCTGCGCACTGCCCGCCTGCCTTCGCACGCTTCCCAAACTGCCTGTGTCTCTGCAGCCAACGCTTCCTTCGCTTGCAACCGCACCAACCATTGGGCCGCCCGCGTGTCACCTCGAAGGGCAAGGAGGCCGAGATGCTGGCATCAGGTGGTCAGCGACGGCCAGGTTGAGCCTCGAGATCGCCCGTTCACGCGACTCGCGATCGTCGGTCAGCCCGCCCAACAACAGCGCGCCGGGGCTGAGGTGCGGCGGCAACCGTTGCGCCGCTTGGGTTAGCTCCAAGCGCCCTCCGTTCGTCCTAACCTGTGACCCTGCATCTGCACGACACGCTATAAGCTCCTCGCACTGCTCCCGACTCTCTATCAACGCGAATCACGTTCGACTCTCGTGATCGCTGGATCGCTCGTCTGCTCCAACCAGAGCACCCGCTGCCCTGTTCTCCCGCGCTCTGTCGATCAACCGCAGCCATCATGGTCAATCTGGAGCCCTTCGGTGTCGAGGAGGTAGGTCGAGCTGTTTCTGCAGAATTTTCTCTTGTCTTTCCGTGCGTTCCGGTTTGCTTGTCGTTGAATTTGGCGATTGGGTCCACGTTTGTACGGATACGGCACTGCTTAGCCGGCCAACTGAGTGGAGTCATGTCAATCGGTGTGTCTTCAGCTGCCAAGAGACAGCTAAGAGGCACCGGAAGGGACGGTATTATAGTCGCCTGATATAATATCCCCTCGCCTTTTCACGAATCAATTACAATACTCATGAGCCCCGGCACTGATTCGTGTAGTGGATGGACGCCCATGAGAACTCCGCCAAGTACAATCTCGCCGAGACCTGCTGTGCATCCATCTCCATTGAGGATTTGCAAGCTCTGGCTGAGGATCCCTCTGAGAAGTCTGTCAGTATCCTGACAACTTCCGAAAAGCTCACTTATGGCGCAATTCGTGGTAGCGAGGCTCTTCGGAAGAACCTCTCGAATCTCTACTCCTCGAGGGCCACGTCTCGTTTACCTGAAGACAATATCTTGATTACTCCCGGTGCTATCATGGCCAACACCTTGGTCTTTTACGCCCTTGTCGGGCCCGGAGACCATGTCATTGTCCACCACCCAACGTACCAGCAGCTCTACGAGGTCCCAAAAAGCCTGGGTGCTGAAGTAGATCTCTGGGAAGCCAAGGCCGAGAAAGACTGGGTGCCAGATCTAGAAGAATTGAAGGCTTTGGTGCGGCCAAACACCAAGCTGATCGTAGTCAAGTACGCCGCCGCGCCTCATACGACGGAGTATATCAACTAACAGATCTCCCCAAGCAACCCCAACAACCCCACCGGTGCCATTCTCCCCAAGTCCCTCCTCCAGGACCTCATCGACTTCGCCGCAACCAAGTCCATCACCATCCTGAGCGACGAGGTGTACCGCCCCATCTTCCACAGCATCTCGCCCATCGACGACGCCTTCCCGCCGTCGATCCTGTCGCTCGGCTACGAGCACACCATCGCCACGGGCTCGCTCTCCAAGGCCTACAGCCTCGCCGGCATCCGCGTCGGCTGGATCGCCTCGCGCAGCGCGGCCCTCGTCGAGAAGATGGCCGCCGCCCGCCACTACACGACCATCAGCGTCAGCAGCCTGGACCAGCAGGTCGCTGCGCGCGCCCTCAGCCCCAGCACCGTCCACGCCTTGCTCGCCCGCAACATCGGCCTCGCCAAGGCGAACTTGGAGATCCTGGAGAAGTTCGTCACGAAGCATGATGATGTCGTTGACTGGGTGAAGCCGAAGGCCGGCACCACGGCCTTCTTGCGGTTCCATCGTGAGGGCGAGGGTGGTGAGCCGGTGGACGCGGCCAAGTTCTGCAAGACGTTGTTGGACGAGACGGGCGTGTTGTTCGTGCCTGGGCCGGAGAGCTTTGGGCAGAGGTTCCCGGGTTATGTGAGGGTTGGGTTTTGCTGCGAGACGGATGTGCTGAAGGAGGGATTGGAGAAGGTGAGGCTTTGGATGAAGAAGAACTATGATGACGTGCCAGTAGTGGTGGCGTAGGAGGTAGAGGTGAAGAATGCGTAGAAAAAGTGAGGTTAAGAAAGAAGCAAGAAGCAGACAGTAAAAAAGAAGAGAATGTGATACAGCCTTGCTCCCCATTCTTGATCGTCAGTACGAAGTTTTGAACTCGTGCAGTGTACTGTGACCTGGAATGCCTGTAGTTGGGGTGGCAACCTGATGATCTGCGAGTTCCCAAATGGTTGCTTGTGAGTCGAGTCTCTTGAGCGACTCGGCCACTCTAACAGATCCGACCACTGGGCCAGCGTGTATCAGTGATTGAAATGACAGAAGCAAAGAATATATATAGAAAACAGGAATCTAGGTTTTGCTTGGAGAGACAGACAAAAGAAACAAAAATGGGTGATAGAGCCTCGTTCCTCACTGAGGTATCGTCAGCACGGGAGATTCGAACTCGTGCAATATGCTGCGACCCAGAGTGCCTGTAATGGGAGCGGCAACCTGATGATCCGTAGTATTCCAAAGGGTTGCTGTGTACCGAGTCTCTTGAGCGACCCGACCACTCTAATAGATCCTACCGCCAGGCCAGCCCTATCACCGATGCCATTTGGAAAGACAGACTAAGCATATAAGCTGATGCTACTGAACAGCCACCTGCTCCGCTGTCTCCGTGCTGATATTTTTTGATAAAGACTCTTGAACTCTTGGACAGAAATCCTCGGCTCTCTGGGCTCGGCCCTGGACTTCAGCGCTAGGTGCGTAGCGAAGTATTCTGGATGGTCCGCAACCTCGGCTTCGCCAGCTTCAACGGCGGCGAGACTCGGTGCGGTACCATCTTGGTTCTCCCGAATCTGTCGGCGCTCTAGTTGACGTTGGGGATGCTCGAGAAGTGTGGATCGATCCTTCCTTTTCTTCCTTGGAGGCGGCGATATTTCTTTTTCCAGAGCGGTCAACTCTGACATGCTGAGGGTGTGGATCAGAGTTAAGAGCCCGAGATGCCGGAGAGAAACAAGTCGAGCTGTGACGTCAAAGCCAACCTCCAACGTGCCAAACTCGACTTCCACTCCGTTCTTCGTAAACAGCTTCGCAGTTCCCGTTCAAATAATCCCCTCACAACATAATGTTTCTGGCAATTGTGTCGAATCAGGCTGTTAGTCATACGCGGCACGCATGAATAAAGGTCATTCCAAATTCTCGCGGCTGAAGGGAACCATGATGATAGGAAAGTGGAATAGATATATAAACGACCGATCCATCGGGTATCATTTCTACAAGTAAATAGCTGCCTATGTAGCACTACTGATTTTTTAGAAAACCCCACCTTCCATGCACCCATCCTGTGTGCAAGATTCCCCATGCTATGAATGACTTTTTCCCCGATAAATGCCCTTTTTGTTCTTCTTCATCAATTTTTTCCGCATCTCAGCTTACAAGCTCCCCAACTCCAACCACCCCTCTACAAATGCCAAGGCACCTCCCGCTGGTCCCTGCATCATCTCGGCAAACTCATCGAACCCGATTCTTCCCCTGCCAACCTTCTTGATCTCACTCTCCGCACCGTCCAGCATCGCCAACCGTGCCATCCGACGCTCATCGGGCGCTTCGCGGTGATCGCGCTGCCGAGCGTACGCTGTGGACAGATAGACGTTGGGCGCGCGGGCGGCGGCCGACGAGTGGTTGATGGCGTCGCGAACGCGCTGCTCGCGGATGGCCGTGCTGACGAGAGAGAGGAATTCCTCTGGCAGGTCGCGAATGTCGCTGGGGCGCATGCGGATCTCGGCTGCGGTATCCTCGTCCTCGTCATCGTCATCTTCGTCTTCCTCGGCTGAAGTAGATTCTCCGGAGCTGGGCGTGTCCTCCGAAGAGCTGTCTGACGTGGACGCCTCAGATGAGATTGGGATGAAGAGCGTGGGTTCGTTTGCGTGGCTGGGTGCTGGGGCGGGTGAGGACTGGCGGCTAGTTCGAGTTGCGCTCCCTTGAGGAACAGGTGTAGGTGGCGGGTTGAGTGATGAGGCCCTGGGCGGATGGATATCGCGCTCGCTGTTGGGACGGAATTGAGGCATGGTAGGGTCCCTGAGAGGCTCTACTTGTTCTAACGGAGGAGCAGGAGGGATAATTTCAGGCGTCTGTGGCCTTTCTGGCGGCGCAGTGGTATTGGTAGGAAGGCTCGGCATAGGCAGGAAGTTTGCCTGCGCTGGGTTGCTTGGGATGCTGTTCGGGCGGAACTGCGGCAAGGTTGGGTCTCCAGGTGGTGATGCTGCCCTTTGACTGCGTGCGCTAGCTTGCTCCCTTCTCTGGTCCGATGTTCTGGCATCAGACGGACGGCTCATTACCAGCTCGAGCCATCTTACTTCCGGGTTCTCGCTGGCCTCGCCCCCATCAGCGTTGTTTGTCTCCCCATTAACCTCTCTGTCTGGTTCCTCCGATCGCCTCACTCTATCGCGATCCCCATCCGTTAGCAAATTAGACCTCTCGAAGAGCTCGTCCAACTGCATGTCAACAAGATCCACTTCGAGCCGAGCCTCTCGCTTTTGGGTATCCGTCGCTGTTCCTGGTTCATTCTTTGTTTCCGAAATACGCCTTGCAGCCTTTGCAATGAGGGATCTAGCCGAGGAAATGAAACTCTTGTATGCTTCGTTAGAAATGCCGTTGTTTTCTGCTTGTCGTAGATCGCGTTCGAACGGTTGAAAGACCTCCTCCACAAAACCGTCGAGAGCATCAATGTCTTCGTTGGGGATGAAACCCTTGTTCTTCAGAGTTTGGTAGGTTTTCCAGCTCCGGCCAGTAACTAGTGCAACAAATTGGAGGGAGACCTTCATGAGCTCTTCGGCCTCAGGAGATCTGACGAGAGGGTCGTTCTTGAAATCTGCTCCGGTTTTGTCCTCCATGTCTTTGATGAACTCATTGATCCTCTGGCGCCACAACTGACGCTCAGACTTGGTCGCCTGGACTTCCATAGCAATGTCCTCTTTCCGCTTGAAAATTGGGTCGAGCATTTCGTTGCAGCCTTGCTGGGTGACTTGATAGAGAATATCTTTACCAAGGTCCTCTTCAGCTTGCGGGATCTCGTAGCCACCCCAGCGCTCTCCGATGGGCCGCGAAGACGTAGAGATATCAGAACGAGCATCTGACTCAAGATCATCTGCGAAGCGGACCCGGGAGGACGAACGGGAATGCGAGGGTCGAACATAGACGCCATTAGGCATGTCAACGTGGCCGTCAATTGTCGAAGCTACGTCGGCTGGGGCGTCGGCATGATCAAGCTCTGAGGAATCGGGCGCGGTAAGGCCTTCCTCCTCGTCAATGTAGAACTCTCTCCGCCTCCATCGATCCGCAACAGCTTCTTGACGAACTTGTTCGACGGTCTGACCAGGCGCGCGACTGTTAGCGATCCGAAGTTCTCCAGAATCCGCAATAAGCTGAGAGCGATCTTCAATGTCGTGACCATCCTCTCTTATAACGTCGTCCTCTAGAGGGTCTCCAAAGCGATCAAAAGTTTTCCTCGATGCCGCGCTCGGTCTTTGTCTGTTGAAATTCGGTCCGCCAAGGAAAGCAGAACTCAAAGGTTGGCTCGACTCAATCGTGTCCATAGCCCCGGCTACACTGAGGTGCTCTTCAGCAACCATCAGCATATCTCTGGTCTTTTCGCGGAGGATGTTGTAGTATGCCCGGAAGATGCGCAGAAAGTCCTTGCGAGTCACATAGCTGTCCCCGTCGATATCGTAGCACTCGAATATTTTGCGGAGTTTGGCGCGGCTATGTGGACTCATGCGGATGAAGTTCATGCCGAGAACGAATTCTTTGAATCCAATCAGACCATCGCCGTTGCTGTCGAAGAAGGCAAAAACACGGTCGTATACGAGATTCGGCGCAGGGATGTTAGCAGTGTAGCGGGGCACGAAAGATTTGTCAAAGGCGCGCCTGTCTATGGCTGCGCCGAGTTTCTCCGGATCCTCGTCCCATTGGACGTTGGCAAGACACGTGAATTGCTCCCAAAGACCATCGATCTCTTCTGGTTCGTACTGTGTCTGCTCCTCCAGGCTTTTCCTCACGGCGTTCGGCACAATTGACGGCATGTATCCTGGATTACCGGGGAAATAAACTGGCATGGGATTTCGGGTGTATCCCAGGTACCTGGCAGGAACCTTGACCTTCTGAAACATGTGTGTCTTGGGGTGGATGTTGGTAGCCTCGCAATCGGAGCACAAGTCGTAGTCTATACAGTTGGTGCAGCGCCAACGGATCCCGCGAATGGGCGTGGTGCTGCAGCCATCGCAAGTGATGCCGCGGTGAACGATGCCCTTTTGTCGCGCTTGGTCCTCTGCAATGTAGTACAGTGTTCTTCGAAGAGCGTGTCCGTCGCCGTTTTGGTCATTAACCGCCATGCCACCAGCTTGCGATTCGGCCTCGTGCCATGAAGCAGCCTCGGTCTCATCGTCGTTGGCGGGGATGGCCAAGTCCTGTGTGCCGTCTGTCTGCGAGACTCCCGTGACCCTGCGATTGTGTCGTCCGAAGGCAGCCATGATCTGAGCTCGCGGGAGGCCCCAGTTGAGGAGGCGACGGTAGATTCGCTCGGTTTCTTGGCGCGTGGAGAGCTGCGTGGAGGAGTCGACTTCGCGTTCCAGGTAATTGTCTAAGAACTGGCGTTGGGCCTCTTCAGCTAGCTCCTCGGCCATCCACTGCTCGTGGTGGCAGACGCGTCGGAACCAGTCGACGTCAGGAAGCCTTCCCGGGAAGAGCGGGAACCTATGGCGATGTCCGTGGTTGTCGGCATCCTCAACGACGAAGACGCCGTAGGGCCGGCCAGTGTCGGTGGCGTCGGTTCTGGCATCGGCGTCGGCATCGTCATTGTGGTGGGAGCGGGTGCGGCGTCGCGGGTTGCGGCGATGGTGGACGGCATTGCTGCGCTGAAGGCCCTGGGCGGGCTCGGCGGTGATGGTTGACCAGAGGAGATATGCCGAGAAGCAGGCGGCGGCTCCGGCGACAGTAATCACGATGGGGCGGTATCGCGACAGGGCGGAGGTGGTTGAAGCCATGCGGGCTAGCCGTGGGGAAAGCCGCAGCTACGGCGGATGCAGCTGCGGCAGATGTTGAATAACGTCGTGAGCGCGTCGCCCGGTGTGAGGGGAGTCAGCTGGTAAGAAGCATAATTACAGGCACGCGCAAGCCGGTGCCAGTTTCGGCGAGGCTGGCTTGGAGCGAGACGAAGGGCGATGGTGGCTTTGGACGTTTGTCATCCAGCGGCCATCAGGTTGCAGTTGCCGCACGCACAGCTGACGCGAGCCACTTTCCTCTCTCATCCCTCCCCCCGCACGGTCCAACCCCGAACCACCATCAGCCCTACCACCCGCTGTCGCCTTGCTGCCTTAGCCGCTCATCACTTGCCATTTACCCTGCGACTGCCTTTGATGCCGATCGCACTTGACATACGGGGGTAGTTGAAGCTAACGGTCGGACGTAGATGTGTAATTCTTAAATCGACATCTGCGTCCGGACGTTAGCTTCAACCACCCACGAATAAATATCGTCAAAGACGTCCTGCCACGAGCTTCAACTCCCCCACTTTGTTTACATTTCGGCAGCAAAAGGAAATGATCTTCATTTTTTTTATCTAATCAGCACTGGAAATCCCACCGGATATCCCACCACCTACTCCTCTCCTCCCGTCTCCTCCACCTCCTCCACCGCCTTCTTCTCCGGCCGCTCACTACTGTTGAAGTGGTCCGGACCGCACGGGTCGTGACACCCGCACGGCCACAAGACACCCAACTCCTCCTCCGGAAGGTCGATAGCCGCATCATACGGCGTGTGCTCGGCATCGACGATGCTCTTGTTATGCTTGCGACGCTTCTTCGAAACCCTGGCTCCGCCGCTTGGACCCTCTCCGTTGGGCTTGTCGGCCTTGAGAGCGTAAAACTTGCCGGAGATAAACTCGGCACGCTTCGCGTCGAAGAACATCTCGTCAAGAGCTCCTTGCCACGACTGACGGAAGTAGCTGCCGCAAAGCTTGAGCCTCTTGGCATTTTGGAGGTTGCGGGTGATTAATCCGCAGATGTACCTCACCGCCTTCATGTGGCAACCAAACTCCTGCGGCCTAGGGAAGTAGCCCTTGATGGTCATGTCTTCGGATACCTTGGGTTCGATCCAAACGGTATCCAGATGGAGCTGGCCGAGAGTCTTGAGTGCTTTCGCGAACCTTCCGTAATGCTTTTCGCCGGGCTGGATGTTGGCTCCAAAGAAGCTTAAAAAGTCGGCGTGGTCGAAGTTGAAATGGACCTTGCGGATATTGGACAACTGGCTCTCGTCGACTGCATCCAGGAAACGGACCAGGTTGCCAGGCCTGTCGAAGCAGAACGTGTTCCGGCGGATCGAAGTCTTGAGGAGCATGAGCTCATCGTGGGTCCCTTTCCTGAAGATGCCGATGCCGTTCATGACGTACTGGTACTGAACGGGTGTGATAGTCATTAGGCCCATCCTCCGCGCATCTTCCGCACAGGAGTAGCGGCTCCTGGCATCTCCGCGCTTGTAAAGGTAGGGCCAGAGATCGGTATCCTCGCCGAGATGCTCAATTATCATCCACCTGAGTTCGCGCGGCAATCCAGAGTAGTTAAACTTCGTCTTGTCGTCGGTCACCTTGCTTTCCCAGAACTTGAGCTGGGTATCGTAGCATGGGGCGAAACTGGGGCTGACACCGCGGAGGACCTCCAGGAATTGGGAAATTGGGACGCAGACATCTTGCTTCAGGAAGACACCCAACTCGCCCTCAACCAATCCCATCTTGACGACATGGGGTGTAAAGCTGGAGAACTGGACGCAGAATGCCGATCCAAAAGCCGGGGAGCGGAAGAATTTCTCTTGAGAGCAAAGCTTTGAGATATCCCAGATGCAAAGGCAGTCCGAGAAAGCAAAGTGGTCGCAGCCATTGGACTGGTAAGAGTTGAGAGAGGCCTGGACGGCGGAAATGATCTTGTCGCGCGGGCTGGGTCTGATATCATCGGGCCACGCGAACTTCTTGACCTCGCTCGACCAAGCAAGTTCGTTCAGCCATGAGTTGGGGTCGTTGATAGGTTCGTGGTCGGCAAAGGTGTCAAATCGCCTCTGGGTGTCCCTCAGCGCGCTGGCGAGAACGGTGTTCTCTACGGCCTTGATAGAAAGGTTGGTGTATTGGGGCCTGCCGGCCGGCTTGTAGTGCCTGCGACCAGGCATGATGATTCGTTCAATGAGACGAGGAAGAGTGGTTGTGGTTTGGAAGCGGAGTCGAGGTGCTTTTGAATATGTGTGTAATGGGGTGGCTGGGGGCCCGCCTATTGTTCTTATTGTTACTATTGTTGTGTGTTCTCACGTTCGTCGTGCGAAAGTGAAAGGTGATTGTGTGGGAAGACCCTTATTGAGACAACTGACATGTGATCCACGGTTCAAATGCCCAAATGTCTAATCGTACGGAACTGAAGCTATTGTCCGGATGCAAATGTCATCGTTTCTTATTTTACACCGGCATCCGGACAGTAGCTTCACCTCCGTATGGCGGGAGGCGGTTCATGCCATGCCAAGTCTTCAAATATGACTACGTACATAATGATCCCGCTCATCAGCTGTATAAGCAAAGCCATTTGTACGAAAGGCAAGAGATTGCAATTGAGAATCCTTCGGGACGAAGCTGCGCGTTCATTAAATTTTCTCTCTCTCTATTTGACTTCCTATCTCCACCGGCCGCCTGCGTGTCCCGATTTTTTTTCTTTTTCTTTTTGGCTGAGACAGAGTGAACCTCAGCCTCATATCAAATTCTAATCATAAAGTCTGGCATCCTTTTGTCTGCGGGTTAAAGCTATGAGATGCTTCGCGCTCATGAAGTCACCGCTTCTCTAACCAAACGCGCGCATGGACAGAAGCTATAGCGCCTAAGTAATCTTACGAAAGAAAGACAGGCGCCATTCTTTCTCATTCCCCGCCACGGGAAAACATGCAAGCAAAGTAAGAGACCACCACACTGTCCTCAAGGCCCCCACTTGCAATGCCCCACGTACCTCCACCAAAGCAGCTCATCCAACGGCCGCTTCCACCACGCTCCGCAATTATTCAGTAACACCCAGAGCCCAGCCAAGGGCAAAAAAAAAAAAAGACAACAGCGACGCAAGGTGTAACTTTACATAGGCAACACAAGCGACTCGACAACTCTCCCCCAGGCGCCCCTGCATAACCGACATGCAAAAAGGTCGGTTTACCTCATCCGGCAGACCGACCACCCTCCATCCCCAGTCAGTCCATCCCGTCCGCAACCCCTCGCATCGATTCGCCTTTTTGCTTCTTCCCCAGCAAGATCCGCGCAAAAGAGTCAGATCCAAGCCGCGGGAGGGGACAAGGATTGTAGCGGTAAAAAGGACAACGGGATACAAGCAAAGGCGCCAAGGCGAAGATCGCATGTGAACGGGGGGCGCGTAATAAGGCGAGGGGAAGGAGCAACAACCCAGCAGCCGGGGGGGAAAGTATACCGAGCACCGCCAATGACGAGTGAGCGACGGCCCGCCTCTACGTACTAACTACCTCTGTAAATTGAACCCCGTCCACACACCAAAGCATCAATAATCACAGCTAACGTCAGGCCGACCGACGGGACCGCGCCCGTCCAATCTCCACAAAAAACCTGCGCCGAGAAAGGCAACTCCGTGCGATCGTCCCGGTCACACTGCGCGCCTGCCTGCCTTACAAGAGTGTTATGGGGTTGGTACGACTTAAATTACACACATTCGTGCGGCGAGTGCGCATCATCGACCCCCGGTCGGTCTCCTTTGGGCAATCCCGTCAGCTCCGCTGCGTTCGAAGTTGTTTCTCTTCGGCGTGTTACTCGAACGGTCATGATTTGGCCATGCTGTCTCATGCACGGATTCAAGTAGCTGCCTTGCTTGACTCAGTCAGGCGGCAGCCTTATCATGTCTGTTGGTGGTGAACGTGTCATTTTTGGTATCACTTTTGCCTCTTCCCTCTCTATCATGCCTTCACAGCCTTGCAAATACCCTTCGATAACCCAGTCTGCTCAGTCTTCGCCAACGCTCGCGCAAGGAGAACAGCAAACAGAAAACAAATCAATCCCAGAACTTGATCACGCCGTTCAAATCGCCCGTGACGACCTTGCTTGTCTCCCTCGGGTGCCAGTTGGTGCTGATGACGGGTGCATCGCTCGCCTGGATCTTGTGGTACATCTTGCACGTCTTCCAGTCCCAGAAGGTGACGAAGCCGCCGCTGTCGCCCGACGACACGAACTGGCCATCGGGCGAGATGGACACATCGATGGCGTAGCCCGCATTGTTGTGGCCGCGGAACGACTTCTTGCGGTTCTGCCGGAAGCGGTCGGTGCACGCGTACACGACGATCTGGTTGTCCGACGACTGGAACGCCACGTACTTGCCGGACGGGTGCGGCGCGCTCCGCACCATCGGGTACATGTACGGCTCCGCGATAAACTTGATCGGCACCGGGATACCATACTCCCACGCACGCAGCGACTTGTCGTCTGACGTCGTGATGAACCGCCTGTTCTCGTCGCAGAAGGTGATGGTGTTGACTGGTCCCAGGTGATGATCGTACTCTTGCACCATCTGCTGCGTCCTCGTATCGAACTGCACAATCTTCTTGTCCGCCATACCAGCCAGGAACTCGTGGTTGAGCGCGGGATCGGGGTTGAAGCGCACGACATGCGGCGTCTTGCCGGTCGAGAACTTTGTGATGCACTTGCCGGTCTCCGTATCCCACAGCTTCATCTGACGGTCGTACGAGGCGGACAGGAACTGCGTGCCATCGTTGTTGAAGCAAATGTCGTTGACGGACTTGTTGTGCCCCATGTAACTCCGCAGCAGTTCGCGATTGTGATAGACATCCCAAATCTTGACTGTGTTGTCCGCAGACGCTGACAGCAGAAGGTGGCCCGAGTCGGGGAAAAAGCGCAGCGCGTTGATGGCCTTGGTGTGGTGTTTCCAGGTGTGGATGCACTTCTTGGGGATGTAGTTTTTGAGGTCGGTGATCTCGCCCCGCAAGCTGATTCCCAAATCCTGCGGCACATGCATATATGTGCGCCCTTGGTAGTCGAACTCTTGCGAGCCATGGAAGACCGTCTTCTCTTCCGCCGCATCCTCGTGCTCGTACGCGGTCCCATCCTTCGTTGTCGGTGCCGCAGGCTGCTCTTCGATCTCGTCCTCTTCATACACGATTTCCACGTCGGAGCCCTCCTCGTCCGACGCAGCGTCCGGTCGCTCGAACTGGTATTTTGCCCATGGGCCCTTGTATGCGCCTTTGCCGTACACAATACTGGAGTCGCCCTTTTCTTCTCTCTTGCGCTTTTTGCTCGGTGGTTCAGTTGCTGCCTCGCGCGCGCGGTGCGCCGAACGGAAAGAGGCTTCGCTGATGACGATTTCGTCAGCAAAGCCCGTAGGTACGCGACCTTTGGTGTTGCTCGCCATGGTGTGTATATATGTGTCGTATGCGTTATGTGGTTCGTGGATGGAACGACGTGACTTGTGTAGCAGTAGTTTGGACTTTTGGCTGCAGCTCGGGGGCAGTGACGTTGAGCGAGTCAGGGTCTTACGCTGACTCAGCACCACTCAACCCGAGCAGGCAATGGACCACAGTACAATATAGTTGGTGAGATAGATCAGTTGGCTTGCGCCAGAGAAAAAGAAAAGAGCCATAACACGCCGAGATGTACATGCCGAACGTGGGCAGTTGTTCTCATCACAAATAACGCTTTTTCCACAGGCCAGTGGTGTTTGTCCCAGGAATGAGACGGGAAAGACGCGCATGCGGTTTTACGTTTCAGTACCATTCGAAGTTTATTTTGCTACTCGGCATTAGTTGCGGAGCTATCATACCATTCAAGTCTCCGCCAGGGCTATAAATACAGCCTTGTGCTCGACAAGCCCGGCAGGCGGGCATACAGAGCCAAGGAAAGTACATGCCCAGAAGCGCGTACCCCCTCGCCTATCTCATGTCATTCATACATCCATCCACTCGTCCCAGCCGTTACTACTCATTCTTTCTTAATTCATAGCGCATGTTGCCGCAAAGGCAAGCGACTTCGAGCCGTATTCGCGCCTATGGAAGGCTTGCCGTTTGCTCATAAGGAGCCACGGTACATGCTCTTCTCGGTCTCAGAGCGGATTCAGTGCGTCTCATCGCGGATCAAGGCGACGCTGTTGTCAGGCAAATTAGCATCGGAAGACCGCAAAGATGTCCGGAGTGGGAGGGGGCTCACATCATGCTGTAGAGGTAAAAGAAGAACATAACCAAGTGGAAACCGAGCTTGATGAAGGATTCCTGTACAGGGTGTTAGTGCACGCGTGTCCATTTCGAGCAAAACACTCGGCGCGCAAGTCGCCTGAGACGCTTTCCCGTACCTTCTTGTGCACGTTGAGCTTCCTGAAAATCTCGGTCGCGTCCAGAAGGTGCTGGTTCTCAAGGATCCTGCCACTCGCAATCAGTCGTCTGTTCCTAACCCTGAATCGACAGCCCAGGCGCCTGGCCACGTATTCTCCCGCACAATCGCAGAACCAATAGCGTGGCTTTTCTGGGCCCATTGAGGAGTCGCGTGTAACTCACTTCTTCGCGTTCCATGCCAGGAGGGGCAGGTTGAGCAGCAGAGCAATCCAGTAGCCGTTGATGAGGAAGAGGAACGTCAGGAAGGCGTGGACAGCGGCTTCGGGGATGATGTAGGTGTTCAGACGGTTGCAAAGATCGATGGGGTTGATGTAGTCGCTGTGTCCAGCCGTGTTAGCAGGGCTCGGTGTCATCCACGAGGCGCCGACTCTCTGCTTGGACGCGCGCGTGAGGCGCGTGGAGAAGGCGCCCGAGCAGCCAGAGCTGCGCAAAGAGCGCCGGGAAGTGATGCGTACCATTCGAGATCAGAGTACATGATCGTGAAGAAGACCTGGAGGAAGAGGTTGACCGCATTTATGAGGACAGCGAGGAGGTAGAGCCACGCCTCGCCAGACATCTTGAAAAGCTTTCGAGCGCGAGGATGCTGGGTAGAAGATTGCGATGGAGAGGTCAACGGCAGCTGCGCGGAAGCGTCGGGCTTTGGTAGTTCGACGATGTGATCTGGTAGAGATACGTCGTTGAGATTTGCTTGTCGGTCGTCGGTTGGCGGGGGACGCGAAGACGTTATCTGCCGGAGTGCGCGAGTCGTAGGCGGTGGGCAATCGGCTCGAGCTCCAGAAGCTGGGGACTTGGTGCAGCACCTTGCAAAGAAACAATGCGAGCCGGCAAACGCGGAAGGAAGCGGGCTTGGAAGGAGCTGACGTCTTGAGTAGACGGATAGACGATGACGAAACGCAGTCGGTTTTGCGCTGCTGGCATGAGCTGTCTTCCAAGGCACGCATCAAGCTCCGCACAGACATTGGCACCCGTCACGAGCCGAGTCACGTCGCCCACTCTTACACTTCCCGATGCGCATTATGCAATGCAACTATCCTTCGGCATGCCGACGCATCTAAGCGCCTTTAAAATCTGAAAGAGGTATCTAAGCGCTCAACAACATCCCGCTAAGCACATCGTTCCCCGACGCCTCTCCGTATGCAACCATCCGACGCATTTCATGCCGCTGCTCAAGCACCGTTAGTGGCCTCCTTGGTTCCGTCCGTGATTCCAGGTATCGGGACAGGACCGCCAGGCGAATCCGGTAGCCTAGCCGTCAGGACTTCCACGCCATCCTCAGTGACAAGCAGGGTATGTTCTGCAGACCTATTAGCATGTACTAGACGATTACGATGGAGTAGTTGATTCCTACCAAACTGTGCAGTCCTCTTGCCGTCCTGCGTGGCACTGGTCCAATCATCCGGCCAGGTCTTGTCCCTGTGCGTTCCCAGTGCAATCATGGGCTCGATGGTGAAGCACATGCCGGGCTTGGCCGTACCAACAGCCTTGTTCTTTGCATAGTGCGGGACGTTGGGCGGGCAGTGGAACAGTTGGTTGATACCATGGCCGCAGTACGTCTTGATCACGCTGCAGTTCCTCTGCTTCGCCAGCTTCTCGATGACGTTGCCAGGGTCGCGGAATAGCATGCCTGGCTTGACGATCTTGATAGCCTCGTCCAGAGTGTCGCGTGCCGTCTCGACGACGCGAATCGAGTCCGCGTCGGCAAGCGCCTTCTCGCCGATGTAGTATGTCTCGTTGATATCGCCGTGGAACCCTTCGTGGTAGAGCGTGACGTCGATGTTGAGAATATCACCGTCTTGCAAGACGCGCTGGTCGGGAATACCGTGGCAAATGATTTCGTTGAGAGAGGTGCAAACCGACTTCGGGAAGTGGCAGTAGTTAAGCGGGGACGGGTAAGACTGTGGATGATGAGCGATTACTTCTTCTGCACCAAATGGCTCACTCAAGCACATTCGCGCTTTCTGTACTCACATTACGGGCGACGCAGGCCTTGTGGACGACCTCGTCGATATAATCGGTTGTAACGCCAGGCACGGCTGCCCTGGCGGCCTCGTCCAGCACTTCTCTCGCCAGGCGGCAGACCTTCCTCATACCCTCGATCTCTTTCGCGTCGAGAACCTTGATCTTGTGCCTGTTGACAAAGATCTGCTCACTCTTCGGAATACCATCCTTCGCATAGTCGGGGTGTGGTATAGTCTTAGGGACTTCTCTGCGGGGCGACAGAGGGTACACGGGGCGAAGGTCGCCGGTAAAAGAGAAGGACGGGAAGGGGTTGTAATGACCGGTTTCTGGGTCAGGCTGTGAGACGACTTTCGGCGGGAAGATGTTACGGAGAGGGTTACTTGAGGTTGCGCCGGCGGCCTTGTGTAGTGCCTTGTGCTCACTCTGTAGTATGGCGGTCAGCGGGGCTGTTCGGCGTCGCGTGAGGTTTCTCGCTGTGTACCCAGTTCTTCTTGAAGCAATCTTGCGAGCAGAAGTAGGACTCTTTTCCCAACTTCTGGCAGGTAGGACATTGCAGCGCGGTGGCGTCCTTTCCGCAGTCGGCTCCCAGGCACTTGCGCGGGCCTGCAGTTTCGGTAGCCATGGTTGCTAAAGAGGGGCGTCTTGACCGTCGAGATGGCGAAGGTGAGGGCCGCAACCGTTTGAACAGCAAGCTATTTATATGCTGAGATATGCTGCACAAAGAGTGGTAGAAGTGCGACCTTCACCGGAGTTGAGGCGGAGTAGCACAAAAACGGCGTTGAATTTCTGGAGATCGGCATTGGCGCCCGCAGACGCCGATCCCGCCACTACCCGCTAGCGAGTCAGATGCGCTCGAGAAAAGGTAGGAGCTAGACGCGGTCGTCCGGAAGATGGAAGGAATAGTCATCAGTTTTCTTACCTCATCACCTCATTTCTCAGGTGACGGCTATATTTTCCCTTGTCGCCGTCCTCTTTTCCAACCCACTGCAACCCAGGAACATGGTCACCCAGCGGACAGTGGTCGTTGGAGCGGGGCCTGTCGGCGCCCTTGCCGCCCTTTATGCGGCCCAGAGAGGCGACGAAGTTGAGGTCTACGAGCTGAGAGGAGGTACGCTCCCTTTTCCCGCCGTTGCTATTGGCCCATTGCTTGATGTGTCCTTCATGATACGTGTGCCTTCAATCCCTCTTCTCTACAAAGCCGCTTTGTTCGAAAACGCAGCGCGTCATGAATTTTCAGCAGCTCGAGTCATGTTTGCTACATCCCTACAATTCAACGGAGAAACGGGTCCCTCTTTTGTCTTCACTCATAGTTCAGTGATTCTTACCATGAAAATGTGTAGACCTGCGGGATCCCTCGACAGTACCGCTCAATTTCACAAAATCCATCAACCTTGCCCTTTCCGAGCGGGGTATCCACTCCATGCGGCTAGCAAACTGCCCCGGATTGATCGAATCAGTCTTGAGTGAGACAATTCCCATGCATGGACGGATGATCCACGGCAGCAAGAATGGAGAAAACTACGAAGAATCGCAAACGTACGACGTGCATGGCCGAGTAAGTAGATAATCGCTACTTCGATAAGCAGTAGCTGATGATCTCACAGGCTATATTGGCAGTTGATCGCCACAACCTGAACAACCGCCTTCTGGATGAGCTTGAAAACATGCCCAACGTGAAGCTTTTGTTCAACCACAAGCTGGTCGGCGCAGACTTCAAGAACAACATTGCCTGGTTTGAAGACATGACGAAAAAAGACCAGTCAGATCCCTTCAAGGGCCCAACGACAGCGTCCGGCCACAGGGAAATCGAGATCAAGTTTGATTTCATGATTGGCGCCGATGGTGCTCATTCTGCCGTCCGTTACCATATGATGAAGTTCACACGCATGGACTACACGCAGCAATACATCGATACCCTCTGGTGCGAATTCCACGTCAAGCCGGACACCACCAACACTTCCCCATATAACGGCTTCAAGATCTCCCCCAACCATCTACACATCTGGCCTGGCGGCTCGTTCATGTTTATCGCCATCCCCTCTCTCGACAAATCCTTTACATCAACGCTCTTCCTCTCCGCCGACGGCTACGCCGAAATCGACGTCGACCCCGAGAACCGCCTGGTCCCCTTCTTCCAAACCCACTTCCCAGGTGTCGTGCCAGATCTCATCTCAGCCGAGGACCTAAAGCGCCAGTACCTCGAGAACCCGCACCTACCGCTCATCAGCATCAAATGCGCGCCCTACCATGTCGGCAGCTCAGCCGTCATCGTCGGCGATGCGGCGCACGCCATGGTGCCATTCTACGGCCAGGGCATGAACGCCGGGCTCGAAGACGTGCGGACGCTGTACGACTGGCTCGACCGCTTCGTGCCGCCTTCGCCCACCAGCCCCTCGTCCTCCAAGATCGAGGAGAGCCAGTACATACTCGTCAACAGCGACGCCAAGGAGCGCGCGAAGCAGCGTGCGCGGGCGCTGGACGAGTATTCGCGCTTCCGCCGCCCGGATGCGCACTCGATCAACGACCTCGCCCTCAGAAACTACCAGGAGATGCGGTCCGACGTCAAGTCGCCGATCTACCGCCTGCGCAAGGCGGTTGAGGAGTGGCTGAGCGTGTGGTTCCCCAGCTCGGGCATCGCGACGCAGTACTCGCGCGTCAGCTTCGGAAACGAGCGGTACTCGGTGGTGGAAAAGGTGGTGCAGAAGCAGGGCAAGGTGCTGTTGGCGGGCATGTCGAGTGTGCTGGTGGGTACGGTTGGTTGGGTTGCGTGGCTGGCATGGAAGATGAACAGGGTCGACGAAGGATCCAAGAACGCCGCTATCTGGCTAGGAAGAACGATCAAGGAGAGCGCAAGGAAGTTCGTGTAGAGCACTTTAAGTCGTTCGATTCTATGGCGCGCGGAGACTGTACTATACATTTAGAGAATGAAGCCCTATCATTCATCTTATGCACGTCATTCTCCAATCTATGTAGCTTGACCCTTGAGGGATCATTGCTAAAAATCTGCGTAGATTCAACAATATCCAAAAATTTCCTTTGTCTGATCCTAACCCACATAATCCAACGCCGTGAAACCTAGAAACTCCCCTCGACGCCGTTATCAGCACATGCTCGCTAATAATCCAAAAATTGTACATGAAATATGCGATGTGTCCCGTGCATGGCCCTTCTAAAAATAGGACCTTTCAGCACAGGGCATGTTCCACAGCTAATTCACAGTGGCTAAGAGCACTCATGTCATAGCACAGTTGAGGCAACTTCTCACATCGCGAGATATGGAACACGTTCCGCATACCATTCGCCCGCAGTGATTACACGCAAACTGCTGCTGTGACCCGCAGCCGTCCATGTCAATGTCCATGCTATCCTCGGACACGAGGCTAGCATCGCAGTCCTCACAACGTGCGCCTTGTGCGCCGTTGCACGTAGCCGGCAACGAAGCTGGGGGTGGCTGCTGCGAGGGCGCTTGAGGTATGTTCCAAAACTTGTGGAGAGTGGACTTTTGGACGGCGGGTTGGTGAGACACGGGTGCGGCGTCTGCTGCTACTGCAGGGGCTTGGGATGGAATGGACGAGACGTGCGGTTGTTCGCGCTGGGCACTATATAACCTTCGCAATGTGGACTCTATAATGATGTTGTTAGCGCTACCATGCGGATGCTGCGTGAAATGCGCTGGGGCTCCGTACCGTGGATGAGGCGTTCGTCAGGCCTGTTGTCTCGGAAGCGCTTCATCGTCCGTCCGCTGTCGTTGCTGGCCTCGCTCCGTGGCTGCCACACCCATGAGTGAGCAGGTGTTGGATAGGCCTGGGTGGGAAGATCCAGCTGCATGGTGTTGCTGGGGAGGTGGGATGGAGGAGATGGGCTCACGGAAGATCGCGAGAAGAGGCTGGAGGTCGAGGCCGGCGAGGAAGTGGAGTCGGAACGCTTGCGCTTAGGAGACATTGTGGAAATGCTGAACACGAGAGATGCGCAATTGGAATGTTGGTGGGAGTTTATGTGCGTGAAGATGGCGACGGTGTTGGGAAGAGGTAAGCGGGAACGGGACCGAACGTGAGGCTGAGGCTGAGGCACAGAGCACTCAACGCGCGCAGAACGCGAGGAGCGCGTCAGTGACGTGATGAAACGCGCCGCCAAACGCCGACCGCCGATGCGCGGGGCTGAGGTCATCATGTCCCACTTGTCCGGCGGGCTAGAGCCCGTCCCGCATCCAGTTCAACATCTGCATCCCACATCAACCTTTCTGTCAACGGAAGGTCTTGTGCTTGGCTTCTTCGAATATATTCGCTTCACGATTGCATGAATCTTCCGCCCTTCCCGCCGTCTCCGTGATTTGATCGAGCTTCTCCCGTGCTTTCCGTTAACCTCCTCCAACAGCCCAACATTCCCAAGCTCCTCAGAAAGCTAGCTTGCTTTCGTCGACCGCGAAGGCTCTCGTCCGATCAACGTCCTAACCGCAAAATGTCTATCCGCGAAGCTAGCCACGCCGGCTCTTGGTACTCTGCGAACAAGAGCACGCTCTCCACCCAGCTTGATGAGTGGCTGGACGCTGTGCCCGCCAGTACCCCCGGCATCCGTCCTGGCTCGCAGAATGACTCGATCAACATCCCTTCGGCCGGCGCGAGGGCGATAATTGCGCCGTAGGTTGAGAAATGGTAGCGTAACAGGTGAATAACAACGGCGTGGCTCATGTGGGATCTGTAGGCATGCCGGATACGCTTATTCTGGTCCTGCAGCCGCATGGGCCTATAAAGCTCTTGATCTGTCCCAAGCGTAAGTACTCCCGGAAGCTCATATGTAATCACAACCCGTATCCGAGGTGCAAAAAATCACATCACACCGCAAATACGCACTCCGGCATGAGTGCCGACTCCCCTGCATGGTGATCCACAAGTCCTTGTACAGTACGAGAAACTCACGCGACGCAGGAAGCGCGTCTTCCTCCTCGGGCCGTCCCACCACTACTATCTCAGCGGCTGCGCCCTGACGCAATGCGACGCCTACGAGACGCCGTTGGGCAACCTGCAGATCGACAAGGCAACCGTTGCCGAGCTGCGCACGAAGGGGAAGTTCGATACCATGACCCAAGATCAAGATGAGGACGAGCACAGCCTTGAGATGCATCTTCCTTACATCTACAAGGTTCTTTCTAGGTAAGATTCCAGACGAGTCTAGTCAGGGGACCTGCTGCTCAGCTGGCACACCGCGCAGGCAGTTCTCCGACCCCTCCGAGTTTCCGCCCCTCGTGCCTATCCTCGTGGGCGCCACTTCAGCCGCAACGGAGCGCCAGTTCGGCCAGATCCTAGCTCCGTACCTTGCAGATCCGACGACAGTGTTCATCATCTCTTCTGACTTCTGCCACTGGGGCGCCCGCTTCCAGTACACTCACTACGAGAAGGCGCCAGGAGAAGCTCGCATGCTGAGGCCTTCTGAACGGCCGCCGTCGAACCCGGCTATCCATGAGAGCATTGCGGCCGTGGATGGGTACTGCATGGATGCTGTGGAGACGAAGAGCCACCAGCGGTTTCTCGACATTCTCGAGGAGACGGGGAACACCGTCTGCGGGAGACACCCCATCGGAGTGGCCATGGCGGCGATCGAAGCACTGTCTCTCGACGAAGGCAAGGGCAAGTTCCGGTTCGTCAGGTACGAAAGAAGCAGTGACTGCGTAAGCCCCAAGGACAGTTCCGTGAGCTACTGCAGTGCGCTGGCGGTCTTCTAAGGAGAAGTCGGAGACGGCCTGGAGAAGTGTGGGGCGACTCAACTTCGGCTTTTGCCCAGCCGGGGGTGTTACGTGAAAGGCTCATCACCACCAGCCGCTGATGCGCCATTATGTCGGAGCAAGAAAGTCACAGCGGGTTTCCTTATCCTCAACAGGCATGGCGGTTCAGCTTTTCCCGAGCTCCGAAGGATTACATGGTGGGCAGCTTGTATACGGCAGTAGAGGTCGGAGAAGGCTTTCGGCAGAGTCATATCCCGAATAGAGAGCTGCGCCAATAAATCCGAAATTTCTGCCAATGACCGCACGGCTCAGGCGACCACCGCTCATGTGCAGCCTGGAGGGTGACATCTCGAGAGCGCACTGACGGAATGCACACCATCTGGCGAAACTTCGGCACCCCGCGATCAGGTTCCTGGTCGTTGGGCCGCCATAAGCGACAATTCTGGGGTGCATCCGCGGTGTGGGCGTCGGGAAAGGCCACCGGCTCGGTGAGGAGTAAGTGAGATTGTTTCCTGCACGGCAAGCAGCCTAAACTCTGGCATGCATTTTCCAGAATCCCATTCTCGCTGAGCTAACTAGGGCGAAGGGCCGTTGAGCCGCATCTCCTTAGCCACCCAGAGCAGACGTGGAGAGACGCCGGGGTGGTCGTGGGCTGACGGTTCGGCATTCCACAACGTGAGCGCTCGGTATTCACCGTTCTGGAGCCGCCGTGTGGGGTTCATGTCGGCAAATCATCCCTGCCGTTTCTCCAATTTCTCCCCCTGTTCTCCAGATTCGAAGGAACTAAATGCGGGGGGCTAACCCGAACGAGGCATGCTCACGCTGAGCCGTGGTGCTCCCGGGCCGCGACCCTCGTGCTGGCCGGGGCGTAGTAAACATGGATCCACAGCGCCTTCACCACCTCGGCGCTTGCTTCTCTCAAAATTTCTTCACCGTCACTCGTCACATGGCGGCCGCCAAGCGTCCTTGGCTGGCGGACGCGCCCATAGAGGGCCTTTCGCGCGCCACAGTCTCACCGGCGCCGGCACGACGCACGCCATTCAGCTCGGTGGGACTTGCTGCATCCAGGCATGCGGCTTCCGGTGCTATGGGTGCATTGCCGCTGATCTGCCGGCGCGGATGTCGCCTTGTGGTGTCGTGAGGAGGTACGAGTCCGGCACTGCGCGTGCGGAGGTAGGCACGGCCTGGAAGGCGTATAAAACCTCTGGGTGTTGTCCGCACTGTTGAGGCTCATCAAGCTGATCAACATCCTTTTCGCCATGGCTTCCGCAATCAACTTTTTGGCTCTGCTCGGGATCGCCGCGTCTCTGGTGTCTCCGGCATCCGCCTGGGATCACTCCCTGTACACCACCAGCCCGGAGATCCTGCCTTCACGTAAGTCTTCTTTTGCTTCCCTTTGGCCTGTCTTCGGTGTTTTGGCACAGAAAATTCTTCACTAGGCTGGCAATTTATGCCTTGAGTGATTCCATGTGTCACTGAAATTTGGATCGACAAGATGTAGTCACTGACTGTCCACAGCAAATGCAACCGGTGTAGGCTGGGAGGATGCATTCGCCAAGGCAAAGGACTTCCTTGCCGAGCTGTCCTTGGAGGAGAAAGTCTACTTGGTCACCGGTACCACCGGCCCGTGTGCTGTAAGTTCCTTACCTGCCGATCTGTAAACCAGATTCGCCTGCAAACAGATGCTCTCGGAGTCATTCAGGATTCTACGAGTACCATTAAAAGGCCATTGCTAATTTGCTGTAGGGTATGATTGGGTCGATTGAGAGACTCAACTTCACCGGCTTGTGTCTGCAAGATGGTCCTGTGGGCATTAGGCAGGCAGTCTATGCCAACGTCTACCCTGCTGGCGTGAACGTCGCATCTACCTGGGACCGCAACTCTTTCTACAAGCGAAGCCACTATATGGGCCTCGAGTTCAAGGCCAAGGGTTCTCAGATCGCCCTGGCGCCCGTTGTCGGCCCGCTCGGCAGAGACCCATACGGCGGCCGTAACTGGGAGGGAATTTCGCCTGAGCCGTATTTGAGGTATTTCATCCTCATCGCGTGCGATTATATATACAATGCTAATATGGCTTTAGCGGAATCGGTGTTGCGGAGAGTGTTATCGGTCTGCAAGATGCTGGTGTCCAGGCCACTACGAAGCACTTCATTGGCAACGAGCAAGAGACCCAGCGCAACCCGAGCACGGCTGATGATGGCACAAGAATCGAGTCTCTGTCGTCCAACATCGATGACAAGACCATGCACGAGAGCTACCTGTGGCCCTTCGCCGACGCAGTGCACGCTGGTACTGCTTCGGTCATGTGCAGCTACAACCGCTTGAACGGTACCTACGGCTGCCAGAACTCGAAGACTTTGAATGGCCTTCTGAAGACAGAGCTGAACTTCCAAGGCTATGTCATGTCTGATTGGGGCGCGGTGCACTCGGGTGTTGCCACCATCGAGGGCGGTTTGGATATGAACATGCCCGGTGGCATTGCCTTCACTACCCCTTCTCCTTCATACTGGGGCGAGAACGCAACTCTTGCTGTGAACAACGGCACCATTCCGGAGAGCAGACTGGACGACATGGTCCTCAGAGTCCTGACCCCGTACTTCCACCTTGGCCAAGACCAGGACTTCCCCAAGGTCGACGCCTACTCCAACATCCTCAATGGCAAGGCTGAGTCGACATGGGTCAACAGCTTCGAAGTTGGCACTGAGGAGGAGGTCGTTGACCTTCGCAGCGATGAGACTGCCCAGTTCATTCGCGAGTCTGCTGCCAACGGCACCGTTCTGCTCAAGAACACGAATGGCGCTCTTCCCTTGAACGCTCCCAAGAACATTGCCGTTTTCGGTAACGCGGCTAGCGAGTATTCCGAAGGCCTTTACTCTCTCATTGGCGGCAGCCCCTTCAAGGCGAATGATGCAGAGTTCGGCAACATCCCTTCTGGTGGTGGTAGCGGAACCGGTCGCTTCCCTTACCTCGTCACTCCCCTTGAGGCCATCAAGACCAAGGCCAAGGAGGACGGCTCTTTCCTGCAGTACATCCTCGAAAATGAGGCCATCACCGGGTACGGCATCAGCTCCCTTTTGCCCAAGCCCGACGTTTGCCTCGTCTTCATCAAGTCCTGGGCGACCGAGGGCTTCGACCGCGAGACCATCTACCCGTCGTACAACGGCACGGGCGTCGTGAACACGGTGGCTGCCAGCTGCAACAACACGATCGTCGTCCACTACGGCACCGGTCCCTCTCTCTTCCCCTTCGCCTCCAACCCCAACGTCACTGCCATCGTCGAGGCACACTTCCCCGGCCAGGAGGCGGGTAACTCGCTCGTCGACGTGCTCTACGGCGCCGTCAACCCGTCGGGCCGCCTACCCTACACCATCCCCGTCTCCGACAGCGTCTTCCCCAAGACGCTCGTCAACTCGACCGACCTGGTCGAGACGACGGACCCGAACGCGTGGCAGGCCGACTTCACCGAGGGCAACATGATCGACTACAAGTACTACATCGCCAGCAACACGACCTCCAACGTCCTCTACCCCTTCGGCTACGGCCTCTCGTACACGACCTTCGAGGTCTCGGACCTCGTCGTCGCCGCCGCCACCGACGCCGCCATCGCCGGCACCACGCCCTCCGCCGACGCCACCATCATCCCCGGCGGCAACTCCGAGCTCTGGGACACCGTCTACACTGCCAACGTCACCGTCTCTAACACTGGTGACGTCGCCGGCGCCGCCGTGCCCCAGCTCTACGCCAACCTGCTCGCCGCTGGCGCTCCCGCTGGCACCCCCGCCTGGCAGCTGCGCGGCTTCGACCGCGTCGAGCTGGCGGCCGGTGAGAGCAAGACTGTCGGCTTCGAGCTCCGCCGCCGCGACGTCTCCTACTGGGACGTCGTCGCCCAGGAGTGGCGCGTGCCTACGGGCGCGATCACGGTCGAGGTCGGCTTCAACGTGTTGGAGAGGACGCTGAGCGCGACTCTGCCTTAGGTGGTTAAAAGGAGTTGATGATGACGATACTACATAATGATGTGGATGATGTATTTATATTTTCGGGTTCGCTTTCGTATAGCATAGCTCAATGTGTAATTTCTTATCGCCATGAACCGTGCCCAGCTTCGGCGGCTATCAGTGAAGTGTGATTGCATAAGAATAAAGGTCATTGCGAAGGTCTGGAGTGAAGATTTTGCCGGAAACGCAGCGGCCCCCAATCCTGCTGATAGGAAATCAATGACTCAGACTAACCCCGCATTCCTAAAATTTCCGTGTACAATGTCAGGCCTCCTTTAAACTCTACAGCAGAGCCCGTATTCTTTGAAGTTACGTTTGCGAGCATTTCACAGTACCGACCATCATCCTCATTGATATGTTGAGTTGTCTCGAGATTGTCACAACACTTTGCCGCAGGTTTACCGCCCGAGTCTTCACGAACGCTTCCACACGCATCAAAAACGAACACATATTATCCTGTACCTACAACAGTTTTGCAGTGAAGTAATCACAATTCCACAAGATGGCGTTGTACGATCTGTCACATGCAAGCAGTACGGGTTATCTTCAGATCCAAAGCAGCATCGTAGAGCCCAAACCGGTTATTGAGATTGCTCTCAAGCTCGATGCCAGTCAACAAAAGGGTCTTCTTACATCATTTTCCAGCGGGGACAAAGTCGAGGGCGAAGTGCTTGTGACAGCTGCGGGAAAAACTAAATTCCACGACATAAAGATTGGTTTTGTCGGTATGTATTCTCATTGAGCCATCTACAACACTACAATCGGGGACACAGAAACCATTAATTACACTTAAAGTCTGAGTTTGGGTACTGATCAACATTTCCCCCAGGATCAAGCAATACCTTTTGTCAGAGCGCATCACGAAAGACTGGCACCCATACTTTCCTTGAGCTTGATCAACCCATAGCCGAAGCAGCACTGCCGAATCCACGTATTGCTGAAGCCGGCCGAACTTTCAAGATCCCTTTTACTTTCGTGATCCCAGAGAAGCTTCTGTCAGATGCATGTCGATGTTCCAACGAAGAGGTCCATAGCATGCACCTACAGCTGCCTCCAAGTATGGGTGACGCGGTGACTTCTGGGCATGGCGGCAAGCTTCGTGATGACTTCACGGAGAAGACAGCAAGGGTCTCGTATGCCATTAAGGTGACGATGCGCGAGTACAAGGCCGACGGCAAAATAGCCACTCTTGTAGAAAAGACCAGAAAAGTACGCGTGAAGCCCATTTACGAGCGCCGGCAAACTCTTCTCAGCGGATGCGAAAACACCGATTACCGACTCAGGAATGAGAGAACGATCCGCAAAAGATTTGGGGAGGCTTTGGGCGAATTAGCAATGGAGGCCCAACAACCGTACAGCCTACATCTGGAAGATACGCGCGCGGCGACCTACGACCCTCTGGGTGGGCAGGCAAGGGCCTTCCTTCGTTTCGACCCTGCCAAAATGGATAGCCCTCCACCAGATCTTAGCAGTCTGAAGAGCGAACTAAGAATCGTCACTTTCTTTGCTACAACGCCACGGGTCCAGTTCCCATGCCGCGACCAAGCTCAACGTGACACTTCTATGGACTTCAGTTCGGTGACACTACCACTCGCGTCTCGCTCTGTAAGCTCTGGACTGTGGACGAAACAGGAAGGGGAGGGGGGAAAACCGTTCTACACCGCAAACCTCCAAATTCCCATCGAGCTCCCGACAAACAAAACATTCGTCCCAACATTTCACTCATGTCTCATCTCTCGCGTCTATCGCCTCGACCTGTCCATTTTCACATCCTCGGTGACTTCCCTTACTATAAAGGTTCCACTTTGGATCCTTTCCGAGGGAGGTGTTGAGGGTATCGCTGAGAACTCTCAGCAGGGATTCGATGGTCACGCTGTGAGAGCGGGACAATATGGGAGCACAAGATCGCCGGAGATGGAGTGGATGCAGGACCCGAGTACACCACGAAACCTCACACCACCACCCGAGTACTAGGGGAAGGAAAATGGTGGGCTGAAGAGACTCAGCATTGGGCGCATTGGAAAATGTCTCACTGGGGTTGTATTGAGAGTATTATCGGAATCAAACTGGGTGTGGTATTGCAAGCTTACGTGGAACATACTTGATAAGTATAGCTAGGTGTTGTCGTATGACTATCCCACTTTTCACAGCCCTATTATCCATGCTCAGCGTCCGGGGACTTGAACTTATTCAAGGATGTGTGACTGCCTTTTGTGGTTAGCTCGTAGGTGGAGCCAGTCGGCGTCAATCCCCGAAAACATTACATGAAGACTCATGGCCGCACAGAAAATTACGCTCGCATGTGTGAGAGGATTTTTCTGGCTTGAGGAATAGCAAAAATAATGGGCTTCAAAGTAGCACTAATCACTGGAGGCGGTATGTCGCTCTAGACCACGAAAGGTTCCCGGGGCTGATGAACACACGAACAGCAAGCGGCATCGGCTTGGCCACTGCAGAGGAGCTGGCAAAACAGGGAGGCTGGAAGCTTCACATCATTGACCTACACGAGGAGCGAGGAAAAGCAGCGGCCTAAGCTTTGCTTGACACGACTTTCCACAAAGTAGACATTAGCAATTATGCTGACCTCTGCGGCGTCTTCCGCAACGTCTTCGAAGCCGACAAACAGCTCGACTTCGCCTTCGCCAACGCCGGCACCATTGAGAGGAGCAACTTCTACGAGATCCATGGAGACGGCTCAGCACCACCGCCGTTGCCAGATCTCGCCACCATCGACATCAATTTGAGAGGCACCATCTACACCACCAACCTGGCCATCCACTACTTCCGCCTTTCGCCGCACAAAGGTGCAGGCGCCAACCTGGTCATGACGTCCAGCGCCGCCGGAATCTATCCCATGTACTACTCGCCAGTATATTCGGCGTCGAAGCGTAAGTTCTACCTACGGCTTGCCTCCTCATCCACCAGCTAAGCCGCGTCCAGATGGCATCGTCGGCTTCACGCGCTCAATCGCGCCGATCCTGCACAAGGACGGAATCCGGACGAACGTCCTCTTACCGGGGTTGGTGCGGAGCAACATCCTGGAGGAAGCGGCGTGGGCGGCGTTCCCTGCAGAAGCCGTCACGCCGGCGAAGCTCATGGCAGACGCGGTGCTGCAGGTCATTGGTGGCGGCGACATGACGGATGCACGCGGCGTGACGATTGCCGGACCTAAGCTGTATGGACGCTCGGTAGAAGTGGCGGTCGACCGGTTCTATTTCCGGGAGCAGCCCGAGTACTGCGATGAGAAGATGCGGGCTCTCATCGAGTCGACCGGCGACGATGCGCAGCTGGGGACGTTGGTGAGCGAGTGATATCCGTGGCTTTTGTAGAGAGACGTGAACTGTACCTAGGCACTTAGTATTCCGATGAACCCGAGCCCTTATTCTAGAAATGCTCACTATTGGATTTGCAGTAAGGTGGTTCTAGAATATTTAGAAAGTTAATGTCGCAGAATCGAAGACAAGATGTCAACATCACCTGCAGCGTCACCCACAGGCTCGCTTAAAGTGGTACTAGAACCGAAGGAGCACTTTATCATAGCCGTGAACGAGACGGATCCTAGTGCGACAAAGGAAACCGCGGTACACGTTGAGGTGAAGTGAGACCAAGGATGACCATACGCCTCAGAGCGCCCGGACGCGATGGGCAGCGTGGCCCTCACTTCACCAGATGAGCACCGCAGCTTCAACTACCGCAACTGACATTGTAGACGCGCGAACATCAAAACAGCCTCGGACGAACAAGCTGTCACTTCAGCTTCAGCTATGGCAATGGAGGCCGCAGATATGATATGAGCGAGGCAACGAAGAAATCAGCCAGTGGCACTACCTCAGCAGAATACCTCAGTGACGAACACGACAACCCTTCGGGTGGATGAGTCGCTTATACTGCTGCTCAGAAATGCCTTTGAATGAGGATGGTCTGCTCATCGGTTTCTGGTGGGAGGCGAACTGAGATGCGTGGGTGACGAAGCATCCGAAGAAACTCGTCTCGGCGGACGGGGAGGATGTGACTAAGGTGCAGTACACCACGGACAGCGGCACTAGATTTCCCTGCGCGTGCCCACCACCAACCACCTCGCCACCTTCGCCCGTTCGAGCCTCACTCGGATTAGAGAAAAAAAATGGCAAAAAACCTGCGCCTGCCCATCCGAGACGTAGCTCGGCGGACGGAGAGCTCTATGGCCCTCTTGGCAGGGAAAACCCCCCAAGCTTGCCCAAGGCTTCATTGGGATTTTTATTGTGGATAGGCAGCTGCTCTTTGTTTTTGTCCTTTTCTCTTTTCGACCTATCACAAGTGAAGTTAGCATGTTCTTTCGTTTAAATGGTAACTAGAGTAGTTACCACTCTGCCACGAAACCGTGGCAGTGCCCTGTGGGCGAAAGGGAAGGCTGATCTGTCGATTTATATACGTCATGCGGCCTCGAACCCTCCGCCAAGTAATTGCCTACACGTAACAGCATGTTCTCCCGGTCACTTCACTCACTCGAGAAACATCCAACCAACGAAGTAATCTTTACTGACTGCTCTTTGTGCAGCGGGGTCTATTCTGCATGCGTCTATCAATAATACGGGTTACAAAGGGAGTCCTCGTTCCGATGTGGGGTTTCCTGCAGATCTATAACACTTGTTGTCCTTCTTCGTAGAATCTCTTCCCACTCTTTCAGGTTCTCACTGTCTGTATCGCACTCTATCTTTGTGGTACTAAAATCAAACCAAATATAGTCCTCTCCTGTGTTGTTCCGTGAAGTGTTCTCCCTGTTCTCGCTCCATACATGTTCGCGTATCGGTTCAGGCCAGGCCTCTGGCACAAGGGCCCGCAGAGACTCTTATATCGAATGAGTGGAGTGTGTTTGCCTAGGTGCGCATCTCCGGTGACGCTGTGATAGTTGTCGGGTGCTTTCTGCCCAAGATCCACGGGCGTTCTGCATGACTTTGGCAATCTGCAGTTGGTACACTCGGAGTGAAGCACTCCTGGCTTTTTTCGATGGATGTTCTCTTCCTTTGTTCCAAATCAACCCTCGGTACGTCAAATATTGTCAGGAATATCTACTCAAAGCCACAGTGGATGGCAGAAAATTTTGCCCTTCCATAACCCGTTAGAGATGCTACTGCCTTCGTGGGTAGTTGAGGAGAACACAGGCTTTAAAAGCCCACAAGAACATCCACAAATCTACGAAAGTGAGATGCAGTATCTCTGGTAGGGCATGTTAGGAAGTGCTCATCTTCTCTTCAATCGACTGTAACGTATTCGAGTAGTCCTTTATTAGTCAAGATCATCATTCGCGGGTTTGGCCTGCCCGTTTGGCTCGCTGTTCTTGTCCTTTTCCACCTTCTCCCATTCTTCCTGCTTGGAGCCTTCGGTCTCGCTGGAGCTCCCGGTATCGACATGCTCGACAGGAACGAGGGAGAAGAGGATGACAAAGTAGACTTCCTTCGTCTCGAGGTTTCTCAGGACATATCTAAGAGTGTGAGTTCTTTGTCAGTCAGATTAACTGTTGGAGCTAAAGACCGAACAAGCGCGTGTTTTTGGTGGGGGAGTTCAAGCCAGACAACGTTTTAGGGACATACCGAAGGGGCTGACCATCCCAGTACTTGATGACAGGGATGGTAAGAATAGGAAGCTTCAGCGAGAACTCGTTGAAGTCCAGATAGCCGTTGAAGAAGTCACACGCGTAGGCACGATCCTTCTCGAAGACGAAGTCTTGCCTGGGCTGGAGCTGCTGGTAGTGCCTCTTCCTCTGCGTGTTGTTGGTAGGCATGCCTGACTTTTCGCGCACTTCCTGGCCGTCTGCCTGAGCACCCTCCTTGAAGATTATGGCGGTTTGGTCTCCTTCGCCGGTCTTCTCGCCGGCGCCTTCTGCGACCTCGTCGATGCTCTGATCCTTGCCGCCAACTTGTAGTATGTTCATGGAGCTCAAGATGGGCGAGTAGAGGTAGGGCTCGTCGGCGTATGGGTCGCCCTCCATGGTGGCGTCAACCCACCCCTTGACCCAGTTGAAGGCGGTGCTGAAGCCCCATGGCAAGCGGTCGCGAATAGGATGATCAAAGTCATTTCCGAAAACGAGTTTGTCGCCAGCGATATCCTTCTTCAGGCGGAACGAGTATGCTATGCTGTAGCGATCGCCGGTGTGGTCCGAGTGCTCGAAGTATGGCGATGTCGCAGGGGAACCTTGAGGCAGACCTTGGGCTGAGTTAGCGTACATGAGCTTCAGAAGTCAAACAAGACGTATTACCGCGGTAGTCCTTCACGCGGACCCAGACCTTGGCGTCGAGGTGCTCGGTTGAGATCCCAACAGAGTTGGCCGTGTTTACGAGCACTTCGGTGTGGTTCTTTTCGTCGTAGTCCGGACCAGCGGTAACTTTGAGGATGTATTTGGTGTAGTCAGCCATGGTGAAGAGGTTTCTCGGCAGGAAAGACCGTGGAGGTGGTGTGAGACAGTACAAGTGGACGTGGTGGACGAAAGATGCGGCCCGACTTTTGTGTCGAGAAAGAAAGCGGACAAGGGCTGATCATCCCCGCGACACCATGACGTCGTCGGGTCGATCTACCGCGCGCCACGTGCGAGATCTCGAGCGTTTAAGATTCCCGGCTTACTTCATGCCACGGATTATGAAAATGCTTGTTTCTCGTTCCATTCTACCCGAAACTCAGCACATTCATTATCATCATTCTCTATCTGGAGAGCGATTAACTGTGGAGCGGGGACAACAGCGAGGGTGCCGGAGCACAATGCGGCCTTGGCATTTGCATCGGAGCTTCTGTCGCCGACATCTCCAAACAGCGCGTCACCCTCGACGCGTCGTCTAGAACGCGACTCAACACCACTTATTCCTCGCAACGTCGGCCTTCTCTCCCGCCATGGCCCCAAATGGTAAATTTTTCAACCCATAGAGGGAATAACGTCTAATTAACTAATTGCAGATCGCGAGGAAAGACGCCGCATGCGCCAGCGCGGCGCCGGGTAAGCTCCACGCTCTTCCGCCGCCGCCGCGCCCCGCTTACAACCAGCAGCACGAGCGGTCTATCCGTGGGGAACTTTGGATTCACCTTCGGTGCTCCGGCTCTCCCTGCGCAACCCTCTTCGCGCCCAACCCCGAAAGCGCAGCCCCCTCAGCCCTCGTCGCATCGCACACCAGCTGCCGCAGCAGACCCTCTACCTGCGCAACGCTCAACTCGCCGAACTCCTGCCTCCAATTCATCGCGCCGCACCTCGAATGCACTATCTGCACAGCGCTCGTCTCGAAAATCCCCGGCCCCGCTACCGCCGAGAGCATCCGCTCGTAAAACGCCAAAGGAACAACCTCCCGTTGCAGCGCCGGGCGGTTCTTCGGTTCGGACTAGGAGTGGGACACAGCGGCGTTCGAAGACGCCAAGCCGTGAAAATGAACAGGCGTTTGTGACTCCATCTATCACAGGGAAGAGGAAGAGGCCCAGTTCTGCCAAGCAAGTGCCAGAAAGCCAGCAAGATGAGCTGGAGCAGAACGATGAGGAGCACCAAGCATCTGCAGGGAAAACGCAAGGAAGTTCATCAAGAAGAACAAGCGGGATTATCCATGCGACCCCGGTAACCGTTGCGGCGGATGCGGAGGATGAGTTGGAGGATAACGACGTGGACCATACATTGTCGACAGGGCGCAGACCTCTGAGCTCTTTAAAGAATGTTGGAAGCGCTAGGGCAGCTTCGAGCCCTGGCTTGTTCGTCAGTCAAGATGAAGCCAGCCCTGTTCCTGCTTCGAAACGCTCTGGGCGACCTCGAAAATCCATCGAAGACCCCGGAAGCACTGTCGCCGAGCCGTCCAAGACCGCCGCAAAGAGACCAACTCGCAGAAGTTTACCGGCAGCGAAAGTTCACGATGATTTGACCGAGGATGAAGAAGTTAAGGAAGTTGAAGAGGACGAATTATCTGCGGATGAACTTTCTCCAGTCGCTTCTCATCGCCAACTTGAGAGCATTCAGGAGGAGGATGCAGAATCAGTTGCTTCCCAGCCCGAAGAGGAAGCTGCATCTTCTGGGGATGACACTGTGTCTCAAGCCTCATCATCCAATATTTCAGCGAGCAACGTTGCATCTCAGCGGAAATCTCGTGGCAGACCTTCATTGCCTAAACGTGCGGCGCCGGCTTCAAAACCACGGAAAGAACAGCCAAGTTCAGCCGGTCCAGCACAAAAGCGGCCTCGCCGCAACGCCGCCGCCGCCGACAGAGGTCCACGTATTCCTGTTACTGTTTATCGCATGTCAGCGCCCCGCAAACCCACTGACGACGCTTCCGAAATCGATGAGCTCGAGCTCCCTACACCGTCCGCGGTGGCCAATCCGCGCCTGCCTGCTGTCAACCCCGTCGATATCCTTGCACAGGTCACTACCGAACTCATAGCCCGCATGAACGATTCCCTCATTCGACAGGCTGCCGAAGTGGGCACCTCCGACAAGCCTCGCCGTGCCGAGCTCAAGCGCCGCTCTGGTGTCGTCCAAGCCTTCTCCACGGAGCTGGCCGACCGTCTCTTCGAGCTGACCGAGGCTGTCGATTCCGGGGAGGCTCTGCGCGTTCGGCTCAAGGCTGCTACGAAGGAGAAGGTTGCGCTGCGCTCGGAGTTCTTGGGTATCCGTAAGGAGCGCGAGCAGGTCGCGCTGCGGATGGATGCGGTTCGTCAGGCTCACATGGAGGCTGAGGCGAAGAGGCGGCGTGATGAGGAACTGAGCGATGCGCTATATGGCATCGAGACTGCTGTGCAGCGGGGGAGGGAGAAGGCGGCGCGGGAGGGCCGGGAGGATGAAGGCCCGCAGGTCAGCCCCTTGTGGGAGATTGAGGATGCTTTGAGTAATGGCGTTAGTGCTGTTGGTCCTGGAGGTGGCTTGTTGGATAGGGTGAAAGACTTCAATGGCTTTTTGGGTAGGGCGGCGGGTGTGCTTGAAGGGAGGTCATGATTTGGTTTTACGTCATTGTTGGATAGAGCGTTTAGTTGTATACCCTCATTTGTTGGATTACATTGGCGTTAGTTGAATCAAACTTGGATAGGGAAGAACTGCTGTCCTTCCAAATCATCTGCTCCTCTGAAATTTTTGTCTCTGCTGATTGCGCTTTGACTGTTCTGAGTAGTCTCGTCCAATCCATGGTGTCTGCACCACGAAGAGCACTTTAAGTTCCTACAAACTTCTCCGATTTGTTTTACGCTCCTCTCACCTCCTTGATGCCAATGTCTTTCTTCTGATCAGCCCGCCCTGCACCGTCCTCCTAGGTGCAGCGGTTTCCTCGTCGCCATCTTCTCTCAACCCCGCAGTCACCCTCTCGGTATAAGATACCGGTCCTACAACGCCTCCACGCCCTCTGCGGCCCCCAGAAGACCGGTTCCCGCTCAGCATCCGCAGACACCAGCTCCACGCATTACCCAACTCACCAGCCCCGATAAGCCCCAGCAAAATGATCAATATCGTCAGCGGTATACCCGCAGCCCAAAAGACCCACTGCCGATGCGGCATATCGCGAATATCCGCCGTATTCATCCCCATAAACCCGGACACAAACGACAGCGGCAAGAACACGATCGTAACGATAGTAAACGCGTAGATGGCAGCCTCCTGGCGGTCCTTGTTGGAGTCGATCATCTCGAGGCTGGCCAGGCGCAGCGCCTCGGCGTTCTGGCGCATGCCGGCGAAGCCGCGGATCTTGGAGTCGACGGCGGCGGCGCAGTTGTCGACGACGTTGGGCGCGACGGCGTAGGGCGCCGAGAAGAGCGTGCGCCCCGCGTGCTGCTTGCGCTGCTCGAGCGCCAGGCCGAAGTCGGTGAGCACGGTGAGTTGTTGGTTTAGGACGTTGGTGATGGCTTCGAGTTCTTGTTTGAAGGCGTTGATGCTTTTTTGGTGGGCGCGGTTGAGTGGGTCTTCATCCATGCGGTGTTTCTGGGTCGTTTGTCAGGATGGTTGCGGCTAAGAGAGAGAGAGAAGCGGAGAGGGTGGGATGGGAAGAGGGAGTGCGGGATTCGACGTACCAGTTGGTAGTAATAGTCACGATACGAGGTGAATACGTCAGGTCTCATGCCGGTGAAGTCCATCAGAAGCTCTTGTGTGAGCAGGCTCAATATGCCTAAAGGCATGGCAGCAGCTCTGTTCTCTAAGGGCTTATCTTGGAAGCTGCGCAGAAAGCTGGGCAGACCGCTAACCAGTTCGTTCTCGGAGCGCTCGAGATGGTGGTCGAATGCTGACATGTCGGAAGGTTTCCAATGACAGACGGCCAAACATGTGTGGATCCAGGCCACAACGAACTTGTCTGGAGGGTTACTTTGAGATGGCGGGGGAACTTCGAGGTCGGATATGTTTTTGGATAGGTCTCTCAAGCGCTTTGCATAAGTCGAGATTCTGCTGAGCTCTTCAATGTCTGAGAGCTTGTCCTGTGGAATCGGTCTATTCAGCATACGGTGAATAGCTGCCCAGAAGCAAGCTGCTGCTGTGGCTTGGCAGTCTAGCGGAAGGAAAAACTGAAATATGTCCACGAAGTCTTTGACAAACCCAGTCACTGATTTCTTCCATTCTAGTGCCGCCTTTGTGGTTGTGGGAAGCGCTTCCAAAGCATCTCTCACAGACTGGTACGAAGATTTGTTTCGCTTTCCCTCAATGAAAGCTGATTTGTACTCTTTTCGATCGATCGGATGGCTCTCTCTAAGCAGGAGTTTTTGAACCTCTTCCAACGCCTTTCCCAAGCGAACTGCGCTTACGGAGCGATCTTCGCTATTGCTGGTGCTAGCCAGCCAGGTAAAAACGTGGAACTGGTCCTTGGTGAGCTCCAAATCTGGCAAAATCACCGGTACGCTCGATGGTTCGGAGACCAGAGTCTCAGCATCATCATCAGAATAGCCTCCTGGGGTGATCGTTGGTATCCTCAGCGAGTATCCGCTGTCACTGGAGGATTTGTGAGCAAAACTTAAATGTAAATCTAACACCAACATACCCGCTGCTGATAGATATCCGGACTGTTGTCCGTTGCGCTTTCTCGTAAACTTTCGGCCAGTCATTCTCGCTCAGCACTGTGCTGTCGAAGGTGATGGTGTATGAGAAACCAGCTTCGATGTCGTAGTCAACCATGGTGTCAAAAAAGTTTGAATGTAGCATCTGTAGAACCGAATCAGAAATAACCAAAAAGAAAATTATATGTAGGATGTGACTTACAAACCATGTTTTGCACTTCTCCAATGGTAAAAGCCATATGTTCATGCACTCGTCGGATACCTCGATATACCGAGGCGTTGATTTCACTGCATCAGCCGCCAAAGGTTGTGAGGTGATTGTGATTGAATCTCGGGCAATCGATGGTGGATCTTCGCCCGAGCAAGTGATCATGAACTCTACAAGAAAAATTAGCAAACGACCCGGAGGAATCTTCTTCATTGATAGTATGATAAATGTCGTGTCTAGCTATACTCCAAGCATTTGGGGCAGTTGTTACATATGGAAGACGATGGCTCTGCAAAACATTCACGGGATGCGAGCCTCTCACGCAGATTTTGAAGAAATAAAGAAATGCAAAACTCACTATCGTCTACGATGAAAGCCCAAATCTGACGCACATGAAACAGAAAGTCTTTCGGCGTGTTCGGAAGCTGGGTCACGGCCTGCTGAAGATCCTGTGCTCGACTGGCTGAAGAGAACAGTGTCTGTAACAGCGTCCTTTTCGGGTGCGCTTTGGAGTTCTCTGGGAGCCTTGGTGGTCCATACTTCTCAAGCGTGAAGAAAGGCAAACAGATGAAAGCAACGCCGGGAGCTCCCGTAGTGTCGTCAAACTCTTGGTTGAAATTAGCCATCATGTATCTTCCTTGCATCCCATCCTGTGTTAGCAATGGCTTCTCGAACTGTCTGGAGATGCCTCTCAGCACCTTCGAGACGTATTTCTTCTCCTCCTGGTTAAGTCTGCCTGCCTTCTCCACCCGCCGCTTTGTACTGTTAGCTATTGCTGCATTCGTACCTTTCAGAACTTACCGTGAAAGCCTCAAAGTTCATGAAATCCTGTTTGACATGCACCCACTCATACAGGCCCCTTCTCGCTTTTCCCCTCGTACCTACTCCTTTCTCCATCTCCACGACTAACTCTGCCACCGGATCCTCTCCACCACTCCCATTCTCCACCCACTGCGAGAAAAGTACTCTGTACCTCGTCTCATGCGCACTCCCCACAGCACTCGTCGCATCAATGCCATTCACGCCTACGGCCCCTCCCCCCTCCTCCTCTTTCGCATCACTCACATCCCTATCACCTTCCCCTTCTTCCCCCAACCCTGTCGCAAACACCCCAAAAACATCCTTACTCCGCATACTCAGCATAAAATCCCCATACCGCATCCCCTCACGCTCCTCATACCCCAACCCACCCCCTCCGTCCCCGAACAGATCCTCCGGCGACTCCTCAAACGCAATCTCCTCCCCATACCGCTCCGGCATCTCCGCCGCGACTTCTTCTCCACCAGCTGCGGGTGCTTCTGCGACGACATCCTCAGTCCGACCTACCCTGACGGAATGCCTCGTCGGAATCGTCGTCGTATAGGTCGTGTAATCGCGATACCTACGAATCCTAGACCTGGACCTGGGCCTGGACCTGGACCTCTCGCGTCGACGCCGAACCTCGCGATACTCGTAGTCATCATCACCACCACCAGCACCAACAGCACCGACCTCGTACTCACGGTCGGCGGCGGCGGTGCGGCGGTTGCCGCTGCTGCGAGGCACGTACTCGAAATCCACAGGCAGGTCGGCCGGCGCTTCGATGATTCTGTAATCGTTGCGGGCGGTGGCGGCGGCGATTGCATCGTCTTCGGTGCGGCGCCGACGACGACCGTAGTCGATGTCTGCAGCAGCGGTTGCGAAACGCTGCTCCGGCCGCGTGCGCGTGACGTGGCGGCCGCCGTGGTCGCGGCTGTAGGGTGCAGGGCATGCGCCGCCGCTGCTGTTGTAGTAGTGGCGGTGCGAGGGGCGGGATGGTGGTGGTGATCCGCGGCGGCGGGACATGATGGCGCGCGAAGGTCCCCTTGCGTGCCTCCTGGTTTTTTTTTTTTTTGGCCGGTTCGGGGTCGCTCTTTGGGAAAGTGGACGCGTGTGCGGTAGGGCGGAAAATGGAGGCTGAGAATGGTGGCTCGGCGGCGATTTTAAGAACAAGGCATCAATTTAGCCCCCGAGAAAATAATTGACGACCTAAATCACTCCTGCAGAGCTGATCATGCGGCTGACTGGCTGTTGCGGCTGACATTGGTGGCCCCAGCCCATCATTTCTATCCCCAGCCACTTATACTGCCGTTTATCCGCTCCAAAAGCTGGTGGCTTGCTTTAGCGCCTCTGTTAGAAGCGCGATCATCAGCCTACACGAGAGCTAACAAGATGATCCTCACCGGAGAGGAAATCACCAGGCAAAGGTTGCAGAGCGAGATCGCTATAAACCTGAGATGCATAATAGCTTGCCATGTCTTCAGCAATCAAATATTGTGAATTAATTTGATCATATCCGAACAGACCGTACCAGAATTCTGCTTGATGCAAAAGGAAATCATGCAATGCTCCCGTTCCACATGTGCTGTGGTTAATGCAGCTGCCTGCCATGCTGATGGTATGCTTGTAATAATCAGGGTATTCGCCGCCCAGCCTAGCGCCCTAAACGCCATGAATGAATGTTTGATCACGAGATTCAAAGAGCTCAGATGACTGTCAGGGTGCTGACAGTATCATTCTTCAGCACTTCGAAGATCAAGCCCGGGAAGCCAAAGATCTCACTAATGCCGAACGTCGAGTCAACGGCTGGCGCAGCAGATGCTCCGCCAGAGCGGCCCTTCTTCTTCTGAACTGGTGAGCTTGTTGCTTCCTCGAATCCACCAAGGAGCTCGCAGCTGCTGCCTGGACTGTCGCCCCAGCCTCGGTTTAGTACCATCCCGCGCTGCATCGAGCGTTCTTCCTCTTCTGTCGCACATGCCGACTTGAAGGCTTCACAAAGACGGCCCTTGACGTCCGTAAAGGACATTTCGGATGTAAGAGATTCTCTATACAGCTCTGTCGGGACATGCTCAAGCGTCCAGCGGCTCCTTCGGTGGCGGTTGAAAGGATATGAACCAGGAACGTTTCCGTGGAAGATGACTTTGGTTGCAACTAGGTTATTTCTGGAGTTCGGAAAATCCTTGGGAATCTCGCGGGGCTCATGGTGTGAAGTCGGCGAAGCGGTGGAAATTGCAGTCGGCCTCGAAATGAGTACATCGAAGCCGTGGTGGAAGTAGTTGTAGAAATGTTCTACCGATGTTGAGTCATCTGTATCCAGGTAAACTTTCCCACCATCCTCAGATCCCTCGGACTCTTCTGGTTCAGAGCCCGTGAATGATTCATGGTCATCAGTGTCAGAGGATTCGGCATCTCCGTATGCCATCGAGCCAACACTGTTACTGAGAGCATCTAGGGTGTTCTGCTTGTTTCCATGAATGGAAAGGCGGTTATCATTCTTGCGATAGATGGCATCCGGCGGCCCCAGTTCGGTGATCAGATCCTGCGGGGTGGTCTCGCTCAAATTGATCCAGAAGGGTGGGCTGGAGCGCCTGACGAGTTCGATACGGCCTTCACCGTAGATTCTGGCGACTTCTATATCATCGGCAACATTCGCCTTGGCCGCAAGCTCCAGGGATCTGGGGTTGGGAGGAGTATGGGTAAACAGAGTACCCCGCGCTTTGGACCAAGACTCGCCGTGGAAGATAGCCATGGATGTAGCTGCAGATGCGGCATGAGACGACAACAAAGAGACGAAGTCTTTATCGGCAGACCATGAAGAAGCTAGCAGAGGGAAGTTGAAGGCAATTCCAGGGTATGATAAGACGTATGTTCCAACTCCCTTGGTATCGTCAGCAGCGGGAGGGATATACTCTCCAGCATACGTCGGACCAAGCAACCTGTCGTAAACATGGCGAAAGCGAGGACCTGTCGGGCCAGCTTGGGCACCTAGAGCGCTGACAGCACCTTCTCCGGCCTTCACGACCTCGGTATTCTTGTAACTGAGCTTTGTCTTGGTGAAGTCGATGACCTCAATGAGCCGTAGGCGTTGGTCAGGGCCGTCGAAACGCAGGCGGATGCCGTTCTCTGGTAAGGTGATGACGACTGGAATGCGCAACGGATACTTGGGATCGAATAGGAGCTGGATCTTGGGGTAGAGGGAAGGCTGGGCCTTGATTCGAGTGAGGATGTCATGGAGTGAGGCGCCAAGCGCTATGAGCAGTTAGTATCCGGCATGTGCAAGCAAGTCTGGGTGGGGAAACTCACTCATGAACCCCAGGGAGCGACCTGGGGTTATGGCGGTGGACGGCGGAGGACTTGACATGTTGAGGTGAGCTCGGGGTGTTGAGGAAGAAGCGTGGGAGTGAGAGGCGGGAGCTGCAAGCTGCGGGCGGGACCCTGAACGCCCCGCGCCTATCAACACGTCGACCACGTGCAGCGTCCACGCGCACTAGTGCCCTGTCAAGGCTGGAACCAACCAGGTGCGCAGCTGCAAACGCGAGATCTATCTGATCTCAACCTGAAGATAGCTGCGGGACCGAGGGTTGAGGGGCGATATTGGCCAGAGGGAGATGCAACCACGATTGGCGAGCTCCCAGCCTGCGGCAAGGAAGACAAGGGACGCGGGGAATGACTGGCCAGCTTTAGCGACGCCTAGAGATTGGCTTATGTGGTGGTGATAAGCCGCGTTTACGCAGCGCAAGCGTAGACACTACCACAAGGTCCAGGAGAAGCACCGAGATGTCCGTGAGGGGCAGGAGAGCGGTGCTGGTGCTTAGGGCGATGATGTCGTTGCTCGGTTGCGGCCGGCGACCCTGACATGGCCGCTTATCGATTAGGCCACTCACTGAGTCATGCCGACGTTTCACCGCCGAATTCCGTGGGTTGTTCGCAGACCGGCGCGCCACGCTCATACGCGGCTTGCGAGATATACTTGGCGATAGATGGCCTATGGGTTGTATATAACTCGTAAAGAGCGGTCCGGGCGGGTATCTGAGAAAATCCGTGAAAGTTGTGTTGTCGTGGGTCGGCCACGCGAGTGTTTACTTTTCGCCTAAAGCGGCAGTCGCTGCCAGGGTACACGAAAACAAACCCGTCGCTTCCCGTATAGCAACTCCGCGCTTCGACACTGCAACCGCGACACTAACACACAGCCTGACCCCACCAAACCCCTCCACATTTTACAATGGCAGGTCCCTCCAGACCTGGCCTTCCCGCCAGCAGGATGAACTCCATGCGCCCGCCCACCGCGCGCAGCCTACAAAGCCTCCGCGCTCAAGCCGGCACACCATCTGGTCGTGCATCGCCCGCCGAGTCCATCGCATCCGTCGCAACAAACGCTACCCGTGCCAGGTCGCCCGAGTCGCGTAAGCGCAAGGACCGCGACTTCGATTCGAGAGTAGATACCAACATCAATGTCGTTGTGCGCTGCAGAGGGCGCAATGACAGAGAGATTCGTGAAAACAGTGGCGTCGTCGTTTCCACAGATGGAGTCAAGGGTCACAACGTCGAGCTCTCCATGGGCGCTAGTGCCCTGAGCAATAAGACCTATAGCTTCGACAAGGTCTTCTCACCAGCTGCTGACCAGCAGATGGTTTTTGACGAAGTTGTTGCGCCCATTTTGGACGATGTGAGTGCTGCCGGTACAAGCGCTCTACACGCCGCTTATTGATGTTCGCAGGTTTTGAACGGCTTCAATTGCACAATATTCGCCTATGGTCAGACGGGTACTGGAAAGACGTACACCATGTCCGGAGACATCACCGATACGCTGCCACTACCCGACGCCGCTGGTATCGTTCCCCGTGTTCTACACACCTTGTTCGAGAAACTTGAGAGCGCAGAATGCGAGAATTCTGTCAAATGCTCTTTCATTGAGCTTTACAATGAAGAGCTTCGCGATCTGCTCGCCGTCGACGACAACATCAAGTTGAAGCTGTACGAGGACAACAGCAAAAAGGGACATTCTGCAACTGTGGTCCAGGGAATGGAAGAGTCACACATCAGCAATGCATCCAAGGGAATCAAACTGCTCCGCGAGGGTAGCCACAAGAGACAAGTCGCCGCGACCAAGTGTAACGACTTGAGTTCTCGGAGTCACACCGTTTTCACCATCACAGTCTACTTGAAGCGCGCAACTGAGACCGGAGAGGACTTCGTGAGCGCAGGAAAGCTGAACCTGGTCGACTTGGCTGGCAGTGAAAACATCCAGCGCAGTGGAGCAGAGAACAAGCGTGCAGCTGAGGCCGGCTTGATCAACAAGAGTTTGCTTACTTTGGGACGTGTCATTAACGCTTTGGTTGAGAAGAGCTCTCACATTCCTTACCGCGAGTCCAAGTTGACTCGACTGCTGCAAGATTCCTTGGGTGGACGTACGAAAACATGCATCATTGCTACGCTGTCTCCGGCAAAGAGCAACCTTGAGGAGACCATTTCTACACTGGACTACGCTTTTCGCGCCAAGAACATCCGAAACAAGCCTCAGGTCAACCAGATGGTTTCTAAGAAGACTTTATTCAAGGAATTCACCACGGAGATCGAGAAGCTGAAAATGGAACTCATTGCCACCAGACAACGGAACGGTGTTTACCTTGCCCAGGAAACATACGAGGAGCTTACGACCGAGAGTGAATCCAGGAGGATCCTCGTCCAAGAGCAGAAGGATAGGATTGAGACCATGGAAACAAATCTCCGGAACAAGGTCCAAGAGCTGTTCAATCTTACTAACAATCTTGCCTCGCTCAAAAAAGACAACGAGGCGACCAAATCCATTCTGGACGGCACAAAGAGCATCTTGGAGAAGACTGAAGTGGTTTTGGAGCACACCAGACAGAACCTGTCTGAGGAGGCTGCTTTGAGAAAGGCTCACGCAAAGACCGAGGAGGAGCTTGCCAACATTGGTCAAGATCTCATTTCGACCCTTGGCAAGACCACCTCTGACATTGGTGGTCTGCACTCTAAGCTCCGCCGTAGATCTGATCTCCACGCCGCCAACCGACAGCAATGGGGCTCCTCCCAGGCTCAGGTTGCGAGCACCACGAACATGGTTGACGAGCGCATTTCCGGCTTCCAATCACATCAACAGGAGCTGATGGCTGGTCTTGCTCTGCGGATGCAGGGCTTTGTGCAAGATGAGTTAGAGAAGCTCGGGGTCTCCCAGGCGTTCCTTTCAGAGAAGATGACAGCTTTTGAGCAGTCAGAAAAGGAGGTTAATGAGCAGACGGCCAAGTCCAAGGAAGACTTGAATGAAGTGTTGGAGGAGATCAAACTTCTCCGCGAGGACGTCAAACAGAAGGTCGGCGCTGGTTTGAATGACCTTTCTGCAGCCGCAGAGAGAATTTCGGCGGGAATTGTGACAGAGCTCGAGGCTTTCCACACCCAACTTCATTCGTCTTACGCAGCTCTGGGCCGAGACTTCAAGAGCACCTTTGACGACCTCATCAAACAGTTGAACGAGCAACACACGGAGGTTGACACTCTCCGGAAGCAGATGTCTGAAGCCAACTTTGAGATCCTCGCAGCTAACAAAGCTGCTCATGCGAGCGTAGTCTCTGTTGTTGAAGAGGAGAAGCAAAAGGCTGTTGCTGAGCGTGAAGAGCTTCTGGCTCAGATGGCTGCCCTGATGAAGTCGACTGCGGCTGCTCAGGAGCAGCGCCTGGCCAAGCGTATCGCCAACGTTGGTAAGGACCTTGACACTGCCAACACCACGTTCGAGATGGCTGCAGAGAGCTACAACAAGAACATGGATGGATGGGTCAACAGGGCGTCCGACTTGGTCACTGGGGTTGTCAAGTCTCGCGAGAACGTCAAGACCAAGATCAAGGCCGACTTTGCCAGTGCAAATGAGCACACTGATTCCCTTCGTCAAACCACCGCTTCGGTGCATGACTCAACGGTCAAGATTGTCAACAGCCAGATGGAGAACATGGATTCCCAACTCCACTCACTCGATGACATTGTGGCCCGTATTCGGGAGCAGAATGAGGCGCATCACACCAGCCACACTGAATCTCTGTCTGCTCTGACGTCAAATGTCCAGGCTTCTTATATCAACATTGGCGAGCACTTCAACACGTCTTTCTCTCGCATCCAGGATGTCAGCTCGGACATGGAGGCTAAGACAGCAACTCTACAAGCTACTCTGCCTCTGCTGGCTGAAGATGGAGAAATCCGTGGCCCACTCAGAGCTCTTCGCGAGGATATCGAGCAACAAAGTCTGCAAGACTACGCACCCACCGGCGAGACTCCGCAAGTCACAAAATACGCATACCCAACGACTCTCCCACGCACCGAGGCACAGGACTCTTTCCTCGCCAAGCTCCGGGGCAAAGCTCCCTCCAGCCGCTCTACCACCGCATCTCCCCAAAAGAGTCCGACGAAGCGCATGGTCTTCACCGACGCCGCCCCGCCCGCAGACGAGGAGCATACCACCACTTCTCTTCCCGCACCCTCCGCTCGTCCTACAAGCGCTGCAAGCGATACCAGCATCACCGGCGGCCTCCGCGAACTCGATCCCAACACCATCAACCCGTCTGCAGCGGCAGAATCGGCATCTGCCCCACCCACTGTCGCACTCACAATCGGCTCCCCGACTCTTGCGCCGGTCGCGCCGACACTCAAGCGCCAGTTCTCCGACAAGACGGAAAGCAAGCTGCCGATGAAGAAGAAGCAGACTCGCATGACCGTTGCTGGCGCCCAGGGTGTTGCTGATAGGGAGAATCTACCGCAGGGTCAGGACTTCAGCAAGAGTGTTGGCATTCCTGGCAGCGGGAGGAAGCTGAGGAGTCAGGGCGGTACTGCCGCGTAAATAAACAAGGCTTATTCATTGTACATTTATGGCGCAGTAGCGATCGCCCTGACGGGGTTGAAGGGGGTTCACGGCGTTTTATTCGTGGGTATCATGGTTCGTTGGGATAGGATTCGTCGCCGTTTCGCTCCCTTTAGCTCATTTCTTTTGTCGACTGATGGACAGGTTCCTTGTGTCAATCCTTGGGTGGAGTTTCTTTGCATCGGTGGTGCTCGGGGGTAGGTGTACAATTCTCTGGATAGCGGATACCTTTCCGACTTTTGAGGGGCATTTCCTTGGCGTTGTTGATGGGTTTTGTGGGACTGAGCAGGAGGCTAATATCGATTACTGGCTTTCGTGACATTGCATTCTGCGGCTGGCGTGATGTGCCTGACGTGTTCGGTCGATTTGTATCGTTCCACATCGCAGAACCTGGTTGGTCATTATGCGACCCAATTGAGAGCACAGCTTTGTCAGCGTGTGGCACAGCTCTGCCATCTCAGCAGGCAGCAAGATTCCGTGCTTCTACTTCTACTGAGTCTTCCTGACCGGTTTCTATGTCTTTGCAGGCTCACAGTTCATCGACTACCTTCGAGATTTGCTTTCAACATTACCACTTACGGCCACCATTCGGGCCCACGCTTGCCGGTTTGTTCTTGAGTATTCACGTAAGAATATAGGCCCCCAGGATGGAGGCCATTGATACAAGCCTAGCCATGATCCCGGATGCGGGCCACCGCCTGCCCGACTTCAGCTACCAATATTCCACAACGATGCCTCCTGGAGGATCTCGTCGTTGCCGGGCTTGCTTCTCTCTGTATTATCAGGATCCTGAACACTGTCTCCGAGTCATCCCTGGCCCAGGTCCCTGTGTCTCTTTTGGCGTATGGACTACAAGTGTCAGGAACATGCACCTTCAAAGTCGCTTCTGTATCATCTGTCATCTTCTCTGTGTCTTAATTGCTGGATTACCTAGCCGTTTCGAAGAGATAGAGCTCATGACAACCTACAGGTGCGCATGTTCGGTTAGAGTGGCGGGGGTCGAGACTGAAGGCTTTCTTCTCCCGGAACGTGGTATCCGAGCCTGTAATATCATTCCTGGGTCTAAGACTTCCAGAGCCGACCATATTGACCCAGGTTTAATTCGCGGATGGATTGAAACATGCGAGAGGGACCACAACTCGGGAGAAAACCCTGCGCGCATGTCACGGCTGAAGGACCCAATTGACATTACTTTGATTGACGTAGTTGATCAACGTCTCGTACGCGGCTCGTCATCTATGCCGTTTTGTGCATTGAGTTACGTTTGGGGCGGAGTGGAAGGCTTCAGAACTACGTCCGCGAACCGCGCGGCACTCGAATTACCAGGATCTTTGCTGCAACCGCAAGTTTCGAGTCAAATCCCTCAGACGATCAAAGATGCAATGCGTTTAGTCTCTCTGATTGGAGAACGATTCCTTTGGGTGGATGCTCTCTGCATCCAGCAGGACAACGCAGCCATGAAGCACAATCAGATAATGCAAATGGACATCGTATATGGCCACGCTATGTTAACCATCGCAAATCTTTCTGGCGAGAATGCGGACGCGCCTCTTCCAAGAGTACCCAGCGAAGCAGACGTATTGATGGAAAGCGCATCTACTGATGCATCCATGAGACAGCAGGCTGGTCCAGTGAATAGGACAGGCTTGATTCCGGTTGGGTTTAATATCAACAGCACTGTTCGATGGTCGACATATGATACTCGAGCATGGACATTCCAGGAAAGACTTCTATCCCAACGTTGCCTATTTCTTGGAGAGTACCAATGCTTTTTCCGCTGTCATTCCCACTTACAGGCCGAACTTCCATGTCTCTATGGATATGACTACGCCTTGGACATCATACCAAACTGGAATAATCCCCCGCTAAGCTGTTTCGTCGATTTCTCGCTATTTCCTCGTGGACGCAAACAACATATTCACTTTGGTCATTTTCAACAACTACTCGAGGTGTATCGAATGAAAACGCTCTCGTGGGAGTCAGATACTTTGAACGCATTTTCCGGAATCCTTGCTGCGCTTACGGAGCAGAGTGGGTGGACCTTTCTTTCTGGACTACCTGAGCAGCACCTTGAGTTTGGACTTTTGTGGATTCCAGACGGTCAAGGACCTGTTCGCCGGATCGAGGGATTTCCCACGTGGTCCTGGGCAGCGTGGGATTGCGTTCCAATATGGGATCGTAACTTTGGGTATCCATATACCTTAAATTACACACAAGAAGGCCGGACGGAGATCGACGGCTTACAGACATTTCACCAAACCCCACGGCGGCCCATTTCCCGCGAGCCAACAGTGCCTATCGGAATTTCCTCTCCATCGGATGCTCGCGCCGGGATCGATGTGCTCGCCTTCCATGCTGACACAGTTCCTTCCCGGTATTTCGACTTGAGGTATAATCAGAGTCGGTCTGTGCTCAAGATCAAAGATTTTGAGGAGAGACAATGTGGGGTTTGCTGCCCAGGCTCCACAGCTGTTGAAGACGTGAACGAAGTGATGGAGGTTGTCCTCTTATCCAGGTTTCGAGTCGGAGAAAAAGGATCGCTTGATGATATATACATGACGTTATTTGATGAGTGGGAGTACCCATACTCTGATTGGGCTTTTCTCAACGTCATGTTTATTCGTTGGGAGAGAGGATACGCTGAGCGCGTGTGTGTCGGACTCATGCATGAACGTGCATTCATGAATGCGGGGCCAGCTCGGAAAGAGATATTGCTAGCGTGATGTCACATGAAAGATGTTATTTGAGTAGATAGGCACACACAGAAGGGCACCGCTCGATTTCCGCACAGTCAGCTCGCATGAACTTCTCCAGTATTCTTTACGCTGTCAAGCGTACGATTGCTAAAGTCCACCCTCTAAGATTTCGGCATTGCAACTATCCACTCAACTCTCGGCCTCTCCGATAGACTCCTTCAAGATCTCCCAGTCGTTCACCACCATCAGGATCTGGAATCCAAGTTTCGCCCTCTGCTCCTCGAACAAGTCATTCAGCTCGACGTTCCACACTTGCAGCAGCAAGTTCATGATGCGCTTGTTGATCTGAAGAATACCATCAGGGACGGAAGAGCTTTCCAGATTGTCAACTTGGGTTTCAGTCAAGCTTTCGTAGGAAGCGTCATCGTCGCTGTCACTGGAAGCCTCCTCAGTTGGGCTCATCAGGATACGCCTGTGCATTCCGTCGATGTCTGCTTGTAAGCGCTGGAGGGCAGTCTCAGCTCCACGAACCCAGTCTGGGTTGCTAACGTGAGGGGAGGTGGTGACTTCAGCAAAGGTGAGAGCCATGATGGCTATTTGGTATCCTTGCGAGAACTTGATGGTTGTTGTTTGGAGATAGAGGCAAATCTAAACAAGAGGGTTTAAAAGTTCTTGGAGCAGTGAAGAGCAGAAGCACGTGGGTGTGTGCGATTTCCCAAAGAGGGTTCTACGTGCATGTGGCAGCTCCTCGAGGCTGAAAAGAGCATTCCGCCACATGAGCATATCCGGATACAGATTTTCAGACAGTTTCGAGCACGTGGATGTAAGATCTAGTGAATAGGATAATTCATCCTGAGGAAGCCAAATCTTGCAATTGTAAGCAACCCGTTGTCATGGTCGAGGGAGGTGTTGAGCAATGGGCCAATAGGAAGCAAGAGCAAGCGGATTATGCAGGAAGCTTGGGCCCATCCAGGATCATGGGCCTTTGCGAGGCGTGATTGTCGCCGGCGTCATCGACCTTTGCCTCCATTCTCCTCTCACCTTCTCCGCACCTACTCCACGTTTTCGACGTCGCTACAATGGGCTCCTCGGCATCCAAGGCGTCCCGCGCCGCCAACAGCGCCGCCCGCGTCTACCCCACAGCCGCATCCAAAGCCGCAACGAACGCACCGAAGCCCACACAAGCCGGCCGCGCCTCGCAACCTGGTCCTACCGTGCGCCCGCAGCCGCAAGCCAGCGAGACGAGGGATGAAGGTACGCGCGCACCGTCAGATCCCAGTTCCACCAAATCCCCAATCTTCAAACAATCCTCTGGCACCACATCTTCATAACGGCCGCACCGCAGACTCTTCAGCAAACCCACCCACTAACCTCACCCGCGCCACACAGCCATCAACCTCGACGCCGCCGACCCGGCCTTCGCCGCCCAACTCCGCTCCATCGGCCCCGTCGAATCGAACCCCTACACCTCCAACTCATCCACCTCACCCTACGAACCGCACCGGCAACCGCTCGAACCCAGCACGAACACTAAATCTACTATGCCTCCCACCTCCTCGCGCCGCCACCCCGACGCCAACACCAGCAACCTCCCCGACTTCTCAACGGGGCCCAACCCCTTCGGCCCGCCGACGGGCGCGCCCATGCCGCCGCGCATGCACAACCCGGCGCTGACGATCCTGTCGGCGCGCGAGCGGCTGGCCGAGGAGGCGGAGCAGGAGTTTGCGAACCTCGGCCGCCGCGGGGCGCCCGGGCGGCAGTTTTTGGATGTGGTGGAGCTGAGGAAGGTGCTGGTGCTGCGGGATCAGCGCGGCGGCGGCAGGCCGGCCGGCGAGATTGAGCGGCAGTTGGGGTTGCGGGAGGGCGTGGTGGGGAGGCTGGGGCCGAAGGGGGTGGTGGAGGCGCTGTGAGTGGTGTAGGAGACTGAAATGCCCCCAAAAGAGTTAGGAATCTGCGCGACTTTTCTTCGCACTTGCTCCGTTGTGGGGAGGATTTTTGTGTGGAGAGGCGCGGAGAGGGTGCGGGTTGGTGGCCGATGTCGGAGAGGGCGTCGACACAAGACTTGAGCAGTGCATTCGGGATTGGCTGATGCAAGAATTCTTCGTCGGCAGCTAGGAGACGCGAGGGCCGGTTTGTGGCGTCCGAGACTGAGTTCGAAAAGTCACGCGGTGCTGCTGGAAGGCTACGAACGATTTCCGGCATAATTTGGTCTCAGCAACGGCCATGCTTGTGGCTTCTTTCCTCGGTCGAACTCCATTTCTGGAAGAACTGGCCGTATTCGATCAAGAACCACGGAGCAACCCGGCAGTCTTATTGGTGCGTCGTCAATCGAGCACCATGGGCGGCATATATCTCTACTCAGCAAAAAGCGTCAAAAGTGCTGATATCTCTCAAAGTACGAGAAAAAGGACTTTTCGTTACTAATAAGAGACTCTGTACGTTCGATATGTATGTATGTACTATACGAAGCGCCTCGCTCAATGATGATGATTCATGAATTGAAAGATGAAAGAGAGCATCTCCAACTTTCTTCCTATATTCTCATTTCTTAGCCCCATATGTCCCCTTCATTCTCTCTCCAGTTTACCACGCCGCATGCCCGCCATCTATCCTCAGGTCAGAGCCGGTCATGAAGCTGCTGGCATCGCTGATGAGGAAGACGCCGGCGCCGCGGTACTCCTGGGGCGCGCTGAGGCGGCCGAGCATGTTCTGGGTGGGCCAGTCGGTGCGGCGCTCGGGGAACTGCTTGAACAGCTCCTCGACCATGGCCGTGACGATGTAGCCCGGCGAGATGGTGTTGACGCGGATGCCGTACGCGCCCCACTCGGAGGCCAGGTTGCGGGCGAGCTGGATGACGGCGGCCTTGCTGGCGTTGTAGGCCGGGCAGATGAGGCCCTGAAGTATCGTTAGCCTCTCTTCTCCTTCTCTTCTAAGCATCAAGTATTATTCCAATCATACCCTATTCGCAATCGTCCCGCTCATGCTGGCAATCATGACGATGCTGCCGCCGTTGTCGAAGCGGATCATCTGCTTGGCGGCGGCCTGGGCCGTCATGAAGGCGCCCGTGACGTTGACCTCGAGCATCGTGTTGGCGTCCTCGGCGCTGTACTCGAGGGCGGGCGTCTCCTGCTGGATGCCTGCGGCCGCTATGAGCCCGTCCAGCCGCCCGTGCTCGTCGCCGATTGCCGCGACGATCTTGTTCAGCCCCGCGACGTCGCGCACGTCGATCTGCCGGTAGTGCAGCGCGGTGCCCAGCTCGGTGCGCGCGCGCTCCTGGATGGGGGCGAAGTCGGGCGAGGGGATGGGCAGGCGGTCGAGGGCGTAGACTGGTTTTTGGGGTCCCCGGTTAGCAATTCGGCGTCTCTCTTGAAAACTACGAGACTAGGGGAGAGCCTAGTTGGATGGTATAGTGGGTGAATGATCACTCTCCCACTGGAACCCTCCACGGAAGAGCGCGAAGAACGTAGAGAAAAACTCACCAGTCGCGCCCGCCTCCAGCAGCGCCTCCGCCTGCGTCAATCCCAACCCGCGCGCTCCACCGGACACCAGCACGACCTTGTCCCTCAGGCTAAACTCGGGCAGCCGCTTCTGCGTGCCCAGGTACGCCGTGGCCGTGCTGGCCTTGTCGGCGGCGGGCGGCGCCGGCGCATTGTTGTCGCTCTCGAACTCGCGCGGCGGCTCGCGGACAGCGGCGGAAGCGGAAAAGCTGCGTGTGGTGGTCGCCGATGCCCTTGCTATTCTTGGCAATATTGCTGGTGCGGATGCGGCCGTCGTCCTGCAGGAGAGGGTTGGGATTGATATTGCGGGGTGGCGTGGGGTACTAAGCGACGCGAACGTGCGGAGAAGAGCGCGGGGAAGGACGGTCGTCGTCGGCGAAGGCATGGTGGGATGGTAAGATCGGCGGACTACTCGTTCGGGTAATTGCTGTCGCCCTTGCGGAAGCCCTGCTGGAACACGGAGAGGGCAATTGGCTGCGAAGGACTCATTATGAGACAGGCGTCCTCGAATTATGTGAAGATTGTAGACGCACCTCTCTGAAGCTAAGTGGCAACGAGGAATGAGCCGCAGAGAGATCTCTTTTTTTTTCTTTTTTTTCTCTGGTTTCCTTCTCAGGCGCGCGGGATGCTAGAGAGGTAGTGTAGATCTGAGATGGACGCTCGCGTGCAAGCAAGATCAACGCAAGCAATCAGCAAGGGGGGCGAAACCCAGAAACAACAAAAAGCGATGTTGGAGATCAACGGCAGAACAAGGTGCAGAATGCAGGCTCTCTACGCCCCCAAGGAAGAGCGTCTTTGCTTTATATTTCTTCGCCCATGAGTAAAGCTAGCCAGCTACTTGCCGCGCTTCCTGATCCTCCGTCTAGACCGTCAGCGCAGCTGCATCAACCAAAGGAAAACCAGAGCGCCTCGTCACGCGGGCCCGGCAATCATTGAGTAGCCGCCGCGCCCGTTGCGCGCTGCCGACTCTCCCACCAAGCCACCGAAGCTTAGGGGGCGAAAAAGAGGGGAGAGCTCGAGCTACTATCCGTCCGGGATGCCCGAATTGGTTTCCGGTTGGGGGAGAGGAGGAAGGTCGTGTGGACAATGTCGTGGCACGGCATCAGCCTCGCTCTCACACCAATTGCCCATGACAAGAAACCCATCACTGGCACGTTCCACCCTCCCCGCAGAAAAGGGGAAAAAAGAAAAAGAGGATCACTGCCCGGAGAAAGGGCCTGACCCAGTGGCCCGTGGACTGGAGACGTGGTGCGGAATTTCCGCATTGGGCAATCCGCGATGCTGAGAGACACGACTCCGCCGCCCCCGCTGCTCTGCCGCCGCCACATCATTCGAGATTCTGGATTCTTTTGGGCTCCAGCACCCGAGTAATAATAATCGGGTCCTCGCGGCTCGAGGGAGAAGATCTCGAACGGTGAGTACGTTTGTGGGCCCCCCGCCGCAGCACAGACTACGTAGCCGCATATGTTGTGTGTAGTCTGGCTGTCTGGCCTTTCTAACAACATATTTGTGGTGTTGCGTGGTTGGTTAAAGTAGATATAAAGGTATCGTTACACAGCGCCTTCCGCCCGGGAATAACGGCAGCGGTAAGTTGTCCTGGGCTAATTCTGATGTGCAGTTGGATTTGCAGCAGTATGACATGCAGCGGCTGTCACAGCAACATCACCCATACGAACGGGAGCAGCGCTTAGGAATACTGTTTTAGGAAGTGGATTACCGGTCTAGAAGCTTGTCAAATGAGAGTGCGTTTTGGAAAACATCATGCGGACAATTTTATGTCGCTATTGGTAAATCTCCGCTCCGTGCATTTTGACCCCGGTACCTGGGATTCCTTCCGGATCACTTTATTGGGCCCTCTTCTTTACTTCTTAACTCCGAAGCCGGCGAAAGGTACACCCGTCTTATCCACGATGTATTCCATAGCTTGCAATACCTTTTCATCATCGAAAGGCCGACCCACCAGCTGCAAGCACACCGGCGCATCACGGTAGACCTCAGGGTCGTCTGTATCACCAAAATAAGTAAGTCAAAAAGGCCCGAATGAAGATCAAGAGCTTGGACAACATACAAAGCTGGTGGTTGAAGGCGTCCTGATCGTTGCGGGGCTGGTAGGCCTCGTCCTTGACATCGACTGTCGTGTCGACTTCTGTGACCTTCTGCAAGTCAGCATGTGTTGTTCTTGCATGGTCGATCCAACCAACTCACCGGGAAAACGAGCGACGGGTAGTCCAGCAGGTTCCATTGGCTCGTGTAGCCCCAATACTTCGCGTTGTCGACTGGAGGTGCGGCACCAGGTCCGACCGGGCAGAGGATGACGTCCACCATATCTGAACCGTCATCCTTCGTAGCTGTTGCATTCCAGTGCGCCGCGTACTCTGTGCGGTATTGCTCGCGCAGCTTCGTGAGACGCCAGACTTCAGGGATTGTGTAAGGCTCCTTGGGTACGTGCGGATTCTCTTTCAGGATGAACTTGGAGAGTGGCCGCCAGGGCTCGCCAGAAGCGTCGATTGCTGCTGCCTCCTCCCGGCCACCGTCGCTGAAATAGAGGCTTGCCTGAAAGTTATTGTCAGCTCTGAACTGAGCCTTCAGAAAATAGGAGTTGAAGCGGAAATCGATATCTTCAGCGAAGATATAGTCCGGCTTGGAAAACTCCAAAAGATGGAGGAACTTACAATAATTTCCCAAGCAAGGTCATGCTTATAGGGCGTCCACTCAACCACCTCAACCCCTTCCGCCGCCTTGAGCTTGTCCACAACCTCCTTCAGCGCCCTCAGCACCGGCGGGTGTGGCTTCACGACACCATCATCCCACAAAACACCAACCTTCAACCTCCTCTTCCCTTCCGGGTCCTTGGGCAACCAATCTTCGTCGTACCTCCACTTCATCGGAACCAAGTCGACCTGTCTCAACCACGGCTTGGAATCAATCAGCGTCTTCACAAACACCTTGATTCCCTCCAAGCTAGTGCTCAGCGGGCCGATAACAGGCACAATCTGCTCCTGCCCCTTCATCGTCGCCACGCCACCAGCCAGCGGCAGCCGGTGAGCCGTCGGACGGAGGCCCCAGACGCCATTGTTGGCCGCGGGGTTCCTAATGCTGCCGCCGATATCCGTGCCGACGCCCAGACAGCTGCCGCGAAAGCCGATCAGCGCGCCCTCACCGCCGCTGGACCCGCCGCTCGTCAGCGCCGTGTTGAACGGGTTGACGGTGACGCCGAAGATGTTGTTGGACGTCTCGAGGTGCATCAGCGTCTGCGGCTGCGTCGTGCGCGCGTAGAAGACGCAGCCGGCCGCCCAGAGAATCTCGAGGATGAGCGCCTGCGGCGCCTCGTGGTCCGCCCACGCGCAGAAGCCTGCGTTCGTCTTGAACCCGTCGCCCATGGCCACGTGCTCCTTGACCGAGATCGGCAGCCCGTGCAGCGGCCCAACGGGCTTGCCGTGCGTGGCTAGGTGCGCGTCCAGCTCGGCGGCGCGGGCGAGCGCGCGCGCGGGGAGCAGCTCCGTGATGCAGTTTGTGGCGTGTTGTGCTAGCGCGGCGCGGCGGAGGAAGGCCCGTGTAACGGTGGTCGAGGTCAGCTTGCCGGCGGCGAGCGAGGCCAGGAGGTCCTCAGGGGCCGTCTCGGTGATGGAGACTTCTTCCGAGGTGAGGAACTGAGAGGGTAGGGAGGTGGTGTTGAGAGGGAGTGTGTCTGGCAGCTTGGAGAGAGGGGGCTCTACGGCGGCGAGGGTTGTGTCGCGGTGGGCTTGGAGGGCCGCGGCAACTTCTTGCCAGGGCTTCCCGTTGGGGACAGGGACTGGAGAAGCCATGCTTGGTAGTATATTCAGCAAAAGGGTCAAGAAGTTTTGAATGACCGAGGTAAGCTGTTGAAGTGAGGGGATGAAGTGGAATGGCGAGCTGTAGGAACCCGTGGTGGAGTTATTTGAGGGGCTGGCATGGCGGTAACTGAGGGAAAAAGAGACAGCAGCTGATTACTAGTCGCAACTTTCTGCAGCTTGTGTAGCAATGCCCTACAGTGGGGTTCGAGATTGATAATGGAGGGGGACTGATAACCGCCGGGCCCAAGCTCCTTTCTCCTTATGGCAGGTACAACCGACGGAATCGCTTTCCCAAAGACACATCAAGTCTTCTAATAATTCGAAGCAGGCTGCTTTTCTGTGCTAATCAATTGAGAGTTAGGGTGATTTGATCGGGCAGAAGTCGGAGGTATCTAACTAACGGAGCGTCAGAAGGCTTGATGCAGGTACGGGCTATACAAGGATGCGAGCCGAGGAGCGGGATATCGACTATCGGCCTATCACGGCTTCGTCGGCATCAAGCCTCTACATATCTGCAACCTCTGCATTCTTATCTCAACGGCTCTTTTGACTCTCCGCCTGCAAAAGAGATTGCCATACATGTTGTATTCCGTAAGGTAGCAACTAGAAAGGCTTTGGCCTGAGGTTACCATGATTTTGTTTTCAATTCCTGCTGAAACAAATACTTTTGAGGTCTTGTACCGGACCTTTTTGACTAACCGAATACCATCATCTCCCTTCATCATGCAAGATCTCTCGATGCAGGCTAATATCCCCTCACTTATCACCCTCTTTCTCACGGAAATGACCTGCAACTAGGAACGCCAGTTCAAGGGCCTGTTTCTCGTTCAGGCGCGGGTCGCAGTACGTCGTGTAGTTCAAGCTCAGATCATCCTCATCAAGACCCTCGCTTCCACCAAGACATTCAGTGACTGCGTCACCCGTGAGCTCAAGGTGCACACCTCCGAGGAAAGATCCCAACTGCTGATGGATTTTCAGCGCAGAAGCGACCTCGGAAAGAATCGAAGAGAAGTGGCGGGTCTTGATTCCCGATTCGGTGGAGCGCGTGTTTCTATATTCAGCGTCAGCAACGATCTTGTCACCAGGGGCATTCGGAACTCACCCATGCATAGGATCGCACTGCCAGACTACGACATGTCCGCTGTTTCTAACAGCCTCAATGTGTCCTCCGAGCATCTTCTCAACCTTGTCCTCTCCGTAACGTGTGATGAGAGTCACCTTTCCAATCTCCTTGTCCGGATTGACGATGTTGAGAAGCTCAATGAGCTCCTCATTCTTCATCGACGGCCCGACCTTGATGCCGATAGGGTTCTCGATACCGCGGAAGTATTCGACGTGCGCGTGCGTCAGCTGACGTGTGCGATCGCCGACCCAAAGAAAGTGTGCGGCTGTGTTGTACCAAGCTTTTCCGTCCTCGCTAGGCGGGACCTGAGTTCGAGAACCAGCACCCCTCGGCCGAGGAAGACGGCGCGTCAGAGCTTCTTCGTACTCGAGCACGAGGCCCTCGTGGCTGGTGTAAAGCTCGACCGTTTCCAATTGACCGGCAGTATCGGCGCCGATAGTGCGCATGAAGCGAAGCGACTCAGTAATGCTGCTGACGATGTGTGAGTACTGCGCCTGCAGTTTGTCATCTCTAACATGGCCGAGACTCCAATCGAATGGATTGTGCAGGTCGGCGATGCCACTGGACAGCTGCGCCCTAACGTAGTTCGACGTGGCAGCCGAGTGAAAGTAAGCTTGAACAAGCCTATCGGGGTCCGGGTTCCGCTGGTCTTGAGGAAAGCCGTTCAGGATATCGCCACGGAAGCTTGGGATCTCGACACCGTTGACTTTCTCCATAGCGCTCGAGCGAGGCTTCGCGTACTGGCCGGCCATGCGTGCGATGCGGACGACTGGCTTGTTGGAACCCCAAATGAGGACCAAGGACATTTGGAGCAAGAGCTTGATCTTGGAATCAATAGGGCCATCCTGGCAGTAAGAAAAGAGCTCAGCACAGTCACCACCCTGCAGCAAGAAGGCATCGCCAAGAGCAACACGCTTGAGGTGTGAGCGGAGCTTCGTGATCTCAGTGGGCGTCACGATTGGGGGAAGATTGCGAAGCTTGTCAAGTGCAGGATCAAGGCCAGTCGGGTTGGGATAGGTGATGGCTTGCACAATAGGCTTTGAGCGCCAGGCTACAGGAGTCAGAACTTCTCTTCGATTATTAATGATTCTAGACAGGCATACACGACGGTGTCCATTCAGCTGCAGCCCCATTGGGCGCGGCCGAGTTCTCAGTTGAATTGGTCATTTTGGTTGAAGCGGCTAGTCAATTCTCGAGTCTTTCCGGATGTGCTTGTAAACAGGGGACTCGTTGCTCCGCGCGGAAACTTCGGCTTTCTCGTCCTGTACCGGTGTTAGTGAGTTGCAGAGGTGTCTTTAGTAGTGTTATGTACGTATGCGTCGAAGCCTATCTCCTCTTCTTTACGGCGAGCGTCTCGACAGATCGCAAGAGCCACCGTCTTTTCAGAAGGGTGAAGAGACTCGTAATGTGCACGATCTTTGCGAACTTCGCGCCACACGAGGGCCAGGATGAGGAAGAAGGCAAGAGGGACTGCGAACGAGTGCAGGCAAAAGGGAGACATTGTCAGAACAAGGTGCCGGTGGCTTGAAAGGAAATAGGATAGCGAAAGTAGTGTGGGGACGAAAAGGAAAACACGGGAGCATGTAGAAATACTTATAGTATGGGTAGAAACAGAGAAGGCTGAAGAAAAGTGTGGTACCTTGGTGGTGGGTGTCGCTGGAATGCTTGACTTGGAAATGCGCGCCGCCGTGAGACGGTAGAAACGCAGCGCTTACGGTCTCTCGTGAGACGGTTGACGCAAACGACGTGGAGCCGGAGTAAATTTGCGCTCAACAAGTGTTAGAGCGGAAGGAAGGGAGCAGTAGAAGACGGCGAAAAGAAGAATTGGTTGGATGACTGTACTGCCAGGTGGGTGGACCGTGGCACGGGAGCTCCGGACCCGAACCAGCCACTGGCGCGCTCGCTTGGCCGCTGGAGCTGTGACGTCTACCCGCCTTCTGCAAGCCATCCCTCCAACAACCACTCTACCCGTTCTTGAACACGACTCCCGCATCGCACAATGGCCGAGGAACCACAACCCGCAGGCGTGCACGAGGGCGCCGAGCAACCGCCCGCCCCCGCTTCTGCCGAGGACCGCAAAGCGCAAGCGGCCATGTCGACTCTGGACGCCGCCCAGCGCGAGGACGACGGCGCGCCGAAGAAGAACGTCGACACGGAAGCTTTGGGTAAGGCTATGAAGAGTCTGGACGTAAAGGACAAGAGCAAAACACAGGAAGTCAAGAAGGCCGTCAAGGTCGACCCTGCAGATGTTGCTCTGCTGGTACGCTCCCCTTCTGCGAGCGGTATCTGCGCGCAAGCGCTAACAAGGCACTTCGTGTGCAGGTTGAACAGCTGGAGTTGACCAAGCCGAAAGCGACCGAGCTCCTCAAGGCCCATGACGGCGACGCTGTGAAAGCAATGTCCGCCTTCATCGGAGTGTCCGCCTGAACTCCGGCACGACACTGGAACGGATCCGCTGTCGAAACGACGCATCCCATGACGAAATGATTGAATGACAAGAAACGATACCGCTGCGGGTAGATCGACGGCATGCAGATCATGGAGCGCATCTTCCGGATCTAAGCGATATGCATCCACCAACCCTGCATTTGAAGAATAGAATGATAGCGGAGAGTAGCAATGGATACGGAATGCCACCAGACCACTGAGGCCAATCTACTGTATCCTCGATCGATGCATTGGAATTATGAATGACTGACTCTTAGGATGCCACGGATAATGCCAGCGCGCACAGCACCTTGTAGGTATTGAGATTCACTGAGAAGGTTGTACCTGAGCTTCGCGGCCCGGACGAGGTTATAACCAGAGGCTGTTGGGCTATTGACGAGTCGGCCTCCGAAGACGCCCCCGCTGATCACTACTACAACTGGAAAGTGCATAGGAACACTGGCACGAGGGATCATGAGCACGGAAGTTGGAAGGCTCGATTGACTATTTCTCTTTGAGGGATAACGCCCGGTCGATTATTTCGATTTTTACGCAACAACACCTTCCAGGGCAGCGAATTCTTCGGATACTTCACAACGCAATTGTACCATTGGCCGTCTTCTTAATTCAGGGCCTCGTGCACGGCTTGGCAGGGCAACCTATGCGGGAGCGGCAGGAAGCGAGCGAGTTTCCATGCACAATCACCGACATCTCCTAACCTTCTAATCCCGTCAGCCCTCCGACCCCGGCTTCGCTGCCATTTTCCGCACGGTGTGTCTTCGTCATTCTAGCGGCTTATGCCGAATCAGCCCCATGACCGGTCACGCATGATGAATCCGTACTAAAGAGGCCGTGAACACGGGCTTCGCTGATGGCTCCATCACAGCAGAGTCTGTGGGCATATCACCACCTTCCTTTTCCCGTGCCTCTCCTTTCAACCTTGGCATCCGATGAGCCCAGTTGTCGGCCGTCTTTCGGACCCTCCCCCCACCCTGTTTCAGAAAAGTCGTTGATGTTTCACAGCCCAGCCGCCCACCACGTGCCCGTCACTTCCAGGGGTAAAGCGGCAACGAACGGGTAGAGCCGTGGTGTCGTGATGGCTGCGCGCTTGGTTTTAGTTTTCTCTCGCCTTTTCATCACTTCATTTCGTAAGAATAGTGGCTTTTACACGGTCTACGGGTATATGGGGTGTCTTCGGCATTATTCACTATGCCGCTGCCGCGTCCGTGAGCTTTGCATCCCGTTCTAGACGCGTCCGGCATCGGTTACGATGCGCGTTACCGGATAAAACCTGCCAAGCCTGTGGCTCGTCGCAGGGAGCGCCTGCTGGGTCCAAGTCCGCTATAAACAAACATGCCTCCACAGGAACGGTACACGCTCTGGACCATTCGCCCTTGGCGCTTTTCCGGATTTGAGGCTTGTTAATGCCGAAAACGCAACGCACCAGCTCTCTCATTTGTATCGAGCGGGTGGGCCCGTAAGGCTAAATCCAGCGCGATGCGGGCCGGATTCCAGTCGAATAATCCCACGAATGTCGCAAAGTCGCGCCGTCGCTCCTCGGTGGAATTGCAGGCGTAGCATCTGGGTCCGCCCAAAGGCTTGGACGCAAATGGGAAGTACTTTTGCCCAGAGGCTAAGCATACTCTATCTCCGGTTCCTAGGGATGCCGGGCCAGACACCCGCAACAAATTCCATGCTCCGCTGGGATCGTGCGTTGCCAAGCTTCCTCTCTGCCAACCTTAAAACATCTAGCATAAGGAACAGGGATTTAGCCGGGCCGCGCGATGCGTGGATTGGCCGACTCCTTTATCGTTTTCCATGGGTGACAGCGTGCCCGACCAGGATTCTGAACAGTGGTCTTCGAAATCACCAGTACCCTTCGGTCCAACCCACAGGACGCTTGCACGCCATGTACGAGGAGCATACTTCCAGTGCACCTCGGTCTGCTTTCTCCCGAGTGAGTACCCTCTTTGAGCCTAGAATTACCCCACTCGTCACCAGCTGCACCCCAGATCTCGCCTGTGCTTGCAGAAACCTACCCGCCCGGGTGTAAAGCCTAGTCACGTATGCACGTGAGCCGGAGCTTGTATTATTTTGGCATTGTTTCCTGCAGTTTCCGGGAAGAGAGGCCGTGGCCTGGCCCCGCCCAATAAACTAGCGAGCGGTGGTGTTCTGAAACATCAACCCTACGCCGGATACCGCCAGCTCCCGCACGCTCCTGATTTGTGGAGCGTGTTTACAAGTTCACCTCACCATCCTTTTTCTCCGTACCGAGATGAGCCACTGCATCCCACGGACCAATATGCTGAACCTCCCTGTATTCTCTGGATAGGCGCCACACTCTCTCCACACATACTGACAACTACAAAAGCAGGGGCTGGGTCTGCTACATTCTAGTTGCTCGTCACGGCTCTCTCTCACCCTTAGCAGCCCCCATCCCTCATTGGAGGGCACCGCCACCATGGCACGTTTCGCTTTGTTTCTGACCTTCCTCTCGCTTTTCACCTCCGCGCTGGCCGCCTTCGGCGTGACCAAGTCGGGTTCCAACTTTGTCGTCGATGCCGGCTCGTCCAATCCGTTCATTGTCACCATTTCTGGCAGCAGCTGCGACATTACTTCCATCAAGTACCGTGGAGAGGAATTCCAATACTCTGGCAAGGGTTCTCACATCTCTTCTGGTCTCGGATCCGCGACTGTGGCCTCGGAGATCGTCAACAGTATGTCGATCCATTCCCACCTCTCATCTTTTACCTCACTGACACCCTGCAGGCAACATCGCCAAGATTACTTGCACCACTAGCACTTTGACTCACTACATCATCGTGAAGTCTGGAGAGAGCGCCCTCTACATGGGCACTTACTTCAGCTCTGAGCCCTCGATTGGTGAAGCCCGTTTCATCGCCCGCCTTGACCCGAACAAGCTTCCTCTCGAGTACCCGTATGGCGTTGTCTCGACGACTGCCGGCAGCAGCAGCACCGTTGAGGGATCTGACGTCTTCGTCGTGAGCGGCCAGACTCGCAGCAAGTTCTACTCTAGCCAGCGTTTCATCGACGACAAGGTGCAGTGCGTGTACCGCGACGATGATGCGATCCATGCTTGCATGATCCTCCAGCCTCTTTCCTACGAGGGATCCAGCGGCGGTCCCTTCTTCAGGGATATCAACACCAACAACGCTGGTGACTCGACCAACCTTTACTTCTACATGAACTCCAACCACGCCCAGACCGAGAGCTACCGCATGGGCTTCCACGGTCCTTACCAGCTTCAGTTCAGCCGCTCTGGCATTCCTACCACCTTTGATGCCTCATTCTTTGAGGACCTCAAGCTGACCGGCTACGTCGCTACCTCTGGCCGTGGCTACGTTAAGGGAACTGCTTCGGGTGTTGGCAGCAGCTACCAGAAGGTGCTCCACTGGTACAACTCCAACGCTCAGTACTGGGTCTACGCCTCTTCCAACGGCGCCTTCACCTCGCCTGCCATGAAGCCTGGCACCTACACCCAGGTCCTGTACCAGGATGAGCTCAAGGTTGCCACCGACTCGGTCACCGTGACGGCAGGCTCGACCGTCACCAAGAACATTGCGTCCACCTTCTCCTTCCCCTCGACCATTTTCACCATCGGCGAGTGGGATGGCCAGCCGCAGGGCTTCCGCAACGCCGACAAGATTGAGCGCATGCACCCGTCGGACAGCCGCATGAGCAGCTGGGGTCCTCTGACCTACACTGTCGGCTCCAGCGCTCTGACGGACGTTCCCATGGCCATCTGGAAGGGTGTCAACTCGCCGCTCACGATCAAGTTCACGCTCAGCTCTTCGCAGACTGGCGCGGCCACGCTCCGCATCGGCACGACCCTCGCCTTCGCCAGCGGTCGCCCGTCTGTCAAGATCAACAGCTACAGCCCGTCTGCGCCGAGCGCGCCGACCAAGATCGACTCGCGCGGTGTCACGCGTGGTACCTACAGGGGCAACGGCGAGATCTACACGTTCAACATCCCGGCCGGCACTCTGGTCTCGGGCTCCAACACCATCACCATCGAGTGCATCTCGGGAAGCTCGGGCGACACCTACCTTGCCCCCAACTTCGTAAGTCTCTATTGTCTGTACTATACCGAAAGAGCTAGTGCTAACCAGATGAACAGATCCTTGATGCCATCGACCTCTACAACAACTAAGTGGAGTGAAGAATTGGAGATGAATTTCAAGCTTCTGCCTGTACATAGTTTATGTCTTACAATGAACATACATTTTGACTTTGCATTACTCGAAGATACGAGATTGGCGAGGGCATGGCTCCACCACAGTGCTTGGCCACGACTTTTGTGTGGCTGAGAGCGAGCGCGGCCCCGGTCGTGCATGGATTACATCATCCGCCTGCACGATCCGTGCGCAGCTGAGACGCGGCTGCGCCCGCGGACGACGCGGTCCAGCCAGCAAGCAAACACCATCACCGCTCTTTTGGCTATGCGTCCCGCCCGACACTGAAAAACTCTTCATCCCGGGCAAACACTGCCAGGATTTCCCATCGTCGACTCAAACTTCCTGAGTCGGAGCTCGATCAGCTCTGGTTGGCTTATGACGCTGTTGCCTTAGTTGTTGACATTTTGCCGTGATGGATTACCCAGGCTTCCAGTCGCCTCTGGTCGCCGACGACCTCATCGGCACCCTGAAGAACCACAATCACTCCAAGGTAAGTCTGAACAGCGAGCCAGCAGAGGTTCAATGCTCCCCACTCGTGTTCGTAACCTTCTGCCTTTCACGTCAGAGGAGATACGAGGGCATTTCGCTAAACCGCTTATATTACTCTTGCAACACTCTTCACTAACCCTTTCAAGGTTCCGGAGGCCGGCGGAAGTCATCGTGACAAGTCGTCATCCGTCTACAGCCTAATTTACACTTTGATCCCTTCCGTCCTCATTGCCTTCATCCTGCTTACCACCTTTGTTTTCCTCCGAAGCAAGCTCCGGCGCTTGTATGCCCCGAGAACCTTCATCGATACCCTGACAGAGCAGTAAGTGTTCAATTAAGATCGAAACGCGAAACGCCGTCTCACCATCATATAGAGAAAAGACTCCAAGAGACCCTGACACGAGGCTGGCCTGGATCAAATACTTCACCACTTTCGAAGACACCGACCTTCTCAACTGGCAGTCCCTGGATGCTTACCTTTACGTGCGCTTTTTCAAGATCATTGTCGTCACGTGTTTCTTTGGCTTCCTGCTCGTTGGCTCCGTTCTCATTCCTATCAATGCCACTGGAGGAGGCGGACAGAAGCAACTCGATATCCTGTCATTCAGCAATGTCAAGGATCCGAAGCGCTACTGGGCCCATGCCATTGTGGCATGGGTCTTCTTTGGTGAGCCTCATTATTTTCGCGCTCACGTGCCAGCCACTAATCATTCCAGGCTTCGTTCTGTTCATGATCACCCGGGAGACCATTTTTCTCATCCACTTGCGCCAGGCTTATCTACTCTCGCCCTGGAATTCGAGCAAGATCTCCTCCAGGACTGTCCTCTTCACTTCGGTGCCCAAGCACTACTGTGACAAGCAAAGGATCAAGAGCCTCTTTGATGAAGTCAAGACAGTCTGGCTTGTGGAAGATTTTAAGGAGCTGGAAGACATGATTGAGAAGATGGACAAAGTCGCGTTGAAATTGGAGGCTGCTGAGATCAAACTCATCAAGACCGCCAATGCGAAGAGGTTGAAGATGATCAAGGACCCTCACGCGAACCCTGACGATCACGACACAGACCATTGGTTGGCCATTACGCGCCGTCCGAAGCACAGACACGACAAGTTCGATTTCATCTGGGGAAACAAGTTCGACACGATTGCAGAGTGCCAAGAGGAATTGCGCAAGATGATCCCATCCGTCAAGGCTGCCCAAAAGCTGCGCATCGACGGCGACGCTAAGCTTCTTGGTGCCGTGTTCATTGAATTCGAGACGCAGTCCGCTGCTCAGGCCGCTTTCACTTTGGTCTCGTTCAATCATCCTGAGCGCATTGTTCCCCGTCAGGTCGGAGTCCACCCCAATGAAGTTCTCTGGAAGAACCTGCGTATGTCTGACTGGGAGGCGCTTGGCCGGAAGCTGCTCGCTTTTGCATTCGTTGTCATCTTGACGATTTTCTGGGGTATTCCTGTTGCCTTTATTGGTACCATCTCGAACCTGAACTATCTTTCGGAGAAGTTCAAGTGGCTCGCCTGGCTCAAGAACCTTAACGGCAAGCAATTGGGTCTCTTGACTGGTCTTTTGCCCTCTCTGCTGCTGTCCTTTATCCAGAGCTTGGTCCCTCGATTTTACAGATGTAGGAAACCATTCTCTCTGAGGTTGGGGCCGTGCTAACTCGTTCACAGACATTGCTCGACAGTCGGGTGCAGTCACGCTTTCTCAGGTCGAACTGCGCACGCAACAGTACTTCTTCGTATTCTCGTTGATCCAGGTCTTCCTCGTCACCACGTTTTCGTCTGGAGCAACAGCTGTGCTCGGTCAAATCGCACGCGAACCTCGTTTGGCACCTGCTCTGCTGGCGGAGAATCTTCCCAAGGCATCCAACTTCTATATTTCGTACTTCGTCTTGTACGGAATTGCTATTAGTGCCGAGCATGTATTCAATCCTCTCGGCTTGTTCTGGGACGAGATTCTGCCCCGCATCTGGCCTTATGCTACGCCTCGAGAGTCCTTCATCAAGTATGTTACCCTGGACACTCCTGGTTACGGTTCAGAGTGCGCCAAGTGGGCGAACTTGGCAGTCATCGCTATCAGTTACTCGTGCGTTGCACCGCTGGTTCTCGGATTCGCAACCGTCGGCTTCGTCTTCATTTATCTAGCCATGCGGTACAACTTCTTCTACGTCTTTTCCACCGACATCGACACGAAGGGTGCCTTCTATGCGCAGGCCCTTCAGCAATTGACTGTCGGCATCTATATTGCCGAACTCTGCCTCATCGGCCTGTTCTCGACCCGTATCCATGGCGACCTCAGCGCCAACGGACCGCTGATCCTTATGATCATACTCTTCTTCGCCACCATTTTCTACCAGTATCTCATGCGGGAGACCCTTACGCCGCTCACCGAGCTTCTGCCTCGCAACCTCCTTGCCGAGACCGAAGCAGATTACGAGGCCCGCATCTCTTCCGAATCTGCCTCTGCCTCGAACGCCCAGAACGGCAACAACAAGAAGGACAAGAAGAACCAGAAGAAGGATAACGGCACTCGCAACGACCAAGCCGCCAGCCAGCACCCGGAAACGCAGCCGCTCCTCGCGCCGGACCACGCCGCGCGCGCAGGCATGACCCAACACCGCGCGGGCTCGATCCACCACCCGTCGCGCATCAACGACATCTACGGGCACGAAAAGTACAAGAAGGTCAAAGACAACTTCCAGCGGTGGTTCGCGCCGCACTCGCAGTCGCCCGCCGCGCTAGCGTCGACGCTGCACCCGTCGCTGCGCGAGCCCGTGCCCCCCTACCCGGAGGACCTAGCCAAGCTAGCCTTTGTCAACCCGGCCATTACGCGCGAGCCGCCTACGCTGTGGATCGTGCGCGACGAGATGAAGATTAGTGAGCGCGAGATCGGCGAGGCAAGGAGGGAGGTGGATGGGTTGGATGTTAGGGATGATGGCGCGTGGTTGGATGAGAAGAATGTCGTGCAGTGGGAGAAGGAGAGGTTGAGGGATATGCCGCTTTGGCATGGTAGGGTGGTTTATTAGTTGGTTGGGGGGGTTTCTTTGATGTGACTGCTCCTGGTGGGAGAGGGGGCAACTTGTATAAGTGACTGGATCGGGAGGGTGGGTGGAGACAGGGGGATGTATGTTGTGTGTAGAAATTTGTGTATGAAAATTACGATCTTTTCCATACTGCATGGTCGATGAGATCGGCCCAGTATATTCACTCTTTTCAAATGGCTTCCTTCTGTGCCCTGCTCCGAACTGGAAAGTGAGACCTTTGGGTGAAGCGAAGTAGAGAAGTGTAAGTTGGTCCAAATTTCTTCTACTCGAGGTTACCGACGCCCTCAGACGCATCCCATAATTGAAGTGCTTATTCCCGTTTTCATATCAGATATTCCACGATAGCCCATAGAGAAAATGCCTCTTTCCTTCTTTCGAATGGTAATGAACGGGATTGAGAAGAATTAAGCAAGATTCGATTTACCTCAATTTTTTCTTCAGCATATAAGTTTCCGATCTGGTATGTCCATCTTCCGTCCTTCCTGGTGAAAATTCTCTTCTGGCTCAATTACAGCACATCGATTCTTCCCCCCTTTTTCTCAAAACGAAATCAAAACCCGCTATCCAACCAAGCCGGCACATACCTACTACTAGCCGGCACAACACCATCATTCGCCTTCACACCACCACCACCTAGCCCCGCGTGGTCACCACCATGACCATTCACCGCCACGGCGCCATTCACACCACTACCATTCACACTTCCCCCACCACCAACACCATTAAGTCCAGCTAGCCCCCTGAACGCCAACTTGGCTGCGGATTCCGGCCTCGGCGGCGGCGGCTTCCAGAGGTAGCGCGAGGCCGGGTGGTCGTCGGCGGGCAGCTTCTGGCCGCGGACGCCGGACAGGGTCTCGCGCAGGGTGGTGCCGGGCGGAAAGGGGTAGCCGTCCCAGAAGGTGCCGCGGCGGCGCAGCTCCGGGATGAGGAGGTCGATGACGTCGGTGAAGGATTGGGGCATGATTGCGTAGGCCTGTTGTTACTTCTGTATTAGTGACGCGCCGACGGGAGGGGGGAAGAAGGGGAAGAAGGGGGAGGTAAACTAGAGACTTACGATATTAAACCCATCCACATCCGCCTCCTCGACCCACCTCTCCAACTCATCCGCCACGCGCTCAGGCGTGCCGACAATCGTCCCACCAAGGCCACCGACGATCAGGTGCTCGGCCAGCACCTTCTTGGTCCACTTGCCGACCTTGGGCTGGTGCTTGCCCAGGCCCTCCATGTAGCTGCGGATCGCGTTGGTCTGGACGAGCCTGAGCTCCTCGTCGTCGCCGTACTCGTCCATATCGTAGCCCGTCCACCCGCCGAACAGCGCCAGCGCGCCGCCGACGTCGCCGTAGCTGGCGTACTCGGCGTACTTGGCTTCCGCCTCGGCCTGCGTGCGGCCCAGCACGATGCACACCTTCGCAATCACCTTGATGGCGCGCGCGTCGCGCCCGTGCTTGGCCGCCTGCTCGCGAATACTCTTGACGCCCGCCGCGCAGCTCGCCGGGCTGTGCCCACTCACAAACACGGCCTCGGCGTGCTTGCTGGAGAAGGCGGTGCCGGCGCGGCTGGTGCCGGCCTGCATGATGACGGGGACGCGCTGCGGGGAGGGCTGGCAGATGTGCGGGCCGGGGACGGAGAAGTGCTTGCCTTCGTGGTGGATGGGGCGCACGCGCTCCGGGTGCGTGTAGATGCCGCGCGCGCGGTCGAGGGCGACGGCGTCGGTGCGCCAGGAGGATTGGAGGAGCTTGTACATGACTTCCATGTATTCTTCGGCCATGGCGTAGCGGTCGTCGTGGTCGGGTTGGGCGGCGCGGCCCAGGTTGCGCGCGGCGGAGTCGAGGTAGCCGGTTACGACGTTCCAGCCGCAGCTGTTTGGCGTGTGTCAGTGATCCGTTCGTCAGGTGTTGAGATTGGGGGGGAGGGGGGAAGAGGGAGCTCGAAACTCACCGTCCCTTGGTCAAATGGTCCAGCGTGCTCAGCCGCCGGGCGAGGTGGTAGGGCTGCTCGTACGTAGTACTAACAGTCACACCGAAGCCGATGTGCTTGGTGGCGGCGGCCATGGCGGGCACGACCTGCATGGGCTCGTTGACGGGCCACTGGGCGCCCGACCGCACCGCCTCGTCCAGGCTCTTCTTGTACACGTCGTAGCCGCCCAGCACGTCGGCGATGAACATGGCGTGGAAGCCGCCGCTCTCCAGCGTCTTGGCCAGCTCCACCCAGTGCTCGATGTCGTTGAAGTTCATCGATTGGTCGTCCGGGTGCCGCCATAGTCCTGGCGATTGGTGGCCGCTGCCTGGGTTTGTGAGCTTTTGGTGGAGCACGATGATGGGATGCTGGGATGTGGAGTTGTGGGGAAGATCATTCGCGGGAGAAGAGGGGAAGGAGAGGAGCGTTCAAGCATGTAGGAGGGGGGTATGTTGCTAGAAAACGAGCAGTAAACTTACACATTTCAACGAAGGCGTTCAGAATCATCTTCCTCTTCGGTGCCGCGCCATTGGCATGGCCATTGGTGTGGGCGTAGCCGTTGGTCTCAGGTGCCGATACCATGGTGTCGCTGTTCTCGCACGCAACGATCTTCGACGTGCAGCTGTCCCCTCTTTTCCAATTGTCCAATGGTTGTCAAGCGCGTACAAATGACGTGCTGCTATCGCAACACTGTTGCTAACAAACTGGAACTGCGCAATAAGTTGTCGCGTGGTGGTCGCAAACGCAGATGCGAAGAGCGAAGAGGGGAAAAAAAGAAAGAGCAACTGAGGGGCACAATTTCCTGCTCAGCCGTCCGACCGGAAAACAATGCTCACCGGGGTTACGCGGGGCTTAAGAGGCGAGCAACAATACATGGTGTAGATGACGACACCGCACGTGATTCTTGCACCATCTTTGGTAGGCGCAGATGAGTCGTGGTCGGTGCCTTTCGACCCACCAAGCGTTATCGGTTGGCTTGCGATATATTAGAAAGTGGGATGGTGTTTGGCCATCGATTGTGAGGCCAGCTGGGTTGAGCGTCTTCTCCGACATCGCCGATCTATACTCGAATAGGAAATCCGGTGGTGTTTGATGCTGCTGATCCAACAGCTCTGCGGAGTGCTGACGTGCATGTGCGCAACAAGTCTAAATGCATGGTGAGTCTGCATATATTGCCGGATTTCCTTCTGCGTATTAACCAAAAAGACAGTATTGTGGTGGTGGTACATGTGCGACGAACAAACGTGAGACAAGCCTGACTGAGCTGAGACCCGTGTACCTGGCTTTCCTCCTCTTTTCCTCTCCTGTTCTACTCAAGCAACGACCCTCCTCTTCGCCCTAATTCTAATATCCTTAACCGGCCTCATCACGCCCGTCCCAGGCTTCATATCCGGCACCCTCCACGCCGAGCCATCCGCAGGCTCAAAATCCCACAAGCTAGCCACCGACGCGACGACACCCAAGATCTCCTTCTCGGCGAAGGTCCTGCCCTTGCAGATGCCGGTGCCCATGCCCCAGGGCTTGAGGGGCCCGTAGCGCGCAACGCGCTTGCCCGACGCCTCGTCCGTCTCGATGAAGCGCTCGGGCACGAACTTGGACGGGTCGGCGTAGACGTCGGCGCTGCGCTGGTTGATGCCCAGCGGCACGGTGATGTAGGTGCCCTGGCGCAGCCGGTGCTCGATGTCGCCGTCGGCCACGGTCAGGTCGCGGCCGACGTAGCGCAGGCACGACGGCTCGTTGGCCAGGCGGAACGTCTCGAGGTACGCGCTCTTCAGCAGCGGGCAGTCGCGCGACAGCGCCGGGTAGTCGATCTTGGCGATGCGCGCGTGGCCGGTGGCGGCGTCGGTGGTGAGGTGGACGTGGGGGGCGATTTCTGCGCGGATGTCGGCGAGCAGGCCTGGCGTCGCGTAGACGTACACGACGAACCAGTAGATGAGCGGCTGCGTGTTCGCGTTCTGGCCCCAGAGCAAGCCCATGTCGATGTCGCCGCGGTGCCGGTACGAGACGTTTTGCGCCGTGTACGCCTTGCAGCGGTCGAGGGCGACTTGGCCGACGTCGGACATGTCGCAGTCGAGGGATTCGCCTTGGATGTGCTTGTCGATGCGCTCATAGAGGGCGTAAAGGGCCTGGAGAACGCGGCTCCGGGCGGCAAGGCCTTCCTGCAGGGACTTGATGGGCGCCCATTCCGGGATGCCGATCATGCGGAGCGGGAACACCTCGCCGTCAAACTTCCAGAAGTCGTCGATGAGCTGGGGGTTGCGCTTGAGGAAGTCGGACCCGTAAAGCAGCGGAATGGCGACGGAGGTGCCGAAGTTGCGGATGAGGCTCTCGAGACCGGCCTCTACAATGCCAGGCTGAGTCGACGTTTCCGGTTGGATCAACTTGTGGTTTGCTGACCGTTCCCAGGGGTTGAGCTCTGCCGGGTCCGAAGAAAAAGTGATAAGATTGTAAGTTTTGGTGCCGACGTCTGCTCTTTGAATCATTTCCAGAGATGCAGATTCGTTTACAAAGCCCTTTTCGACGGCAGCGAACAGGTCTTTCTTGCATCTGTTCAATGCATCACGCATCTCCTTGGAGTCCTCGCCACCGAAGACGCGGATGGTGATGGTGTATCCAACCGGCTCATGGTCCAGAGTATGGAATGGCTGAGCAAATAGCCGCTCGACTCCTTTCAGGTTATGGATGACCTGGTGCTGCGAGGTGATGCCGAACAGGGAACCTCCGTAGCGGCGGAAAAGAGAACTGCATTCACGCGTTTGAGGAAGCGCTATTGAGGGGGATTTTGCGGTCGTCAGCTTACAGCAGCTTTAGCGCGACACCATCGGCCATCAGGCACGTGCTCGCGATGAAGATTTCGATGGGAATCCATGTTGGCATGACACGGTCCCGCTTGGGACCACTGAGAAGGCGGAATGCGATTGCTGCGACGAATACGGCCGCCAGGACTTTGGTGTAAGAAAGTCCGGCACCGCCGGCTGTTTGTGGCGTGTCCATTGCGGACGATGAAAATCAGGGCAAACGTGGGGATGGTCAAAGGAACAAAAGCAGAGGTGGAAAGAGCGACGGCGAATAGATATTAAGAAGGGTACGGCATTGGTATGGGAGGGTGTGTCGATGATGTCGGTCAGGGAGAGCGAAACCGAGCCACCACAGCGTTTCATGGGCGCACGGACTTGTCGTGCGATGGCCAAGTGCTTCGCCTGCTGCGCCGTAATTGCCGTGATAGGCTCCCAGGGCCTTGCTCAGAATAGCCTTAGCAGCACCAATCGCTGCACGCTCCTTACCAATCGTAGCTTGTTTGTGCCCCAGATCAGCCGCGCGGCATCCTCCGAATCTGACCCTTCGGCCCCCCCAATCCTCCCAATCCTGCCATGCTATAAATTCTGCCAGGCACACAGCTATAAATCGTACCAGACACAGCCGCAGTCGCAGCCGCAGCCGTTATACTTGGACGCGTTTCTCCCGGAATAAAACGTTGGTGTTCAAGACGTATTTAAGTCTACACGGAGCCAACCGTTGTCACGTGTCCGAGCTATTTCCATGGTCGCAGTCCAAGCGAGCAGATCAGGAAATTGGTGCGGCGAAAGGACGGAGACGGGTGCTGAGTTACCCGACTTTGTCTGCGCCCACTCCCGAATGCCGACCACGTTTGTTTCCCTCATCCAAACGCAAACCCGGCTCCCGCCAACGTCTGTACCATACCGACCCGAACCAGACATTGGCTTGAACCCGTTGCAGCCAATATCCAGAACTAACCGAAATAGGAAAGTGATATCACGTCTCGTTTGCACTCCGACTTCAACACCTAAGCACATGTTCAGACTTCTTAGTCATTTAGCTATTATAGGAGCCCAAGGCGGATTATGCAACTTCTATCTGTATCTCTTCCGAAGATGACAAGACGATCGAGGTCCGGCGACTGTGCCACAAAACCACGTTCGAATGCAGCCACCCGAATGTAACACAAGGGTCCACTGACGTCGTGAGAACTTCAAGGTCAATTTTCGTGCGTGGGCTGTTATCTACTTACTACCCGGATGTATATGAGCAATTTCAAAGATTACTTCTGCGTCCTGACAATGCATTCAACTGCCCACAAATGAAGAATGTAGTAGCTAGAGCAACTTCGGCACCACTCGGCGCAGCTATAGAGGAGTGCCTTTAGAAATCGTACTATCTGGCCTGCCAATGTATGCGGCATCGGTCTCGCTGTCCTTTGGCTGGTGCTCTTCTTCCCCTTGCTGCTCAGCTGTCATTGCCTCATCCTTCCTACGATTGGGATTTTGCTTTGGGCTCGTAATTGGACTTCTAGTCAGCCTTTTCAGAAGGGCTATGTTTTTCAAACGTGCATCTAGCGCGGGGATCAGCGGAAAGCTGTGGGCTGGCTTTCTTAGGCGTAGATTCGTGCATCACGGCTCTTATTCTGCTTTCCTTCATTTCTTATCCCTAAAATCGAAAAGAGCTATCCTGCTGCCCCTAACAGATACTTCACACAGAAAAGTTTTTATTCCCATACCATCGAAACTGAGGCTAATTAATGTGAACCACGGGCCGCATTGTGGGGAAAGAAAGGGGTTGGAGTGGCGGGTTCCGTTGGTTCCTTCGGTTCCATAGTTGGTCGCAGCAAAAATTTTAACTGTTAGACAAAGAAACAAAAAGAAAGCTGAGCCGATCAGGACTCGAACCTGAATCTAATGCTAACGAGTGTCTACTAGCTTACAATGAATGTTTAGCAAAGTGATCGTATAAGCATTAATGCTAGCCATTACACCATCGGCTCTTATTGATGAATAGTGAAGTGACAGTTTATCATTATATTACCCAACATCAGGCATACAAGCCTTAGGGTGGTGAGCAGCGGCCTTCGAACACATACAACAGCTAATCCGCACGAGGATTGCGCAGATGCAGCTCCGTCGTGCCGACCTGCTCCTTGTTGTTCGGCTTTGGTGGGAACTTTGAGCAACACGCTACTCGTCGGCTATCTCATGCGACTTAAGTTTAATATATAAGAGATCCAGCAAGTCTTGTCTCTTAATATGTGCGGTTTCTTAGCATGTTGGCTGCTACGTCGGTGTCGAGTTGGCTCTCAATCTGATCCCACAGTCTTTTTTGCAGATTCTCAGTTCGGATTTGAGTAACGCTAACTTGAATGATATTCTCTACTTTTTTTTTATGTGAATATAGCTGTAAGTTTTGGATAATGCTTCTCATGTGCGAAGGGTACGTGTCATAACCTTGTCACCACAGCCCAAACAGTGTCCACGCAAACCCACCACACAAATTTATAAATATACCAGTGATTACAGGTACACAACAGCGCTCTTATAGAATATTGAGGAACCTGAAAAGTTAATATCCAGTACAGGTGAACTGTATCCATTGAACATCTATCGAACAGTGCAAGGCGCAGCCTATTCATTCCCTCGTCCTCCCCATCGTTGCCATTATCCTCCTTCTTGTGCTTTCGGAAAGCGGTCTCCGACTAATCTACTCTTGCGTCCCCGCTGCCCTATTCCCTCCGCCTCTTTACACCTCGAAGCCACTTTCTTTCCCATGTTTGTGTCCGTAGATCTATCCACGAACACGTACATCTCTCCGTCGAAGTCTCCCCGGGTCTCTAAAATCCTCCGTCTCTCTCTTATAGACGCCGGCGCGTCGTCAATGATCACTAACCCGGTGTAGCAACGTGTTGCCTGAGGAGCGGACGATCTGGTTATCAGTCCGTACTGTAAAACGGCTGTAACCTGGGAGCAGGCGGGCGGGAGCGGTCGAGGATCGAGGTCAGATGAGGACGGTTGGAGTTGAAAATCTGGTGGGAACGCTTGCGGCTCCATGATAGGCGGGAGTGCTTTGGGGTTTGAGATCAAGCGGGAATCCTTGGGACGTAGCACTAAGCGTTGACTGGGCCTATGTGTATTTTTCTTCAGAGACATGGTCGGAAGCGCGTAGGAGCCAAACATCGATTAGGGCCGTGCTGGTGTTAAAACTGACAACGTAGGATTAGACGTATCGTGACATGACTTGGAAGCTGCTAAGGTGTCTGACACAGGAATTGCGCCTCGCGCGAAGGGGCTTTATGCCAATGAGTGACTTGCGAAACGGGCGTGTAGTGTCTACGGAGGGAAAAGCTAGCGCAAGAGTTTGCATAACAGCTTAAGGTGGAGTTGGAAATGCTATGTTTTCATTCATTGGTATTTGAATCCATTGTTTGGACGCAAGTGTTGGATTTTGAATTGTTCAAATACATATATGTATTTGGATTTCTCTCATTCGAACGGGAAAGGCAATGATCTCTACGAACCGGATGATGAATATGGACATCGTAAAATACATTGCTCTCGGGTGGCTGGCTGCCAAACAGGGAAAGAAAAAACAAAAGGGAAGATAATGGAGGATCAGGTGGATTGCATGCCTTCCGCTTAACACTTCTCTCTGGCACATCCAACACCGGGCTGACCAATACTAGATCATGGAGCTTGACAGCCCATACATTCACAGTCCTTTCCACCATGTTTGTTACCTTGCCCATCGGACGGCTTCTTGTCTCCGTCACTCCATCCGACACTCTTCCTTGCGACCGTCCACCACCTTCTTCCTTCAATCCGCCCGCTCTCATGGAGCCTCCACCAGACAACCTCGCCCAGGAGGAGCCCGGTGGCGTCGAAACCGCCGCCGCAGATGCTGTTGAAGACATTCCGCCGCAAGCTACAGGCAAGCGGCGCAAGCGCAAGCGCAAGCGTCGAGCCTCTTGCCCCAGCACTTCTGCTGCCTCTGACGTCGCGTCCGCACCAGAAGACCACACAGCCAGCAAACGAGCGAAGATCTCACATGGTAAGTCACCTGTACATGTTCTACTAGTGCTATAAATATTACCGAACATGCGTCAGAGTCCGCAGGATCTCATGAAATGGCACCTCCCGCCTCTGACATACCACCTCCTGTCCAACAAGCTCAGCTAGCACCATCCAAGGAATCTGCAACCCCGTCCTCCGACAGAGTCAAAAGGTCACCTCTCCCCCAGCAAACTATTTCGTACCCTGGAACTATCATCATTGACGAGGAAGACGCTTCTATCGAAGAGGGCCGACGAGTGTGCAAGCTCCACGAGCCAGATGGACAGATATACATGTTCACAGATGGGTCGACGTGTCCAGGCGAGGGGTCTGGGATCGGCATCGTGTACCGTTGCGACACGAGGACGGACGACTGGGCGGAGATTTCGCAGAGCCTCCCCGACACCAACGACTCCTGCATAACCGAAGCAAAAGCTCTGGCAGTGGGAATCCAGTTCTTCAGCATGGATTTCGGAGCAGATCCTGCTATCAAGGGGTTGACCGTGCTGCTGGACTCGGCGACGGTTCTGGGATCACTTATGAACTACGATGTCGACAAACGTCGTGGAACTGATGGTCCAGAGAAATTGGCATGGCACGTGCAACAGATTCATAAGCAGACGGAAATTATTGTCAGCATGGGCAAGACAGTCACCCTTCGATGGGTCAAGGCGCATGGAAAGGGCGACAAAAGGGTGGAGGGAAATGCTAGGGCTGACGAGCTGGCCAAGGCTGCTAATCCCTGGAAGGAGAAGAAAAAGAGGAACAAGGTGGAGCGTATGCTTGAGCTTGCAAAAGCTGCCGCACAGAGGGCCAAGAAGGGTATTCAAGGCATGACGCTATGATGGATGGTGTTAGGAATCGGCCTAACCCACCACACCACGCCATCAGTGTTGGCGATCATTCAGGCGTGGTCAGTTAATAAACCATGTCGAAAAAGCGTGTTCATGACAGATGGGGCCTAGAACGGGAACGGTAAATAGCAGAGGCTACGAACACTTAGAGGCAATCAATTTAATACATTAGAGCATAATTTCATTACATGGGAATTTGAAGCTACCGTCCGAACGTAAATGTATGTTTAATAATTCTACATTCACGTCCGGATGATAGCTTCAATTACCCGCATTTGTCGAATAACCTGTTCGTGAAGATGTTGATCAGCAACAAAGCCAGATAGTGTTCATTTAGCGGAACAGAAGATGCTCCACTCAGTTGATATGACTGATGTAGTAGAGCAAACAGTTATCGTCAACAGGTGGAGAGCAGGACTGTAAAACGCAAGAGACTTGAAACTGAAGGATGTAGAGAGCTGGGAGTCGAGCTGCGATATGGTAAATCTTGTAGCCGGTTGAACAATTCGTGAAGATGTAGCTGTCGGGATCAAAATGGAACAAACGTATGCAGACGCAAGCTTCTGCTACCCACCTAAATGGCGTCCACTACCCACGTATATTTAACTGCTGTTCATTGAGACGCATTATATCTCCTAGAAGCTACCGTGCGTCCGACGGTTGTGTAATCGCCATTGTAGTTATTGCACAAGATTATGGAATGCGATATGGCGTAGCCGATTGCAGGCTGACGGAAAAGCGGAGGCGCGGTGGTGCACAAGGCGAAGCACTGTAGATGATAGAACGCACGGTTCGAGACGAAATCGTTGTTCGATCTGCGTCGGTGAGACGGAGGGGGGTCACCGGCCATGCGCGAAACGCAGCATTCGCATCTACCCCCGCTGCCCTAGCCGTCATGCCGCGCCCACGGATGCGCCCCTCAAGGTGGAGACGCGGCGCAGCATGAATGCGTGTCAGCTTCCGATTGGTATTTCGTTGCATGGGGGCTTCGTCTCTGCCGATCGTCACCTTATAAACATTACGTCGCCGGCGGCACGCCATATATCCAAATCCCTCAATTGCACTACCAAAGAGACTTTCTCTCTTTCGATTATTCATGCCCAAGCCATACAACCCCCGCTTTGATCACTATCTCCGCCGCTCAAGATGGGGAAGGAACCGGGTCAGATGATACGAGACGACTCTCAGGACGCCGACAGTTTTCTTTGCGAGAGATGCAGCAAGATCAACCTAGACGAGATCTTCAATCCTACCTTCGATGGTAGTCACATCCTTGATTTTCGGTCTGCGTCAGAAATTGTCGAAGATCCCAACTGCTCCTTCTGTCAGGCTTTGGATTTCATCAGCCCCGCCCCCTGCGCAAAGCCAGACCTTTCCCAGTCCTGCAGTTTGAGGAGAGGTACTAATCTTCCCGAAAGAATTATGGATTGGCTTCATAGGACTTTCAAGCATCGAGAAGTTGATCTTCCAGAAGACGGAATCTATCTAACCACCGTGGTGGGTGATGAAAGGTTCCACTTGGGGTATTGGCGAATGAGCCTCGCAGTACTTGAACATGATATGCCTGGTTGTCTAACTTTGCTTTCAGGGCAGAAAGAAGAGCGCGACTGGTTCACGGCGGCTTCTATTAGAAGCACTGTGGACTTCAACGTGGTAGGAAACTGGATAAAAACTTGTGAGAAGAAGCACGGCAACCGCTGTTCCCCAAATTGGACAGAAAACTGTACACTCCGACTTATTCACTGCGATTCAAGGAGAATCATTGCAACTCCAAAGCCACCGGAAAATTCGACCTATGCAGCACTCTCTTACGTATGGGGCAGCCAAGAGTCGGATGAAGTTTCCTCGGGAGAGTTACCCGAACAACTCCCAAAGACGATTGAAGATGCAATCACAGTCACCAAAAGACTGGGGATTCCATATGTCTGGATTGATCGGTATTGTATAGACCAAGGTGACGATAATGAAAAACATCGTCAGTGCGGTCTCATGCACAAGATTTACGAAGGCGCATACATCACCATCATCGCTGCAGCAGGAAACGGGCCGGACTACGGACTTCCTGGAATAGGATCATCGAAGCGCTCTTATCCTTCAGTGCGTATTGGATCTCGTTTATTGGTGCCCACCTTGCCTGATCCGAGGCTATCACTTCGAGCTGCAAAGTGGTCAACCCGTGGGTGGACTTATCAGGAAGGCGTGCTTTCCAAACGAAGACTCATATTCACCGATCGTCAAGTCTTGTTTCGGTGCGGAATTTGTTATACCAACGAAGCAGAACAGAGACTAAAACCGGACACTGAACTGCCCGAAGAGCCCACTATGTCTCTCCATCCATTCTTCGAGTTCTCGGGCGAGAGTCACATCTGGGGACAAATCAATCGTTTTATAAAACTGGATTTGGGCAGAGAAGAAGATTCTTTGAATGCAATGTTAGGCATTTTGCAGCGGTACCAAGAGTTGGGTTGCGTAGATGATTTTCGTCTTCGGCATCTTGAAGGTCTGCCAGCTCTCAACCGCGAGCCCTCAGAGATCGATAAAAAGTTAAAGCGGTTTCATTATCCGACTTGGACGCCTAGGTTCCTCAATAGCCTTGGCTGGACAGTTCAGCAGCCAACGAAGAGGCGTAGGGGGTTTCCCAGCTGGTCATGGACGGGCTGGAAGGCAATTCAATTCGAGCCGTCTTATGGATATCTACGCCATCCACGAGCCAAAGATCGCAGGGAAAAGGCAATCTCAGTTGAACTTCCTGATGGACGTTTGGTCAAGGATCACGAATTGGACTCCATGATTGAGGCAGAGCACGATTTTTCCCGGATCCGGTTCATCCGCTTAAAGGCACCTTCGCTGGAGTTCACAATCATTCCAAGAAAATGCAGTGAAGATGATCTGCCCCAGAGGTTTTCGAGGTTTTCCAAAGACCTCTGGTGTGTGATACGGCATCACGATACTGACTTTTTCTGTCCCGTTGGGTTGACCGATTTGAGCATTCACATACCCGAAGATGGCCTTCGTTGTTGGGGTATAATGGTCTTCGAAAACTCGATTGGGAACCGATTCGACTCCCTTTTCCTTCTCGTTATGAAGGTCAAAGATTGCTACGAGAGGATTGGTGTCGCTGCAGTACGTGAAACGGAAGCATTGCAGGAACTTGAGACCCGTACCTTTAGACTTGGATAGAGCAGTGTAGTGTGGATTGTTGTCAACGAATTCAATGCTCAATTGCATACAAAATGCTCGTATCTCATTTCACTGAAGATAGACAAACGAACACCGCATCATTCCATCCTACGAAGAGCATCACCAATGACTAGGCCCAAACGTCTCCCCCGGCGCAACCGTCTTCTGCACCGCCGAGCCCTCATAATCCAACGTCTCAATCACCGTATTCCCCCACCACTGCGGCGGACTGACCTGCGGCAACAACAGCGCAAAGAAAATAACAATCGTGCTCAACGCCAACCCCGAATCCAGCGCGGCCGACGTGATGTAGTTATACGTCATCCACCACCCCCTCGCCCTGCGCCTGATCAGCCGGTTAAACACCAGCCCCACAATCGCCCACGCCCAGTAAATCAGCGGCGTCGCCGGCGGAATGTAATTCAGCTGCCCGAACATAACCGGGGCATTCAGATACCTTGCCGGCGAATGCGGGAACCGCCGCGCCAGCACGTAGAAGACGACGGGCGTCACGGCGCCGATGAGCCAGAACCACTGCAACCCGGCGTACGTCGCGTCGCCCGAGAACATGCGTCGGGGGCCTATAGCCCCCCAGATGATGGAGGCGTTGAAGAAGACGCGGCCGTTGGGGCAGGTGAAGCGCGCGCTCTGGCCCGACTTGCAGATGTCCTTGATGGCGCCGAAGGCCCAGTCCAGCACGGCGATCTGCACGACCGACCCCCACACGGTCGCGACGCCCTGCGCCCAGAACACCGTCTTCGGCGGGAGCTTCATGTAGTGCGCGAGCTTGAGGTCCTGGGTGTAGAGCAAGCCCTGGAACATGGTGATGTAACCGATCGTCTTGAAGCACATCATGGCCAGCGGGCGGCCGGGCAGCATGTAGCCGATGACGAACTCGGTAAAAACGTTCAGCCCGATCTGCACGTTCGTAATCGCCCACACCATGCCGATGGGGACGAACCACGCGGCGGCGATGAGCACGGCGATGATGTAGGCCCACCACGTCAGCTCCGTCGGGTAGCCCAGCACCGTCCCGAAGCCCATCCCGATCATGACGAGCCCGAGCGCCCAGAACCACCAGTCGGGCGCCTCCGGGTAGCGCTTCATCAGCCGCGCGTGCACGTCGTCTTCCTGCTGGCGGGCGGCGCGCGCGCGGTACCAGAGCTCGCGGTGGTGGTACAGCGCCGTGTGCACGATGGTCGCGACGATGGTGGCGAAGCTGAGGCCGTAGCACATGGCGAACGTCGTCGACAGGAAGATGGGCGAGTACGCTTTGTACTTTTGCTCGTCGAAGCGGTAGCTTGGCGTGAGGATCTTGCTGACGTTGTATGGCGCGCCCGTGTTGTCGTAGCTGTCCGAGTCGCTCATGGGCAGGTACTCCGAGTACCAGGCTTTGGTGTAGTGGATCCCCAGCGGCGTGACGATCTGGAACACGACGAGCCCGATGAGCGTGTTGGCGATGGCGTGCCATGGTGGGATTAAGGGGGATTGGATGTACGACGTGACGTACGTCCAGTCGAAGGTGATGGGGATGAGCGACAGCCCGCTGTAGCCGCCGAAGAGCTGGTTGATGACCGGGTTGCGCGGTTTGATCCAGGTCACGAAGGCGAAGACGCTGAGCCCCTGCCAGATGAAGCCGGGGAACCAGTACCACACGAAGCCGCCGATGACGACGTACAGGAACCACCGGTACCGGCTGATGGACCAGCCGTTCGTGTCGGCCGGGTTGGGCGCTGAGGAGCCGCGTTTGTGCAGCGTGAAGAACAGCGCGCAGTTGGGTAGCGTCTGCGGGAAGATCATGGCCGCCGGGTACACGAGGAAGCGGCGGAAGGAGCCCGCGAGCCCGAAGCCGAGCATCTGCGTCGTGAAGGTGAAGAGCAGGTTGAAGCCCCACCCCAGATCGTACCCGTAGAAGCCGCGCAGAGCTTCGATCGTGTCGGTGCTGTAGGCCACTCCGTTGCCGAACGTCACGTTGGCCATGATGGTGATGAGCGTGTGCTCCTTGACGTTGAAGGGCCCGGGGTTAAGGCTGAACTTCAGCCCGAACAGGTTGAACTGACGTGAAGGCATCGTCTTCTCCCAGAGCTTGCCAATGGGGTACGAGAGGCTGCATGAGTTAGCACCAGAGGAACAGAGCGAGATAATACACCTACAGCTGAGCAACAATCGAAGTGATGGTGATACTCGGGTTGCGCAGGTTGAACAGCATGTTCAACCCACTTCCGATGGTCGTGAAGATGAGGCCGATAACCCATGCCCGGATCGTGTTGCAGGGGAGCGTATGGTCATCAGTGTTGGGCACTGCTGAAGCGACTTCAGGATAAGGAGAGTTTTCTCCAAGACCCTGATCGAGGCTGATTTCGGCCTCGACATCGCCCTTCTTGACAGCCTCCTCGATAGCATCGCGCTTATCCGACTCCAGGTTGGGGTCCCACCTGATAGGCATTAGTGTTGGCTTCTGTTACTTGTCACAACGATGTAGTACCGGTGCAAATCACTGAATGTCTGGAGGTCCTTCTGAGCCGCAGCAGCCTTAGCGTGGTCGTCAACCTCAGCAGGGGTGGCGGTCGCCGTAGCCTCCTTGTCCTCGAGCGTATTGAGAGTGATGCCATCCGTATCCCTGCGGGACACTGGCCATGGTTTACGAAAGCTGGGCATCCTGCCTATTCGCGGCCAAGTGTTGAGTCGGAAGAGTTTGGGGCATGGCTCTCGGTGCGTGGAACGCCAGATGAGCGAGTATATAGTCTACCGATCAACCCAGATAACGGGCGCTAAAATATGCGACGTGATGCATGGAATGTTACCTTGACCGGGGCTGGTCCTACGGCCGATCGCCTACCGTTCCATGATTGCGGTATCTGGCTACCACTCGCCACCACTGACATGTCTAATCGGCTTGAAGAGGAAGGAGCATTTTGCGTTTGCTGCGAGGAGGATCGAGAGAGCTCGATACGCGGATCCAGAGTTCGGCTGTTGGTGCCGATGATGGCAACCACCTGGACGTTACGGCGGGGTGTGACGCGGCAGAACACAATCAGGACTGGAGCTGAACAGGCCTCTTCATCCTACGGACATGCAAGCCCAGGGGTCTCAAGACTCTCAGTATGCTGTCAGCTCTTGGCTATAAGCATGGCAGAAATATGTGTCAGTCTGAAATTCTAAAGATGCTTTGCGAACTTTGTGGCGCAAAAATAAGACTTGGGGAAGCTCCAAGCCAAAGTCAAGCACCGGTAGTACATGCTTGTCTGCAGATGCGAACGTGCGATTGGTCCAAGCAATGTGGAGAGGGATCCGCAACGGCTGATAAGCGCTCCAAGCATATGGGTGGCCTGACTGTTTTACCCGGAAGAAGATGGTGTTGTCGTACGTCGACGTTTGGTGGCAGGTCTCAGCAGCCTCGAGAAACACGTTTCGAGCACACTACTCGGGTCCGCGAGCGGAGGCTGTATCTGTAAGCAAACGATTCGTAGCCGAGAAGCTATAGCGAGTCACAGAGCCGGCATGTGCTTCGTCACTACCCGGGTTGCGCTTCCTCACAACCCGGGTGGGGGGCGCTTCTCCTTACCCCACCCACCCAGATCTATCGCCTGTTGTAGCACCTCCCCGTAGCCCGCCCTAGCCATCAACGATGCTTGGGATCTAGCGTGGAGGAGCCATCAGAATCTAGACTTGGATGCATCCAGGATTGCTTATCGTCACTCTTCAGTGGCAGTAGAGCCGCCTTCTGTGACGCCTCATCATCACGCCGCAGATGGTCCTTTCGAGCCGTCGAAAGCGCTGTCGTCCGTATGCATGTATTCGTATCGGTTATCAGCGTCGCTAATGGGGTGTGTACGGAAAGATGACGTTGATCGCGGAGTTGGAGCTGCCTGTTTGGTCCGAAGTGCGAGTCGATATCTTGCCCCACTCATGATACCTTCATACGAGACCCTACCGCCCGACATGTCCATCTCCAAATGCTCTTTCAGAAGGCTCGCTCATCGCCTTGCCTCCCTTCGACCCATCTCCAGGCCAGACTAAACGCATCAAGAATAGTCCATGCTCTTATCATAAAAGAAGGGCGGTCGTCGGGCAAGTATACAGCGGCTCGTATCTATCCACAGTTACTTTAGGCACGTTTCTCGAGTATAGACGCCGAAAAGGTTGTATAAAGTCGATGTTTGCAGTTGAAATAGACTCACCCGCGGTGCCTAGAGAAAGTACTTCGGTGTCCTGATTTGGTATGGTGTGACGACTCGTCCAAGCCCCAGGCAGCAGCATAATCCACAGAGCGTAAAGCAGCAGCACTGTTGCAGTTGTCCAAATGACGTCTCCGTTACTTTTTTCTGCCCTACGTACCATATCTAGTTGCGGATGTCCGGCAGCTAGTATGACGCTTGCACCGCTTGGCTTCAAAAGCCCATGAATCTGTCCACATTCCTCCGCGGTGAGCTTCGTAGGATTCATATCCTGGCACGTTCCTGTACATATCATCTAATTTTTTTTAATACAAACAATCTACAAGTACAAGCACCGTATTTTCTTTCTCTCATCTATCCCATTCCCATCTCTCAGACCCACTCACTCCGACGCCTTCACCACATCCTCACACCTCCCACACAGGACGTCCGGGCTAGGCGCAACATACCGCCAGCACCTCGGACACTTCGGCTTCCTCGCAGGCCGCACCTCCGCAACAGCCTGGCCAGAAACACCAGGCAGCTCGAACGGCGCCCTGAAAACCCATTGCTGCTCACCCCCCTCTTCCGCCTTCTTCACCTCTACCTCACCAGCAGCATCATCGCCACTCACAATCTCCACCCCACTAACCACAAACACAGCCGCCAAATCCTCCCCCACCATCCCAGGCACGAGCGCGCCGCCCTCAGCAGCAGCAACACCAGGCGGAAGCCTCAGCACGACCTCGCACTCCAACCCACCCCCCATCAACTTCTCCTTCCTCGCCTCCTCCTGCGCCGCCTTAACCGCATCCCCCGCCCTCCCCAACACCTCCACCGCCCTCTCCACCTCCCCCTCCCCGTTCACCCCCTCTGCCGTCTCCACCACAAACGGCCTCCACACCCTCCACCCCGGCCTTTCCCCCGCCGCCGCCTCCTCCCTAATCTTCTCCGGCACATACCCCCAAACCTCCCCCACCAACAACGGACAAACCGGCGCCAACATATCCAACAACTCCTGAAAGACACGATGCAGCACCACCTGCGCGCCCCGGCGATCCGCCTCTGTCCCCGCATACACGCGATCCTTCAGCGTCTCGAAATAAAACGCCGACAGGTCGAGCGCCGTGTAGCGGGCCAGCTGCGCGGTGCCGCGGTGGAAGTCGTGCGCGGCGTAGGCGGCGTGGACGGCGGAAGAAGTGCGCGAGAGCTGGTGGAGGGCGATGGCGTCGATGAGGGTCCAGCGGTTGGGGACGGTCGTTTGTTGCCCCGCAGATATTGGTGTTGGGGGGGCTGACGGGTCGAAGTCGGCCAGGACGCCGAGCAGCCATTTGAAGGTGACGCGGTACTTGTGCAGGGCCTGGTTGACGGCGGCGAGGACGGGCTGGCCGATGACGACGTCCTTTGTGTAGTCGCTGCTGGCGACCCACAGGCGGAGCGCGTCGGGGCCCATGGCGTCGAATATTTCTTTGCCTTGGTTGTTGTTGTTCTCTCCCTTTTGCTTCTTCTTTTTGAACTTCAGCGGCGGGAGGAGGGAGCCGTCCATGATTTGCTCGGGCGAGATGGTGTTGCCGAGCGACTTGCTCATCTTGCGGCCGTCCTGGTCGAGCGTGAAGCCGTGCGTGATCAGCGTCTTGAACGGGGCCAGCATCTTGGCATGTGAGGTGCTGTTCTTCACGCTCTGGTGCGCGATGTGCGTCAGCAGCGAGGACTGGAACCAGCCGCGGTGCTGGTCGGTTCCTTCGAGGAAGACTTCGGCGACGGGCTGGCCCGGTCGGGGTTCGAGCAGAGTCCACGCGGTGCCGCTGTCGAACCAGACGTCCATGGTGTCCTTGCCGCGGATGAAAGAGCCGTTGTCGAGGCCTTCGGGGATCCAGGCGGGTTCGTCCTCAGCATCGGTCCACCAAGCGTCGATGCCGCGTTGTTCGATGACCTTCATGATGTGCTCGATGGAGCTTCCGGTCATGTGTGCCTTGAGGGTGCCATTTTCGGTTTTCTCGTACAATGCTGGAATGGGGACACCCCAAGCACGTTGACGTGACACGCACCATTGGCTGCGACCGCGGACAAAGCTCTCCAGACGGGCTTTTCCGGACTTCGGGTGGAACTCGACGTCCTCAAGAGCCTCAAGAGCACCGTCCTTGATGCCTTCGACATCGGCAAACCATTGCTCGGTAGCACGGATGATGACGGGTTTCTTGGTCCGCCAGTCGATAGGATACTTGTGGGTGATATCCTCGACGGCAATCAAAGGATCCCTTGGCATCGCCTTGAGTAGCTCGAGAATGGCCTTGGAGCCCTCGCCCTGAACGGGAAGACCGGCGATGAGGAAGGCTTGACCGGGTAGAGCCTCTTTAGTGAAGCAACCCTTGTCATCGACGGGGGCAAAAGCATCAATGCCAATAGACCTGCAAACATTGTAGTCGTCCATACCGTGACCAGGAGCCAAATGAACAAGACCAGAACCAGAAGCGTCGGACACGAAATCGGCATGTATGATGGGCTGGGCACTCAATTGATCGGGTTCCAACGGATTCGCATACTCTACCTGGCCGGCCAGCTCAGAGCCTGGGATTGCATCCACAAGCACCTTGAACTCGGTCTTCAGGGTTTGCTGGAGAGCATCGAAGCGCGCCTTGCCGATGAGAAACTGACTGGGCCGATCGCCGGTAGCAGTAGGCCGAGACATTTCCACCACAGAGTATTCCATATCCGAGTGCACCGCAATTGCCCTGTTAGCAGGCAGCGTCCAGGGCGTTGTAGTCCAAATCAGAGCACCAAGTTTTGTGATATCGACACGGCCGGCCAAGCTCGCGGGGAGCTTGGTGATGGGGAAACTGACGTACGCGGTGGTAGAACGGTGGTTATCATCGTACTCGAGCTCAGCCTCAGCGAGAGCGGTTCCGGACGAGGGTGACCAATAGACGGGTTTGAACTGACGGTAGATGAGGCCTGGACGGTAGTCAGCTTCTACCGCAATACCGCGAAGGACGCTCCGTTTCTCACCCACCCTTTTCGACCATTTCCTTGAAGACGCCCAGCTGGCGCGTCTCGAAGCCCTTCTCCATTGTCTTGTATGCATTATCCCAGTCGCCCATAATAGCCCATTTCCTGAAGCCTTCCTTCTGCTCCTCGACGGTGCGCTCGGCCAAGCGGCGGGCGGCGGCGCGCACCTCGACCGGGCTCAGATTGTCGCGATCGGGATTGCCCAGGGCCTGCAGGGCCTTGACCTCAATGGGCAAGCCATGGCAGTCCCAGCCGGGAATGTACTGCACGCGCTTGCCCTGCGCGACCTGGAAGCGGCAGATGAGGTCCTTCAGGACCTTGTTCAGGGCGTGTCCGATGTGCAGGCTGCCATTGGCGTAGGGCGGGCCATCGTGGAAGACGAAGGAGCCGGTCGTCTTGCGTTCGGGCGACTGCTGCCAGGCGTAGAGGTCGTCGGTGCACTGGCGTAGCAGATCCGGCGACGGCGACGGGCGCGGCGGGAACGCCGACTTGGGCAGCTTAAGCGTGCTGGACCATGATTTGACGGTGGTGCTGGCTGCGGTGGCGCTCCGGAAGATCTGGCTTGGAGCTACCATGCTGCCATGCTTGTCGTGTGCTGCTGGTGACGCCGAAAAGTTGACGCAGGCGCGTCGCGCGACAATGCCATCTCCGCCTCCATCTCCGCCGGAGATGGTTCGGTCGCATCTCGCTCGCTGCTGACCACCACTACCCTTAGGACCCATATCGAGGATAGTAAAATGTATGAATGCACTGGTGCTTCATTAAACTGATTGTTTCTGGAACAATGCTTTACACTTCTTCACACACCATGTCTCATGGACCGCGCTTATTCTTATTTCAAGCCGCACGGTGTCAAAATACTTACAAGAGATATATTCATAATAAGCTGCATATGATACACTCCCAGGATTGTATCGTTATCGAAGAATACGAGAAATCCATATGTTTAATTGGTTGGGATACATACAAGTGCAAGCCACGGCTCATCCGTAGGCTCAGCCCCGCCTCAGCCCCCACGCTCAGGCGGCAGCTCCCCACTCCGTCTTGAGAACATACTTCTCATTCACACTTCAACGTCAGCTTTAGACAAGTCAATCCCACAACGCATCTACACATCTGCTTTTTGGTTCCTTTCTCCATCCAATTTCCAACCATGAGCATCCGACAATATCAAGTGTCAGCGGATGTGGACCCAAAAGCCTATCAGTACAAGTCTATTGATCCCAACAAACAAATTCGCATAGTCGAGCTACTTCCTGGAAAGTTCCACGCTCCGATCGAGCTTAAAATCACCGAGGAAGATCTGAACGCTGAATATGACGCCCTATCGTATACCTGGGGTGACCACAACAGCAGAGTTTCCATTTCGATTAAGGTCGACAATCTGGAAGACACAAAGTCAATCAATGTCACGCGGAATCTGAGTATGGCACTTCGACACCTACGGGACCACAGCGAACCAAGGAGCCTCTGGATAGATGCGCTGTGCATCAATCAAAAGGACAGTGCAGAAAAGGCACACCAAGTGGCCATGATGACCCAGATCTACAAGAACGCAGACCAAGTCAGAATCTGGCTTGGACCTGAAGCCGATGGTAGCGATTTGGCCATGCAGACACTGAGGAGAGGGGGCGACAAAATGCTCGGCGAAGATCTGATGGGCAAGAAAAATAATAGAACTCGACGGGCTCTCGAAGCACTTCCCCGTAGAGACTACTGGACTAGAGTTTGGGTCGTGCAGGAAATTTTCATGGCTCGCTCTATCAAGATCCACTGTGGCAAGTTTGAGGTGGACTGGAACTCTGCAGCAGAAGTCTTCCCGGAGTTCTTGAAAGCCCGTGCTGATTTACTGGTCCGCAACATATCACAGGATGATATACGGCGGGAGCAGGAGAGGCGGCGGGAGCAGAATCGGCGGCGGGAGCGGCTGGAGCGGGAGCGGGTGCGAGAGCGGGAACGGGACCGGTCTCCGAGAAGAACAAGCCCTCCTCCTCGAAGACGACGGCCGTCCATCGTAATAGAGGACCGCGCGTCTTGGCGGCCGCACCCGATGATGATAGTCTCTCCTTCAACGAGACGGCGGCGCCACAGCATATCGCCAAGCAGCACGCCGCGGGCGCCGCCTCCAAGAAGATCAACCTCTCCTCCCGCAAGACCGGAGGTCTATATCACAGTAAGACATAGCGCGCGGCCAGAGTCGCCTCCAAGGAAACCAAATAGTTCTCCAAAAAGACAAAGGGACCGCTACGCACAGCGGAATCGCTCGCCAAATCCTCCCTCAGTAGGAACAAGGAACATGGGAACCCGGCCAATCAAGAACGTCATACGCCTTGCTGAGGGCCGGTCCGCGAACAGCAGGAGAGGATCGTGGTGGCTCTTCGAAACGCTACTGGAGCACCGCCATTATGGAGCCACGGACGAAAGAGACAAAATCTTCAGCATGCTTGGTCTGTTGGATCAATCTCCTTCTCATAACAGCGCTCAACCTGTATCGACAAGGCTCTTCATTGATTATAACCTTTCTTTTCTCGATGTGTCCATCCGGCTTTTCAATTATTTGGCCCTTTATCCTCCGGAAGAAGAGGCCTCCGAAGAGAATGAGAAACGGCTACTGAACGTCGTTTGCGCAAGCCAGCCGGAGACCAATCGAGATTTTCCGACCTGGCTTCCTGACTTTTCACGGGACAATGGAATGCAGCCTTGGCCTCTTGGTGAAGAGTCGGGGCGTCCTGTCTACTTCGCAGCTCAAGCAAAGCTTTCCTACGACAGCCGCACCCTCTCAATTCAAGGCGCCGAAATTGGGACCGTGACCGCAGTAACTGACCACCAAGACGATTGCCAAGCAACAGATGACCTGAGCCTTCTTGCTCGATTAGGTTTTTTCCTTCGGTTGATTCCAGGATCTTTCCAGGGCGCTGGGCACTTCTGGAAATCGCTCGTTCTCGGGGAAGAAACAGGGAAAAGACTTGTCGATTCTTTGACCGAGGAGCCCTACCCAGATACAAACGATCAGATCCTTGAAGCTCTCGAGGCTGTTGTGAATGGCGGTTCAGATCAGTCGAATTGTGAGCCTACTTTGTCAGAGACGGTCGACTATCCTGAAATCTTGCGTGGATTCTTAGACGAGTTCAGGAGAAAGTCGTACCGCAGGCGCTTTGCAGTTTTTGAGCGTTGCGTGGAGCACAAGAGGCCCAAAGACGACGAGCCCCCCAAGGATGACGAGGTCCCAAAGGATAACACAGAAAAGCTTATGGCAATGGTTCCTGAAGATGCAAAGAAGGGAGATAGCCTTTATCAGCTTGGGAGCTGCGAGTACTGGGTTCTTTTGCGCCCAATCGTCATCGAAGTCCCTTGCTTTCACTTCGTGGGGCCAGTTTACCTTGCCGAAACGCCCTCATGGCTCAAAGGCAACAAAAACACCCCGAAATGGATCTCGCTTCACTGATAGAGAACATGCCACTTTATTTCATTATTGTTCCATGACATTTTCGGTTTAATTTCGTGCTTTCAATTGGTTGAGCTCTCCATATTAATCTTATTTGCAACAAGCTATTATAAACGTGTATATTTCAAACGCTACGAGAAACACATGTTGTAGAGAGGCAATAATCGGGTGCCTCCGTGAGTCATTCGATAGCCAGGTTTTCCCCTCCCATATATTCCTCAAAATACGTGAGTAATGATTCGCAGAATCGCGCCTACTGCAGAAATGAACAAGGAACAACAGATTCCAGTCAACGCTTCATAAATTTGATGTTTCCCTCCGCATTCTTCTCCAATTTGGCCCGCATCCCTTTCGCCCGTGCATCCATCTCCCTCAGCTCTTCATCATTGTACTCATTCCACCCCTCCAAACCGTGAAATAAGAATGGAAGCGAGCATGACTTCCACGGAGGAGTATTTGTGTGGCGGTTGAGGAAGATTGTAATGAGCAGAAAGACAGTGCTGAGGAACACCATTGAGCCGGTAAAGGCAAACCAGCGCATCCGCATCACAACGTACGTCTCGGCCACTCCTGTGAAAGCTTCGACAAAACTATCGGGTGTACCATCCGCCGCCTGCACATCGCCGGTGGGCTGTATCATGTTGGTGATACTCTGGGCGACGCTCCCCATAGTTTCCTGGATGCTGTCGCCGTAAAGAAGTGCACGTCCAAAGAACTGATCGAACTTGTTATTCTCTTCGAAAAATGAGCCTGTGCTCATTGACGTGTCCGTAAGATGCATGTTTAGCATGCTGCTGAGAAAGAGGGACGTGATGTTGTAGACGGTATTGTTGACTTCGAATATCCGCTGTTCATTATTTGAGACGTTGAAGGTGGTGTCAAAGATTTTGTTCAAATAGGTTTCGTTGTGGGTTCCCAGATTCTCTTTATCGATGCTGAAAACAGACACGTCTGGGTTCGGGCTTGGCTGACGTTTGAGAGGTATTTCCGAGAGGGTAAAATTGTAAGGGAGGTCGCCCTTATTGCTCGCGGTGCCCTGTGGTACTCATCAGTCACTAGCCTCTGCAAGGATAATGCACACCTCACGAACATTTTGGTATGTGAAATTTTCGTAAAGCTTTGCGGACCAGAGCAGGTCGCACTTAGTCAGTTCAGGCGTATTGGAGACAGGGTCAAACTCGTCGCTGTCTGTCCAATACTGCCTAAACCTCCCAATGATGAAGCGGGTCAGAAGCCCGGTGCTGTTCCAATCCGTGATTTCCGGTACAGGACCGGCGGTCCATGCCATACTCTTAACCAAGTGATTGCCGGTTTCATTATTGGCTGTAATGACGAAGTTCTCTGTTGCCCATGTGTAAGGGAAGACGTATTTTCTACGCACACAAGTGCCCTCTGTCGAATTCAGGCATCTGTAGCTGCTTTCCGAGGTAATATTCTCGCACACACTGCGCACCCCCAACGACAAGAAGGAAGGCCAGGTGCAGTTACCGTTGGTACAAGAAACTGTAAGCTGGTATGGACTGTTGTATACGCCGTTAAAGAATGCGGCCTGTACATCAGAGGGTGTGGCGAAGGCTAGAACACCAACGTTGTTAACATAATCTAACCCTAAGGTGTTCGTAAACCTCACCTCCGATGTGTGGATCAACAGCCATCACTGGTTTATACGCCTGGTTGACGTATATCTTACTGTCACAGAGCTGGGTAACCTCACCAGCGGGTCGGGAATGCCATCTGGTCTCGAAGGAAACAATCTGCTGCGCCAAAGGTTCCATGGCGAGGGAGCCGACCACGATGAAGGCCCCAAGCAGAGTAATCCTGGACTTTAATTTGGTCTTCCCCGCAAAGACAAAGGATCCCCATGGTCCCCGGCTAGCGGCATCAAAAGCCTCGAGCTCAACAAGCGGGCGTTTTCCTGTCCAGAAGTACCTCCACTTGAGCTGGGAAATGCATTCCATGACCGGGAGTAGCATGGAAGTCTTCGTGATAGTAATGAGGGTGGATATGGATGTGTTTGGGCTCATGAAGAATTTCCAATCAGACTGTGGTCTTTCATCGAACTTGTAAATGAAGTAGGCGGTCAATGACATGCAGACAATGCTGACCACGCAGCCTCCAACCTCCCAGAACCACCATTCTTTGAGCCAGTCTCGTTTGCGAGGAACAATGCGAGTGCTGGACTCGGAGTCTCTCGAGCCGCCGTGTGGCAAGAGCCTTGACGCATTGTCCTTGCGCTCCGTCGGGGGAGGATCGAATTCAAGAGTGGATTGATCAAAGTACGTGATACCGCTAAAGGATGAAACCTCCGATTCGTTCCGGGCATGAGAAAAGCTGGGTCTGGAGCGTCGGACATCGAGGGGAGGAGGGTAGGCTTCTAAGTCGACTTCTTCATTGCTTTGGTTGTGGTTTGGGATATTCAGAACCGGGTGATGTGGGATCCTCGTGTACTCCATGGTAAAAGAAGTCGGCGATCTGGAATGCCTTCAGGAAGCAGTTGGGCCGATCATATATCCCAATAATGTATCTCTAATCGAGCTTCAAGGCAGCATTGTGGGCCGAGAGTGTTCAGCTGCTTCAAAAATAGCATTGAGGCTAGCAACAAGCGGTCCAGAACGATAAGCTACACCTATCTATAACGCGCTTAGAGTGTGTGATTAGCCCAGTCTACGTCTGGTTGTGGCGCAAGGCAGCGCAGCAGTTGATTCTTTTCACATGTCACATGAACTCAGCCTCCTTGTAGAAGGCCGGCGGTGTCCATGAAGAGTAAGTCTTGGAGAGCTGAAACTTTGATTTTGACTGCGGATCACCGACCGGGTCGGCCCCGCATTCCTTTGGAACGATCGAGAGCGTTGAGTTCCATTACGATCCAGGGCTCGCAAAAAATCAAGCTTTCAAACAAGTCATTAACAAGCGCTTCAATTGGCTTGCTTTATAGGATTTTATTTGCTTGTTGTGAGCCTTGGTACAATTCGCAGAGCTAGACTACTTTACAGCATGGGTGGCACGTTCGCCGTTTTGAACATGCACCGCAGAAAGACTGTGGGGCATAAGCCACAAGACACACCAGCATCGGTGGAATGGAACGCCAAGAAGAATCTCACGTCACAACTGTATTTTCCATCGGGACGCATTGCAGGTGAAGACTTTGCGCGAAGTGTACGTGGCATCATAGGTTCGCTGAGATAGCACTTTATGGTCAAGGGCTATGGAAAATACAACGCTGATACCACTCCTATTTCCATTGCAAATTCAACATAGCATGGATTCCGACTCACTGACTATTGCACATCTCCCCTTGAATTTTCTCAACCGCCTCGATAACGCTTCAGCAGCCTTGCTGCAGCATGATATCCTTCGCCTTCTGCTAATTCTACAGCCTTCCTGAATTGTCCATCTCCGAAATCGGCACTTTCAATGTCAGCTCCGTTGTCCAGCAGTAGCTGAATCACATCAATCCTCCCCCTTTCAGCGGCTCCCTCTAGAGCTGTTCTCCCATCATTCTCTGCCCCAGGTGCATTAGGATTGGCCCCCCTTTCTAGAAGCCTGCATGCAATGTCGAAATGTGAGTTGATTGCCGCAGCTTGAAGCGCGGTGACTCCTCGGCATCTTGCTGGGGCCGCATTGACGCTAGCGTGGTGTTGAAGAAGAAAGTCGACAATCTCCAAATCGCCAACCTGGGCTGCCTTTTGTAAGGCCGTGCGTCCGCCACGCTCATGAGCCGGCTCGTTTACATCCGCTCCAGCTCTGACAATGAGTTTGACCATTTCCAGTCCACCCTCCACCGCAATACTGAGCGTTGACTCACGCGTCCATCTCCCATCCAGCTCTTTGTGATAGAGTTCATCAAGACCTCTGTCGGTCATCGTAGAGGCTCCTCCAGCATATACATCGCCCATACCATTGACAGTGACATTGGCCTGTAGCAGTGTTTGAGCCATATCGAGTCGCCCTGACCTTGCCACAATTTGCAGAGGGGTAAGGCCATCATATCCATAAGCCATGATCCGACGCCAGCAGCTACATTCAGCCTCGCGGTCCAAATCAACAGGTGCGTGGAAGGAAAGAAGCATTTGCAATGCCTTCAAATCCCCGTGATAGCATACCGCTAGTACTGCCGATATGGCGCATGGAGCGGTGGCACAAACACCCCATTCGAGGAGCGATTTGGCCATGTTGTCGTATCCAATTCTGAATAGTTTAGTCAAGCTCCAGTGGCCGAGGCAGGGATCCCGAGGCATCGTGTGATCAGGCACGGTGGACCGAATCTGCCGGATGGCCCCCTCCATATCTTCGCATCCTCCTCGAAGCAGTGCGTCTTCTAGTTCCTTGAAAAGGTCAACGGAAGCGCCATTTTGAACCAGGAGCTTAGCTAAATCAGGATTGGTCTTGAAAAGATATCCGCTGAACTTCAGCGGACCATGTTTAGTGTGTCCAATGCTGGCTCCTTGTTTGATCAAGTAAGAGATCACTGCAAATTGCAGGTTCGGACGCTCACACAGCCAGCTAGATTTGATGGCGGAACGTATTGATAGCCGAGAGGAAGAACGCCGAGAGCTGCAACCCGCTTTTCTCTCGAAAATAAATCTGACAGACTGCACGAAACCTTGATCTATGGCAAAATACAGCGCTTTGCTAGCCGGAAATGACGGATAAAAGCTCAGAAGCGACTGAAAAATGGCGTCAGTGCTGATCCGGGGATTCATCGAAGTCTGCGATTTTGAAGCGTCGATCATTTGTAATAAGCAACTGTTGACATCAGCGCCGTGTTCTCCGAGCAATTGAACCATCTCGAGACTGGTTGCTCCGCCACAAGTCGCCGCAATCAGTATCGCCGTCTTGCCACTCATTTCTTTGAGGACGTTGTTGATCCACCGTTCTTTGCGGCTGTTGTTGTTTCTCAACGAGTGGCAAGAGATGAGGGTTGGTGGAGGCGCATTTACGTCTGCGCCTCGAGAAATAAGCAAGGAAGCCATTTCGCAAGATCCGGTGTATGCTGCAACTTGTAGGGGAGAAGGTGCCCTCAGCCCTGGCCCGGAAGGGCGGTTGACGTAAGCTCCCCATTCAATCAAGAGCCTTGCGACGGCGACATTGCTATTCAGAATTGCCAAGGTCAGTGGCGAAATTTGTTGAGGCTCTGAAGTATTGACTGCTGCCCCATTTTTGAGGAGTAGACGAAGCATTTCCAGTGATTGTGCTCCCACCGCAAGGGACACCAACTCGTTTCCTGGTTGTTCCTTCAGGTCGAGATCCAGGTCTCGACACAATTTTATGATCAATTTGGCAATTCGAATATCGCCGACAGAAATGGCGCCCCATAACAAGGATAATGTAAACTCAAAGCTCTCCGATGCTTCGAATGCTTCCGTATGATCCGCTCTGCGTGTGATTCTGTCAATGTTCAACTCCAAAGCACGCTGCGCAACATGTCTATGACCGTGTCTACACAGGGCTCCAATGGTACTGGAGAAATCCACTAGGCCTCTGCTCAGTGCATGTCGTAGCGCTTCCGGTGCCGTACTAGCAAGGCGGTCCAAGATCGAAGCTGGCTCATCCGGGCGAGCACCGAATTTGATGAGCACTTCAGCTAAAATGAAGTTCCGTCGAGAAATGGCATATTCCACGGGAAAGTACGCCTGGGAAATATCAAACTCCCCTGAAAATTTTATTCGGATCGGCTTGTTGGGATCGACAATGGAATTTTCCACCAAGAATTGGACGAGGTCCACATGTTCACATTCGAGTGCTCTTCGAAATCCCACCTCTACAAGGGCTTCGAAGGTAGGGTTCTGCTCTGAAAGCAATTTTAAGGTTTGCTTTTGTCTCTTTCGAGTTTTGGTCATAGATCCGAGTGCGTTCATCAAAAAGTCCTCGAAGGCGCGGTTGCTTCCCGTGTGATTGGAGGCGTTTATCACAGCGGTAAAGAATTCGCCCAGGAAACTATCCTGTGGAGTGGTAGAAGCGGCAACAATTGGCACTGACTCGCGAATGGCCTCCATGATAAGCGTGCTGTACTGTGTCTGTTGCCATGGCCCAGTACCCAACCTCACGATAGAGTCAGCCCCAGGTCGATTGCCAACTACGTTGGATAGAAGCTCGTTGAATGCAGTTGCTATTAGCCTCATCAGCCGACCAATCTATCTCAGTATTTAAGAAGAACTTACAGTTTTGTGATACTAGGCGTTGAAATTGGAGTAGAGGCAGTCTGTCTAACGCAAGCACAAACAACCCTGCTGAATCTGGTGGTGCCAAGACCGGGCCCGATGGCCCTGGAGTGGAGAAGGTCAGACCGTATGGCGTTGGGCTTCTCTGATTTTCCCCTGCCAAAGCCTATCAGTAACACGTGAATATCACTACGAGTAATCAACGTACTCTCTCTCTGTTGATGTGCCAGTATGTCCAGGGTCGAACCTTCGCCACATCGTGTGATGGCCTTATTCAACTTTTTCGACGTAACGGGAATCCCATCGATGGTGATATCGGTGTCCTTTCCTTCTCTTTTCCTCTTCTTGATTCGTCGCACAGCAAACTGCCATTCCTCTTGTGTGAGATTCTTTCGAAAACACCACTTCTGGATTTGTCGCTCAAACTGGCCGGCACTAATTATTTAGATAAGCATATGGCACAAATCAAAAACAGAGACTACCGTACGTTGCTTGGAAATTGTGCACATCTTTCATCACTTTCATCACTTGTTTCAATGTCTTGTCTTGGTGGAGGTAGAGATGTCGGATTGTCTCCTTGTGCCTTTCCCATTCCGAGTCCATCGTGCTTATGGAGAGGAAGTTGTCGGTAGCAATGGATGCTTAGCTGTGCAGCGAAAGTAGGGAAGAGATTGTTGGTCCAGCTTCGAGGGTAAGCAGGTATTAAGGCTTTACAGGTGCCGCCGCGCAAGGCTGAGTTGTTCAAATCGCAGTTGATTGGCCGAATCCAGATTCTGGCCCACACGACCAACAAGATCAACCTCTAGATGATTGGCTGCATCCAAAACCGCGCAGGGATAATGGACATGCTCAATATACCCTGCGCGACTGAGTGCATATCCGAGCAATCCATGGCAGCCTTGGGAAGACTGATTCCAGCCTATAATCTATTATACAAACTAGCATTTCTCGAATCCAATGCTACTACTCATAGGGGGTTACCCTAGCTCTACAGCATTAAACCCTCAAGGCACATGTGTCTCGCCCTTAATGCCGACACCTCCCTTGCCCTCCTGCGCACTTACACCGACATCAACCTCCACATTGGAGGTCCTGCTCAACCTCTCCCTCTCAAGCTCCATCTCCCTCTGCCACTGCGCCTCCAAATCCATCTGATGCCCCAGCGCCGCGAGGGCCGATCCGGACCCAAAATCCCCAAACCCGCCACTCCACGGCGACGCCGCGTCCTCATTCCTGAAGATGACATCTCCCGGATTCGGGTTCTGCTGGACGTAGTACGCCGCACCCAACATTGCCGCCGCCGCCGCGCCGGCCAGCGCCGTCAGCGAGTTCAGCAGCGACTCGTCAGGCACGTAACGCTGCTTGCCGGCAGGAGGAATGACAGGGTCAGGCAGCAGCACGCGCTTGACGAGCGGCAGCTTCGTCGCTACAGACCAGGCGACACCGGCAACCGAAGCGGCGAGCGAGGGCTGCGGGGCCAGCGCCCACGGTAGCGCCATGCCCAGCTCCTTGCGGCCCATGGCGATGAGCTCCGAGTTGCTGCCGCGCAGGTCATTGAGGGCCATGAGGTCAGCGGGAGCCGTGTCGTTGATGCCGACGGTCAGGCCGCGCATGCGGGCCGTGTAGGCGGCGAGGCGGGGGAAGCGCGTGCGCAGGGTATCAGCGAGCCAGGACGAGGGCATGGCCGGGTAGAGCATGAGGGCGAGGTAGCCGAAGGCGAGGCAGTCGAGCGTGGTCGGGTACGTCGTGTGCAGCAGCAGCGGCTTCTCTTCCTCGTCGTCGCCCAGCAGCTTCTCGAGCGGCTCCAGGCAGTCGCTGGCCAGCGCGTCCAGCTTGAAGCGCGCCGCGTACTCGGGCTGGCTGAGCAGCATCTTCAGACCGCCCCGCCGGCCGAACGGGAGCAGGCTCTTTCTGTACGGCGCCGGCCCCCGGTCGTCGTTGATGCCTGCATTTTTCTTATTCGCAGAGAAACTATCTTCGGTCGGGCTGTCGTCGACCGTGTCGATGTCCAGCGAGCTCAAGCCTAGGCTTTGTGTCCGCGCACGAGCTGCGTCACGCCGCGCAGGCGGTATGGTGTAGTTCAGGTGCCAAGGTAGCAATGCGGTATAGGCGGGGGCGGTGGCTTGGTAGTAGTTTGCGGCGGAGGTGTACAAATTGAGGTCGAGGAGGGGGAGCGCATTTGTGCGGAGGAATGATGTGAAACTGTGCACCGTCAGTGCAGGGAGGCGTGAGGGAATAACAGGGAGCGTACGCCGTGGTGTCTGCGCGCTCACGCTCCGTCAGGTGGCCGTCAGGGTCATGTTCGGAGGCACTGTGCCTTTGCAGATAGTGCACGATGGGCTTGAAGCCAGCGACCCAAGTCGGACCATTGCGCAGGGCAGGGAAGTCGGCTATCACGCGAGCGTCAGCCGTTCAGGTCCGGTCACGAGCAACTCCTGAGACGCACGCACTGTTCGGACTCTTGGAGACGTCGTGTGATGCGACGACGACCCAGCTGCCCTCGCGCAGGGTCAGCTTTGCATAGGCAAGTGCCGCGATGCACTCTGCGTCAATTGACGGGAGCCCGAAGGCCGGGCCCCAGACGTGGAGCTCCAGAACCATTGTCTGCGGGTGGTGCGGTGGTTGATTGTCCATGTCGGCGCGTCGCGTAACCATTTCTTTGCGAAGCTCAGGCCGTCGATCACCCCGAGCATCGTCATCGCTCCGCAACCTCCGCTAACAAACCTTAACTCTTCCCCAACCTACCGCCTTCGACACCGCCAGCTCTCGCCGCTGTCTCCTCATCCATCATCGGGGTGCTTTCAATTCCCTCAGCGGCCGTAGAGAATCGGCCCCTGAGCCAGGTTTCAGCGCCTGCGCCATGGCGCCGCTCCGCCGCTACCTGCGCATCACCAAGCACTCCGCGCTCGAAGTCCGCATCTATCTCGACAACCCGGCGCATGCCGAGACTTGGCTGCTACGTCGCAACGATCCTGCGCTGCCCCGTATCATCGAAGCTGTCAGGCCGCTCGTGCTGCCAAAACTATGGGAGGAGAAAGAGCGTTCCGAGCGGAGGGGCAAAGGCAAGAAGGGCGTGAAGGATGTGGTCGCTGGAGGTACGAAGCTTCACGTCACGTCGATAAAGTGCTGTGAGGGCTCGGATCGAGCGGCATATTGTCCACAGATGATCTCTTTGGTACTGGCACTGCAACAGGCGCTGACACCAGGGCGGCGCAGATGACTTTGAAGTTTCCATTTTCCTGACGGATAATTCCACGCCCCACGCGCTGCTCACCAAGCAGAAGACGTTTCAAGACAAGCCACGCATGAAGAGCAACTCGGGCAAGTTGACTGGCTGGCTGACCACCGGTGGCACTAGCGACAAGCCTGTCGACGTCGACGCCGGTGACCGTGATGCTCCCGTGACACTCCGCGAGGAAGATGATGAAGAAGCGCCAGTCGCACTCTCTGACATACCTGAGGCACACTCCGAAACTTCCCGAGCCGGAAAGCGCCGGCGTCGTGAGAGTGGCAGCGAAGACCTCTTTGTCAACGAGTCGTCTAGCGCATCTGAAGATGCTTTCGATAATGCGCTGGTCAATAGTCGTACGAGAAAACGTGGACAAGCAAAAGACAAATCTCAAGAGGAAGACGCGGAGGGCACGGATGACAAGAAGAAACTCTCGCTCAACACATCATATGATGGCTTCAGCATTTACGGACGCATATTATGTCTCGTGGTCAAGCGCAAGGGCCACGTCGCGCGCAGCGGTGGTGGCTCAACAGCCAGCGCAACATCAGCCCAAGGCACGGCAAATACCCAGCAGATGATGAAGAGTTGGGTATCCACGCAGGCGGCTGGCAACTTAGGCGGCGACGACGAGGGCGAAGATTGAGGATGATGTCACGGCGACACGGCTCAAACAAGTGATCAACGGACAGGAGGTGCGATCAGCATCACAGGCAAGATGCTGAAGCGGCAGTGGCCTCGAGGCGGCGAGTGGCAGTTGCGAAGTCGGTAATGAAGAGTTGCGTTGCAGCTGTGGAGAAGTGCTGGCGGTCAAGCAGCGCCGGTGTCAATGGCGTCAATTGACCGCTCCTTCGCCTCCACCGGCCGCTACCCGTGAAATTAATGTCGAAAAAATGCTCCGCGAACGGCGACGCGCCGAAGCGAGTAGCGTGACGAGCGAGGGGCAGCTTCAGCGGGTCAGGGTCCATCAGAAAACGGCGCAGTGGTCACGATGCATTAGCACGCGCGCTACTTGCAACCGACTCTTGAGCCATCGTGAGAGCTCAAGCCACGGCTCCCCACCTCAAAGCGCCTTGCGGCTGAACGCTCAGACACCCCAAGAAGATGCGGCTCAAACTTTTGATGAAGTGGGAGATCACAGGATGCCTGACAAAGGGTCCATCACTGATTCGTCGAGCGCGCCATGCCCATTACGCGCATAGGGCTCCCCGGTCGATCAAGGATCTCCCCAGCTCTCTGAATCTCGTTCCTGTCTGTGCGCTCTTCCGCCTCAGTATTCTCATGCCCGTTGACCCTTAGGCCAGCTTCCCCATCATCACCGCTTCTTTGATTAGTTTTCTAGCGTCTTTCTCGAAACTCTCTCGAAGGAAAAGAGGGGGCGTGGCGAATCTCGTCTCGGTGTTGAACCGGGCGGCGGGTGGGGAATGTGGGTGACGAGGCCTTCTAGAAAGACGCTAAGAACGTACACCGCACACGTGGCACATTCTCTCCTCCGCATTGTCTCACATTCTCTTGCTGTCGCGTGTGTCTTGCGTCTCGGGTAAAGACCGTATGCTTCTCCCAGCCTCCCTTTACCGCCTTCGTGACGCACGGATGCCGTGCCTGCCATCTTTTTGCCGTTCTCCGTCCTTACGACCGTAGATAAGGCCAAAAAACTTTTTTTCCTTGCTATCGGCTTGGCTATTGCTCCTTATCCTGCTAGTCGCATCCGGCACTTCCTCCTTTCTCTTGACGTAGCGCAGTCTGGAATTTTCCTTTTTGCCACCCCCGTGTCGTGAAATGACGGTGTGGCAAAATGGAGCCGACGGGAAGGAGGCTCGTAGAAAGGTTCCAGAAGAAGTACCGAAGCCCGGAGCATACCTAATCCAAAGTGCCACAACACCCAAAAAGCCTCCACCAGCTCGGGCCCAGTCGAACATTTTAGTGCGGCTCCCTGACTCTCCCCTCCTTCCTCGGGCCAGGGTCTACTGACAGCAGACGGCGCGGCGTTGATCCGAGCGTTGGGCTTGTGGTGGAGGGCCGGTCACTGCCACGCCGCGACGCCATAACTGACAAGGCTGACTAGGATAGTGGTGGTTTCCCTGCTTTTCCTCCTGGGCCGCATCCTTCTCCCGCCTTCTGCCGGCGTCCGACTCCATCGGGCGCACTGATCATACGGGTGAAAATTTTTTGTGGTAACACACCGTTGGATACCCCATTACTCGCCAGGACAGGGGAGGGGGGCCGGTGGTGGTGGAGGAGGCTGGCGTGGGCTTGGGGATTTGCGCAAACGCGCGGCGCCGAAAGGGCAGCGGAGTTTCGTGTCGGCAGGAAGCTTTGGTCGCTGGAAGGAAAGACGATGGGCAGCTGGGTTCAAGGGTCTTGCGAGTGGCTTCCAAAGCTTCCATTGCCGTTCTTCTTTCTTCTTCGTCGCTTCTTTTCTGCCGGGGGTGGACCATTTGGCGGTGTATAAGGGAGGCCCGGATGCTAATGCTAACGGAGTTATGCCCGTAATGCAAGCGCCTTAGTGTTCCGTTAGTCCGCTTGACCGGTCGGCGTTGAATTTATGCAACGACGATGGCGGTGTCTTGCAATGGTGTTGAGCAAATGTGGTGGCGGTGGTGGAGGTGGTGGTTGATGGTGGACCCCAGACAAAGCTTCGCGGCTCGTATACGCCCATTCTGGTGATGGTCGTCGACTTCGCAGGGTAACTGACCTGCGGCTTGGTAGCCGACAAAACGTTCGCCACACCTGCAGGTACCCGAGACAAAGGCGCAGTGAGTCAGAAAAAAATGCGGCTCATCAGCTAGACCCCCAGTCCGCCGTTTGAGAGCCGCAATCAATTTCGGACGTGCAGCCGCGTAATTTCCTGTGGCAGGCACTGTTTCGGCTTTCTGCACTTTTTTCTTTTTCTCTAGACCTCAACGCCGAACCCTGCTGCTATCTGCGGGGTTCTCAATATTTGCTATGTTCATGCGCGGCCTCGTTTTCGCTTGGGGACGAATATCCCTTTGCTTTTGCTCATCAATGCTCCACTGCGACCCCTGCCGTCATTGTACGCGCCTGAGGATCGCACTTTACGCAACAATAGACCATTATCATTGGACGAGACATACTGGGTTCGTCATTGGTCAATTGGACAACTGCCTGAAACAACTTTCTGAAACGTGGCGAAAAAGTGGTGCAAAGAGCCGGCGGTGGCAAACAATACGTCTTCGCTGCCCTTCCCAGCAGCCCGGTTAAGGATTTGACGCTTGACGTGTGAAGCGGTGCGTTTCGCCATGGTTGCGCAAAGCGACCTTCGCTTGGGGAAAGGAGGAGGAGTAGCGAGAAAAAACGGTGCCCTATGATGACAGAGGCGGGCGATGACGCGACTGGGAATTAGAAGCGAGCGTTGAGGTAGGGAGGGGAACGGCGTGTGAATGGCTGGAATTACGAGCTGCGAGACGCCGGCGCAAGGAGGTGGCGAATTGCGGTTTGCGCGTCATCTCGCACTTAACGGAGGTAGGAAAGAAATCAGACGAAAAAAAAAAAGAATAAAAAAGATTGGGCAGCGGTATGTAGCAGCAAGATAGGAGGAAGTAGCTTAGCGGCCAGTGGTTGCGCTATCCAGGGTCCGCGTCTTGCAGATCAGCCAGCCGTCGTCACAGATGACCGTAGATCACACTCTTCGCTTAGCCCCTCGAAACAGGGCTGAGCCGAGTGTGATTGGAGAATGAATGGTGGAGCAGCGAGATACACCACGACTGGTTATGGGCCCCAGTGAGCATATCTCGCCGTCGAGCAATTTCCTCATGCGAGACGGAGCCGACACGGAGAATGGGCGGTGGTGGCGAAGATGGTACCTGCCGCCACGTGCAGGTCGTGATAGGCGTTCCTGCGATCTCGCTTGGCCATGCTACCTTGACGTATGGATCGGCACCAGCGCTGACACGAGGCGCCTGGGATCCATTAGGAGCGGCGGTAGCGGTCCTCTTCGCCAGCCTGTTCGTCAGTGGCACTTTATTGAGAGGAGCGGGTGGGACGGTCGGTCATGCCGGCTCAGAGGGCCGCCGCTCGACGACGATTGCGGAAGGTCGTCGTATTCGCGTGTGGGTGGAAGAGAAGAGGTTTTTACTGCCGCTTCGCGGTTGGCCGGCACGTCCGCGCTGCCGAATATACCGCATGACATCCGAGCCCGAGCATTGGCGACGGGAGGCGGCTGCAATATTACCAATATGGCAATGTGGTAGTGCATGAGATGTGCATGGTTTTTCCAGTGCCCGCGCCGACGAGGAGCGTTGGGAAAGTATGAAACGATACTACGCTGGGCCGCATTGAATGAGAAAGCGGTGGGAGCTGTTGTAGGTAAATTGGTCCGCGCGCTTGGTACCGAGAACCCTCGTCGTCAATGCCCTACCCACATCGTGAGGTTTGCGCTATTAATCTGCCGAGCATCACCAGATGGAGCCGGAGAGGCCGTCGTACAGACGCACGCTGCTGCGCCTCTATCATACTGTCATACTAGTGTCAAAATGGCCTTGCCTGACATTCGACAAATCCTTCGGCCGGGAAAGCCTTGTAGGGAACGTACCATGTTGTCGCGTGACTGCCTCTCGTCCTTGTACGTCTTGTCGCCAAGTGGAGGCTAAGCGCCGCCGCATCTACGCCCGCAGAGGAAAGTTGCGGTGAAAAGGTAGATTAAGGAAAGAACCTTCTCCACCGTAAACCGACTTCTGATGACAAATGACCCGCGGTTGAATGGAAGCTTCGCAGATCATTATCGACGTCTTCCTCAATCGCATGATTCAATGCAAAATGGCTATCGTGGCATAACTTTAGAGGAACCGAGGCCGGAGCGATGGAGAGCATATACGCTGTAGCGACCATCATGTGTTTTCGTTACATGGATGGGTCTCATCAACGGCCGTTGGCTAATGTCTCCACCATCCAATCAGCGATGCGAACAGCTTCAGAAGTCATGGATGCGGGGATGCGCAGGGCGCCTGAAAGGTTGCTCGCTCGTTGAGTGGTCGTCCTCTGCTGGAAGCTACCTGAATGACGACTAGACGTTGGTATAAACTCTGATAGCCGCACGTCTCGTATCCGTGCTCGTCGTCCGAGCGCTTGTATTTGCTCGACCGGACAGCTGGCTGTCAATCATGATCTCATAGATGCTTTTCAGAGTCAGTGCGGAAGATGAAACCACCGCCAACGATTGCCCTTGATAACTCAGCATCAAACGACCCCATGGCTAATCATACTCCAGGGTTCGTGGTCAGCCCAAAGCTTTCCTAAAGCGACAATCAGAGAAGCTTTTGGTTGCAGAGCGGGGGCACCAGACAGAGTTTGACCATCGGAAGCGGATAGTAAAGCAGTGCTTTAGGGAAGCATTATCGGCCAGGTGTGAGCAAGTAAGCCGAGGGTGAAAGCAGGGCGTAAGCCAAAAGCGTGGCATAATGCAGTGCTGCACAGCGTGCAGCTGCTGCTGACTGTGTGCAGCATCTAGAACTGTTTGCTCCAGCCAACCCCCACTCCCCACGCTTGCAGCATCACATACCACACCGTACAGGCAGCGACACGCATATAGTCCCTATGCAGTATAGCTACAGCCTTGCGTCACGCGGGCGCTCCCAATCGGCGCATCATTCCGCAAAGGCGCTTGTCGCGCAAACTTGTTTGCGGCCT